ATAACTATCTCCAGATCCAGGCGCTATAGTAAGGATATCTAGGTCAGAATCTGGAGTAGGGTCTGGCGTAGGGTCTGGCGTAGGGTCTGGCGTAGGGTCTGGCGTAGGGTCTAGCGTAGAGTCTGGCGTAGGCTCTAGGGTAGACTCGGGCGTAGACTCCTCAGGCTCTGGCGTCGGCTCTAGCGTAGAGTCTGGCGTGGGCTCCGGAGTAGGCCCAGGAGTACTGACCTCTAGGTCAATATCTCCAACATCAGCGTCCGTAGTCAAAATATCTACATCAGGGTTAGGCGTAGGCTCCGAAGTAGTGAACTCAGGATGTGGAGTGAACTCTCCTGAGGGAAGCGTGATAGTAAACACTGGGGCGGGCTCCGGAGTCGCGAACTCAGGATAGGGTGTGAACCATTCTGAAGAAAGCGTTAGAGTGAACAATGGGTTGGGGTCTGGAGTGATGAATTCAGGAGTAGTTGTGGTGGTTTCTGGAATGGCAGAGGTATTCTCGAGGGCGGTTGGATCAGCCTGTGTGGTTGATGTGGTGGTGTCTGAGGTGATTATTGTGGTCTCTAAAATGGTAGAGGTAGTGTCCGGATCGGTTGAAGTGGTCGTTAGAGTGATGGAAGTAATTAACAGAATAGTTGCAGTGGCCTCGGTAGTAGGTGTGGTCATCTCTCGAGTGGTCGAAGTAGTCGTTGGAGTGATTGTGGTGGTAGTTTCTTGAATGGTAGAGTTACTCTCTAGGGCGGTCGGACCAGCCTGTGTGGTCGATGTGGTGGTATCTGCGGTGATTATTATGGTCTCTAAAGTGGTAGAGGTAGTGTCCGGATCGGTTGAAGTGGTCGTTAGAGTGATGGAAGTGATTACTAGAGTAGTTGTAGTAGCCTCACTAGTAGGTGTGGTCATCCCTTGAGTGGTCGAAGTAGTATTTTGAGAATCAAACTCGGGCGTGAAATTTGCGGTAAATTCTGGAGGAGTAATCACGGGAGTAATCTCTGGAGTCGACGCATCTTCAGAGGTTGTGGTGCTTGTTACTTGACTATCAGAAAAACCGAATTCCAAGTAGTGTGATGTGGATGGCATCTCCGTGGTGAAACGAGTAGTTGTAAACGATATTGGCTGCGGAACTTGTTGAGAAATTGAGGTAGATGATGGAGAAGTCGATGTTGTTATTACGTCAAAGACGATTGATTCAGTGATCGTTCCTGTGCTTAACCCAAACGTATCAATCAAAGTGGATAGATCTGGTTCTGTCGGTCGGTTCGGAGACGGGGTCAAGGTAGACGCCGTCGGCGATGTAGTCTGCGGTGTTGAATCAAGAAGGACGCGTGGAGAGGATTCCAGGCTCGTTGTCGTTGTCAGTGTTGATGTGTGGAAAGGTAGGTTTGATTCGACCATTGTTGTCCGTGTTGACTTGCTGATCAACTGTGTTGGTTCGATGAGAAACTCTGACTCGATTCTCTGCAGGGTCGTCGACGAGGTTGTCACAATAGCGATTAAAGTCGGCGACGTTGTTGTCGAAGGCTCTATCTGGGGCGACGTTGAAGGAGAGTTGGGCAGAAATGATGGAAGTTCTTCTGTAGTTATCCAGGTGAAGGGCATGAAGGCGAACTCCTGAATTCATGATAAGCTTAGGAAGATGAGATAAGTACCCTTGAAATCTCCCTTACCGTGATGGTTGCTGGTGGAGCGATGCATGAACATAGAGTAGACACCACTTTGGCCGCCTGAGCAAGCCCAATAGAGAGCAAAACATCGGCTTCATTGTCACCAGCCCTCCTGGAAAGCCTCGAACGCGGCTCAAGTAGTTCTGGGCCGGAAGGATGTGGCCGTTTAATGTGTGCTCTTGATGAGAACACATCCCGCTTGAAAATCTCTGGTTGCACCGATGCAACCGTCGATGTGATGGTGATGGTTCTTGGGAATTTCTCAGAACAGAACTCCTGTGCGGGATTATAACTGCTCAATGGGGCCAGAATCCTCTGAATCCCATCCTGACAACCAGATTGTGCGACTATAGATGCAGAGAAGAACGCAACGATGACCATAAGAGTTTGCATTTTAAGGCTCTTTCGAGGCGGCCAGGAGCCGCTGAGGCGATGGTCACTGCCTCGTAGTAGTGACGGCGGTGGTGTGCAGTTGAGTCATGACCGAGCTTAATCCTTGAGAAACTTGACTGGATCGAAGATGCCTTTTGAATGCGATAGGTACGTGAATTATGATGGAAGCACATGGCCGGAGAGGTTGGACAGTCTCGCCATCGCACCATGTTGACAGGCTCAAAGAAGGGGCCCATCGTAATCTCCTGACGATGTCGATAAGTGTGCAGAGCGTAGACCAAATGAAAATAGTGGGTGTCGGCAGGATTGTTGGTGGTCATAGCACGAGGTGTTGTTCTTCTACATCGAAGGACGTCACGGAACGCGTTCAATCTACCTGACGTTTACATGAGGTTCTTTGTAGTTTCCTTGCGCAAGCCACCATGAGGCCTAGAACCTAATTCCACACGCTAGGTACCTCGAACCCGATTGACCCTCTTTGGTTGACTTCAAAAGCGGATCATCTGGGGGCTGGAGGCTGGGGCCGGCAGCCATAAATAGTAACTGTCAACATCTCCCTTCCAAGAATTCTAAGTCGTAGCGCCTCGGTTCAAGAGTAGACGGCAACGTTATGACGATGCGTGCCTTTATGTCGGCCAAACAAGGGCACTACCTTCGCGTCCCTACTCAACAACAATGAGATAAATAATAAGTTCACAATTATACCTTCCATGAGACAGGAATGCCACGGCGGTCGTGATCAGGAGTCCTTCCCCTGTTCACTTATTACCAAGGCTCTTCTGAGATTCGAAGTCCGTCGCTGTTTCCAAATTCAACACTGAATGGATAGTGCAAAGCATACGTGGGTATCTATTGTGACAGGAGGTACTTCCCCATACAGAAGAGTGCTGCCATCCCTGTCACCAAAGTCAGGTCACCACTGGTTTACATTGAAATGGAGAAATGGGTATATCTATTGTACGAAAGGGCTTGAAATAGTATGCTTCAATTCTGATACCGGCTCGAACTCTTCATGACCTGAAACTACATAGCTGCAGGTGAACTGACACTCTTCATCATGGTTGGCCTGTGGCCTTCCAAGTCAATGAAGATGTTGGTGCTGCCCTGGGCTACAAGGCCGGGGTCTGGGACTGGTGCGCGAATGTTTTTGCTAACCTCCTGCTTGAGATCCTTCCAGTCGGCCTTTACCACGTTCCGCAGGCTGATGTTGGCAAAATGTGTCATGGCGAGGAGATGCTTAGGGCTGGGGGTTTTCTTGCCGACAAAAATTAGATACAAACCAGCCTCCTGGGCTTCATCGGGCTTCCAGCGCGAATTGAATGTCTCCTTCCCGCCAACGGGTAGGCGGCCAAATATGTGTTTGTATATCCGGCGAGTGGCATTGATGACGAGAGAGCTCATATTGTAAAGCTCATCGGGCTCCGCAACTGGCTCGTGGCCAATTCCGAGATAAGAGATGTCTAGCGCATGAAGATGGGCAAGAGAGGCATATATCAGCAGATCAGAAGTGCCTCGCGGGGCATCTGCTGACTGAATGAAGGGATCAATGTGATAGCCTGTCGTGCCCATTCTGCGCAGCGCTGCGAAACCGTTGACAGCCCCTTCTTTTGTTCGCGTGTAAATGAATGTCATGAGGTTGGGGAGTGCGAACATCTCGAAGACGGTGATGAATGCCTGACAGTCACGGCTCGTATTTCGGTCTTCCCGCCATGTGTCGTAAAGTTTCGTCAGCTCCGCTTCGAGGACAGGATCGCGACCACGTTCAGGGACATAAATGTGCAACGTCAACCCACCCTTGGTGGGGTCTAGTAGCTGGCGACACTGTACTACAGTTCTCTTTCCACTCTTGCCCAGCAAGACCTCGTTGGTGACAGGATTGAGGACTTTCTCGGTGCCGAAGCGCATGATAGGCCATCCCTTTAACTTTGCAACTTGCATCAAGCCAGCACTGGCGCCTATCACTGAAGTCTTCCATCTGGCCTTCCGACAATATCTCTCAAACTCCTCGAGGGTGGCTGGCATGGCCGCCTCAGGGCACAGCGGATCTCCAGCTAATACGGCGACTTTGTTCAAGAGTTTGAAGTGAACGGCAGCAGTTCTTGACTTGTTCACCCAGAAGCTGTAGCTTGGATCACGAACACTCATGTGCGACACTGTGCCGTATTGAGCAATAAGCCGATTGATAGCTTCCAGACGCCTGAAGTCGTCAAGATTGTAGAGGCTATCTTTGAGGCTGGTATTGATTGCGGGGTCTCTTGCCTCAATTTCAGACATCGAGCCTGTGCTCACGCTTGTGTCGCTGTTATTACCATCGTTGGGGTTCATCGGGCCAGGACTTCGACTTCGACTGCGGTTACGTAGACGTGTGGCCAGTGAGCTGGGCAACAGCAGCCCAGATGAGCTTTGGCGTCCATTTTGTGCAGAGTTAACTCTTGAAGACGAGTGGCTTGGATGTTTTGCTGGACTTGGAATAGTCGCCTCGCGGCTCTGCTCAGTGAGGCGCTGACCGAGCTGCTCATGGAATGGTAGTGCTGGTTGCTTGGGCGCCGCAGGGGCCTTCTCCTTCTTCGGTTTCTCCTTCTTCGGCTTCTTCTCTTTGGCGGTCGGTGAGGTTCCTTCTTCATTAATGGCAGGGGTACTCTCTTCCTTGACAGTGATTGGAGACTTCGCGTCAGAGGGAATTGTAAAAGAGGCTGGCTCTTCTTGCGTGGCCATCATGTTGACTGTCTCGGTGATGTCCATGTTGTAAGTGAAGGGATGAGCAAGGACAGTGAGGGGTGCGAAGGAGTCAGAAGAGCCGGAGAGGGCAACAAAGGGTTTAAAGATATCACAAGCATTCGGAGGGCTGCAAAAGGATATGGCAAAGAACAGCAATCCTACTATTTAGTCTTCCTGAGGGAACAGTCATTCATCCTGCCGCCCGAAAAGTCACTCGATTGGACTGATGACTGGTGCAATGGTCCGAAAATGGTCACAAGAGGTGTACACACACCATAGCGGGTGGCCCTCGGATGCAAGCCACAATCGGGGGCTATTGTTACAGAGTTTTTGGCGAACCATCCTCGTTGAGAAAGGAAAGGTTTGCGGGCAATAAAGAGCCAAGGGTTCGAGGTGAAACTGCAATAGAGAATGAGCTAGGATCCAATGCAATAGCCGAGAAAATCTAGGGCCTGAATGTAGCCCGGGCTGTTGAATGCGGCTGAAAGCACAGGCCAGCATTCTGGCCAAAGTGAAATCTAGAGCTTCAACTCTGTACTCCGTATATCAAGGCAGATGGCTAGATGTGGAGTCGATGATCTGGTGGTTCAATTTGTTGTCATTGACATGTTTCAGAAACTCGCAGCAGGATTCTGGGATTTGGGGCCAGGAGAGACACTAATTGTGCTGTGAAAAGTGTGCAATGTAGTAACAATAAAGGGAAGAATCCTGGAACCCGATGAAATCCCCCGGGATGCGAGGGATGCGACGCTATACCGCTTTTGATCAAAGGTGGGGTTATAATTGGCTAAGAAAAGCTTATTGACTACATAGTAGTGACAGTCTATTGAAATGCTATTGGAGCCATGTGGTTAATCCATATGCACTCTGACCTCTCCATGTTTGACACTTTTCAAGTGCCAAGTGTAGGGCTGGGGAAAATCATAGTCGCTTGGAAAATATGCATGGGTCAAATGTTCTTCGAAGGATTGTGTGATCACGTTGCCTCCCAGGGACGGATCTAGGAAGAGGCACACATGCTCGAAAGAACCGAGCTAGTCCACAGATGAACCTCGAGGATTCTCATCACGCTTCTGGCTCGATTCATTGCTCGTGGGCGCCACCGTTGAGCGTCTCGACTCTCGTTCAAGCAATCCCTAAGACTAATCACAACTGGGGATTGTGCATAACCTAGTTTCGTCTGGTACCAGGGGATTGTCACTGTACTCCTGCAGGATGTCAACCTTAACCCTTTCACACCGCGAGACGCGTAATTCCGACGACGTGGCTGAATAACAGTGACCATCTCAGATTCTGACACGCTACAAAATTTCTTAGGCGTTGACGAGGTCCATCATAATCTGTGTTGCAAGGGATGTGATAGTGTCTCCTGCGAAGGAAGTGAGGGATCGCCGGAGAGTCTCGTCAGAGGCAGATACCTCACAGAGTCATAGATATTCGGATGGCACTGGAAGCAGCTTTCAGGACATAAGTGAGTGCGTTGCGCTATATCTGCTAGGCTATAACAGGTTCATTCACACAACGGCGGAAAAAAAGCTAGAAGACGCTACAAATCAGATAGCCTTGTACTTGAAAAGGAGATTGACACTTCGGGGCATCTGATGCCCGGGACTCATTTGCATATGCAGGCCCATATTCCGGAGGAAAGGCTCCAGATCACTTGCCAATTACGTATGACCTAAAACAATCAATCATACTTAGGCCGGTGAGAGCCTATCGAAATGACTCATGGAGGCGCTCAATCCTCAACAATCCACAGTCAGTCTGAAGTCGGTGATTTCAGATTCCGCCTTCTCATAGCCTATCGTATAGCCATGTCTGAACTCCATGACCCGTCTCCGTCTCACGTCGATCACCGAACATTGGCCATATAAGTGATGCTTCGTGGGATTCCCTCGTTCCGTTGACGAATGAGATATTGGAATTGTGCTCCTGCAGCCATCTGGTAAAAACTCGCTGTGCAAACAATAGGGAGTGTCATACCTTGATATCGTTGACCCATCTTGAAATTCCATCAATGAGGACTTCGTCAGTCCCGGCAGTGACCAGAACTGCATCTGCAACAAGGCCTTTCCATTCGTCAGGATGAGCAAGAGCAGGCTCACTATACGCTGATGATTTACTCTTGCCAACATACAAATCACTCCATTCTTTCTCCTTTTCCGCTTGCAGATAGTCCTTGCCTCTATTTCGGTAAAAGCTTTCTAGCGAAACATCGAAGTTCACCCACGGCGAGATCAACACGACTCCTCGAAATCTGTTCTTCGAATCCATATGTGCGATGCGTCGCACTGACTCATGCGGGTGCATGGCGTGGTACACGATTGCAGCGGCAATGTTGCCTCCGGCCGAGTCGCCACCGAGCAAGACATTGGATGGGCTCCGCTCTAGGTCGAGGAGGACGTAATTGACGGCATTGGCGGCCTCCTCAAGTTGTGATGGGAAGACTGCTCGCGGAGTCAAGGGATACGCGATTAACAGAATCGCCAGAGACTTCCCACGGTTTTTCAACGCTTCTTGGATTGAATGCCAAAATTGGATGTGGCCTTGGTTGCCGTCAAAGATGAAACCACCTCCTGCTCATCGACATTAACTCAACCCCAGGGTCCACTTATTGGGTGCTTCACATTACCGTGGAAGAATACCAATATCACTGGTGACGATGGATCGCCAAGCCAGAACCCTTTAGTCTTGTCGGATATGGTGATTATATTGACGGGAAGAGACTGCTTTTTGCACCAGTCCTCATAAGACTGTTGAAAAGAGCCTTCGATCCAGCTTTGGTTGGAGGTCAGCCTGGTCTGATCACATGACCTTTTGGGAGGAGACAAGCCACCTTAATTGCCGGGCGCTGAGCCGTCTTGAAGACTGGTAGCAGTGGTATTAGTCGAGCAGGAGGAATCGATCAGACTCGAAGCGACATACTTTGCGAATGAGGGCATGGACAATATGATGGTACAACGTGTCGGCACGAGCGGCTGGACGGAAAGGCCACTCGATTGCTGCACGTGAAGCGGCGAAGCCTGTGGTATATCAGCTTCGTCATAACAGCGGACGATGGGACAAAGTCCGTCGTGAGGCCTACCAATGGAGACAAAAGCAGGGGCAAGCTCAAGTTTTTCGACCAAGGACAGCTTCGGCTCTTCCGACATCAGTACAAGAGCGCTGATTCAATCTGGCGGTGAGAGAGACAACCGTGTAGAAGTAATCTTGTCGATCATGAGTGCATCAGGTATCACATGGAAGGTCACTTCCAAGAAACACGAAATCTCGATGTTTCGAGCGAAGATTACGTAGACTCGTTAGCATCACGGGATGCGCGAGCCTCCGCGGCTTGCGTGGCTGGGATAGAGATCTAGACGCATTGTTGATGAGCCACGAAAACCTTACTACCAATCCCGCACAGGCCACCTACCGATATCCTTCGGCTTAAATGACCTTAGTTATTTAGTACTCGTTTGCAGCAGGCCGAGATGATACGTAACTGTTCAGCGTACAATTACAAAGTAGTGACTGAACTCCTGTGCAAGATTGGACCATAAGTTGTGGGTGAGCGGCGTTTTCGTGGGTGGGAAGATCTTTTACGGACTAAACCGTACTACTTATCTAAAATAGTCGAACAAAATATTTACAGAACCAGCAAAGATACAATAATGAGTACTCCGAAACCTCGGAAACTACTGTAAGCAGTCTGCCGGACTGCATCGAGCGCCGAGTTCTCCGCAGGAGCGTCTGTCGAGGAGGAGTCATCGGCCGCGTCTTCGGTTGTCGCATTGAGGGTACTTGGAATGAATTGGGTGACATTGGCGACGTTGCCATTGTCGAAAAGAGTGGCATTACCACTTAAACTGCTCGGGGCGTTGGTACTACCTTCGAGACATCCGGCGAATACGTCTGTGGAATTCGGTCCGATGGCAAAGGCTTCACTGGCTGCTCTCTGCCAGATGGTTGTGATATCAAAGGCCATGTCAACCGAGTACCATAGTCGACAATCCGCGGCCTCATAGACGAACTGCATTGGCGTATACGACGAGTCAAACTGGCCAATGAAGTTTTGGTAGTTGATCGAGGCAAAGGTCGACGAAACAGGGTCTGCGCTGCGGTAGAGGGTGTAGTTTCCTAGCTCATGCAATGTCTTTAGGCCGGTTTTGTCGGCTGCCTCGATAACCTCAGAGGGAGCATTGCCATAGAGCATGCTGACAAAAGGAAGCAAGTTACCCAGGTATACGATTTCGCTTCCCTTGACGCCACCCACGTATTGCATCGGCTGGCCAGCAGTCTGTGGTCGACCGCCAAATGCCACGGTCTTGACTTTTCCCTGCCACTTCATTAGATGGCTGAATGTGTGACAACTGGAGGCGCATTGTCCGTCTGTCACCATGGTGACATTTTCCGACGCAAAATGTTGGGGGGCTATATCACGATTATTGCCGTAGCCCGAAACCACGATGCCGTCTACGATATCGGATTCCTCGACGTTGGAAAGATTGTACCTCGCCAGGGGAGTGAATGAATCATTGTGCACCTCGAATGGCCGCCAGTAGTTTTCGAAATTGTCGTATCCCTGTCCCGCTGCGTCCAGAAGGGGGCTCGCATCATAGTCGCTATCTCCACCGGCATTGGCGAAGGTTTGTTCGCTAGAATCTTGCAATTCAGCGGCCAAGGAAGTGTAGAAGTTCATCAAAACCTCAAGCTGATCTGTGGCCCGGAAAGAGAAGGTATGGTACGGGTCAACGGTAGGGAATAGCTGTTTGAAAGTATCGACTGCCAAAAGAATGTTCCCGCCTCCATTCGAAGACACGTCGACAATTAGATGAGAGGATCGTCTGCGCCGACACTCTTCAAGAAACTTTTTCATTGTGTCGATAAAAGAATCGTCGTTGGTGGGCTCAAAACTTTTCACAGCTAAGACGGCGGTGTCTCTAAAACCATCTGTGTCCAAGAAGAAGCCTGCCAGTGTACCATCCTCATCTGTTATGAAAGGGTCTGGGTAACCCAGCAGAGCTTCGTCGGCTGTGCTCTCAGGTCTCCTTGGAGACTGGGTCCTGACTGGTTGCGATGAAGTAGTGGTTGCTGCAGCTTCCATCTTGACGGTTGCGTTGCAGAACTTTTGGTAAAACGAAGGCCCATCAAAAACGCCGTCGAAATCCTGCTGGGCAATTCCGACAATTGGAAATACTCTTGAAGTCCCGTTGGCGAAGGTATAGTTGTTTGATACTCCTGGGAAGGCATTCATAGCACCGACTACGGCACCAGGTGAATTGGCGATTTCGTTGAACAGGGCATTCCAGCTAGCAAGGATTAGTATTATCCAATACGAATCTTGCAAAGGGGCGTACTTTGTATCTGGATCTTGGTTCAAACCAGTAGTGTTTTGAGCTTGGAAGTCAAGCCAATCCAGCACAGGCTCTCCGTCAATCGAGACGATGGCAGACGGCTGCCAATCCAGCGATGCATTACGCGACGCAGAAATATCGTCTGGACGAATTAGTACCAGTCAAACGGATGTGGGTGACGAATTACCATAGGAGTATATCTCAGGTGGTGACTCGCCATCGAGGGAAACGGAAAGAAGGCCACCGATAGTCCTCTCAAAGGCAAATATGCTAAGGAGGTCGGGTTGGAAGACAAAATGACCATCTCGGGCGGAGAAAATCAGAGCAGCAATATCAAGCTGGAAAGCCAATTCGCCAGCATACTCGTCGTTGACCAGTTTCTGCTGGATGTTGTCAAGGCCGCCAAGGATATCGACGCCTTCCATGAGATAACCTGGTGGGGGATTTTGGAGGTAGGCCAGAGTAGACTGCGACTGGACCCATGCTTGCAGACCTAGGATCAGGTCCAGAGCATCTTCTTTGTAGATTGGTACAGACTCTCGACAATCTTGGACAACTTGTGCTGGCAAGACAAAAGTGGTTGCTGTCTACGGTCAACTTCCTGCTGACTAGAGAGAAATGGTGGATTACCGGAGGGTTGAGCACCCAACGAAGAGCTGATAATGCTGCTCACTTGCGCGCACGCTGGCGTGGGTTCATTGTCAGTCGACTGGCCAAAGATGGTTGTCGCCAAAGATGCAACAAGACAAACAATAAGAAGAGGCTTCATTATGGCCACAGTCCATAGGCAACGTGGTGAAGGGAAGGATCTCCCACGACCAGCGTCGCCTATATACTACTGTGCTCGGCCTGAAACTTTGCACTCCTAAGCAATGTTGTTGTCAACAACATGGTGAACGGTAGCCGCAGAGGCAAACAAAAGTCAGTGCGTCATTCTCGATGCGAGCATGGAGGGAGCTGTACGGAGTAAGTAATGGCAAGGCCCGGACCTGGAGGCGAACACTAAGAAGATAGTACATGAATCTAACGGGCACAAGGCGCGAGTTATTGAGTCTTGTCTTGGGTGCATGGACAGGTTGGGTAGAACCAACATGGTCCGTGTGTCGATTCTCTTGACTAGCTCATCCATAATGTCACACTGCGGCCGAGGCGGCCTATATCCAATAATACACAGCCATGACAGCCTACCCTCAAGAAATAATCGTTTTGAGACAGTCATGGCAGAGGGTGTAACAGTCGAAGCTGTGGCTTCCTTCCAGTGGCAGAAAGGGCATAGAGATGTTGAGATACTATCATAGGATATGCTCTCGCATCACATCTGGCTTCGGTCGCAAATTAGCAGATCAAAAGGAGGAGATCTCAAGTCGACAGGAAATTTAAGATCTTATTTGGACAAACATCAACAACGATGCCAGCAGAAGAACCTCAGCCGTGGTCAATCAGCCTGAGCATAGTATTGTACATCAAGTTGTGGTGAAGGTCACGTGCCCGACGAAAGTCTTCACAAGGAAGGACGTCCGTGATGGCTGATGGCGAGGTTCTTGAATTGTTGGTACTTCAGGTTGTGCTGTTCTCGCTGCCGTAATTTGTACTGTGGAAGATGTTGTCTACACGAACGATGCAGATCAGGGGTCTGACCTCGCTTTAGGGCGAAGTAAGCTTGTTTCTATTGACTGACTTTACAGTTGCGTACGAACGTACACGTACGGAGTAGATTAATAAGACGGGAGGATTTCAGGCGTGGCCACTTCCGAAAGTAGATGTTTCATGTTGCCGAAGATTATGCCCCATCATGAGCAACTACGGCAGGGCATGCCACCATGGATATGAGAATGTGGCTCTTGATCAAATCTGGCGGGGTCCAGGAGACGAGCAGGGGATGTCTGGGGTTATGGATAATGGTGGCTAATCAAATTAGTGGGGTACAGATCTTTGACAACGTCCAGGGATTATGATATTCTGGGTTATTGCTTGCTGAGCTTTCTTTCTACTGTGCTCCGTACATATATATGTGTCCATCTAGTCATTAGGCAAAGTCGTGACAGTGAAGCAAGATGATTCTTCACTACCCGTCCCTACTGTAGCTCTGTACCTGGGTACGCTGGGAGATGTGATCACCTCCTTCTCGATTTTCTACGCTGGGGATGCTTGGCAGGGGGAGAGAAGGAAGGAGAGGGAGACGGATGTGGTAGGGATAAGCCCCCCTTGGCCGCCTCGGCCGCGCTTGCAGCCTGCAAGTAAGCACGAGGGGCCGCGTCACAAGATTGCCTCTAGAAAAGAGTGCAGCACATACTCCGTACATACTTGAGAGGGCGAACACTTCCCAAAGGTCCAAGCCTAGACGATAAGACCGTCTCTTGTTGTACCTTTTTGGATTTCTGTACCTCAGATGCCTAGGGTGCTCTGTAGAGTGTTAGAGATCAGAATTGGGTGGCACGGGTGGGTGGAATGTATTGGAGCATTATGCCATGCACATCATCTTCTACGGAAAGTTGTGAGCAGCTACTGCACATTTCTAGCCCAAGATTTCCCCGCATTTACTTATAGTAAGTTACTAGATAGCCTTCTCCCTCGTACTCCGTAGGCCCCTCGGCCTTCCTGTGGTCCTTCCTGCGCCTATTCGCATGCAAGACATAACGAAGGCTGTCCAGAGTATAGTACGGAGTACATACAGAATTCGTCATGACCACAAACAGTCTGCACAAGCCTTTTCACCCCTCCACCCCACCACCATCACCACCATCACCACTCTCAACTGTTGTCTTCACTACCAGTGTCGCTAATCATCATAGGAAGAGATGTGATTTTCCACCACTTCAGACATGGACTGGGGACAGTTTGCACGACTCTCTATATCAAATCTGCATCATTCTCAACAGGAGCAAGACTGACATGCTGAGACAGGTGACCTCTCACCACCTAACTACACACACGATGGAATATCGCCAGGATGAGATCATCTCTTCTCAGGAAGTGTAGTCCATCTACCTTTGGCGCAGGATCCTTCGGAAGTTGCCTGCCTTCTCAGTCCCAAACCCTCATACGTGAAACAGTCCCACTGGATGAACCTAAATCGACTCGAGCCAGCCACGATGCAATCCAGTAGGTGATTCGCTCTTCTTTTTGTGGTCGGTGCGGTACAATGCAATGCAACTACGGTGGTGTTGGGATGTCTAAGAACAGGACGTCTCGAGCATGGTGCTCCATTTCCACGACGACAAGGAGAGAATCAACCAGACAGTAATGAGAGACTGGCCTTCAACCAAGAAAGACTGCCACCCAAGCACTTGATCAGTTGTGGCCTACCCCACAGTTACCGCTGTACAGCATCTCTGAGGTGGTAATCCCTGAGCATGCCCGAAACTGCGACTGGCTACCTGGCATGCTTAGTTGACTCCATAACTCGTCGTAGATCGATCAGTGCATGTAGCCCCGGTTCACATGAGCAAGCAGCAAGTAGTCTATGCGTACCTGATGTGGTGCGCATGACGTAAAGAGATGCTGTGCAACTGGAGACTTTGAATTTCCACTGAGAAATCACGACAATGTGGCACGTGTGGGTTCATGCACCGGCTGTTTGTGAGCTCAGACCACCGAGTGCAACATTTACTGCATAAATCCCCTCGAGGGAGCTGCAAATGATGCTCATCGCTCCGAAGTTAGATCTCCAACTGTGCTCGAGGTGCAACCTCAACCCATGGCCTTCTCGGGTCTTTTTTGATGCTCACATCATTCACTTGTCTTTTGAGTCGTTCATTCATGCGACTCGAGCTGATTCTGATTGTGGGCGTTGACAACCATGGTACAAGAACGACAATAACATCAGGTGATGATAGAAGTGACTTTTCCAACCGGAACCGCCGCCGTTGCATAGCCACCGTTGGCTCAGGGCATTCGCCGGGCCGCAGCCTAGTTGACTCAGGGCAGAGTTTGGCAGCTCTTGTCAAAAAAAGTCCAACTTGGTATGCCTGGGTGATCAAGAATCGCGCTTTGGGCCCACCGCCTAAAGTTTATGGAGTAGTGAGCCCGAGGGGCCCTGAGTCCCTGGCCCGTCGAGATACGAAGGGGTGGATCACTGGGGCGCCTCTGGCCATTATTCTGCACCGTGATGGCTGATCGATCGCAAGTGTTGTACATGTTGAATCTCGTGCCAAGCTGCTGAGGAACTTCAATCATCTGAGTTCGAATGATGCTATGTACCTACTTGATCAATGCAATGGAAAATCAATCCAGATCGTTAGTAAAGAACGAGCAAAAAGGCTAGACGTAGCCAATTGATTGATCCATACAGTGCTACGAATACCCTAGCGACTGTAAGCATGTCCAGATTGGACATACTGATGAGCGTGTCTCGCTTGTCGAGGGAACCGGCCTGTGCACCTGGATCCACGGATCGTCCATCTTGGGCTCGGGCACTCCTTGATTGAGACCCGATGCGGTAAAACCACGACGATGACGCCTCGTGTCCCTTTGTCCTTAGTTATAGGCGTGTGTTCTAGGAGTTGTTGAAGCCAAGGGCCAACCCGTCGACTTGTTGAGGGATCGTTCTGCTTATCACTTAGTGGTTCCAAGTGCAAAAACAGCCCACAAGTGACATTATAACCAGCATGCAAAATATCAAGACCAAGCCGTGGTGGGACGAGTGGGAAGTGACACGAGTGGGAGAGCTGGAGAGAAACTGACGCGTGCCTCTGACGAACAAAAAGTGGGTAGATCGACGCCACCCCAAACCCCTATCCTTGGGGATGGGGCATGCCTATGTGTACAGGTAATAATCACAATAATTCATCAAACCACAACATTCGCGTCCATAACAACAACAATCACGTAGATTTTACGCGTCTGAAGATGCTTTCAAGGGATACGATGGCAGACACACCCCTTAAGCGTATACGCTTCATGGGCACGAGCCAGATCATCTGACTATTTGGCGATAGAGCAGAAGTAAATGGTCTCAAGTTACTACTATTGCTGGCCCTGAATGTTGAATCGCCCCCAAGCGAAACTTATTAATTAGGCCTCCCTGGGCCTTTCCAGGGCCGAGGGTCCCCTACGAGTGCCTAGGCTGGGAAATTTAGCAGTATGAGGGGCTCTCGGCTGTCACAGATCCAAGGAGTCATGTAGTCTGGACTCAGATTGGATCCCCCAAAGCCACCTCCCGAGAGCCAGAGAGCCGGGCGGAATCCTGCCCATAGTTATGCCAAACTCAAGTTTCTTCATCGTGCGCTACTCCCACTTCACCCATCATATGTCTCTGGCTCCTTGGCTCTCTTTCGCTTGGTCTGGTTGTGTTCCCTCTACCTCATCCCTCTTCTCCGGGCCTTGATCCGCTAATCACCAGCTAAGTGGGAGAATGGAGTCGTGGTCCCCCACTAGGGTAACTCTGTCGCTCACCAGTGATACGCAGTAGGCACAAGTGGCAGATGCATACGCATACGTGCATTCGCCAGTCTTTACTCCCTCTCCTGATCTCCGATCCACCAACAAGAGTCAACACACCGAGCCGTCCAGTGGCAAGGGTGATAGCCAGACACTTGAACCATTTGCCATCTGCGATTGGCCTGGTGCCGCTTAACTCCTGCACCTGCATCCTCCGCCTGCACCTCCCATTGCACCTTCTGCACCCGCAATCAATCACTTGCTTTGCTGGCTTGTTGGCTTGCTGCTGGACTGCTCGGCTCCCTCCCTCACTCACACTGGGCCAGTAGAAGTACTGTAGTGGCCCTGGTACTCTGCTGCCTTGGTGCCTTGGTGCCCTGTCACTTCACCTCACTCGTTGTTCTTCCCTCTTTCCCTCCTTGATTCTGATTCCGATTCCATTACACTTTTCAAACCATCTCATTACCATCCTTTTCCCACCTTTCCTCTCGTCCCTGCTCACTGTTCACCTCGACGAGAGCCATCTTCTCTTCCTGTTCATCTTCTTCACGCCGCCGACAATTCTTCCTTTTCGACGCGGCTCTTCCCTTCGTTTTTCTCGAGTTGCCCACCTCTGCCAGAGCAGACTTACCACTTGTTCAACAAAGAGCTCGCGGTCCCTCCTTCGTTTCACTTTCCTCGTCGACATTCCATCCTCGACGATAATCTTTTAATCAACCTTGCTCCATCTCACATTCATTCTTACATGCTTGGTGAAAAACATACCCCTTGTTGCCCAACTTCTGGCTGCCCTCCACTCCCATCCAAGTCCTATGTTGAGTAGGGCTTACCAACCTTCGTTAAGCTCGGGTAAGTTTGGATTTTTCGCTTTACCACCGTCTTCTCATGTACGACAGCCTCGCTCACAATATATTTGCTGACTTGGATCCGATAGCAACTCCTGAAAGCCCCTGCTGCAGTTGACCCAATCACAATCGAACTTCCTACCACCCTTCAGCAGACGCTGTGATCGACCACAGCGTCCCCGTACTCCTGTTCCTTAAAAGAGCAAAGATGGCAGCGTTGGTTCAGACACTCCCCATGCACACAAGTACAGTAACAATGATCGGCCGCCCTTCCTCAGCAGGTGGATATTCTCCTCAACCAGCTCAGCAACATATGAGAAGTAACACTTCTCCAAATGCCCGCTATCATAACATGTCTACCGGTTACAGAGGCACATCAGCTACGGGCCCTGTGGCTCCATATGCCTTTACCTCTACCCCCCAACTGGCTTCAAGCAGTTCCCGAGCATACGGTGTCACTGCAGCACGTCCCGTTTCCACCCTGCAGACAACATCTCAACGTTCATCCCCCACTGAATTTCTGCCCCCAGTCGATGCTGGTAATCGACTCTCCTTGGGCCTCTCCAACTTCTCCTCTGCCAATTCGTTCATGGCTCCGCCACAGCCACCTAGTCCCAGTACCACTAAGCCGTCTCCCGACAGATATAGACGTACACTTCGACGGATGGACGGCGAGAGCGGTCCCAATCGTGTGGCCGCAACTTCTCCTGGACCTTCAGGCTCGACCGCTCCTGCAGGAGCTTCCCTGTACAGCCACCCCTCTCAAACCAGTAGCACCCCTTCTTTGACCTCTCAAAACTCATACCGTGGCTCCACTTATGGCGCTTCCTCTTCCGCGAGGAACTCAAACGATGACATTCACGTTGGAAGGCCTCAGGCCCCAGATCTTGCTGCTAGGTATCGAAGACGGAGCTTAGGCAACCTCGATACTGCTGGTCTAAACCACACGTCTGATGGCCAGGACACCGCTTCCCCTCACCCCAATGCCTTTCTGAACAACCCTCCTCCCCACAATGCGCAACCGCAGAGTCGACAATCAGGACATAGTCATACAGCAAGTTCGGAAAGTATTACCTCTTCGAGATCCAATCGCTCTTCCCGGCCAGGCTCGGTGAGTAGACCCCCATCAGCTGAATTCGACCTTGAACTGATTTCTTGCAGGCTACACGACCCGAGTCTCCGCACGCCTACACCTCACCCTCTATTCTGAACCAGCCAGCTGGGCTAAGGCAAGAGGGACGCCTTGCTGCCCATGCCCGAAGCACTGACTCGAGTATTCGACACCCTTCCCCATTATCGAGACCTGTTGATCTGAGCGGCGATAAAACTGCCTCAAAGCCAGAAGCACCGATTCTGTCTCCCCTACCACTGCCTGCATCCAGTGCTGCCGTGGAGCAGTTGGCTGCCCTCAGTCTCAAAGATAACAAGAATAAAAAGTCGAAGCTTCGTCGAGCATTCTCTTTTGGCAGCGCCGCAGAACTGAGAAAGGTGACTGCCCAGAATAATCATGAGAAGAGCATGGCAAACAGAACCCCACTGCAAGCAAAGAGGAGCTCCAAATATGAAGACGAGTTGGAACCCGAACAGGCACGTATTGCCGAGAAGCAAGAAGCTGCAGGCTTAGGTGAAAGCATCTATTCGGGCCAGGGCCAGTTTTTCACAGGCTCTACCGACAACCTGTCCATCTCCTCTACCGCATCATCTGCGTCCATCATGCTGCGAAAGATGGGGAAAGGTGTCAAGAAAGGAACCCGATCTTTGGTCGGCTTGTTTCGTCCCAAATCCGTTATTGGAGTCCCTGCCGCTGATGGGCCTGTGAACGAAGCACCCGTCGCTGCCGTCTCGATGGTGACAGTCGAGGCCGAAAGAGAAAAGATCAATGTCAACGTCAACCCTCACGATCAAGTGGGTGGAGGGACAGGATTCCCCAAATTGGAACGAAACTCTGTTGATGCTAAACTATCGTTTGACAGCACAACCATATCCAGCGATACCCGGTCCCGCCGCAGCATCGTCGGAGGCGAAAGAGAGCGTGCAGAGGTGCTCGCCGCTGTCAAGAAGGGCATCCTTAAACGCAATGACTCGAACCAAGCGTCGCCCAAAATCAAGGCTTACGACTACAAAGCACCCGATTTTAATCTCCCTCAAATCCCTCACGTCAATGACTCCCCTCGATCTAGTGCACCAAGCACTCCAGTCGATGACGAAGCACCGCGATCCGGTCACCGACGAACAGATTCCATCACCATTGAAAACAATGACCATGACGATTACTTCTCCTCGGTGAGACTTGGTAGCATCGAGGCAAAGAATATTTCTCAAGGCTTGCTTCGCAATATCTCTTTCAGCCCTCGAATTCAATTCCATGACACTTGGCCAAGTGGCGAATACGATCGTCGTGGGGACATTGCAACCTGTAATCGCCTGACTCCCATGTTGGCACAACAGATCAAGGAGGAACTCAACACTTTCAAGATGGTATGTTGGATTTGAATCCTCGAGCTGAGAATGCCCTAACTTGTAACAGGAAATGGAAGTTCACGAATCGTCCAAAGTCTATACACATTTCTTCTAGCGTCATCGTCTCCGACTTGGATATAGATACAAAGCGTCCTTCTCACAAACCGACTAGCGTCACTTGCAAGGCGAAAACCCAACCACACCCTGGCTCATTCTCACGATATCCTACGACTCTGTCAGTGCATATGCATCAAGAGCATCTTTCGTTGCTAGATCTCGACGCGGAGAAACCTTTCTCAGGGAGTCCTTCATCATTCGACCCTGTGTACATTTATCAAAAGCCAACATGGTGCATTCTATTTTCCTATCACGACCTTGTTTCGCAGTAAGGTGTTTGGCGCAATGGGACGACGGGCGCCGAGGGTCGGCACCCCGTATCTGTGGATGCCTTTTTACTCCAAACTGGCTGTCGGCTGTCTGTATGGGCCCTCGGCGGTTGTCAAGGGACATGGTGGGTGTATGAAACCCCAAGGTCCCGTTTTAGGATTACCGGAGGCTCAATATGACAATGCGCCAAGACTTGTTGTCTGGCATCGTTGTCCATTTTGTGGAAATTAGATTCTTTTTCATCTACATCTAAGCAAGTAGTGCTGTCTTGACTAATACGCTCGGATCAGGCAAAAGAAGAAGAGCAAGCACTCAGTGGATGACCAGGCATTTGGTTGAGGAGGCTCTAATTGATGCCTGTTGAGGACGAGATGACATATAAGTCCTGCCAATGCGTAAGCAATTCACATTTTCTCCGCATCTACATCCATTTCCCCGTCCTCCTGAAGAATGCGTCGTCAGAATTATTTGACATGGCCTCTCGATTGTAAAATGTGATATTCAGGCGACACGTTAGGTCACGTGTCGGCAAGGAGGCACGGACACGCCTCCATATCTCAAGTCGCATAAAACGCTCCAAGTGGAGGATGGATATTTTAGATCGAATCCTCGTCGAGTCGAGGTGGCTCACGCAGGTCTAGATCTCTCGATGGGCGGTCACATACGACGAGATTATCGATTTCTATCTGCACAGTTAAATCGGATCGTGGCTGAATGGAGGACAGGGTACAATGCAAGGTAGATATTGGATATGGAATTATACGTATATTATCCAGAGCGTCCAAGTGGACGAGTGGACAAGACGGTCGTCGCAAATAAAAGTCACTGTTGGCCAGAGAGGCACAAAGTTCAACCTCCTGTGCCGCCGCCTTCACCCATGGGTCCCGTGGGATACATGGGCTGCATGGGCGTACCCGTCGATCCGGGCTTTGCACCTGGTTTGGTCGACAAAGGGAGCGGAGGCGGGCTCGTCACGCCGTTGGAGTGTCCTGGGTTGGCATTTCCGTGCATGTTGGCCGGTTTCTTGGGCGGTGGCGGTGGAGGTGGCTTACGGGATATCGATGCCGCGTACTCGGGCGTCTGGCGTGGATTCACTGCCTGGGTGGCTTGTGGGGGATAGTAGTCGTTTTGGGGCTGTGGTGATTGTTGTTGCTGATTCAACTGTGGTGGTTGTTCGTTGGTTGGAGACGCATGTTTTTCTAGGAATGCGTTCAGTTTACCGGTCACGTTGTATTTCTTGTTGAAACTGTTTGCACGTTGACTTGCCGAACTAATCTCGTCCTTGTGACGTTCACGAAAAGAGTTGGCAGTGGTGGCGGCAGATCTGGCATCCGCCATTGTCACGCTTGACGGATCCTTTTGGAGATTGGAGGCCGTTCGTAGGGCTGCTTGCTTTTCCGCCCAAGTCGATCCTTGAGGCTGGCTCTGGTCCTGGAAATTGGGTTGAGATTGCACAGGTGGTGGATTTTGAGTTGCTGGGGTTGCAACATTGCTCTGAGTCGGTACACTGCTCGCCGACGTCATTCGGGCGAAACGAGACTGGAGTTCAGAAACCTGGTTTGCGGTCGCGGAAGGCTGAGGTTTCGGCGAGGGTGTTTTGGGAATGGATCCTTTGCTTTGCTCGTTTTGCCACGGATTCATAGAACTTTGTGAGTTGATGCCGAGCCCAGGCACAGAGATTCCAGCATTACCTAACCTCTGAGTTGCGCCATTGTCGCTCCCGAAATGATTGCCAGGCTGCGGCTCCGAGGGTTGAGCGAGAGTCTCGTAAGCTGGAGGTGCAGTGGCAGGAGGTGGAGAAACCACAGGATTTGAGACAACGCTACTCCCAGTATTCTGTCGATTGGGAAGTCTCGGTGGAAGACCAGGCCGAGGTGCGTTAGAAGGAGCTGGGCTTGAGGTAGATGGACCAGGACTTCTGTTGACATCTCGGTGTGTTGGAGGCGGGGGTAAGTGATCGGTCTTGAGGCCCGTTCTATCAGCTCGATAAGGTAGGGGGGGTCCGGCTGGTCTTTCGGGTACTTCTTCCTCCTGAGTCTGAGGCTGTGAACCATTCACTTGAGCACGGGCCGATTGTGTCTGCTCTGGCGTCAAGGGCGCACCCCATCCACTTCGGTGGGGAGTTATTTCGTTTGGGAGAGCTGCACCACCATGATAATTGACATTTTTGGGTGGGGGACCAAAAGAAGACGGATCTTTGAGAGTAGATAATGGTCGTGAGACATGGGTTTCGGTTTCCCCCGCCTTAGGATCTCGAGGTTTGCCCATCCATCCTGCCTGGAATTGATGTGTCAGCGAGGGATGATGAAGTCTGCGACAATGCAGAGACTGACCACCTGATTTATGCCTTTGAAATCACCTCTCCATGACTCCTTGCCACCATCTTTACCCTTGGGATGCCACCCATCCTTCATAACGTTCTTGAACGACATCTTGGTAGGGCGTTGGTGGGGACTGGTTGCCTGGTGAGATTCGGAACGGGGTACCAGGGACCCGCGAGAGTGAGGAGGGCCCGAGATGTACTTCGGCGAGAAGCAGGGTATCTATCAGTGCATCAGTCGTGGTCAATGATGAGCAGCTTTGCAGTCATGATCGCATATGGAGAGGTACTAGGTATCGATAACGTGTATCGCAGTAGAAGGTCATCGGGTGAAGTTGATCGAGTTGCGGGCCCGCCAGCCCGCTTCGTCAACGCCAAGACTCGGTTCATCTCCGGCAATTCAGCGGCAGTTGATGTCCGATTTTGGGCAGTTGACTCGCCGCCTTAAGGAGAGATTGTGATATCACGTGACTGGTCAATTATCTGGTGACCAACAGCTATTGAAGCGGAGGATGGCGAGTTGATCAGGTAGTCCAGATCAAAACATCTCAGAGCGTCACGACAGAATGGTTTGATCAGTCATGTGCTCCTGAGACTTCCAAGCAAGCAGGGCAGTTCACTCGACCCCCATATCCTCAGCAATTCCGCTCACCGAATACGATTGGTCTTGAGGGAGGACAATCTTGTGAATGGATGCTCATTCAGGCGTACACAAGATCTGGTTGACATGGAATGATAGGGCAGATGGATTGAGAAGGTCAAATTCAGGTAAGCGTGGCGTTGGAATGGGTCCAAGTCTCAGAGGCCAACCGTTCACCGAGGCTTCATTTCCAAACGACTTGGGTACTTCGATCGAGTATTGGCCTCATATCTCGCGACGAGTGTGCGAAAAGGTTCACAATCTCGGCTACTTTACTCACTGTCCGTCAATTATGTAGACTTCAGAAACCAGGCACAAAACAAAACATACGTAGCAATTAGCCGCTGCGACTAACTCTATGTCGCCTACAGAGCTCTAGAAATCACTCCTATACACTCTCTCCAGGGCACTCTCCATGGCGCTTACGTAGCACTCCAAGATCACTCGGAAAACTCGAGGAGTATATTCCGAATACTTAGTCACGGGATCGTAACTCACGCATATCTAATTGCTCGGAAGCATACATTTTTACTAATAAAGGACACTAAACCTAACACAATACCTACTTCGCTTCGCTCCGTAGGATAAGGTATCGTTCGTCATCAAGCGAAGGAAATACCAAGCCATAGTGGAGAGACACTCTAGCCTTACCCGCTTCACTATTCCCAAAACGTGCTCTTATTGCGCCCGGAGAACTCTGGACTTGGCTCAGCTTCTGCATGCCAGCGGACTGAAACGTCTAACTGACACAAATCTAAATCCAGGCATTTGCCCACCCATATTCAAGGTTCTCACTGGCTCTACAATACTGAACCCCCAATGCGGTATCTGTCCGGTTCACCATGGCACCGACTGGGCAACACTCCTCTCGAAGCAAGCGCTGAGCCGGCTTCGGGCTTTCTTTAACTACAGGACATATCCCAGATGCAGTCATGGCAGTCATGGGCGGTCTCAACCGTAAAGTTACTTCTGACTGTATTCTAAAATGGTTGGAGTAGCAGGAAGGTCCAAAGGCTGTGTGACATGCCGGCAAAGGAAAATCAAGGTGCGCGCAGAGGTCGACTTCTATCATCAAACCCATCACTCATACGGTACCAATAGTGCGATCTTGTACAACCGACATGCCAGAGATGTGAGGAATCCCGGCGCATATGTGGAGGATACTCACGTTACTCCATCTTTGTAAGCACCCTCTTATTCAATTTGCCGGTTTAGAGAGGCCTCCTCTTACATGTATCACTTTCCAACGTTTCACAGATTGTCCGCACCATTGATGGCCTTGAAAAGCGAAAGCCCTTGGCAGAGGCCAGATTCCGTGATCTGCAGGCGCTGCCATCTGGTACGAGACAGGCAGATTATCAAGCTTCATTGAATCGACAAGATCGCTTGTTGGACCAGTCAAACCTGGGAAATGGATCCTCCATTGTCGGGGTGCATAGCATGGCTGTTGAGAAAATCGACTTTCAGATTCAAGATGGCGAAAATGAGTATTTCCACAGGCCTCCAACCACTTTTCCCCGTTCAGTTGTATCTGGTTCGTCCTCAGACTCGGCTTTGGACCAAGCCTCTCTGGCTATGTTATTGAGAACTTGCGGCTTGCTTGATCGTGACGCCAGGCTACTGCCCAAAGCCAGCCTGCTGTACACAAATGCATTACGGGCACTCCAGTTAAGTCTCAAGCCACCAGAGACCATGATGAGGGATGAAACGCTAGCAGCGGCGTGCATCATGGCTCTGTATGAGGTGAGCGCTGCTGGCAGCGAAATTTCAATCTGCACTGCATCTAACTGAATAAAGCTCATTGATCCAGACCAGACAGACCCAGATGCATGGCTGAGGCACATTGAAGGAATTGCCACGCTCATTCAAGCCCGGAGATCGCAGCGCCAGAAAGAACCGCGAGCCAGTGCATCCTTGGAGGAATATCGATACGACCTTGTAAGTCTGGGCTATTCTGAACGAGCATGCAGTGGCTGACCTATGGAAGATGATGCACTATATCTTTAAGCGCGAAGCACTCGACTGTACACCCCAAGACTTGCTTCACGAACCACGGCCCAGCGTTTCAAGAGGCGTTGAAAAGAAGATTATGGACTATGGGTTCAAGCTTGCTTACGTTCTGGAATTCAATAGACACGACGCGAGATATCCTGAAAATATAGATGCACTCCGGACAATGGTTCGAGAATGCACTGGATCCATGAGGGCTTTAGGAAGTTTCGGAGAGAACCTTCAGGCAGAGTTTCCTGTGGAAAAGGCAGCTACACGAAATCGTCTCTCACAAGACAAAAACCGCATCATGCTAGAAGTTATAGCATCAATGATTGAGCTAGGAATTGTCGATGCAGCTCAAAAAATGGTTGCAAGGGCAGGAGAATCCAATCGGAAACACATAGATGAATGTTACCTGGAGCCCATGACTGAGGGCGACGAACTTGATATCTGATATTACGAACGACCCAGATATAAAGTACTGTACTTGCGAAGAGCGCTATCTACCACGCAAGAGCCATTTTAAACTAAGTCATCATAGTCTTTAGACGCCTAGAATGGCTATCACATCCTGATTATGAGCAACATATAGCTGAACGCGGAAAGGCCGTTACGAGTATCATGTGACCAAGGAACGAAATTAAAAACATGGATGATTTGGCCAAAGGGTGTCAGATGCGGTTGATCCAGCAAGAGACGGAGATAGTCAATCCAAGAATCACGATCGTGATGCCATCCTCCAGAGGTAGCAAAGGTATTCTAACATGCGAGCAATCCCCAATACGATCTTCGAGAGGGGGATTTGTAGTATTGTGTGTATGTGCTCTCGCCGTCGAGGACCTTCACAAACTCCCTGGCCAGCACACGATGTGTCTGCTCTGTTGCGTGAACATTGTCAAACCACATGAACCCATCCAGGTTACCAATGGCATCGCCGGTTGGCTCACAGACTGTCATACCAAAATCGTCAAATGTGCACTCGGCAGCTGGGACCTGGATATTGGGAGGAGCAGTGCCGTTGAAAAAGTCGTCAGGATTTTGATAGATGTCTCGAATGACAGAGTTGCCATCAAATACTGCAAAGTGTGCTCCTGGGTAGCGGTTGGCGATCTTCAGCTCATAGGGTGTCTGGTATTTGAACACAGTGTTGACTGTATTTGTGAGAGAGAGGATGTTATTGGCGACAACGGTGCTGTCGAGTTCGCTCTTCTCGGGCCATAGGTCAGGTGACTCGAGGCCGTTGAGGGTCTCGTTAGCGTAGAGAGGTGTGAGCTCAAGAGGCAGTAGTGAGCCAATGACGAAAAAACGGCCGCCCAGCTTGTAGAGCGCGTCGAGACTCTCATAGACGCAATTGATATAGTCGGTCACCGTGTGGCCCGGGGTCTGTTTTGCCTCGAGGAATCCATTATTGCCTAAATCGTTGTGACCGATCCAGATGGAGTAGACTGCCGAGTCACGATCGAGAGGAGGGTCGAAGAATGGATCATTGGTGCCGGGAATTGTTGCCTTGATATCGGCCTCAAAGGTGGGAATTTCGAAGTCGAGGACACCCGGCATGGTGAAGTCAAGCCCTGGGAATTGTCTATGAACCGTCATTAGTCGGAATCGAGCAGTGATTAGAGGGAATCATGGATGCTGCCGTACATATTCACAATGTTGCTGCTGCAAACGGCACCCGAGATTGCGTAGTTGTACAATTCCAAAGAGCCAGTACCACTTTCGGCAACATATTGAGTTACATAGCTCGTCCAGCTACGTCCGCCGTTGGGGGTGTTGTTTGAATGCGGAATCACGGTTCCTGGCTCGAGCGGTTGGCCTTCGTTCAGGATCATTGCCTCTGCACGTCCACCGTCAGTGAGACTGTCCCCAAAGGTAACAAGGGACTTGAAGCCAGAAGCATTCCATAGTTTGCGCCCGTCGCCATCCTCACACCAAGGAGCAGCGAGTACAGCAGAAAGCTGGGCGGCAAGGACAACGCTAAGCAAATACATGTCGAGGGAAAAGTGGTAAAAAACGTGTTTGGACTGAAATCAATGCAGGTCATTGAGCAGTCCTCGGTCCATCTTATAGAAGCTGTGGCCTCAGGTCAGCGAGGCACAATGGTCCAAAGGTTCAAAACGTTACATTGGTGTGGATCATCCTTAATATGGCCCTTGATTTATGCTGAAAACATCACCAGCCGCTAATGAAATGTCCCCGTCAGCCCTGTGACGTTGGATGGGGAGATCTACTGCGATGAGCTATACCGAAGACAGGTGCCAAGTTGCGCGTGAGGTTTGGGTATTGTGGAGATATTCAACGCAAGGCTACCTGCCTGGGGGCCGAAATGATTGCCCGCAAGGCTGGGCGTCCAGGGGTGTATGCTCTTGGCATTGGCTTATACTCAAGTCCAGCTCCTCGTCAATGCTACATGTTGACGTATTGGTCGCACTGAAACCCCAGATTGAGTATCAATACGCCGAAGGCTATCTCGTAATGGCTATTGCTCGCTTCGATCGCCCTTGCCGTAGATGAGCTGCAATCTCGGCTGATCACCAGTCCTGTCTCACTGAAGACCAAGACTAGGATTAAAGCCTTTGAACCAGAAGGTATGGAAATTCCCATGTGGAGATACAGGCAACAATTGGCCTCCTCTTGACTTGGACATGAGCCGCGCTGGCTGCCTTGTATGGAATATAGAGTACGAGACCGAGATGGTTAAAAGGAAGGAGTGATTGCCGTTCATTTTGCTCACCCATCCATCTGTTTCTCTTCTCCTTTTGGTTCAGCAAACCCCTTTGTGGTCGCAGTCAGCTAGAATGGCGATACTACCAGTTGCATTTTTGTCTCTTTTGCTCGTGCTGGTGGCAAGCGAGAGACTGGGGAGCGACTGGAGAGACCCCTCCTCTGCTTACCGCCCGAAGTTCTTCTACTGGCAGGTTTAATCCTTCACGACCAGACAAGGCAAATTGACTGAGTTGCGTGTAGGTTTCCAGACGCCAGTGTGCCAGTCGAGTCATTGAAAGATGACTTTAGAAGCGTAATCTCCGCTGGAGGCGGCGGAATGACGTTCAACCCACACTATCTTTTTGGATTCCCACTTGGAGAGCAAGGTCTGGAACCACCGACTGACTGGAACGAGTACGGATTTGCGTCACAAGCATACCTGGAGATATTCCAAGAGCTGCTTGAGATGGCAGAACAAGAAAATGTCAAAATGAATTTCATGTTGGGAGGTAGCCAGGGGCAAGGAGTCCCAGCCCCCATCATGTCCCGAGGACTGGCAGTACATCTGGTAGGACGGACCATAATTATCCCAAAGCCTCAGCTGACAAACATGATAGCTTGCGGGAAATGCTTCTGTCGCTGGAGGAGAGACATATGACGACCAAGTACCACCTCCCACGCCTTTGTCGGATCAACTCAAGCATGGACACTTCTACCAACAGCCGATCGAAGAATTCGGACAACCCAACCTGACGGCAACGATAGCATTGGAAGTCCTTGATTGTGAGTTAGATGTCTCGTCAGTAGAGTGGGACTAACGAGATCAGCGAGCGTGACAGACGGAATTCGTACTTTGCGCATCGAGGAGGAGACCATTGTTGACCTCACCAATCAGGTCAGCGACGGACGACTCAGATGGACGGCGCCTGACGGGAATTCGACGTGGCGCATCATGACATTCTGGGAACACTTTACTAACCAACGGTCTGTGACGGGAGGGGTTAATGCAACAAGTGTCATCGCAAATGGCTCATGGGTGGTTGATCACTTCTCACAGGAAGGGGCTCGGTTACTGAGTGATTTCGTGGACCAAGAAATCTTCAGCCATGGTGAGATCGGGGACCTCGTCACAAAGCTGGGTAGCATAGGTATGGAAGTTTGAGGAGCGACGCCCGGCACAGCTGACGGATGCAATATAGGCCTGGAAGACAGTCTTGAGATATCAGCAGCACTGTGGTGGAGCCACAACTTCCTCGATGCCTTCGAAAGGGCGAAAGGTTACAGCCTGGTCAAGTATTTGCCGCTCCTGTTCACCCGCCACAATCAATTTCGACAGGAGTTCTACTCCTATGACGAGGACTATGTCTATGGGCCTTTCACGTCCGAGAACGTTAGCCTCCATACCCTGGACTATATCTCGATTTTGACCGATGGCTATGTCGAGTTTCTTAGTACCTTGACTGAATGGTCCCATAGCGTGGGCATGCAGTATTCAGCACAGCCAGCATACAATCTTCCCCTGGATATGGTGAGCGCATTCCCAAGGATGTTGGGTTTCATGTGACTGATTTAAGTAGTCGGCATCGATTCCTCACGTCGACATACCCGAGACCGAGACCCTCGCCTTCCTCGATCAGGTGGACAAATACAGACGATTCACAGGACCGGCTCATGTGTCTGGCAAAAGAATTATATCGTCGGAGCTGGGTGCAGTTCTTGGGGAATACACACAAACTATGTCGAACATGGTGTGGCAAATGAAGCGGTCGTGGGCGGCCGGAGTCAATGAGCTCAACATCCACGGACTGCAGTACACAGGTGATTATGCAATAACCACTTGGCCAGGGATTCAGAGTCTTTTCTATGCTGCCGGCGAGAATTTTGGGCTCTTGCAGCCTTGCTGGCAACATATGAAGGATGTGCTCGATTTCGCAGCCAGGACCAATTTCTTCCTGCGCCAAGGCACTGCAAAGGTCGACCTCGTGGTCTATGCTCATGAACCGGTCTTCAAACAGGGAAAAGTGAATGATCAGACGGCGATCATTGACCGAGGTGAGCTTGCAAATTGGTCGTGTTGGTTCATAAGCTGATCTGCTAGGCTATACATATGACTACCTGGGACCAGCGAATTTCCAGCTCGCTGCCGCCAGAGTGGATGATGACGTTCTGGCAGCTGATGGCCCAGGGTACCGGGCCTTGGTCTTTGTGAATGAGACGGGAATTTCCAGCGCAGCGGCGGAAAAGATTCTGTCTTATGCGCAAAGTGGGTTGCCTATTTTCGTGGTCGGAGAACTGCCCATGTCGGCCATCTCTGCGGTGGGAGACGAACAGGACAGGGTAACGAGGGCCATGGAGCAACTCACAGAACAGAGAAGTGTGGCAGTAGTGAGAGATCACGCGGAGCTTGTCACTGCTCTGGAGCGAGCAGACGTATTGCCTCGTGCGAGTCTCCACTGTAGTGGCGGCCCAGTGTACACGAATTGGCGCCAGGACGAGGACTCGGGAGACGACTTCGTTTACATCTTCAACGACCAGGATGATGATACCAGTTGTGAGCTGACGTTCACGACGACATCGCGAGATCGTACTCCGTACTTCTTGGACGCATGGACTGGAAGGGTGGCTTTGATGACCGATTATTATCGGCCAGGGTCTAATCAAGTCAGCACGACAATGAGACTGGTAGCCAACGAGATGAAGCTGCTACAGTTCTCTAGTCCTTCAGAATCCGACGGAGACATTGACACCGATCCTGAGGCATTGTTTTCCTATGCAGACCCTGATGCGAATGTTGTCCAGACTGCGACCAATATCACATCTCCACAGGATTTGAATATTTGGAATGTGACGATCGAGTCATGGCATGGTCCAGATGGACCACCTGGGCCATTCACTGTTCGGACGGAGAAGACAAATTTCACATTTCAGGAGTCGCCATTGGAACGTTGGGCATCTTTGAATGAGTCGCTCGCGGGGGTTTCGGGGGTGGGCTTCTATAGCACGCACTTCTCGTGCCCACGGGAGGCTCGCGAGGCGGAGAGACCAGGGGCGTTCTTGACGTTGCCTCCCATCGAACACACAGCACGGGCTATGCTCAATGGAGTTTCACTGCCACCACTTGACTTTTCCAAGCCACGGGTGGACTTGACAGATTACCTGCAGTGCGGAGAAGGCGAAGGCGGAGAGAATATTTTGGAGGTTGTGGTGACGACGAATTTGTTCAATGCGGTCAAGGCATATACCGACCATGCTTTGTTTATGGGGTTGACGGCGGACGACATGGGGGCGGAATTCGATACGGCCGACTTTGTCGAGGTGGGATTGTTGGGGCCGGTGCAGGTTACGTGGGTTGAATGGGAATCGAGCGACCTGCCGAAGGCGGAAACTGGCGGCTCTAGGAAAGTGGCAGTGGAGGGATTGGCGTGGTTGTGTGTGGTTGGGGTCGGACTGTTCCTCGGGGTGTGAAAGGCCGTTGGTTGCACTGGTGAGGAAATGGATTACGGTCAGCATGACTGTCTGTCTACCTGGGGAAGATTACCAAGGGAGTGCTAGGGTGACTGCACGTGGTGGACGAAGAGGCCTATCGTATGCCGTCATACGGATGGCAGATGAAGATTGTCTGTCCTGTTAGTTCATGGGGAGGGGGGCACTGTGGGTTTGAGTTCAGATAGATCGTCCTCGTACACATACGAGTACTTCGAAACAGGACGTCAGGAGATGCTATCCGAGACACGAGGGAGAAAGGGCTTGATTCCATTTGTCCCAAGGTAATGAGGCTGATACCGGACTCACCTGGCGCTGTTGTCAGAGGTAACAGGTTACAGTCTGGTGGAATATTGGGAGGCTGTCCACATCGATGAGTCAATTGTAGGGGTCATAGTGTTGGAGCAAAGTCCATCAAGCGAGAAACATGGCAATGGAGGAGTGGACAGTCGACACGGACATGAGAAGACTGAGAGGGAGGGATGGGATGTGGTTGTCTCAGCCTAAAGATGCTGTGGCTGTCTGCGGTCGGCATGTCGTTGTCAACAAGTTCCGTGTCATGTGATTTGTAGCCAATCATTGACGCGACTAGTCCACGCGATAAGTTGATGTGGTTTCTATAAATTGATTCTGAACTACCCAATATGGATTAGCGCTGATCCCTGTTCCGCGTGCAGGTGCAGGTGGAGGTGGACACGTCCCATCTTGAGACTGATGAGTTGGTCGCTCCTGCCAGAGGTTGTTTGCTCCTGCCTGTGACTCGCTGTCCGATGGCAAACTCTGCTGATCATTTTATTATTAACTCTCGTGGCATACTAGTGCGAAGTGTGGACGATGAGCTTGGAATAGAACTTCATCAAGATGTGATGACATTCTCTTGATGCAGATAAAAAGCATACGCGCCCGTGATAACTAGGTGTCTTTTGTGTACGGAGGTACATACAATATGTATGTTGATGGAGAGAGAATTGGGGTCATAGCCCTGTCTCGTGCAGAAACCACCTGTACTAAAGTATGCATAACGCATACTACTGTACGTACAGGAGACGAGCGAATAACCTCTAGTGTACATACTGCAAATCAGTTGTGGCGGCGACCGGAACCTTGATTCGATCAACTAGTTTGCAAGGAAACAGGGGGAACGGAGACTTTTGGCCACGGATGTCCGCTACGGAGTAGTCGATAAGAATAAAATAATCCTACGACCTAAGCAGACCTAAGATGTGAGTAGGTAACAGGAATTCAAGGTGGCTGGTTTCAAGCGTGAACCTGGCCATCAGGACACACCCTTGGACCCGTGGCTGGACGTTGTTTTAGGACTCCTCCTCCTAGTTAGTACTTTGCATGCATCATTCCGTGGCACGGGAATCCGCATCAACAACTATGATTTTCCCCTTCCTGGATGCTACCGTAGACACTTCTGACACAGTCTTCGATGACGGTTGATGGTCACGATGGTTTGATATCAAGACATGCAGATTGATCGACATAACAGGGATCATGCCTAACTTTACAAACAGACCAGGTCTGAAAATCCCATCATCATCGACGCCCGTCACGCCGTAACGCCGTGACTCCTCCACCGCCATGTCCCAAGACTTTTCAGGTTCCAGTGTTAGGCTTGCACATGCCCATAGTGTCGGTGCCATGGCTCTAGGCTGACCGCCCAACTGCCCTAGCATCCCCAGTTACCCACTGGTTAAGCAATAGTTAGTCCGTACCAGGCCATCATTACCTCTGAAAGGCCCCTCGGCCCCTTCGTGCCCCTCTACTACGGGCTCCAGCGCCTGACAGACGGCCGAGCGTTGTTCTCTTCTGGGGCATCTTCAGGTATTGAATCCTGCCCAAGCCCAAGCCAAAAGTCTCAAACCCAAACCAACACCAACACCATTACCAATATCCACCAGGGCCACCCCAAAACCCTTCCACCTTGCTCCGCTCAATTCCCAATTCCCAATCCTCCCTCCAGCTTGCATATCCCTGTTGAATCAAGACAAGACTCTTGACTCTTTGTGACTGTTGGAATCCTTGGGATTGCTTTCAAAACATAACATACCAAGTCTTGAAACGTGCCTTTTAATCATCTTGGTCTCGACATTTCCTCCTTCGCCCAACTTCTGTACTCTCGATTCGTCTGCAGGCCTCATTTCGACTCGACTGCGCCTTGCTATTCTTATTCTGGCCCTCCGTCCTTCCCAATCTACTCTCCGGCACTCTTCCTTGCTCTTGCTCGTATCCTCCCACGCACCATCAAGTCCTCCCACCGACCCAATTGCGACTTACCTCGAATCTCACACGGCCACCGCCAGCTTAGCCTTACTCCGTCGGGCCACCGACAGGACGCTTACAGACTTGTCCTGTTGTCGGGCCTCGTCTTCTCACCCCCCGACCCTTTCCTTTTTTACATGTCGACCGCTGACCCGTTCGTGGGGTCTCTTCCACCCTGGATCCTCTACTTCTCCCCCCGTTCCTCCGTCCGAGGATCAGACCTATAGCTCGTTCTGCTGTCCCGGACTCCTCGCCTCCCTTTACCTTTACCAATTCATTTAATCCTCCCAACACAATGGCTCCCGGCCCTTCAGACGAGGGCTTTACCGGCATCACCGCCACCGATGGCCCTTCCACCTCAGCCTTGAATGGCGCTATCGCCTCCTTTCAAAGCGAATTTAGTATAACAAACAACAGATTTGGTGGTGCTTCAGCCTCAGCGACAGGAACAGGCGTCTCCTCAGGCACATCTGCTACTTCAGCTACAGGCTCAGTTCCAACAACTTTATCCACCATCACATCTCCAGCCTCCGATGGCAGCGCGAGCACGACTGGTGCTGCCAGTGGGACAGCAGGCAACGCTGCCAGCAACACCTCCAACGGTGCCGTCATCGTCGAAAACACATCATGCAGTGGAATCTCCTGTTCCTCCGGTCTCAAGGCCGCTGTTGCTGTTCCCGTTGTTGTCGCTGCCATCGCCATCTGTGCCCTGATATTCTTCTTTATCAGAAGGAGGAATCGACGAGCAGCAGGTGGAGTAATTTCAGAAAAACGACCAAATAAAAAGAACAAGAAATGGTCGCGGCACCTGCGCGTCTTCTCCTTTGACGCTGAGCTACTGATGGGTGGTCGATTCTCCAGCACAAACAGCATTCGAAGCAGAGATCCCAGTCTGCGAAGCCAAAACAACTCCCGAAATGGGGCTCACAGCGCCGAACCCAGTCTTCACTCGATCGAAGAGGTCGCTCCTCCCTACAGAGACGCCGTTTCCCACGCCACCCCGGCAAGCCCGAGCCCCCTGCGCAACGTTCACGCAGTCTCAGGTGCAGCAGATCCAATTCCTCGATCTGCATCCGCTGCTACGGCTCCTCCGCCTTACGGATCCATCGTAGGGAACATAGAGCGAAGTGAGACGCCGGCGTCTTCAGTCAGAAACCCATTTGCCGACTCGACGCCTGTCAGTCCGGTAGATGGCTCACCGTTCAACGATCCCCCAGAAAACGAGAATCGACCTCCTCTAAGTCGCAACTCGTCCATGTACCAGAGTGTCACCGCCGACGATGCATCTGAAGTTGCGAGTATTCGACAAGCCCAGGTGGGGCGAAGTGTTTCGGCGAGGCAGGTTAGTAGCGATCGAAGTTGAGCTACACCACCACCACCACCACAAATCTAATCTAACCTCATAAATCCTGATACCTCGCCGGCATACTCCTGCACACTATTTACACCACTTTTTCTTTGTTATACCACACGTCATCATGGCGAGGCGTTGTACGCGTCTATCACGTTATCCTGGGGAGACACGGTGTCTGGATTTCACCGTATATGTGTCTTGGGACTGCAGTAAATTACGGCAGCTTAGGGGGGATTGTCCAATGGATGAAAATGATAGGGTCACGGACAGACAATCAGTATACATGCGATGCAGACACGGGATTACGGAATTGACTTTGGGAGGTTACGGATCATCTCTGAACGGCGCAAGACGCTGCTCAATAATTTTCACCATGTGTGAGAAAAATGGGTGTACATGAGTTGGAAGATGAGAAGACGATGAGGGATGAGGGATGAGGGTCATGAACGATCGGCCATGACACGAGCGCGGAGGACCCAGACTATAGGACCCAGACCCCAGCATCTAGGTCGTTCACTCTAATCCGGGTACTCAGATTCATGCATGACTCGTCGACTCTTTTTCATGTGACAAGTAGTTAGCCTAGATTGAAAAAATTACCACCATATGAAAAATCCATCTGGGTACTCTTACATCGCATCGACCTTGGATTATTATTCCCAGGTGCCACGAACTCGGATACCATACCATCGGCGAGTCGGCATCTGCCTAAATCAGGGTATCACGATCGAGACCAAATATGCAGCTGTCGAACGTGTTAGACATGTATGCATATGCCCATCGGTAGTACTGGTAGGATCGTTCAGTGGTAATTCAGATTTGGACCTCGGGGAGAGTCGGTTGTGAAACATGACATGGCACGACTTATTACAGCACCCACCACCAAGGACTCTATGGTAGCGTTAGAAATGGTGGCAGGGACGTGAAAGGGAGAGTTCATTGAATTGAACATGATCATCAGACGTAGGTTTCCCCATAATGAGGTCTTCTGGACTCTAGACAGGACCTGAGTACTGCACAAAGTACTGCACGAACTCGCCACAGCAATCACTGCCTATTCGTATTCCTATACCCAATACATAGATCCTGAGACTCCAAGTAAGATCTTGTCTGGTATAAGCAACGATCAGACCAGCGACTACCCATAATCAAGCCTGCGGTGTAGACTGACCATCTCTTCCCTTGCTCCAACCGTTGCCATCCTCTTGTTCCATGGAAAATAACACACACAACTCCCAGCTCTCTAATACCCTCATCACAATCTATTAGTTGTGGTGACAGCGGAAGGAGAAGGTTGTTGCTGGGGGTGTTGTGCCGTTTAATCACACCGATTCAGGTCCCAACTCCGATATATTGAATTCGACACGAGGTCTCAATGAGACCACGGCTCGCTACCAGGCTGCCTGGTACTGGGTGGGTGAGGGTTTGACCTAAACTCCCATTATTGTTGTTGGCTCGTGCGCTCGGTCACTGTGGTTGGTATTCAAGCCCCGATGCTTGGTATTTTTGGCGCTGTCACGGCCAGTGCGCCCCTCCTAGATTTTTGGCTGGCCGGTCCATCTTGCCATGGTAGCAAAGAAATCGGGTAGATAGGCTTGATTGTTTGCTTGTTGCACATGCGTTTTGAATGTGAAACAATCACCGACCTCCGCCCTCATGGCTTCAGCCAGAGTGACAACGCATGAGCACCAGACCAGTTGACCACGTGACCTAGGATATCAAGACCAATGGTCCTTCCTGCACGCCAGTCCCCGACCTTCATGCTAGCCATGCCCATCATCTTTCAGTCAACATGGCTCTTGTAAACCTTCAAGGATCCATCTCAACCATTTGTCAGAGTCAATGGAGGCCAAGATCTGTCAAACGAGATATGCTGACTCCAACTTGACAGCTTCATCGGATTATTGACTTGAATCCATTGTATGCTTGCTCCATGTCAAATGCCAAATCATGTGCCTGTTCGTCACTGAGCTCCTCTGCAGTCTTCATCTGATTGAGCGTGATGAGCCACTGGATGATCTTGCCTCGGTGTTCGAAATCCTGATCGGTGACCTTGTTCACGGATTGGATGACATCAGACAGTAGAGGATGGAGGGCAGATTTCGACACCATGTTCAGGCGAAGGGCATCGAGGAAGGTAATGAAGTTCTCGGTGGCCACCAAGATCAAACTTCCTGAGAAACCACTCGAGTTATTGGCTGCGGGAACCTGTCCTGGTGCAGCTGCAGGACGTGTATGAACTTCATCGGCCGTCAGACCAACTTTCAATCTTTCTCTTGCACGAGGACACTCAATGTCCCATTTCTTGCTAAAGGTGTCCAGGTCGCCAAACTCGCGCGACACATCTTCGTCGTTCAAGATGGACCGGTACTGTCTGAGCAGTTTGGAGCACATGTCTGAGTATTCATTTTCAGGCAATGCATCTTTAATGTAGGCCTTCTCCAGGCCATCAATGGTGCGGATGATACTGTAGATCTCGGCTAGGGAATCAATGAGATCTCGCTCGGCGGCCGAATCAAACAGTTTGACCTCTTCATCCAGGTTGATCTTCGCAGACAAGGTGGTATTAGGAGTATAGCTGTAGGGTGTAGGCGCATATGGCGACGGACGGGTTGGTTGAGCAGTATACATGGTCTTGTCACTGGCTGCTCCAGGAACAGACCATGGTTGAACGTGAACGCAAACGCAAACGCAGGCAGACCCTCATTGAGACGGGGAGGTCAGAAAGCCACGTGCAGATGATGAAACGCAGCCTGCGAGGGTGGGGACTGTCACGTGTGAGATTAAGTCGGCACGGTCGGATAAAAGAATCGCCTCTCCGCTCAAGAAGTTCCAAAACTATTCGACATATGATGTACAGCCAATCGGAAGTCTGATTTTACAAAATGCCAAGGAAAAGACCGAAATGTCTCGTTGGGGCGGGTGGGGCCGTTCTCAGCGTACGGAAGACTTCGACGACATCAATGCGCTCAAGGCCTATTACATGTTGCGTATTCGTATGTGAGTAGTACTTTCAAACATGTTCCCAGATTTCCTTTATAATCCCTGGTACGGTCCAGAATGAGGTTCCCATTCCTCTAACACAGATCATCACTCTATTAACATGCATTACTGGCGAGGAGTCATCACCCATTTGAGCATTCTGCTCGCTCAGCCAACATACCTGGCCCTTCGATACATATCCAGACATGACTTCGCTTACTCACCTTCAGTCTTGAATCTTTTCATCCATGCAGTGGTGTGGTCTTACATTGCTCTACGAATCAGTGTGCCATTCTTTACCTCGCCACTACGTCTACTACCTTCTCCTCCAGGCGAAAGGTTCCTGCTATGCCATCTAAACTTCAATGGAGGAAGGCCTCCAACCACCATCTTTGAGGACATGATCAATAACACTCCCAATGATGGCATCATCGTTTTGTGGGGTCCACTCTATCTCTTCCACGAAGTTCTTGTCACCCGCCCTGACACTGCCATGGAAGTTCTCAACGCTCACAGTTATGACTGGCACAAGCCATCCGTCCTTAGGGAAGTACTACTTCGTATCCTCGGTGAAGGCTTGGTCAACGTTGAAGGTGCCAAGCACAAGGCCATGCGACGGGTTGTCGCTCCATCTTTTACTGGCCGTCAGGTTCGCGATCAGGCTCCCTTGTTTTATGCCAAGGGCCTCGCCCTCGCAGATGTCGTGGCACGTCGCTTGGGCCAGAATCGTGATGGAGAGCTTGACATGATGGCTCTGGCCTCTTCTGTTAGTCTTGATATCATAGGAGCCGCCGCGGTGGGTATGGAGTTCAACACCCTGAACGATGAGCAGTCACATTTAGCCAAACTATATCAGTCCGTCGCTGAGCCACCTCCTTTCTCCCTACTGGTCCAGGTTTTGTTCCCAAAGTGGATGATACAACGAGTCAAGGGTTCTGGCTTTGCTGCGACTCTAAATGCACAATCCCAGTTACGTGACAAGATCCACGCTCTCTTGACAGAGAAGAAGATCCACATGTATGAAGATGAGTCTGCAAGTCAAAGCAAGGACATCATCGCCAGCATTATGAAGGCTGGAGATTTTTCCGAGGATTATCTTATGGGCCAAATGCTCACTTTCCTGACTGCTGGGTGAGTAAAATACCTTGATCCATCGCTCACAAACTCCTAACCACATCGCTAGCCATGACACCGGCGCTTCCGCCCTCACTTGGGCCATGTGGTTGTTGTCGTTACACCCTCAAGTGGCCGATCGTCTACGACTGGAATGCAACACGCAAATAGGCGACAAGTCGCCCTCCGAGATTAGCGCCTCCATTTTTGACAACGACAAAATGCCATTCCTCACAGCTGTCTGTAATGAGGTATTACGTCTCTACCCTCCCGCGCCCAACTCACCCCGCGACGCCGCAGTCCCAACTACCATCGGCCATGTATGCATCCCCAAAGGCACCAGACTGACAGTATCGTCTTGGGCCATCAACCGAAGTCGAGCTATTTGGGGCCCAGACGCGGCAGAGTTCAAGCCCGAACGATGGCTGCATGGCCCAAACGCCGCGAATGGAGGTGCTGAGAGTCCACACGCGTTCCTGACATTCTTACACGGTCCTCGCGCCTGTATCGGCCAGAGTTTTGCCCGGTTGGAGATGAAATGTCTCGTGGCCGTGCTCATGATGAGATTCCATTTCGAGGTCGCGGAACCCGATCGCAAAATTGAAATAGGCGGATTTGTTACCATCAAGCCCCATGGCGGCTTGAAGTTCAAGGTGCGTGATATTAGAAACTCGGTCGATGGAGCACAACGGTAGACATTGGTAGTCCGTTACAAGTTAATATCGAACCATATCGTTCTCTGCTCTGCTTCAGATCAATTAGACCTCCGCTCATTGAAAGAATCCAGATGAGAAGAGCAATTCAAACAGCTGTCTTCCAGTTCATAGAGCACTCGCAGCACCTCTGACTCTGGATTCCTCGCGCAGATATAAATATTGGGCTCGGCACATTGACAAGGCCGTTGTCTAAAGTCTGCGAGTGGAACCAATCAAGCATTTTCTCGATTCTAGCTGCATCTCCAGTAGCTGATTGCAGGTCTCCGATAGTCTGGTAGTGGTTCGCCATCGCCAGGATCAAGTTGAAGGAGTATCCAATAAGTCCTATAATCTTGGCTAAATATGGAAGTTGCTAGGCGGTTGCTAGATTTTGGCGGTGGGACGACGAATCCAGGCACAAGTTGAAGATATCCCAAGAGTTCAAGGGTGGCGTTTGGTGGCTCAACCTATTGTAACATTCTATTGAAAAGGAAGATGGTCTATCAAACGCCAAATATATGCTCAATCAAAAAATCTTAAAAGCCAGGAGACGGTCTATCGTCACCCAATACACGCTAGAACAGAGATCGAAACCAAGGTCAGACCTTGTCAGTTCGATCAAACGAGCGCAGGGGCACAGAACCCTCGTTTCCAGGGTGTGATAGACGTGCTGGGTGATAAACAAGGAAGATAAGCATAGCAAGAGCCATCAAGACGGCGTCAAAGATGTAGAGCCATATCTCGTTGCGGAGCAAATAGCCTGCGTTGCCTTGAATGTACTCGACGACTCTGAAAATGCTCCGAATGAGAATCAGCAAGCTGACTGCATAAAGCATGAACAGCATGCCCTGCCACGGGGTCCTGCCCTCGAGTGCTTTGGCGGTTGGTTGTTTCCGCAGGCGGGCGTTGAAGATGAGTGAGGTGACAGTAAACATGCCAAAGAAGAAGATTTGGACGAACAGGCCAACAGTGATGATCTTCTCACCCAAGTGGAGTAGGTCGAGCGTTCCAGCAGCTTGAATGCCGCCACCAACCATCTGAAGGAAGAATGACAAGACATCGCCTAGGACAAATAAGCGTGTTTGCCATCGCTCGGGAATGACAGACAACGATTGGCCGTTGACTGAACGAATGATGCGACTCAAGCTCATGTATATCGAAGCCGCAAAGAGGGCAGGGCCAAGCAGGATAAGGAGAGACTGGATGATAAAAGGCCCGAGGGCATCTTTGTCGAAGTGAGACAGGCAACGTCCGATATAGCCGATCAATTCAACTGGTACAGATATGTCAGCCGATGATGAAGAAACGACTTGGGAGCGCAACGCACACAAGCCTCCGATCACAAAGGGCACGCAGAACCAGGTCTTGGCCTTGACCATGCGCCAGGCGTGAGCTGCTGTGAGCACGCCAAAGACTGCACATGCTGCAATGCCCGCGGGCAGAGATGGAACATAGCGATAGAGCTGGAAGTCGAAGTCGCCTCCTCCTTCAGCCATGGTGTTTATTAGTTCGTTGGAAAGGCACGGTATTGATAGGGATTATAAACAGGGATGCAGATTGAGAGCAGTCATTATAGCGAATCTCTTCCGAGTGCTTTTAAAGAATCCCATTATTCGGCCAAAGGTACCAGAAAAGCGAGGCCGCCCCTGTCGAGAAGGTTATTTGATTATACGCGTATAGAAGAACTCCACACTGGGCACAGATTTTCTGCTGCGCATTGGTGGAGTCAAGCGTCCGAGGTTAGAGCCGAAGCAACATCAACAACGAATGAACATGGGTTTTGTTGGCTAACACAATTTGACACAGACTTCTGAGAACATTTCGAGCTCGATCGGTGATGGGCGGTGGTCTTCTCTCGATCCACAAGGGGTCGTCTCGTCATTGCGAACTCAATTACTTGTGTAGTCCAGTATTGTCTAGATGAGATATTTCGAGAGGATTACAGCCATAGTGTTGAAGGCAAAGTCAATCTTTCAAATGGACCAAATGCCGACGGTGGATATCCGTACTGAGAAGCCGAGTTTGGACTTGGCGCATAAAAGCATCTCATCCGAGATACGGTTGATACGCGTATTCTCCCATCCAGCTGCGCGTCTAGGTGAGGTTCACTCGGTCTGCTCAACGTCTCCGCAGTCAGAAAGCAAGCAAGGCTTGGTGCAAGTAATTCTTTGCCACCCCGACCGACTCCTTTCTATATGAAAGTAGAATGATTGTGATAAAACCGGATAACTGATTTCCGCAGGCGTCCCTGCAGTTGGACAATTGCCTTGAGAGCCTAACCAGAAGCAAACGATTACCCTTGTGCTCTACATACTTAGGTCTACAGAACCTACCAGTCCCTATGGAGGATTCGGGCGGAAGGCGATACTGCCTGGGAGTGGAGTGGACCACACGTCGTATCTTCAGGCGCTAACAACCATCACCTGGAATCTGCCTCGCACTGGGACTAGAAGGTTGCTTTCCAGACAGGACGATCAGTGCGGAGAGGGCTGCATGAGAATATGACTGGAACAGTTCCTCTCGACCTCTCCAAATCTCGACCTACTATCTTGTTCAAATGCGAGGTGGCGCAGGGTTTACTGCCACAACGATCGACGAATCGAGACCTGATCTCTTGCTGTAGAAGTCGGGGAAGTAATAGTTCGTATCCTGGCCTTCTGAAATTGGCCCAAGACGTGGGGAGATTCGTCCCTCATCCCCACCAACCGCCCGTCTAGCTTCTGCGTCGTCGCATGTTGACCGTGGCGGTGGCTCCCGCCCTACCTCGCCATCTGAACTGGTTATCGTCTGTCCAGACCTCACAATACTACTACCTTTGAGACTCACTGAACTTGTCGACTTCATCTGGACGTAAATTGCGGCCTTGGGTTGTCCAGCACCTAGTGCCCAGTCGTAGGGGGTTTCTCCCACGTTGTCTTGGGCAATCACGGCCCCTGGAGTCAAGCGATCGAGCAGAAGCTTCATAACCACGAGGTCGCCGTTTGCTGAGGCTGAATGCAACGGCGTTACACCGTTGAAGTCTGCCTTTGCAGCACTAGCTCCTGCTTTCAGCAGAATGCCAACTGTCGAAGCGTGCTGTCGATATGCCGCCCCATGTACTGGTGTGCCGCCGTATCGCGATCCCGGAGCATCCAGGTCCCCCACGGGAAATTCAGGGTCTTGGACAAGTCGTTCCACGATCTTGTCCATCCCAAAGGATGCTGCATAGTACAGGGATGTGGCATGGCGAGGGAAAATGTCCCATTTGAAAGGGTAGCTGGCGTTCAGACATTGAACCCAAGCCATAAAATTGTTCCGCCGCGAAGGACTGAAGAATTCCAGAATCAAAGTCGTCATTTCTTCTAGCTCCAATTTCACTGCTTCTCTCGCGGCTTGGGGCGCAAGAGACAAGACTTGATTGGCATGGTAAGGCCAGGCACTTGCTGCGTGCTTTAGGAATGGGAGATCCTGAAGTCTTTTCACATAATCTTCCACCGTTGGAGCTGGCCCAGTGGCGAGATCCCTCTGCAAAAGGTATGTGAGACATTTGAGGGTCAAGGAGAGGTGCGAGTCGTAAAGTGTCAGTTTTGTGAAGTCTCTTCGTCCAGTATTTGCATGGTCCGATGACAGCAAGTAGTCTCGAACAGAGAGATGGGCGAGATTAACGTGTCCAGCGGACGACAATTCGAAGAGGGAATTCCCCAGCGTGAAAATATCTTTGGGGCTGCACAATCGATCTTCGTGGTCGATATGGTCACTGTCCAGATCAATCGCAAGTGCCTCATGCAGTTCATCTAGAGAGACTGGTATGAAAGAAAAGCAGAGCCATTCCAGAGTGCTTTTCATCGTTGGCTCCATATAACGAGGTACTGATGCGAGGATTCGGCCATACGTCTCTCCAAGACCCGAAGGGAGCTCCTCGAGAGCTTTTCGGATCGCTTTGACCGACTTCAATGGAGCGATAGAATCGAGTTGGCATTGAACCCAGAGAAACCTGATCCAGGTCATGTCAGCGCGGATCTCGCCTTTTCCAGCCACAAAAGATATCGCTTACATCGAGTTGGATTCTGGATTCAGCCGCCGAAGGATGTGTTCCTTGATCTCAAGGGGTAATCGCTGGAAATCCGAATCAGATTCAAATCTGCCGTTGATGTACGACTCAATGTCGTCCCGAATCTCCTTTGTGTGGTCGGTTAGGCGTATCTGCAAGTCATCAATAAAGCTCTCTTCCAAGCTCTCGATTCTGCGCCCAGTGACTAAGATTTTGGCGTTGAGATGCACATCCTTCCTCACGATCTCGTGAAGGAAGTCACCGAGTTTCTTCACCCGTGGCATCTCATCAACTCCGTCTATCAAAATATAGACTTTGTAGGCCTCAAGCATCTCTACTATAGCGTCCCGGAGCAAGGGAAGTTGTGGCCCCGCATGGTGACCTGCCGATTTCGACGTCATATATGCAGATCTGACACCTTCAGGTATGAGATCGAGTTGCGAACAGCATTGAGCAACAATGCTACCCAGGAGCTGGGATGGCTCAAGTGATTCGGGCTTCCGAAAGTCGCAGTATGCATATGTTACAACACGGCGCTGTGATTCAGTGTTTGAGTTGGCGAGAATATGTTCGACCAGTTGAGAGAACAATTGCGTTTTCCCCGTTCCGGCTGCGTTGGACGTTAGCATATCAAAATCCCCTTGTTAAACACGTCTACTAACGCGGTCCGCTCATCCATAACAGGCTTGCATCACCACGGTGCCACTGGTCAAATTCGTCCGACGTTGTTATCCAGCAGCTGGTACCATTTTGATGATGCTCCAGGTTGTCATTGTGGCTGGTGCTGTACTTCAGACCGGACAGCCATGTGAGGATTTCGTCTTGTGCTAAGTAGACAGCGTTAGGGTACCGTCATCAGTGTTTAGAGCTGTGTTGAGGTTTCACGAAGCAAAACCAACCTGAGGTCTGAGAGGCAATGGAATCTAGCTTCTCATCAAAACGAGAATGTGCCGCTTCGACTTTGGCGTGCAACGAAATGTTCGTCGTTCGGATGTCAAGAAGAAGCGAACTAACAGCCATCAATCCGAGGAATATTCACACACTGATCATACAGAATCACTTACGACTGGAACACCGATAGCCCTACATTTAGACGCGACTTGAGTCTCTCAAGCTGCTCCAAGAAAGTCTTCACGAAAGGTTCTTTCAAATGCCAGCGCACTGCTGCGGTAAGTCGGTTGTTCGGTGTGACCACTGCGGAGGTGGTAGTGGAATAGCCATTCCCAAGCTCATTGTTCAAGTCTTCTAGCACCTTTTTACACTGTGTCATTGCTTCGCTGATAGACCTCCAGGTTTTTTCATGAACCGGAGCACCTGCTGACGGAGATTGTAGATTCTGAGAATTGTCAAGCGCCAGCTGAAGGGCTTCAAACATGTCTCTCAGACCCCTCGTCTCATCGATGATACGGGTCAAGCCAGAGGGCGAGTCTCTCAGAGTGGCTCGGAATTTCAAGCAGAAGGAGAGAGTCTTGCTGACCGCTTCTATCATGGCAATGACGCCTAGAGTGATGCTTAATGGATCCATCGCAAGCGCTCAACTTGCCAGAGGATTGAGTTGAGAAACACCGACCGCTTTAGGAGCGCAAGCACGAGTTTACAAGAGCAATCACTCGACCAGATAATGTCTGAATTTCTAGCCTGATGTGCATGGAGGTAGCGGCAAAAGGCAGCCAACCTTTGGGGCGTCAGTGGCGTTGCTTGGGCAATTCTCCAATCACACAAGTCGGGCGTTGACCATGTCGCCGAAATCCTAGCAAGCCGACCTCTTGTACGAGGAGAGGGGAGGAGAGGGGCCAGGCTTTCAGTTTTTAGCCCCCAGCCGTCTCTTGCACAGCCCAGACAGACCCCTCTGATTCACGCCATCAAGTCGCTCCATTAACAAAGTGCCTTGGCTGACAGGGTGGAGGCTGAGCAACCACTGTGTTGGCCCATTGGAGCACTTGTTTTATGTGGCTCCTCCTCGATAAACTCTATGATCGCCCTTAGACAAAACTGTGATGAGAATTCTAAGTTCTGCTGGTGTAAATAATGATATTTCGAACGAGGTATAGGGTAGTCCTAAGCTAATGCTTGGTCCAAGCAAGTACTGCATTTCTCGCCTCCAATTGCAAACTCTTGTAGAGGGAGGCGAGCAATGTGCGCCTCATAGTCTCCAGTAATGGGTAATGTGACTGCGACTTTGTGAAGCACGGAGCTGGAGCTATCGTCATGACCGCTGACGATCATGAAAATGTTCCTCTTGTCGACTGTACGTGCTCCAAGATCAATGACACCAAGCCTAGCCGTTGGGACGGGACGGTCCGGCGGAAGAACTATGACCGTCTCCACAACGAGCGACTGATGGCTGACGTCGACTAGATATGCGATGCCCTCGTTGATACCAGGCATTTGTCCCATCTGAAATTCAACAAAGTCGGTCCAAACTGTTTCATTTCGCGCACTGAGTCCGCGCATGCGGAAACTCGCCTCACTGCCCTGTCGCACTGCTTTGACAGCCCAACGCCAATTCCGGGTCAATAGCTGTGCAATCATCTCGAGCTGTCGCTCATTATATCTTCCAGCGCCGAAAGCTCGAGCTATTTTGGAAGCTCTTGCCAGTCGTCCTTTGCTGAAAAGAATCAGAGTGATGTCGCGATGGATTCGGTTAGGGATCGGCTCGTGTACAGTGCCCAGGCGCTTCTTGATTGTGCAGTCTCCAATCCAGCGAGCATCGATGATGGCGGTACCTTGCTCCATGCGTACTCTACCCAGGGGTTCAACCTTATTCAAGGCACTTCCTGCTGAAAGCTTGTGCCTCATCTCAAAAGGCGGCAATATGCAGCTTTGCTTCCCTCGATGGGTCAGTGCGGTTGAACTTGCCACTGGCATTAACAACCATCTCATGTGGCCTTGCAAAATGGCTTGCTCGAACCATTTGCTCCAAGCATCTTCTCTGATTTCGGTCGTTTCCGGCAGGATCTCAACGCCGGAAGCTGCCATGATTCCATAGACTTCGTCGCGAGGCAGCTCGGCTGAACGATTCCCCAGCAATTCCATCACACGCGTGGGATCGCACCAATCTTGAGACCTATCGAGACGCTGGGTAGCCATGCCGCTCAGGTAGCCATAGAGCCTGTCAAACTCATCTGTGATGCATTCATCAATGCTCAAGGTGTCGCATATGTCCGGCAACGCGGCAAACAGGATGTCGTTGATCTTGAGGGATACGAGATCGCTGCCGATCCAGATCACCTGGCTTGCGAGAATATATTCTTGCAAAGTCCATACTCTGGTGGCCCAAGCAGTCGTAGTCACTCTCGCAAGGCCCCTCATGCCGAGGTGGAGGAGCTCCCTTCCTTTGCCATTCTGCCACTTGGTACCAGATTCCTTCCAAGCTTCTTCTTCGCGCATCCAAACTGCTGGTTCAAGTCGTCGGGACAACAAGTCAATGTCTTTTTGGCACATTTGTAAGTCACAGCTTAGAATCATGACCACGGCCAAGGCTCCACCAAAGATCTGCCCCATGAGAGGGATCTGTTCATTCATGTCTGCATCGCTGTTCTGATCGATGCAAATCGTGTCAACCCAGCAGTAATCCACACCACCTGCAAATCTCTGGTCATTGGTGGCGATTATAGCTTTGCGACCTGCGCTGTCGAGAAAGCTGACCCCGAGCGGGAATCTTTGTTCACTCCATGCGTGAGACGCTGCAAGGTATGGCGGGGAGTTGCCCAGGGAATATCTACTAACTTGCCCAGTAGCGATCTCGATCAGTCTAAAGGATGCCATGGTGTCCGTCAAGATTATACACCTGCAATGAGAAGTTTGACTTTTTCTATCAGGCTTGAACGAGTCTCAATAATGCATGCGCACATAGGAACTCGCGACAGGAAGACGACTGTGACTCTCCGCTGGCTGGTTTTTTGAGGCTGCGCCACCAGCCTGTACCTAACTAAATCGGGTGAGACCCTGAGAGATTGTGTGTGTGTAACCGACAGATGCTCAGTTCGATGCAAATTCTTAGGCTTCAAATGCCTGACTACACCTCACCGCCCGCCCATGAATTCAGTCTTGTGGGCCTGAATACCACCTCTGGAAAGTTCTCTCAAAGCAACTGTTGCATATTGACTTGATCCAAGCCGGAACTTCAACACCGCTGCCAGCTTGTGGGGTTTCTCCAAGATATTGCCGTTCTCGCCACCCCGCTCGATGTTCTGGCTGTGGTCTTGAGGTTTTCCGGCACCAGTGTCTTGAATGGTTTCCAAGTCTGTCTTGACAAATTGCTTATCGCCGTCAGAGTCGTTGTAGGTATGAACCTGGACATCGAAATCTTGGCCAATGCGAGCCATAACTTTGCGGTAGCCTCCACTCAGACTAAAGTCCTTTTGCTTTCGACGCATGTTCATCGGATCCAAACCCCCACCGAGATCACTAGCCATGAATGTTTTATACCATTCACCGACCGCATTGCTGGGATACTCTACGTCGAAGCCGGGCAGCGGGAGGACAATGTCGAAGATGGTAAAAGCGCCACTTGCGGCTTCAGCCGCAGAGAGTGGACGGGCGCGCTCAAAACGGTCTTCACGGTCGGTAGCACGGTCGTCGCTGGAGGGTTGGATGATGATCTCTCCATCAGCATCGATGTTGTGTGAAAGATTGGATGCTTGGGCAGCAGGATCCAGCGCCTTGTGTTCATGGGTCAGAATCAGATCGCCTTCGACGACCTTGCTGCCGCACAATCTCCATCGTTCACCGACAGCCAAATTCCAGACCAGGGATTGGTAAGCGTGGACGTACATTAGTCTCAGGTTCCGCTGGATACTCATGAGGGCTCCAAGATAATCATTCCTGACCCGTCCTAGGTGCCGAATGATGGAAGTCTCGGCGGAGAACCGACGAGGAAGGATGTCGAGAGCTTTCTGCCACTTGCCTGTGGTTTGCCATAAGTGTAGAGCCTCGGCGCGGGCACGATCGTCCTGGCCGACGACGATAGTCGAATCGTCTTGCTGTGACTGTGCGGCTTGCAGTGCGGCTGAGGAATAGTGAAGTATGACTTCGACAGCCGCATGATAATCTCCTTGGAGGATCTTGACACCGACGACATCGGTGCGCTGCGCGAATGTGCCGAATCGCTGTAGACCATAATAGTTGAGAAACCCGTTGTCATGAAGACTGCGAAGCGCCTCAGAGATGTATTTCTGCGTAACAGAGGCGGGGTCTTGATCTGTCTGAGAAGTCTTGTCGTTGTCACCTTCGTTTCCAATCCTGCACTCTCGCAGTGTAATCAGGAATTCATTCCCGGTCAGGTCACCAAGCTCAAGTCCTTGTTTTTCATATTTGAAATCTCCTATTGCAGCAAACTTCAAAGTTCGATTCAACGAGGCCAGTCGGCCTGAATCGACGCGGTATCCACTAATTCTTTGTACAGTAGCCGCGCGGCGATCCTTGGTGCCAGCGAATTGAAAAGTCTTGGGGTTGACTTTGAGTTGTCGACACAGGTAGCTGAGGACTTCCATGGTGTCCTTGTTTTCTTTGTAGAGATTGAAGTGGAGATATTCGCCACCACGGTCCTGCCAGGTCAGCTTGTTGTGGGCGCCACGCTCACCAGATCTCTGTGGCGCTCGGCCATGCTGATTCTTTGGGACGGTGGCGGTGAGTACAAGAATACCTTCATTGTCAGTAGATGAGTCAATCTTCCCTCCAAAGATGCGGCGGATATCCTGGTGGATTTGAGAGCGTACAGTACGGTCTGATGTGAAGGGAGTGCGGACGGTTGGGTGGTCTCTAGATTTCTTGTTGGGTGCGCGGAGAATTGCTTCGTACAGGGAGGTCAGTTCCTCGACAATATCTTCACTGAAGTATGCCACTAGCTTTGCGCGATCCTCGCTTGAGATCTGCGATTGTTAGTGATCAGTTGGAGAGTGAAAATGCACACGGCAAGACTCGCCTGTCCATCTTCGGCTGGGGCACTTGGTTCAGACTCTTTGGCTTTTGGTTGGGAGCCAGAGATTTGGGACGTAGTACCATCCTCCTTCACAGCTTCACTCTCAATGTCAACCCCTCCCGGAACTGGGGCTGTGGTGTCCGTCGGTCCATTCGTGGCTTGAACAGAAGCCTTAGTGTCCACATGTCCGCTAGACTTGTCTGTGATCTCACGCAAGTGCGCAACCGTTCCATCTGGTAGAACTTCATTGACCAAGAAGTCAGTGTATCGCTTCTTGAGGATAGCGTGGAGAGAAGGTCGTGATTCGTTGACATAAGAGGTGATGCCAACCTCAAGTTCCTTCGTTGTGTCAGCACTGGCTGTTGGCGGGGGGAGTGCGCCATCCGTGTCAAGCTTGACTCTTTTTGCAGGCCGGAGCTCTTCGCTTGGATCTGCCATGACTGGGAGGGTAGTGTTCAGCAGGAAATGGTATCAGACATGTTCATACTCACGCTGCCAATGTGAGGAATTCGACGTCGGTTGCAAAATCTAGATATGCCAAGGCTGAAGATGCGCTAGTTCAACATCGGATAAAAAATTCTCCCTTTCCGGAACAAAACTGCATCAAAATGTCATCCAGAGCCTGACTTTTACTACAATATCACCAGCAATAGAATTTCTTCAGTACTAGTATGACCAGCACAATGCTGACTATCATCAAAGTTAATGCTACCGACCACTGTCCTTGTGGGCATTTCAGCCGAAGCAAAAAGGTAGTGCATCGTGTGACTGAAGCATGATCAGCTGAGAAATCCAACTGCAGCTAACGTCGGTTCAAAGCCTCCAAATGCCTGCGAGAGTCGGCCTACTAAGGGGAATTGACCGCCATACCAAGCAGTCTCAAGTTTCGTTATCGACAATCAGCCACGGTCGCTCGAAACCTTTGAATTCTTGCTCAATCAACGCCTCCGTCTCCTCCCAGGGCACACCAAATGCGCCACTATTAAATTTGCAGGCTCGAATCTCACCTGGCTTGTCATCATCAGTATCCCAGGCCGTCTCTTCATCAAAATTTGATGGTGTGAAATCTTCAAGCTGGGAGCGGAAATTTTCGAGAGCAAGAGCAGTATGATAGAGGATCTTGGCCTTGGTATCTCGACCTGGGTTGTTGTGGCGCATGTTCTTCTTCCCATATCCCAGGCTCGTGAACAGACATGCAATCCAGAAACGTGGGTGATAGCTTTCTGACTCTCTTGACCCAGCTTTGTCGTCTTTCGGCGGTCTCCCTGAGGAATGTTTCATTCTCAATGTCTGCTCTCTGACGTCTTCCAGTTCTTCGGGGTCGATCAAGAGACATGTTCCCAACAGATCGAAGGGCTTGGCGGCTCTCTTGCAATGATCTCGGTAGATCTGAAAGGCGCCGGGGCGCTAATTCTTTGTTAGCAAAAATAATTAACATTCAGATGAATTCGAACCTGGCGTTTCAAATGTGACGCGAAGCCATATCCCCAAACACCCTGACAGTTGACCGCATCTAGGAAGAGTTATTCATCAGCAGATCTTGTGCGCCTGTGTGGCAACTTACGAACAATGACAGTCCGGTCGGGGCCGTCGAATACATCACCTTTGACTCTAATGATGGAAAATCCCGGTGCCAACACCTTGTCAGGCTCACTCGATGGCACGGGTCTGCTCAGACTCGTCAGCCTTCACGCCACGCCAGGGTTTATTTGTGGGTCGAACCTAGGCGGGATGTGTTTGTGAATCCAGAGATCCTCGAGTAAGGCGGCTTTGCTGAGCGGCACGGCCATTCGATCAATGCCTTGCTCAATTTGTCTATGTGTTAGACTGGTCTTGGCGGGTTCGAGTTGCTGAGTAGCGATGATATGCCGTAGGACTTCGATATACGCGTTGTCGATGGTGCGAACCTGCAGTTGAGCGAATTCATCATCTCCAGGATGATTTGGTACTGCCCAGATACTGATGAGATCGAGGTATCGCTGATCCAACTGCGCCAACGTGGCGTGACTGGAGATGCCAAGAATGGTATAATATGGAGAAAGGCGTTCGGAAGACGTCGCCATGATGCTGATTCAGTGGGAGAATCAAAGTGACTAATGGAATAAAAGAGTATGGGTACAAGATACTCCGTGCATTGACAGTGATGGTCTACATCAAGAGGGTCGAGGAGGCTTTCAACAGATGAACAGCGGAGAAAAAAACGTGAAAATGGCACCAAGTCAGGGAAGGCACAGTGAAGAAGATGGAGTCAGAAGTGACAGACTGATTTGCAAAATTGGAGGCGTTGGTTTTGATTTATTGGACACGTTAATGCTGGTTTCAAACAGGGTGAGGTAGAAACGATGCACTATGAACTCGGCGCAATGCACATGTACGATACAGTGTACATGGCTGGCAAAGAGGGAGTTCACATATCCACTCCTCTTATAGATATTCAAGGTGATGGTTGCTATCCTGTACAATGCCAATGAGCTGTGTCCAGTACTTGATAGTTGCGTTGTCATGCTCGAATCCAGAGTTGCTCACCGGGAGCACCGAGCCCATCCTGACATAACTCTATCAAAGGGTGCCCATGCCCCCTCTCTGTGTACATAGGGATGGATGAAGTAGAACTGGCTTTTCTAGACTCGATACGGCAAAGAGACATCATCTCTTGAAAAAGGCTAATATACTTTTCCTGCTCTTGACTTTCTTGTGCAATGGCGCGCTCGTGACGGTTGACTTTGGGTTACTGTCGGTTGCAATGGTGGCGTAGTGCTGGTGAGAAGGCGTCCCGGTTCGCAAAGAGGGCAGGCCAGCACGAACTCTTTCAGCCAACATGGGTACACCGCTGCTCGACTTCTTTGCCCTGCGGCTCTGACGACTCATGGCACGGAATCTGGAATCGTCATCCATGGACTGGCGCTCGAGGTCTTCGATCTCCTGCAGCGCAGTCAAGCCATTGGTTGCAAAGTTTTCCTCAGCCATGGTCTCAAATCTCACCACGCCTCTCTTTGGGGGAATGTCTAGGTTGTCCAGCATGAATTCTTGAAGTAAGAAGGCACTCCTTTTGTTCTTGGTGGCTGCGATTTCAGAGGACAAAGCGGTGAGGTTGAGACTATAGGCCGGCTCCAACGTGCCTGCCAAAAGCATTGTGACTTCGGTATTGAGAATGACCATGATGCAGGAGGCCGGGCGTTGGTAGATCTCAGACAATCTGAAAGACAAGTCAATCATGAAGTCCTTCTCCAATTCAACCTACAAAATGGTTAGCACTGGTGGGAAACCTTGATGGTCGACTTACGTAGCAGTTGGTTTTGATCTCCGCGACGATGACAAAGTCCTTTGTCACACGCTCTCTGGCGGTGTTGTTGATCTCTCGATAGGCAAAAGCATCGCTGTAGTACTGGCTCCTCTTTTTGGAAGTGTTCAAGCGCTGCCAGGAATTTTCCAGTGTAGCCACGTCGGAGAGCTGACTGTCCGTGGTCTTGGTCAAAGTGCCGAACTGATAGGCGTGGGTGATCTCTGGAGGTGTCGATTGGGCGCGTTGTACATTGAGGAGCCGCTGTGGGGCAGGAGAGAGTCTGCCTTTCAGGCGGTAGGTGGCATTAGGGTTGGTCTCGCCGGTGGGTGGAGTGGGAAATGCATTCTCCACAGGGGTGGCATGGATGCGACTGGTGGAGGAGGGCGCCGAACTCATCGCACAAGAGGGCACTGGTGTGAAATGGCCAGAGAGGCAAGGGGTTTCTGGAGATGCTTGTAGAGGGTTTTATTCAACAAGGCATGCGAATGTGGGCTGCGTAGGAGGAGCAGGAAACATGACCGCAAGACCCAGCTAGAGAAGCCTTGATGGCGTCGACTAATGATGAGAATGCTCCAAGGAACCAAAGAAGAATCCAAAAAGCCAACCAGGGTGGCCAAGTCGCCGATTGACGATGCCGCGTGGACGTTATGGAATGGAAACGTGCACAACAAGAGATGTGAGCAAAGACGAGTTTGGGGGATGTGGAAGACAATTGAAGTTGAGACGAGGTTGTGATGCGCCTTCCCATTGTCAGATGGCAGTGGTTCCTGCCGAATAAGGGCTGAAGGGTTGCACATGCACCGGTACAATTTTCATCACATCATTGGCAGCTGCGACCCAAGTACCGGAAGGTGAAGTCACCAAGACAGAAGACAGAAGACAACTCGATGTTCATTGCCACTGTTATGGTCAGAAGTTGCTAGTCCGACAGTGGAAGAAAACACACAGAAGCAACGAGGGTTGTGCGAGGCAATTGATCCGTCTCATTTCCTCGTAGACGGTGCTTGGTACATAGTTGTATATTGTTTGCGGAAATATATCGAACTAGGATCACGAAGTGGAGTTATGGTAGCACGGTGTGACCATTGAGATCTGGGCTTGTCGTAGTCGTCGTCGCCGTTGTCGTCACCGTTGTTGTTGTTGTTGTTGTGAAGATGAGATGTCGTCATGTATACTTCCTGCGTAAGTTGGAAAGAATGGAAACTTGGGAACAGCACGTGATTGCCCACCGATTTAGCCATCTTCCCTCTGTGCCTCTTCTATCTTTGGAGATGTGGATGATTCCCAGCAAGCAGGATTGGGGATACTCGTATTCTCTAGGCGTACCAGGTCACGATACTAGAAGGTTCATTGACGTCAGTACATCGGTCACCAAGTAACATGATGTCGTCGACTTTGAACCCCCCTTCCTCACCACACACCCCCCAAACTCTGAGCTTGGTACTTATAATCATATAATCCTCAAGCTATTAAAGCCTCCGTGAAGTGTAAGTCGTTCATCCTTACTCGGTGTCGCAGAAAGGCAGATATGAACCGTCTCGCAGGTATTCAAAATCCGGTAAAGTCGCTACTTGGATCAAAAAGATTGGGACTACTATCGATCTCCAGAAAAAGTCAGTCTACCATCATATCCTTGCCACCGTGCCGGCAAGAGAACTGACACAATGCAGAAATGTCGGACAAACCATCGAGCCTCGATGCCGACCAGGGCAAGGTTGGCGCTGCTTTTGACTCCGACGGGGCCATTGGAAAGCAAGGCGAGAAGCTTGGTAGGAAATCCCATCCCAATTTTGAATCAACATCTCCCCGACGGCTAGATTCGCTGACCACTCACTTCAGGCGGCCCTTTCTCCAGTCAAGGCGCCATTGGTAAAGAGTTCAAACCAGATGGCGCGATTGGAGGCACGGCTCAGGCTGGTGCGTTGGATCTCCCTGGCTCTGATTCATATGCTCACAGACTTCAATAGCGGCAGATCAAAGTCAAGGCAACAAACCCCCTCTTTTTGATAAGGACGGTGCCATTGGAAAGGCGTTCACCGGTGGGTTCTGCAAATCTTGTCCAACTCTTCACTGTAGCTAATTCTATGAAAGCCGAGGGCGCAATTGGTAGCGTGGGTGAGGTAAGCAACTTCCCTGTTCTACGAACCAGAGTGTTAACTTGATCTTGCCCTGGTGGCTGACTCATTGAGTGTAGAAGATTGGGGGTCCGTTTGCGTCAGATGGGGCCATTGGAAAGAATTTCAATCCGGACGGAACAGTGGGTGGAACAGTCCAAGAGAATCTAGGAAAGGGAAGCAAGTGAGGGAGAGCGACGTTGACGAGTTTGTGTAACGAGAAATATGTTTGAGATGGATGAGTTGGACAATGAAAGGAGACCAAATCTTATACCATCCGGATAATTCTTTGCCCGTACTTCCGGGACAAATGTTTCAAACCACTCATGATCACCGACCTTAGGACCTCAGATCATTTCTTCACCTGTAGAGGACACTCTAGGGAAGTTTTAACAAGGACGAGTCTTCTTAATATCGTATGCACGATATCTGGACCGCCGATGGCTGCAGCAGAAGTGGAGACTACCTAACAGCCCCCAGGTTCGATGCTCGAGACAGGTGATGTGCCCACTGTTGGCGCTTAGGCTGATGACCTGATGGAAGCCTCGCCAATGACCACGCCGCTGTACGTTGAACGGGGCCAAGTTTAGCAACAACTTCATATTTAATGGGACACCGTTTCATTGGCCGAAAATCGTGTACGCGCTCGCGACGTTTCACAACCTCGCCTCACATGCAATGCATGCTTGCTGTAAGTGCTGTGTCAAGTTTCAATGATATCCAGCATCTTGACTCCTGCATGCATGGTTGTCGATATTATAGGCCAATATGACCAAAATAGACCGCAAATATTGTCGTTTTTGGGACTCGAAGGACCACATCCCATCCAGTCACACGTGACAGTCAAGATACGTCGATGCTAAGGCAACCACAGGGCACCCGAGGCAAGCGCGATGAGAAGCGCCTGCCTACCTTACCGAACTACAGAAAGGGCAGGCACGACCGGGAATCAGGGCAGGTGCTTCATTTCGACGACGACATTATAGCAACACACGCCATCCACCAAGAACAGAAACGCACGTTCATGACCACGATGAACATGTTTAAGTGGCATTGACTGAGATAGGGTCTTCATCTCCGCTGCCGCCGGCGCCTGTGAATCGCATTCTCGCAATGCATCCACTTCCTGGCAATTTCACGCTTGTGCTCTGGAGAGACTGACCCATGGTATCTTCATCATTATATCAGACCAAATCTCAACCCCAGAGGGAGCTAATTCTCTTGGGGTGAGCCAGGCCACCCAGTCGATCAGCTATAGGAGATTTGCAGACCTCAAATGTTGCCATTGGACCTGGACTGGCTAGGGTCAAACATACCTGCGGCTCCCGCGTGGTGATGCATCTTGCATAGCCGCCGAAATGTACTGCACTGGCCGACCACCCAACGCACGTGGCCAGGTCTTCTTATCAGGAAACAAATCCCCGAGTTTTTGGTCGCTGTCAGTTCTTTTGCCTTGTTATTTTGGTCAACCTGGTGGAGGTCTCTCAATTCTAAACAATTGTGTTACAAGATCTGGTCATCCTACGGCCTCACGGGTGGCCGCAACTCTGGTCATACAGGCCTGCATTTGCCTCCCTTCTCATCAAGCCCCCATATAGCAACAATGAACGGGGCCAGTCCATCCTTTGACAACACAGTCTCTCTCATGAGAGCAATTGACGGCAGCCATCTTGTTTGGTCCGAGTTTCGTAATGTTGTTCTGGCTGCATTCCAAATCGTCCTGGCCGACGACCTCCAGTTATCCCACCTCTCAAGGCCCCTGGCCGATCGGCTGAAGGTTTCACTTCAAGATCTCGGTCGATTTAATCATCAACAACGACAGTGGCGGGACCAAGTCGAGAATGGGAAAGGTTTTGGGCCAACATTGCTCTTCCCTCCCAATATACTCCCACCGATTGCCGCGCATCATCATCTCCAACGTTGTTTGACCCCTAAACTGAGCCGTGAGGCTTTGCCTCCGAGAGTTGCACGAGCCCGAGATAGCCTGTTCGAACTGCCGGCCCCTCGACCTGGTCTGCTCACCGGCTTCACTCCTTATGCATTCAATGAAAGAGAGCTCTCCATACTCCCCAACTGTGTCTCCACAACCGGCACTGTGGTTGACTTTGCTTCTGGCTGTGTCTCACCTGGCTCCACCGCTTATTGCCCGTTTCTGGTCTTTGAGCGAATGAGGGTGGTGTCGGATGATGCAGTCCAGGCGACCAAAAATCAATGTGCCATTGCTGGAGCTCATTGTGTCCGTGCGTTTCAGATGCTGTTCAAACGATGCTGCGGACCCATTCCTGCTCTCGACAGACCGATTGCATTCTCATGTGCATTGGACAACTCGGTCGCCTTGATCAACCATCATTCGATTGATAGCGAAGGCCGCTACTACATGTCCGAGATGTCACGCTTCAACCTCGAGGACACGGATGGCTTCAACGAATTTCAAGCCTGGATTGAAGCAATCGAGCAGTGGGGCTTGACGTATATCTTTCCCATCGTTAAGATTGCATTGCAGCAGCATCTGAAAGGAAACTTCACACCGCCCATTTCCCCTATGCCTTCACTGACCCTCTCTATTGACACTGCACCGGGAGGTGAAGAAATATTGATGAAGATCTTGCGTGCGACGTATGGAAGCATCAAATGGAGATGCGATGGTGAATACGAAACACCTCTCAACAGCAGTATTGCCCATTGTGGCACGCCTTTCGGCGCTCGAAAGATGAGGACAATGGCGTTGTCTCCCGCCACACCAGCAGACGTCATGAGCGCTGTTTCTGGCAGAAGTGGCACCATTTCGAGTTGGAGAATGAAGCCCGACTATAGTGCCAGATCTCCGGTCCAGCGTCGTTTTCTTCCGCCTTCTCCTCTACGACTCAAGCATGACTTTCCAGATTCCCCAGTTCGGCGTGCTACCTTGTCTCCATGTTCACCTCCTCCCGATGCGCCTTGGACGGCGAAATCACCCATGCTTGTTTTGCAAAGGCGCATGGACTTGGCAATGGACGAAATCCAAGAACTGCGGACTCTGGTACAATTACTGCAGCGGGAGTTGCAAACAGAAAATCGGTCACCTGAGGCGACGCAGAAGCAACGCCCCAAAGCCACGACCATTGTCAACGAAGATTGGATCAGCACCCCCACTGCACCAACCTTGACTAGCCCCATCAGCTGGAATGAAGCCTTGGATCGAGCGATGCACCTTCAGGCATTTGAAGCACAGATCATACCTGCCCAGGACCCCGTCTGTGACATGTCTTCCCCGGGGATTTACTTGACTTTTATAGCTTTGTCATGGCTGCTGAAGGCTGGCATGGTGGAGAGTCTTCTGAATGTAATTGCAGCATATGCCACGTGGACCTTGATTCTAGACATGGTTGAGCGTGCTGGGGTTGCCTCGGATAGGCTCAAGGTATTCGCCAACACCTTGCTTTCCGATGAGCAGACCTCTGCCGAGTAGTGCAGTCCACATTCAACCCAGACACATAGATTGTATGCTAAACCTAGTACATAGGCTATCGCCCGTATGTAAAATAGAACAACTGAAAGCATGTCGCCGTTGTGGCTCTAGATCTTTTTTTGACTAATTGAATAGAAATAGCGGAACGGCTTTCCACCCTATCCAAGCAGGCTGGCGTGTCATCGTCCTGCATTTTTCACACTCCTCCAACTAACGCAGGATCTCAACGCCAATCTTTAACAATGCCCTGCCCGAATGTTGTTGGCTCGATGGTCCCGGATTCAGAGGCAGAGAAGTCACGCCAGCCTTGGCATAGGACGAGGTTTCTCAGAGTCATTTTGTTAGGGAATTGATACTTGGGGAATATGCGGGGATGAGGCCGAGGGGCGTGACCACGCGTTACGCGTTACGCGCCGTCGCTTCCTTCCCTCACACGACACGCGTTTTGGGCTATAGTGCTTTCCCAAATACAACATCCATGATGCATGTACTGGCAGCCAAACACCCAGCGCAACAATTGGAATTCCTCTGACTCTCAAGACTCTGGAGGGCTCTGGAGGGCTCCAATATTGCAATGTTCTCCAAGCCATTCAAACCTCTAACGATCAAACGGTCCAACACCAGCCACGAGAGCCCCTCTGAACCACCATCGAAGCGAAAGAAGTCGAATCCTGATGCACCGATTCCAAGTACCGCCGAACTCTCGTCTAAGAAACCCTCGCACCATGTCAACGAAAGGAGACCTCTGAAGAACATATATAATCCGCCCAGTCCAGAAAGAGGTACGAGCAATTCCAGCCCGGACGAGATCCAGAGTTACTATTCAGTTCTTTGGCGCATTCCCACCAACAAGAAGAACAAAACCTGGACGGACGATGGAGTCCTCGCTGTCGGTAGTGGGTATGCCACTTTATACAACAACTCCGGAAGAAGTGTTGGCCGCACTCCCTTCTCTGCACCGCTTCTCCCAGGGTCCAACTTGTCCTTAGGTGGCAAGGAAGTGGAAGTCGATTCCTGTCTCACAAGGGACCAGTACCTTGGGATGATGAAGCCAAAAGCTGCCCATGCGACCCCTGCTGTAGAAACCCAACAAGGCGATCCGCAACAAACAGAAATCCCAAAGACCAAACTGAGCATGAGAGATCAGATGAAAGCTCTAATGAAGAAAGAGAAGAGCGAAGCATCCAGGCGACCGTCACAATCTGCACTGTCAACCCAGACGTCTGTCCTAAAACAACTTCCGAAGCCTGATACACTGCAACCACGAGCTTCTGTTGCACCGCCGAAACCTCGACATGACCCCATGTCTCCAGGAGCAATCGTATTTCAAAGACCGAGGCAAGTACCAACAGGACGCCAGTTGGTCGACGTGGTGCTGGATCCGCTCCTTGGAAAGCTTCTTCGACCGCACCAGAAAGTTGGTGTGCAATTTCTCTACGAGTGCGTGATGGGCCTACGGGATTTCAACGGCCAAGGCTGTATTCTCGCTGATGACATGGGACTGGGAAAGACCCTAACCACCATCGCGTTGTTGTGGACATTACTCCGACAAAATCCTGTATACAAGGATCCGCCCGTGATACGAAAAGCCTTGATTGTGTGTCCAGTCTCCCTGATCCGAAACTGGAAGAGGGAGTTCAAAAAGTGGTTGGGCCTTGACAGACTCGGTGTTCTCGAATTTGAAGACCAACACAGCCGTGTGCGTGACTTCGATGGAAGAGTCTACCAAGTGATGATCATCGGGTATGAAAGATTACGCTCTGTTGCAGATGATCTCAACACTGGTCATCCAATAGACATTGTCGTTTGCGATGAAGGTCATCGATTGAAAACCATGAAGAGCAAGAATGCCCAAGCTATCGAATCTCTCAACACTAAAAGACGCATCATCTTGTCCGGAACACCTATCCAGAACGATCTGGGAGAATTCTTCGCCATGGCCAATTTTGTCAACGACGGGTGCCTTGGATCCCAAAAAGGCTTCGTCAAGGACTTTGAAGCCCCAATCATGAAAAGTCGTCAACCCAACGCAACCCCTGAAGACATGGAGCGTGGGCAATACGCGAGCGAAGAGTTGGCCCGTACCACTTCTCCCTTTATTCTCCGCAGGACTGCCGACATCTTAGCAGACTTCCTTCCACCAAAGACAGAGTATGTCTTGTTCTGCAAGCCCACTCCGGCGCAGGCCAAGATCTACCGAAATGTCATTCAATCACCCATGTTCCACAGTGCACTTCGAAGCAATGAGAGCGCTTTCCAGTTGATCACCATTCTCAAAAAGCTGTGCAATAGCCCGGCCCTCATGGACCCAGCTTTCGGCAACGACGATAGCACTCCATCATCCTCGCTCGTCGCCCTCAACGAAATGCTGTCTCCGGGGCTTTCCAAGTTCTATCGCAACTCGATGTCGTCCAAGATCAGATTACTCGATCATCTGTTGCAACACATCAAGAGCGACACCAGCGAGAAAATCGTGGTAATTTCCAATTATACTTCTACCCTCAACCTGATTGAACAGCTGCTCTTGAACTCCAACCTCACATACCATCGTCTTGATGGTTCAGTACCTGCCAAAAAGCGTCAAGGCATCGTCGACAAATTCAACAACTCGAATGCGAACGAGGCATTTGCGTTCTTGCTCAGCGCAAAAGCTGGAGGGGTCGGTCTCAATCTCGTTGGAGCGAGTCGACTGGTGCTCTTCGATGTTGATTGGAATCCTGCAACCGACGACCAAGCCATAGCACGTATCCACCGACAAGGCCAGAAACGTGCATGCAAAATCTACCGCTTTCTCATCAAAGGAGGTCTCGAGGAACGCATTTGGCAAAGGCAGGCCGTCAAAAGAGCTCTGGCAGACAGCATCATGCAAGCTAGCTCAGTGGCCATGTCCGGTGACGGTGAAGTTGGGAATGGGAAGACAAGCACCTCCTCATTCAGTCAAGAAGAACTCCGGGATTTGTTCAGGCTCGACGAAAGTGAGGCTCTCCAAACACACGATCTCATCGGATGCAAATGCGATGGAACTGGATTGGACACACCAACGGGTGAAAGTGGCGTCGCAACTCCCAACGAAGCACGACATGCTCTGCTAGATGAGTTAGGTGGTGAACTTCCGGACTTGGAGGACCTTCTCAGACATGGTGAAACACCCATTTTCATCGAGAAGCTGAGGGAAAAACTGGAAACTGGAAAGTTGCCTGCAAAGGTTGAAGTGCAGGCAGAAAAGATGGAATTGATGAAATACACCCATCTTGATACCTCGAACCTGAGACGCTCGAGCGTGGATCCAGATGTCAATGGCGGTTTGGCCAGTCAATTGCTGTCCGCTGTTGATGATGCTTGTCTGGAGCGTGTTTTGCAATTGGACTCTGATGAAGTTGGAGGCGGTGGAGTGGCATATTTGTTCAAAAAGACCAAAGGGTCCCTGGCTTGCGGTGGGAAAGACAAAAACTCGTAGGTACAAGCAGTCTTTTCTCACGGAAGGCATGCATTTCAACGAATCATGGACATGACACACATAGACACAGCCCGAGCATACTACAGCGGGAAAGCCATTCGAATGGATCTTGATTGGATTATAAACTATTCAAAATTTAGTATCGGCTTGGACTCTCATTGTTATGGGTCTGTTTGATCGTTTCGTTCCGCAGTAGATGTCCTTCATGCTGCCTCAAGGGAGCAATTTGCCTCTCACCCTTATAAAGAATGAATTCCTCGACCATAGATTCACTCCACCGGCGTAGGCCAACACCACAGGTCTTCGCTCTCGAGAGGGATCCCACTCCATTGCCCATGCAAGAGGGGCCTTTCAGAAAATATGGGGATGCCTGTGGAACCTGTCCTTGTGCCAAATTTCAACAAGACGACATCTAGTTGCTCATAGAAGGATTTACTCAAGCCATAAAGAGTTTGATGGGAGAAATGTGGTGGTCAAATTCACGCGGGGGACAAAGGCCCGATGCGCACTTATCTATGGCGGGACACAATGCTTCTAATGTTGTCTTGGCATGCAAGTTGACGTCGGCCCATGCAACAGTGAAGCCGTGAAGTAGTGGATGTGGTGGTTGTCTTTGTCCACAGGCATGTAAACTTGCCTAATCTCGCATTCTTACGCCTTGATATAAAATGTCTCCTCCTAGATGACATGGGCATCAACATATTCCAGAAATGGTGAATCAAGCTCTCAGAATCGACACTAGCAATGAGTCTCCTCCACCGCGGATTGCGGCAGCTTTCCTGGTCAACTTCGACCACCGCAAGGGGTATGCTGAACCAGATCTTGAAGTAAACAATGATTCTGACTGACGGATATCAGGTACACCCTGACCTGGCACAGATCGATCGATGGCGGTCAGTCAACAACCTGACGCACGCTTACCCTCCTTACTCACGCTTCCGGCGCAGTTCAAGTCGAAGGGGTGGTGGAGTTCAAGTCTCTCCCCTCGGGCCTCCACAATGTCAAAGAAGACTTAGTGTGAGTGGTCTGCACTTAGACCGTGTTAAATAGGTCCTGATTGTTCTGCAAGATACTTTGTCCATCAAGGCTATGTCGGTCTGAGTGCTTTCCTCAACCAACCTGATAAACAATCTGAACGCAAAGCACGCATGCTAGCCGTTGGCGTGTTGGTACCTCTCGACCACGGACGGATAGGACGAATATGGCTCCATGGTCAAGGTCTGAAGGATATTGCAAGGTAGCATACATTCCGAACAGAGGCGGTGTGGTGGGTTCACTGACCTTTGCAGGTCGCAGATCCAGGACGTTCAGAATACATCCAAGCTGGAAGATTTCTGGAACCAGAACAAACTTGAGCCAGGCCAGGATACTGCCAACACACCTGCCGAATCGTCGGACCAACTCTCAAAGTCCAGAGGCTATCAAAAATCGCAGTCAATGAGCTCGGGGACACATTTCATCTCTTCCCATCATACTCTCACTCCCTATCATCCTGCAACGACCCTTTTAGAGTCACTGAAACTCTTTGGGCCGCTTATCTTCCCTGTCTTTAGAGCTTCACTGCTTCGCCAAAAGATCTTGATCGTGACTGACGCCCCGGTCGAGTTTACTTGTAACCTAGGTCTGTCAACTTTGATTGGGTTCATTTTGCTTTCTAACAGTCACTCAGTGTACAACCTCTCCATCTTATCATCCATCTCGCCACAGACGTCATCGGCAAGTGGGATTCCCGACGCTTTTCACTCGAAACTTCGGCCTCTGTATACCATTGGTGTTTCCGACATCACGAGTCTGCAGGAGGACGCTAGAGACCGGAATGATGCCGCGACTACGGAGCAAGGTTGGGTTGCATGTACCACTGACGATGTCTTGAGCACCAAGCCAGAGCTCTACGACTTACTCGTCTTGATGCCGCCATCCCAATCACAACAAAGCCATGCAAGAGCGTTCCCCAAGATTGTCAGATCATCACCCTCACTCGACAAGAACTTCCCTCGGAATGGGCTCAAAGCTACACAGCGAGATCTCCACCGCTATCTTCACCTACAACAAGGTTTGGGTCAGTTTGAACCCAGCCACGTGACAAATCTGAGCAAACCGTCATCTGACGACGACAATACATCTATCTTGTCGGTCTCATCGACCTACTCGACCCATCGAACAGTAGTAGAATCTACGTCATGGTCACGAGTGGCATACACTTCGCTCGTATGGTGGGCCTCGGCTGGAGATCGACGAAGTGGATTGGCCGAATTGGAAGAGATGGAAGCTGAGCATGACCTCTCCCTCCTGCAAGACGAGGGGGGAAATGAGGATGAAACCAGAGAAGTTGCTTTGGTGGCCTACTTCCATCGGATGACGAGACTAATATTCCAGACCATAGCCGAAGCCATCGCCCGTGCAGATGGGCTCGACGGAAATGAGGATAGTTATCATGACGAGGACGATCCCAGCGAGGATGGAAGCGTCGGGGATGATACCACCTCCACCGATCAAGAGTTCAGCGGTGAGCAAGATGAGACTCAAGCTCTCCTACAGAAGGAAGAGGAACAACCGGTGGTAGAAATTTCTCAAGAAGACATGGTGATGATGGGTCTTGATACTTGGAGCGCCTCAGACAAACAGTTTATCGAGGAGTTAACAATGCTTTGGTGGGGTCGTCAAGCGCATGTTCGAGCTGCGACTGTTGAGTGCTGTGGGTTGAGAATCCTGTAGATTACCTGTCATATGGGCTGCCTGTTCGTCGGCCTGTGTCGATACAAGGAAGAAATGAAACCACGATTGTACAAACCAAAAACAAGTCATTAAGATTGGATCACAGTGTATGATTGTTTGATTGTTTCTACCAAAGAGGAGTATTGAATTCGAGTACATCCTCTGCCTTGGTTTCGAGACCAGATGAGAACGATGAAGATGAATGGCACAATTTGACTCAAAATGAATCTCCCTTGACATTTTGACTTTGCAGTCTGGATTTGGGCTCTGGGATCTGGGATCTGGGATCTAGACACGGACAAGCACATGACCAAATCTTTGAGTGAGAGTTGAGTATTAATCCAAATGGGTCCAAAGAGGATTAACATCAACTATAGCCAGACGGCGGTAGCTGCGCCAGCACCTTGGTCCAACTGAGTACGGGCAACCTCGACGAGAGTAGAACCGTCCCAGGACAAGATGAAGACAAAGCCGAGTTCACTATCAGTCAAAGCCAGATATTCTTTCCCTTGAATGGTCGGACCCGGTTGGACGGCATTGGCCCAGCCGCCACTCGTTGGGGTTTCGTACATGTAGGCCAAACCGGCGTAGGGATCCTGGTTGGCAGCAGAGGAGATGATGGGAGCGTTGACGATCAAACCATCGTCATCCAGGCCATAAACAGCGACATATCCCTTCTTGTCGGACGTCAGCCCTCTAGTGCTCGCGTACATCCATTTTGGTCGATCGCCCGCGCTAAGACTGGTTCTGACCTCATCGGCCCAGAAGTCGCCTTCTTGTTCGGTTTCGGGGATGATGCGCACGGCTTGGACGTGGGTCAGTTTCGTGCCTGTTTCGACATCTACCGTGAAGACATCCACCATGCTGGTGTGTTCCTGCAAGACGTAGACGACACGACCGTTGGGATGGGGCCATACGTGACGTGGACCGTCGGTCGGTCGAGGCGAGATGTGTTTCTCGCCTAGTTGCAATGACCCTGTCGAGGGATCGATCGAATACGTCCAGATACAGTTCCGCCCGATGTCAGCAATGTACAGGGCTGAGCCTGAAGGTGATAGGTCGACCGAGTGTGCTCCATGCCGGAGGCCACCGAAGTCCATGACCGATCCGTCGTCTCGTTGTGATTGGGCGTCGACAAAGGAGAGGAGTTGAAGAGGTTGTACGGGGGTGGCTGGATCGGTGCTTGTGGACTCGGAAGATGATGCTTTGGGGTTGACAAAGGCACCGGTGTCGTGGTCAAGAGCAAAAACCTCACCGGTGGCGCCTCCCGCAGAATAGACGGCAATTTCACTTGCAGCGACATAGCCACTACGTGATTTGGTCTGGGCTTGTCCAAGGAGTTGGATGTCGGTTGGGGAATTGACAGAGTAGGCCACCACAGAGGGAGGTTCTGTCCATGCTGTGGCGTAGAGATTGCGGATTCCATTCTTTCTGCGAGGCGATAGATGAAGCCATGAGTGGGAGCCGATGGCGGGAGATCGGTGTAGAATGTCGAGAGTGCCTTGTTGTGACTTTGCTGATGATGACGAGGAGGAAGAGTTGTCTGGTGGTGTAAACCTTAGGGTGTAGAGATGGGGAGTATTGAATGTTCCCACGAACAAGTCATGGTATGTAGATGATGATGATGATGATGCCATGTTGGGCATGTGCTCGAAGAATTCGAGATGGTGTGATGGTATGTTTATGAGCTGGTGATTGATTTGGTTCAAGATCCACGATCGACCAACGTTTAAGCAGTGTCACTATCCGTCTCCCCGCGTCGACTCCAGAATGACAGGGATTAATTAAAATGTGGTTCAATTTGAAATGTTTATAAGCCAACTATGCAGCCACATCAAGTTCAAGTAACCTTCTGTTCTGCTCTGGTGTTCATCCTCGGAGAGAAGTAGCAATATAAGATAAACACTACTAATGTACGTCGGGATGTCCCCGATCCGACGGGGTAAAGGGATGAGGATGGTGTGGGTGGCGCACGTGCTTCTAGCCGACAGGAACATATCCGACATTTTTTGCATTGCAGATTTTGGCTGCAGGAACCAAAATAATAAACCTGTACGTAGTACGCCGAGGTACGAATAGTCACGGTACCCAAGTAATTAAGCGAATTAATTGGCTTTGCGACGGTCGCTCCTGCCATGTCGAGGGGGGGTCCCAATAATCACCCCGCACCTGCCTCAAGTACACACACATGTCAAGGAATGATCACGTGGATGGGACCACATGTTCGCCCGTTGAAAGGAAGGCACTATGATCAAGAGTGATGATATCAAGGGAAGGTGTGGTCAAGTGTGAGTCAACGTCACCAAAGCATCTCAAATTCTATGCCATACAAATACCGCATTATTAATTTCGTAAACAAAGCTAAAACTGTCACGCTCGCGCTAAACAAGACTGTACATATTCACACTCCCACAGACCAATTGTTCATTCTGGCCAGAGGCAGTATGTATCCAACCTGGGTCGTCAAGTTATCGTTTATACCTGAGTCTCTGACTTTTCCGTGGTATTTGGACTGACGACAGGAGGTGCAGTCGTGGTGGCTCCTGTTTGGGTCATAGTACGGGTTCTTGTTCGATTGCTCACAGCGTCATGATGTGCTCGGCTTCTGGTGGCGTGCAGGGCAGACATTTCCAACTCCGAGTCGCTTGAGCCGTCTTCCTCAGTTGGCTTCTTGGGCGTCATGGTGGGCGCGAATTTGGACTTGAGTCGGAGTTTCTTGCCGTACAGGTAGAAGATGACGGGAATAGGCACTAGGCAGAAGGCAAAGGCTCCCAACAGAGTGCTGGCCCATTCAATCCCCATGCCATTGAACATCTGTCGTGCAAACAATGGGAAACCTGCTGCGGCGATCGACCGGAGAAAGGTGTTGGCCGCGATGGCGGAAGCGGCGCTGTCAACAAGATTAGTTGATGGGTTGTGGTCAATAGGTTAGAATCTCGACTTACAACATGAGATAGGAATCAATAATGTAGTTGAAACACTGGATGAAAATGGCCAACAGACCAAAGCCAGTGAAAAGTCCAGACAGGGTGGGCACGATCCAGTGAACAGATTGCTTGTAACCACTCCAGCCGAACCAGAAAAGGCCGATTGCAAAAAGAACACCGCCTGTGAAGAGTTAGCAATTGGACGTCATTCAATGGGAGGCAATGCACCTACCAACGATGACGGGTGGCAGACGCCATTCTGGAATAGGGATACCGCCATTTGCTTCCAACTTTTTGTTGTACTGACGCGAGGTGAAGATGATGTATCCAGCGACAATGAAGATACCCACCACCATGCCAAAGAATGGAAGTCCCGAGACACCGGGGCGAAAGTGATGAACGCCTTGAAAGACGAGGGGATAGGCGGTCAAGAAGAGATAGAGAAGTCCGTAGATGAACGACATGTAGATGGTGATGGCGAGGATGATGGGTTCGGTGATCAACAATCGAATAGGACGGGAAAAATTCTTAGTGATGAGCTCCCTGAAATCAACCTCGACTTCTTCCTGTTTGGCGTGGATACCCCAGTTCTTGGTGCGGCGACGCAACTCGGCTGCTTTGCCGACCAACACAACGGGTGGATAAGACTCCTTGAGGAAAAAGACATTGAGAATCAGGGCGGCGGAACCCATGATGCCGGGGAGGTAGACATTCCACCTCCATCCCAAATAGGAAGTATTGATGAAACCGCCGATGAAAGGACCTAACATGGGACCCATGAAGACCATGGAGGAGAAGATGACAATGGCGGGTCCACGCTGCTGGTTGTCAAACATGTCGGAGAAGACGGCGGCAACGACCGCGAGTGGACAGGATCCAAACATGCCGGTGAAAAAACGGCAAATGAGGACGGTCTGGAGATCTTTGCCCGTGGCACAGCCAAAGCAGAAGATGCTAAAGCCAAACATGCCGACCAAAATAGGTAGCCGTCTACCCTGCAACTCACTGAAGGGGCCCCAAATCAGGGGACCAAAGGCATAACCAAGGACGTACAGCGAGGTACTGAGAGTAGCGACCTCGACACCGACGCCAAAGACAGCAGCGACAGTGATGGTCGAGGCGGAGAAAATGGACGAGGTAAAGGTGGAACAGAGGCAAGTGAAGGCGAGGATAGCGCCAATGATGAGTTTTCTTTTAAACGGCCAATTCTGGGGATGTAAAGGGTCATCTTTGCCATCGAATTCCACCACATATTCTTCTCGCTCAGGTAGTAGAGGAGGAAACGGTTTGCCACCACCAAATTCTGGGAGAGGCCGTGTTTCAGAGCGCGACTTGACACTTGCACCGACGGTCTGGATATGTTGCAATCTATGCGTCTCAGTTCGGTAGTCCTCGACAGGGTGTGTTCTAACGCGACCTAGGGTCCCGGCAGAGGCGGTGGGAAACCTCTGCATGACATCTTGATCTGTGGTGGTACTGGAAGCGGAAGACGATGAAGCGACAGAGCGCTGAGACCTTTGGCTACGGAGGGATTGACGATCTTTGCTTTGTTGTGACCAAGTCCTCGTCGCCTGTATTTCGGCCCTCTCCACGCCCCGGTCAACAATATCCATCTTGTATTGCGGCGTTGGTTCGACGCTCTTGAATGGTGAGGATACGGTGGGTTAAGGATGTGTTTATGGGGGGATTAACGAGAGACGGGACACTGGCAGATTGAGTGACGGTGACTGCGACAGTGACTGCGGGTGGAATTGGAGGGTGGGGGGCCTGGATGGTGGATGGTGGGTGGGAAATGTGACAGTCAGTCAATCAATGTCGAGCAATTGTGATGGGGATAATAAGGACAGTCGAGGTCCAATATTACAGCATGGACGTCAAGATAAAGGTATAAGGAAAAGTGTGAAGATGGCAGGTTGAGGGAAATGTGATGAATTCAAATTGTGTAAAGCCGTCGACTGGAGTTAATGACTTGGCTGCGATTGCTCCATGTAATAAGTTATTATAGGTATTGTACTACCTTATTTGTTAGTTTACTTGGGGCAGATGATGGATGATGGATGATGGATGGTGGATGGTGGTGGACAGTGGGCGGTGGATGGTGGATGCTGTTGATCCACGATGACATAAGGGCGCATTCGCCAAAGATTTAGCAAAGATTTAGCGGCAAACATGCCTGCGGGTAAGCATTCATCACCTGGGCCGACAGCCCGAAAGGCCAAGTGAATTCGGGCGTCCTCCACATTCTAAGTAGAGTCTAGAGCCTACGGAGTAGAACTCCTTAGAAACCCCATCCCTATCTGGCCCTTAAGACCCTCCTGACCCACCAGATCCAGTGTTGCTCGGCCTTTAAGGCTTGACTGCGATTAGCATACTTAATAGCAATCATTCAGGCTTCGGCCAGGGGTTTAGTAACCATTATTATTGCTGGTCGGAGATCAGATTATTTTGCAATAGCATATGCTCCGTAGATGATGAATTAGAGATAGCTGCAAGTGACCATCAAGTTAACATCAGCGTATGCCTGAAGTGGTCAAGTGGTATCTTGTCTGCATCGCATAAGCATGTTTCTCGTTTAATAATGTCCACCTTAGCTTCCACGAGTACCTTATGCAGCCAGTATGGGCATAAGTTAAGCCTATTCTCAATGGCGGAAGAGCCTAAAAAGGGTGGGGGAAAGGATTCTTTAGGGTGCACAGGCGACACTTGAAATGGCAACGCAACCCAACGGCAACTCGGCGTTTTAAACTTCAAGCTCTCGAATTGTGCCTGACTCTCAATTCTTTGTCATGGGCGCAGGCAATCATCATCATCATCATCGTCGTCATTTTTCACTCAATCCCTCTCTCAACATTGCCACTTCACCGTCACCTCACTAGCCCTGTCTCTGATCTGCGCATACCCTCTTTTTGATATCCCTCACAACGACTCCAGTTCTTGGTTGTTCACAACTAAACCTGTCTACTATATTGACCACCAAAAAACAGAGAAAGAGACTGGAAAAGAGAAACCTCACTCCTTAGGCGTCCATCCACTTTTCCGTAGGTACCTACCTACCTACTTTTTCTCTTCCTCGACAACTACTACTCCAAGCAGTTAGTCCATTCTATTTGCATTCTTCCCACCCTACGGAGTATGTACGATCTCTCCCTCTCTCTCGCTCACTGGCCAAATCCCCCCCTGCTTCTGCTGACTCACCAGTCTCTAGGTTCCTCCAAAACTCAACCACCCTCGCACTGACATACATATGTCACACTCAATCCCACCGCTGACGCAACTCGTGCCTGGCCATCAAAGTTTCTAAAGTTCCTATTCCTACCCTACTCGTGCCTACTGTGCCTATGTACACAATAATGTCCACATTTTGATCGCCACCTAGCCCCAGCCAACCCAACACTCCGGAGTAACAGCTCCACCACCTATGCCCTCTATCTATCCAATCCGTTGATGCGACGGATCTCCGACCACCGAGACTGATCTCCCATCTCCAGAATGCTCAACTTGCGCGTCAACCCGCTGGGGCTCCCCAACACCACAGGCTGCCAACCTGCATCTCCACTCCGTCGTCGGTCGTGTCGAGCAGGAATCATTTGAACGCTCTTCCATCGAACCACCACCAAGCCAAACATTAACGTCAGAAACAACAACACCGAAGCCACAATCGCCCCCGCCTGCATCGCTCCATATCGTCTCTCTACCCGTCCACAGATTCCTGTCGCGATCGCTCCAAATAAAAATTGTAGCGTTTGCGTCACTGCCACCCCGGCGCTCACCCGTGGGTAGCATGAGAAGTTGGTCCGCCCCCAAGAATTTCGTCGCCCAACTGCTCGTCGAACTGGCCTACCAGTCATTCCCGGCTGCAGATCTGATGTGTCAAATGTCTGCATCATCAATGAATATGCCTCAGCACCCGTCAAGTTCGATGCTGTGCCGACCAGACCTGCAAACACGCATGGCACCGCCACCGGCATACTGGGACCTCGTGCTGTTAGAGCATATCCAATCGCCGCCAGTGGAAGGAGCAGAGTGAACACCGTCCTCCGTACCGTATGAGATTCCTAGATCATCGCCTTCTGGAATGTCATGCTATCCGTTCGCGGCGGATAGTATCGGGCTCGGCTGAAAAAGGACGCCTTCTGAAAAGGCAGTGTCAAAGCCGACCCCAGCGTCAACGACATTCCGCAAAGACCAACTCTCACAGGCGGATACCGATATTGCGTCGACACAAGCGCCCCCAGCAACTGATACACGTCAGCATTCACATCTTGGTTCTCCGACACATACGCTCACCATCAATATCAAGGTAAATTGTGCATACACCCATGCCGTGTAGATGGACAGCAGCAGAAAACCAGGCTGCTTCACCATTTTCCAACTCAGTTGCAGCCCAGCCTTGACTTCTTCTCCCCACCAGTACGGCCCGTTTCCCGTGAGATGCATCTTTACCTCGCCTCGCCCGATGCGGCTGAATCCACCCTGCTCCCCCATCATCTCCTGGATTGTTCGTCGGAATGCTGACCTCCGTACCTCGGGCGCAACGAGATTAAGTAGAGTCCCAATCATGAGAACCACTAATATGATCCAGAACCCCCAGTCCACCGACGTGCCACTGATGATGAATGCACCAAGCATGAATCCCAGGCCGATCGAGCCAATGTTGCACCATGACCAGATTGCCAGCCACACACCCTGTCCGCCACCATGTCGTCGCACGTCATTGGGATTGACTAGTCCCTCCTCCGCATGGCTGCTTTGCAATGATGCCCCGAAAACGTCCAGCAGTGTTGCGAAAGAATTGATGCTGGCGAAGCCAAGTGCTAGCCCCAACACCCCGCGTGATATCAACAAGATTGTCCGATATCTCGTCATGTCAGGGTCTCTGAAACTGCCCAGTGCGAGGCCTTGCGGTATCTGTAGACACAACGAAACCAGGAGAGAACAAAGAGTGTAGAACTTTCGGCCGTGTAGTAAAGGTAGTGGCCAAAAGATCATGGTGGAGATACCGAGTCCCACGTATAATGCCACATTTCCGAGGATGGCCACTCGGTCGAAATCAACAATGACATACTGAATTGCCGGCACTTCACCTGAGTACACCCCCAGGATCAGTCCCACACAAGCTGTATTGAAACAACTCACAAATGCTGACAGTCGCTTGCGTGATCTTGGCCAATTCCGCGCAATCGGTGCATGGTGTGAGGTCTCGTACACGTCGAACTCATCGGGGCCTTCTGGCACGTCCACATGTCGTGTACCGTTCAGATCGATCTTGTAGATGGGCGACGCTCGATCCACACCAGTGACATGCATGCTCCCCTGTCTGGAGTTGATTGCAAAAATGTGAGAGTAGTGCCGTTCATGTCCTGGCCGAGCACGGAGAAAACTGTCCTCTTCCCCAGGCCCCTCGTCTTTGTCATCCTTTAAGTCATCCTCTGAGGGTCCCAACGCCAATTTGGAACGAGCATACGGCCTGGCTGACGAGTCCTGATGGCCACCGCGTCTGCCCACTCGTGCTGAAGTTGTCCGCAGACCGATCTCCGGACGCCGCTGAAATCTGGTCTTCCCCAGCCTTGGTGTGAGTTTTGACCTGTTCCGGCTATCTAATGAGACTCTCTCAATTGTCGAGTCTTGGTCCTCCTCATGGTCTTCCACAACCGGTCGTGGTTCGAGCAGGAGTAGGTTGTCGACACTGCAGGCTCCACGACAGGTCAATGCACTCTTGCTGCTGTCAAAGGATCTGACAGATTTTGAATCTTCTAAGCCTCCTTTCTGTGGACGCTTTGTTCTTCCAGAGAAGCTAACATGACGTGGGACATTGGCATCGGCCACAGAGTCTGGATATGGTAACTGTAACTGTCGACGAGACGATGATTTGGTCGTCTTGTTGAGGTTTCCTTCTTGTTCGACCATTTTTACGGCCTCCGCCAGCAAGTTTTCAAGGTCTTGGATGGTTTGGTCGATGGTGGCAGATGCTATGCGAGGAGGTGTCTGAGCTGCATCGTCGGAGAGGGATCTCAAAGCCGAGAGTGACTTTTCTGCCGTCGGCCTGGGTGGATCAGAGGGATCTGGAGCCGCTGCGCGAGCGTCTGCAGAGGGGCTATCCTCCATTGATACATTACGCTGCGCTCATCTTGAGGCGGAAATGTCAGTTGGTGATAGAAAGGGTAGTTGTAGTAGACTGAATCATGTAGAACCACGTAGGATTGAAGGTATCTGAAACGATAGTGTTGGCAGGAGAATCATGAGGAATACCGATATGGACGAGGATTGAAACTGGTACAAATACGTGAGGCGGTTCTCTGACGATGAACAAAGGGCCTCGAGTCGAGATGCAGATTCCTCTTCGAATTCTGACTGAGAGACTTTTGACAACAGGAGGTTCCTTCCTTGCCAGAGAATCGCCGTGCCAAAGGCAGGAGCATACCTATCTTATCATTCCCCCTCGACTTCCTTCCAACACATGTTCTTTTCATTCCCAGTGGAGCTGACTCACCACCACAAGGATTTAAACCTTCAGACTGTATGCAAACGCTATGGTGGCTAAACTGTCCCTCATGAGAAGCATGGGTGGTAGAATATAGTACAATAGCATAAGATTTCGTTCCCTGATATCACACCATCATAATTCTCTCTGACAGTCTATCCAATCATGAGAGAAGAACCAAGGACCTAGACGAGAAGCTGTGAGGTTGGATTGGTCCCTAAGAATCACGTTTCCTCAGTCCACCACAGAGGCGGATTTTGGGATGAGGCGATGTTCATCATCAGAGTTACGCTGTCGCTTAATAATTATTGCCCACAGGCTGTCACGAAGGTCAAGAGTGGAGTTCCATCTGTGTAGCTCTCTGTTTTGCCTTTGATTGGGGCTTGGGATCCTTCATGGTCATTTGGTATCATTTGATCGAGACAAAGGGTTGATTCCTCTATGTGCTCAGCTAGCTATCTCTCAGATTGCATTGATATGGTAGCATGATATCACAATAAACAGCTTTTGACACAAAGCGACATCATCTCACCAGTGTAGTATCTCTGTAACCTTGTAATAGCACAGAGAGCGACCCAGAAAGCCCTTTAGCTGCGTACTCATGAACGTCTTCCAAGGCTGAAAGTAGGGATATACAAAGCTCAACATCACCCCAGTTCAGGTCGGAGGGGGGCAGCTCTTGACGATTTGCCAAGTTTGAAGCCAGAAAAGTTCCAGCTATACAAAGTGCATGTACCATCATCCACGTTATCGGATGGTTTACCGGAATTGAAGCTTGTAGAGGGTTCTTGATGTCTGTGACTGCACATCGCAGCAGATAAAGTGTTGAAAAGCAACGAATCATGGTTCCAGCCGCGGCAACCGCCTCTGTCAGGAGAACCGCTTCAGGTGCTACCTGGTGATATAAGATCATGGCTTCACAGTGGTAGAAAGTCCCGTAAGCTTCGAGTGAGGACTGGTAATTGCCGTTGTTGATATTTTCAGACGGAGGGGATTCATAACGAAGCGACATCACAGCTATTTTCCATTTTGGTAGCCATGCATTCAAGGCGTCTCGACAGCCAAAAAGCCGCCGTTCGACCAAGTAATGACTTGCGAGCGGGGTGGATAGAGAGATAAGAAGTCGATGCTTCCACCGACTCAGCTCGTAGAGCAGTGATGGAAGACGTTGTGGCCCCTCCAGGGTACAATTGAACTGTGGTCTGATGAGTTTTCTTCTATCAAGGCTGCCATTCCTTGCCTCAGACTTACCTTCGCTGGGGTCTCCACCTCGATGATTTGTGGGGGGCGTCCGAAAGCTACAGCGACATCGCTTGTGCCATGAATGTCAATAAAGCATATCGACATTTGAATAGAGAGCAGCTTACCATTCAATTCGGAATATTGTCGTAAACAATGTCCATTCCTCTAGACTGCCTCCTCCAGCAGAATTTAGTTGCCGCCGCAAGCTTTGGACTGAACGACATATGTGGCCGAGCATTCGCCAAATGCTACCAGCCGCAGGATCAAGGGCAAGATACCAGCATACGAGCGTTTCGAGCTGCAACCATGTATGAGACGGATTATGTTGTTTCGAAATTAAATGCGCATAGCTTTCAGTCGCCTTGGCAAACATCTGTCTTGACATTTTCCCAGACTGATTGCACTTCTGATCTGAGAGGCGGCAACCTACCGCTAAAGTTAGCCAGAGGATCGCCTCTTCCCACGACGGGGTCTCCACTGCTCGTTCTTTCTCAGCATAACAAGCATCGATGATACTGTTGATTGTTTCTGAGCCGAGATTGGGGCAATGGCGTTCTATACTGTAATAATACTGTTGCGCTAGCTGTCTTGCAGTATGCTCGGTCGGTAGCTCGACACCAGCCCGCGTTGTCGACTCAGAGATATGGTCTACGTGCGTCGCAGCCGTTGAAAACAACTGGCTAGTTTGATTATCGATACTCTTGTTGATTTGTGAGAGAGTGGAAGCTGCAGTTGAGAGACATGAGAAGACACTGGCCTTGCCAAAAAGAAAATGAACGATCGGGACGTGTGACTTTTCATTTTGGTGGGTGCAAATGACGGGTGGGGGTGATAGTTTGACGCTCGAGTCAGCTGAATCCAAAGCATTCTCACTCTGGATCAAGGATACTGCGGAGGATCCCTTAATTGATATCTCATGCTGGTTGATCAGCTCAGTAAGTCTTTGGACCAGCGCGTGGAGGTACCGGCGAGGCGTCTCCTGAGACAGGACTGGGTCGTAATTCTTGCATTCTTCCTCGGACTTGGCACATTGGTGACAGGAGGGTAAAAGCCTGTCACATCTTGTCCGCCGTCTTTTGCACTTGGTGCATGGCGGAAGCTGGGCTAATGCTTTGGTGAGATAGCTTTTATCGACTGTAAAGTCAACCTTGGTTGCATCAGAAGTTTGAGTCAACCGTGAAGATGATATTTGTGCAGGCGGGAATAGTTCATTCTGCGGAAACTCTCCGATAGCCAACGTTGGCGTGGTAGAGTATGCCCAATTCATATTCTCGAACTCGATTTCGGAGAACGAAAAGTCGAACATATCCCAGTCAACAGTGTCATTGAGATTGCTGGTAGAGGTTGGCCAGTGGTTAAAAGCTTCTCCCCAAATATCGACATTGTTGGTATCCTTCACATACTGCGTGTCGCCTGGCCGATGTAACACCATGTCATTTAATACGTTCAAATTGATTGTATTGGTATTGGCGATTGCGCCAACCCCGAAGAAACCTCGAAGCGTCTCTTTCTTCAGGGTGTCGAAGAACTCTGCGCATCTCAATGCCGCCGGCCACCTACTTGAGAGAAGGCAGAGGACGTTGAATACTTGATTGGTGACATCTAAGGCAGCCGCGATTGTCGTCTCGCCGATTTTCTTAAAGATGCGAGGATAGTGTATGATGAGATGAAGTAGAACTGTCCCTGCTTCGAAACAATTGTGTACGCAATGCCATACGAACTTGAGGCTATCATTTAGTGTAGTTTCCCAGTAGCCAGCCACAAGCTTCTGAATTGCACGGAAGCATGAAGCAATTGATTCTTCACAGGGATGCGGGTTTGCCTCACACGGTCGGTGGAGCATGAAGTCGTTGTAAGACGCTTTGATGTCAATAGAGTCGCTGGGATCACCAGTGTTGTCCATCGCTTTGGACTTCCATTCCTTGCATCTGGTCTCAAGCTCACTCACCCAGTCGGCGTAGGAAGGGGCAAGGAAGGGCTTGTTACAAAACTGAACCCCGCTGATTTCCGACTGTAATCGGCGACATTGAATCGCATGTTGAAAACAGGACAGATTCCGTTCGGCGATGGACGAGTCACTCCCCAAACTGGAGTAGATCTGATCAGGAACCAGTACTTTTATAGCCTCATCCCTTATGGCAAAGCAGCGATGGCCGGTGATGTTGGCAGATCTCTCAAGAGTGTAAATCTACATGAGCGTCAGTGTGATTTTTCCAATTCGTGGTGAGTTGCTACTGACCACCCAAAATAGCCCTCGCCGGAAGTTTGCTTGGCTAGAAGTCAACTCAAACGCAGACTCCTCGTGTAATCCAAGCTCCACGGCGATCCTCATTGCCTCACCTACCAGGTACACAAGTTCTCCGCACGCAGGAAGAACATATGTAAGCTGGATTACCAGGCAGAAGGACTGCAGTGCCTCTACACTAGTAGTATTCAGGTGGCCTGCATGGCTCAAGCTTTCTTCATAAAGCGACCGCGCCAAAGACAGTGACCGCTCCACATCTGAGGACTTGGATAATACCGCAGTGATAGCCAGAATCTGAAGTACGATGAAAAGATTTGATTCGGATCGTGGATGCTTGTCAGCTAAAGGGCTGTAGACGTCTTCCAGCATCTCGTTCAAGTCGTCGAGCTGAAAGATGGGATACTGGGGCAAAACTTTCTCAATGTACACATCGAACAATCTTCGGGCGACATCAGCAGGGACTATTGCCGCAATGCTTCTTTTTACATTTGATTTGCTCCGCTCATCTTCCAGGCCTTTGCAATGTGTTAGTGGAGTTGGCAAGTGAGCCTCTGCACGAAGTTGATCCAGGTATGGCAACTTTGACAGACTTGCAATCACTGGTCGCGCCGATAACATTTGTCGTGCCTCAAGCGTGGTTGCTGCTATTGTTTCTGAAAGGCTTGCTGAAGGTTGGGTTTGTTCGGGCTCAAGCAATCCATCGGAAGGAGGATCCAATGTATCGCCCTCCAGGATGGTTTGTTGTCCCACTGTGGTCGCCGAAGCAAGAAGTGCCAATTCAATTTCCAATTCTGCGATGGACTGCTCAAGGTACTGTACTAGGCTGGTAGGCTGTGAGCCTGTGGCACTAGATGTGTACCACTATCTGTCATCTACACCCTGAACACTTACCTTCGAGGTATATCATGCTCTGACTCGCGGTCAAGGGACACACATTGAACACCGGCCGCCGCGCAATTTGCGCAGGCTGGGAGTTTAGCATCACACCTTTTCTTCTTTTTGTAGCACCGAGAACAAGCAAATGTTTGACGCCGGCGCATAGCTGCAACTTGGAGATCGGTGACTCTAGAAAAGCAAATCTCAGCGGCCGCGCCCCATGACAAAGACGCCTTGTAGAATCAGAATGTCAATGGTGTCATTTTTGGACCATCGTCAGCTTCTCTCATACCTAAATAAATAGGGCGACTTGCCTGGCCGAAGTTTAGGCAAGCCTTAACGCTGAACTGGGATGACCGTAGTTCCTGGCTGGAATTTCAGTACTTTTGAAGCTGATACAACGTTCCTAGGGATGTATCTGGGACATAGATTTCAGACATGGTCAGCCGCAGGGGCAATTCGGACTAAGGCGTCACAGCACAAATACGTAGCCACCAAGGCTGAGAAAGATCTACGTTCCCTGATCAGAAAACAATGGGCCAGCCTCAGCCTGCGGGATAAGGCGAGGATTTTAGTAAAGATTTGATTGGCGGAGTGATCAAAATTTCGGTATATTCGGTGTCGGACTTGAGCGATTCGCTTGGCCCCAACTGTTGACATCAGTGTCGAAGCATCAGAGGGTCGAAGTTACCGCTAATAATCGTCTTCCAGTGGAGACCATCACGGACTGAGTGGAAGATCCCAGGTGGCCGAGGCGGAGCTAGTGCCCACTTCAACCTTTACGTTGGCTGGCCACGATCAACTCAGCCGCTGCGTGTAACTTATATCTGCTCTTTAGGAGCAAGAATGTTGAGAAAGATAGGTTCTCCGCGGTCGAACTTCAAGTCAAGCCATACACCTTGTATACGACTACACCGTCAATGAGTAAGGTCCAGCGCGTGTTAGTCGTTGGGGGAGGCCTAGGTATTGGCGCAAAGCTCACAGAGTTCCTCCTCCGGCGGCAGGATATCAAGATAGTTATCCTGGGCCTCGATGTCTCTCGAGAGGTTTTAGACCTGACACGCAATAATGACACACGCGTACGTATCGTTCGTGGCGACATTTCCATGCAAGCTGTCAGAGAAAAAGCGAGACAAGTGGTGCTTGAGTTCATGGGTGGTCTTGACACCCTAGTATGCACTGTGGGCATCATGGGCGAGATACAACTTCTCGAGGAAATGAAGCCAGCAACGATTGAGCACACCTTCTCCGTCAATGTGTTTGCTCCTATGCTACTAGTAGGTTCCAAGACTTGGCTAGGTCACCCGATCACTAAGATTTCGTTGCCATAGACTCAACTCTTTTTACCAGACTTGTCCAAGTCGCGTGGCAAGATCATCATCACATCTTCAGCCGTTGATAGGACTGTTCAATACTCTGGGTGGATCCAGTACTGTTCTACCAAAGCAGCTTTGACCAGGTTCATTGAAGTGTTGGATCATGAACAGCCAGATGTCAGAGTCTACGGAGTGTATCCCGGATTGACCCGCACCCGGATGGTAGATGACATGATTGCCCGGAAATACAAGGGTATCATGAAGGAGGATGAGATGGACAAATTTGTCAACAGTGACAAAGAGAATAGTATGGAGCCTCCAGAGTGGTGTGCGAACGCTTTGGCGAAGATGACTATGGGAGAAGTTGCCCTTATAATGAGTGGTAGAAGCAGATACTACTACGACTACGACCCAGGCTTTAAAGATTTGGACAGCTGGGCTGCCAAATTATAAACTCTATAGGCGTATCTAGCTCTAAGGTTTATGGGTTTTGATCTTCCGACTATACAGCGCGTGTGCTTGAGAGCTTAGTGGATTTTATTCCAGGAAGGGATTTCAATACAAACAATGCCCAGCCGGCCAACCCCGAATAATCCACTCAAGGGCTTCTTAGGATATAATCTATACTTCTGCAGGGATAGAAGTGTGTCGATCCAGTGTGCCGTGGATTTTTGCATAAATAGTTGAGCCGTCTGGCAAAATGGCACTTCAGGGGCTCACTTTTTGGTTGGTCTGAAACAGTGAGAGTGCCAAAGAACCCGCGGGATGAAAGTTGCTGAAGATCTATATTGCACGAGCTTAGTCTAAACCCCCAGTATTGTCGAATTCCTCCATCTAATTTCGGCTTATAAATGTGCTCAAAAGCTTTGATTCAAGCACATGACCATTTCCGCGACAATTTATGCCTTCCTCGGGCAACTTTGACTGTCAATCTTGCCATCAAATTGTCTTTCCATCCCACAGTTTTGATCGCCTCACACTTTATCGTTACCTTCGACATTTACTCGGACGGGATATTCTGTCTCAAGCTCTCTCTGTGGGAGACCTGATGCTACTTGTTCCTTTTCATTCTCCCGGTCGATAACATCTGCTGTGGCCTTGCCATCGTGAAGAGCGATCTCCTTCACGAGATTCGGGGCAATAACACTAGTCTCCGTAAAGTAGTTTGTATCTGCCACATACTTGAAGAGTACGAATATGATGCATGGAATACCGATGGTGTATAACCTAATTCGCAGTTGTCTGTCAGCGAAATTTTGTTCAGTCGTCATCGGCAGGGAGGAGTAGCTTACACAAGCTGAATTATAGTCTGATCAAGGTACTCCACGTGCTGAGCAGCAAGGACAAACGAAACAAGCATTCCACTGGCAGACCAGAACTTGAAAATGGCGGCAATCCGTGCTAGGATCTCTGGGTCGTTCGTTGTGGCCGCAAGGGTCCACTCAGTAACCATCTGGTACCCAGAGTATATGCTTCCCATGAGAATATAGATAATTCCCAAGCCTGGGTATTGTGGTCCAGACCAATCCCATGAGCGTGGTATCGAGGACCCGTCAATGTCATGAACTTGCAACCAGCCAATTAGTCCAGCAGCCGTCCCAACGGCGATGGTTCCCATGATACCAATGCCCGCTAGACCCCGGTATCTCCTCGACGAAAGAGAATGACCATTATCGAGAATGAACATAAGCACAGGAGGCACTAAGAACTGGATGACATTGAACAAAACATTGTTAAGTGCCCGAGTGCGCAGGTTGAAAGCTCGAGCTATGATTTCGTATTAGAAGGATCGTTGTGGATACGACAATTCCAGAAACTGACCGTTGACACTGCTCATGAGGCCAAGAGCCATCTCGCAGCAAAACATTGGTATAATCAGAATGATGTAGCGAACATTACACATGATCTTCGCCATTTCTTTGAGCTCAGAGAGCAACGGTGGCCGACGGAAAATTGCGAGATGGGTACCATCGTCACGAACAATCTTCTTCGGATCCACAATCTGTCCACGGGAGACTCCAGAATCAGCCATGTCTAACTCGCCCACGTTTGATTTCTGGGCTACTTACAAAGAAGAATACGATCAAGATGGCACAAGACTGAATGGCGACATATGTAGCAAATACTCCGTTAGAGACACCTTGTGCCGTCATTGATCCGAAGTTGACTCCAAAGGCAATAAATGAACCGACGGTGCCGCCGATGGATTTGATCATCCATTGTATGCCAATGTACTGGAAATGTCAATGAAAACTCTTCTCATATGCGAAATTCATTTCTCACCATTCCCTTTTCGTCTTCCTCTGGGTAGCAGAATTGGATGAAGGCACATGCTGTCCATAAAAACGCAGCCGACACACCAGAGATCGCTCCAGTAATGTAAATGAACCAGGTCTGGCCCGTAGAGTCATAATGCCATAAGCCACCAACGTACAAGGGATAAGTCGCAGCTGCGAGTAACAAACATGCTCTAGGTTTCAATACATTCAAAATAGGTCCAACGCAAAGAGAGCCAGCTGCAAATGTCGCGTAAACGATGGCGTTGTTGGTGTTTGCAACCTCGAGCGAGGAAGGTCTACCGCCACCAGCGCCGAGTCCGGTGACAGCGACGTAGATACCAGGGAGGCAGAAAAGCAAACTAAATACACTGTTAGCGTGTGATTTTTTCTTTCTGATGAAGTTTGACTGACGACGCCGCCACGAGATTCTGGTTGAACGGCCGATTCAGCCGCAACTTTCCACTGAACAATGTTATGGTCATTTTGTCAACCTTCGACTCTATTCGAGACTTGTGGACAGTATGGACTCAGGGAAAGAGAATACTATCGACATATATATCAGGTTGGATTGGATGGTCTCGGCTGTTCGAATAACCGTGTCGCTCTGTGCCGCTGACCAGTACTTTTGGCAGGGATCTTGACGGCGTTCAGCGTGCACTCGTGCTATTGCTCATACTCCCAGATACCAAAGATAGGCGGTGTCGGATATTCAAGATAACAGAGCCAGACTCCCTTATTAGTTATTCCGCCCTGTGATCCACTATTGGGGATTATCATGTTCATATCGCTGTTCTCCATTCATTGCCCACCGATCGCTGTGAATGGATTGTCAAAACCACTACGCATGAGGATCTGACTTTTCGAACGCCCAACTTGCATACCAGTCGCATCAACTGTATTTGCTGCTCCAGAATTTGTTCTCAATTGAAGAAGCATACCAACGTTGTTCAATATAGTGATGGACTTGAAACAACGGAGGGCTATTGTGTCTATGGGCAGGCCAAGGAATATCATAGAACAAGTCGCCCTCCAGTGTTAGCTCGAGAAAGTACTGGGATCAAAGAGTATGTCACACATCAAGACTAGGAGATTCATGCTTCAAACAAGGCTGCTTGACCGATAAACAAGATATTGTAAAAAGACAAACTTTAGAGTCTGGTACCTCATACATGAGCTCTCAGACTTCTCTTAGCGGATTAAATGTGAATTTAAGCCCTCATAACGGTCTCCTTCTTTCATTCACACAACCCTTCATATTGTCAAGAGATTCTAGTTACCGTATCTTCGACCTTCCTCGTCGAGCTGCTTCGCAAGAGCCTCCTTGTTCCTTGGAACAAATCTGATATTGAAAGGCTTGGGTGCATTTGCCACTCCTTGAGGTGTTGCCCCATAGGTCAGATAATCCTTTGGAGGCGGCAGGGCTTCATCAGGATGCATCTCAAATGTCAAAATCAACCGTAATAGCAACCCGTATATGATCCGATTGCTGATCTGCCACGCAGGGCATGTTCGCGAGCCAACACCGTAAGAGTAATGCGGCATTCCCGGTCCATTGATTGCTGCATCATCCAACCACCTGTCAGGCTTGAATATATGAGCATCGGGGCCAAAACGAGCGGTATCTGAGGCGAAACCAAGCATTAGCAAATGAAGTGATGTAGTAATATCATTACACCACACATCCTTACCGTGGTTCCCAGCTTCAGCGTTCATGTAGACGTAGGTCCCAGCCGGAATCTCAACTTCAACTCCGTCTTCATTCTTCAATCTGACCGTCGCCGTAGTCTCTCGTGGAAGTGAGAATGGCACGATGGTGTAATATCGCAACATCTCCTTGTATATAGCGACTAAATAAGGGACCTTTTCTTCTTGAAAGCATTTTTCGAGGGCATCTTCATCTGTAGCATAGATCTGCTGGATCTCCTTATAAGCCCGTTGCTGCATCTGGAGACCTTCCTTAGACAGCAAGCCTCCAAGTCCAGCAAAAATGTGTGACGGAATGGTTTCCAGTCCTCCTTGGAGCATCGACATACTGCATTTTATAGCCTCCTTCAGGCTGAGTCCAGCTTCCTTATCCTGCAAGACTGATGATGCAACACAATTCACTTCTTGGCCTTGATCAATCTTACTCTGAAGTTCCAAAACCACTTCTGCAATCATTCTGTCCCGGTTTTTGGAAGCATTCTTGGCTCTCAAGGCATCTTTGAGTGAATTGGGCCATAACCGCAACAGTGGGACAAAGTCAACCCATGTATTCGAACCTCCGCGAACCCTGTGAATGATAGTTAGCACCTGCCTCTGTCGGTATACGATTTCCACTCACGACGTGATTGTCTTCGCATACGATATATACTCTCTCAGCCAAGGATCATTAGCATCCCTGAAACGCTTGCCAAACGTCAGTTGGAAGGCCAAGTTCAAGCTGATCTTCCGAAAGAGTTCCAACACGAACAACGGCTTGTCTCCGAATTCACCATCATGCGTGATTGTCTGCACTAATTCAAAACCTTCTCTAGATAGCATGGAGTAGTATGACGGCCATTTCTTAGGTAAGGCAGATCTCAAGGCGGCCATGCGCTGTCTCTTAAATGGTTCGTTGAGGCTATGTGTGCCGAGATCAAAGCCTGTTAATCTGTCAGCTTCTGTCAACGCCAAACTGTGGTAATGACAAGACTCACCGACAAAATGTTTGAAAATATATTGACCAGGCCTCCCTGATGTTTGGTTCGAGTTTCGCACAAAGAGCTCTCGAACCATGCCGAAAGAGTTGGCAACCACAATTCGCCTGGTGCCATATTTGACTTGCAACAACCCCGTTCTCAACTTCTCGCCCCATTTCATCCAAAGGACACCGTCATTTACTCCACTTGCTCCTCCGTGAAGGTGCAGATGGCCGATGAACGGCCTCGCGCCGGGAAGTTCTGGTATTCCTTTTATTTTCCCGATATCCGTCACAAACGCTTGCTGTGTCCACACGATACTTAGTCAAGTTTTTTAAAACAATGCTCTCATTTACTCACCTTGAACAGGAGGAGTACAAGGCTGAAGATGATAAGTCCAAATATCAATACGTTGGCCTTGGAATATGTGGCGAGGCTTACGCCCTCTGACTGGGGCTCCAACATTGCGCAATGAGCTTATCTCTGAGGTTGCAGAAAACGACGTTCTGCCTCAACAAACTCGGCAAGATCTCTTTTGGGCAATATAAAGAGTTCATCATTAATGAAACCCACCGAAGATATGCCTGTCGAACGCAAAAACTGTGAGTTCGGTATCTCGCAGGTCACTGTGCGGCATAATCCGGAGAAGATCAAGTTTGTCCGCCTGACACGCCACGCCGCCCGTACCGAATTGTCGCTTTATTCCGCCGCGCTTCCTCCCAAGAACTTCAGCCCACATAGTGTGCTATTCTATTGCCGCATACATTATGATCAGAGAGCGATAACTGAAAGGCTCACCTAAGGATCCAGTCGTGTGGTCGAGCATAACATCGAAGATCTAGTCAACAAGTCAAATAGCTCTTGACTCACATCACAGTAAAATATACGCTAGGGTGGTTGCCCACTACTCACCCAGCATATCTCTGGTCTGGTTGACAGTGCCATGGTCGAAAGGGTGTTGATATCATACTGAATCGACGTTGACGCATGTGCAGGATGATTGAATACCAGGACTGGCATTGCAGCAAATGCAAGTGACGGCTAGAGGCGTGTGAGGAGCAAAAGCCAGGGACGGGCGTTGAGGACGTAGGGAACATTATGGTCCTCCCCTCCTGAGAAAACCGAGGCATCATATCTCCATTCTCATTATAATATTTCCTGCCATGCTTGATGCAGATTCAACGGAAAGCCCTGCCTTTAGACCGAATATTTTATTCGTCAGGAACTAACCGAATGCTCTCCACTGTCAGTAGCTTGTAATCAGATTCGTCCTTCCAATGATTGTCGCCGAGAGACTCTTCCATCTATGCAGCATCCATGCCGGCCAGCAACTCACTGTGGGGAGGTGTCCTCGTCAGCTCGGTTCTTGTGCAACAAAATCGGATTTTGGAGGCTGCTGATCAACTTACTGATCTTCACAGAGCACCTCGAGCCCAGGAACACAATCAATCAGGGTATAAATGGCGAAGGAGACCCCGAATGCCCAATTGAACCCAATAACAGCCTCAAGGATTTGGAAACCAAGCTGTCGAATATTGCCATCAAATACAGCCCCTCCAAGGATCTCTGTGGCGCCATCGTAAGCAGCAACCTAGTTTGTCCTTCATGACATAAGGACCTGCATTTGCGAGTACGACAAGTGAATACTTCACCATCATAGGCCGGCTCGTCGTATAAGTGGACCTCGTATTCGTAAGAGGCTCAGGGGATACAGCGATTCTGCTCAGCCTTGCGAAGCGAGACCAATCACAACAGCGAAATCGTCCGCCATGACGTCAAGTCTTCATTCGTACTCGTTTGCGTACAAAAATTCACCCTGCATCTCATTGGAATTTAAGGCGAGCTCGGTTGAGCGTTTGTGCCTTGGTCCTTGCCTATTCAGCATCGGAAGCAATTTAGAATTGCACAGAACAAGACCAAGGACTGTGTGATACTCTTCTTGGCTGAGGTAGACTTGTCGGCTGTAGAAAATCGTTTACAAAAGTCCACTGTTGTGCAGAAGTAATTGCCCAGTATAACCATGCCTACCCGTAATCGTAATTATCAGGACAAGGCGCGTGGAGTTGTTCATCACCTAGGTGGTATAAAATTGGCCACCTGGTACATAACGCCGTATTTATGCCACCAATATTGCAATGCTCCTCTTTCCGACAAACTCCAAGAACCGCTGTTTCTGGCATGCATGGATGGCGGGTGACAACTTTGCTTGTCGCCCGGGAGAACGCTTAGACAAGGATGGACACGCCGCCCACCTGGGCAAGGCCTTGAAGCTCAGCTTCGTTTCTCGCCCACAGAATGCCCTCCTCCCATTCCGGAGCGTAGTCATTTTGGAGCAGAGCCAAAGATACGGACAATTCTGCGACTAGATTCTTGCCCGCCGGCCGCGCCCACCACGCATCGTGGCCGAGTCGTGCCAGAAGCACTCCCCAGTGCATCAAGATGAAAAGTGCCATGGGATTTGATTCCGCCACAGCGGACGTAAACTCCTTTCCGCACAGCCCTGGAAATGCTGTACATATACAGCGGATTTCATCTTCGATTTCTTTGGCAAAGAGGAACTCGAGATTGATAATACAATTCTTGAAGAGCTGTCTTGTAGCATCAGAGGTCTTGGCTAGCCCCTGTCCGTTAGGGGTTCGATGGGCTTCGTTTACAGCGTGGAGACGCTTGATCGACTTCTTGGTGTTGTCATCTAGCAGGTGGAGCGGGTTCCGACGGAATTCTTCCAACGGAAATGTGATTGGGCCATCTTTGAGCCAGTCCCAGCAGCTGAGCGTGATGGCCGAGATTCCATGAAGTAGATCAAATGCCACCAGAACGTGGTCCAATGTGCTCGTTTGTTCGAGCCCGTCAGAGACACAATGGGGAATGACAAGGTTGATGGCCACAGCCAGCAGACCAAAGAGAAACACCGCCTGATGATTTTCTTTAGTCAAATTACTAAGTTGCCACCGGTACTGGCCACTGGCCTGTTCATAATATTGGAGAGCTGCTTGGACGTAAACGGAGACGTCAGCTGCGCAAGGGGAAACAGCAATGTCTAAAGCCGAAAGAGCCAAGATGCCGTCCATTAAGAAGTCGAATTTTAGGGCGTCTTTGGGTGCCAGAGTTTGCCAGAGTTCAATGTCATCGGGTATCCCTACAAGGCTCCGAAAGGTACGTGTCGTCCACCGATGCATGAGCTCTAACTCGAGATGTTTGCGTGTCGGCAGTGCTATGGTTGACATCTGACAGGGCGTGCTCTGCTCGCTACTCTCATGGCCCGGCTGTAAGGATGCCCTTCTATCTTCCTTTGCCTCGGGCCAGATTTCTGGCGACGCACTATAGCTGCATGGCGTGTTTCGATTCTTGCAATTTGTGCATATTGGAGTCTGCTCATCGCACTACTCCGTACAACACCAACGGTGTTAGCGTCTGTCATTTGGTCCACCTCGTAACATACCATAGCCCACCATGCGACTCATTCACTTCGAATATAGACAATCACTTACTTTCACGTGCCTAGCTTTACACCTCTTACAACCGTTTCGAGACTTGGGGTGAGACTTTCTGGTGGACATGGGGAATCGCATTTGCGCATGAGTGTCAGGATTGTGCATGTTCTAGCATAATTCCTTCTCTAATGGTGTTTGTGTCATTGGGGTGACCTTCCACCCTGATTTATGGTCCCGTCGGAAGTTGAGGCGTCCCAAGTGGACTGTCCGTCGGTAAATGGCAGCAATGATTGGTCACGATCGGCTTCCATTGCTTGGAAACGGCGGAAACCGTCGGATCTTTCCAAGAAAGGGAACGTCTGGGCATTGCAACCGTCGCATTTCGACGAATCTAAGACGAACACTGCATGTTGTAGAGTACATATACAGGCACTAGACTATCCCGAAATCTCACAACTGGGCTCGAGAAAGCGGCCGAACCACGAACCCAACCTTGGGGAAATGCACTCTCACTTCGCCCACTGCTGGGCGTTGGCTACCGATGCCGCCAGGAGAAATGACTATCTCCTCTGGGGTAATCGCGAGCAAGTTACCGGTCGTAGGGTTCCCGCGGCCAGTGTCATCTGGAGCAATACTGACCAAGCTGCCGGGTTTGATACCATTGCGAGTATCGAGAGCTGTATGAGGTGGTGCAGGGGTTGGCAAAATGGTCACCTCTTCGCTTAGGTTGGTTGATTTCAACTCTGCCAGGATTTGGCGGATGCCGTTCTCATCGTTTCTTTGGATTCTGGTCTCCGTAGAAGGAAGGCTTCCAAGGTACTGAGAAAATCGTCGAAACCATTCTGACAGGTGCGGGTACCGCTCAGCATTGAATACTACAGCGATGCCCTCCCCGCTCCCATCAACCGCCCCTCCACCCGTAAGGTCGCCGACGCCTTCGCCCCGACTAATCTTCTCAGCCCAATCCAATTGATAGAAAAGGGCGACATCTCCAGCGCTAGGGGTGGCTGTGTGGAAGAGCCACTTGTGGCCAGTGAGTTGAGGTTCCAGAATGCTTAGATGATCATCAAGCCCACTAAGATTCAGTGGCACTTTGCGGCCTAGTTTCTCTGCATCAAGCTTGTGTCCTATCAAGTTGGCCCGGTCCTGACCGAATGTGGTACGCCACACCTCCACTGGGATGACTCCAGTTGTAAGGCGGAAGAATGGTCGATCAACCCAGAAGGAGGCAAATCCTCGAATCAACGGGCGAAATGCCGGGTTGGGATATACCGTACCAAATCCTCGACTCGTAGGGAATCGATGCTCTAGTACTTCGATGATGAGAGACGTGTCGATGTATATCTGTGGAAGGAAGTCAATGCTCAGCCATGGAAGACCCTCCATATTCCAAGAAAGTGAGACCTACATCCTTCCCAATGGCAAGCACAGGGATCTTTCGGTATGTGACATTGAAATTGTCCTTCAATATTGGTCGAGGCATCATAGATGGCACAATAATGAAGGCTTTCAAGATCAGTCAAGTCGACTTGGAGTCTGGGGCTGCTTACTATAAGGGATTTGCTTCAGCCTCAGGACATGCCTGACCTTTTGGGTGAAAGGGGAGGCTGAACGTTTTGTATGAGCATTTCAACAGGTACATTAAGACGTGAAAACACTCTCGAACTCACAATCATATCCAAACAGTACCACTGGCAGATTTGTCGAGTTCGAAGAGGCCATGTTCAATTTGGTCGAGACCTACTGGTGAGGCCAAATTCACAGACGGTGATAATACCTGTTGAGATCTGACTGAGAATATTGATTTGTCTAGGTGAGGAGCACAGAGATGTTCTATGTCGTCTGGAAGACATGCAACTCTCATATATGTTTACTTGACGGATCAAGTGACGAATTTGGTGATTTTGTCGAGGCTGATGGAACAGAAGTTGATCTCCGCATATGCAAAAATTACCTCGGATGTGATCAGCACACGTCATTACAAACCTGTGTGGCAGATCTCCAAGTACATCCGCGTCCAAATTGCCCAGGTGACAATATCAAAATGTCATTTGAAAGATGGTGTCATTTCTGCCGAAAAGCTCAAGGTACCTAGATACGTAATCAACCTTCGTATTCAGTTGGCAGCGGTTCTAAGAGCACCATATAGCAGATGAGAATTCTCACGTTGCAGCCTCGCTTGGCTCATGCCATTGTTATGGTGTCATCTCTGCATGCGCCGAGGTTCATTCCCATGGAGCTGGTGCAACAGGGCATTCATGGTCCACTCGGCTATGGGACCTCGTGACCTGTCGCCGAGCTCGAAGGGCGTCTTTTTGAGTCAAGTTCGTTGATATAGAACTCCTGCACGAGGTACGGTCAAATGGATGGAGATGTTTCGGTCAGCAGTTGTTGCCGTTTGTTTCTAGAGCCGAGCCCGATTTGCCGAGCTTTCTCCTCTAGACAAAATCATTCCTCCATCACAGGCAGCTTGAGCAAGGTATGCAAGTCTGGCCATCGATTGCTCATAGAAATATCCTAATGCACAGGAGCCAAATAGGTTCCTCTCAGTGTCAGGGAAGCAAGAAATCATGCCATGATTGCATTGTGTTTGGCAAGATCACCATCAAAAACGGTGGGGACATGGACGTCCAGTATACCGCTGGCAGAAGTATATCATTCCCCGTGCAAGGCGGTTAGGAGGAACGATGGCACGTGGCAGTGTAAGTCGTCTTTGACAGTTAGATTCTCCATTTTACAATGATGCATTGAGAAAGCAACCAGAGGGCTGGACATTCTCCTAGAGATCATACTGAGCGACATGCAGAGCTCGACATCAACGATCCGTCAAGACATACCGCAGAAAGGCTTGAACTATAAATCTTAAAATCCAGCGGATCGAATCATTGCGACCAAGTACTAGGCCCCTTTAGGTTGGCAGGAGAATGCTTTGTCGTCTCCTCTCCTTGACCTAGAGAGGACCATACTCGGGCTAACAGAGTTGGCCTAGAAGAAAGTTGTTCCAGAACGGCCTTCCCTGGTTGTGCAGCTAAAATAAGGACTCATGGACGAAACCAAAGGAGAACTGCAGCCCGGTCTGGACCCCTCGTGTTGTTGTTGAGTTAGGCGCAACATTGTCAGGACCTAAGCCCAAGAAAAGTCATTGCCAGCATCAGCAACAATGGAGACAAACGTATAGGATGGCACGGATGGGGCGTGAGTCCGTCGAGTGCGAGTCCGAGCGTTCGACCGACATCGATCAAGGATTCAAGGCCGTGAGGATGTGGGGCCCATCGCCCTCTGGCGAGCTCAAAGAATTCGCAGTTTATGAGGGTAGGCGATTGTCCAACAGAGTGCACCGACAAAGTTTTCATCTCTCTCTCTCTCTCTCTCTCTCTCTCGACGCTAAATGTCGACGAGATACGTGGTCGCTTTCGGTGCCATGTGGAATTAGAAGCATGAAGAAAGGTGCTACCGTTACCCTTTCTGCTCTCTACCCACCTGGTCAAAGCTTTGAGGCCAGTGCGCCAAAGGTTCCAGAAGACAATAGTTTGATCCAAATCCGGAGACACCGTTCCAAAATGATTGATTGATAGGCTTCAAGTAGAGACCTCCACTTTTGAGCCTTTCTAACGCCTGCCATGGGTCTGATAACGAAACTCAGTGTATGCCCAGCGGGCAACCGCGAGCAAAATTCGGACTTAGACTCAGACAACAACATTAGCAAAAAAAATCTTCTGGTCATAAGTTAGTTGCTCCGGTCTTGCCAAGGGAAGGGGCTGTCCTTCGTCTTCGGCCCCATCGACAGGCATATAGCAGCACCACGGGATAGGTCTAATGGCATTACTTTGATGAAAGGCCTGATCAATCACGTCGTGCAAAAGGAATCCAAGAATGTAGACAAGTCTTGTGTCATAGACCAGCAATCTGAGTAGGCAGTCGCTAATAAGAATCGTCCCGATGCATGTTCGCTCAGAACCAAAAAGACAAGATGAACACTACAGTCATGTACAGCGTGATACCCGAGTTCTGAGCCTCAAAGGCCCAGGCAGCCCAGGTAGTTTTGGTTTTCTTGGATTCCTCCTTGGGGTATGCCACCCCAGTCACAGGGTCTCTGTCCAACAAGTCCTGCCTATCCGGCATCGATGGTGGGAACAGGGCATAATTGATGGGAACCCAACACGACAGGACACAGGTCAGCCAGATAATGGGTGGCCAGAACGCATGCGTCAGCAATGACAGCAAGATCTCCTTGGCGGTGTTGTTCTCGGGGTCAGACACATTCCAGTAGATACTCACACCGACTGCAGCCACGACGAACATGATATAGATCAAATGGAGGTAGCATTGGCAGTCCCAGATCGTCACCCATAACCGACGCCAAACAGGTGCCCGGAGGATGGGGTCTCGTTCATTAAGGTCGGCTTTCTGCGACCCAGAAGACGTAAAGACGGCGACTTTGCCACCAAGCCATTTGGGTAACAAGAAGGTGCGAATGACGGACAAGGCATGGACTAAGACTGTTAGTACATCATCGAATACGGTGCCTCGCAAAAAGCTTACATGGAGCCATCCACATCATTGCTCGCGCATCTCTTTGGCCAGTTCGATAGCCTGATGGTAGATATGAGATAAATTCGTTGACTCGGTTCAAGACAGTTGTCAAGAAATTTGCTCGAATAAGCCATTTTAGTTGGTTCATTGTCGTGTACGGAACCATATTGCCGCCCGCAACCAGGACGATTGGAGCTGTGAACATGGACATAACAAGGAAGATTGTAAAGAGTGAAGATATGGTGTACACAAATCCACAGAGGCGCTGAGGAAATGTCATGTGTTTAACGAGGGGCCCGAAGATACTGAATCGCAGTTTGAAGGATGTCTGCACGGTGCCAATCGTCTAATACGTATTAGTGGGAGAGATACCAGTATTAGAACGGACGCTCTTACCCATCGTGTACGTTGCTTCAGATGGCTGGTGAGTGAATCGGGAACTGTGCCAAACTGGAGTGGCTCATGGATAAAAGCGGTATTCCAGCCTGACCCGAGAAGCATACTAGAACAGCAAACATCTTCTGCGAGAGATCCAATGGGAAATCCTCCAATGGACTGCAGTGCAGCTCTTCTTAGCACGTAACCAGAGCCAGTGCACCATGCCACGCCCATTGAGTCCTTGATCGGCTCTGAGATGTGGACAAATGTATCAAGGCTTTGGCACAGCGGATCGTCCGGAGGGACATTGTAGAACAGCTTGGATTTCGTTAGCGATGGACTACACCCACAGTGGAGTCAAACAAACCTGAGGAGGACAAGCCATCGAACACTTTGGATCCTGAAGCATATGTGGGATCAAAGCTCTCAGCCAGTCTCTCATTGGTATCATGTCGGCGTCGAGAGCAGCAAGGAAATTTGCGGCACCACCAGGAAGTCTGGCAGTCTCTTCCAGTGCATCGTTCAAGTTACCAGCCTTAAAGTGGTGAGGGACCCCAGGATACTTGGGCCGTGATCTGTAGTAAAGATTGTCGAACTGATTGAGGGCCGTTTTCTCCGTCATCTCCTGCAGGGTTTTGGACTTGCCATCGTCACAAATAATCACCCGGAACCTCTCGGGGGGGTAGTCGATGTTACACGCAGCCTTGGCTGTGTCGAGCACCAGATCATCATCCTCACCGCAGCAGGTGATGATGACATCGACGGATGGGACATTGTCGCCAACGAGTCGTAACCTGGGTCGCTTTCGAAGGCCTACAACGTGCCAACCCCACATACGATGCAGCAGCATCGGTATCGAGACGAAGAGCTCGACCACGATAAAGGCCCAGGCCATCCAGTAGGTTTTATGTGCTGCCGATTCGGCTTGGCGTGTGAACTTAACACGCAGGGCAAAATAGATGAAGTAGGCGGCAATGGTGACGACAACCAGGATGGGGCATAACCGGTAGAGTAATCTTTTGGCAGGTGACAAAAGTTCAATGTCATCATGTGCGGCGAGACGTTGGATGGAATATTCGGCCTCTTCTTCACTCATTCCCTGTCGGACGTAGTCCACAACCGAAGTAGAAGATGGGACTGTCTTAGCGGGTTCTGGTGACTCAATAATGTCCAGGCTTGCTGAAGTGCGAGAAAACCGGCGCGCATTGAATTGACCGGGTGGAGAGTAGCCGGCAGAGGAAACTCTGCGTATTTCGTTCACTTCGAGGCCGAGCGGATTGCCTTGCGTTACTGTCAAGGGATCAAGCTTCTCCACGGCATCAACCAAGGCCACCGACGCCCTCCGCATAGTGTGCGACATTCGCCGGCGCATTTCATGCGCATTTGACATCCTGCGTGATCTTACTGGAGCAATACTTTCATTCCATGAGTTGCGGTTGGAGGTGAAGGGGTGATGCCAGTGAAAATGAGCATGTTGGCTATGGTGGCTGTGGTAGCTGTGAGGTCTTCCCGTTGTCGAGTTGGTCTGTTTTGATCAGCATCGGAGATCCAAGGCAGGAGGAAAAGAACCTCTACACACATCCTTTTTCTCCATGTTCTCTGTTTTCTCCGACTCGTCTTCATTTCCTGAGGATACCTCCACATCAGCAACGGGAGATAGTCTGCCTTCACTTGTGTCCAACGAGTGCATAGGCGACCTCGTCGACGAGGTCCTAGAATGTCGCGGGGTAAGACGATTATCCATCACTGCGTATTGCTGAAGCAAGTCCTACCTGCCGAGTCGGTATCGTCTCAGGAGCGCCGCAGCAGAGCTGAGGATATATCAATGTTTGTCGATATGGTGAACTACGATGACCAACCATATTGATTGCACCATGCAATAGTCTTTGGGACGCATGGATCATGTCTCCACCGGAGTAAGCCACTGATTGGGCCGGTATGGACAAAATTCCATCATGGCTATTAAGCCTAACGCCGATATTGTGCTTCGGTGTCTGTCCAGACCTGGTCGAAATTTGAGTTTTTGAGGTTGATAAAGACCCGCCAGATAGCCAGGCTCCTGGTGGGGTCGGACTCGGTTGCAAGATCCTCGCACGAGGTCCGGAATTTGTAGTAATGGCGTCGATTCTAGCGCAGTGCGCAGGTCCAGATCGTAGGACACCCACTCCTACCACGTTTAGCATAAAACTTCTTGCTTGATACTAGCCCAAGAGAGTAGGCATGAATCGCCTGTGACGACTAGTCTCTGAAGTCGGAGCTGGATCCAGCGAGGTTAAGGTCCTATGTGCAGAGTCCGAGGCATGAGCAAGATGCTGAGACTGGCACCTGGGCGGCACCCGGATCCTACCTGTTGTGAGACCCCAGAGAAAGACCAAATGCTTTTCGATGCTCTTCGAGCCCACAGAATGGGCAATTCTGACCCAAGATGCTGCTGTCCCGTCCCACTCGATGGGACTAGCAGGACTGAGTGCATAGCGGTCCATGCGCGACTAGAAGCAATAGCTTGGAGTGACAGTTGGTGAAAATCAGTCCACCGAGTGCGTGCACGAGCATGGGGCACGGATCACCTGTTGCCGGGAGGACCGACTATTGAGAGGGACAACGGCAACAACACAGGTTAGTAGCGGGTGTCGAGATCTCTTGTCATGTACGTATAGATCTTGGGAAACTTTTCTAGATCGCACTAGGAGTAAAGTACTCCGTATGCGTGCTAGAGAAGGGTTCAATAATGATGAACGGTCGTCATGATGTCTCTGGTACGATCGAGAATCCGATACGCGAAAAAATCGAGATATCTTGGCAGTATCTTCACGTGATATCAAGTCTTGGCACTGTTTCCACTAGGCTTAGTCAAGCGGAAGGAAGCGATTTTCATCTTCTTCAGCCTTTTCAGAAATGAATGATATCTTCTATCAACCCTTGAGCCTCTAGCTTGATGGAGACCTCAGTCCGCTCCTTTTAGACTGACTTGTACATAGTGTTGTATCCACCCGCTTTTCCTTAATGCCAGACTTGAACTCGCTGAGGCTGAAGTGGACTTGTACATGGAGGACATGAAACCCTGGGCCGCGACGATTCGACTCGTCTTCACTATTGAAGCTTTACCGGATTCATATGATTGGATTGTGAGTCATAGAAAAGATATTTTGCTTTCTACACCCCAAACGCGTCTTTGATCTTTTCATTGCCAGTTCCCATCAAGACTCAACAAGCACTCCATCAACTTGCTTCTCATCAGGTCCTAGTTGGCCCAAAGCCTCCCTTCGTGTCGGCGCAGCAGGGTCAAAGTATGGCACTTCTCCAAGAGACGTGACACGTGTACCGTGGCGCGGATAGTTGCCGGCATAATCCCAACTGGCGTTGTGGATGGTAATTCTTCTCTTGGTCAGCGTACGTCTTCAGCACGGGCATGTAAGACAAACCTGTTATCCCAGATGGCGCTTGTTCCTGGTGTCCACTTGAACCTCACCTGAATATCAATGTTCCGTTCATACACGTCGTACAGATATCCCAGGATGAGATCGCTCTCGGGTTTGTCCAAACCAACGATTCTATCGGTCATTGCCCTATTTACCCAGAGCGCTTTCCAACCTGTGGCAGGATGAACCCGAACCAGAGGATGAGTGCGCTCAATATATCGTGGGCCGGCTGTTGGGTTTTCGCGGTCTATGTAAGCATGTGCCGATCTATACACGGCACGCTTGCCGTCAATCAGCTTGCGAAAATCCGGTGACAGCTTCTCATATGCTGCGTATCCGCTGGCCCATAATGTGTCACCTCCAACAGGAGGTGCTGTGTCAAGATGCAGATGCGTGATCGAGGCGGGAGCGGCCTCGTGAACGAGATCTGAGTGCCACCGGGAAGCCCCACCGGGGCGTCTATATCCTGCTGGATATTCTGTGGCCTGCAGCGCTGGCCAAATTACGGTGGCCCCTTCGACACCAGGAACCTGTGGGACTTGGGGCTTTCGGAAACGTTAGTCAGATTTTAAGCATGACCACACTACTATTGAAGGGATCAAGGAAGTGGCCCGCACTCACATGGACTTCCACTTCACCCCAGTACTCCCCAAGAGACTTCTGTTGCTGAGGACTCAAGTCTTGATCTCGGAAGAAAACCACGCTTCGTTCAGCAACTAACAGTGCAAGTTCATCCTTTTGTTGGTCGGACAAATCTTTGAGCTGGAGTCCTTCGATCTCGGTGCCAATGTAAGCTGTCAAATCTGTCACCTTGGTTGCCGCAGAGAACAAAGCCTTCTTTTCCTTGTCTGCTCGGGCACCGCGTTCGTCATGGTCACCCGGGGAGTCTCTGATCTTGTAGACGTCCTGAAGGTAAAGAGGCTTGTTTGGTCTGTAGGGATAACCATTTGACAGATCAATTCCAGCCTTCTCAAGTCGCCTGCGAGTCGGCTCTGGGAGTGCTAAGGTATCTTTCTTCTGAACGACATAATCACTGGGCGGAAGATCAATTAAGGCTGGAGCCATTTTGATTTGAGTTACGATTTAGAGAAGTGCTTACTGAATTACATGTCAACAGGAAACAAGTGGAAGTCCACATCCTTATTATGCAGACCCTGACGCTCAACTTCGGCCGAGATCTCCTCCGGGTCAGCAGTTGGTGGGTGTTGCTGATAGATTCATTCAACTAATGATGGAATTTGTCCTAGGAATTACGTGCCGTGGAGCTCGTTCTGGACGTCAGTCTATCTTCTGACACGAAACGGATCAAGATACCAACCTTGACTAGCAGAAGCCAGAGCAACTGCGGCACAGAAGTTACACCAATCTTACAACACCTTCGCTGGCAACCCCGCCTGTTCGAAGGCCTTGTCCAGCGAATAGGTATCTCAATATTTGTGCGTTTGCAATCCCAGGCAAGCCTTCGATCTCTGACTGGATGAATGGCGATGTCGTGCCCGTCACGTGACGCATTGCGTGCTTGGACGGTGTCAGGGGGTCCTCCGCTTGCGATCTATCTTACAAACAGGGAACATGTCAAAATTGAAATGGCGATTCTGGAGTACATGGAGGTTACATTGAAGTGACTGGAGTGACTGCGTCAAAGATTCGACGTTCTCTACCGATCAATTGTGTTTACTCGCTGGGTCACACGACAAGCACAACTGTCTATGTCTCCATCGTGGCCGAAATGCTTGGAAGAGCTTAATTCACAGCCAGGCTCTTGCAAAAGCCGGGGCATGAGCGTGATCATTTACAGCACGCAATAGTGTCTCTGAATTTGACTATCCAGTCATTTTGGGAGGATGACACAAGATGCTTGATTCCCGAGGTGAAATTCATGTCTGCGAAACTGGCCCGAAAGCAGTCTTCTTTTTCGACATACTTTTCACCTTGTGCCTTTGGGGGAGATACTTGCTTAAGTGAGATCCTGAATGCGTGTGTCGTGAGAGGCTTAGTTGGCTGTGTTTGGCTTTACCTGTGAAACAAGTATTCAAGGGTTTGAGTACGCTAAGGCCGCAGTCAAAGATCAAGGGAGCAACCTCATTACACGAGTTGATACAAGGCTGTTTATTGCCTAATCAAGACAGCTTAGGCGAAAGCCACTTGTTACGTGTGTATACTGATGATCAAAAGGGGCCGTACAGTAATCTCGAGGCAGCTTTCCTTGCCTCGCGATCTGACCATTTTCGGCCTCTACATCTGATGATCCACGAACTTCTATTTTGAATACTTAGAGCCATGAACAGTGAATGATGCGTTATGGTCTCGACTTCCGCCTTGCCCAGCGTTCACTTACAGCTTTTGGGAGCAGCCGAATGTCTATCTTGTTCCCCAACTATCAGCGGGTCATGCCGCAAAACAACCTCGCTCTACAGGCGAGGATGGGTTCATTCTCTCTAGAGATGTCTAATAGAAAAGATTCGAGACCTGTACCCAATACGACTAGTGTAGATGAATGTCTCGTGCTCGCGGGACGATGAACCGGTCTAGACTCAATGTCGACAAGACGGCGTCGATGCCGCCATTTGGGCGTTTTATGAGGTCGATTTCAGACTGAAGAATGTGAAAACATCACTCCACTGACATCAACCCACAAGTATAATCAGACGAAAGTCTGGTGTTGGAGCACATGTCGTCGGGAACTCGGCAGGACCACCGGACGAAATAAGGCCGCCGTCAACGTGATGGGGCCTGAAGATCATGTTGCGCTCGTAAAACTAACGCTGACCGCACAAATCTATCTACACTTTGGAAGCCTAGTCTTACTCGGAAGCACGCAAGTAGACAATGGGATTGATAATTCAGTTGTTGGGTTTGAACTAAGGCGGACAAATATGGCGCCATGCAACCCATATGATGGCGTGATTAGGAGTTGGTTTCGATATGGACATTGCCGTGCGCTGGTGGCCCTGGACATGAATGACTGCATCTGATACCTCTTGTAACTGATCGAGGTTCTTTTGAACGCCTAATCTATCCGGTCGCACAACGGTCAGTCAGCGTAATTTCCCACGTTTGGAGTGCCCCAACTGTATCTGATTCCACTGTAGAAGATAAGATGGTGGCTCGCAAATACAAAAAGGTTGCTGTCATCGGAGCAGGCATCAGTGGAGTCAGCGCCGCAGCACATCTCATCAGGAATGGACTGGAGCCAGTTCTGTTTGAGAGGTCGAGTGCCGCGGGAGGAGTCTGGCATTTCGATGAACGCTCAGCATTAGAGCCACAGTACCCAAACGCAAAACCTTCTTTTGGTGATTATGTGGTGCGACCGGCGCAATCATACAGCACTCCTCCGCCTGAATTAGAGGATCAGAAGGATTTTGAGACCGCTCATGCTCCCCCAGGGCCATCTTACTGGGGATTGAAAAACAACATCTCCACCCGGGCCATGAAAACAAGTATCCAGGAGTGGCCTGAAGGGACGAAAGACTACGTCAAGCGACAAGTTCTTGAGGAATACATCCAGGCAATATCAAACGACCACGGAGTAGCAGCGATTACCCAGTATAACACGCGTGTCGAGGAGGTGCGTAAGCAAGGCGATGAGTGGGTTGTGCGGACGACGACATTGCAGAAATCGGACGCAGGGTTCCATTTGTTGGAACGAAGGTGGGTGTTTGACGCTGTGGTTGTCGCCTCTGGACATTACAACATGCCTCATGTGCCAGCATGGCCAGGGATCGGAGATTGGAAAGCAGCGCGACCCAAGGACGTGTGGCATTCCAAGAGATATCGCAAGCCGGATGAGCTGCGAGGCAAGAATGTTCTAGTGATCGGAGCGGGAGTGTCATCAAACGATATCATCAAGGAATCTGTCGCAATAGCCAACAAGATCTATCAGAGTGCAAGAGGCGGTGCACTTGACATACCAGTGAGCCTCCTCCCTGAAAAGGCGAGCAGAGTCGCCGGGGTGGTGTCATTCAACCTCGATCGTGATAAACTGGCGACGGCAAAGGAGACAGATCCTATACCAGGAACAATCACCCTGACCGATGGGCAAGTTTTGAGCGACATACATACCGTAGTCATCGCCACTGGGTACGTTACCTCATACCCGTTTCTCCCACAGCTGCACAACGACGACCTGCCGGCATCCGAGGCAGACGAATACGTCCTTGTCACCAAGGAAGGAGAGCAGGTTCACAACCTTCATAAGGACATATTTTATATCAAGGATCCATCTCTGGCCTTTGTCGGGGTACCGTACCATGTAGCGACGTTCTCGGTCTTTGATTTCCAGGCTCAGATTGTTGCCAGAGTCTTCAGTGGGAAAGCAGAGGTCCCTCCTGAGGAGGAACTGCGGGCAGAGTACAAAGCACGCGTGGAGAAGAAGTCGTTGGGTCGGAGCTTTCACAGCCTTAAAGAAGACAATGGAGAGATCAACTATGTCAAGGATTTGGTGGAATGGGCTAACCGAGATGCTCTGAAGCTGGCGATCGACGATCCAATGGTTGGCCATACGGAGCAATGGCACCAGGCATTCAATGAGAGCAAAGAGGCACTCAGATGGATGTTATCTCCCAAGGACAAGCGTATTGGAACCCCACCAGCATCGCTGCAAGCTTTGCTCGACGCCTTCACGGGGGTGTCGGAGAAGTAGGTTGGAAAGAGATCTCAAGAAAGACGATAGAGTCTATACCTGAGTATTTGACATTTCAACTGTAGATGGAACGAGGCGGTTAACGGCTGTGACATTGTCCGCTTTCTATTCATTTACCCAAACCAAAGAGACAAATACCTTCTTCGTTACGTATATGAAGGTCGAATGCTTCCTCGACGTTGGTTGCACGTGAGAATATCTGACGCCAAGGCTGCGTATAAGAGCCTTTATACTTGGCCATTTATACTGCCTCTCACACTTATACTCCGCTGTATGGCTAAACCCCATTAGGGTTTATTCTGGATTCGAACCAAATTTCCAGCTTTAAGGTTGAGCATCATCGCCGTCAGAGCCATCGAGAATACATCCTCCAACAGACGTTGACCCTGTTATCCCTGTGACCAGCTCCCGAGCAACTACGTTTGCTGATCCTCCGGAAGACACTGTTTCCCTCCATATAGTCGACTCCCCCGCTCTACCACCCATCATGCCACCGAAGCGCATCGCAGTTCAACCCGGCCGCCGAGGCCAACAACCCAAGGGCTACTTCAGCTCCATCTATCACGGTCTGACATCAGAAGAAAACGCCAGTGTTGTGATCAGTGTTGCATTGTTTGGCGTAAGTCTTGTCCCTATATCCCAACCACAGGCCTCAAGGCGGTACCGATGCTGGATTTCGATTATGTTTGGCCTCTTTCGCAAGAAACCCAGAATTTCTCGGTCATCGCGACTGAGACTCGAGGCCACGGGTTGATGCCATATTTGCCGGTGTTTGGTCGATGCAAAGCCATGCGAGTGACTGCACAGTATGCGAGCACTACCAAGACCAGTCATCTCCAAGGGCTACTCTCAATCCATACAGACATATTTTTCCACTTTCTCTTTATGAGGCCCTAACTAACACCACTTGTGTTTCTACCAGGCTGCTGTCGCCTTTTTCAATTCCGACTGGAGTGAGATCCTGCTCCCTGCGTAAATCGACATTACACGAATCCCCGAGTACGAAGAAAGAACCAAAGCCTCTCCCCTCCTGGGCGAGCATGTTGGAAACCAATCTGTGACTCTGTAGCCTCGGAAACCCCGGATGGCTGCGTGGCCTGTGGTGGGTTACAAACTATAAAAGCATGGCATATGGATCTGCTAGGTTGGGATCAGAACTCAAAGACACGAGATCGACAAGATTGAGAGTCGGCTATCCTTGACGGTGGTTGTGTTGTATTGTACCCATCATCCTGACTGGAGAAGGTATTTTTGTGGATGTCATAGTCATCATGGTCAACGAAACCAGGAGGTTGATGGGCTCGGTTATGTACATTATCTGACCATTCCTAGCGAGTCATTGTTAAAACCAAGAAGGGGGAGGGTTTCATAGATTGGGGCAGATCTTGACCAGATCTCCATGGCCATGATTGTACAATGATAATTGAATCAACAAGTGCTAGACATGAAATCTATGCTCTACTAAAATTTGTACTAGCAGGTGGTTGGAAATCCTATGGTATCTATAACTATTTACTCGGCGCGAGACATACACACAGGTCAACCTATTTCGCCAGTCATGCTGCCGTTCACTCAAAGGCAGCGCGTCATCTGCCAATCTGTAAAGGAGACTCTCGCCGCCCAATCCAATTTTGCCGCTTTGCACACACGCCTTTTCTCTATACAATTTGGTTCGCGTTGGTAATCATGACCTGACACAGGTTGGGATACGTAAATGGCAGCTTGCTTGAGTATGTATGATATCAGATCTCTCGACTTGGCTCGGTTCAATCAAGCCTCTTGCGCGTGCCTCGTTCGCTAAAATTCTGCGAGAGTCGAAATTGCCATTTTTGGGTGGGATTCTATACAGTTTTGGTGGGTTGAGTCTTGGTTGGAATATGTATTTGATGACGGAGTTGACAACGACAGAGACAGAACGGCGGCGATACGATGTGTACATATTGATTTTGCTGACCACGTAAGAATAGTATCGTGCCCCGCAAAGAGTTCGCCTCTGCGTCAAGCAGAGTTGAATGTAGCGATCTGGGGCGTTGTTCGGATTAAGGTCCAGGAGTGGTCGTTTGGAAGAGTACAAGGTAGATCATAAGGAAATGAGTTGTCTGCATGATGCTGAGTCCATCGCAGGGAGCTGAGGAAGATCAGCCAGCAACGCGGATGTATCTCAACATAACCATGCCCAGGATACTGCGAGCGACGGTTTCAGGATGTCGCTCCGTAGCCATTTCCATTTGCATCTGGAATCAGGGACTCGGTTGCTTCTTCGGCCTCGTGCTCGAGCTGAGCTCTCTTCAACGTTCGAGCTTTGATCGAAGTGAAGATGACTAGAGCCCCACCGACAATGACAGCCAAACTCAGCAAGATCAGGTTGATAGGCACTGGGTTCAAGTTGAACACAACATGGGTTATAGCATCGAGGGGCGACTGGAGGAAGTTGAAAAGACCTGCAAGGCAGATGATAAGTCCGTAGACTTTGCCAAACGTCTGAAAGCCAAAGACTTTGGCGGCGTAGTCGGACACGGTGGTGTAGTAGAAAGGCCGGTAGACAACAAAGAGGCAGACATTGGCAATGGCGCCCCACATGAAAGGCAGGCAGCCAAGGATACCGATGATGGTGGCCGCCACCACCAGGAAGCCCAGAGCAAACGGGGTAGATGTGTTGTCAAGGAGAATTCCGATAAAGGGGATGCTCAGAACACCGCCCAGTGGGAGTGCCACGTCGAAGAAGTCATTGACGGCCTTTGCCTTTTCCGGCGAGCCGAGGAGGTATTGTTCCTGTGGCCGGATGGTTGCGACGAAATAGTTGATACGAGTCATTTGGACGACGGTGAACATGGTAATGAGGATAAACCAAGGTGACTTGATCTGTTCAAAAGCGGTATGACCATGCATGGCACCCCAGACGCCAGAGATGGCGTTCTTGCTCTCTTGGACCTTTTGACGTTTGGCATTGGTGGACTTGTCGAGTAACTGGGTTACTTCGGTCACGGTCATTCTGCGTTCCTCGCGGATGGAAAGAATCTCGGCTTCTGTGAGGTCTGGAGGGGTGGGTGCATTGATGGCTTCTTCGGCCTCGTGCACCACTTCGCTGACGGTCTTGTAGGAATCTTTGGGCATGACAAAGACCTGGACAATGAATATGAAGACGGGGACCACCAGATAGGCCAGGAACATGTGTTGAGTCTTGATGGTCTTGTTGGACTTCTCATACAATATGCGGAAGAAGAGGAACAGGGCCGATGAAGAGTCGAAAGCACCAGTCAACACAGCCAAGATGAGACCTGAGTTTTTTGGAAAGGTGTTGGACAATTGAAAAGAAGAAATGAAGACGAAGGGGCCTCCCAAAGCGAGGAAGAAATAGCCCGGGGTGTACAGATCAGCCTCTACACGAGAGGCCGAGGAAAAGAGGAGAGCGCCGGTCAGGAGCAAGAAGCTACCAATGATGCCACAGGCTCGGGGTCCATATTTATCGAGGATGGTGCCAATGGGCAAGGCTGCGACGTTGGTCGAGACAGCTGCGATGGTGAACATGAGATTGAGATGGATTTCTTGTTGGAAACATGGCGAGACCTGCTTCTCCTTCTCGTCTGGGGTGCAAAGGTTGTCGAAGACGCCCTCATCGATGAGGACTGGCTTGATGGCAGCATAGCCAAAGACGATGCCGGCTGCGAAGAGGCAGTAGACGATGGCAATGCAAACCTGGGCTGTCATAGAACTGTCAGCACGCAGAAGGCCAGAAGATAGGCAGGACTGGGGGTGGGGTCGAACCTATGCGCTTGGTCTTGGAAACCTCTTCAAACTGGAGGGCAACCTCGACGACACTTGGACGGCGGTCGTGAGGCGGAGACCAGTCACTGATGGGATTGAAACTCATCTTTCTGGGGGCAGTGACATTGGAACCTCTCCGTTCCCTTTCGAAGCCATCGACAGAGGCAAGTCGAGTTAAAGACATACTGGGCCAACCTCGCAGAGGATTGGCAGCCTGGAATTGTGCGGTGACGGCAGAGGCCAACGGAGGATAGTGCCGGTGATGGTGTCGTAGGAGGTGCGGAGTATCGAAAGTACCTTAGTTTGGCAGAGGTGGAGGCACTCGGGGATGATCTCAGCGTCAAAGACTAAGTAAGCGGGGGAACGGCGAGATCTCGTGACCAGACAAAGGATGCGTAGTACCTGAGTGAAAACAAGAGGTGACAACGTCAGAGATGGTAGAATTGGAAGGGAAAATAAACCTTCGCGAGCAATTCAACGACGACGACGACAGACAACTTCCAGAGCTTTCAATCGGTCGATGAATGAGCTCGAGCGACTCGGCAGCATCGTCATGGCGATGGTATTGATAAGGTGCAGGCCTTTGTCGTCAAGTAATGCCCTTCGGACTCTGGTGGAGATAACGATAAGGAAAATTTTACCCTACAAATATTAGAAGTATGGTGGGCCAATTGTAACTGCGGGCCAGGGCTGTTTGTCAGATTAGTGTCTGGGCATGCCTCTAGCGTGCATCGTGGATGTTGGAGTCGTCTATGGCCTCCAATAATGGGCCAGCGGGGGTTCAGGCCCTGTGATGTTTAGGGGGTCCCCGCCTGGTGGCAGCCTCCGACCGAGAGAGAGCCTCTGGTCTTCCATCGCTCGCTCCGAGAATGATGAGGGCGGAGGACCAGTGGGGTATGTACAATTGTTTTTCATCCTCCGTACATGGTTCATGCTGGAGTATCGCTTGTTGCTCGGGCCATTTGAAGATATGAGGTATGCGCTACCGACCAAAAGTACGTAAAGGAAGTAGCAGATGTTTTCTTTCGGTCACAAATTGTCGACGGGCTTGTTGTTGGCCGCGGGCCAAGCTGGGTGGCTGGCCATTGTTAGAGTTGAGACTTGACCAGGAGACGAGTGTGGCCTTGATTCAGTCTTGGCGAATGGGACAAGAGAGAGAGAGACAGAGAGACGAGAGGCTGTCGGCACCGCATCATCGTTGCTCCGAAGAGACTGAACGGTGAATCAGAAAGGCGCTATCTAAGCCAATGACCTTTGGAAAGAGCAAGACTCGTCAACGAGCTTCAATCAGGCCAGCGGCTGCACAAATTCGCCACGGTCAAGGCCTTCGCTACCGTTATTCGCGCCAAGACAGAGTCATAATTAGATGTCAGTCAATTTCGGCGGCTGTTCGAAACATGAAACTCCAGTTCTTGTGCAATAAACACCACACCTCTCAAGTCGTGTACGCCGACTTCGAGACAATACTAAGCATGGCTGCCAACAATGATGGGGCTCATCTGTCTCATGTCAGGGTTTCCTGTATAACAATAGATCGTTGCGTACTGCTCGCCTGAAGAGCTCTCAGATACTTAAGCTTGGATCATCCAGGGTGACGATGAAATCCTCACTTTTGTCAACGTGATACCTCAATTCGGAGATCAAGTCTGGTACTGTCGTTCTTGCTCACCTTTTTGTTATTGTTGCCGTTACCGTTGCGCCGTTCAACACAATCCTTTTTGAATCTCATTTGTTCTAACCCGAATTCGCGACGGTGACAACCACACTCCTTAGAACTGTATTGTACACTGCGACCGTCTTCACTTGGTCTTCACTTCCGTCTTATATTCAACTCACCGCTCGTTTGTCGCCAAAATGGGACTGGGACCCGACCATGGAGTGTTGGGCATCACTTTCAAGGCCGCGAGAGCTCTTGAGGCTGCTTCAATGATTGCCATCATTGGCATTACCGCAAACTTCATTTCTGAGATGGTCAGCGCCGGTGCCACTCCACCTCCTGTTTTGATTGGAACCTTGAGCATTGTGAGAAACCACCTCGACCGCTTTCCATCATTGATCAAACACTTATCAAGTCTAGGTCTGTGTCGCTGTCCTCTATTGTGCAATCACCGTCATTCTTTATTTCGACCAGATACTCCCCTTTATCATCAGTGCCGGTCTTGACGCTCTTTTCTTGATTGCGCTGGTGGTGATCTCAGTCATTGTTGGGAAACCCCTTTCCTACCTGAATTGCCAAGTTCTGGATGACATGTCCAACGCCACCTCGAGTGCATATGATTTCACTTCGGCTTTGGGCAACAGTCTTAACAAAAACGGAAGCGTCGATTACTCTCAATGGATCGGTACTTCCAAGTCGACATGTCTGCAGATGAAATCGATCTGGGGTTTGAGCATCGCGTTGTGGTAAGTCTATCCATGGATTCTCAGGGGGCCTACTGCTGACGGTGTCGTTCACAAGCATTCTTTTCACCTTTTCTGCCGTGAGTGCCATTTGTTTGTGGAAGAGAACCAAGCAGCCAGCCGCCGACAAGATCGATGCTTAGAGCGGAAACTCGGCACCAGATCGTGGGACTGAAACCGGAGGAATCTTCCGGTTGAGACAGAGATCTCTGCCTCAAAGAGGTCAGTGCCAAGGTGGTACAACAAAGATTGTTCGCATAGGCATTGTTCGCTGTTGGATCAGGCGAGCTGGCGTTGAGAAGGAGTCAAATCGATTCGAGCGACAGGTCCCATCCTATCATAATTGGTCCTGTGGCGCCTTCAGGTCCGGGGATGAATTGAGGCAGCCGCTTTTCAAGAAGTGATAGGAAGGTCAAAACTAGTTAGTCCAGACATTGACTGTAATTAAAGCCCTGTTGAGTCTCTCTTTTTACAAGGGACCCTAGGAAGACCTCGATGTGACAACTGCAGGTTGCGGTCATGGGTAGTCTGGTACCCTCCAGTGATGGTAAATGTATCGGTGTCAGGGTAACCTTTGCCGATAGAGGGGCGATCAATAAGCCCATTACGATGGCAAACATGGAACATGGTGGTCGCGTGTCTAGCCCCGTCGTTTTTGAGGTATGAACATTGAAGTATTGGACAGTTGGGGAAGTGAGTGAAGGTCCAGTCGAGTTTTGAAACCACAGACCCGGGATAGTGGTTCCATGCCGACACCTGAAAATGGCGCTAAGGGGAGCAATGGGGGCAATGGGGGCAATGGGGGGGTTGAGTCCCAGGGGAGTGGTAACCCATCCACCCCCGCAGCAAACACTAAAAGTTGCCCTATAATCAGGCGCTTGAGCCCCATGCAGGACGCCCAGGTGCCCGGGTCCCAGGCCTTTCGGGCCACCCTACTTACTCTTGGTAGCACAGCACCACCAGAGACGCCACAAACGCTTATACGACGGACATCCACAATACGAAAAGAAAGACGAAGATTAAATGAGGTTTAGGGACGCCCCAGATAGCTTGCAGGTGTCTTGAGATGCTCACCGCATATACCTCTAGTACCACATCGTAGTAAATTCCAAAGGAAACAAGGCTACTTCCTGACAGACTTGGTCGAACCAGAGTACGGTTTGGACACACATACCAACATCATGTACCCAGCGTTTGTTTCCTGCGATGCATGGGACGCCTGCAGGAGAATTGCAGGGGCATGAGCCAAGAATCTGGCACTTCTGGTACCGGGGACCCAACTATTGGGACGCTCATTGACACTATGCTGGACTAGGAATTTAGGCCCGGATGGCCGAGGCGTTTTTAGATGGCGCAAACTGTTGTCCCATTGCGTTGGTAACGTGGAGGGTGTGGTTACCAATTGTTGGGTTTCTCACTTCCCTCCATCTCGTCTTAGCGGTTTAATGATGCACACCAAGTTCCCGTATGCTCATATGTATCTACTAATAATTACGGGATGAGAATGGCGTGTAGTGTCCTCTTGCTGGATGTGCAATGATGTGGCATGGATGGCTAGCAGTGTTGGAGGCAATAACTTGAGTTTGCTCCACCCACTCAATAGATCCCATCACTACGCAATCTGCAATCCACTTGAACGTGCATCGACGCCAACAGGGGCTTTGCAAAGACCAGTTGACACGTCTCTCGTACACAGCACAGCACAGCACAGGTGTAATGCAGAGGTTACGTCTAGCAAAGTTCTTTGTCGTCTTAAATCGACGAGGCCCCTCTGAAGGGATGTTGAGAACAGAATTACATTATGCAAGGTTGTTGCCACGGCCGCTCCGACGGGCCATTCCTTGCGACGATCTTACGCTTACAGTACGTCTCAATCGAGTGAATTTGTTGCTGGTCTGTATGAAAAATCTTGCGTGCAGAAGCTTAAAGGGCGCTATTATCCTTTCCAGGCGCTGGTCCGCTGCTCTAGACAAGGTTGCCACTAGGGTCGTCCCCATGAGGGAGGGAACGGAGTTCCGACCATGGAGCCAGTTTGGTTATCAAAGACCCAGAGGATGCGGACAGTCTCTAAATACCTAAGTACCTACCAAAGGCAGGCATACGAGTATGTTTCAACCATCATAATAACCATAATCACCCCAATTAACGAGTAACAGCAGTAGCGGTGACGGCCATGGTGACGGCTAAAAGGAAGGAGCGCCGCATACCCATTGTTGATTCGTGGCTCCCATAATTGGTAATTCAGTTTCTAGCGAAGCCGGCAAGCGTGGCTCCGTGCGCATCAGCGCCTTCCATGCCTATGCGTATGTACGAGTATGCGCAGACCACTCCTCCACTCACCATGTCCACGACTCGATTCATGCGGCTTGCCAGCGTTTTGCACCTGCTGCCTTTTGCGTTATGCGTCTCTCGCTCTTGCTTCGCTGGTCTCTTCGCTCCTCCCTCCTTGCCCCTCTACCATTTGCCTTTTTTCCAACCCCTCAACCTGTCAAACTTCCTCCCACCATTCAACTGCCGCTCACGCACTGCCCATCGTTGTTATGTCTAGTCCGCGTCCCACGACACCATTCATCCGTGCCATCTATCCACTCGGACATCATGTTTCCTCGTCTCGAACCTTTGTTTCCATCATCTCTTGTCTCCACTTACCACCACATACTCAGAGCTTCAGAGGTCAGACTCGTCCCACGGTCCCAAATTCTACGCCCGTTCCCACTCCCACTAACTGCATAGTTTGGCACACTTGACCGTCCTACTCAAACTCGGACCTGAAATGCAAGCCCACCTTGGATTGATCACCTGCTTGCAGCAGCACCCCCCGGGATCCTCTCGGCCCTCCATCATCACTCTATTCCCACCCTGGTTCGCATCTCGTGCCCTAGTCCCAGCAGCCCATGCTACCTCGTGTCTCGTCCTGCCAATACCCAGCACTCTGGTTCACCCTCAACCTCATTTCTCGGTACAATACCCTCCATCCTCCAACGGCCCACCTGACCCAGTTAGAAGCCGATAGTCCTGCACTAGGATTAAACATTGACAGCGGATGCTCTTTTATCTCTCCCTACCTTCCTCTCATATGCCCACAGGTCCATTTCCTCCCTTCAACTCTCCTTTCTTCCTCTTTATCTCTATTTTGTCCTTTCTTCCCGGCTGATCAACGGCCACAACCGCCCTTGTTGGTCCCCTGTTCTCACTGTGTTGCTGGCTCACGGGCTGGAACAATGTGGCAGAGTCAATATGAAACAGCATGATCAAAGGATGGACTTTCTGAACCCCCCGGCCGTCATTCCTGTCGACCAGGAATATGGTCTTCATTCGTTTGATACAGAGGATGAGGATGACACATCCGCCTTCTCCGTGACATCTTCAGTCTATAATTTTCGAGTCGAAAATGGTCGGAGATATCATGACTATAAAGACGGCCACCCCTTTCCTCATGATGAGGTTTCCGAGGAAAATGAAGTTTGTATGCACGAGATGTGCTTATCCCTCTTGGACGACAAATTTTATGTCTCTCCTATCGACGAGTCCCAACTCCGTAACGTTGCTGATGTCGGTACCGGGATGGGACTCTGGGCTGAAGGCATGGCCGAAAAGTATCCTGACACCGAGATCGTTGGCATCGATTTGACTCCCCACGAACGACCCACCCACCCAAACTGCTCCTACATCATCTCTGATGCCACCGATGAATGGGTCTTGGACGATCCGTCCACCAAGTTTGATCTGGTTCACATCAGGTCGCTCTTTGTTGGCGTCAAAGATTGGCCTGCACTATACAAACAATGCTTCGAGTAAGTCACCTGAGCCCTCACGGCAGCTGCGTCCCAAACTTTCATTGCTCATCTTTGGTCCATCGAACTCGCTCAATGCTGACGCGGTGTAGAAACATGAGATCCGGTGGCTGGATAGAACAGCTCGAAGTGGTGATTGATCCTCGAACCGACGATGGCACTGATATCAGTGATAGCTATGTCAGACAAGTCGCCAATATAAGCGTACCCATGGGCGAGGCCTCTGGCAGAGATTTTCATGTGTCGATGAGCATGAAAAGTATGATTGAACAGGCAGGATTCGTCGACGTCCACGAGCAGACTCTGAAGCTTCCCTTGGGCCCTTGGGCAAGCGACCAAAAGTACAAAAATGTTGGCCGATTTTACGAGAGATTTTACAAGACTGGTCTCCAAGGATGGCTATTACACATCTGCACCAGAAACTTGGGCGTGAGTCTCTCTTGCTGATACTGACAAGATGACCAAAGCTCTAACGCATGGATTAGTGGTCGGTTGACCAGGTCAATGACGCCTGTGTCAAAGCCTTTCAGGAAATCAATTCGCGCAAATATCTCATATATTTTCCTTTGTGAGTTTGCCTGGTCTCCCCGTGTGGGTAGTTGTGCTGACTCCAAGGCCAGCACCATAGTCGTTGGTCGAAAACCCTGACAATAATACCCACCATCCTCATACACACCTACCTTGATCAAAATCATAATCATGGCCATTTGACATTGGTTACTTGGAAAGCCTCGTTGTGCGTGCACTAGAAAACGGCCTTGTACACAGACCTCAACCACATCAAGAGCTGGTAATCATCTACATCAAGGCACGTCGAGGAGTCAATGTTAAGGACTTGGCCACAACAAAACCACAAAGCCTTTCCCAGCACCGCTCTGGTGGCACAGACGTGACTGTCAATGATCACTTACCACTGTGGCAGTGGGCAGCCGGCAATAACCCACCAAGCGATATTTTGCACCATTAACAAGAAGATCTTCGCAAGAAGCCCCCGTGGTGACGAGAAATATTGACCAAGTCCTACGATCATTCCAGAACAAACGTCTTTAGAGGGGAAGGCGACAACCAAATACTCTCGAGACTAGACGCGAACGGGAAGGGACAGGACTGAAGTTTTTGATGTTGTTTGTTGTCATTGAATTGACTTGACCAAATGTCATTCACATTTGGATGCTCTCGACTTGGTCTACCGAAGTGGTTAGTTTGGCTGGCTCCCTACGGGTCGACCATTGGCATCACGCGGATAGAGTGTGTTGGACGCTTGTCACACAGTTCAACAAATGGAATTTAAGCCCGTTCTGAGGGTTCAACGAGTCAGTTGACCATAAGTCTTCTGCTTGACATCAACCCCGTACGCAGATGCGGGTGTATTACAGAGAGTTGAACACTTAAGGCAGATAAATTACCATATCGCAACCATGTATAGGGAGCAATTTCTATAGCATGCTTCAGACCAAGGGCATTGATTGAATGATTTCTACAAGATGTTTTTGACGTAGCAGTAGTCGTATGTGGTAAGAGCTTGTTATTTATGGGATAGCACCTCTATTTAGTACACAGGTCATGAAACAAGCGGAGAATTGTATGAGCACCAAGGTAGGACACTGGATGCGTTCTTTCTGTTCCTCTTCTATCTTCCACAGACTTGATTCATTCATGCATATACAATAGTCGCCATTTTCATCATGAAAGGCTCTGTGTCAAGTCTTCATTCGTGGGTCTCTTTCATCCCACCTATTGTATGTTGCCCAAGGCATCCTGCGGTGAAAGCTGGCCACACCCAGGTCGACCCATTACCGGCTGAGGAAAAGAGCTCAAAGTTCAAGAAGATGGTATTGTGGACGCCAGCCTTAAGCCTACTACTATAATAGCATAAATGAAGAAGACGAGGCTGGCAGCCTAAGTACCTACCCACCTTGCTCAGTAGCGTTGACTGGTATTTGCATTGTTGGGCGACACTTGGGCGCCTCGGGCCTCAAGAACAAGCCACACAGCCCCGCGGACTTGGTGTCTGTAACTGGTTGAACATTTCTCCAATGAGGTACATAACGCACTCACTTGATTGATTATGGACAAGGGCTTATCCCTGAAGAGGGGTTAAGTAAAGAAGGATTGCTGACAAGACCGACACCTCTCGGCTACGCTGCTAGGATCAAAACCCGGGCGACGGATATTTGCAATTGTTGACTCAGCTCTGGCGGTTTGCCCCGACAAGTAAGTAGTATCCGTAAAGGCCAGACCAAACACTTTTACCAGACTGTCAGGCAAAAAGTTCCTATCCTGAGTTATCTGACCGCGCTGAGGTAGCTAGCTACCTACTTAGGTTGGTTCCCTCACATCACAAGCCCAGATGGATTGACGCATGGTGACGAAATCGCAGTACCTGTTTGGGCTAAAACACTTTATGATAATGTTCGGACCCCTCTTCAGGGTCGACATGGATGCGGGCATTTCTTAATCGTCAGCTTGCAGTGGGACTGAATTCCAAATCTCGCTAACACGAACTTATGGACTGGTCGTCCACGATTTTTCGTTGAGGGCCAACTACGCATATATATATAAGTGCGCAGAAGAATCTACTCGAGGTCCAAAGTCAAGATATCTATCTATCCATCTACTCGAGCATATCGACAAGTTTTAACCTTCAATATTTGCAGCCAAATAACTGTACCGTTAACCACACTTATACACCTACCCCACTATCTCAGATCAACCACCATGGCACCATATGAAGGAGAATGCCACTGCGGCCAAATCGCATGGACGGCCGAAATCTCAGAGGAATCTCATGTCCTCTGCCACTGCGGAGCGTGCAAGATTATGGGCGGTGGAGAATTCACCTTGAACCAAATCATTCCCAAGTCCAACTTGACCGTCACCAAAGGCGAACTCAAGGTCTACACCTACAAGGGCGATTCCGGTAACAACACGGATTGTTACATGTGTCCCAACTGCGGTGCCAGCCCGTACCACCATCAACATGTCATGGGTATGTCAAAAGTCAAGTGCAGTCCAGCCTGGAGTTCAGTGTTGTTTTCTGTTACTGTTCCTGCTGTTGTTATTTTTATTGTTTTCCAAATCCTACATTCAGCATCAGATGTCTCTCGACTAATTGAATCCCTTTGTTCTAGGCCCCGATACCATCGTCGTCCGCACGGGATTACTCAAGGGGACGGAGAAATGGGGCAAACCAGCGGCGGAGATCTATGACAAGGACCGGCTTTCCTGGTTGCCTCAGACGGCTTCCGTTAGCTTCAACACTACACCACCCTCGTAAATGGTACGGTTGTGATTCGAGTGGAATGCAGGACACAGGAAATAATAGGATAGTCTACGGTCATAATATGACGGACAGTACATGGCAGACAGGATATCACTCCAATCACTTCTCTCTTCTCCCAGACATCTTGATACTTCAAGTTGCTTTGAGTGATGAAATCTTATTAGCGTTGAAGGCCTCGCCGCCGTAATTCATCATTGTCCAAACTTATGTATGTTGCCAGAACACAAATCCATGTTATGCAAATACTATATCTCCTGGCTAACCCATAGGCATGTGGGCTATGTCAGGCCAGATCAGGCCATGGTCAGGACGACCGATTCTGTGATCCATCAGTCGATGAATTACCAGCGCAAGAGGCCGGCCAGAAGGCGAATGAACCAATGCTAGGGTTGTTTCACTGTCGAGTCGAAAGATGGAAGATATCAGCCGCTACTAACTGGAGGAATGACTCCGACCTCATCACCGGGGTTGATGGGAATATCCCACCCTTCGAGATGAGGGCTAGCGGTCATGTTCTTCTTATCATCGACCTCATTCTTCTCATCCCCAAACTCCACATCCACATATTCGAGATTGACGGTGAATGCACTACTGCGTAAGACCTTTTCCGTGATGCCGGGATATTGCCGTTCGAGCATGGTCAAGATATCTCCAAGTGTCGTGGGCGTCGGTGCTTTCAATGTATCGATGTCGTTGCAGTACGAGGCCGCTGAGGCGAATAGTAGAATTGTCGCATTTCCTGTCGTCGTCGTCGTCGTCGATGCTGTGGATGTGACTGTGTTTGTTGAAGTGGCCATTTTCTTCCTCTAGTCCCCCACCTTTGGGATTTGGTTTTCTTCTCCAGAGAAGAATCAATTCCCTTGTCGATAATCACAATATCTCAATGAATCGGCCCTAACAGATCCCTAGAGGGCTCGGTAGTGACCCACGAGATGCAGTGTGGTGTCGAGTGGATATATGGGTGTATGTATATATATATATATATCCAACATGCGATGGATCCAAAGGGGTATATCTTCATATAGCACACCCACAACTAGGAGAGCCTCAAATGATTAGAACATCAAGAAAATGCTCAAAGAAAAGGGCGACGATAATGATGATGATAATAGAAGTTAAAACATGTTTTAATTGTATTTACTTCAAAGTAGCATGAGAAAGAACAGCCATCTACCGGAGAAATGTTTTATGAGGTGACATACATCCTTGGCTAAGATAAGAGGGTCCTGGTTGTGAGCGGTACAACGTTGGTGCTGAGGGTTTCATTTGCACGACATGCTTCGAAGCTTACTTTACACCAACCGAATCTTCCGCGTTCTTCTTCTCATTGTGACACTAACAACTGTTCCCCCAATCTATCAGCTGCGAACAACGGGTGAAAAGTGGGGGTTGAATAAAAGTCTGCCGTGTCTCCTCACGTGGGGAGTGACGTGAATGCGTGAATGCGTGAATGACGTAGTTGTCAATAATCATCTCTCTGTGTCACTTGTTGACTACTGAAATGCACCAAAATGCTCATACTTGTTTGCATTGATGAGAAAATTACCTAATAACAACACAATGTGTTGATTAACCTAGGAGAAGATTAAACCTTCCCTACGACCAGTTCGCTCATGGCCGGTTTGGAAAATAACACCGCGGTGGACTGTATCATAATTGACACTCTAATGCTCAAGCAATCTCAAGCTGCCCTGTACAACTACATTTTCGAGGATAGATCCAGGGGGGATGTCGATAGTACTGTTCTCTGTGGCGACGATGATAACAGTGCCTAGACAATAAGTCAGTAAACATAACAGTGTAGTGAATGGCTGCAACTAACCCTTGAGGACGATTCCACGACCAAAGTTGACATCACCAGTGACGGTCAAATGGTCCAGTTCGACAATGTTGGGAATAGTACCAATTCTCTTTTGGAATTGAGCCACCTTTTTGAAGTCACTACCAAGCTTGATCAAAGGCGCAGGACCGAATCGGTTGGGATCAATGACCAGTTGACCGTGGCTGAGAGTGTAGAGGTTGGACTTGACCAGCATGAGATCAGAGCAGGTCTTGACGGGCAAGAAACGTCTTCGTGGAACGTTGACGCCGTGAGCATTCTTGAAATGCTTGATGGCGGCACCCACAGCAGTCTCGAGTTGAACAATGCTGATATCAGCTTCACCCTTCTTGTCGGCGGGGATTGCTTTGTCGTTGGGAATGATTTCCATCTCGAGCTCGTTGGCTTCCACCACACGCTTGATGGCTCGGAGGTTCATCCAGATGTTGTTGGTGTTGAAGTACTTGAACTTCTTGATCGACTTGAACTCGTTGACGTACTGTTTGGGCACTTGGGCGATTTCCAACAGCCGTGCGCGACCTTCGTAGTCAATGATAGTACCACCCTTGACGTCAGCCTTTGTCTTGTCGGTCAACTCCATAATGTACTCGGCCTTGCTCTCGACCATGTGTTGGAGAATGCGCAGGTCGACAACGGCGCCGAGATTGTCAGCGTTGGACAAAAAGATGATTTCGATGCCCCGGTCCAGGAGCTTATCCAGGATGCCACTGTTGTAGAGAGATTCAAACACGTCACCGTGGCCGGGAGGGTACCAGTCGGACAATTGGGAGTCCGAGGACTTGGGCGCAGGCAGGAGAGAATCCTTGAGGACACGAGGATATCTGGATTGGTTGAAGGTCATGATGTCGATGTTGTGGCCCTCGTATTTCTTGATAATGGCCGCGGTATCTTCGTCTGTGTTGAAACTGTTCATGAGGACAAAGGGGACATTGACATCATAGGTGCGGTTGAGGTACTCAATCTGTCGGACAGAGAGATCGAGGAAGGACATGCCGTCTCTGACTTCAATGACGGACTTGGGACCGACACAACCCATCGAAGTACCGAGACCACCGTTGAGTTTGACAACAGCGAGTTTGTTCAGAAACTCAACAGCGTCACTGTTAGGCAGGCTGTCATAGTTGACAACCTGGTCTGGGTTTGGGGGGTTGATTTTGGCCCAGTCAATGGTGTTGCCCTTGGCTCGGTCGTTGAGATATCTTCTGAAGAGGGAGAAGAAGTTGTCCATTTCGGCCTCGAAACGCTTCTTCTCTGCAGGGTCGGTGACGGTATCGGCAAGGCTGTTGAGGGCATTCCGCATCTGGCTGGCGGCAACATTGGTCGAGGTGTTTTCAAATGCCTGCATAGTAGGAGATCTCATCAGCGAAGGTCTTTGAAACTGGGCCCGCAGTTTGGAGGCCGAATGTTGTCTGCGAAGTTCAAAGGGGGGAACCTCGAGTAGAGGCATGGTGGAAGTGAGGAAGGGGTATCAAAACAGAGTGGAATGTCGCGGTTGACACAGATGAGACTGTCTCACGACCTGGTGCTCCTTGTTGCTACAAGTAGTAAGACGATGAGTCCACGACCCGCGGGGTCTTGACTATATCATCTCCAACTTGGAACATGAGATCGATGCAAAAATGCATACTCTTGCATCAGAGATCGGTGTCTCGCGGGCCAGACCAGAAGTCTAATGATGTGGCAATGTAGGTCCGTGCAGGGCGGGCATTGGCACATTTTCAATAGTGAACTTGTGATGCCATTTTGAGAAGTGGGCGTCGATCTGGAAGAACTTTGGAATATGGAACTTACCACATGGGATTGACTCTTTCCGTGGTGTCTCTTTTCACCAGCAGGAGCTGGGCCATTGCTGCCATTTGCGGCTGCGCTGGGGCGAAGGTGCGAGGGGATAGCTTTGGAAGCCATTTCTGCGGTGGGGAGTGTAGAGGACGCAGTGGTGAGAGTGTAGGTAGGATGCGGGAGGATTTTGGAGATGGTTGCTGAATTTAATGGGAAATCTGAGCAACGATGTTAGAGGGAGGATTGAACAAGAGAGGTGAGGTAGATGAGAGGAGTGAGGAACGAGAGAGAGAAAGTGAATGAGAGCTTTGAATATGTGAAGGATCGGCCCAAAAGTCAAAAGCTGTCAAGGAGTGCCGGCACGAGTGAGAAGCCAGAAAGCAAAGCAGGAAGTAGCGGGGGAGCAGAGTGTGATGTGTGAAGCTGGGGATGGAAATGCGATGGTGAGTGACAGGAGGACAGCAAGACTGCTAGCCAGACACGCATGCCATCATCTTGACCGTTCTGGCCGTGTCCGACAGAACCAGGGACGCAGTTTTGGCCGTCAGGCAAGTCTGGCAAGCTTGTGGCATTTGGGGATTAGGTGATGGTCGCCAACGCCGAGAGCCCCAATAAGGGACCCATAAGAGACCCATGCAGGTCATGGAACCCGCCCACCCCTCCCCCAAACACCAATAGCTGTCCACGTCGGAGCTTTGGTCCTTGGGTAAGAATGATGTAACCAACACTGCCATCCATGCTGTTGCCTTTCTCTTGAACGGAACCTCACCCACTCCCTCCCCAAACCCACCCATCGCAAAGGAAAAAGTGGATCAAGACTCGATCGAAATGCAGGTGGCGGTCTGTACTCACAAATGACACCCTCAAGAAATGTGCTGTCTCAGCAAAAAGCGTTCTAACTTGTATAAGGAAATGCTGCAGCAGATTTGGTCTCTAACTCGAATGAACCGTTGGCCGAGGTAAACGAGAGTATGTCGATTGAGCAATAAAAGTGATGAAACGGAAAGGTAGGTAGACAAACAGAGGGGATGCAGACGTCGACAATTTTTTCCATTCGAGTCTGTCCTCGGTAGCTTGATATAGATTTGGATGTCATAAACTGTTGGGCAATACGGTGCAACCTCAGAAAAGCCATGTAGATCCGGCGTGGGTTGCTAGCATTCAAGAGGCCGAAGAGGCATGTCTGGACTCGAGCAAGTCGCCACCCAGGTCCGTTAGTGGCTACACACCCCCCGGGGTCGCCCACACAATTGCTGGTACGGGTCCTTGGTAGGCATGATAGGCATGATAGGCATGTACCAGTGGTACCACAGCAGCATCTTCCAAGCCTGAGGGCCTGAGTTGCATGCCTCGTAGCCACTCGTGTCTCTCTGTTTTACTACCATTTTTACATTATTCTTCCATCAAAAGTTCAACATTATGTACTAGTATTTGCCCCTCCAGGTGATCGTCGGTGCCGCGAGCTCCCTAAAAGCCCTGGGCGGCGTCACCCCTCATCCTCTCCACATTGAATTGTTGCATGGATTTGGTGATCTGATCAGTGAACCATTCGCCCTCCATCAATTCACTCGATCCATCATATCGCCACGTCAGCCCAGAAGATGGCATCAATGTTGTTGTCAGATCCGACGAGCCTAACCCTCACTAGCTAGAGGGACCGCCAATTCTACGGATTCTTCCCCATTCCCATCATCGTTACCGCACCGACATGCATGGGTTGCTCCTTGATTCCCCGGGTACCTGAAGACTGATCAAAAGTCGCACCTGAAATGTCTGAGCTAGCGGACAAAGTTTTTTAATCTCTCATACCACATATTGGCTTCTAGATCCAGAAATCGGCCCTGTGATGCTAATAGATGCCCACACTAGTCCCTCACCGTTTTTCCAGAATACCTACTCTTAACTCAAGAGAGATGGGTTATCAATGCAGCGGTAGATACCTAGATACAACTAAAACTTAGATACACAATGGTTGCAGCCCAAAGACGCACACCATTTCATTCAATATCCAATCCACAATGCCCGTGCTCAATAGATCGGCCACGATTGCACCCGTGCATTGTGCCCTGGGCCTTGCTTGTTCGGCGGATCCCGCACCGTCCTGCTTTCTGACCTCCGTAGTTCAATCGATGACTTATTGTGCTTGTTTTGTGAGGGCACATAGCAATACTCCGTAGGTACCCATACTCCACTACTCATCCATCTCTTCTGTGCTCAATGCGAATTCTGCCGAGATGGCCACAAGACACCGACTTGCTCAGGCAAATGTAACGACTTGTCGAATGCTTCGTAGACAGAGAACCCACGAAAACCCCGACAGTCCTCATCCTCTCTCTTCCGTCTGTGAATCACGTACCTTGGAACCTTCCGCTGTAGTGTCCACACGTACATCGATCAGCAGCTAAGATTAAGTTAAAACTTGAGCTCGGACTGCTTGATGTGCTGATCTATCTAGAGCACATTTCGATTTCCATACTCCATAACATCAAGTGCATGTTCCAGGCTATGGCTATCTCCATTCTCTGAATTCCTAAACCGATCGATCGATCGCTAGGACCCTCATCTGATCTTGGATGATGCACCGACCATCCTCATGTTTCAAGACCTTCTCGAAGCCCACGAGCCGTCACACAATATACGGATAACTCATTGCCATCTCTGGAACCGTGCACTAAATATCGATACCCGGCACATGTGCTAATTTGACCAACATGGGCGATGGCAGAAACCATGATCACGTGATGAAGTGCGATGGGCTGACTGGCCACATCTTCATACTCTTTTCATATCTGTCAAAACACACACCATGCCTCAGTCTCAACGGTGAACTGTGCCACTCATCACCTAATTTTGCTAAGTAGATATTAAATTCAAAGGCCCATGTGGTATCATCGCGTCAAAAATTACCACCGAGGTCGAGCAACGACTCGACGCTCATTAGATCAAGCTCACACTAGCAGCAAATACGCCTCCCATTTTTGGCCGTGATCATTTTCCCGGCTCGTCTTGCTCCCTTTTCCTGCTTCCTCAGACCTCTTCAGACCTCGGCCAGGTGAACGAGTAATTATATCCTGTTGGCTGGGTTCCATCGCTGACCCCACAAGACTGCCCGGCGGAAACAGTCATATGTTCAAACCCGCCCTACCCCTGCCACTGCCCGCCACAGTTCCTCGTCGCCCCGTCCCTGTGTCACGCGAGGTCCCCCACTATTGTGCCTCGTGTTTCCCGCTGACATCTCGGCGGCCGAAGAAGCTTCGACGTCCCTCCCGCCTCGAGTCAGGGCTGTCACGACCACTTGTCGTCGGTCTCAAGCTTTCCGCATACCCTGGCGCCTGAGGTGTGAAGCTGCTGCGCAAAAGGACGCTGCCGGAACCTGCCTTGACCATCTGCTCTGAACCACTTCCTTGGTCTGACACAAAGAATAGCGCCTCTCCCAGATCCTTGGATCGGAACGTGTCATGATCCTTCACCAACAATTGGAATTGCGCATCTGCTGTCGTTGTCACCTTGAAGTTCTCTTGGTTTTCGTCATATTCCACCGTTCCCGTGCTTGATTTGATCGCTTTGGTCTTGAATAGTTCTTTGCCTTTGGCTCCCGCTTGCTTGATGTGAACTTGCACGTCCGCCTTGGCCGGGTAGCCGCTTGCAGAGACGATGATGAAGCTCGCCGTTCCCATCTCCCCAACCTTGGCAGCAGCGTCTGTCGCAATGGTTGACTGGTTACTCTTTGTGCGCGAGTGTGAAAGTGGCGTTGCAGGCGAGTCTCTGTCTCTAGCTGCTGCGTCCCCTTTACTTGGCGTCGACATGACCGGGTCCTCGTCCTCCTCTGGGTCTGCGGCGGTCAGAGACCCGTTCACTCCGTCTGCTGTGTCGGATTTGCCGCTGACGCGTCCCAAGATACCTCTCTTGATAAAGGATGCTCCTTTAACCACTCCTCCTCCGACCTTGCCCACCCCCTTGACAGGAGCGCCAATCACTTTACCTGCAGGAGCAAAAGTCCCAGAGAACGTCGAAGTTCCTTGACGAGACCGCGTGATATAGTCAGGCTTGAACAACATCTTGAGTCGAATAGCCCCAGACTTCCCATCCAGCTGATACGTGAGCTCTTGTGGCTGAAATGGTTCGAGGACAGATAGGTTGATGACGGCAGAACCAAGCCAGTCAGCCTTGTCACCAAAATCCCAATCATAGACGTCGACCTTGAATTCCGCCGCCGTCCGAGAAGGAACTGGTGTCTCAAAGAACTCGTTCCAGGCTGGATGTAAGGTTTTCTTCTGCGTTTTGGTCTTGTAAACGTCCTTCCCGTTCAGCTTGAATTTGCAGTAGGGGTCACTGAAGCCGTTGCGATCAGCTGACGGAAGGTCCGCAGCATCGAGGACATCCACTCGGAGTGTTCCCATGTTGTTGATGCTTTCGCTTGGATCAAGCTGCATCTTCACCGGCAAGTACTTCAACTCAAACACGACCTTGTTCATTCCCTTGTCGCTTTTCAGCGTAAGCGCCGTCGGTTTGTACAGACACTGCTGCAAAGTTTGCAAGGTCCCACCAGTCAATTTCGCAATCACGTCGTCTTCGTTCTGCTTCCCATCCTTTTCGTTCTTTTCGACGATGCGCAATGTCAAACGAGACATGTCGATCTCACGCACCATCGCGTCACCCGTCTCTCCAAAATGGTGGTCTCGCGTTTTGATCCTGGACGATACGTAGCTCGGGAACAGCTGATCATCAACCAAGATTTCAAGTCGACCTCCTGCCTGGGAAAAGTTTCCCTCCACGATATTGAACACAATCAAACCCGATTCTATTATATGTCAGTAGAATGAAAAGATGACGACGAAGAAAAAGAGACGTACCGTATTTTCCCAGGTCCTCGGGGGTAATTTTGACCTTTGGCGCCTGCTTCTTAACCGACAGCATAGAGTTGTCGACAGATGGGGAGCCGTTCAGAGAAGGGAGTCTTCCGGCCGTGTCCACGCTCTTTCGGATATCCACACTTGTTCTGGCGAGATCGGGAGACGGTTTGACATCGACAGAAGGCTTCTTGCTGTGAGTCGGAGTGCCAGGGTTGGTCGCAGCTTGACCGCTAACAGCCTCGATCTCCTCCTGGGCCTTTCGATCCTCCTCTTCCTCCTCAGGGTCGGCCACATTCAATGTTGGGAAGAAGGAGATGGTGTAATTGAGAGTGCCTTTCGCCTCCCCAACGCCGCCCAAGCGAAGCCCCGTATTGAAATCCTCTTTGTCATCGCGCACCTCATAGCCGCCCTCTTCACTCTCGATAATGTACTCCGAAGCACTAATTTGCACAAGGCCCAAAGAGCGGTCCTTGCCAAGTTTCTCCTCGTCCATGACTTCAAGCACCAATCGTTCAGATGGTGCATGCATAGGCACGTAGATGACTTCGTCCCATCGAGGGTTGAGATCGTTCTGAAAGGTCACAGTTCGTCCTTTGGGAATACCTGAAAGAAGGACTTTGACATATGGGTCTGATTTGCCCATTGTCTCGAAGTTACGAAGGTTGCTGGCTCCTTTGAGATGGATGCGCATGACGCCAATAGGCGTCACGTAGCCTCCAGACCCAACAGCACCTTTCAAAGCGACCGGCTTCCAGTCGAGGGAAAGCTTAGCCTTGCCTTTCGGGGTTCCGTGGAGATTGAACCATTCCTGACCTCTCTCCATCAATTTGAGCATGTCGTCCAGCTTGATTTGATAAGTTGCAAGGACGGGATCTCTCGTAAGGTCACGGTCATCTTTGATGACCAACCCCACCCGAGCCTTCCTCCGGTCGGTGATGAGAACAGATTTCGTATTGTCGGAGAAGACTGGATTGTTGGTGTGCTTAAGCTTATTCGTGATATGAATTTCCTTGCCATTGAGTAAGAGTACCGCATACGGATCCAGATTGCCGACCATGCTCCTGCTGCCATCCAAATCTTTGGCTTGTTCGATGGTGATCCTCGCAATACCGGTGTTGGATTCTGGTGGCGGAAGGATTTCTCCGCCCTCGAGTCTTTCGGGTTCGAGGACGGGAAAGAAGCGGACGTCGCACAGGACAACACCTCGCGATTTGCCATTTGCCAGGACCTCGAGATTGACATGTTCATGTTCGTTGGCAAACTCAAGTTTGTCCAAAGGAAATGTTGCGGTGCCGAGGTTCTTATCTTTGCGAACATCATTGTAGTCGTACACCTGGATGGTTAGAGCATCGGTATAGTTTGTGACGATGATATACAAGGTCTGATTCCAACGAGGGTTGGCATCTCCGGAGACAGTTTTGGTTCGTCCAAGTTCTTTGCCTCCATTCAGAGAGACAACGGCGTAGGGATCGGGAGTGCCCGAGAACTTGTCGGGGTTCTTCAGGCCGTGAGCGCTGTGCAAGGAGATTGCAACAACGCCAATAGCCATATCGATGGGATTCCCCGACAGCATCTTGGCAACTTCGATGGGAAAGACGTTTGGATCGTACATGATGGGGGCTAGGTTCCCGTGGATTTGTTCTTTGATGAAGGTTTCCAGGCCGGGAATGAAATTGATGTCAAACCCAAATGTCTCTCCACCTAGAGGTTTGCAGACATAATCGATGGTTGGTCTGCCTAGGAAGCAGATGTCGACTCGGTCAATGTGAGGGAAGGGGATTTGTAGCTTCATTCGAACACGCATCAGGCCGGAAAACTCAAAGTCCTCGACGATGACTTTCATGGCCTTGCTCACAACACCCTTGCCAATTCGGATCTCAAGGACGACTTTGGGGTTGATCTTGGTCTTTAGTTGTCGAGCAGTCATGTCCATGGTATCGGTCGGGGTGAAGCTGAATTTCCAATCCATCATGACAATATCGTCTTCTGATTTGGGATAGGTCTTGACGTGGTCCATGCGTGGAGGTTTGGTACCTAGGATGAAGGTCTCCAGACGCATACTGTCCAGAAAAGCGGGTGTCGACGTGCTGAGAACCTGGTCCACAGACTGAACGATACCTTTGGCAAGTTGTGGAGCATAGATGGGCCAGAACTTGACCAGAAAGCTGTTCATCCATTCAAGGCTCTCGGTGTCGGTTTCTAGCCGGGCTTTGGCGAGTTCTCGAGTAATGTCGTCTCTGAAATTCCGCCTGACTCGTCTGACACTGGTGCGATAGTAGGTGCCACAGGTGGCCATTATAAGAAAGATCCATCCCAGGCCACCTCCCAACGTGGCAACAAGCCATGACGAAAGACAGGCGAAGATGATGACGGCGGTGTTGTGGTACCAATCTGTGGCAAGGCTCAGTGATGATGCCATCAACGAGAGAGTGCAAAGTAATACGCACCACCAAAGAATTTCTCATCCAACTTGCCCTCGATGAAGGTCTGATGGTCGAGAAGGGTTCTTTCCTCTTTATCTTCTGCAGTCTCACCGGTGCCGAAGCGAGGAGCCCAGCCCAGTTTAGACCATTGCTCCACTTCCTCTGAGGGGACTCCATTTTCGGTTGCGGCGCTATCTGGAGCTTTACTTGCGGCTTCAGCGGCTGCGGCAGACTGGGGTGGAGGAAGGTCGTAGTCGTCTGGTTTTCCGTCATCCTAGAGAGGCGCTGGGTCAGAAGGATGCCGGAGAGTGAGGCTAGCCGAGCAGTGTATTGGTCGGGACTTACCAAGTCAGTAGCTATGCCAACACCCTTTGCTGGCCGCTTAGTATTATTTTGTTGCTAGGAGTGGTCAGTATCGAGCATGACTGGGGGTGAGAGTGGATCGTACCGAACGTGCTTGCGCGGCCTTTTCCTCTGGCGAGGCATTGGGATCGAAATGCAGGGCGGTTGAGCCGGCCTTTTGGCTCTCTTTTAAGATGACATTCTGGGCGTCTTCGGCGGTTACGGAACTGTTTGGATCTTGAGCAGCCTCGACGGCGCCTTGAGACTTGAGCTCATTCCTCAGACCGGAAAGAGCCATGGTGAAAAAGAGATTCTGCCAGAGGGCCTTGGTTATATGGCTACCCTTAGTCGAGTTGAGGCATGAGAAGGTGATGTGAGGGGAAGGTGTGGGCTTAACGAAGGACGGGGGAGAGGAGCGGTCAAGGATGGGTGGTTGTGTGACGAGGAGGCGAGAGAAAAGGAAGCAAGAAGTGTGAATGAAATGTAGTCAATCTGTGTCGAGAAAGTTGGTCGTTTGTCTGCGCTTGGGATTGACCGACAAGCAGTCGATTTTGGGCGTGGCGCCCAAGTTTCTTGGTTTTGGGAGATTGTGGCGGGAGAAGGGAGTGGATGGGGAATCAGCTTTGGTGTCACCAGGAGATGGTGTAAGGGCAAACGAGTCAAGGTTAGAGGCCGTCCCAGGTAAGTTTTATGGCTTGGATAGCGAGTGATGTGGCCTGGAGATTTGGGGATTAGTTTTGACACGGCTTTCAATTGACCTTGACAAGCTAGAGTACGTGAGTTGAGGATGCATACGGAGTACGTGAGTCCCTAGGTAGGCGCATATGCCCAATGTATGGCAGTTGGTGACGTGGTGATGGACCGAGGGACCCAGCAAAGCTCCACGACAGCTCCAAACAAGCTGTCATTTTGCATGATTTGGGAATAGGGCTTAAAAGGGTGGGTATTAAGGCTCTTGAGACTAGGGTAGTGAGCACGCTTATGCGCCCTCATCTGGGGCCTGAGAGGCCTTGGGACCTGGGTAGATCATTGCGGAAGATGGGGCACACCTCGGGCTCACGGACCTTGAAATCAAGGGTGCCGGGGCGCTCGTCCTTCTGCAAGACGCCTACTCCGTAATCCTCGGCCACTAAAGAGCCTCGCGGCCGGGTCAACCCAGCTGAACCCCTGTAGACTATCTGGTAGGGGCTCTGTGGCTGAAAGGATGCCTGCGGCCCAACGAGACCCTTCGATTGGTGAGGATTAATGCTGTTGACACACTCTATCGTCCCTCCACGAAGACTTTGCACGATCGATTCTCGCTTCCCACAACAACCATGATAGCACGCGTTGCCCGCATATTTAGCCTGGCTCGCCACTTGTTTAGCCTCATTGTTGGTCTTTGGGAGGGATCCAGTCGGTGGTTCAGAGCTGAAAATTCACTGCAACCATGGCCCGAGGCGCCCGAACGGTAGAAATACGACAGGCGTGCTTGCCAACGGTAATGATTCTTCCAACTTCCAAGGTCAGCACCTGTATTTATTCTCTCGCTTCACTCTCAAGATTGCGTCATCCTTATCGCTGACCAGGGAAAGCGCAACAACTACTACTACTCCGTATGTACTACTCCGTAGGTACTACCTACTAACCAACAGGTTTCTCCGTCCTCCCAAAATGAAACTCGCGGAAAATTAAATCTCAATCTGACATGCGTTTCTTTGGGCATGGCCGATTGACAGGACGGACCAGTCAAGCCAAGTCAGGTGCAACACGCGGGCAATACACCTCAACAGACATCTCGTACAGAGCAGTACAAAAGCAGTTGCTCAAGGCGAAGGGCGCCATGCTTGTCCGACGTGACAGTACCCCTGAACACACCCTAGACCTCCACTTCATTCCTCGTAAACAGAAGAAGTCCTGGTAAGAAATGAGCAAGGCTTGATGCTGGATCACCCGCAAACTCTAAGTCCCTTCTAACAACGGCTGTGGCACAAGCTAAAGTTTCTGCTTTTATCTATGGTTCGATGTCCTCAGTCAACTTCAGTCACAGCAGCATACTCCGTAGGGAACCATGATTAATTTTGAACTCTGGGCAAGCAATGAGTCTATCATAACATATCTCATTCTCCATCTCGAGAGAAATATGGATTTAATCATGAGAGGGCGTGGAGGGGTATAATCTACTACTGTAGCTACTCCGTACTACTTGCGACCCTGCGCTTTCTTCTTGGACTGAACCTTGGCAATAATCTCCGGCTTTTCTCGGCATGTGGGACAATACCAATCTTCGTCCTCGTCCGGCACCTTTTTCATTTGCAAGCAGCTGGTGTGGAACCATTGGTATGGACAGTCATCGTTCTCACAAGCAACCATCTCGCCATAGCTTCGTTGATTGCAGAAGCAGTATGATTTGTTGTCTTCGTTCTCATCATCCTCCATTTCTTCGTCTTCTGCAGCTTCGGGTTCTGCTTCGATCGTTTGTTTCTTGCTTCGTCGCCGACCCCGAGATTGTGATGCGTCCGTCTCTGAGGCGTCGGCCGAAGATAAAACCGAATCTGCATCTTCAGATGCAGCGGTTCCTCCCCGGCCACCTCGCACCGATGGCGATTGTCCCTTCTTGCGGCCCACAGAGAGTCTTGCTTTATTGATCCCTTTCTGTTTGAGCTTGTTGACTTGTTGATGTGGTATCACCTTCTTCGACAGACCCGACTTCTTAGGTGGAACTGTAGCTTGTTGAGTCGCGGTTGTACGGGGGATACTCCCAGACCGACCGGGAACACTGGCTGTAGGGGTGCCCGCCTTTGGCGTCCCAGGGCCGAGAGACGACTGGCGGAGGTTGCTGGGTTGAGCGGGAAGGTTTGTACCCACGATAGGGTTGCCCAATTTACGTCTCTTCGTATCTGCACCAGCAGAATGTTCACGTTCCCGCTGTCGTTGTTGTTGAACGGTCGAGGCAGGCGTGGCAGGAGCCGAGCTTCGTTGTGTCGGGGTATTGTTGGTAGAGATTTGTGGAAGCTGTCTGGGTTGTGCTTGCTGCATCGTCGAAGCTATGTGGGAATTGATTCGATGGGCGTTGGCATTCAGGGCACTGACAGAGGCATTTTGGAGTGGGAGAGTAGGTGGCACCTCGGCCAGTGTTTTTTGCGTCTCCTTGCGGTTGAAAACACTAGGTATAGGAGGGCCATCGGTCAGTTGACCGTCGTTCTGTAATTCTCGAATCTTGATGTCAAGTTTCTTAACCTGTCTTTCAAGAAGATTGCATGCCTTTTCGCTTAAGACGACCTTTTGATTTTGCAGAGCGGTAGATAAGTCATAATTCTTCTTGGCTAGTTCGGCGTATTCCGCTTCTTTGGGATATGGGGCGAGGACCCCGTTGGCCTTGATATGCTTCTGGATGTTTGCATCTTTCTGGCTGATGACGGACATGAGTTTTTGTAAATCGCGATCCTTGGCCTGGATCTCCTCAAGCATGTGAGATATTTCTGCAGGCAAATTGGACGCTTCATGGATAAAGTACTCTAGGACAGAGGCACAATCCTCATTTGATGCCATGATGACGCTTGTCTGTTCAGCGTCAAAGAGTGAGACTGAAGTTGATTTCAGAACGTTACTGTCCCAAGCTTTCGTGAGTCAGCAGGCCAAGGCAGTCACCGCCAGCGCTGGGAGTGATTGATGGTCGCTTGCAGATTCAGCAGCAAGGCGACGACGGGTTTTAAGGATATGAGAGAGTATGGATTTGACCCTCTCACGTGTTCCCAGGGATCTTTTGATGATCTGAAACGCCTGGTGATGATCAATTGATGGATTGGTGTGGGAGGTTGTCGTCAAAATTGACAGAATGGCTGGTTGCAGCAGAAAAACGCTGTAACGGCAGGATCAAGGAGCCACACGCCACCTGCAGGCACCTGCGCCACACTTCAAAAGAACATTCCAGCCTCATGAATTTTGTCACGGTCTGACAGAAACCATTATGTCAAAAGTGACTTCATTTTTAAGTGAATTCCTCTGCTATTGCTTGGTCTGACTCACATCTTTTTTCCTTTCACTGAATCTTCTTTTCAGCCACAACTACATCTTTCAACATTCAATTCTACAAGCGATCTCAAATCTTCGTCACATCATCACATTGAAAGTCATACTTCCAACGGTCCCGCGTCCCCGTGCTGAGTCAACCCGACACCACCATATACAGAATCCCTTGTTCATCATTTGCGCGCAACACCATTGAGTTGACACCATCGTCGCCTGAGATGGACACGATACCTGCCTGATACTAAGATTCTTCACATCTTGTTTTTCTGCGTCGGACATTTCTTTTTCGTGGAATATCAGTAACTACCAGATCTTGCGCATTATGATCACCGGAAAGAAACTAGATTCATTTGTATATTCCATCACCTTTACCTTTCAGTCTTGACGTGGACTCATACCCAACACCACCCCCACGCGTTATCAAACCCCGCCTTCCAAATCATGGCCCCAAGTTCCATAGTCCAAGAATATGACTCGGCAAAGTCATCAACCTTCAGTCTCTCGGCCAAAGTTCAACGTGAGGTCGAAAACAACGGCATCACACGTCCAAAAGGATACACGGTATCATGGCACTACAACCCCGAGGTTGAGGGCCATCACTTTGGCCAAACTCACCCCATGAAACCATGGCGACTAACCTTGACCAAATCTCTGGTTCTTTCTTACGGTATGCATACCGCTATGGACTCATACCTTTCTCGAGCTGCCACAAAGGACGAAATCGCAGAGTTCCACAAGGATGACTACGTCGACTTTCTCTCCATCGCCACGCCCCAGAACATATACGAAATGTACCCAGAACTCGCCACTGGCCCACAAGGCTACTCGTCTGCTATTTACGGCGTGGGTGATGATTGCCCCATCTTTGACGGTCTATTTCGTTATTGCAGCCTGTACGCCGGCGCATCTGTTGATGCCGCACGAAAACTATGCAACAAACAATCCGATATCGCCATCAACTGGTCCGGTGGATTGCACCATGCTAAAAAAGCCGAAGCATCGGGCTTCTGTTACGTTAATGATATTGTCTTAGCGATACTACAGCTCCTTCGTCATCATCCACGTGTGCTATACATCGATATTGATGTTCACCACGGTGATGGAGTGGAACAAGCCTTCTGGTCGACCGATCGAGTCATGTGTGTCAGCTTCCACAAGTACGACCGCGAGGTTTTCTTCCCCGGCACTGGGCCTCTTGAGTCAACTGGACCTCTTCACCCCGACAACCCTGGCAAAAACTTTACCATCAATGTGCCCCTGAACGATGGCATCGATGATGAAAGTTACGCCTACCTCTTCCAGAATGTCGTTGACCCCTGCATCAAAATATTCCAGCCCACAGCTGTGGTTCTCCAGTGCGGCGCCGACAGTCTAGGCCATGATCGTTTGGGCTGTTTCAACCTCAACATCCGTGGCCACGGCCAGTGTGTGTCCTATGTCAAGGGCTTCGGCCTCCCTCTTCTAGTCGTTGGTGGTGGTGGCTATACACCGCGCAACGTCGCACGCGCTTGGGCACATGAGACCAGCATCTGCATTGGCGCCGACAGCACCCTCAATCCCGAACTTCCCGACCACACCCCTTACCGCGACGCCTTCCGCCGCGAAGGCTTTACTCTCTTCCCCAATCTCAGCGGCTGGCGCAAAGAGAACATGAACACCAAAGCCGACATTGAACGCATCATCAAACACGTACGAGACCAGTTAAGCACTATCCGCACGGCACCATCGGTGCAAATGAAGTACATTCCTCCAGATATCCAGGGATGGAGAGAAGAGGCTGAAGAAGAACTCCGGGCCAAAAGAGCCGAAAAGGAGGAGAAGATGGAAGAGCGAGACGGCGCAGGCGGCCTATTCGGCAAGTTATCTAAGAGGAGAGAACTGGAAAGAAATGGCGGCGTGCCTGGCGGAGGAGGTAATGCAAACCTAGCGGCGCCAGCACTTGGTCCCACCAGTGGTGGAGGTCTTGCAGGAGGGCCAGTTGGCGGCGTCACGAGTGGAAGCGCATAAATCAGGGCGATTACTGCCAGTTTGGGGACGATAAAAGACGGCGCTCGGGAATGAAATAGGAATGGATATCCTCTGCTTAGGTCATTGTTGGATGCTTTGAAGATTCAAGGATATTGGTGCTGGAGGGCACTTGGACATTTTTGCGACAGGTCAAACTCACGACATGCATGTTGATGAAGATCGACGTCTCCTCTTGCTGGCTAAAAAGAGAAAGACAGGCATATAGTTGCACATGGATGAGAGCAAGCACCGAGCTTAGATCTTGTATAGGTGCCATTGTATAGATATGCTGTGTGTTGTGCCGCGACATTGCTTCCAGAGAAATCATGTTTCATTTTGGTAGAATGGATTTTTGACCAATGGTTCCGTTGATTCAGTAACCATGTCTAAAGTCAGGGTATCTTGCTATCTCGCTCACTCATTTTCACCAGCTAACCTCCATCTGATAGACAAACAATGTCCACATATGTGATTGAATTTTGGGCCGTCACAAGAGCCTGCTACAAATAACCGGGGCTCCAGCAGAGAAAAACGCCATCCACGATGCTTAGGAGCCGTCCATATGCTATTCAACAACTGTCATGTCAATCTTCCATCTCGATATCCACAACAGCACCTGCTTTTGAGTGGCCTTTGTCTCGTTCTCTCTGCTTCGTGGGGTGTTTGTCTGGAACTATCCCATTCCCAGCTTCGATGTCGGCCTCGGCGATCTTGGTGTACCAATCCGCAAAGTATTCACAAGTGAGAGCATTGATCGAGCCGCCGTCGCCACAAATATCAAACACAGGACAACTCATGCAAGGCACTTCATTTGCACCACCTTGGCCGATATCCTCGAGTTCTTCTTGCCTCTTAAGCGCCAGCCTGGTGTGTTGGCTAATCTCGTGACTTTCCTTCCGGCGCTCAAGATCATGCTTCTCGAGAACGGCGCCAGGAGTCTTGAATGAACGATACATCACCACGCTACCTTCGCCGTCAAAGTCCTCTTCAGGGGTAGGCCTGCGAGACATTGTGAAGAGTTTTTCATCGTACACCATGACCTGGAGAAGCTGGTGGATGGCATTCTCTGGCAAAACAGTCTGTGTCACCTTTGTCTTGAGAACATGACTAGAAATTTCTTGAAGGGTAGGGTAGGCGGTATAGCCGGGGGGGAATGGCCGGTATGACTTTTGGGGAGGTGCGGATTTAGAGGATTTCCCTTTGTCTTTGTTGTGGGCTAAGCCTTCTGTTCTGATCGCCTTGGACCGGGCATCGTTATTCTCGTCGAAGCCGGTGTCGGGAGCTTTCCGCTTGTTGTTTGAGGACGGCTCGGTAGTGTCTTGTTCTTGCCATGATCTCTGAGCGACGTAAAATTCAATCACGCCGGCAATTATTGTAAGCAAAGTGGTGTCGAGATCTCCGCTCGTGTACCAAGAGCCGCCGGTGGCCTCTTCACTGGGCTGCAGACTGGCCAGAATCCACATTTTCCTGCCTGGGTTCTTGACACTCTTCATAGGCTTGATGAGGCCCTTTGTCGACAAAGTCTTGAAAGTGCGCTCGATAACCTGGGCATGAGCCTGGATGCGCATCTTGACGGTCTTGTTCCATATGCCGGCATTGCCGGCATTGGCAATGCAGCTGTAGACGAGTTGCTCATCGCGACCTAGATTGGCAAAGCTGTGATGGAAGTCTGGTTAGGACAAGCTGAAGAGGAATGAAATAAGGTGTTGTTTGAGATAGACATACTTTGCAGCCTGCGCCTCTTCGACCAGTTCCCAGCCAATAGTGCCGCCAGACCTGTCATGGATCTTAAAAAGCGCTCTCTGGACGAGATGTTGGGTGGATGAAAGGAGGATTTCGATCTTCTGTTCGGGGATGATGCCTGCGCTGAGCAGTTCTTCTTGGGAAAAGACATAGCCCGGGTCGTAGTTTTGACGACACCAAGCATAGAGGGAGTCGGCAACTCTGTCTCTGCCTCTGTTGAAACCAGAGGGACCGGGGGTAGGAGATGCGGTAATTTTAGGAAGAGGAGGCATATTTGCCCTTGTGTCTGGATTTCGGCTTGGTTTGTGCTACCGATGCGGAGGGAAATGGCAGAACATGGTGGTCCGACGGCACTTGTGCAGACCAGATCTGGATTCTTAGTAGCAAGGGTCAATACCTGTCACCGCTTCATGCTCAGTGAAGAATCAAGAGTGTAGATTTGTTGAAGAGCTGGGAGAGAGAAATTCCACTTGGTTGGTTTTGACTGTGGATTTAATGGTGGATCTCGAAATTTTGAAGGGCAGGAACGGTAGCGGGGTTGGCCACAACTTTACGGAAAGCGCGAAGGGTCGCGAGTTGGGTCTGGAAGAAGATTGAGGTCCTCCTTCTAAATCGTTGCTCTACGCTCCTGGTGAGTGTTCCGCTGGCAAAATTAAATCGAATAAGGATGAAAACAATACGACAATCAAGTAGCTAGAATGTATGGCAATTATATCATCTTCCATACATAATACTACATCTCCATGCGCTTGTGGTTTGCTGTGGTTGCGCGTGCCTGTCTACCAATAATACGCCGGCAGCCTCGTCACACAAACAAAAGCCTCCCATTGGCCAAATCCCACCCCGCTTGCCTGGTCGAGGCACCGAATTTTCTAGACACATTCAGCCTCGTGGACATGCAACTTCAGTCCCGCCCGCAACCACACCACCTTGTAGCGTTCTTCCTTTCCTCACTGTACAACATCTTTGCCTTTTGCTTTGGTTGTTCGGATAACCACCTCAAGCCAGCCTTAATCTGACTATACCGAGCCTATCAGGAAAATCTACGTTCGATTCCATTCTCCATTCCTTCTCATTCCACTGCACCAGCCATGGCAGACGCCCTCAAGGCTGAGGGAAACAAGGCCTTTGCTGCCAAAGACTTCAAGACTGCTGTGTATGTATTTGCCTTTTCCTACACATTCCATGGCATCAGCTAACCTTGGAGTAGTGAAAAGTTCTCCCAAGCAATCGAGTTAGACCCAACAAATCATGTCCTCTACTCCAATCGTTCGGGCGCATATGCTTCACTTCGAGAATGGCAAAACGCACTCGACGATGCAAACAAAACCACCGAGATCAAGCCTGACTGGGCAAAGGGATGGGGGAGAAAGGGTGCTTCCTACCACGGTCTAGGCGACCTCATCGGTGCAAAAGATGCTTTTGAAGAAGCCCTCAAGCTTGAGCCCTCCAATGCCCAGGCGAAGTCCGGCCTCGATGCTGTCAACCGAGCCATCGAAGCTGAGGCTCGAGAAGACGGTGCAGACCTTGGTGCCGGCGGTCTCGATGGTCTTGGAAACATGTTCAACGATCCACAACTCATTCAGAAACTAGCCAGCAATCCCAAGACCTCTGGCTACCTTGCCGACCCTCAATTTATGGCCAAGCTACAGCGTCTAGCCAAGAATCCTCAAGAGATGGGTCAAGAACTGGGTGATCCTCGTTTCTTACAGGTCATGGGGGTTCTGCTGGGCGTCGATATGCAGTTAGGGAATCCTGATGCCGCAGGTGCCGGTGCCGGTGCCTCCGCTTCAGGTCGACCATTCGAAGCTGAAGAAGACGTCCCCATGCCAGATGCTCGACCACAGTCTAACCCTCCTCCGCCTCAGAAGAAAGAACCTGAGCCAGAACCCGAGCCTGAGGAGGAAGATGAAGAAGCCTTGGCTGCCAAAAAGGCAAAGGAAGAGGCCGAAGCGGAGAAGAAACTCGGTACCGAAAACTATAAAAAACGCAAATTCGACGAAGCCATTGAGCATTACAGCAAAGCATGGGACCTCCACAAAGATATCACATATTTGACCAACCTCGGGGCCGCCAAATTCGAGAAAGGCGATTATCCCGGAGCCATTGAAGCGTGCGAGAAAGCAATCGACGAAGGTCGGCAAATCTTGGCCGACTTCAAGATCATTGCGAAAGCGTTTGGTCGAATTGGGTCCGCATATGAGAAACTTGGTGATCTGCCCAAGGCAATCATCAACTACCAGAAGTCGCTGACGGAGCACCGCACCCCCGACATCCTCGCCAAACTGAAAGCCGCTGAAAAGGCACACATCAAGGCCGAGAAGGATGCTTATATTGATCCTGTCAAGGCTGAAGAAGCTAGAGTTTTGGGCGCGGAGAAATTTAAAGCTGCAGATTGGCCAGCCGCCGTCGACGCATACACGGAATTGACAAAACGAGCTCCAGATGACCCACGAGGCTACAGCAACCGAGCAGCAGCACTGATCAAATTACTCGCCTTCCCCACCGCCATCCAAGACTGTGACGAAGCCATCAAACGGGACCCGAAATTCATCAAGGCATATCTGCGAAAGGCTCAAGCATTGTTCGGTATGAAAGAGTACAACAAATGTCTGGACGTGTGCACCGAGGCCAGTGAACACGACGAGGGTGGAAAAAATGCATGGGAGATTGAACAACAACAGCAAAAAGCACTTGAGGCCATGTATTCGTCAAGACAGGGCGAAACAGAGGAAGAGACCAGTGCGAGAATCCAAAAGGACCCTGAAATCAGTAAGTTTACCCAATGATGTTTTACTTTTTTGGGGCAGAACATCATTAGCCCCAAGTGTGTAAAGGCACGCTAACAATTGTGACTGTAGTGCAAATCCTCTCCGATCCAGTCATGCAATCCATCCTGCAACAGGCCAAGGGTGATCCCGCCGCTCTCAATGAACACATGAAGAACCCGGGCATTCGATCTAAGGTGCAAAAACTTGTTGCTGCCGGCGTTATTCGCGTGGGCAGATAGTCGAATCAAACCAAATCTCCAGATATCCAGGTTTCGAAGTTGCTCTCAACATGCCCGATCCTCTTTGTCTATCATAGCCCCGGAAAATGCAAAACCTGTGCTACCTTTAATCTCGATTCAACAATCATAGCTCCCACGGGAAAGTAAGCAAATTAGCCATTGACGGAACAAATAATTTTCATTGATGGAGGAGAGGAGAGATGAAGGGCCAGTGAAGAGGAATGTATGAGTGTGAGAGAGGAGACAGTGACACGCAGATACCACTTGAATGAATTCGACACCCACTTTCTCCTTCCTTTTGCATGTAGCATATCTGAATCTTACTCTATCTTCAAAACGATTTTTATACTCTTTCGATTGATTGGTCGTTGGTGGATAGCGACTCCTATCATTTATTTATTCTCCAAATAAAGTCCCCCCTAAGCTAACATAACATCTAGGCATTATTCAATGTACACGTACGAGTATTTCAATGAGTCTGGCGAACAGTCTCGCTGGCTGACACTAGACAGCAGGGAATATGTCATTAGGTAGCTATATGTCCCACCGGGTGTCCAACACGATATGACCCCACCCAAAAGTGAACACCTTGTAGAATAAAAAATACCAACGCCTTGCCCTACCAAGGCTCCCAAGAGATCAGGGGCTGTCCCTGCGATCGATTGATCGGTTCCCAATATCCTGTATTCTTTGCTCGAAATCCTTGCTCCCGACTTACAAAAACCTGCACAATAGACACGCTGAAAGTCTCCATGACACCACGATCGCCGACTAAGCCATCACCACATCTTCACTTGTGCCTGGTCTAGTCTTCTCAGCCTCTAGTTCGGCAGGAGACTTTTCCTTCTTGCCCTGCACAACGAGGACTGCTGCTTGGATGCCCTTTTCTCGTATCGTCTTCACAATCTGTGTGCCACTTGACCCGAGGGCTCGGGTTTCACTGGCGCTGGAAACGTTGAGAATGCCACCCGAGGAAGAGGGGACAGGGTTGCGTCCAACGATGACGATGGTTTCAGCGCCACTCGGCTCAGACATGGCATGGACGAGAGGTTCGATGGACGAAGATTGGTTTGATTTTGGCTTTAAACTGGTTCCAGAGGGTCCCGTAACGATGTGATCGGTGAAGGATATCCGTGACTGGTCCGAATGTGCATGCGTCGACTGGATTGCAGCGTACTCGGCCGCGACAAGTGCGCTTGGGGACTGGGGGTCTCCCATTGCGCTATCAACACGATGGGCGCTATGTTTGATGTCATCATCATCGGAATCGTGCAATTCAAGTGCGGAGCTGGTTTGAACATTGATGATCTTGAGATCGACCAGATCATTTTTGGTGAGTTGTAGGCCTAGACGGATGGCGTAGAGATCGTCTTGAGTGCCAGTATACAGAACGAAAATTCGGTAACGGCCGGATTCGGACAGACCAAAGTGCACTGTAGTGCGAGTCTGGTCGCCCACTCCAATGCTCAGTCCTGTCTGTGTACGAGCGAGACCACGAGTAGCATCAACGACAGGATTGGAGTGTGTTCGTTGGTGGCCAGTGGAGGTGGAGGAATTGAGGTTATCCTTGGAAGAGAGGACTGTCCGATCAAGATAAACGCCGACACCGCAGTGCTCATGAGCTTTGCGATAGATTTCAAGGGCCAGAGTGCTGAAGTCGGCATTGGCGAGTGGGTCGAAAGGTTTGGTGTCAAAAAGATTGGGATATTCGCTCATGGTTCCAGTTTCAGACCAAGGAAGGAGGATCAAGTCAGATCGGAGTTCTCTTGCGCGAGACAGCAGTGTTCCACTGAAACTGTGATCGGGGACGACGGCAATCTGTCCACCGACAGCAATGTCGCGCGACTGGCCAAATGTACCAAAGGCTTTGATGACAGGATCTCGAGCGGCGAACTCTTCGATTTCCGATACACGCATAACAGAGGATTCACGCTCGGTCAATTCCATAAGGCGGAGACCGTGCATTTGGAGGGGCCGTCGAAGTGTGACGACGGAGGCCAAAGCCCCGGGATGCTTGAGCAAAGTGGGTTGACTAGGAGCGTCGGCCTCATGGGTGGTTTTGGGCTCGAGTGTGTCGAGATCTTCTCGTTTGGCGGCGAACAGATTGACCATGGTGAAGAGAGATGGCAGTCCGTCAAGTCGGAGGTATACGAGGACCTTTCGAGCAACGTCAACTCTTGTGAGAGCATCAGATTCGTTGTTGGAAGAGTCATCGTCATCAGGTTGCAGGCGGTTGCCATCCCAATCAATCTTTCCCTGTTTCCACAGCTCAAGTTTGGTTTGATACCATGGCGGATAGAGCCAGACGACGAGGGGTGTTGTGGCAAAAGTTGTGACAAGAGCCATGACAACGAAAATTGTGAAAGTTCGGGTACTAAGGATCTGTGCTTGGAGGCCAATGTTGAGAACGATCAGCTCCACTAGACCTTTACACGACATGAGGCAGCCAATTGTCAGAGACTCGCGCCAAACAAGGCCGTTCAGTCGTGAGGCTAGAGTACCTCCGGCGATTTTGCCGATGAATGCAATTGCGCAGACACCAACCACGTAACCCCAAACCATGCCACTATCGAGGAGACCCAAATTGGTATTGAGACCTGACATGGCAAAGTATAAGGGCAGGAAGAGAACGGAGACAAGATCTTCGATCTTCTCGGTAAGCTTGATTGCAAAGCCTCCTTCGTGAGGACAGATGAGACCAATCATGAAGGCACCAAAAATGGCATGAATGCCAATGATTTGGGTGAAGAAGGACGAAGCTAGAACGAGCATGACGGTGATAGCCACAACGCCTTGGGTTGGGCCGTTAGCCAAACTTCCGGTACGACGAAGGAGCCAGTAGAAGGCCCAGCGAACTGGATAGGCGACAAACAAGCAGTAACCGACAGAGACCAGGAGGATCCATAGAGCAGTGAGACCCGCACCGGAGTTCACCAGGGCGACACAAAGAGCGAGTAGGATCCAGCCCACAACATCGTTTCCTACGCCAGCGGAAAGGACGATGACACCGACGGGTGTACCAAGTAGTTTGAGAGAAGTCAAGATGCGGCACAAGACCGGAAATGCCTAGATTTTGTCAGCACAGGGAAGAAGATATTCAAAATGGGGAAGGAGAGGCTGACAGTAATGGCCATGGCAACACCGATGAAGAGCAGGTAAACCCCAAAGCTGATGGGAGCAACGCCTTCATCGTCACGAAACTCGTGATACAGACCATAGGCGATACCACCACCTAGACCAAATGGCAGGGCCATTCCGAGAGCTCCGACGCTCAGGGCAATACGCCAGTTACTGACCAAAAATCTCAAGTCGACCTCAAGGCCTACCAGGAAGAGAAAGAGGACAAGACCGAGATTGGCGACGAGGGAGAAAGCCGGCATCGAGACGGTAGGGAAGATATGCTGAGTGAAGCCGGGGATACGACCCATAATTGATGGACCCAGGACAATGCCGGTGATGACTTCGGCGATGACACGAGGTTGGCGTAGCCATGTTAAAGGCCAATGGATGATTCTGGTCAAAGCAATGACTATACTGGCCTGGATGATGAAAAGAGTGATGGGGTTTTTGGTGTCATAATGAGTGGGGTTGACACCTTCGAACACACCGCCTTGAGGAGTTGCACGATTAGAACTGGAGGCGGTGGCAGCAGTGGCGTGGATGGTGGTTGTGAGGATCTCAGTGACGGTTGCCGTGGCCATGGCTATGGCCGTGGCGAGGAAAGGGACACAGCAGTCAAGATGAAGGTGAGGTTGGATTGTAGAACGGCGAGTATACAGTGATGACAATGGCAGTGGGTTTTGGTTTGGTTAAGTAGGCCGCTGTTGAATTGCTGAAGTTGAGAGTCGTGAAGGTCAGAAGATAGAGAGTGGATGGAATGCGTGGTTGGCACAGAGTTTGCAACCAGGGTCTGGCCGGTGATGATTGGACGCCCAGTGGCGAGAGTCAGCGCAAGGCCAAAGCCAAGTCAGGCTGGCGAATTTGACGGGGTTTATACGGGGTCGATGACGAGCAGATGACCACGACGCGAGCCAGTCTCTGTTTCATGCATTGGCTTGACGGCGGGTCAATCACTGAGTCGGTGAAGTCGTTGAGCACCAAGATTCCAATGAGACGAGCAGGCGTGGCGGGTGGTTATTTGGGGGGTGAAAGTGACAGTATGACGTTCAGGGGAAGAAAGGTCATGGGATGAATCTAGGCAGAGGCTGAGGTGGATGCACGAATGCATGAATGGATGAGACTTGGGATGTTGAATGGTGGGAAAAATGGCCAAAGTGGGCACTGGACATGATAATGACATGCATGGGGGAATTAAGTGCATGTGGTTATTGTTTATTCAAGGTCATGCTGGTGTTGATCATTATTATTGTACTCGTAGACTATGACTTGGACTCTCAGACTCTTTTGTTGTCAGCGTGCCTGGTGGTAGGGGAGACTATTGTGACTGTTGAGACTGTTGTGATCAGACATCGACATCGACAGCGACATCAACAGTAACTGTTCGTGCCATTATTTGATTTGGTTGCCTGATCATCCAAACCAAACCCAAACTGCATTTCCCTTGTTTATACGTTTTTCTAGGTGGTTAATCACGCCGAAGGGCGCCATCTTGACCTGGGTTTGAGTCCGAGGCGCCCAGTGGCGACCTGTCAGGGGAATTTAAGCCTTTACATACCTACTCCGTAGGTAGGTAGGTACCTGAGGTACGCTTGAGGGTCCCCCCAACGAGTCCTCTGTGGCCATTAGGGGGTGCATATGCCCCCTGGTCCTCCTTTTCCAATGGGCAGACGCGACACTTCTTAGACACTCACTCCAGATTACACGGTCACACGTGCCTGTGGCTTTCTGACGCAGTCAGCCAGTCTGTCTATTCCAGACCAATCCAGACCCATGAACCACCACCCCTCCAACAACTCACATTCCAACCAAACACACATCGACAAATACCAACCTTAAGAGGTAGGCAGGTTCATTCCACAAGAATCCTACTAAGAAGACAAAACAGAATACACGAGAAACAAAATCACCCCAAAACGGAATCACACTGACGATCCTGGCATCCCACTCTTCGGTTCCCACTCCCCACCCCCCAATCCTTCATTCAATACGTCTTTCCATCTGGACGGCTGATTCTCCATCCATCATCCTTGGCCCATGCGAGACTGTTCAACTCGAGCAATGCCATTGAGACTTGCTTGCGATCCGGCGTCAAGTACAACAGATACACGCCTCGCACTTGTTGCAATCCACTGCCAATCCCAGTGCCGGCCCAATACCATGCAATGCGACCACAGTCATGCACAATATCGAGTGTGGTGACTTCGGGGATTCCCGCCGTCTTGACAATCGTGTCGAGAAACGCCGATTTCGAAGGGTAGGTATAATTACCGAGCTGATATAGATGAATCACAGGATATTAGCAGAAGCCCGCATCGAACTCGTCAGGGGACCTTGACTGGTCATCTCACCATTAGCCCAGCCAACGAGTTCAATGAATCACTGGTCTCGACAAACTCCTCCGCTATCAACGACTGTGCTGTGGCCAGTGCAAGCACTCGGTCTGCTGTACTGAGGATTGTCTTGAAAGAGCCCACAATCTCTCTGGCTTGACCGCTGCTCAAGCATCCAGCGGGCAATGCTGTGTTGGTTGGAGCGGCCGCGCCTGCTGCTGCTGCGGCGACTGTCTCGGTGTATGATTTGGTGATTGTTGTGGCGGCCAACGTCGTCGTCTCAACCTTTGTCACCGTCGTTGTCGTTGTCAGAAGGTCTGCCCCGACCGTGACGGTGACGCCGACCTCGGTGCAAAGGCTTGAGATCAATAGATCAAGGTATGCAGCTGACACACTGCCCGTCAGTGTTAGTGTCGTCGTCAGCAGAGCCGTCACAAGATGTTTTCCAACCATATTGGGAATTTCGCTGCAAAGATGACCCAGCAAACGTCTGTATGTCAGTCAGGCTAGCACACTCACACTCACACTATCCATGATCGACATGACCCAGACATCCGGGGTTTTATAAGGCTATCCTCGAGAAGAATGTCGTCTTCCCCCCTCTCTCTCGGGGTCCATACAAGGGTCAGTCATGTTGGTAATACTGTGCGATCGGACATCTGAAACCGCTCATTCCAGCAGCCGGGCGCCCATCCGCTTCGTGTCGTTCCCTCGTAAAGTCACACCCATTCTTTAGATCGAATATAGTTGCCAATCGCATCATGTCATGATCTGGTCCGCCCTGATGGACCAAGTTACTCAGGCAGTCAACCTTTTTTCTCCTTGCTCGTTGTTGTCTTCTGATTGGAGAGTCCTCAAGACATATCGTCCCTTCCACTCTCTCCGGGCTAGACCACGGACTCGTCTGTCACAGTTCTAGAACATCCAGTGTGTTATGTCTCTAAAGAGGAATCTTATTCATCGTTACAGTATGCTATGACAATCTCGACATGTTGAAATCGGGGACCATGCCTTTCCTAACTGTCCCACTAGCCTCCCAAGCAATGATGCATTACAATAACAAGTATGAGGAAGAGCCCCCTTGGCATGGTTGCCCATGCATGCACGTAGAACAAATGAGTCAGTCCTGCCAATTGTTCGTCCACCTACACAAACAAGACAAGCAACGCTAAATTCGCTTCAGAAAAGTGTTCAAAACAGTGTATATTTGTAACAGGGCGTGTGAACGGGAAGAGTGTTGGGACATTGTCGAGTGTGAGCGACAAAACAATAACCGTGCTTGCCACATTCATCGATATCTTTTGGCTGACTTGTGAGCAAGCGGACTTGCCGTGTTGGGCAAGACCGAAGCTCGAAGCCCTGGCTTCATCGACTCGCCTGTACGTCCGTGGCCGTTGGTCAGTCGCATCGATGTCGGCGTCTGTGAACAATAGATGCAAATGTACACTTCTGGGAGGCGACGGTGGTCGATGCCTACGCACGAAAGATGGAGCCATTTGGAACAAGAATCACTATCACAACAATCGTTAACAACAGCCCAGTATCTCTAGGTAAAATCATTGGCTCACCATTGAATCACAGGCACTTGACCATCGAAGTGCGTGCTGTGACACACGCACCGTGTGCTCATGTTGCTTGCAATGCTATCTCGATCCGTGCTCGGGGTGGCTAGGTCCGGATCTGTTATCGTGGTAGGCGAGCCTTGATACGTTGCATACTGGCTCTGAACCAGTGGTGGAGACGAATGCAGCTGCGGGTAAATGGCGCTCTCGCTCACGGCCATGCCGCGAGAGCGGTCCTGAATGATGGCCCGCAACGCTGCTTGGGCGTTGCCTTGAAAAGGTTCATCTTCCATCAAGACATCATCCTGCATCGATCGACTGGGCAACGGTCGCTTCCGGCGATTGGAAGGAAAGTCGCCTTGAACCCCGTTCGCATAGCTCGACTGTGAGCTGTTGTGCGATTGTCTCGCCGACGCTGTCGATTCCATGGTCGAATATGAGCTGTTCTTCGAATGGTTGTATGCTCGCTGGTTCAAAGTGTAATTGGGCCCTCCAACAGCTTCACCTTCATGGAAAGCAAATGAGTTGTGCTGGCTGTGAATCATGTGGAAGTCTGCCTCATCAAAAGATTCACTGGTACTGCTGATGGCATCGTCAAAATCAGGGCCGGCCTGACTTTCCGTCAGCACAGTTTTGGCCACGCCATTCTCATCAATCGCCAGCGCCAAAGAGCCTCGTTTAGTGTTGGCATTCCGGCTCGTAGCAAGGGTGCGTGAGATTGGGTCTGCTGTGCTCTTGAGAGGGGAAGACTTTCCCGGGAGAAAGCTTCGACTCGCTTCTCCGGGCATAGGAGAGCGTCGTCCATTGGGTGTCTGAGTCTGCAACTTCAACGAGCGGTCGCCACGAACGCCGGTGTGGGTCAAGCTTCTCTTCAGTCCGGGTCTACTGTCCCTCTTGGGAGAGACTGGCCGTTTGAGAGCTTCCATCACAGACCGTGTGATGGACGGCTGCTTCACATCCATCCTGCGAAGTCTCTTCATCTCCAGCTCTCGCCGAGACTCTTCCTTCTGGTGGGAATAGGCGGGTCGGTCAACAACGGCATGGTGCCCGGGTCTACCAAATGTTTGGTCAGGCCCACCGAATCGACGTGCTGGGGAGCTGAGGAACATGCTTGGGTTTTCCATCTGCGGCGGAGGTACGCGAGGGGACGTAGTGAATGGAGCAGGATATCCTGAGTGGTCAACATGGGTGAAGCTAGGTGCTCGGGGCATGTTAGGTAAGTCGAGGGCCTGGTCGTCGAAGTATGTATCCGGCTGGGAGAAGGTCGGCACAACCGTGGACGATGAGGCAAACGAGGAGCTGAAACTCGCAGGGCTCATCTGGAAAGGGTCCTGATATTGTAGAGGAAGCGTAGGTTCTTCGAATGGCATGGTGGAAGAGTCCCAAAAGAGACGTTGCTGAGGATATATTGGGGCCGTTGCAGGACCTGAAGGGAATTGATGGGCATACAAGTCGGGCGAGAACTGTAAGCTTGGGAAGAGGTTTGGAGACTGCTGGAGAAAGCGACTTGGTGTTTCCGGCGGCCCCATCACCGGCCTCTGGTTTGAAGCCATCATGCACGCTGTGTGTCCTGGTTGGAGGCGAGATGAAGAGGACTCATGTATTTGTACGGCGATGTTCCTGATCCTGCTTTGAATGGATCCTTCTCAGTAGCAGTGTATGTCTTATCTCCTGGAGACAGGATGTTGGTGGGTCGTAAAAAAATGTGCAGGATATTGTGTCCCCAGGACAGGCCTTTAAGTCTCCAGCATTTTTGATACACGAAAATTGATTTATACAGCAATGATTCAACAGGCTTTTTGACAATGTCTTCCTCTTGATCACGGCTGTTCCGTCTAAGCAGGTCTATCGTGAACTGGAGGGGGGTTGAGGTGAGTATGGCCCGACAGAGCAGAAGAGGATCGAATTAGGACAGTGTTCGGAATTTCCCAATGACGGCGTTGACTACTGTGCAAAGAACATGTGTTAGTCTTGACGCTTTAGTAAACAATGTTGGCCATAAAATTTCTCGCCAGATCCATCGCCCCGGTGCCCGTACCCACCTGAGAGTTCCCACTTGAGTGAGGGACAGTGCAGTGTATACGTACTCCGTATACTCGACAAATGTTCGGAACGCAGTAGAATTGAGAGAGGTGAGGCTCTATGACCACCAGGCGAGAACCAGGGTTCGAGGGATGAATGAAGGGACGGGCCTCGAAGGGACTAGGTGAGTCTATGTTGAGCTTTGTCCTTGAACTTTGTGTTTACGGCATGTGCTTGGTAGGGGCGAGAGAAATTGAGAGGGGACGTCTGGATGTGAAAGTTGGAGTGCGACCACACACAACATTGATCCGGGGTAAATGCAGCAACGGCTTCAAAGGTCGACAGGATGCAAAGTGTTGAAGTCGAGATCTTGCAACTTGCAGCGAGCCGTTGACGAGGTCCAGTTGGAGTCAACCGTCTATCCCCTTGATACAGCCGCAGTCATTCCTGAAGAATATCGAGGATATTCATGATTGGTCGGGTGTGGCAGAGGTCAAAAGCAAATGCGGTTAAGGTGATGGGGTCAGCGCAGGCAGAGTTTCTTGACAGCCACAGGGACTCTGGGATCATGGACCAGGACAAGGACCAGGCTCTCGCAGCCCAGGCAGGAAGGCGGCAGAGAGTTCGATAGAGCGACTGGTTGACACATGGCAAAATGCAGAAGCGGATATTAGTCCATGGTCAGTGATCCATGGTCGGGGGGGTAAAAGGTGGTGACAAGTGGGAAGCTTTAGTGGCACAGTGGGTAGGGGTGGGTATTGCTCGGATTAGGCATCGTCGTTGGGATTGGAAGATTCTGGCATGGTCAAAGTCAAGCATACAGGACACGGCACCGAGGGTCGCCTGAGCTGAAGAATTATTGGCAGAGGATGCCCCAAGATACAAAAGTTCATCAGGCCACAGGGATGCCTATCAGTGAATCAAAGGACAGCAAGCAACGAGGCTCACGCAGAGATGAAGAGGATACGATCAAGAAGCGAGAATCCTCTTGTTGGGATTCTTCTTACTGTACGTCTCCGGGTCTCTCACAGCAGACATCAGAGCAGAACCGCATTTGACTACCTAGAAACAAGACGTTGAAAACCGGAGCAATGTCACAGTGCCCACTGACAACTCCATAGTCGCCGAGCTGAGTTCTGGTCCCTGACGATGTCAAGCATTGGGACCTGCCTTGGGTCCCGCCCTGGCCGCTATGGCCGCCCAGTACAAACACACACACAAGATCTTCAGCTTTGACGGTGGCGCTGAGTGGGCTATGAAGTCAAGACCTAGACATGTCATAGACTCGGCACGGGCTACTTACAGTTGGGCATATCCACGGCTTTGTTTAGTGTTGCGACGGCTTGAAGAACAGGCATGCCAGTGAGTTTTGCAGAGGGCACGTACCGACGACAATAATCAATCAATCCAATCACCTAGGTAGGGAGGTATTTAGGCGTCGTAGTTACCTAACTACCTGTATCTAGATCCTTATCAATCGATGTGAACATGGTCGGCACGACATCCGCAAACCTGGGCGTCAATCGCCCTTGTCGGCCTGAGATCCCAGGCGTGGCTTTCCCTAATTTCCAGGGCTGTGGGGAGATTACTTGCCGTTGCCGATCTCCAAGGAGATGTGCGTGAGAAAGGGCCTTTTAGCTAAAGACATCGATAGTCATACCTACGGCAAAGCCAAGTCTTGGACGCCAGGCATGCAGTGGCGCCCCCTCGGCCCCCACCAGGCGATGTTGTCAGGAACTTGATAGGTACCTACCAGGTAAGGAAGGTAGGTACGTCCCCTAGAGACTGGGTTGCCTGATTCTTCAGGCAACGTAATGTTATACGTACAAAGTCCAGTAATGACATCGTCCGAGGAAGACGAACAACCGCATGGTCTTATAAACGTCATGTCCTCGCCTGAACCTGAACAAACTTAGATGCATGGACAGGTTAGCAGTTTGACCACATGTGCTCTATTCGACATGGCGTCAGTCTGGCCCGTCCGTGAACTTCCAGGTTGTCACTCTAGGAAAACTATAGTATCTAGATACCTAGGTACTTAATTAATAGTACGTAGCTTGGAGGAGATTAGCTTCAGAAGTACATTTGACGATAACGAAGAGTCAAGGACTGTTGCAACACCTCCCTCCAAGCTTATTTGACTCGAAACAGAGAGATGGTCCCCTCTATTTACAAGCTGTAACCCATGTGTTTGATTTCGTCTACTATCAGAAAAGGCCGAGTACTCCGTACGCCAACCCATGCATGCTCTAAGATTAGCGAAATTCTGGGGACCCAGTGGCTTTTACTTAGGTCTTTATTTCATCATCATTAATTTAGGGAACCTTCTCCAGAGCCAACCCCACAACCTTCAGTGGTGCTTGTCGACCTGCATAAACATCGACATTCCATCTCCACCAAGCCAAACTCTCGGACTGCTTGCAGCCATACGAAGCCCAAAGCGTCCTTGAAACGCCTTATGCAGGCAACAAAACTAGGGTAAGGTTTAGAGCCAGGGGCTTGGGTCTTTGTACCTACGGAGTAGGTAGGGACATCTACGGAGTACGGCCAGATGCCCATGTAATTGTACGCACAGTACTCCGTACGTACACGCATGCATCTTGTGAACTGTGCTCCATACACTTACCTTATGCATGAGCAGCGTGCGCACCTTTCCACCTACGGTAGTGCCGATTCCGTGGAAAGGTTCTTGTACATTTGCAGAAGGCCATGCGACCACTTGGTGCTGACCCTCTACATGAACCCCTTTCCCTTTCTGGCCAAAACTCTGCTTAGACTTGGACGTAGTTGTTGATAATGTGGAACAGTTGGGCCGACGATTTGGTAATAGTAACTACCTATGGTCGGGGAAGGTCGAACAAATGCTCTGCTTGCCAGAATGTAGTGCCGCAGGTGACAGGACTCACACTTGGACCGTGCCAGCTGACTGTACACACGAGTACTATCATACTCAATGAGCCACTCGCTTGATAACGAATCTGGGCATCCAAACTGGTGGTAAGTCTTGGACAAGAATTTGTCCTTATACCCGAGGGTCAACGGGCAGTTCGTATCATCTAAGACATTATGTGGGGTTTTCATGCGCTTCAAGAATCCTTTTCAACTGGGTCGAGTGTCTGCCGTCTTTCCAAGCGAGACTCCACTGAAAAAAAGGCCGAAAAGAGAGCTCAGTTTAATTCTACGAATACGGGCGAGATATGGGGGAAGGATGCTAACTTCTTGACCATCGCATAGAGTTCCTGGCCCTGGTCGAGGGCTCAATTAGTCCCAACTGTATACGAATACCCAACATCACCAGTTCCATCAACCCCTCTTAGACTGTTCCTGCGTCAATTGCAGGCATGCTCAAGAGCCATGACAGTCGTTCGTTACTAGGATCAAGGGTCTTCGACCTCTGATGATGTGAGGTTGCACATGGAATAGCCGCTAACTACGATGAGATGACTGTTATCGTGTAAGCAGCCCATTTATTATTTGCGCGCTAGGGATCCAATATCTGCCTGCACTTGAAACCTCAATCTTCGTCGGACTCGTCATTGTCATCAGAGATGGGCTCGACGATGAGGTTGGCACTTTTACCTATTCTTTCGCCAACGGAGCCACCCCCGGCCAGCTCAAAGACTGTCCTCGGCATGGGAGACACTAGTCTGAACCCATATTCATGGGTATAGCCTGCAGGCTCTTCTACGTCTTTCTCCCCCGTGGCGTCATCCGACTCGAGAATCTCGTAACACTCGACAAAAGCGTACAGCTCTTCCATATCCGTTTCAGATCTGAACTTGCGAATGACCCGTTCCCCTGAATGCATGCGGATGCTGACACGGACAACATCCTTGACCTCTGCCGGGGGCTCGTCAGGAAGTGATTGCGCCCGCCATCGCTTCCACTGAGCAATGTCTCTTTGCTTTTTGGCCAAAAGCTCCGCCTGCTCTCGTGCTTGTCGCTCGGCACGCTCGGCAGCTTCTTGTTGCTCTCGCCTCTGGCGGGCTCGTTCTCGGTCTTGTGCCAATGATCTCTCGTACGCTGAATCCTGCTCCTGGCGTAAATTACGTGATGCTTGCTGCTCTGCTCGTTGAGCCCGGGCCGCAGAGAGTTGAGCCTGGTGAGAGGTCATGGCGGCGCCGAGTTTGGCCACCAATTCCGACGCCGACATGGGCCCAGTGGCTCGCGACACCACAGTCATGTTGGAAGATCCAGATTCAGTTGTTTGACAAATGAGAGCGGCAAATGGGAACTTGGTGCATTGAAGGCTGCTAGAAACCTGATATGCTTCGGAATCTTGAACATTTCCTCCCCACAGAGTCATTTCATCTTGATGTGTTGCCAAAAAAGTACGAAACTGGTTGGACAGCAATGTCTCTCGAACCCAGTTGTGGGTTTCTTCGTGGCTGGGAGATAGAAGCACGACCAACATGAATTTGAGATCTCGCTTCGCATTATCCAGAGTCAAATTGAAACCCGTCTCTACAAATGGCAGCGGCGCTGTATTCTCGTCTCCATATTCTTCACCAAATTCTCTGACGAATCTTGCTGTGCTCTCGCCGGGTGGTAAACTCCGCCGTGTGGGCCTGGACTGGAGCTGCTGCTGTTGAAGCAGGCGGGCGAAGATGCGTGAAACCGAAGCAGGTATTAGGAAGGCGAAAGGGGAAAAGATGGCGCTAAAGATCCGGTAGATGATGTTGACAGGTGTAAAGAGGAGAGAGAAAATGAAGTTCGGGCGATAATGTGTAGTGGTGCCCGCAGTCGTATCAACTCTGCCAACCACATTGTCGGGGTCTGGACGAGGGAGAGAGGGCCGACTGGCGGCGAGCAACTCTTCGTACTGTAGATTTGCAGTCCCTCGTGAAGTGGTCGCGGGAAGGGCAGCACGTGCTTCCGCAACAGGATCTGTGGTGGGCTCTCCATCAAAGAAGCGAGCTATGGCGATCTGAACATTCCATTCTGCTCTCTGAAGAATCGGGATTGCAGCCACAGGGTCTTGGTCTGTGACTGCGGTATAGGTCTGGAGGGCTTCTTGTTGTGAGGGATTGAGATCCCCAATGTCTAGCGATGACATTGTTGAGTGGTGTGGGTGCAAGCAAGGCTTTTCTTGTCGTGGTGGTATGGTCAGGACTGTCCACGACGGGGACAGAGGAAGGCGTAAGTATTATCGGCCACAGCGAATGGACATCTCGAAGAATCCTCGTCCTGTGATAACCTAGATGCTCAGATTCATGGAGTCAGGGTGCGGGGCGTGCAGGAGATGAAGCGAGCACGGTGATTAGGTCGAACGTGTTCGAAGGTGGGAGGGAATGTGACAAGTGACAAGGTCAAAATGTGATAATAAATTGTCAGAGGCGAAGAGAAGAGCACACGATGTCATTTCGAGGCCAACGATTCACGGAATCCACAAGTTTCAAGATGAACTCCATGGCGACTTCGGAGGCTGGGCGCATTTGATTGGCTGGTACTTCAACCCCGGAAGTGTGATCCTTGAGGACGTCGAAGGTACTCCGTAGGTAGAGAAGCACCTACGGAGTAGATTTAGGCCCAGACCATATGCACCTACCACCTAAGGTACGTACCTACCTTTAATGCCCCCTACCTCATACCTCAGGTAGTTTTGGGTGTTCTTGGTGTTCTAGTAGCACCTATTAGGCCCACATGGTCACCCATCAGCTTCCCCAAGGGCCACGGCCAACCCTAATTATTTACTTATCTCTTGTACTAACTCTAGGCCACCCCCACCCAATTATCACCTATTCCTGGAGACTATGGCTGGTGCTTGTCGACTGGTCGATGTCACTGTCAAGATTCATCCAACCTTCGACCTCACCTCTTGACCTGCCTTTTACTCTGACCGACGTCGCACCCTGCTCATCATCTTTCTCCTTGTTTGGGTGGCTGGCGCATTACAAGTTCTTGCTCTTCTTTCCTCCTCTTCTTGGATACATCTTCTCACCTTGCGCAATTGTCCCGTTCTGTCAGCCTTCTGCGACCCAGTCTGCGTAGGAACATCCAACACGGTCACCACTTGCGCGAACCTCACACGTCCTACTATCCTTGTCCATCCCTCTCGCACCTCGATGACTCGAAACCATGTCCTAAAATCCACACTCGACGGTAGAGTCCACCTGTCTCCCATGGAGCCACATGTCAAGTATAAAACCAATTAAAAGTCGATAATGGCCGCTACGATAAAGAATAATAACGTCGACAACCCCACGAATTCTTCGTCGTCCCCGAGGTTCAAAGGTCGAGGTAGGTGGATATCCTTTGCTCTTGTTGGGTGATGTGATAGAGAACACTTGCCATGTCCAGAGACTGACATCCGCTGGTTGATGTGCCCAGAGAACACAAAGGATACCCTCTGTCGCAACGTTACTATTTATGGGAAATGCCGTTACGAAGACAAGGGTACGATTTGTTCAGACCCAACAAGTTTTGGTCAGAAGCTGATAGAAAACAGGCTGCGCTTTTAGCCATTCAATACCAGGTTCTACCTCAGATACCAGCCAAACGGATGCGTACGTGCTTTGTCCCAGCCCTGGACGTTTTCCGACTTATTCTAACGTCCCAAAGCCAAGCAAAGAAGATGTTGAACGTCGACTCCCCTAGCTTTACTCCCTCTTTCCTCTCGCCTAACGATTCCAACGCTGTTACGGTCAAGAAGCCTGCCGGAATATCACCAAAGGCTGCCAGTGCTGCTCCGTTCATGCCCAAGGCCATCATCACTCGTGAGAACATCTTCTCAGCCTTTTCCACCTCATCGACTCATTCAGGTTCCCAGGTCCTTCGAATACCACTCCACTCCGTCAAGACACTAGAACCCCTGACTGGGTTTTGTCTGACCTACAAGAGTTTGTACCTAGGCAACAACAGGAGTCATCTTTGGTAAGCCCGGGATCTCATGTGTCCTCCAAAGTTGTACCGTGGCTAATGTGGCGAGAGCAGGGGTCCGAAAGCGATGTTTCCATTCCGCAACAGTTTGACTCCTTTCAATCAACCCATGCCGCTAATCCCTATCTTGAACATAACATGAATGGTCAGGGATTCTACCAAGCGTCATCCTTCCAGCAGCCGGTTTGTCTTTTCCATGGCATGGGGTTCCAGCAACGCAACGTGCTAATCATCACAGGTGCAATACCATAACTATGCCCCCATCGGGCATTTCAACTCCAATCTCACACCATACCAACGCACTGCACACGACCTCTTCATTCCTAACACTCTCCGCGAGGATATTCAAAAGAAGTCTGCCGCGGCCTTGCAGACTTTACCTAGTAAATTGACTCTTCTAAGACTCGACAACCTCGACTAACGCTTCCAGATTCTCAACTTCCGAATCACATTGAATCCTACCATTCTCTAGTCCCACTCGATACAAACCACAAAGGCTCCACCATCTTTGGTGGGTATACTTCATGGGTCTACAAAGCACAATCCAGTGCCAACGGTCACTTTTTCGCGCTGCGGCGGATTGAAGGTATTTATTTGGTATTCACGGACTGGGGTTGAAGGCGACTGACCCCAAACGTAGGCTTCAGGTTAACGAATGAGATGGCCATTAGAGCCGGCCAGGCCTGGAAACAAATCAGCAATGCCAGCATTGTCCGAGTGGTCGACGTCTTCACTAATCGTGGATTCGGAGACAGTTCTCTTTTCATTGCAACAGACTACCACCCGCTCTCCAAAACATTGCTTGAACACCACCATCTAGGGCAGAACTGGTCTCGCTCGACGCGCAACACCAAAGAGCCGGTTACCGAAACTCTTCTCTGGAACTACATTGTTCAAATTACATCGGCATTGAAAACAATCCATGCCGCTGGGTTGGCTGCTCGCGTGGTGGATGCTTCGAAGATTCTGGTGACAGGCAAGAACCGTATTCGACTCAATGGCTGCAGTATATTAGACGTTGTCCAATTTGAGAGCGGCGTGTCGATTCCCCAGCTTCAACGACAAGATCTGGCCAACTTTGGCCTGGTCATTCTTTCAATTGGTAGTGGGACATCGGATCTGGGCCAGAATTTTGCCCGCAGTATGGACCTTTTCAATCGGTACTACAAACCCGAACTGCAAAATGCCGTGATGTGGCTCTATTCAGCCATACAAAACCAGGACAAAACGATCGATCAATTCGTGACCTTGATCGCAAACCAGATGGTTACATCGTTTAACGCAGCACTTCACAATGACGACGCCCTTTACACTGACCTGGCTCGAGAAGTGGAGAATGCGCGACTGGTACGGTTGATGGCCAAGATCAACTTTGTCACAGAACGAACGGAATATGAGCACGACCGGGCCTGGTCGGAAAATGGGGAGCGGTATTTCATCAAACTGTTCCGTGATTATGTGTTCCACCAAGTGGACGCACAGAATCGTCCGGTGGTGGATCTTGCGCATGTCTTGAATTGCTTGAACAAGCTAGATGCAGGATCCCACGAAAAAATGACGCTGATCAGTCGTGATGAGCAGAGCTGCTTCGTGGTAAGCTTTGCAGAGGTGAAAAAGGGCATTGAAAACGCTTTTGCAGAGTTGACTAAGGGTCAGCCTCAATTGAGATAGACGTCTTAAGTGGGGATATCAAGGTCCAGTGATCGAGACACGGAAGGGCCGATGTAAGGGGAGGGGAGAGGCACCATCGAGCAGTTGAAAATTTGGGGGTGATGTCAACAGTGGGCGGCTGGCATCTGCAACATGCACAGCCAGGATTCAAGGATGGTTGGTTGGGAGCCAGAAGAGGGGGTCGTTGGACACGACCGGCCGAGAAGCAATTGCTATTTGGCCAAGTGAATGGGACGGGCACCACATGTTGGGACAGATGGCATGACATTGTGTATTGAGGTGAGGGAATAAAGTGGCAGGTCCAACAACGACATGTTGATCAAACAGATCGAGAGGACATGAGATGATATAAAGCTGCCCGTGTTGTGTGTATGGTGTGAGGCGCAGCAAAGCAAACACGCAGAATGCAGACAGGATAACTCGTCATATATGTGAATCAATGATTGAGACCCAATCTTTGAATTTGTATTTGATGGCTGCTCCAGATGTCTTCCCGCATACTATCTAGTCTTTGTCGATGGCCGCGCACTGAAGAGACAATCAGAGGACATTCCGCGGGCATTTGCTAGCTACTCGGGACACTGGTTGAGTTGACACAGTTTTGTTTGCTCTAGCGCCGAGGAAATCTACCATTAGTCAAGGACTTTGGCTTTCTTGGTCAAGGTCACAGGCCTCTATAAAGAAGGCAAACTGTAGCTCGACGATCGATCCTTTACTTCCTCAGCCATGAAGACACACCATCGCACTATGTGTCGAGGAGTCTGAAGTCCAGTGCGGTTGCTTGATTGATTTGAGCTTTACTTGGGTTGGGAAGGCGGATTTATTGAATTCTCATCCTTCATTCCTCGGTTTGTTGCTGGAACGGGTTCTCAATTTCTTCGCTTCCGTCCAACGGTGAGATCAAGACAAGCAATGTGCCTCGGGCGACAATCAAACCAAGAGATCGTGTGGTTTCGTTGCCATCGTCGTCTATTGTTGGGGAAAGATCGGTCATATTAGTGTGAGGTTCTTATCCCAGGGTTGGTTGAGTCATCGACTTATGCCAGGGCTTACCTCGTAATGTTTCCTTGACGTCGTCGAGAACAAGATTCATCAATTGATCGTAGCCTTTCAGTACACCAACGACTATCACACAGAGAGAAAACGGTTAGTATGTCCACCTTTTGCTTGGGCAGGGGAGGATCGGGGAATGGGCTAGGGGCTCAACACTCACTCTCCCTGCCGCCGTTGAACTTGACATTGATCTGCTTGTCAATGTACTTTGTCAGATCGAGAATGTTTTCCTTCTTAGGTTTCTCATGAGCTTGGTTGCCTTGCTGGGCGCCACCAGAACCACCGCCACCTCGACCTCCGCCCCGTCCTCCACGGTTTCCGCCATGACCACCACCTCCTCCCCCTCGTCCTCCGCCCCGGAAATGACCACGTTCGGACATTACAAGGTGGATCTCTGAATCACTCCGTATGGGTTTGGTTGACGTGTGGGTGTTGAGCGATTGGACGCGAAATTCAAGTGTTTGGTAGCCGAGCCAGGGCAAGCGCTGGCACCAGGTGAAAAACCAATATTTCTTAAAAAGGTTTAGGGGGGTGGGAGGGGGAACGGGCCAATCAGAATTCGGGGCTCGTTTCCTCTTCCGCCTAGGGCAATGCGGTGATTATTTACATGGAGTAGATGGAGATAGGTCAATAGTCAGCAAGGTTGTGTTGTCAAGCCCAAGTATGTGCAAGGGTGGATTTACGACAAGCTAGGGGAGATCCAAGTCATGTGGCTAACATTGACAAGTAGGGAGAGGGTGACATCCAAGGTTGGGCGTAGGCATGTACCCAGCAACAGAAGCCCTGGGGGTTGACTTTATCGAGTTCCGCCCGGGGATTGTTTCGTCAGTGGCGAAAAGTGATTGGGCGGAGCGCGACTGGGAATCTGGAGGAGACACAACCGCGACAACTCTCTGGGCGCACGAATGATTCTGTTGTGCTCACGGCTACTTCTTGGGATATTCAGCCGAGTTGGTGATCGGCGGATTGGGCATGGTAGCAATTCTGGAAATTTACTTGGTCCGGAAGCTGTTGTAGGGATCATTTGCTGGGTTGAAACGGTTATTAACTAAACTGCTACTGCTGCTGCCGCTGTTGTTGTTCACTATGCCTTGACCATAATACTGCAGCTTCCCCAACGTGGGCAAGTTTTGGTTCGTCACGCCACCATGTAAAACAGAAGCTACGATCTACAACAAGCAGGGAAAGAGCGGCCGCGGAACGGCCGGCATTGCAGGCACTTTCTCCCACTTCGAAACGTGAGCAGGTGGTAGGCCAAGGGCTTAGGCCTTTCTGTTTCATCTTCCCGCTTCAATGCATTACGCCGGGAGTGTGCAGCCCTGCCGCTTTCTACCAGATTGGGCTACATACCTAGGTAGCTTTATGCATATCATGTCCTGGCATATTTGGTCACCAGGTAGGCACGCACGGCCAAGGTCCAAGGGAAGCGGAGAGCTCGTGTAGCTCTGCAGATCAAGCCGTTTGATGTTTGGAGAGACAATTATTCGATCATGGGGTTTGAGGCATGGTCCAGGTAGGATTTGTCCATGGTCCCACCATCCCATCAGATTTCAGTGTCTTGGGTCAATTACCTCAAGTTTATCTTTGGCTGTGGCCGCGTAACTCGGGGCATTTTAGCTTTGAATGACCAACAAGTGCATCTGGTCGTTTCCGTTTGCCTTAGGTAGCGTAGGCCGTGAGTTGGGCCCGAGGGCCCGAGATTCTAAACCCCGCCCCCCTCACCAGAAGTTAGCCGCCTAACATACTGTAGTCCCCGTTCCTCGCGACTTTACGCCACCAACCAACCGCGAGTGGGAGAAAACCACCTGTGTCCTAAGCATACTGTAGGTCGGAGCAGCCTCTTGTTGTTAAGTAATGACATGGTCGGCGCAGGATAGCCCATAGCATAATCATAACAAGGGTAGGGGCCACAGGGGCATAATTATTGTCAACTACTGAAATGAATCCTCCCACTCGGAAGCCTCAGGTCAAAGCAACGAAAAAAACCATTCCTCCCGCTTCCGCGATCCACCACCGCCCCAAGCTGCGTGGGATTGGATCAATCAAGCCCGCGACCGGAGACAGGCTGAAAGCAGTTAAGATGCTGCTGTTGTGGTGGCTCAAGCCTCACCACTCCCCGGCCCCCAAACACCCAGGCAGATGGCTCCCAGGGTTCCTCGATCCAGGGAGTGTGGCAGTCCGCACCAGGAGAGGTCGAGGCGCCGACAGCCCTTCTTCGGTTCGAGGGGCGGTAATGAGGCTTGACGGAGTAGCATCCCCGAGAGTCCCCTCGACCATCAATTATTCTCAACCCTCAACCCTCGCTCCTCACTGCCAGCTGGTGTTGGTGCGCGGGGCGCAAAACTCCTACGGGCGACAATTGATTTGTTGGCTGCGGGTGGGATCCCCACTCTTACAAGCTCCCCTCTCCCCTCTCCCCTCCCACCTTCAATTCTCCTCGACTCGATTGGATTCTTGATGCAGGAGAGGGAAAGGGAGTAGACAAAGCGCTTCTCGCGCCTCTCCTCACCACCCACCGCCCAACGCCCACAGGCCCAACACCACCTCGTGACCTGTCCCTCGCCTGCTCGCACCACCCCATTCCGCGGCGCCAGGATCCAAGCATCCACGCACCACGCACCACGGCATCAAAAAGAGTCAATGTGGTCGGAGGCCACGATCGGAGATGGAACGAGTGAATGGCCAGTCGACACCCTTGTCGTCCCTCTCGGCTTTTCCTGTGCCCTTTTTGCCTTCCCTCGCCCTGCCCACGCCTGCCCTTCAACTTCTCTTCATTCGCTCTAGCGGAGGTTTGACACGCTGCGATACTAGTAGCTCGCGGGCTAGTGATTTGGTCCGCTCTGTCGGAGGTCTCGCTGGCTTCCCGCACCCGCAGCCTCAGGCTCATCCTCAGGCTCGAGACAGGACAGGATAGGATACGACAGGACACGACAGGACACGCCCCCCTCGCTCGCGGCCTGGCCAGAAGTAGCGGCATTGAGTGTGGTACTTAGTGGCAGTCGTGTTGAACCACCATTCCAGATTCCATCTCTCGCACACTGACTGCACCTGCGCCCTGTTCCATCCCGCCAGCTGCATAGCTTCCATCCCATCCATTTGTCTACCTTTTTGTCTTCCTGGGTACCTTACCTACTAGTTACCCTCCTGTGCCTGCTCACGCTACCACCTCACCTCACCTCGCCCTACCAATCCTCTTCTCACCTCTAACCTCTAACCTCTCACTTCTGGTCTCGCCTCCCATACCATCTGACCACTCTTTCAAATCACTTTTTCTTTACACCCACCCCGCTTACCACTGTATCTTCACTTCCTTTATTTTCTGCACTTCTGCTTCAGGCGCTGCAGCTTCGACACAGCTTTACCCGCTCGGGTTTGCCTGTAACGAAGCTGAACCGGTCCACCCCTCCACCTGACCTTCCGCCTTGCTTGCCTGGCCCAACGACAGCTTCCCACCTGACCTCACCACCACCAACGGCCCGAGCGCAGCTCCAGCGCCTCGGGCTCCCTACCTGTCTTGCCACCCCATCACGTCCATGTCCTCATGATGGATACTTCTCCCGCAATGACATCTGATTCATCCTCTCTGAAGAGGCCTCGTTCGCCCACCGACAATGCCCCTCTACCCTTGGCCAAGGTCCCCCGGACTGCCACCAATCACCTACAAATCAACTACCTCGCTCGACAACAAAAAGAGACCATTCCCCTCGTCACCGCCAACGACAAGCTACCAGAGTTAGCTCGACTCTTAGGCGAATATGATGGTGTCCTGCAGCGTCATGAGAGCATGGCCGGAAACCTCGGCGCTTGTCCGCTGGGACCTATCTTGCTCAAACGCTTTGAGAGACTTTTTGACGGGCCTCCCAAAGTCCTCAAGTCCCACGCAAAAGACTCCACTATTAGTTGGTTGGATGTGGTGGAATTTGCCCAGAACAACCCAAAGCAGTTCAACCTAGAAAGAACGCGGAATGGAATTCGAGTCTGTCAGTTCTACACCAAGCAATGTCGAGTGGAGGTCTCGGAGGAAGATTATGTCCTCATTGCCAGCGGAATGCCTCAAAAGCTCATCCCTCCACAGCCCATTCCCGAGGACGAGGAAAAGGAACTGGCAGTCATGGATCTTTTGGATCGAAACCTCGGACAAATTATTCAGCTTGCAGATCAAGGTATGTCATTCCTTACAACACATGTCTGGTGACACTGTCTTGGACTAACCTTCCTCTCAGTTTCTGGCAGAGCTCGACAAATGATTCACAAGATGAAGAATCGGAGGACCGCGATCTTGGCCCGACGAGAGCATGAGGCGGAAGCGAAAAAGCAACCTCCTGATGTCCGAGCATCTCCTCTTTCTCCCGCCGAGACCAACGGCAATGTCGCCAGGCCCTTGCGCAGTATAGAGGTTTCACACTCACCTCCGGCTGGCTTTATGACGGTCAATTTGAGGCAAGCGGGACATGAACCAGAATCAAGAGCGGCGCCCACCACGACAGGTGAAACACATCGAGGTAATGTCGAAGATGCATTGAGCCAGAACCTTGCCAACCACAATGGCAGAATCGTCGACGAGCCCTCACCGAGTGTGAGAAGTGAAATGCTGCACAAGTTCTTGACACCGGCTGAACGCGAGGCAGGCTTGACAGAAGAGACCATCCGACGGTCCTCGTTGGGGACAACTCGAACGAGTGTCATGCAGCAGAACTCGGCAGAGAAGCAACGGTCGCGGTCTACTGACTTAGCAGGCGGTGTGGATGGTGGCAAGAACCCGCCCTCGGTTGCTATCCCCAGTACTCCCGTGTCACTGTTGCCCCAGATGAAACCCTCGCCCATGGACAGGGACGACGGCGGCCCTTTCAAATCAGAAATGGTGCGAAGAATGGATAACATGTGGAAAGGAGACCGCGTCATCCCCCCATGTGATCGATGTCGAAGACTACATATGGACTGTCTCAAGAATCTGACGGCGTGTATGGGGTGCACCAAGAAACATGCCAAATGCTCCTGGAAGGAGGTCAAGGCGGATGAATTACAGGGCATTAGCACGAGACATTCAGCTTCACCGGAGCGGGAGAGGGCAGCGTCCGGGCCTAGCCAGGACCCGGAGCCGGCACCGCCGTTGTCAGCGAACTCGACCATTGTGGTCTCTGACCGTCATGAAGTGGCTCCGAGGCCAACGGCTGAAGCAGGTGCTCGTGTAGAAGAAGCTGCAAAGGAGAACAGGGCTGAAGCGACTCAACCAGGCAGGAAAAGCGAGCCGGCTCTGGGCTTAGGAATGACGGCCAAATTCGACGTCCGACCACCACCACTGGGGCAAACAGCTCATGGTGCAGCAGGGCGGCGCTCATCGACTGTGCCGACACTGTATGGAGGACAGTATTCGCCAGCCGCACGGGGTGGTGAGGAGGAAGATGATGACGAGGGTGACAGACTCCTGGCACTTGCAGCGCGGGTCTATCGAACAGCGTCTCAGAGCGGACATCGCATGTAAGATGTGTGATTGACAGAGATGGAAGGGGACGAGGTGGGGTATGTCAAGATGAGTTTTGAGAAAGCTTGACTGCATTTGAGTTGACCATGGAGCAAAGGCGATAAAAGAGAGACGATGAGACCCGCTCAGGAAGGAGATGACTGGGGTGCGTACAGCGATCTATGGGTCACACAGGATCAAAAGTACTAGAAAAGAGTTCTTCTTTGGTGTATTCATATGGACGCAGTTGGCATGGTTGTGTAGTTGGCATCACGTGCACCTATGCAATGTACGAGTATTACTGTACTCGTACGATGTTGAGCGTAGAGCATGACAGTATCGCAGCATCGCAGCATCATAACACCGCAGCATGGAGATTCAAACAAGAACAAGCATTACTACTATGCTCTCTTTACCACATGCGGAACAGATTCCATCAAGGGCCAGACATCTTTGTCAGCTTGGTAGCCACGGAAAACATTGGGGGGTAAACTGACCAAGGCTGGGGTATTTCCCTCGTACCACTTCTACAGTTCCACGGAAGGGTGGCCCAAAGGTACGATTGTCTACCAGCTGCTGAATAAAGAGACGGCCAAGCAGAGGTACTAGGGATTAGTAGCTATTTCCGGGCGGGGTTTGAGGGGTCTTTTACTTGGAACTTGACTATTATTGAGGCATAATGAGGCATTCTCAGGCATAACTTCGCTTATAGGATACAGGCCTGCCATTAGTAATTCCAGAGGTGCTTCATGCCTCTCGGTACCCCATACACTGGGTGATCGATCACCTATTGATCACCTAGATACCCTGTTCTCTGGGCGGGGTCCTGTGCCTGGGCGATATTAACAGTAGGTCCTTGGACACTTTTAACTTGTTACTCTGGGTGCAGCTTCCGATGGCTTAGCCCCTGCATAGTCCGATATCGAATCATCGCTTTCGAGCCATGTCATGAGATGAAAAATGATGTACAAAATAAAGTGTCAAGCCACGGTCACTGCCGGTGTATGAATTGCATCAATCATAATTCCAGGGTCGTATTTAGTGTCAAATGATGCCCACAGATCGGTGCGCGGTCGTCCTGTATTAATGTATCAACGAGAGCACTGTCCCCCATCATTTAGTCCGATCACAATCCCACATCCGAAAATTCTCTCCAGGATTTGTATCACATCCCACATGATTCGTCTCTGCGGAATCAACCAACCCGCATCACACCTCTTGGAGTCCCTGTTCTGGGGGATAGGATTTACTATTTATTAGATATTGCGATCCGACACGCCACGCCTATTTCATATTTACTTGTATGATTTGGATTTCTTGTTGATTCTTACCTAGTAATTTTCCTACCACGACCACATCTTCTCTCTATCTTCTCTGCTACCACCACACAGACCTAACATTTCGCCGTTCACCCGTACACCATGGACCCCTCCAAGGTCACTGTCCCAGCTTTGAAGGATTTGACAATTGATAACATCACCGAAAATGTCATTGCTATCAACTCTCAAAACCCAGATGCCCGCTTTAAATACATCCTAGAACGACTAGTGGTACATTTACATGACTTTGCACGGGAAACGCGACTGAGCACTCAAGAATGGATGGCTGGTATTCAATTCCTCACTTCGACGGGGCAGATATGCTCCGATGTGCGACAGGTATGTTTATTGTCTTGAGAGGGGAGGTGTGGATGGATATTTCTGCATATTTCATGGGCAAATCTGTTCCCAACGGGACCACCACTGACAAGAAGTTCTCTCAAACCAGGAATTCATTCTACTCTCAGATATCCTGGGTCTATCGCTCCTGGTTGACAGTATCGACCACCCAAAGCCGGCCAACAGCACCGAAGGAACGGTTCTGGGACCGTTCCACACGCACGAAGCAGAGCACATGTCACACGGCGATTTGATGTCACAAGACGCCAACGGCGAGCCACTGCTGGTGCTGTGCACGGTCAAGGACGTCGACGGCAAGCCCGTGTCTGGAGTCAAGGTCGACATCTGGGAGACGGACTCATCTGGCCATTACGATGTACAGCACGCGGACCGCACAGGACCAGACGGTCGCTGTGTCATGAAGACCGACGATGAGGGTATCTTCTGGTTCAAGGCGATTGTCCCAGTCCCATATCCAATCCCTCACGATGGACCCGTTGGAAAACTGTTGATCCATCTCCAGCGGCATCCCATGCGTCCAGCTCATATGCATTTCATGTTTGAGAAGGAAGGGTTTGACCATTTGATCACGTACGTTTTTCTCCTGTCTTGTGTGCATCCCTTTTTGCTTGGCGCTTGCTGTCATTTTCTTTTGCATTTTCAAACGCTGACTTTGATATCTGCTTTTTCACGTCCAACAGAGCTCTATATCTCAAGAATGATCCATATGAGTCCTCTGATGCTGTCTTTGGTGTCAAGAACAGCCTGATTGTCGAGCTGGGTAAGGTGGACAAGGCCACCGCTGACAAATATGGCGTGAAAGAAGGCAGCGCCCTCATGACATATGACTTTGTCCTCGTCACCGAAAAGAACAGTTTCGATCTCCGCTCCGAGAACAGTGCAAAGGCACTCGAGAAGCTTGGCCGTAGAGTCAAGATCGTCAACGGTCTTCCTGTACCGGAACTTGATTAGAGGGGAAATATGAAGGAGGGTGACGGCACCACAACTCTTGTACAGCTGTATATGCCGTGAGTAACGTTGTTATATTGCCAACCATAATGCACAAATTTGTATGGACATGACAAGATATTAACCGGTTATGAAGTTGTCTTGGTCGTGTTCAAAAACACCAACATCTCCCCCGGCGGCTTGTCGTCTCCACGTGGTCACAGCCTCTCCAAAGCTCGATGCCCAGCGTCATCTGCCATCTCCCCCCTCTGACCCTCAAACTTAATATGGCCGTACTCTCTGTAGCCAGCATTGCCCAAGCCCAGGATCACTCTCCTCTGCTCAAAATGCTTGGTGTGGTGATATCGTTCGTGTTTCTCGATCGATTCCCAGCCGACGTAGACAATGTAACAATTGTCGAATCCGTCCACCTTCTCGAGCACTTTGCCACCGACACATCCAAGACATCCGTCGACATAGCGCACAACGTGGGTCCACAGTGGCCAAGCTCCTTCGTGCCATGTCGGGGTGGTAGAGATGTAAATAGCGCTGCCTGTGACAGGGGTTGAAGGAGACAAGGCTCGAGTAAGAGCTGACGGTGTAAATGCTTGGAGCTGGGTGTGGCGGGTCAGGGGCGGGTTGGATGGCGTGCTGACTGGAGTTGTGGGTAGAGCGGCTAGGAACTCTGGATATCTTGACGAATTGACAAAGTCATAGTGTTGTGATAGATGGGCGCGGACTAATTTGGATATAGGAAAGGACGAGACGGTCAGTTGTGGGCTGGTCTAAACTACCAACAGGGGCTTAAGGCAGTTCGTGATTCATCAGGCCAAGCCAAAGATGGCACCATAACAGCATATATTGACCAGTCCACCAAAGGAGTCTCATGAGAACACAAGCTCCATCACTATAGTCCAAGTGACATGTTCTCAAGAGCTATACCAAGGAATCATGGTCTCGACTTACCAACATGCAACTGGACCTTGGACCAATCCTCAGGCGATCGACCCCAATACAACGTCTGAAAGCCGATGTGTTGTTGCAATAGATCCAAAGCCCGCGACCATGATTTTCCTGCTTCTGTAGCGGTGTCTTTAAGATCTTTGTCCGGATCGACGGTCAGATAGATAATCTGGGTGGCAGGGGTCGACATGATTGTAGGGCTGAATTCATCAAAGAAGGTGGTGTGTAGGGCAACGGGAACAGTGATGACGGAGAGTGCTTTAGATCTTACTCCTTGGCCAGGGCAGTGTCAACCAGGGCATGTCAGCATGTTCGCTTCGAAGTCAGATTTACCTCGGATGGACAGAGTTGGTTCTGTACGGAGTCAGCCATCAACAAGAAATGCAAAGCTGTCAGAAGACTCTAAGATGTAGAGGGGATTCAAGAGGGGGGGGATGTGGAGGTGGAGCAGCCACGGGAATTCAACGGCCCTCGGCCATGCATGCAAGGGTCCATGGCTCTTTCCTTCCCCCGCAGTTTCCCTGTCCCAGTTTCGCACCTTCCTCACGAAAGTTAAAACGTAATAAGACACTTGCAGGAGGCAAGAGCGTTTGTGGAGATGATCGGATGACATGGCAATCACGATCGCAGTCACTACTTGCTAAGCCATTGCTACCGCTACCGCTACCACTACATACTACATACTACCACCATCCTCAACATTTACTACTACTTATACTACAACCCAACATGTTGATCCTCGACATGACTGTGTGCAACCTCCATCCCCCTTGATTTCCCTTAGCCATTTCAATTGCTGACTCCAACCTCACTCAATCATGGCTCCACCAGTTACAGACTTCGCTGTCAAGGAGAAATACATGTATCTCGAAGGGCTTGGAAACTATCACTCGTTAGGTCTTCTTCTACCTCTTCTCAAATTTCTACCTGACTCTAGGTTTCAGCTCAGAAGCCTTTCCAGGAGCCAATCCTCTGGTCAACAATACCCCCCAGAAGCCGCCGTACGGCCTTCGAACCGAGAGAATCAGTGGCACATCATTCACTGCACCACGGCATCGCAATCTTCAAACTTGGCTGTATCGTACAGCCTCGTCGCTCGACCATGACGGTTTCACGCCATATACCTCTCAACCTAGCCCCTCGCGACCCACATTCATCTCTCCTGACTCATACATGTGGCCAGCCTTACCTGACCTTGACCCCGCCACCGATTGGCTGTCCCAAAGGCTACTCGCCGGCAACGGCGATCCCCTTAACAAGACCGGTGTCGCAATATGGGTCTTTGCCATCAATCAATCCATGCCGCCCAACACAGCCTTTTCTTCTCTCGATGGCGAACTTCTTATCATCCCCCAGTCCGGCTCACTCGATATTCAGACTGAATTAGGCAAGCTCCTGGTACGTCAGAATGAGATCTGCGTTATCCCTCGTGGTATCCGACATCGAGTATCGCTGGTTCCAGATTCACCCACCTGCCGTGGCTACATCTGCGAACTCTATCAAGGGCATTTTCAACTGCCCGACCTTGGAGCCATTGGTTCAACAGGTCTCGCCAATGTCCGCGACTTCCAGATCCCCACCGCCCACTACGATGGCCAGTTGATCGACTCAATCCCGACTCCCACTCCCCTTGATCCCAAAGACGCCGATAAGAACTACACCATTATCAGTCGCCAGGCCATGCGTCTCTGGGCCACCACTCAGTCTCATACCGCTTTCGATGTTGCCGCGTGGCATGGCACCTGTTATCCCTACAAGTTCGACCTCGGTCGGTTTTGCGTCATGGGCAATGCGTTGTTCGATGAACATGATCCCAGCCTGTACGCAGTCTTGAGTGCTCCAGCAAACCGCGACACTGGTTCCGCGGCAGTCGAATTCCTCGTCATCCCACCTCGCTGGCAGGTGGCGGAAGATACCTTTTGGCTCCCCTACTTCCATCGTAACACCATGAATGAATTTTATGGGCCCATTATCACTGCTCAGGACCGGGAACACGGATTGAATGGTGGGCAACACGATACAGCACGGCAGTTCCGCCCTTTCATGGCCGGCCTGAATGGGTCGATGGTCACACATGGTAAGTGTGTGCCGTAACTGGAGCCCCAGTCTTGAATCTCCAGCACACCTACTCACTTTTCTCTTTGCTAGGTGCCACCGAACCCGATTTCAAGCACGCTAGTGAAAGATCCCTAACTCCAGAGAAACTTATGGCCGACGGCCTTAGCGTGTTCGTTCTCGAGACGGAGTTGCCGTTGTTGCTTAGTGAATGGGCTGCCAAAGCCGCCATCATGAACGGGGGCAGAAAGAAGGCAGAAGCCAAGATTTGAGCAGGGGATTCTTTCAACTCCGGAGTGGAGGTTTCCGAGGGAGAATGAAAGACCATGATGCGATTTGATCAAGAAGGAGCGGACCATATGTCTAACATCGAGAAATTGGAAGAGAGAGATCTTGTGTCACAGTCACATGATATCTATCGATTTTCTGTGTGAATCTGGAATTTTCGTCCCCTCGACGAGAAGATTAGTTAGGATAAATTATTTATGGTCTCTATTTATTTTGGCTAATCATGATCATATTTCCTCCGCCTCCAGGGTTGGGTCCAAGGTCAATCAGTCATGGTCGATCGGACTGGGACCGAATCCGATATCAATGGTGAAGATGTGAATGGGCAGTTCCAACTTGTTGGTGCCGTTATTGAAGGGAATGCCACGACTTAGCTGGGCCGCGGGCATCCATAGCTTGCCGGCCGCATCGATCCACATGGCATCTACCCACAATAGGCGATCGTCCTGGACAAAGGTGGTGCGCGTGCCGTTGGGCGCAATCTTCTCAATCAGAAGCCGATCTGTATCGGACAGATAGATGTTGCCCTCGGCGTCGATCGCCGTGCCAGCTGTCGAAGGTGTCAGCGCAAATGGTTCCACGTGGGCGCCCAGCAATTCGTTGGTGTTGAGTGAAGAATTGTAGAACGCCTGGTCAATCCATTTGGTGGCAATCCGTGATAAGCCACCATTGCACGGCTGGAAGTAATAATATTCGCCGTCAGGTGAGACCTCGTGGTGGTCCGCATACACGTATAATGGACTTCCGTCGAATCGTACAATCGACCCTTCGGCAGAGATGGGAAAATCTCTCCGCGTTGAGATGTCGTTGTCTGAACATGAAGTTGTAAGTTAGCTCTAAACTCGAACCCAACGGACCGAACCGGAAATGCGTTGGATGCAACTTACCAAGAACTCGTACCGCAGCTCCGGAATCCAGGTCCAGAACGATGATGCCAGGGGAGCCAGCATCAGTCAGATAGGCTTTGTTGGACAAAGGGTTGAAGCGAACATCGTCCAGAAGACTGTTGACTCGAGTCGCATTACCCACAGGGTATACCCTCTGTACCTCGTTGGTTGTCAAGTTGAATTGGACCAGCTTAGGCCCGTCTGGAAGAATGACCGGCTCTCCAAATCCTGGTGAACCGACATCGACAAGCCATAACGCTCCATCAGGTCCAATTCGTTGGGCGTTGGCTCTGATCAGATGTGTCGAGGGGTCCTTGTCTGCCGAAAAGGAATTCCACTCGTCGTCCGGGATAGCTGTGGTCGAGTTGTCGTCGATGTTGTATTCTACAATCTGTGGGCCTTCGGATCCATCTACTCGTGCATACAAAAGAAAGATTCGTCCGTCAGTGCTGGTGCTCACCCCTGTCACTGGTGTCTCTAGAGTGATGGCAATGTCAACGGTGGGTGGGCCTTGAGACAACGCAAGGCTGATAAGGGCTGCGCCAGTGGCAAGTAGTGTCTTTGGAAACATAATGTCTTGTGGCAAAGGAGACTTTCGGATTGGTAGCAAATGGCCTTGTCCTCTGATGTAGTCGCCCGTCAACCGGATTTCCAGTTCATGATCATGCTACCTTGGACAATGTGGCCGTTTATATAGGCTCTCACTTGCCATACAGCATCGAGGCTGCTGGCACGTCATCAACACTAAATCTTTGTCAGGCAAATTAGTGGACTAACCTGTCGGATGTCGTATGTGGAGGTAGGTTGTGGTTGATCAACATGTAGCGAGTACAAGGTACGCCTGGCCGGTTGGCAGAACGCCTAATCCGCTATGGAATGGCCTGGAGTATTGACCGATCATGCCGCCTGATGACTAGGTATAGCCAATGTCGGTCTGGATCTGATGTTTGCATGGGAACATGGGTTTTTATTTATGCGTTAGTTAAAATCTAGAGTCTGGATGGAAAGAGGGAAACATGGCTTCATCCAATGAGAAGTATAATGCTGAGGCCTTAGCAACTATGAAAATGTTCTAAATATGCTCAGTCTAACGTCCCCTTATGCTTGGTGTCTGACTGACATTCGATCAGACTCGCTTGGGGCGGAGTGTCTTTGTCCGGTCATTGACCAATTATTGGATGCCATGCAACATTGTATGCAAGATTTGGCCCTTGTATACGAGCTTCTGAAATGTCCTGGGATGACCATGGAGCTGGCCCGTCTCGATCAAAATGTCGGCCCACTATCATTGGATATGTCGTGGTCGTAGATGCTCGTACTCATACTTCTTACCTATTATGCATAATGGTTTTCGGCTATGGGTCGCTTCCTCTGCTGACAGAGAGAGGAATTTGTCCCCGAGAACCAAGTGGTCCAACACAAGCTACCATAAGCCTCAACGGAAGGACTATCTAGCTTTTGGTCGCATTGCCATTGCCCAATACAGCTGGGAGAAGGATTCACATCTTCTTCTGAGAATAGCACCATCTCGCGAGATGCATCCGATATGGTGACATTGTAGAATTCTAGTGCCCTATCCAGCCTCAAAGTCTGGGGAGATGTGTTCAACCCCGCAACTTCTCCAGACTTGAGGTATCGCCTCGGGTCCCAATCAAGAAAGGCATTGCTGAATAACAGGCTAATAAATGTAGGTACGTCCTTAGGTTCCACGACCTGATCTCAGCAATAATGCCATGCAAGCACTTAAACCGAGAATATCATCGACTTGAACCCACCTTGCATCGAACGCTTATTGTCGGATACAAGCAGGCTCTGGCAAAGAGATATCTTTTCTTCACTGGATAATCGAGCAGTTATTAATCATTGTGGCTGGAATAGTATCAAAACCCAGGATAGCAAGCCATAACTCTTACCGTAACGCTTCAAACTGCAAAAAAAGAAAGAAAGTGAAATTGATTTCACTAGAATAGCGTGACCTGGTATAGCTCGTAGAATGCTCTACCTATTTACGAGCCACAATCTCACCATGAAGATTGACATACCAGGCACGGTCATCTGCTGCCCAACGACGAAAATCCCCTATCATGCTGCCAATGTCCTGCTGGGACGTAACAATGCCTTTGGTCAACCATCCAGCACCAACCTCGGTCTGCAATCGGTCGATATTGACGCCAGCCCACCATTGGGCCTCCGACCCAACGTGGCACGTCGTACCTGCGCCGACCAGCATCTTGGCACGATCAAAGCCTGCCTGGGATGCCCAAGTCTGCAGGTTGCGGCCAGACTGGGACCCTTGAGCCCCACTGCTTCGAATGGCCCGGTCCATTGACTCGGTGTAGGCGACCAGCCCTGGCAGAGACGGATGCCAGGTCATGTGGTCGTACTCGCGCGACGCAAACAGGCCTCCTGGCTTGAGCACCCTGAACGCTTCTTTGATCACCGCCACCGGGTCTGGGATGTGGCACAGTGTCTGGTGCGTGTAGACGACGTCGACGGACTCATCGGCAAATGGTAGCCGTGACGTGATATCACCAACCTGGAACTCAAGGGTCGCTGATGACGACGTTGTTGTTTCCCTCGCCCGGCTACGCGCCTGGGAGATGACCTCTTCCGAGGCGTCGATGCCAATCACCCGCCCCTGTGGTACCAGGGCACAGAATCCCTGCGTGATTGTCCCCGGTCCGCATCCCAAGTCGACAAGCGTGTAGCCGGGCTGCAGATGCGGAGTCAGGAACGCCGCTGAATTCTCTACCGTCCGGCTCGCGTGCGAGGCTACTACGCCCGCTGAGTGGCCTTGCGTGTATGCTGATCCGGGAGATTGTGTGGTGTCTGTTCTTGGTGTTTGTGTTGCCGATGTGTTCGCCATAATCGAACTTTAGATTCTTGTAGGTCAAGGATGCCTTTGCAGGTCTTGTTGTCAATCAACTCGCAGAAGGGGGAAGAGGCGAGCCTTGTCACGGGCCAATACTACCGACGAATGGAACCTCGAATCGTTGTTTATAGTCTTTGTTGGCCGAGCTCGTAGCCCTTTAGAGCAATGATTAGTGTTCTGTATATGCAGGCCAAGTAACGATGGGTTGATTGAATAACTCATGATCAGAGCGAGTCCTCATCTCTGATCCGTCGCCTGGAAGAGGGGTCGGTGGCGTCACATTCAACGGGAATGCACGTGACGTGCTCAGCCTTACCAGAATATTTTCATTGCCCTAAATCGAAAAAGGTCCTGTCCCGATCGGGCTTCGCACGGTGATGTCAAAGCTTGATACAACCGAATTCGGCCGTTCGAGACCAAGTGTGGTTGCTATGGCGTGTTGGTTTATGGGCGCAATCATAGGAAGAAGAGAGCACAAGCATAACAAGGCTGAGAAATGAACCCTGTAGGAATTCAGCCACCAGCGCAGTTTAAGTGCTGTACGGCAGCTGACCCTGGAAACTTTGTTTCAATGACACTTGGGACATGTTGACATGAGAACATGGACCGCTCGTGCTAAAAGGGCCTCGTCATGCTCGTGCATTCGGATAATGGACCGGATGTCAAAATCGACAGCTGTCAACCACGCCGGTGGTCCCCGAACAGGCGGGTCCCAGGTTCGTGTAGCTATCGCAAGTTGAAATTAAGCAACGCATCGGCCAAAGTTTAAATGAGACAACAAGATGCACAATGTCGGTGCGTCGCATCGCGTGCAACAATGGTGTGCAACAATGGTGTGCAACCACGGACTGAGTGAATCTGGAGAAAGGAGAAGCTGTAGCAGCAGCACCATCATCATCATTCCCACGGTATAATGCATACATTGGAATTCTTCCTAAAACACCACGAGACAGATATCTGAAATGACGTGTAGGATTGCCATCATGTTCGGTCGTCACTCCCTTTTTGAAGACGTCATGATCAGAAATCTGAGAAGCGTTGCGAAACGATCAAGTATCAAATAAAGTCGTTGATCATTCTTTTGAACGGTGCCCGTGATGTTATGTCCAAAACAAAATGCAATACATGAAATGAATTGAAGCCTCTTCCCTAAAACCCTTGTGTCCGATGCTGCATGCAAGTTGTTCCAGAGCAGATGCCCAGTTCCAACAGTATCAAAGTCCAGATGACCTTCGCTTCTCCTTGGAACCATGTCGGTCGCTCAATATGAAATTCACACCCTCTAGTGGAACATTTGACGCGCCTTGAGGGCGTTGGATCCTGAATCCTTGACCTCCTGGAGCGCACACTGTTGGCCGAACGATTGGAGCCAGGCACCGTTGTCGAACTCGGCGTAGTTCTTGATGAACTTGCCATCGTCACCAACAATGAATTGGTTGATACCAATGACGGGGTATCTGGTGGACTTGATGACCCATCTCCAGGTTATCGTGTCGCAAGTGTACCACATGTTCAATGTCTCAACCTTGACCTCGGGTTGGAGAACTCCTTGGCCGTAATCGAAGGCTGCCTTGCTAGCGAAGGTGACGGAGCCAAGCTGGAGAATGACGATTAGTAAACAGCGGACGATTCAGAATGTACTTTTCACTCACAGGGAAGCCAGCCATGAAGTTGATCGAGTCGGAAATATCGACAAAGTTGTCGTTCAAAGTGGCAGCGGAAACGTCACGCTTGTAGCCACGGCCAGCAGGGATGAAGCTGCCGTTGGCGGGGACGTAGTCGGTGTACTCTAGGAGGATCTTGAAGTTGTCGACGAGCTTGCTTGCGGCAGCCTCGTTGGCCACGTTGCACTTGGTGGCTGTAGTGGTGGTAGTGGGGGCTGCGGTGGTGGTAGTTGCTGGCTTGCCGGTCGTGGCACCAGCAGTGACGGTAATGGTCTTGGTCACGATGGATGCTGTTGGGCATGTGGCGCCGGAAGTGGGCTTGACGTAAACCGTCTTGGTGGTGGTGGTAGGAGCGATGGTGGTGGTCTTGATGATGGTGTAGCCAAAGACTGAGCAGGCACTAGTGTAGTGAGCCTCGTCACAAGCGCTGGCGTAGTTGGGGACCTGGTTGGGGCACACGGTGACGGAAACACCTCGCTTCCATCCATCCTTGCCAGCAGCGGCGGTGATGGTCACGGTCTCGGTGATGGCGGGAGGGGTCACTGTGGTGGCGAGGAAGCTCTTGCAGTGGGCGGCACGGATGGCAGCGTCTCCGAGAGCAGCTTTGCCAGTGACGGCAGCCAGGCAGGCATCCTGGACGGGTCCAGAGCCTGGTGCGGCGAGGGCGCCGCTGACCATGGCAGCCAGCGGCAGGACGACCGAAAGGTACTGCATGATGGTGTTGTATTAACTAGTTGGTTAAACGAATGGCTAAGGTCAACGACCTCAAAAAAAGACAAAGAGCTTGAAACGAATGGCTGATTGAGAAATCAATCGAAAGTTGGTGAGGATGATATCAAGCTGGCCAGAGGAAAAAGATCGACACTACCGAAGGGTAGACGAGCTTCTTTATGTCACTCTTTCGACAGGGCAGCGAAGGGGACCCACGGATGATTGGTAGCGTGGACTATGCAAGCCTACTCTTGTCGAGCGCCGGCCACTTGTCTCGAGATGGCCTCGCTCGCCCGATGGAGAAAATGGATCACCTGGCTGGTCCGAGTCGTCCAAAATCCGCTCTAGCTCGGCGACTAGAATGCTTGATTAAGATGCTCCAAAACTGCTGTATGTATATTATTCGTATTCATACGAATTGGGATGGGAAGGCTTTCATAGGCTTTTCTGCAAGACCGTGCATAGGCGAGGCACGGTGTTAATCACAGAAGGCGCCAGGGCCGGTGGATCTCTTTGTTGATCCATCACAGACTGACCGTTGCGCTCCCAGCCCGCCACGAGGAGTTGATGACAGTTCAGCTTGGCTGCCAGTGCGCGACAGCCCATCATAAGCCGATAAGCTAATCTCACAAAGTTTGTCTGTGAGAACAAGAGGACTGTCAAAGGGAGGTAGACCCACCAGAGTTGGCGGAACGATTCCTACAGGGTAGGGGTTTGGGTGTGTATTGGTCGTGAATGATTACTGTCCTCCGTCTGTGTCCTCATACAGTACAGTACCTGCGTTGGTGCCAAGTAGTCGCGTGGCAAAGATCAAACCTTGATGTAGGTGGGTTGTCTCTCAAAGATCGGAGAGTTGAAGGGTTGGCGGCGGGACAGAAAAACGGCAGATTTGACACTTCGCCTGGGACCATTCCATGGAGGAGGGTCGAATTTTGACGGATTGCTTAAAAAGAGTGCCTTTTGGACTCGGTTGTGCGCGTAAGCTGTAACTGTCTCAGCGTATCTAATCTGGTAGCACGAATCGGGGTTGGAGACTCCACTTATTCCCGTGAAACTCGACGAGACAGCGCAAAGAAGACGATGGCAACGCTGGATGGTCTCGATGTGGTCATGATCAGGGGGAGAGATGGAGTCTTGATCTTCTCACAGTTCTCAAATGGCCAATTGTTTTTCAAGCCCAGGCCTGGGGATCAAGACCAGTGCCCAATTTCGCATGGTACTTTAGACTTTCACCCACACAATGATTCCTTAGGTACACAGACCATTGAAGTCTGAATCGACTTCCGTTCCGGAGTTTACTTGTGGCATGGCTTTTCTCCACCGGCAGTACATATATGCACACACACACCCACACACACACAGGTACATAGTGGAGGAGGAGCACAGTTTTCGACCGTGTTGATCGAATCGGGGATTTTGGAACCTTGTGCGAGCTGGATCAGGACGTGTCCATGCGTCGCGAAGACCGTAGATGTGCTTGCAATTGCTGCACAAGAACGATGCGTACAGGCACACACACTGGCGGACTCTAGGTATACGAGCATCGTTCGTTCATGGATTTGATGACGCTCTGTGATCTAGCAGAAGCCTACAGATGTGCTCTGTCTATAGAGATAGTTTAGGCAAACAGGTGATCTTTCTCCTCGGACTGTCATCCTCGTGCTATCGTTCTCGAGCAGGTGCCAGGTAGGCACACACTCTACAGTCCAGTATGTGTACTTGTGCTGTAGGTAGGTGCGGCTTCGAAATGCTTCCACACATGGCTTCACCGTTGAGACTACTCCACAAGGAGGCACAACAGGGACGATCTGGAGTGGTACAGCCAGGATGCAGCTTACTGTGGGAGTACCTACGGAGTAGCTACTTGCATAAAAAGAACAGTGACGCAGCACATCCTCTCAAGTCTCGGTACCAGTCCAGCGTCCACAAGCCCAGGAGCCAGAATGAGGCGGCCGTCTAGACTATGGTCGATACGACTTTGAGGCACCTGGGCTAAGCGCGGGGGAAATTGCAGAGTGAGAGAGAGGCGAGGCGCCAAGCAGGGGATGATTACCCGGTCTCATGTGGGATATTGGTGGCTGTCCTAACAAACGTCGACACCACGAGCAGTGCGAGTCATTTTCAAAACTGTGTGGACCATAGTCCAACCATCAAGTGCTTGATCTTGGTTTGGCGCCAATGTGACGAGAAATTGTGCTACTCCGTACTCTTTTCTTGTGATCTGGCATCCTGGGGGGCTTCTGGAGAAAAGTGCATCAAATTGCCAGGGGGTCGCGGTTTCCCTTGCAAACGCGTGGCTGCCCCGATTTGGGTATGTCAAGCATTTGCCAAGGCGTTAGTGAACCCCTAGTCAGGTACCGCCGAAAGAAGCGAGAACGATGGGTCCGAGCAAGCGATTAGCCTACTCCGTACTTCTATGGGTACGATGGGTAAGAAAAATTCTACAGGCTCATGAAAACACAATTTAAGTATTATTGTCTTATTTTTGATCTGGTTATGATTATGATTACGATTATTCTTGGTTTTTACAGGATTCTTCTTGACCAGACGTAATATCCGCAAGGCAAGACACTGTCATTTGTAGGCCACAGTCCCTCAGTTCTATTGGCCATCCTACGGGATCTTCAAATTCGATTCTAGGATTGGGGTGACATAGATGTCCGTATTATTATTGCACAAGTTCTCGGCCTCTCGAGTGGATCTATCGCGGAACCCAAGCTGGTGGACCAAATCTTGGATTTCTTGCAGCCAAGGATATATGCATTCTGTCTAGCTTATCCCCGTTTGGCCTCTTTGCAACGCTCCAGAAGAGACACTCAACGCCAGTATTGCTCTTACTACGGTCCTACACAAGGCCCAAAGATCTGCCAGACAAATATTCGCCTCAAGAGAATATGTGATGGGTAGAATGGGCTTGCTTAGATATCATTAAACTTGCTCTATCAAGGCGTAAAACATTGGCCTTTGGTGCCAAGACAGACATCGCACAGCCTTGGTCATTTCCAGACTTGCACGCTGAACAAATCCCCTGACTACAACACGGTTCATTCAGAGCAAATAGGACGCTACTGAGCGAGAAGCCTACTCCGTACAGGAGCAACAAGCGCCGAGACCCCAATGACATCTACGACCCAAACACCAGACACGGAGGAACTGCGATCGTCATCCCCATCTCCGCTACTCCACGGTAAGTGATGCTCGTGATTCATTCGTCAGACGCCCCTGAACGCCTGGTTAATGAACAAGTTGGTGCTGACGGCGGAGTCATTCATGGTTCATACAGTGCATGATCTACCCCAGCTTTATCAAAAGCCCACTCCTGATGTCCTGCTCAATGCCCTCGACCTCCTGTCAGCAGAACCATCGAGTTTTCAAGGCTCCATTTCCAGTCCACTGGCGAAACCACAAAGGGTTGCCGAAGCCGGTGTGCCGAGATACCTGACTTCCGTCATCGCTTCGTCCTTGGCTTGGATCGATGATGACCAGGTCAAGGAGGCCATTTGGTCGGCAGCTAGTAGCCGACTGAGTGAACGCTCGGGCAGAAATGCAATGCCTAGCATGACAAGGACATTTGCTGTCGATAAAGGCCTCAATTTCACGATTCATGAACCCTCCTTGACCGAAGATAATCTCGGCCTAAAGACTTGGACCTCGTCCCTCCTGCTTGCCAGGCGCTTAGCTGAACTTGCCAGATATCTTCCGGAGCCGTGCCCTCCAGTCCTCGAGTTAGGGGCTGGGACCGGCTTGGTTGGCATGGCTGCCGCCGCTGTCTGGAGTGCTCGTGTCATGTTAACAGATTTGCCGGAAATCCTTCCAAATCTACGTAAGAACCTCGAACTGAATGCCGACTTGATACAACTGAACAAGGGCGCAGTCGACGCACGCGTCTTGGACTGGAACGATGAAACGGATGTCCCACGTCAGCAGGGAGAAGGATTCAAGGTGGTTGTTGCTGCTGATCCTATCTATTCGCCTGATCATCCAAGATTGCTCGTCAGCACTTTATCCCGCTGGATATCCCCTTCTCCTGAAGCCCGCTTCATCGTCGAGCTACCACTGCGTGACAGGTATGACCAGGAGCGACAGTCTTTGAGGGACCACCTCCATCAGCGCAATTTCAAGCTTCTTGCAGAAGGGGTAGATCAGGGGTTCGATGACTGGCACGATCGAGACGGTGAGCCCATCGAGGTTCATTGCTGGTGGAGCGTGTGGTCACCAGGTTGACCTGCGCACAAACACCAACACCGTCACCAGTTCTGCCCTCTGCCTCGTTTGATAGATACATGTCTTCAACAGAAGCGAATACCTGCCGTCATGACGAGGCGGCTCTGTGTTGATATCCATCACCACGTTCCACCTGCATCTGCATGCCGAACTCGATCGACAGACTCGTCACAAATGACAATTCGGAGGCTGGTGCCACGCAAGTCAGGGACCCCAGAAAGCCGCAAGAAGCACTTCCTCTGACAAAGTTAAGCAGCGACCCTCACTGAGTCCACAGTATGTTGTGCGGTCAGTGCCCTGCTTGATTCCACAACAAAATCGACTGGCATATTCTCTCTGCGAGAATATCCCTCCCATCAAAGGCGCGCGCCCATGCGTCAACGAAAAAGCCGCACCTACACCCGCTTAATTGATCATTGCGCCATTCGGCCTACTCCGTGCAATGCTGATATGAGAACAGGCGCAAGGTCACTGGAGGCGCCACATAATACCCCAAAAATGTATCGTTCTTTCTGCAAAGGGAATAATTTGCTTTTCACTGCGTCTTCAGTCTTCGTTCGGCAGGATCGTATCTATCGCACGAGGAATGATGTCAGCAATCATGTCCATCCATAGCCATCATGGAAAAGAAGCCACGCTCGCGCAGGGTAGACCAATACGTACTGTAACAATTTCTCAATCAAGTCGACATGGGTCATGAGCATGCGCCGACAGCAGTATCTCTTGGCTCCGACTTGGTCCATCGCCTCGCTTTAGATTTCGTTAGCCCTTTGTCCTCATAATTCTGTTTGTTTCGTATTTCGTCCATGGGGCATGAATGGGGCAATGGCCGTTTGTTCACTCATTTGTGATATGTGACGCAGGCAGGGAAACACAACAGCAACACCACCGCCACCACGGGGAGGAGATCTTCAGACGTACCCATCGGGCATGCCGCCTTCCAGCAACTTCATATAACGTTCCCAAATGTCGGCAATCACCTATGACCAAGCGCGACCAATGTTAGCGGACGGGTCGTCAAGGTCGAGAAGAATGCGAGAGCGCGGATGCGCCTACCTTTCCACAGGAGAAGCAGCGAATGGGGATAATCATATTGAAAGATCGCGATGCGCAGTTCCGTAGTTCGACACTTTATACTACTGTGCGGAAGAGCGTCTGGTGATAAGTCGGGATAGTGAGACGTTGGTGAGGTGGTCGAGTTGAAAGATGGACTACGTCTACTTTTTTCTTTGACATGATGGCAACAAACGCCGCAGTTATTAGTCTCTCCGCAGGCAAAAGTCTTGGCATTTATACGTCGCATCTTTCAGAACGATGGCGCGGGACTCTACAGCGGAGCATTACCCCTCAAGTTGCATAGCCTTTTCATCAAGGAGAAGTCGGTTCAGTTCAGTTCAGTTTAATTCACATGCCTAACAACATATGGGCTATATGTCTAGGCCAGTATTCCAAATTCATTGATTCTCAAGTCTGACGAGGACCTAGGGAACTTCAATTTGCTCCAGCCTCCGCTTTCAGAGCCTGGCGTCTCGACACCGAATTGGGATCATAGTATGGCTTCTCGCCCAATGACACCACTCTGTTGCCCTGTCGTTTCCCCAAGTAATCGTTCGTGGCGGTATGGAACACAGAGCGGTTATCCCAGACGGCCAAATCATTCTTGCCCCACCTGAAACGGACCTGGAGATCGTGGTTTTCGGTAATCAACTGCAGGAAATAGGCCTTGAGCAATTCACTTTCGCGTGGGGTGACATTGTCAATTCGTCCGGCCTCGACTTGATGCCCAGCTCCGAAGAGTGACTTCCAGCCCGTGACAGGGTTGGTGCGGACCACGGGGTGGGATGCAGCAAAGTCGAGCCCTGTGTTTTCTGGCGCCCCACGGTCTTGTTCGATCAGCTCTTCACCGAATTCCTTGGCTACCTTGACAAAGTTGGGTTGATAATGTGTCGCAGTCAGGTTGTCGGCGATGGCTTGGAATGTCGGGGACAGACGGTCATAGGCTTCATAGCCAGATGCCCAAAGTGTGTCTCCACCGGCATCCTCAGGAAGATTGATGATCTTCAGGATCGCATAATCAGATGGGATGCGTTCGAAGGTGATACTAATTCTGTTAGCGATCAAGTCCAAGGTAAGTGGCTACGATGATGTCGAAACTTACTCTGCGTGCCAACCCTCACTTGCCAATCGCTTGGTCTCCGGCGAGAAGCGGTCCTTGTAAAATTTTCGATTTTGCTGGGACAACACATCAGTGATTCTTTCTTGCAACCATGACCATCGCCACCATAGTGATGCTAGCTTACTTCAGATGAAATGACAGAGACTTCATCATCGAGCTTGCCATTCTCATCGACGGCAATGCCTCGTTTGCTGTTGCTCAAGGCATGGCGGTGAAGCTTCACGCCGGATCAGTATCGAACCAATTTCGTGGGGATCTGGAAGACTAACCTTGGAGCTCTCAGGCTTCCCGGTCAATTCCCCGAGCTTCTGACCAAGCAGCTTCTGATCTTCGATGTTGATGGATTGGTTGCGGAAGAACACCACTCCACGCTGAGAGACTAAGTTGCATTTAGTAGAGCTGCGTTCAAAGAATGCCTCCATCTTACCTGTGATTGCAAGATCCCGAATTTTGTTGTCGTCGTTCAGGATGTCGCTTAGTTGGAGCTCCGGGAACTCTCGACCAATGACATTGGTCACATCAAAAGACTTGTACTGGTCAAGTGATCCAGAGTACTTGAGGGGGCTTGTCAAGTTGTTGCTATTGGCAAGCTTTTTGCTCACAGGGACCACGTTGGGGCTGTAAGATGCGATATCGACATCTGCTGCTGGGGGAGCCATAGCTGTCGACCGGAGCGATTCGAGAGATTAAAGATACAAGTGAAGTGTGGGAAATGGTATAGGAGGAAGCAGTCAAGCTGATGGGCATGAAGCAAGTTACACTGAGTTCATGACAGCTACGACGCCTGATATAAGGCTTTCAGGAGTCATCCGTTCTCACATTACCGCAAGGTCACCACAGATGCCTACCTGGACTTGGTGCCGAGTTCCGGCTTGGACACAGCATCCATCGATTGTTGATCAGATTGCCGGATGGTGAAATGATGGTTCATTTGTGACACATGCATGCGTCGAGGCGGTGCATGAGCTCCACCACCACCTGGATCTGACAGTTGTTACAGACGCAGAACCTCTGTCGCTCATCCCTGGGAGCTGCTTCATTGGGTCTGGTCTTCAAAGCATCGAAGGCGTCAGATCAAAAGGAATTTCGTATGCACTGTCCAAGAAACAAAACGACGAAAGCGGGGGGACTTGCGCAATCGTTCCCAAACGGCCGGACGACGACAGAGAGTCAGTAGTGTTGTCTGAAGCCCGCTAATGTACGCACGCCCGGGAGAAGTGGAATTGCGCCTTCCCCATGGTCCCCTCGCATCACGCTGGGTGTCGATGGCATCAACTTTTTGAAATCAAGCGGCTTAATGGAGTGTCAATTGCGTGATAGTGCTGAGATGTTCGAGTCCCGGGACCCGGCACATGATGGTTGAATCTAGAACATATCCGTGTCTTACAGATCTTTGTCCTCATCACTGCATTCTCACTCTAAGCGACTGGCTTGACAACAGTGTAGAAGCATGGATGCCAGGTTCGTGGTCGGACAATGGCGAATCAAAATGTAGGCATTTCTTGGTTGTGCAAATAAGGTCGAAATGTTACACCAATCAGAAGCCATGACTTCCCTTCTATCTCCTCAGAAAGGAACGACAACGCATCCTCATTTCTCATCATTATTGCGTGCGACCTCCAGGTCCAAAATGAGGAGGTTGAGGAGGTTGTGTTAGCAAGCACAAGACTTCAATGGACTCCTACAAGGAGTGAAAGCGGTGACTGTATTGGTGATCTTGTCTAGTTGGCAGTCAGTCCACTTCTTATCTTTGTCGTTGTCTACCCTCCCCTTTCTACTGTTGGCTAGTTCAGGATGCATGGCGATTTCCAATGCCTTTTGCACCATACACCCGCTCTGCAAATGTCACAGCTCACTTGCTAGCTTTTTCCCATGTCCCTGCTACCATCGAAGCGACTTCAGCTAGCAAATCGAAAGTCCAACCGCTTGTTTCCCTTGTCCTTGGTCGTTGCAAGATATTCCTTGCGCTCTTCTTCGGTCATCGCATTCCATTTACGGTCACGGAAGCGATTGCGCAAGGTGTAGTAGACTTTTGCAAAGACGTACAAGCCGATGTTCAGAACGTTAATCGACAGTAATGCTCTGTTGCCCCGTCGGTATCGAGGACGATCATCTGTGAACCAATTTAGTATCATCTTCGGCCCACAGAGGGGGTCCTCGCTCACCTTCACGATAGATATTGCTTGCAATAATCCCTGAGGTCTGGACGGACATGTTGTATAACGCTGCACTTACGGTACGGCTTCTGACCGAATTCGAGTTCCTCGAGTTCCAGCCCACCTGGATTGCATGAACGCTAGGGTAAGATAACAGGGCCGTCATAATGCCAAAGGCTGTCCATCTGGGTATGGAATTGATGTCGACTGCGTAGATGTATGCCAGGAATGGCAAAACCCATATTTGAGCACTCAGTCCCCAGAGCCACAGTTGCCCGAAGATCTCTGAGAGGTAAGTGACCCCCAACATGGTTATAATGTGTCCAACCTGCGTGGGTATAACAAGCAAATTGGTTGTAAAAGTGCCAAATCCAAGTTGTCGAAGTGAAAGGGTCAAATACTGGCTGGGAGTGGCTGGTTATTGTTAGAGGGCTTCCAAATGTCTCGTGGGCCTAGGAACTTACTCATCGGCGTTTGGAAATTCAGACCAAGTAAATACAACGGCCACAGATCATAATCCGTAATGCTCTCCCAAAGCAATTTGGGTGTGATGGGCTGACGGTTGTGCATCGTGCTTTTGCTGGGGTCTTCTCGGATGATTCTGTTCACCATGATGATTTCCTCCCTTGTCACTGGTCAGCACCACTCTTCAGGTTTACATATTCGATCACTACTCACCGTTCTGTGAACCAGCCTTTCTTGCCTCTTGCCCAGTTGGCCGTTTGTGTGGGGCCCGGAGGCATCAGAACGAACGCAATTAGACCAAGCACAAAGGTCAACAGCCCCTATGCACCGTCAGCCAAAAGGCTTGATGTCTTGGAACACCTTGGGACTCACCTCGATCAGGAACAGCCATCTCCAACCCTCATATCCCAAATGTCCTCGAAGATGAAGTAGTCCAAAGCCCAAAAACGCGGCAATGATATCAGCAATGGACATTGCTGTCCACCAAAACCCAAGTCGGAGCGACAGTTCGCCATGCTTGTAAAAATAGCTCAAGTACAGGATCATCTATTGCTCGTCAACACGCAAGGATTTCGACTTATTTCGGCTCTACTCACATCGGGTATGAATCCTCCTTGCAAGAGTGCCAGCAGAGCCCTGCACAGGAGGAATGTTGTCTTCCCATTCAACCAGAATTGTGAAGCAGCCACAATTGACCAAAGAACCATCTGCGCTGGAATCCATCGATCGGGTCCAATCCACTTGGATACAAGCTGGGACGGCAACTCGGCGCACAAGAAGCTCAGCTTAAACACCGTGTTTCCCCAATTGAAGTCTATCCAAGGTTAGTTCTAGCAAACTCTTCGCAACAGGGAATCAGACTTACCATTGGTATTCATGTTCAAGTCTTGCAAGAAGTTATCAGTCACGGCTTGAGAAATGTTAGCTCTATCGAGCTCGAGCGACATAAACATGATGCAAGCAAAGATCATGATTTTCAAATCAATCTTGCGAATGACGGAGTATTCCTCTTTCCAGGTCCATCTTGCTGAAGGGTCAAATCGGCCCAGGTTCTCCCAGTCAGCACGCGGTTGATAGAGTTTGGCTGTCTCTGGATCGTCAAAGACTGACGGCTGCGTTGCAATAGCTTCTGGATTATATGTTTTGCCTCTTTGAAACCAAAACCGTTTCTCTTCAGATGGCTCTCCTAGTCTGAGTCTCTCAGTGTCGACCTCAATATTGATCTTTTCATCGGATGAGGAAGCGCTCAAGACGGGATCCGTCGTGACTGAGACGGTATGCTTGTCCGGTTGGACATTGCGTATGAGAACTGTCGCCATTTCGATGATGGTTTTATTCTGAATGCAACGCAGTTTCTCCATGGCAGATTGAAAGGATCCAGCAACTTATTAAGTAGTCAACCGCCAGTAGTCAAGTCTGCTCCATCCGAAGTACCTACCACTTTGGAATCCTTGCTCGATGGGTCTGCCATCACAAAATTTCCGCATATTCAGCACATTAGTCCGGCTAGAACTTGAGCCCGAGGGCACGCCATTGCCACTAGATATTCGGTCATGATGAAACCCGAAAACATCACTGCAGCTGATATCGGACGATTGCTATCAAATCGCTTGCGATCTTCTCGCCGTGGACGAATCTCGAAGTAGCTGAGTCGATGCCCAGGACGTCGGTGGAACCAAGCATTGCGTGCTTTCGCACAAGCACCGCGACTTTTCTTATCCATTGTGGCAAGCTTCCTTGTCACTGACACAAGTCCAGCTTTCGAGCAATGCCACACTTGTGATTTTCTTGGATTAGTGTGCATTATGAATCACTCTTGGCCGACACAGAACTGCTTGAGACAAGAGCCAGTGAAGCTCAAGATTGGCTTCTGACAAGCCGAAGGGTGGAACAGTCCATCCTGGCAATACTTCCCTTCCTCGGCAGGGTTCTGAGAATGCATTGGATGAAGGTCTAGGCTCAAGAAGGATGGCGCAAGTCTCGCACTTCTTCCCAACATCGGTACGGCCGTCGAAATGGAGGCGTCTCTGTTAAGTAATAGACTATCAGCCCGAGGATTTGTTGCTTTTCAGGACTGTAGAACCAGCCACATGCCTCCTAGGCTTTAGAAACCTCTTCCAGATATTGATCGAATAGACATACGGAATCTTTTTTGACGGTATGAAATTGGGACTAAGAAACGATTGCTAGCATGTGAAATAGTAGCTCAGGACAATGCGTGGACTCGTGATAAACAACAGAATTCGACCTGCTTCCGCCTCCATTTTTCCTTTTTTTTGGTTGCCCCAATCGGCATTTCGAATTATTCTAGTGATTCGACGTCTTGGACTTCTCATCTCCATTTAAGACCTTCTCGTATCGTCTCAGAAAGTGTTGCTGGTCACTTTGAGGTCAGCATTATCACGCCGTGAACAATTTACTGGCTTTCTCGCTTTTTTTCTGCTTCACCGTAGCCAAAATTCCCAAAAGCAAGTCTCTTGACAATAGCTAGCCAGTAAAAAGGCCCAAGTTCAGATGTAGAACATGGTTCCTTTGATGTTATCGTGAGGTCTAAGGAGTCGGTCAAACTCAGGACCATCTCTCTCAGTATCGAAAGTTTCCCTTGGACCATGTGCGTTCGGAGCATGGTAGAATCGTCGAACATAGTGCCGGGCGCGGTCACACGCAAGGTCTGCATAGTAGGCAGCTGGACAGACACTGACTGAACGCGTTGCTCGGCCAAACAAATAACACAATTGATGCGTCATTTGAGCAATCGTCCTAAGGCCATGCTTTTCTTCGTTGTGCAGGATAACGTAGTGAGTGGGTCTGGCTGTTCCTTGAATCGCCTGATGGCTGTACAAGAAAAAGTCGTTTCCTTCTCCATAGGTGATTCGATCGCTCACCCAGGTACCGGGACGTGGGTTGTTTGGGGCTCCTTCGTCATGGTTTTTGGTCAAAATTGGATTTGTCTGTTGTCCAGGAATCGGGAACAAACGAGTTTGGTGTCGCTTAACTGTACAGATCAGAAGTACCTTTGGCTTGACATCCTGATTGTCTTGTGTGAACTCATCAAGAGCAGCATTGATGGATGCAAGTTCGCGCTCCTGACACATACGAAACTGACTCTCAGATAGTCCATCTCGGTAGACTATCAGCCTCTTTAGTGGGTGATTAGGAAGTCTCCGCTTGAAATCGTTGAGGCGTTCAAGAACCATTGTCTTCAAGGGAACAACTTCCTCCATCGCCTCTTTTTTCTTCTTGTCATTCGCGGTCCGAGGATAATTGGCTCGTAAAGATGCTGGCCATTGAGCAAAAGCACCGTCCGTGCTCCCTACCACTGCTGCAACACTTGGAGCGCGATGGTATGACCATGGACCAGGATGTGTCACATCGATTCCCATGATCATACAAACGTCCGAAAGAATAGGTGGCGTGTGTGTCAATCGTTGATTCACTGTCAAAACACTCGAAGACGTGAGCTTCAGATTCGCTTTCATGCACAAATTCCCAAAGAAGGTGACATCGCTTTTTGGTTCAAAGGAACCGTCCACCTTCTCCATGACGTGGCAGATACTGACGACGCCCACAGAGGTGTCACAGATTCTTTTAATGGCGCCGTAAAGCTCAGGGTCTTTTTTCGGTAGCAGTAGAACTACCATCCGTGAACCACCAGCAGAGATCTTTGCGAACAACTCCTCAAGACCACTGTAGTAGTCTTGAAGGCGGCCCGTATATTGGTAACACCAGGGGCTCATGCTCGTCATACCTGTAGTCAAATTGCGGTGGGTGAGCCTTACACCGTAGATCTTCAAGGCTTCGTCAAATTTGCCTTGAAAAGCTTTCACTTTACCATCTAGGCCTGGAACTGGAAACTGAGTCAATGAAAAACATGTCCACATGATTGGTTGAGTGGGTGTCTTAGAAAATTCGCAATCTCGAAGATTCCATTTGCCCTTGTCAAGCCCCTTGGGGTTGTTCCGTCCGTTGGCTTTTCTCAACAAATACTCGATTAGCGGAGTTTCCAATCTGTCGACGGGCACTTGCAACATTTCTTTGGACAGTTCGAGCTGGAACTCGGCCGCTCCTTTGCTGCCCGCTTCGTAAAAAAGCCTAGGACCAAGATCTAATATCTTCTGTCTATTATTCAGAGACGGTCGGATTGCACCGAACGGTTTCTCCAAAGGATCTCTGTACATTTGGCCGGGCAAAACCCACAGTTGATTTGCTGGGGCAAGAGACGGGTCCCTAGGGTTGCCTATCATGACAACTCTGACAGCACAAGAACTGTGTATGTTGTACATGGAGGAGAAGTATGCTCGAACGAGCTGGTCCCCGTTGTAACCTGGCGCACGCATTGGTGTATTGCCATCTTGGACTTCCTGATTCGCTGGTAGACCTGGTGGCCTTCTTGGAACTCCGCAAATGGTGGTAAGATAGTTCTGGTCATTCGAATGGTACATGGTTCTAACAGTAACGCCGGAAAGATAGCCCGCAAGGGCTTGGTCGCTGTGATCGTGCGTGTTATCTCGCCAACGTTGTATCAGTTGTGAAACTGTTCCTTCACGGTAAAAAATAGCCGTTGCCGTGTTGACATTGAGATTTAGTGATCCCTTTTCGCCCTTGTGCGAGCGAACACTTCTGGAGAAACCGAGGATACTGTGTCGGTCCAGAGTCGGGCGGTAGTGATTGAGAGTGGGCCCTGTCGCCGTCTGGCCGGAGTGCTGCGGTTGGACAACTCCGTAGAATCGATGGCCTCCGACTGTTGTAAGTGTCGGAACATTCGTGCTCGGGGTTGTGGTTGGGTTATCCGCAAATGAAGCTTGATATGGCCCATAACTGAAAATGATGTTCAGTGCGTTGATTGCATCCTCTTTATCGGGGTAGTCCGTGTGCACATCTGACTTCAAGCTTAGATCTCGGAAAAGCGAATCATAACGGAGAGCCTTGGGCTGGGAAATCGTGATCTGAAATTGACTTGGGTTCGGAGGTGGATGATTTTGGTATTCATCATAGTAACCGATGATTACTTCCCCAGGTATCTCGAAATTCTCGGCTTTGAGATTGCCGCTATCAGAAAGGATTTGGTCGTGATAGTTGGTGGCTATTGCAGTCTGATCGTTAGCCTCGTTGAGCTTCTGCATGAGTATATGTACGACTCGTTTCTTCTGATTTCTGTTGATGCCCCTTTCATTGTCACTCATTCTGACTATTGTCAACGGGTACTGGAATATGATGCCGATGTTGACTTTGATTGGGAAATAATTCGCACATAGTTTATGTGTTGCCCCAACATTGGCATGATTGAGACCTATTTGCAACTTTGCAAGAGCCTGCCTAAGATTTTCGCCAGTATCGTCAGGATGAGCTTTATAGCTTTGTGGGTTCTGGGAAGTTCCAGGGACAAAGGGTGTAGGATTGTTACTTGGTGTCGGAGGTGGCATGGCTGGGCTCTGAGCTACCCCTGAATACTGGGACGATGAGGTAAAGTTTTGAGGCAATTGATGTCGTGGCGCTTGGTCTGGAAGGGCTGGGGGAAGATTGTTGGCAGATCCAGCCCCATTTGATTCGATAGAAAGCTCCTGTTGGCCAGCGGGGGCGGCGATTTCCTGTAGACTAGAGCTTTGAGCGAGAAAGCTCGATTGGCCTTCCTCTTCCGCCTCTCTGGCGTTTCTTTCTCGCTTCTTATCTCGCCTCTTTTTGTTTTTGGCAGCTGCCTTGGGCCCCATGGTGAGGAGCCTTCCAGATGAGCAAGCTTGTAGTGGATTAGCTTGATGAAATTGGATGTACTTGGAGGATAGGGGGAGAGAAGTAAATTCTGGTACTTGTGGGTGAATGGTAGGCAATGGCCCCGTAAATTTGAGTGATCAAGGACTTGGTGAATAGTAGAAATGATCTCCAGTGTTGCATGATTGTGCAAAATATATCTGTGACTAGGCCACTGCTTGTTCTGCACCGTTTGATCACGTTGACAGAGAATCAATAAGATTGTCCCAGCTGTAAACAGATCACTGAGAGCCAAACACAACTGTTGTCGATTGATCTGACATGGGAAGTGGCCGATTGAGGAGACATACGATGATTGTAAGCGACAAACACGCATAGCACGCGTTTGATTTCACTGAACGAGACGAGGCGGCGCAATAAAAGGGGTATGATCCTGACCACATGACATTGGCATAATTGTAAAAAGATTTCACACATACCTGGATGATGGATTGATTGGTCTTCTGTTTTGGAAGATTGGAAGGTTGGAAGGTTGGAAACATGTTCAATTGATGAGCACCACTTTTGTGATTATAAGCTGATTGAAGCTGACCCTTCAGATTGTGGCTGGTGTTCTTCGGATAAGTATTCAATGCTGAGCAAAATCTAAAAGCAAGATGCTGAACTGCTTTCAACTGTCGAATAATGGCCTGTCAGCAGATACTGATGTGCGCCGCCTTGAAGACCCCTGTATCAAGGCTGATGACTTAGACAAGAGCACACACCGCTCGCCTGCGCAAGGCGAGAGTCTCTCCACTTCATATTCTCATTCATGCCTCTCGAAAAAAAGGCCAAATTTCATTTTGCTCCACCACGATTCTGTCTTGATGCTCTTTTTGAACGCTCAGGGACCTTCTTGACAGCTAAACTCTTTCGTGATGGTGGTCCTGTCCTCGTAGATCTGCCTCGTCCCTTGGTCTTTCCAGGAATTGCAACATCTACCTGATTTGGTGATTCCTCATCCTCAATCTCCTTGGGCGGTGTACCCGAAAATTCAGCCTTGTTATGACCATTTTGGACCGAGGACTCTTCATCATCGTTCTTATCCAAATTATCATCTCCATCAGCTGACTCAATTGCAACTTCTCCGGCACGGCTGGCATCGTGGTCCACTTGAGCCGGCTTCTTAGCGACTCTAGGACTGCTTGCCAGCCGATCGTCCTCAGCCATCTCCGCATCATCCTCATCGCTATCGGCTTCCACGTACTTGACAGCACTGGAGGTCCGGGCGCTCTTTCTTGAGGGTAGCTCGGGGCTTGCAGGCTCAGATGCCCTCCTCTTAGCCTTAGGGGATTTTCTGATTGCCAGAGTTGACTTCCTGGCTCTCTTGACAGTTTTGGCTTTGGCATCTGCTTCATCATCCTCGTCCTCTGAATGGTAAACCTCGCTTTTTCTCTTCTTCTGACCAGTGCCCCCTCGTCTGATTGATTGTTTCGCAGCCTGGGTCAATGATCTCAGGTAGCCTCGAACCAATTTCTCTAGCCCTGTCGCAACGTCCTCAGGAAGGTAATTCTTCTCGGCAATCTCCTGCGCTACCTCGTGACTTGGGAGAGCTTTGAACAAAGATCGCGGTAGGGTGACTTGGCCAGGCCATGTCTGCAGAAGGTTTGTCCCTTTTGCGTGAGCTGGCATCAAATCGGCATAGTTTCGGATGACTGCCTGGGCCAAATCGCTCAGGACATAAAGACGTTCGTTGGCTTCATCACCTGCCGTGATGCCGTCTCTTGCACCTTTGATACGCTGTCCGATGTGAAAAATAAGCGACAAGTTTTCCTCAGTGGCCACCGCTGATAGATAGAAGATGATGTACTTGGAGAAGTCGAGCAGCTCCCCGTCGAAGTCACCTGCGTCCTTTGCTGGATAGTCTGGATGGTGAGCAAGTAAGCTCAAAAGCCGTGCAAAAGTGTACTCCATGATGTTCGCGTGTGCCTTCTTCTCAGACTGCTGTTTGGAAAAGAATTGTGCACGGGATCGCAGCCAGGTCATTGTAGATAGTCGAAGCTCGACATCGGGTTCGAAGGCAAGAAGAAAGAAAGCGGTGAACCATCGATGAGCGAGTTGATTATGACCCAGGTATTTCTTCAGTTGATTCACGAAACCCTTGCGCACGGCATTTGGTGGGCTGATCATGACCATCATCAATGAGTTGAACGTTGAAGGTGTGACAAAGTCTTCACACTTGCGGTTATGCCTGCATAACTTGAGAATGAAGCGGGCGGCCACCAATCGTAGAAAGTTTTTCTGAGCCGGCGGCGTATCTTTTTTCGAGGTGATCTCGCCATCATTTTCAATCAAGAGAGTAAGATACTTGAAAGCTTCCGTACCAGCTTGCTCAAATGCGTCGCTTTGGCCTTGACTTCCCCAGGCGCGGGTCAAGTTGACGAACACCTTGAGAGCCAACTCCTTGGACAATGACTCGCTATCAGGTGTCTCGTCCCACGCATTAGGGTCTTCCCTTTTTGAAGGATGGTTGTTTCGTTGGAGCACTTTGGTCACCGTCAGTTCTTTAATAGCCTGGGCTTCAACTTCTGCAGCTGAAGGCGCATACAAGCAGACCTGGGAAATGGTGGCTAATCGCGACAGGTAGTGGGTTGACCCCGGTTCCAGTCCCTTTAGGGCTTTCGTGAGAAGGTCCTTTGCGTACATATCCTTCTTGTCTGCCACGGCAAGGACAATTGAGACTGCGTGCTTGGCGGCGCGTGGTGAATGGGAGTACAATGCAAAGTTGACCAGGGAGCCTAGGAACTTTCGATCTTTGGGTACCTCATTAGAGTACTTTCGAGCAAAGCCTGCGCAAGCCTTCAACGTGTTTGCAGCCCCGGCATCTTCGGGCTTTGACATCGACGGTGCTCCCTCCTCGAGCTCCTTGCACAAGGCCTGGATCTGGTATTTGAGAACTTCGGGGTTTCTGGCAGAGATCTCTTGGAGAATTTCGAGAGCAATCCGGCCCAAAGGGCTTCCATCCGTCCTCGATATGTCCATGATTGCGGGCACGTGGCTTCGATTATAGAAAATGACGCTGGAGCGATACAGTAAGGGTAGAATGGTGTGTATGAGAGGCTGAAGATTTGTCGGACTTTCACGAATCCGCTTGGTAAGTTCCTTGATGGCTTTGGTCACAGTACGATAGTCGTGTTCAGGACCGACAGCAAACCTTATAAGCTGGTACCATCGACGGTTATGCAAGTTGATAAACTTCCACAAGTCGTCGGACATATCACTGGGATTGGGAAAGCCTTTTGAAAGTTGCTCGACTTGATTCGTGAGTTGATTCTTGAGCTTGACCTCCACAGCTGCGTTCTCCACTACACCACCGTTGTATTCTTCGCATCTCTGCAGAAAAGAGAGAATTGCCTTGCCTAACTGAGCTTGCAGATTTTGTAGGTGGTAAAAAATCGGTCGGGACTTTGAATCCAATCCTTGCACCAAAGTCAGAATCCGGCGGACTCTGATGGCGTCTGGATCGGCCACAACGGCCTCTTGCAAACTGTTCTCCTTTTCTTTGGTCTTCTGCCTCTGGCTCTCGTTTCGCGCAGCTGGCATCTTGGTCGGTGGAAAGGAAAGTGGAATAAGGCTCTCATGTAGGGCCTTGTCGATCAAAGCGTGCACATTCCTGTCACTCGTATAGAATGCTCTCAACAGGCGATTGGGAATGTCACCGACGATGGATTTGACGGTATCAACACCTTCTTCAATATCTCTTGAGGCCACACCCCAGATCCGCGCCAAAGTTTGCACCGCTTCTTCTCTGACCAGGAGCTTTCGGTCCATAACACGGTCAGCCAGAGACGAAAACACGGTATCTGGCTTCTCCAGGCCTCCGTCAGAGCCAATGATATTGATGAGAGAGTGGTAGGAAAAGTCGTTCAGAGTATGAATTGCGACCAAACGGACATGCTCCTCTGGGTCGCGAAGAGCCTGAGCAAGACCCATGAGCAGTTCTTGCCGTTCGTCATCATTAAGGCCAATACCGCCAGCAGAAGTGAACAGGATTTTGGATGCAGCCTTTGTCCAGGCTATGCGAACAGCGGGTACTTTATCCTGTCTTCTGCCAAAGAAAGACCGGTAAGCGGCCGGATGGACGGCGGAGAAAGGCTTGGGGGAGGCGGGCGTCAGTAGAGGATTCGGTTCTTGGATCGGGGGTTCTGCTTGGTCGATGGATGGTAGCGGATAGGCAGCCGGATCGATGGACTTGGACTGGGCAAGGCCTGCGATACCGATTCCGGCAGTTATGTCGCCGAGAGTTTCAGTTGCGAGTTGACGAAGAATGGGAGCGTCTGCAGAAAACTCTGCCTCGATTTGCGGAATCACATTGGCGAGGACATCGGGACAGGCACGCCAGAGCTCCCTGAGAAGACGATGTGCCTTGCGTAAGTCTGCTAGACTGTCCTGGTCATGGTCCGAGTCTTCAAGATCGGAGAACCTCCTATGGGCGAGTCTTGACGGCGCGTTATCTTGAATGGCCGCACTCGCGTCCACAATCACTGTGCCAAAGTATTGGGTGATATGAGCGGTCATTTTGTCGGGACAAGTTGTACACAATGACTTTGCCATATTGTAGGCCGGTGGGTAGTCTTTGAGCAACAAGATACCTTGCTTGTTGTCTTGGAGCTCTCGTTTCCTCCCTTTTGTCGGTTCTGGGGCGGCTCGAGCGTCAACTCTCATGAACTGCGAGATGACGATATCGGTTACCTCTTGAGGAAGGGAGACCTCGTCAACGACGGCAGCCAGCAGGTTCTTGAGATGGTACTCGACGCTTTTCGAAATTTCAACCCCACTGGCATTACTGCCAGTGGATACAATGTCAAAGGCATGAGTGAAGAGGGAGACAATGAGGCTGTCGTTGTCGGGAATATCGGTCAGTAGCAGGATACTTTGGGACTCGGCGAACGATTGGAGGATGTAGACATGTTGCGCATTATATGCATTTGACGGATCGGCCAGGGAAGGTAGAATGGAGTTTATGGCGACAGTGAAGATGTCCTTCCGACGGCATGAGTAAGGTGATTCTGGAACAGATGTATCATCGACTCACCTTGAGCTGGCTCTCAACAAAGGGAGCGTCTGGGGCGCAAATGCGCAATACATCGACAATACACGACAAAGTCCATGCTCTTATGCCCTTGTCTTTGTGGCCTAGAAGATTGGCATTTGCAAGGTCATGGGCGAGTGTGGTGAAGGAGTGGGAATCGACTTGGTCGGCATCGAAGTTGCGCAGCTCGGTGCCCAGTTTCTGCAAGCGGTTGAGGAGGTCGGCGATGGGAATGGCTTTTCCGGCGCGCCATGCCAGTGAGTCATGATACTGAAGGCCAGGGATATGGTAGCGAGATTCCGGCTGCGCGGCGTCTGCGCTTGAGCCGGCATTCCGTAGACGAGAGGGCATCTCAATTCTCAGGATGCTAAGGAACGGGCATGGTTCTGCAGGATGCGGGGAAGGAAGACAGATCTCAGCCTGCAGTCAGGTCGCGCAGGGAGAGGAAGCACCGAGGAAAGATGAAGAGTAAGGGAGGTGTGTCGACTGCTGCTCTATGGCAGAGATTGATAGATGGGAAACTGGCGGGTATGGCGTGGTGTTTGTTACACGTTGGAATAGTAGAGGTGGAGTTTGGATGCGCACAGTAGCAGCAAGAAAAGTGATGATTGGGAGGATGATTAATTGGGGCTAATAACTTGACCTAAGGGGAAGGTGGTGGCTAGTGCATGTGGCTCCCAGGGAAGGCACGAAGGCAAGGGAAGGGAAGGAAGGAAGGCAGGAAGGGAAGGTCTGCACCTGCAGGCACTACCTACACACACGACAAGGCTGGGTTGAAGTGGAGACTTTCACGACTGTTTGAGCTGTTTGAGTATTTGCTGCCTGCCCTGAACCAAATGGACGCGTCAAAGACGCGTCGAACCACTTCAGTTTCTTCACCAGCCACGAGCCACTCGAGCTTGGTGTTGATTATTGTCTACTTCATATTACACCATTGTGGTTTATACTCCGTAGAGGTGGCCCTACTAGAAAACATTCATAATCCATTTTTGAAAAGGCAGTCTAATCTGCAAAGCTATGTGCAGCTGATGCAGCTGTTCCTTTGCTCGTCGAAGGAAGCATGCTCGAGACATGATTACTAGCTGACAGCCAGACATCGTCTTGCACTGAATATACCTCTTTTTATCGGGTCACGACCGAGAGATCCTTGAAGTCAACCGTCAAGTCGTGTTTTTGTCCTTGGGGCGCAGGTTTGGCGACATAGACGCCAACCCAGACCTGAGTGGATGGGTCAAGGGCTTTCCACCACGTGACCTCTCTTAGGGCCGCCTTCTTTCCATCAGAGCCTATCAACCACACCCATAAACTTCCATCCTCGACAATTTCAATCTCGACGGTGGCATCGTTGATGGACTCGGCTAAAAGTGGCCTCAGACTCCAATCGGACCATTGATCTTTGGCAACGGTACTAATATTAGGTACTCCATACTCAAACTCTACCCCAGTTTTGACCCATCGAGTAGTATCGGCTGATTTGGCGATGAGGACGAGACCGCCTTGATCATATTGATCCTTCCAATCGGAGGACACTGAGACCCTTGCTGACTTGAAGGCACCGACAGTGATGGTCTGATAGATGATGGGGGCATTGAATGAATGGGTTGATGGTGGTTTGTCCCAGATATCAGTGCCGGGCGGCGAAACAATCTGGAAGGAACCTGAGGTGTCGGGGACAGCCTGATTCAAATAAACGGATTGATATGTTGGAGCCATTGTACGAGGGAGTTGACTGTGTCGACGCTCTGAATTTTAATCAGGAATTGCGGATGGGTTTTGCACAGGTCCAGTCCCTCTGGATCTCAGAAATGTTTATATAGTAAAGTAAGAATGTAAAGTACAGTAGATATGTATTGGTGTCTTCACATTATGAATCGGCAGCGGTACTACATTAAGTCCCAAGCAATTGTCGACAGCAAAGTTGCGCCAAGACCGCATGTCGGATTTCCCTAGAAGGATCGGGCCCGTCCCAAATGGGGATATTGAGCCGCCCCCTCACTCCTGCTGCTTAAGCACGTGGTTGGTTTAACTTCGGTGGAAGAGTTACCCAGGTAGGGAGGAGAGTTTGAAATCAGTGTATCGATCTTATTGCTAATGGTACCCAATAAGAAGAAGAAAATTCAAAATTGTCATTGTCATTAATAAATGAGAACAAATGGTCACAATCAAGGGACCTTAGAGCTTTGGTTGTCATTGCGGTTTCCAAACATATGAGATTCGCCACTCGCATCAATGTTCAATAATACGGAGTAATGGTCAATAATAGCCATCAGCTGTGGCGCTTCGTGAGCTTCATCCTCAAACACAAAAGCACTCACGGCAATTGTGTCGTTCAACTTACAGCCCCAAGACACTTTGACTGTTGCCTGATGACTTTCGAAACGAGTCACTCTCGTCTCGCGGTAGTACGTACTCCGTCGGGATCTCTCTGATGGACGATCGGGGCATTGCTAGAGTGACCGTTTTTGGGGGTGGCTAGCGATCTACTTATGCCCAAAGGCCAATCAAGGGCGCCCCCGCTCCCCGCAGTACTGAGTGGTCCAGTTTGGTCTTTGACATTGATTGGTGCCTAAGGTTCGGGGGTGATGGGTCTGGGCCAACCCCCAAAGCACCAAAGGCAACTTACTCGTAGAATTTCCCCTGGTTCTACGCATAATGCGCCTTTTCTGTTCGTATGCATCGGTGCTAACCAGTACTTACCTAAGCTAGGTACCTAGCTTCCACGGACCACCCCGGTTGACTCTACCTGTTTACAAGGACTACACCTGAAGAAGGTTTTTGTCTACCTAGGTAGTCAAGTAGTAGATACGAGCATAGCCATGGACGTGGAGAGAGTTCTTCGTTTTAGGTGTAGGGAAAATATCAAAAGGCCAAGAGACTTAAGAAGACTTTGCATCAATTCTTCGTGCAGGCCTAAACACAAGCCAAGGTAGAGAACCAGAGTTTGGACGCGTATGAGCACACGTACTCCGTACCTACGGAGTAGGTGATCGTGGTGTCCACAGATCTCAAAGATATGGAGTCAGGGAGTGTGGGCGGCGAGCTCTGGGAGTGGCTTGACTCGCCGCCATGCCTCCAAGACCCAAGACCTGAGATCGCTGAACCATTCACAACTGAATGATGAGGACTGCATGAAGTGACGCAGACACACTCCCGTTCCCATACCCATACCCATACACCGGCCATACTCTACCGTCATTGTTAAGAACGGATCCACCGTGATGCAGGAGATTGATGCCCCCAAAGAGGCTGTGTTTCTGGACTCGTACTCCGTAGACCTGAAACTACTCGTGGATCTGCCCTGAAGTTTATTTCACGCCTCGGAAAAATCATCTTGCCATGTAAAAGAAGGATTGAAGTTCCATGATTGTCTGTCAAGTCTGTGCTCGTGTCCAGCATCCTTCTCGCATCTACTTCCACATCCACAGAACCCTGGATTCATCCGGTGTGTGCCCTTGCATCACCGTCACAAGCCTTTGCGCTTGGTGAAAACTTTACCAACAAACAACATTCCTTGCTTTGTGGAGTCTGGATCCTGGCCCTGACAGCTGTGGACGTTGCCTCTTGTGTCTCTCCAGCTTTCAGCAACCCTGTTCCCTCGTCCCTCGTCCCCGTCCCTCGTCCCTCGTTTGCAGATATACCCTACCCCGATCCTCCATCTCGCATCTTGCATCACCACCACCCACTCATTCATTCACGTTCTCTTCTCGACATCTGCAAAATCGATCTGTCTCCCAACTTAGAACCAACCAGCCGTCACCGTCAACGCCCTCCCATCCCATGACTTGATCACCTTGCCCTTGGCCACTTTACTGTATGGCGACCCAAAACCTGGCAAAGTTCAAACCGTCACTCCTTCTGCAGCTCTCGATCGGACCGGTGCAGGCTCGAACCACCATTTTGGTGTTGTCACATCCCTTGAAGAACGAACCATGAACCATTTGCATCCAGAGCATGACGAATATGAGCTGTCTCGGACAAACACTTTTTCCTCTGAAGAACAAGACCTCTTGAGCCTCGATCGCGACTTTCCCAGCCATGACCATGACAACGACCACGACCTCGATCATTCTCCTCTCCTCTCCGACTCCTTGTTGCTTGAACATAGCAAACCTACCTTGTCCACTCGCTTCGCTTCCTTGACTCCCACCTGGCTACGTAAACAGCCGCGAACACGCCGATCAACCGCAAAGTCCAGACGCAGTCCACGTTTACGAACCTGTTCCCTCCGCTCCTTCTACCGAAAGCTCGCCTGCCTTGTCTACGCGTTCATCATCACCATTATAACCCTGCTTGTGGTCGGTGGGACCTTTTACCCGAGTTACACTCACCTCCCACCACATTACGCGAGTCTCCGCCAGCGAGTGCAGGCATCCGATGACCCTGGCCGCGCCAATCTGCAAAATGAAAAGATCTTTATCGCTGCAAGCATCTTCGACAAAGGTGGCAAGCTGTCAGGTGGCCCCTGGGCGGACAACGTTCTGGAGTTGATCCAACTACTTGGTCCAAGTAACACATTCCTATCTATCTACGTGAACGATGCAGGCCTTGAGGCCAAAGCCTCGCTGAACACTCTCCGAGACCGTGTTCCATGTGACAATGCCCTCGTTTTTGAAGAGCATTTGGATCTTGACGAGATTCCCCACATCACCCTTCTTGACAGTACACAAAGGGTCAAACGGATCGAGTACCTGGCCGAGGTGCGCAACAGGGCTCTACGACCTCTGGTGGCATCCAAGACCCGTTTTGACAAGCTCCTCTACTTGAATGATGTCGTGTTTCATCCAGAGGAAGCTGCGCAGTTGCTCTTCTCCACACATGCGTCCGCACATGGCGTCGCCGACTACCGCGCCGCGTGTGCAGTCGACTTTATCAATCCATTCAAGTTTTACGACACCTTTGCCACCCGAGACATGGAAGGATACAGCATGGGACTGCCATTCTTTCCTTGGTTTTCGGCAGGTGGGTCGGAGCAGACTCACCAGGACGTAATTGATGGTACGGATGCGGTTCGTGTCAAGAGCTGCTGGGGTGGAATGGTCGCATTTGATGCCAAGTTCTTCCAAAGCCGCCCTTATCCCGGCTTCGAGCCTGTCACAGCCGGTCATGGAAGTCCTAGCAATCTGTCGTTGCCCTACAAGTTCCGTGCCGAGCAAGACCTGTACTGGGATGCCTCAGAATGTTGCCTCATTCAAGCCGATATTCAGAATCCAGAACCGGGCAACTCAGGTATCTATGTCAATCCCTTTGTCCGTGTAGCCTATGACACCAAGACCTTGTCTTGGTTGCGGTTCGTGCGGAGGTTTGAGCGTTTGTACACACCGATCCACTTCATGCTGGACATTTTGGTGTCGATGCCTCATTACAATCCTCGCAGGGACGAAGAGCCCTGGCAAGAGGTTGTGGAGAATGTCTGGATCAAAGACGAAAAGTTGCGGCTTGGTGGTTCGTTCAAGGATGTGTCCAGACTTGCTACACATTCAGGATTCTGTGGCAGGCGGAATCTGGCTGTCATTAAAGAAAACATCATGGAAGGAGAACGCAATTGGGAAAGCCTTGCAGTGCCTTCTTCAGCATGATGGGACATGTGCAGCAGTCATAGCGATGGCGTTTGGGTGGACTAGCCAGCTTCCTCACCATTTGGGGTGAATGTTTGATGTCTTACTTAGCAATGTAGAATACATGTCGTTTGGACGACAAGCCAGTCTTTCGAGACCTTGGCGGTGATGAATGACTGTCACTATGAGATCAAAGCAACATGAAGAAGTTGTGCCAATGTCTCGACTTATCTGGCAGAATCACAAGACGATGCAAATGTCGATTTATCTGACTCATCAATGGGCCATAACTTCCCGGATTTGGATAACACAAGCTCTGCATGATTGAAGCATGGGCCTCTGGCCAAGCTCAGTGGGTTTTAATTATGTGTGTCGGATTCGTACGAGTAGTAGCAAACAACCCACGTACCTACCTACGGAGTAGGTACCTTATTCGTAGACTGCGTCAATAGCCTTCAATTCCCATGAAGCTGGGCCTGCCCGCGTGTGGCCGTTCGCCTGCAGATGCCCAGGGACGCCCGAGATGCATCACGCAGGAATCACGTTGCACCCAGTCAGCGCCCGATGTCGATTTCGTTCGGCTCTAATAAGCTTGGCGGATTAACGAACTGCCCCTCCCACTGGCCCGAGCCCTCGCTCCCCCAATGGGCTTGCCTGTGGTAGGCCCTCGGGCATCGAGTGCTTAACTACCTGGTACCTAGCTTAACTGGCGTTCGCCGAGGGGCAATTGTAATGGCAGATCCCACCCACCCGTCCACCACCCCACCCAACCTAACTCATTATCGACAATTGTCATCGATTTTGCCTTTTTTTTCTCGCAGCAATTCCACGGTAATGGCGAGACCAGACCATCGACCGGACTTATAGTCCAGACCATTCCTCTAGTAGCCTTGAATATCCCTCTGTCGCTCTTTTCCCTTACCTTGCAATAATCCACCTCGACACGATTGCTGTGTTGCCCACCTCTCGACGACGACATGGCCCCTCCATCCCAGCCCGCCTCTAATGGCATCATCTATACCACCTACGCCGTCTTTCTGTGCGTCATCCTCCCAGTGCGAGGCATTTACCTACCTTGCCCATGTTCAATACTAATCCTGGGCTTACACAGGATGGCGGGTCTCTACATCGCCTGGACTCTGCGCAAACAAACAAAAGGCGAATACCTTGCAACTCTGCGCACACAGAAGGGTATTGATGATGCACCGTCACAATTTGAAGTTTGCGCCGACTCTTGGGCCAGACCAATTAAGAGGATATCTGCTGACCACTTCATTGTTCGTTCCACAGGCATCCCTTTGGCCCTCAACTTCATCGCCTCGGGTGAGTGCACCCGACGAGCAGCGTTGGCTTAGGGCCCAGACGCACAGCGGCAAGCACCAAGCACAAATCCTACACGAGATTCGAATCCATCTTTGGCTTCTCGATCCTTGACCTCCCGTCAATGTCGAAGACTGCACCTTCCACATTCAGATATATCGCCTTCGTGGCATATATCCGATCAACACTCCTACTTGAGGTTCGTATTAGCTTGCATCAACGGCATTGGATTCTCTTTCGCCCTCTCTCGTCGTGGGTGTGGTGATCCATAAGCCAGGTTTCGGCCAGTGTGGTCGATCTAGTACCCACGCGTGTTTGGGTGTGAAAGAGAATTCAATGTGCAGCACTACGGGCGCTTCGGTGGTAGATCACCTTTGGACAGTATATCTCATTCTCTGTTGTGCACGAGTGTGCTCCAACAACCTGCTCCATGAGCTAAGTGACGAGAATGGAGAATCATCTGCCAGAGGCTAATCGCCGCACGAATGCTGAGATTGTACCGTTAAGACTCGATCAAGTTAATGCTTGCGTGGGAAACGTGCTGCCGCTTTTTGTCCCCTTTTTTACCCAGCTCCATCCCTTCTATCACTCATGCGGTACCATGAGCGCGATGTGCTGACAGTATCTCTTACCACCAACAGCTTTAGGATCTGGAATTCTCTTCACGTACCCGCAGATCAGTACCATCGCTGGTGTCCAGGGCCTTGTTGTATACGCCCTTTCTTCGGCTCTTCCACTTCTGGTCTTTGCCTACCTCGGACCTAAGATTCGTCGAAAATGTCCCGAGGGTTTCGTCCTTACTGAATGGACTAGACAGAGATACGGTGTCATTGCAGGCCTCTACTTGTCGGCCTTGACGTATGTCGCTCGGAATTCTCATCATCATGAGCTACTATACTGACTCTGAACTCAGCCTCATCACGATATTCCTCTACATGGTCGCTGAATTGTCTGCACTGCAACAGATTGTCAATTCCCTTACTGGTCTCAATGGTCTTCCTCCGGTCATTGTCCAGTGTGTGGTGACCACAATCTACACCTCTCTTGGAGGCTTCAAAGTCAGTTTCATCACCGACAACGTCCAAGGTGCAATGGTAGTAGGCCTTATCATCATCGCTTGCATCACCGTCGGAGTTGAGACGGACATTCAACATGATTTGATCGAAAAGTCTGGCTACCTCAATTCCAGTCTCCTTGGCTGGCAGCTCATGTACATTCTGCCAGTTGCCATCTTGACAAATGATTTCTTCCTCTCCGGATTCTGGATGCGAACCTTTGCGGCCAAAACAGACAAGGATCTGTATATCGGCGTTGGGCTTGCCACTGGAGCGGTTGCCGTCATCTTGACCTTGGTTGGAGCTTCAGGTCTTATCGCCGGATGGTCTGGCGCCCTTGGTGATCCACCAGAGGAGTCTTCCATTGCATTTTTCCTTCTTCTGGACCAACTGCCCGCGTGGGTGGTTGGCATTGTCCTCGTCATGGTCATCACTCTTTCGACGGCAGCTTTCGACTCGTTCCAATCAGCCATGGTCTCGACCGGATCCAATGACATCTTCCGCAACCGGCTCAACTTTTGGTTCATCCGAGCCGCTGTCGTTCTCATCATCATCCCCGTCGTGGTCGTGGCACTACGATCTCCTTCAATTCTCCAAATCTACCTCATCTCCGATCTGATCTCTGCCAGCAGTATTCCATGCCTCGTGATTGGTCTGAACGATCGGGCGTATGCGTGGCGCGGATTCGAGGTCGTCGTCGGCGGTCTGGGTGGTTTGTTTTCCGTGTTCCTGTTCGGTCTGGTCTTCTACCACGGCGACGCATCCAAGGCGGGATCCCTCATGCTTCTCGAGGAGGGTCTGTATGCCAATGACTGGTCTGCCTTCGGAGCCTTTGTTGCTGCTCCGGTCGGTGGACTATTGTGGGCTCTTGCCGCCTTCGCTATCCGAATCGCCGCGCAATGGACACTGGCCAAGGTCAGAGGTCACCGCTTCACTGCGTTTGACAAACCTGCCGCCCCAACCGCCAGCTTCTACACCGGCCGCACTGGCGACAGTGCCGCTAGCGAGAGAGGGGTCTATCTCGATTCCGACGGCGTCGAGAGGAGCGAAGTTCAAGTCAAGGGCAAATTCTTCTAGATCGATGGGCCATCAGGACAGTTGTCGATGGAGACTACCGAAGCTTCTAGATTGAAAGATGCATTCGAGAATAGAAGAGGGGATGCTGAAGGAGGAGATGGATTAAGGCATCGAGCATCCCCCGAACAGAAGAGAAATTATGTGTGGACGGGAAGAGTTGGAGAGCGGAAAGTGAGAAGTGGTGGTGATGGTGATGGTGGTGGTGAACAGCAGGGAAGATCTACGACGAATATAGACAGGATGACAGGAGACATAATACTTAGTATACATACCCTTTGAACGCGGATTCACAATCACATTTGAACATCCAAAGATACGGAATGATACCACATATATATATATATACATATGTAAATACGTCGGTCGGCATCGTGTTCTTATGATACGAATACAACGGCGGGGGGGAGGCGGGCAGCATCCTATGCCACACGCTTGTGACTTACGATGGCTTTCTATCTACTCAATCAATTGGCCTACACAGTTCTCTTAGAGCCATCTTTATTGCCACTGTTGTTGGTATTGTTAATACCGTGATTCCCTCTCCAACCACCACCAATGCCATAGCAACACACACCGTTACGTTCACACCATTCTCGAACCTCGAGGGCACTGACCTCGCGGTCCTCGTGGATGGCGCCCAGACCCGTCGTGTTTAACCAGGCAGTAAGATCCTCAAGAACAATCGGGTCATACATCAGAATCTTCTCGCGCCACGTCGGGGTGGGCATGGATCCTCCGCGTTTCGACGTGGCTGGGTCTTGGCTTGACATTATGGCAGCCCGGATTTGCGATTGCAGGTCTGGCAGTGGACGAGACTCGGAATCGATTGACGGGTCAATACCTGTGGTCGCAGTGGTGAAAAGGCTTGCGTCCGTGAGCCCTGATTCAGCTAATTTGCCGGGTGGTTTGTCATGTAGTCCAGGCAGTGGGGATGAGGACAGTTCTAGGATTGGCAATGGCGTCGGCATGGTAGGTATTTCCTCCTCCTGCTTTGATGGCTTCTGAGTCTTGGGTTTCGATTTCGATTTCGATTTCGATTTCGGCTCAGGGTCAGACTGCTGGTCTGTCTTGGACGATTGTTCGACTGGGTCTGTTCTGCTGTCTTCAATGGCCGAGTCTTCAATATCACTGCTGACATCGAGAACAAATTCCTCCGAGAGGGCAGTCGTATTTACCTTCCGTCCGGTGGAAGGCTTTGTGGCCTTGGTTGCTGCTTTCTTCTTGGGTGTCTTTGGTTTCGAAACCTTAGCCTTGGGTTCTGCTTTTTTCCTTTTCTTCGGTTCTTTTGCTGTGATGGTATCGTCGCCTTCGGATTTTCGTTTCGCGCGTGGTTTCTTGACTTTTGGCTGAGGTCTCGCAGCAACACCGTGGACATTGCTAAGGAATTCACCGTGAGCCCTACTGCCCGCCTCAGACTCTTCTTCTGCTGCGGTCGCAGGGTCTTCACGCGTCTCAGAAGACCCATGCTTATCTTCCCAACATCGATCCAGTAGCTCGATCATTTTCTCACGCTTTTTCACGGGTTTGAACCCATAAGCAGAGAGCTGCTTTCGAAGAGCAAAATCTGTAAATCCGGCATAAGATGGCTTTACAAAATCTTTGTTCGGTTTGCGAGGAGCCTTCTTCCTACTAGGACTGGATGTCGCCTGAACATCCTCTCCCTCGCCGACCAGGCAAGCGTCCCCGACTCTAGGCGGTGATCTCTTCGCCGCCGCTGTATGAAGTGACCGTGCTTGGATCTTGGCAGGCGAAACAGTACCTGTAGATGCTGCAGGAATGGTGGTGGCCATCACGTTTGTGGATTTCTTTGCTTTATGAGCCAATGGTGTCTGAGCGGAGAGTCTCACTGTCGTGGTGGGCTCGCTTGGATGTGTCAAAGCGTCTTTCCCCGCCAGGGCTAAGCGGACAGCTGGCGAGTCACTCAGATCGATTGTGTCGACATGCAGAAGCGCGTTGTCTTCGTCTCTTCCTGCAGCGCTCCACAGATTTCTTCGCTTCACGAATCTGCTTGTGCCTCTGGTCGCCCGAGGAGAGACGGCGTCAACTGAATCAGGTTGAGTGCGTTGAGGGGAGATTGGGTCTGACGACAAAAACATTTCTGAACGTTTGAAGGCCTCTATGGTATCTCGGAGAAGGGTAGGAGAATCTTCGCGGGCAAGTTGGCTAGCCGAACCGAAGATCATATCCTGTTCGGCCAGGGATTTCATGACAGATCTGGGAGAGACCAGCCGGCTTTTTGGGATAGATTTTTTGGAGGCACGATTGGGTTTGGCGGTAATCTTGGGCTTCCTTTTTGCTTTAGTTGATTGCTCAGATTTGGGATCATGAGCAGTGTCAGTGCCACGGGGTTGTGTTGCGCTCAAATATTCCAGAAGTGGTGCTTTGGGGGGAAGATTGAGATACTCCTCCTCGTACAATGTTGTTGCTCGGCTGGTGATTGTAACAGTCTTCCTTGTGGGAGACTTTGATTTTTTAGAGGCAAATTCCAGACTTGGTTTGCTGGTTGAATGTCCAAGATGGTTCGCAGTCAGACGAGTATGCGTTTCAGCGATGTGGACTAGGTCGATGCGGCTTCGCCTGGTGGGTTCGACAGCGCCGTCCAGTTCTGGTCTTGAATCCGCCGCATCAACTTCAAAAGCAAAACTTTGCATTAGAGAGGTAGGAAAGCCGACGGTGCTTGGCTCGAGCCCAAGTTCAGTGGCGTCGCGGTTCTTCGAAGGGGTCCAGTCAAGTTTCCTGTGTATGGCTCTCTCAATCCGTGTAGGGCTTTCAGTCGGGTTGTATGTCGGCTCGCCGTCGTCATTGGCAGCTTCGACCTCTGTCAAGACCGTCTTGTTTGTTGTGGTATGGTCTGGAGCAAGAAAGTGTTTTGAGGGGATATTGGGTTGCAAGGATGAGAAGTTGTCATGTGGCTCTTTGAATCGTCTGGTCCGAGGCGAACAGAGCGAAGGCGTCGGGTTCGAGCTGACGGGTCTAAATTTGCCTCGAGAGGGAGATGGGAAGGCAACGTTCTCTGCACCAATCTTTGTGCTCAAGGCGGTTCGTTGGGGACGTATGTCGGGTGAGAAGCCATCCCGTTTCTTGCCTGCCGGTCTGAAACGCAGTGATCCGGTAGTTGGAGATTTTTCAAGAGCAGGTGAAGAAGGTAGTGAGTATAGACTACAATCGTGAGGGGTGAGGGAGGGAGCGAAAGCTGTGGGTGGCGAGGAGGAGAGGAGGACAACAGTCGACATGGTATGAAGAATCGGCGTTGTCCATTGGCGTGGACGTATGACAGCCAACGTGACGAGAAGTACTGAATGAGCAGAAAATTCGAATCAGGAATTGTTAGCGATGCAAAGAGTCGTTGGTCCAGTGTCAGTCATGAGTGATGATGCGTTGACTTGCATTGAAGTCAATGCGGAGCGGCGATGACTGCGGGACACAGGCAGAGAAGTCGAGAGTTGATGGGACGAGTCATGCCATGACAACAACACGGATTGAAGCGAGTCACGGCTCTGGAGCGATCTCACGTGACAGGAGGAATGCCACGTGGAATAGGGTTGGACGCCGTCGTGGGGCTGCGGCATCCATGCATAACGGATCCATTCAAAAGTCCACTTGCAAAGCAAGATTTCAAGTCAGAGGACTATTATTTTCAACAGGCCGAACATGATAATTTTTCTACCTTTCAACGCCTTGCCAATCTACCGCCAACCTCTTGAACGCCAGAATTATTCAAACCTCGGCCCACAATGCTGTTACAGTATGGAAGTAAGTGAGCTGACACCATGTAACACGTGCAAATAGCAGGCGGCTAGATGGCTATCGTCATCATGGGAGAGGGTCGTCAGGAAGTTCGTCATCGAAGGTGTGGCTAGAGAATATGCTGCCGACCTCGGTCAGGACGTCAGCATCGAGGCTACTGGAAGCCTGGGGCGGGTGGGAGCGTGTGGAGTGGATGGATGTTGTTGAAGTTCGAGTAGATGCGGATACTGCAGTGCTGGATGGGCCGGCGTCGGGAGATTGGGAGGCTGATGGGATGGTAGGATTGATCTGGGATGGGCGAGTTGTGAGGGGCAAGGTGGGCTCTGGTTGATGGTGGGCTCGAAATGCTGAATGTCTTCTATCAGCTTCAATCGACGTGGTGGCAGAGCGAGAAAAAGAGAGGGAGATTGGTAACTCACTCTGAATGGTTATGAGGTAAACACGCTTGCACAAGTCCAACCAGGCCGCCCACGCTCTGGCTATGGCGTGTAACACAGTAAGATAGATGGTGGCGAGAAGGGTGAAGCTCGTCCAGGTGTACTGACGTGCAACCATGGTTGTTGTGACGGGAGCCCTAGAAGAATGTCAACTGTTTTTTGGCTGGGCCTGTCAAGCTCGCTCATGGTTGAGGGTCGAGTGGCGAAAGTGAAATATAAAGGCATTGAACAAGTTGAGGGCCACACGCCGAGAGACCATTTCACCGTCGTGAGAGCACTCGCCATACGCCCATACGGAACCTTTGTATCATCAGAGTGTGTGATGATGCAGTCATTAGCTTTGGTGAGGCATGAAAGAGAGGGGTGATTTGGGCCAGCAATCGAGGTGCATACTGAATCAAGTCAGAGGGCGCCTTCGAGGGAGTAGCCAGTGATGCAGCAGGACACTGCTAATTGTACAGGCTGCCCAAGAGCAGGGGTTTCTGAGGGCACATAATGTTTTGTGAGAGCAGAGGGACACGAGTGAAAGCATGGAAATGGGAAGCTCGTGGTGGTGATTTGGGACTTCTGGTTCACGGTGCTGCGGTGCGAGCGGTGCTGCAAGAGAAGCAAGACAATCCAGGCTGCACATACTCCGTAGGAGAATGGGAAGGTGCTATCCATATTATTGGAGGGCCGGATCAGTCAACCACCGATTGGCCCTGGTGCCTTTCCTTGGATGCCTTGTTGGTTGTTGGTGCCTGGAAAACAAGCAGATCCAGTGGTTCAAAAGTCCAATCGTGGCGCGTAGTGGATGTGGCGAGTTGATGCCACAGTTGACTCTGGATTGGAAGCATTTCAACCCCTGGAGGTAAAGAGCCGTTGGCCCCTCAGGCCCGTTGGGGGTTCGCCAGTCAAGGGTCAAAGCCTAATGGGAGAGGCCCGAAGGCCAAAGGCACCCCCGGGCCCACAAATTCGGAGCCTGAGGAAGAGATTCATGGACTGGCAGAGCAGCATCACGGCCCACCAGGTAATACGCATACATACACATGATGATAAACAGTATATTGAAACGAGTTCTCAGCCTCAATCTATCACTAAGACGATGCTCCAATAAGTGAGTGCAGGTGCTGTACATTGGAGATGGTACAATAATGTTTCAATGATAAACATCCATGGATGCATTATTGCTATTGCCCAATTGTGACATCCATGTATGTCAACTAGCGGCAGGAGCCTGGAGCCCGCAGCCCAATAATACGCTTAGCCTCCTCAATCCTCACCTGCACCAGCACTCACTGTCATATTCACCACCTGACTACCTGACTTTCCTACCTCCCACTGTCACCCCAACTTGAAGCTGTACACCTGTCAACACCTCATCTGCCTCTACCCAGAGTCACCGCTCACCGAAACTGGCTATGCCAATACCATCCTACATAATGTGACCGGCTCACTAAAACCACAGAAGCCAAGGAATTTCTTCAGCCGCATTCTACCAGGTACATGTCTTCTAGGCAGGTATCCCACCTTCTTAGCCTATTGCCCACCTTCTCACAAGCACTAATCACATCCCAGCACCCTCTCGTACCCGTCACACGCAATTCCAGCTCTCCAGCCGCCATCATTGGGGCCCGCAGCCCTGGGAGACTGACTAGCAGTGCCTCTCCCGAGTCACTGCTCGATTGAGTTCCACGCCATCGCCGCCTCAGCCCTCGGGTGAGCATCCTTTTCTCCTGGCCCCCGAGGCCTCAGGCCTTAACAAAGCATGGCACAGAGTGAGTCCAAAAAGGCACCGACCATCACTGGTTGGTCTTCTACACCTGCACCAGCCGCAGACGCTAACTACATCTCAAAGTCCATCTCAAGTTGACCGGATGATCATTATTGCACAAGCTCATACTACTTCGGCCCACCTTCAACCACAACGTTCTTTTAGTTCTGTACATCATGTATGCCCTTTCCGTCTGTTGTGCACATATAACCTTGTCCAGTCTACCGTAGTTTGTGCAACTCTCAAGAGCTTCCAGCATCCGCTCTTCACTCCCTTCGAGGAATTCATCAGGCTGAGCCTTATCAAGTGCCAACCTCAGCTTTGTCTCGTTGCCAACACCAAAATATCGCTGAAATGTCTTCAGACGACGATTCTCAAGGCCCTGACCGTCATCACGATGAGCATGAATGGGAAGCCCAGAAGGAAAACTTCTACAATTGCTACATAGTGCAAAATATGCCCCGAAAGAAAGCCGTCGAATTCATGAAGGATCAATACGGTTTCGATGCAACTCCGCGACAGTGGGAACGCAAGATCAAACAGTGGCGCTTCTTCAAATACTCTTCCCGCGAGGAACGGCTGCAACAAATTAATGATGCCGGTCAAACCGTTGACCAAGTGAGCAAACCTGGCCGTCGTCCACGAGCACAAAGCGGCAACAGCCTTCAAGTCGATCGAAACCTGCGCCGTTTTGCCCGACGAGAGCTCAGCCGATCCAGATCCAGGCCTAGGTCGGCTTCATATGCTCATCCTATCCAATCGCGCGTCGACAATTCTCTCATTCAAAATGGCACAGACTCTGCCTCTACCAATCCCCACCCCCATCCCAACTCATCCATGCCACAGCCAGTCAGTCATGCCAGCTTCAATCCCAACACAAACACAAACCATTCCAGCCAACTCAACTATCTCCATCCTCAGACTCCTTTACATTTTGACGACTCTGATGTTGAGGACACCCTTCTTCCAACCAATGAGCACAAGTGGTCTCAGTCGCAGCCCGCCCCTGTCCAGCATCAGTATGGGACTTCATCCCATGATGCTATCCTCCCCTTTTCCGATAACAGCATGCCTCATCAGATCAACAACCACCCCATGGGAAATCCCCACTTGCCCTACATGATCAGGCAAACTGACCCATCTGCAGAATTTGCTGTCCATAATCCGCCTGTAATCAACAACGTCATCTTTCCGCCCTACGACGTGTCGGCTTCTGACATGACGCTCAATCGCGGGCTCAGCGACCCATCCTTGCTCAATTTCAACCCAGATACACACGATACTCAGGTTTCAAACTCTCTCGATTCGTTGGCCTTCGACCAGGGATTCGCTTTCCAATTGAATGTCGTGGACACGGACACAATCACTGACGTGCCCATTGACGATATTAATTACCAGCCCATCCCAAATGTTCAGCATGACTATGTGCCCCACTTCTTTGAGACTGTCTTCCCAGACCCTACTGGACCATTGGAAGGCGACATCAACACCATTGTCCGTGACTACACCCAAAAGGTGCGCCAGCTTACGTTGTCTCACTCGGCCGACAACGCCGACACCAAGCTTGCCAATGAAGGTACGGTGGTCTTCCTTGCCATATGACTAACAAGTGCTAATCCTTCGCCGAAGCCCAACTTCTCACACTCAGATTGAAGCTCGCCCTAGAAAGCTACACAAAGACACAACAGCGCGCGCTACAAGATGTTAGAAGCATCTGCGCTTCATTGAGAGAGAAGAACTCCATTCTGAGGGGGGAAATGGAGACTCTGAAGATGTCATTCGGTAGGTCTGATCTCTAAGAGATCCGGGGTCCAGGGACTGTGCTGATAATGGACCCAGCCTCTCAGAGTTCGCCAGATATGAGCGGGCACCAACAACATCACCGAGCATCAACCCCCAATCTAACCGAGTTGTATCACTAAATTCCCTAGTGGAACATGACTACGGAGTAGTCCAGCATGACTGTTGCACTCCTAGTCACCCCATTTCTTCTCATTTATCACCGGTCACGTGGCCACGCCGACTTGTTGAGTCTCTCCGAAGCCGGCGAGTCATGCCGACTCTCGTCTTGGCGGAGCGCCCCCCATATTTAATTATCAAAGTTGGAACGTCCTCGCGATGCGGCTCCGCGTAACAAGATCGTGTCATACCTCCACCGGCAATAATTTGGAAGTCTGGTAGATACGATCCTCGAGGGCCTATTTGCATTGTCCAGTGTTGTCCGCTGGCTTACCGGACACAATGCTCGCGATTCTGTATGATCCCGATTCTCTCCTGCACAAGACAGTAGAACTTCTCAGTTCAAAGCTGGTACCTGCTTTCGAGTCTCCTGAACGTCTAGATGCAATTCTAAAGGCTCTGCACTTATCCGAGTACGATCTTCGTTCTATTCAATTCAGCACCACGGCAGACGCACCCCGCAAGGCCCGATTATTGGAGCTGGCATCCACCAACCACAACGAGGGTTATATCCAACATTTACAGACGGTGCACGATGATTGGGTCAAGGCTGGTCTGATCGAAAGAGAGGGCCATGTCCTTGCAGAATGCTTCACCTACCCGGCATCCACTGGGAAACCTTTGCGGCCCCCGAAAGATCTCTACGCTCGAGCCGGATATTATTCGTTCGATTTGAGCTCCGGTGTCATGTCGGAAACTTACAAGGCAGCCCTGGCTTCGGCGAACTTGGCATTCGAAGGTGCCGACATGCTGCTGGGTGTTTCAGAAACTAATCCTTCTCAACTGGACACAATATTCGCCCTTTGTCGCCCACCTGGCCATCATTGCGATGGTCAACGTATTGGTGGCTACTGCTATATCAACAACGCCGCCGTTGCCGTGGCGACTTGGAGAAGTAAGTTTCCCGATGCACGTATTGCCATCCTTGACATCGATTTCCACCACGGCAATGGCACGCAGGAGATCTTCTACTCGGATCCCAAAGTCATGTACGTGAGCATCCACGGAGAAGACGAGTACCCTTATTACACGGGAGCCGAAGATGAGACTGGTATTGAAAGTGGTCGAGGTTTCAACATCAACTACCCACTCAAGGTGGGAAGTTCTCTTGACGAGTACCTTGAGAAGCTCCGTTCAGGTCTCAAGCACCTGTCACAACATAAACCAGACTTTTTGATCGTTAGTCTTGGCTTCGATACCTTTCACGGAGATCCCCTTGGCTCGTTCCAGATCCATACCGAGGACTATGGACCTATTGGGAGAATCACTCGCCAGACCCTTCTGGGTATACCTGCGTTGATCCTGCTTGAAGGAGGATATGTTATTCAGCATTTGGGTGACAATGTTCTGTCCTTTTTGAAAGGCTGGAATCACACTACGCCGTGATTTCCTGACTTGGACATGCACAATTCTGCCAGGAAGTCGGTGCCACACACATGACTGAACATCCCCACTTGGGGGACACCCTCATTTCCACGTGTCTGGATGAGAGCAACGGCGTCTCCTCAATTGCTTTGTGAAACGTCTCGACAGCGACCCAGTGTCAAGTGCTGAGAAGAGTCGCAATTACGAGTCTTATGAGCTATCGGTGACATGACACTCAACATGACTGTTGGTATGAGTCTAGCACTCGAAGAGCGCGGGGGGAAGGGAGAGCAATGCTCATACCCCTAACACAATAGATGAACTCCACCATCAAGTAGCCTGGCGCTCCTATCTATACGCCGTGGTGTGGTGTGGTCTGGTCGTTGGGAATGCTCGATCTAGCATGGAAATGGTCTAGCTAGGCAGGTTCTCGGAGGCCACATGAGCCAATCTACCTCGAGTACCAGCTAAATGGCGGAATATTCAGATTTACTAAGTCAAGAGTGAATTTCCGGGACCTAGATCACATTGCATGGATGAGCATTGGTATAGAGCGGAGATAGGCATTATCTCTATTTACAATTTTTTGGTATTATTCTTGTTATAGATGTTCCCCCGGTTTTCTGTAACAGTCAGTAATTCCGCAAGGTTATACAAGTGTCTGGCTGATTGGATAAAAGTGTCTTGACCCAGTGTCCATAATATGGCACGCGGAACACGTCTTCCGCCAATTTCAATCCTGGCTACAATGTCCCATCCACGGGTTTGTCATGCCGCAGGACCATTATCTGGTGTGTTTCTCGTTTTATCTCTTGTTGTTCCGCATGCTCAGGATCTGGACAAATCGAACAAAGATGTTGATAAAGTCCAACTCCAAGCTGACACTCTCGTTGACGACATCCTTCCTGACCATACCCCGTTCACTCATGCGGGCGTGGTGGAGAATTTTCTGCACGTCATAGAGGGTGAAGCCTCCAAAGACGGCAAGACCACCATAGAGCCAGATGTTTTCAGTCCACGCCAATGTGCGCACAGCCGTTGCGGGTAGAACAAGCGGGGCGAAACCGGAAATGGCGACGAGAGCGACGCCCGCAAGAAGAGGACCACCGAGGTACAGGTATTTCTCTTGCTTAGCGGTGGCTCCAACAAACGCAATCGATCCCATCATTCCAACGGTGTAGAGACCAGCACGGGCAAGGATGGCAGGATTGGCGAACATGAGTGGGGCGAGGATGGCGGCCTGGGTCACATTGAAGGCGGTCCAAAGGGCGTATTTTTGAACATAGCTGCGATTTTGTGTTAGTATGAATTCGTCCCGCCTGAGCAAGGGAAGATTGGAAAACACTTACTTGTCGGGATGTGTTCGGAATGTGCCATACATGGTGCCAATTGATGCAGCCAGTGATACACCAACGACCAGCCATGGGTTGGCAGACATCAGACGATAACTCCAACCATTGGTATGCAATGCGCGGGCAGCAACTCCGATGATGCCAATTCCAAGTCCGGTGTGCATAAAAGTCTGGTTGAGATATTCCCTCTCGTACTGTGGCATGCCGCCATCTTCCCGGGTCTCACGGTTGAAAATGAGGTTGGTGGCGACAATTGTACCACCGACCAAGACGGCTCCATAGAGCAGGCGCTGAGTTAGGTTTCCCTGTGAGGCTGTGTTGGCGGGTTGGTAAGACGGTTGTTGGTACCCTCGGCGGAAGCTGTTTCGAAGCGCGTTGGATTTGAGTAGAGATTGTGCGTTTACCGCTGGACGAGCGTTGAAGGAGCTGTTGAATGAACCTTTGGAGGGGGACGAGTGAAAGGATCGAAGGATGGCTGAAGGTTTAGTGAATTGCTTCAGGGTCGGAGAGGAGGCCGCAAAGGGCCTCCTGAAGATGAACGACATGGCGAGATTGACAGAGGCGATCGATGATAGAGGGAATGAAGATGGGAAAAGGTCAAAGGTAAAGTGGAACGCAGGCAATCATATATGCGTAGTTGGGGCGATGATGGATGGTCGTTTCTCGAAGATGACGTTGCTTCCAAAGCAGTTTAGTGTGTGCCAATTCCCAGCTTATGATTGGTTTAATGGCCCTTCCACTGTCACGTGGACTCGGACTTAATGAGCGTTCGATGTCTCGTCCGTCGGCCTCGAGTCATTTTGCCTCTGCCAATATATTGCTATTCTACAGACAAATGTCGCTCAACAAAATGCATTCTCGAATCATCCAACTAGGTACAAACTCGCTCCCCATGTTTTCAAACTGGGTAAACTGCCTACTGCTCGGGCGATAATCCCTGACGGGTACGGCCATGCCATGAATCAATGAATCATTGAATGTAGCGGAAGTCCGGATGGTGGTGTCCCAGGTCCCTCTTCTGTTGTTCATTCAGACCCTCCAGACGATGATTGCGCTTTCCTGCATCCCGCAACCTGTTCTCCCTGAGATTGTATGCGATACCGAAGCTTGCCAAACACAAAACAATGATCTGGGCCCCCAGGTTGATAGAGTGGCCGATCGGGTAGCGAGGTGCATCCCGTACCAAATATGTCCATCTGTTCAGGTCAGCAGAGTTCCACGCGTTGCATTTTTTTGGACGTGACTCACGTAGCAAGGACTCCACCCAAAGTTCCCACGCTAACAATCCAAGCAGTCGCTACAGCTCTGACCGCAGGACCGGAGGAGTCTAGGCGTCGTCAGTATATAAGCGTGGACAACGGGTCAGAACACTCACTATTGATACCCCAGGACATGAATCCTGGACCACCGGGGAATGCGCCGACGGTGATGAAGTAAACAGCCATGTAACGGACATTGGCATTGGTGTTCCATCTCAGAATGGAGAAGCCGGTAATGGGAAGAGCTGTGGCGCATGCCAAATAGATGCCTCGCCTGCGGGTCTTGTCGCTAATGTAGGCAATGAGAATGGCGCAAAGACATGCACACACATATGGTGGAACTGAGTAAAGCTGAGCCTTGGTTGCGGTCCATCCGAGGTCGTTGAGAATGGTGGGCATGAAGATGGACAATCCTTGGACTGTGATGTTGATCATGAAGAAGCCCATGGCGGCAACGTTGTTGTTGATGTTGAAGATGGCCGCCTTAATGTGCTTCCATTGAACAATCTCGTGTGGGTCCTAAGGTTTCGGTCAGTGAGATAGTCTTGTCGGGGAGGTTGCATCGGCTGCTTACAGCTCGGTGTTCACGGATCAATCTCTCATTGGCGATGTATCGCTCTTTCTCGGTCAGAAATTTGCACGTCTGAGGGTTCGACGGCATGACTAGTGGAGCGAGGGCAGCAAAGATAACAGTGAGCTAGCTAGCAGTCAGCATCCATAGCAGAGGGGAGCAGGAGTTTACTATGACTTACAACTCCTTCAAAGAAGAAAATATTTCTCCATCTGGTCCAGAAGGTCAGCTGCTGCTCAAAATGAATCCACAGATGCTTTTACTTACGTGTGAATAGGTGTCGATTCGGTACCCCATCGTGGAATACGTCTAGACAATGTTAATAGTGGCATTAATTAATGGGGATGATGAACAGCGTACGAGAGAGCAGTCGCGAACAAACCACCGAAAGCACCTGCAATCGAGGCAGCCGAGATGAAGATACCAATTCGGAAGTACAACTCTCTTCTCTTGTAGAATGTAGACAGGTAAAAGGCAATACCAGGCATGGTGCCACCTTCGAAGACACCCAAAAAGGCTCGAGCGACGCAAAGCTGAGCGAAGTTCTTGACAAAGGCGGTGCAGATTGAGACGAAGCCAAAGCCGAAAACGAGCAGTGGAATATAGATTCGAGGACCGATATACTTGAGCAGAATGTTGGAGGGGACTTCGACCAGGAGATAAACGATGTAAAAGACACTCAGCGCCCAGTTGAATCGGTATCCAACCAGGTGGAGGTCGACCGCCATTCCTTGGATGCGAGCATTTCCAATATTTGCACGGTCCAGGAAGCAGAACAGATATCTGGAGAATCACATCTTAGTCATTGTTGCCGAACGTTTGAGGTAGCGCATTTCTGCAACGGGACAATGGCGACAATAGAGCAAATAACTAAAAGATTGACCTACAGAACAGTGACCACGGGGACGATTCGACGATCAATCTTTCTTCTGATCAAAGTTTCTTCCGCTTCTGTCCATTCAATCTCGTCGGCAGAGCCTTCACTCTCCTTGTTTGGATCGAGTTCCAAGTGATCAAAGGATGAGGCTTTGATAGGTGCCGTGGTCTCCATGGTGGGCTGAATGAATCGACGATTAAAGAGGTTGTCGAACTCGATTACAAGGCTGATGAGCTCAAAGTGAAAAGAGCAGGACCTCTGTTGATGGATAAAATGTGAGGCGAAGCCTGGATCTTGTATACACCGTCTAACCCTGTCGGCCGGATTGATTTCCCCATATTCACTGGCCCCACGTCCACAATCCCCGGTCGAGCATGTCCAGCAATCATCGCTGTCGACCCAGGTGGCCAGCTAATGCGTATCGCTTGATGAGAACTCCACAGGGGCCTGATAGGCATGCTCAACCCCCCGCCGGAAGCAGCACCCTGAGTCGAGATCTTCGGGAGCTCGAGACGGCATGTGGATGAAAGATTCCTGCCTGAAGGGCCATGAGTGCCAATTCTGGTCCATTGCCTTGTCTGGGTTGCAGAAGTCTTCTCAAGGTTGATCTTGATGGAGCAAAGCTCTCGAAAAATCCGGAGTGGCGGGGCTTGTCTGGGGTGGTGAGCGGAGCCAAGAAGCCCAGCTAATGCTCAGTAGCCACATGATGTAGTCGATATTCAATCACACTGGTCCCAAGGCTGGCTGGCTGACCTTGGCTTTTGCCAGGGTGCTTAATTAACGCAAAGCGGTGCGGATGGGCGGCGATCATGTTTTGGGGAAAGGGTCGCTTAGAGTGAATGGGAATCCTGGTTGTACACAAACTTGATTGCCTTTGCTGACACTGGTCCAAAGACACTGCAGTAATCTGATGACCACCGTGTAGAATGAGCTACCGGACCATACCACTCTACTCCGAGACCTGTTTGGCTAAAGGGGTCTCTATACCTCAGGCATGTCGCACAATTGCACGTTGAGTGGTGGATTACCTCACTCAACACTTTTGCACGATGCCCAAGAGAAAAGAAGGATATTGTTCTTCTGGAACCCAGGAAAGATTGGAACAAGACCTATTAGACCAACTACGAATTGCATCTGCCGTTACAAACGGCTTTGTTGGAGTGGAGTTTTTCGATGTCAATGGGAGGGCTGCGTTCCCTTGGCAGCAACTATGATGCTACTATGTTGCTTCGGCAGTTGATTGATGAGCCTCACACACTTGCACTTGCAGACAGCTCCCAGGCTGATCCTTTCTGAAAACTGCCGAAAGGACCCCTCTCTTTTGATTGGAATCATGCAAATTGACCCGTGACCGCCCACGAGTCCACGAGGTTTGGCTTGGTGTCACTGATTCAGAACAAATGGGGGCCTCATAGTGTGGAGATCCTAGTTCTTACTTGCTGTACAATACTATGAATCTCAGAGAAGAATGTCCCCCTATTCGCCACCTTGCTTGTTTCCCTGTATACGAACACTCCGTACATACGGAGTACATTTTACGAGCCACGTGGGAAATGAATGCGATGCTGACTGAAATGCCGCTCCAGGTCACAAAGTCCTTTTGCATTACTGTGACTATGTTGAGTTGGCTCTGTGTGAATCACTCGTTATCCACTGCGATTGGATTCTCGGCTTGAGGTCCGACGTGATCATCAGCTTAAAGTGCCCAGAGCAGATATCTTCGGGTATCATACTTCCGCCCACAGAAGGTCATTGTTTCGCGCGGCAAAGGCGGGTTGCACTATGCAGTCCAATCAACCCGCAACCCCATCTGCATGCCATGTACATAGGATGGATTCAAACACGGTCATTGCCGTCCAGACCGAGAGGTCTCGGGCCTGATCCCATCCACCACCAGTGTCAAAACGCCGCAAGCTCAGGTCATGATCCGGGATCGCCTGAAGTGGCACAGTGGATCATGTAAATGTGCACAGTATTTATCACAACCGGCCGTATCCGAGAATTCTTTGTGATGCAAAAATTGAACTACCGAGCCGAAGTTCCTGGCTAGAGTCCCTATTTCCAGTGCACATGTTCAACATGTGGAGGGAGCCGAGACGTCGAAACTGTCCGACTTCTTGGTGACCAAAGGACCATAATCACTAGGTTGCGCCCCGGAGAGCGATCGATCCCAATATCTGGCTTTCAAGAAAATCAAGATGCCTCTCCCCAGCACCTTGGACACGGTTGGCAACCCCGTTGACCTTGCCTGATGTTGGCGACGTCAACTTGTAGACTTTCTTGATGCGACCAATGTCTGACAGAGAATTGAACGAGGCGTCGTCAAACACGACTTGCGTGCCTTTGATGTGTTCATTGAGATGGCTGGTAACGCTTTCCAAGGTGACGGCGGGGCTGGTGGCGACTTTAATAACCAGCAAATTCTTGGTGGTCTCACTGATACCGAATCTACGGAATGCCTCCCCAATCTGAACTCGGTCAGCGGCTCAATCCTTGAACATTGAGAAGAAATTGTAAAAACATACGTTGTTGTTGGGGCTGAGAGCAAAGACGATCTCTGAGTGAACGTTCCTAGACTTGAGTCGTTCGTTCAGATAATCATTGAGCGTCCGAAAGGTCGCAGCGAGCACATGTTTTGTGGAAACAATCTAGTGACAGTTGGGATTAGCCTGGCATCTCAAATATGACCCAGGGATCGGTCGCATACCATACTTGCGTCAATGAAAGCATATTCAAATTCCGCATTGCCGGCTAGAAGTTGGTCTCTTAGAAACCCGGCATTCGTCAGATCGCGATACAGGCCAACATGCAGGACCAGGTCCGGCGGCATGTGGGCAATCTGTACCGTCTGAACCATCTTGAAGATATTTCCAGCCTGTCGGCCTATGACGGTAGAAATCAAATTTCAGGGTAGCATCTGCAGGTCACAGAGCGGGATGTTTTGATATCCTAGAAAAAGCTTTTGGTAGCCTTGTCAATCACGTGATTGCCCCACGAGGGAGCCCCTCGGCCTCGATCAGATGCCCCGGGCTGCCTTAGGGCGAGCAGGCGGGGAGAGGTTAGAGGGGAGCGGGCCGAGGGGCACCAATGTACTGAGTAATGCCCTTGATGAATTTTGCTTCTATTCTAATGGGCGCTGTCACTGATAGGCAGTGACTCGATGAAACTTTTTGCAACCAGAACATAACACTCACCTTGCATGAAAAGGCGATGTTCGCATGATTGTCTAAAGAGAAGAATGATTAACAGCAAGCGAGTGACCACTTATGCTTTCTCAATTTCTACAACAAGTGACCAGTTGCGGCACAATGAACCGTCCTGGCATCTTTACAGCCGCCAATGCTCGGTGATGAGCAATTGGCGATATGGTTTCTGTTCAAACTCCGGAGGTCCGGAGCTGGCCTCGACATGGCCGGGGCTGCTGCGGGAACGCCGCTCCCAAGACATACGCAATTGTTGGTGAGAACCAGCAAGGTGCTCAATCACTCTTCCTCACATATTCAACAGGGCCTACGTAATGGTGCCTTGCCCAGCCGACGTAGTAGATCCCGCCAAGGATCAAAGTGCCTCCGAATGCCAAAGAAGACCAGTTCATCGATTCAACGGTTGGGTTGCTCCCTCCTGGAAAGAAACTCATGGTAAAGGCGAGAGCCAAGAAGGCAAGGCTGCCAATGTTGATGGGAATTCCAAATTTTCCCAGGCTGAATGCCGATGGCAGTAAAGTCTGGCCGCGGAGTCTGCGAAGAAACAGGCAGAAGATTGAGATGAAGTACGACGACAACAGTGATGCCAGACCAAGCGACAGGATTTGGTTGAATGCGACTGTCGATCCGATGTTGACCAGGGAGAACAACACCGAGAAGCTAATGGTGAACAAGATGGCTATATCCGTCAGCAAGCCAACGCGCAAGAAAAAACACCTAGGTGGACACGTCACTTACCATTCATCGGAATTTGCAGTCGAGGCGATACACTTGCGAACCACTTGTGGCATGGAACGCCGCCATCTCGAGCAAAAGCAAACAGTTGACGTGAGGCCGTAGCCATGTTGGTCATGCCATTGGCGATGGCAGACACAACCAAAATGCAAGACATTGCCGTTGCACCACCCTTGGAACCAGTTGCATTGTAGAACACTTGGATGAATGGGTAGCCCGTGGGTGTGGAAAGGACTTCCTCAAGGTCTCCCAGGGTATCTGTGCACAAAGGTCAGTCGTCTTTCTCAGGTGAGTCGTCGCTCTATCGATAGCAGAGCCGATACTCTGTACAAACATACAGCAAAAGGTACTATCAAGTCATTAGCCAAGCTCGGCGTTCGGATGGCACACGATACTCACATAAGCATAACGAATCCCAAAGCTCCGTTGACGACCGAAGTTGAGATCATCACCCGTGGGAGGGTTTTGGATGCATCCTTCAGTTCTTCCGACATATGCACAGCAGCATCAGCTCCGAGGAATGCTGTGACTGGTGTAATTATGCCGACCAGAGTTGCGAGACCAGCTAATGCAAGATTAGTGACCTGGCGAGATGAGCAGTGGCGACGACTTACTTGAGCCCCAGCCGCCTTCGTCCGAGAAAGTCGTCCATATCTCGTGTGAATCTCCTCGGGGGCCGAGTACCCACAGAGGCACCAAGATGCAGATGAAACCTCCCAGATGCAAGCACAGCACCAATCCTTCAACAAGTGGGAGATGTTGGGCCAGGAAGGTATTGAAGAAAGCTACGAACAGGACAACCGCAATGGTGAGAAGTGTTCCGTGCCATCTTTCATAGACATAGTCGTCGTTATTGAGGACGATCAAGCCCTGAATCTCAGTGGCAGCGAGGAAACAACCAATCGACACACCACTTTGCCAGCCCAATGAGCATAGCCAGCCCACCAAGAAGGAGAGACCTTTTTGATAGCTTCGTGGCGCAAACTCGGAGATCCAATGGTACTGTCCACCTGGACGAAGTATCAAGTCAGCGGTTGCACAATGAACGAGGACGTCGTCAGATGAAGATTATTGGGGGTAAATCAACACTGTCCTAGTGGAGATATGTCCTTACCTGCAGTGGGAGCCATTGATGCCATTTCGGCCATGGATATGTTGACCATACCAAAGAAGATTACCACGATAATGTATAGGTAGATGAGACCGGCGGTTCCACCATTTCCAAGACCAAAGGCGGCGACACTATATGAAATATCAGTATCATATTGTTCCCAACCAAAGTGTGTGCATGAGGCCAGAATCTTACCCTAACAGAGCTTGCCATGTGCTCATCAAGATCATCGCAAAGCCGAATATAGAGAGGAAGCCGAAGTTACGCTGTATACTGTCAACGATGCACAGTCTGGAGGACTTTAGTCCGGGGACGACTTACTCTGAACAGCTGCTGCTTTCCCATACGCTTCATGTCCTCCGTATCCTTGACCGTGCCTCGCTTCTCATCCAGCAGATCGCTGCTGGAGTCGGCGACGGCATCATGGTTGGAAGTCACAGCGTCGATTGATTTGTTCATTTTGATGAGTACAGACACGACGAGGATTGAGTGACTCTGTAGAACAAGGTGGAAAGAAGGAATGTACAAGAACACGGGAGGTAGAGGAAACAAAGAGTCAAAGTGAGAACCCTTCGGTAAAAGGTCAAGATCGTGTGGCACCAACCACACGTGGGACGGGTAGGTACGCCTAGCTACATTCGCATATAGAGGATGGAACTATCTCTGTGGATGTCGTGGCCTTTGCTGCAAGGGATCCACCTTTGGCTTGATGAGAATCAATGAGCCTTACAGGCGTGACAGACCCTTCGGGAAGCAAATTTCATGCAGATGATTGCGCCAGGGATTGTATCTTTGGCCATTGACAGAGTCCTGGACAGTCCCACAGTTCGTTGTTGATGGCGGCGGTTACTGTACGGAGTACTTGCAAGCGCATCCTAGGCCATTTTTTAATCTGCCCGCCGGATGCAAACTGTCTGGAGGGAATGCAACGAATGCTTCAAGCGTGGAGGGGACATCCCAGCGAATTGCAGATAGGAGGAGCCATTCCAATGCTCCTTGAAGACCAAAGGACAAGGGCACCCTGCACTACGCTGCTCCGGATGGCGGGCCGTAGTGGAAACTTTGTCACTGGCGCCATATCCGATGGGCGATCGTTACTATAAATCGACAAGCTTGCGTAGAGACTCCAGTTTGGACAAGCACCACAAGCACCACCCTAAGTTAGTGCGCCCGTGGGTGAGAATGCATGAAGGCCAAGTCAACCACAATCCATTGTCTCTTCATCGGGCCCCAGACGCCCAGACGTCTAGTCTTCTCTTTGACCGAAACCCTGGTGGCATGTTCGGTACGGTGATTCTGATAGGAGGCCTACTAGGAGGCCTGCTAATTAGGAGAGGAACAAGTTCAATGCATGTGGCCTGCTCCGACTCCTGTGGTCTCCAGCCATCTGCAGTCATCCCAACCGTGGCGTCGCCCACTGGCGGGTGTCCCGGTCCTTGGAGGACCAAGCTTCCCAGAACTTACAAGACATCGGAACAGTGGTTACACCAATGATGATTATGCATACTCAGCCAACGATTTGCGAAGGGCAGGGGTCCTCCACGAGAGAGCTGAGCGCCGTGCCCATTCAGACTCTTCGTGCATCGAGAATGGGTCCCAAGTTGCATCGATTCCCACGGGGGTTTTCTCTAGGTGTCAAGGGTCTGTTTGAGGCTGGTGCAGGTTTTTGATCGCACATATCACACCGATGCTCACAAACAGATACAGTACTCTGTGAGAGAGTATTTACCGTCCCACTCTCGCTGCTCTTGAATGGCCTTGTGACTCTCTGTTCTGCTCGGTCAGAACATCTTCTGTCAGGAGAGCCTCGCCTCGAAGTCCTGTAGCCATGGATTCACCAAATGCGTCGGAGAATCGACTGTTCGTCATCTCAGATGAAGACCATAGAGGCATCATCCTCGTGGTATCCATCATCTGCTGTATCTACGTGCCCATGGTCCTGACTCTGCGAGGAATTGTCACTCGAAGAGATCTGGGCTTGGATGACTGGTTTGCCATTGCTGCATCGGTGAGAACCATTCCACCCCGCCACTGTTACACGGACTGAGCCTTCCGATTGTTAGCTTACCGGCGTGCTGGAATACGTCCTGGTCTTTGTCTCTGTCTCACATGGTCTAGGACGATCATATCTCGAAGTTTCTGAATCCGATGCCCGTTCAATTGGGAACGTAAGTGGACTCTATATTTGGTAAACTTTAAAGCTAAATCGCGATTCTAGTTGACCATTGGCACCAACGTCCTCTTCTTCTTGACTCTGGCCTTTACCAAAATCTCTGTTGTGGCGTTGTGTCGAAGGCTATTCAGCCTGAGCATGAAAAAACACCTTCTAGTTTGTGACATAGCAGCGGCATTGTGCGGTCTTTGGGCTGTCGGATCCATCATTGCGGTCACAGTGAGCTGCGATTCTTTCCATCAGATTGGATACAACACTTCTTTCTGTTCAGGCATGGTACGCACAGACACTGGAGTGCAAAGACTACAACGAAGCTAACACGTGTATAGACCGGGCGCTGGACAGCGGTTGCCGCCGTCGATGCCGTCACCGAGGTCGGCATCTTCATCCTTGCGATCGCTGTGGTTATGCCACTGCAGATGAAGCTCCATCGTAAGATTTCTGTCATATGGTCTTTTGCGCCCAGGCTTCTGTAAGAGTATAATGATCCTCGCAGAGCGGACAAATCACTAATTGGGGCAGTCTTATTATTCTCATCGGCTTGCACGTTGGAGCGATCGACGATGCAGTGAACTCGGACACACCTGGCGTCGATCTATCCACGCCTACGGTGTACCAGCAAGTGCAACTAGTAACAGCGATTGTGACATCGGCGCTACCGGCACTACACCGTTGGCTACGCAAATTCAGCACGAGCATGGGAGGGACGTGGATGCAGACTTCGATGTCGCATGGATACACAGGAGGGTCGGGAGAAAATCCGCGGAGCAAAAAAGACATTCCACTGACCTCGCTGAACCGGTCGCAGATCAGCAAGAATGGAGGAGGCACAATGAACGACGAACGCGGAGACGAGATCCACGACATGAGACAGCCCGTCACATTCCGCCCGGACCACGCTTATAACAACACGTCAGCATATCGCTCACATTCGCGATCTAACGATACAGATGGCCGCTCCGGATCACAGGAAAGTGTCAACAGCGAGGCGAGGATCATTCGAAAGGACGTAGATTGGCACGTGCGTTACGAGAGGATGGCGGATGGCGTCGGTCCAGACGGTCACCCTATGGCCATCTCCACCGGAGCTCACCATACAGACGGACAAAACGTGTGATTGCTGTTGTTGTAAAATTAGCCTTGTTACATTAGAAGGATTCTATATGGATGGCTCTAAGAGCCTGTGTATTGCAACTGTCCCCAGGCACCGCTATGGTCGTCACGGGGGTTTACTGACGGAAAAAGGATGCAAAAGTCACGAATTCCAACAGCAGTCGTTTTCCTCCGGGGGATTGGTGCCGCACGCTTAGCGGGGACGTGTGTCTTCTGCAATTCAAAAGGAGGCTGTCAACGTCCTATGGCGACAGCACCGTTTTGATGCAGGGTCATGGATGGGAGGTGACATTCGGATGCGGGTCAACATGGCATATAGTATAGTATGCAATGTGGCAATGCAAGTTCAACACAGGGAAGAGGGTCCGTGATAGAAGGGCCCTGTCTTAACCCTGAAGCAGGAACATGAACAGCTGGTCTAGTCCTGGATCACTAAGTCAAAGACATGGACTTGCGGCCGAAGGGTGAATCATGATCCATGCCCTGAGGAGCATTAGGTGGTATTTTAGCTGCTACATGAGGTACCTGGAAGAGACTTATCGAGGTCCAGCTCCCTAGTAGCTAATTACAGCATTCAAGGGTCACTCTCCATCCAGGTCGGCCAGCTCAACGTAGAGAAACGCGGACCCTGGAAGATACAGGATGATACATAAGTCGATTCTTTGGTCAAGTGCACCCAGTATGCAATGATTCAAGCATCGAGAATGCGACAATAGATGCAGCACCCAGCATCTCTAGCAGGGAATAACCTTCTATATAGCTCTTGGACAGAATTCTAGACTCCTGTAGCGAGGGTATACATTGGGCCCGGAGTGACATTTTGGGAGAGGAGCGCATCAAGTCGAGAGAATGTACAGCACCTTATGGAGGATCCCAGGCATTGAAGCTGGTATCTTGATGCCCGGAGGTCCTACAAAGTCAGTGAACCAACGACGATTTAAGCCTTGGGGCAAGCTAAAGAGCGCCGGGACCTAGGGAAGTTTCGCTGTCCAAGTCTCTTTACGGCCCGAGGCCTTTTGGTCCGCCTCCTAGCGCACCGGCCCCACTGGAGTTGCCGTGCTGTAGGCCCGAGGCGCCTACGGAGTACAGACTGTCTCTCCGGGTGGACATTGCTAGTTTGACTTCCTATGACAGGTGCATACATATTTAGGCACAATACCACCCCCAACATCTGGTCCCAAGGACTCAGTAGATTTGAGATAAAAGACATATAGAGCACAGGGTGGTTTACTTTTGTCGTTGGGCTCATGATTTTTGCGCCATGCCCGTCTTCGCGTACTTAGAACAATCAAGAGGACGTACAATAGATAGAAGAGCCGCGTAAGCACATCCTCGTATCCTAGAGTCTAGCAGTGGGCCATGGCCTACAGGATTGGGCAATTGCTCTCCGGGGAAAAAGGAAAATTTGGATGTGATTTCAACTGGGGTGGGTGGTGAGATGTTTCCAAGGAGCGACCGCCAGCAGGGCTAAAAAGACATGGGCAGATAAGAGAAGGGTTCATGGTAGCACGATAGTGGACGAAGAGGGTCTTGGAGTGGGATGAAAAGCCCCAAGACTCTCAGGCTTTTATGCAAGGGGGAACAGGGTATATGGCTCCTGTAGACGCGCTTGAACAGATTCAGCCAAAGGGCCAATGCTCAGTCCAGCCTCGGTAAGCTCGGTTACGCGAAACTCAACTAAAAGTCCAAGCGTGATCAACCAAGACTAGCACGACAGTAGTGAGTGATGAGATATTGGCGACATGTATCTATCATGCTCCGTCACGCATCTGTAGCGGCGGGAGTGACTTGTTAGGCGCAGATGGAGTCGACGCCTGGGTCCTGGCCTCTTGCGTGCCAACACATCGAGTTTCCGAAATAAGTACGTCAATAGGAAGCGTGATTGAGATGAGTCTTTTGGGATCTTGTCCAGAATCTCGAGGAATGATGCCATGTTGACATCAATCTTGATCATCACTCGTAGACACTTTAAGCATTGGCTTATGGCGACGTTGAATGCATATATGTGTCAATCCACGTGAGGACCACCCAACACGTGAGTCTCTGACATTCTGTGGCTTCCCTGTTGGAATGCATATGGGTGAAGCCAGGGTCGCTCCTCCCCCCCTAAAAGTATAATGATGCAGGTACGTTTCGATTAAAGAACATCCCTAACATAAGGAAGGAGTGGCCCTCGGGCATCCGTGCCTCCATTACATGTACCCATCTCGCCTCTCTCGGCTAGGTTCAGGCTGGTCAGCTATGGGTATGTTCACACTAATTTACTGTATACACATGAATCCAATCCACCGACTCCAGAGATGTAAAATGGATCATGATCGGATATGGCACTTCATTGGATCAGCTCCAAAAACGACGCCTGGACTCGTAGCTTTCCGTCAAAAACCAGGCAACATGGTGCATTGTTGGTGGCAAATGCCCAACTGATCATCGACACCTTGGGCGCTCCTTCCTCTATTACCTTCCTCCATAAGATACGTCGCCTCTATTTCGTCTCCACCAGACCTGAAAATCATGCCTATACGTGTAGCACGCTACTCAGATCTCAATCGCATCACTGAGATCATCGCTGCTAGCTTCTATAACGAAGAGCTCCATGCCCACATTTTCCCCCACCGCCAGCAGTATCCCGCTGACCATCTACGGGCGTGGGGACAACAGATCTCTCAATGGTGGTGGGATTACAATAGAATCTGGATTGTCAGCTACGAACAAGACGAGGCTCTTGGCTCCCAGCGACTCACGGGTGTTGCCCATTGGAGCAAAGCTGGTCTGGGCGCAGAGTCTCTTTGGGGGGTGAGATGGTGGGATCCCAGTGAGTAGATCCCAAGTGTTGGTTATATGTCACTCGATCTGACAAACCTCTCTCTCTCTCTCTCGACCTTGAATTGCTGTCATTCAACATGTACAGTCTTGCATTGAGTAGCCAGCTGACCTGATTTTGCCGTTATTCAGGACGATCCATTGTCAAAATCGTCACCTTGTTCAATTCAATCCAGCGGTTCCTCTTTCCTAACCGCGCCCAGCGTCAGCCCACGCCCAGTGACCCAACACCATTGACCAAGTGGAACTTTGCTCCCTCTCTTTACCCCTTCATCAGCCACTTTTTTTCTGAACCTCCCTACCGACGAAACCACTGGGAACTGGATGTCCTTGCGGTGAATCCACCGGACCAAAAAAAGGGTATTGGTCGTACACTGGTGGCTTGGGGGTTGGAGAGAGCAAAGGCGGATGGACTACCAGCGGTGGTCATTGGGGCCAAAGGCACTGAGAGGTTTTATCAACGGTGCGGATTTGAGCTGCTGGTTGGGGCGTGTCCTGATGTCGAATTTATCGATGTGCCTGGAACCTCAGGCGAAGATTCCTCGGCCGGGACAGGTGTCCCAAATGGAACCCGGCTGCGAAATCCGTTGCGAGAGAGAAACATCGGCGGTGGTGCCGTCATGTGGACCAAAGTCAAGGAAGACGACGAGGAGGAAGGAGGGAAACATGTGGAGGAAAAAGCATAGTATGTGGAAGTACCATGTCACACAAGTGTCAAAAGTAATAGAACAGCAGACATGCTGGGAGATTCAGAAGTTCTATTCAGAAGGTGTACTTTACGATCAGAAAGACTATGAATTTCTCAAAACCAAGTTCGTCTGGCACGCGCCTCTAGACTATAGATCTAAGCTTGTGGAGGAAGCTTGATCAACTCAACTCTGCTCTCAGCCCCCACGGGGTGCATGTTCAAATGACGGCGGAGAAGAACTTCTTCGTCGGTGTCAGTGTCGACGACAGCCACGACAGCCTCAACACCCATTGCCTCGAAATATTCATTCATACAATGACCCATCCAAGGGATGATACCAAGATCGTGGCACTCGGGCAGCAGGACGAGTTCTTCGAAAAATGCTACGGTGACTTGGTTGGTCAGGAAGCGAGCAAAGCCAATCAAGCGGCTGCGGTTGCCGTGGCCACCACCTCTCATAAGCAGGGCAAAAATCAAGCTATGTTGCATGATCGAGTCGAGCTTCTGGGTCGGGTATCTCTTCTCCACCGAACTCTTTGACTCGAGCAGCGTATTGAGTTGCTCTGGCGGCATGCGCTTCGGGTCCGTCGTCAAGACAAAGTTGTACCTTCTCCAGTGGGCCGCCATGACGTCCATAAGCTTGGTTTTCCTTGTGTATGCGTCCATGTTGGTCGAGTATTTGACGATTAATCTTGGAATTTGTCTCGGTGATGATGGCTGCGAGGAATTCAGGAGGTTTCCAGTGGAATTCTTTATACAAGTTTCAGCTTGGTCCAAGTCCTGCCTAGAAAGGAGATATATATATGGTCTGCTTCTGACAATCGGAGTTTGCTGGTTGACTGGTCTTGTTGGTATGACTGCATTGTCCCAAGGAGATGCCTTTGACAGAAGGCCTCGTGGTGCAATCATCAAGGCGGGCACAACGGCCATGGCCATGAATCAGGTACAATACAATGTCACCACCTGTCCTGTAGCATCATCACTCGGATTTGATGGGGTGCAGGATCATCATGGGCAAACACATCCTGCCACCACCTTTACCGAGTTCCCAGGCAATCTCGCCGTTACGGTTTTCTCTGCCTAGCCATCGTCGCCACAGATAGCCAGCAAACATGGCATTTGAGTAATAGGTCGAACCTCGAAAGACATGTTCTCCTGGACCGAAGACGCTGCCGCCCGGCCCGTGGAAGAACCCATTGCCATGGTCCATGCCTGCATCTTGACCCTCAGAACCGACAGGTGCATTATTGAAGATCTCGTTCGCGTGATCTGCGGGCCAGTCACGGTCGAAGTAGACCGGAAGAGGGGCATAGACGGCTTTCAAACCATAATGCAGTGCGATTGATGCGGGATACATCTCGGGAAACATGGTGTGCTTGTTCAGATAGGTCTCGTTATGCATGAGTACAAGCAAACGACGTGAGAGGCGTGACGCAGTGATCAATGCCGCGCGAGTTGGAGGTCGGTTGTCGCCATTCTTTTCGACATGGTATCCGGTGATGTCATCACGGAACGCCCATCGACTTTTGGATGGGTCGAAGAGCGGATCGAATGTGATGAGGTCGGTGATACCGTCGCTTGAGTGGGAAGCTGCTTGTTCAGGGACGTCCAAGAGCGTTTCCTGGGCCAACTGCGGTCCGGAGATTGGATCCTTTCCAGAGCTTCGTACGTCTTCGGCAACGGCTTGAGCGTACTCGGCGTAAGAATTGTTAAACAGCGAGGGAACAAAGAAGCGAGAGGCCCTTTCCCAGGCCAAATGTTGAGGCTGCTCATCAGCCCAGGTGGCGATTTGATGAAGCAGCTGCTGGTAGTGTCCAGTGACACGAATGTCCATTTCCCAGTGCCAGAAGTAGTCATACTCGGGATGATTTGTGGCAAAGTGTTGGAAGGGAAAGTGAAGGGAGCGATAAGCCTCATAAATTTCACCTCCAGAGAAATTGACAATGGAGTCGGGGAATGGCGGAGGGTAAACAGTCATCATCTGGGGGACGGACCAGAGCGTACCCATGCCATGGAATTCTGGAGGCAGACTTTCTCTCAGCACTTGATCGTAGACTGTCTGTGAGGTCCATATGGGCAAGGATTCATCCTGGACGTGGATGAGAAAGTGGACGGTATACTGGCCGCCAGAGGACAAGGCCAGCTCGCTGACGATGGCGCGTAACATCAAGATGTCATGCTCAGTATATTGATAGCTGTGCCAGGTGCGAATGACAAATGCGGTTCGGGAGGTGAGGTTGTGGCGGTTGGTAGACAAACATCGCTGCTGGGCGTCGTTCCACTGGACCTTGGTGAAATCGCGACCGAGGACACTGTTGAGACCGGCATTGTCACCTTTGAGCTCGATGCCGAGACCACCTTGGGCTTTGGTGAAGCCATAGCCGTATGAGGCGAAGCGATTGACTCGGTCATAGCAAACTGGTTCAAAGCCTAATTCGTCTTGGGAGCCCAGCAAGGGAGCAGGGAAGCCCTGTGGCAAGCCTTGATATGCCGAGATTGGTGGAGGGAGAATTTCCCTTTGCTCATCCAAGTAGCAAGGCTGAAAGGTATCGGTCAAAGGAAGACGGACTTGGGTCAAGGGAGGCACAGTGGTTGAGGTGGAGTTCGAGTGGAGGGATTCTTCCTGCACATGTTGCTGTTCAGGAAGGTATTCGTTCAAGGGGACGATACTATTGTGGCCTCGAAAGAAACCGTGTAAACTAAGTAGGTTTATGTCAGTGTGGGGGCAGAAATAGGATGGTAGAGGCTCACGTTGGAAACTGCTCCCACCAGAAGAACTCTCTATTAAAGCGCGCGGTCGATTTACCCAATGGGACTGTTGTGAATTCATCTTGCGGGTCTGAGGTTGGCTTCGTCTGGGAAGGAGGTTCTCGAATGGAAGGTATAGGGAGAGAGAGCAGCAAATAACCGACAATGGTGAAGAGGAGGATTGCGGATGCTGAGCAGAAGGCTTTGCGTGTTCGCAGTCTCGAAAGGCTGACCTGGCGACGATGCGAGTATCGTTGTCGGGGATAGCTGAGGAGGGTCAAGAGACCATGGCGAGGCGTTTCTGGCACATGTCGATGTCCATCACCGTCAAGCGACTTAAGAGCGTCGTAATCTCGAGTGACAGAATCGGGCCATATGTTGAAGGGCATCCCAGGCCCGAGCCTGACGAAGGTTGAGGGCCGAGTGTTTAGGCTGACTAGCAGGAGTTCCAGGTGCGGAAGCTGTATGTTTAGGCGGTGGCAGTCTTGCACAGCCCGGTTCTAGCACCTTAAACTGTGGGGGAGGGGGGGCGGATTTAGGTGGGTTGGGGCGCATATGACATGACCAAGTGACAAGAGTCTATATCGATTTGTCGCAAAAGTCGTTGGCCAGATATAGGTCGTCGAGAGTGTCGTAGGAATATTGAAGTCAAGATACACTCGGGAGCGGCAGAAAGCATCTCTTGTATGGACCAAGCCACAGGGAACTTGTTGAGGGCGCTGTGGTCCCCTAGGCAATCTGGCCAAGAGTTGAGCGGCAAAGATGACCTCAACGTGGAGATTCACAAGTGCGCCCACAGATAAAGTGAGTGCCTAAGCTGGCGTGGTTGGCCGGGATCTCTAGGGAAGGACGGGAGAGGGATCACGTGGAGCCACTAAATGGAGCTTGCTGCCCTTGGTTGTGTTTGATTTAAGCTTGGCATGTCTGATTAGGCACCACGTAGGTATCTACCTTGCTTAATGCGAAGGTAAACTCGTACTCGTGGGTTATAAGGCTGAGGTGGCACCTAACAGCTCCCGTTTAGTGCCCCTTGGGCCCTCTGGGTCATTGCCTGACGGGGGCCATGCCGCAATGCCGGCCAGCCCTACTCCGTAGAGGTACTCTGTAGACAACAAAAGCTAAAGGTGCCATGGTGCCCCAAGGCCCCTCTTCCTAAGTATTAGGGGTCGGGGGCAAAGGATCGCGCGAGGGTTATCTCGCCATACTCCCGTTAATCTCAAGTTGACGCCCCAAGGATGAAGCCAAGAAGCTTAACGGTCGTCTGGCGCGCCAGGGAGCCTCCATACCTTGCAAACAATGCGGATCTCAGAATGTCTGACCAGCAGATCCTGTGTTGCGTGCAAAAGTGCGGTATGTATATCCGGACGTGTTTGTTTTGCCTGTGTGCAAGCCCCAGCATAGCAAGGTCAACCTCTTTGGAGAGGCCACTGAGGCTCAAGTCGCCCCTCGGCCGCCGTGGCCGCCCAGGAGCCATCGACTCTCCCCCATAACTTCCTCTTAGGCGCCCGAGGGCCCACCAAGCCGGTCACGTCATTTATCTTAATGCCCTCCACATCTCCGCCATTCGTCCGTCTCATACGGGACGGAGAGTTTCAATGCCATCCATATTACCAATCTTTTGGTAGGAGACGATGGATTCAAATGCTACTAATAAAGAGGATGAAGATCTGTTTGACTTGTCCTGCTCATCACTGTCCAGTTCGTTGACGCCTATCCTAGCGATAGCACATCAACCCTGACCCTCGTCGTGCCTCTAAAATGCCTACCGCAGTAGTGACGGGAGCAAACAGCGGGATTGGCCATGCGTTTGCCAACCTGCTAATCAACGAGGTTAGCAACCTTGACTATAGAAGAAGCCCAGATCATGGCAGATGACACCCAGGTAGGGATACAAAGTCTACGCGTTGGACAAAGACCAAGGCCAAGGCCTGGCTGCCTTGTCTGGTAAAGCAACCACGGGTATTCTCGACGTCAGCTCGATTGAGTCGATTCTCAAGTTCAAGGCAGACATTCAGGACGAGACGATTGATCTCTTGCTGAACATTGCCGGTAAGACAGCAGAGTCATGTGGTTTGAGAGCCTCGTGCGTTCAGCAGCATCACTGACACATCAACAACAAACACAGGAATTGCGTTTAGTCCAGCCAAAGACGGACTGGAGACGACCAACGTCGACATTCTTCAACAAACCTTTGCCGTCAACACGTTTGGTCCGTTGTTGGTGACGCAAACTCTCCTTCCAAACCTGCTCAAATCATCCAACCCTAAGCTAGGGATTGTGTCGAGTCGAGTAGGATCTGTTGGCGACAATAGCACGGGCGGAAACTATGCATATCGAGCATCCAAAGCCGCAGTGAATTCTATCGGCAAGAGCTTGGCGGTTGAGTTGAAGGACCGCGGTGTGGTCGTGACTATTCTTCACCCAGGCATCGTGAAAAGCAACATTTTCCAGTCCAAGGTCGATTTCCCTCCAGATGCTGTTGAACCAAACGAGGCAGCAAGGAAGCTATGGGACAACATTGTCAGTCAAAAGGGCATCCAAGACACTGGCAAATTTTGGCATCGAGAAGGCTATGAATTGCCGTGGTGAGGGATTTTAAAGGGGGACAGGTATTGGATTGTGAATGACGGCGGCTGGTCATCATTCACAGTATTGTTGTAACAGTACTCAGCTTGATCAATTTGGCAGTGGCAGAATTTGGCACCATCACTAGTGGTACATAATCCACATTATTGTACATGGCGATGGTGGTGGTGGTGATGATGAAGAAGATGATGATTATGAAGCCAGAGGTTGGGGGAGCATGACAGGCCCGAAAGATGCCCTCGGGTAAACGATTGAGGTGGGAGTTGGTACGAGAATTGGGTGAGAAATGCGGATTTGGGCGATTGGATAAACCCCTCGTGGCCCTTAAGCCAACCCTTTTGCCCCTCGGCTTCAATCCCTAGGCATGGTGGCCGATTTGAAGGTCAACTCCGCATCTGACGGGACCTTTTCCTATCCCAGATTTCCCCAAATCCACCAATTCTACCAATTCTACCAATTAGCCTCGGCATACACCCACCTCACCCACATATCCACCCGTGCCACCCAAGAGACCACCAGTTGTTTTGTCAGCCAGTCTTCATTTCGGATGGCGTTATCGAAGGCAAAAAAGTGTACAGTCGAGAAATCCATCTGTAAACTATTTCCTGATTGACACGAGTCAAGGTCGCATTCTACCCTTCTTTGCATCATCACCATCTTTCTCACAGTTGGAATCCCTGGCGCTCCAAGTCCATCAATCGAGACATTAATCAGCAACACGACAAGTGAGCTGGTAGCGTTCTGACCAGTGACCACCTGTTTTACGCGCTATAAAAGAGATATAGAACCTTCGTCATTACCTCAGGTACCTGTACCTTGCTGGTTCTGATCAGATCAATTGTCTATAACCACCCCACTCACTCACTCTCCACCCTGACCATGGCATCTTCAAGCTCCCAGGTCGCCGACAACTACGGGGTCGACAACCTAGCATTCTTTACCCCCAAACACCTCAACTCTCCCGGCTCGCCATATGAGACCTCCAAGCCAGTGCCCACGCTCTTCACTCCATTGAAGATCCGTGGCGTGACACTGCGAAATCGAATCATCGTGGCGCCCATGTGTCAATACAGCACCGCACCGTCAGGACCCGACACTGGCAAGCTGACCGACTACCACATCGCCACATTGGGACACTATGCGCTCAAGGGTGCCAGCTTGGTCTTTGTCGAGGCCACGGGTGTGCAGCCCAACGGCCGCATCTCTCCCAACTGCCCAGGTCTGTGGAGCGACGAGCAGACGGCCAGCTTCAAACGAGTCTCGGATTTTATCAAGTCCCAAGGCGCTCTGTCCGGCATTCAACTTGCCCACGCCGGTCGCAAGGCCAGTACAGTGCCTCCATGGGTGGCAGGAAAACTAGGCAAGCCGGCGGGAGCGCGCGCCACCAAGGAAGTTGGCGGCTGGCCAGAAAACGTGGTCGGACCGACGGGCGGGTCGGAGCAGGTCTGGGACGGCAAAGGCGACGACGAGACCGGCTTCTGGGCGCCGCGACAGCTGTCCGTCTCCGACATCAAAGAGCTCGTCAACGACTTTGCACAAGCCGCGCGACGATCGGTTGAGGCTGGCATGGACGTGATTGAAATCCACGCTGCGCACGGCTATCTATTACATCAGTTCCTCAGTCCCGTGACCAACCGACGAAACGATCAATATGGGGGCAGTTTCGAAAACCGCACGCGGGTGCTGGTCGAGGTACTTGAGGCGGTGCGCAAGGCCATCCCGTCCAGCATGCCGCTGTTCCTGCGCGTCAGCTCGACCGAGTGGCTCGAAGATACCGAGATTGGTAAGGCTCTCGGCAGCTGGACGGTCGAAGACACAATCAAATTGGCTCGCCTACTACCAGATTTGGGCGTCGATCTCCTCGACGTCAGCTCCGGCGGCAACCATCCACAACAGCGCATCAACATGTTTGCATCCAAGGACTACCAAACCAAGATCGCCAATCAGATTCGCAAGGACCTCAGAGGTTCCAACTTGCAGCTGCTGGTTGGTGCCGTTGGTCTGATCACCGAGGCCGAGCAGGCCAGGAACATTGTCGACGATACCGGCGTCGCGACTACATCCCAGGAACCCAATATCGGCGAAGAAGCTGCCGCGGCCAAGGAAATGACCCAGAAGAGCCCCAACCACGAGCCCATGGCCGACGTCGTTCTCGTCGCTCGCCAGTTCCTTCGCGAACCAGAGTGGGTGCTCCGAGTCGCCTGGAAACTCGGTGTCGATGTTGCATGGCCCAATCAATTCCTCCGTGTGCGCTTTCCCAAGCTGTGAAGCACCACTCGCACTCCTCTTTAGATTAGCGAGATTGCTATTCCTCTATTTAGCTACGTCGACTGAATGAGGCCTGGGGTCTGGGGTCTGGGGCAACGATGGGGCGTGCCGGATTATACATATTTACACCACTTTATGACTCCGTGTCGGAGGAGCTTAGACACGTGAGAAAGAGTCACATCACTGAGCCCAAGTAGATATATAGACGTGATATTACAATATCCTTCCTCCCACTCTTATTAATTCGTCGCATTTCGCATTATCTCAAAGCCCAAGAATATTTAGCACAGCTCCAGCCAATCCAAGTTGACCAGATGCTGACTGTACCAGGCGTCATCGAGGAAGTCAGTTCCATGAGGGTTGAATTGACTGAAATCCATATATGTATGATTGTTGACCTGCATCGGGTCTAAGCTGAAATTGGTTGGCTGCCGAGGTTGTGAGCGGGAACCGGCGAGTTGCTCGCGCAACGATTTCAACACCTGGATGGCTCGCGGGGCTGATTGGATCTGCTGTTTATAATGTTCCATGATGGACAGGCATCGATGCCAATTGATTTCAAAAGATGGCATGATGATGTCTTCGTCTACCAGGGGACAATTCAGCCCGGCAAGAAGGATGGTGGCGGCCGCAAAGGTGACTGACGACGGTTTTAGTAAGGTGTTAGGAAATGCCCAAGGGGGGACTTACAGTAGACCGAATGCCACCCAGAGCTTCGGTAGGTGGTGTCCAGATGTTGATGCAGACATTCAATCAGGTATTGTGCTGTCTTGATACAGAGGTTGCAGCAACTCTTGACAATATCTACATCTAGTGAACTCGGCTTGAGTGCAGCAGGTTCTACCGTTGACCGACGTTTAGTGGCGACCAAAAGGAGAGGTCGTAATAGGAGAACCCGTGTGTATAGAAATCTAGGGGCCACATCATCAGTCTGGGCTGGGTTCTCAGTCTCCTGGAATTGAGGCACACACCTGCAGTATAGGACTTGCTCCTGAATTTGCACACTCGTATTCTGCTCTTTGGGAGCGCGGCAGGCGAGGATTGCACCGCGGACATAGTCCGGCACGTTATCGGCGAACTCTTCGAGCCGACGATTCAGGACAAGGACCTTTGAGATCATTTCCCGGACTCGGACCTCATCCTCGGCTTTTTCTTCCAGATCGTTACCGAGATGTTCGGCGTAGAAGAAATTCAGAATCTCGTCTAGGATGCTGAAGAGCTTCGAGGATGATATGAGCAGGGCTAGTCGAGATGGAATATGGCTTGGCTGTTCGCCTTCACCATGAGAGCGCAGGTACTCGTCGTCAATGAGGGCTGGCAAAGGCACATCCCAGTTCTTGGACACCATGGTCGGTCGTCCAAAGGTCATCGACACCAACCTGCAAACGTCAGTTGGGTGACAGCTTGGTCACAGTCGCGTGAAACTCACTTGTCCATCACGACGCAAGAATGCCAGATCCTTCGCCGCATCTCTCTGTTGACTTGGCTCTCGGATCTTGTTTTGGTCATGTCAAGATGTAGACCTAGACTCTGGGCAGTTCGAATGGCCAGACCAATGACATTCCAGCATCTGCTGGCATACTGGGTGGATTGCAAATAGACACCGGTGAGAACCAGCATCTGCACCAGTGAGACGGAGATGGAATCAAGCATGTCGTAGACAAAGATTTTGCGTGATCGTTGATAAAAATCGTCGGCAATCGCGACTTTGTGCTGAGGGGCTACCGAATGACTGAATTGGCATCCAATGGAGAACACCAGATTCAATGTGGAGGCAAATATGACCTCGTTGACATCGGACAAATCACCATCCATACCTTTTGCATCCTCGCTCGACCATAGTTGGGCGTACTTTTCCATGAAAGAGGTTTTATGGAGGACGGGAAAAAGCGGGTGAATGAATTCCCAGAAACATTGGACGTACTCGTTGGCAGTCTTGCGAGGAGGTAGTAAGAATGCCCTGGCATCTCTCTCAAGCATGGGAACTGGTTGGGCAGTGATGGGTCGATCGGCTTGAAAGCGATGTCCGCTTGGTCCGCTTGGTCCGCTTGGTCGAGTGGCTTGGTCAGTGATGCTCGACTCATTCGATCGTTCATTGGTGCCGTGAGTGAAGCTACGAACAAAGGCAATCGTTGATGAACCTCCATAGACTAGAAGATCTTCGGAGGTGGTGGTGACTGTGGCGAGTGCATCGACTTGATGAGCATCATCGTGTCGGGGAAGTCGTGGTGCATATGGAAGCTGGCCACTATGTTCTACGGGCCGCACCGGGTCTGAAGGGATCGGTGGAGAGCCATTGCTTTTGGTATCTGGAGTAAAAGAGGGATTCGAAGGCTGAGCAGAATCTAACCCTGGGGTCAGACTTTGGAGTTTTTCCAGGTGATGAAGACCTACAGGACTTTGCTTGCGCTGGCCTAGATTGAGAGGCTGGATCATCAATGGTGCTAAACAGGACTCGGTTAGTAACGTCCAGTGAGAAGAAGTCTCGATGAAAGGGGGCTATCTCACATTATCTCATCGTCAGCGACATTAACGTAGACACAAGTGGATCCGACACCTCGACCAGTACAGGCGCGACAGACCGGGAGGGTTCCGTCGCAACGAGTTTTGCGTTTTCGACAAGCTCGACATGCAAGTTTGATCTTCCGGCGCTTAGGCTTGGGGGTTTCGTAATCTGGTAGATTGGTGGACTCGCCTGGTGAGATGGCTGTAGAAGTTGGTGTCATGACGAGACCTGGCTGAGTGGAAACGCGTCGTGTGTCTGAGTGATGGGTGGTGGCCATGACGACGACAGGCGTACAATGGAGCAGTCCCAATTCTCCATCTACCGTGGTCGTGGTGGTTTGATTAAATTGTCTAGAAGATGTGAGGTATCTCCATCGCGTAAATAGCCAGGGGAAGAGATGCAAGGGAAGTATGAATGGGAATAGTCAGCATGGGGTCGAGATCTGGAGGCAGAGGCACTGGGGTGGCTTTAAAAAGTGGACTGGAGATTGTTTGATGGAGGAAGAAGTTTGGAGGCTGTTGGCTTTTGGGGGGAAATCACGGGATTGAAAGCCTTGAGATTGGGGAGGGAGCCTTGGGGAAGGTGCAATCGTGTTTGTGTTTTGCATGGTGCTCCTTCCGTAAAACTGGGGTGCGGCACCCGAGGGTTTGGTCTCTACACTTGGACGTATATAATACAGCGAAGTTTAGAGAGAATGCGCCCGAGGGGCCCTTTTCCCCACCAACTTTTCTCCCTCCAGACTTTCAACGGAATTCATCTCTCTACAATTCCGAAACTCATCATCACCATCCCAAAAAGTGGGAACAAGGATGCCGTCTACCCGTCCAAGGTTTCGAAGACCCTTCAAGCGACATACAGAGTCCCAAATGGCTATGGCGATGGCGATGGCTATCACTATGCGTTGCACAATTCAGGTGGTACATTCACCACCATCAAACCAAACCCCTGTTCCTTTTCATCTCTGCTCACTCTCGTCACAGACTACTTGACACCATCAGGTTCTTCCCCAAAACCTCTTTGGCTTCCCTCGTCATCTCCTTGATATCTGCATTATTGATGATGCCGTTTCGCCGATTGATTTCCGCCTCAATCTTGGCAAAGTCGTCGCCTACACCATCTGCCCGCCACTCATAACAATCGCCGATGAAGCGACTACTTTGTACCAGCCACTGGCCCCGCTCCTTTCTGCACTTCTCAAACGCGACCAATGCAGCCTCGAGATCTGTGTGACTCTGCACTCTGTCGTCCGCCAGGATTTCTGCTAGGATCGCACTGTCCTCGATACAGAAGCCCGCCCCTGCACCGTGATGCGGCGATGTTGCATGTGCTGCATCTCCTGAAATGGCCATCCGACCTTTGTGAAACGTCGACACCGGGTTTTCTCCAAGATCGAATATCGCCCACTGTAGCAGTCCAACACATTAGTCTCGGCACCAATGACATTCTCATACAGGAAACACTCACCACATCAAGCTCCGCCTCTGTCAGTTTCAACAGGTTCACCACATTGGCGCCATAGCCACTGAAGTCCCGTAAAGCGTCCTCCCTCTTTGCCGGACGTGTCAGTTTTTGATAATCCGGCCAGTCGTCTTTAGTTGTCCGGAACGCCACAATGTTCAAAACCTCGCCGTGATTGACTGCAAACGTCAAGACATGACCATCAGGACCCATCTACACCATTATTGTTAGCTTTGACGTGCCTCCCTCCATCACACCCACCTTGAAACTCACATGCATGCAAGCATTCTTTGCTCTCTCCTCTCCAATGACTTCAATAGCCTTATCCATCGGAACCAGACCTCGATAGGCGTATTTGTGGGTATATGTTGGGTAGGCGGAGGGGCTGTTCTCGCCGACAATGAGTTGACGGACTTTGGATTTGATTCCATCGCAACCGATGACGACGTCAGCCAGGGCGGAGGTGCCATCGAGGAACTTCATCTCAAGACGACCGTCCGGCCTGGAAGTCGAGATAGTCTCCAAACGCTTGCCAAACCGGGCAATGTCGGCGGGAAGCAATTTAACCATTTCGTCGAGGAAACGGGCGCGGTGGACGCCAGTCTGGCCCAGCGAGTTGGTGATGGTGAAGGCGGCTTGTTGGTGGCCATCGGCAGCCTGATCGTAGCCGTTGAGGTAGTCGAACCAGACGTATTTCTTAGTCGGCCATACGTTGCGTGTGCACACCGTCTCAAAGGCGGCGTAGATGCCCTCGTGGCACGCCTTCATGGCCTCCACGGCGTTGGGTGAAAACGACACCCCGGCCCCGACCTCGCCAAACTGGGGTGCCTGTTCATAGATGGTCACTGGTACTTGTCGCGCCCTCAGCGCAATCGCCAGCGTCACTCCAGCGATCCCTCCCCCCACAATCGCCACTTCGAATGTTTTGGGCATTCTTCCCATTCTCGTTTCGCCTTGCTCAATGCTCGGATACGTACATGCACATGCACAAGTACACTCGGACTCAGGTTCGTTGATCAAGTCGAGTTCGATATCCTTTTCAAACGCAAGTCGTACGTGTCACAGTGTGGTATTATTGTCCATCAACGTCTCCTCCCATGGCGCCCAGGCGAGTAGTTATAAGGTTGATCCAGAAACTCTACCGGAACTGTTCTGATGTGCTGGTTTGTGGAGTCGGGATTCACCGTCGGGATCATCGGGATGGCCGTGAGGGAGCCAACCACTCACCAACCGTCCTTCCACTTTCATGCCTATTACTGAGGATGCACGGAAAGCACAACGGGCGCTCTTCGGAATCGGATATGCCCCCAGTTGGCCCCGTAGGCTCCTCCGCCACATACTCCCGCCCCATATCAACCATCCATCTTGCCCCTTGACTCATAGTATCGATGGACTGAACTATATCAAGAGACAGACCCCTCGGACCAATGAAACCAACTACAATTACACCGACAGCCCTCCCTCACAACCAACCATCCCCATCCCGATACTAAATGGTCGTCTAGCTAAAATATCTCGCCCTCGCGACACTGTCCTCCTCGCCCTCCCTCCCCGTCACATTCCCTCCGTATGTCAAATACCCGTCCAAGACACCCTCCACTGGTTGTGTATGTGCCCGGATCTCCTCTGCCGTCCCAAACACCCACACAATCGACTGGCCCATGATGATATGCTGTAGGATATGGCAATGCATCATCCATACCCCGACATTCTCACTAGTCACCCTCGTTCGCCACACTCGCCAACCGTTCCACTCCCCTGGTTCTGCCGTCGCTTCATATCTGTAGAGCATCGTAGTGTCACGCCGTGACCCCTCCCACGGACCTCCACCGTCTCTCGAGCTCGAGGACCCCTCGAGGAGTTCTTGGTGTGCCGCCCTCGTGTACACCCCTGGTCCCGACCCCATGTCCCAGTATGGGCCGCCATGTGCGTGTAGAGGGTGTGGCCCAAAAACCCCACCGGGGTAGGATGCCGCATTCTGCCAAACTATCTCAATCACTTCACCAATCCTTGCAGGATAGCTATGTGTCACCGGGTCGTAACCTGGATGCTCCATGTTTGCCTGTGCTCTTTCATAATCCGGTTCCGCGCCCTGAATGGTGCCGTTGGACAGGATCTCGACCAAGTAAGGGATTGGCGCTGTGATACCGGTCGGATGATCATCATGCCATGACTCGTTGTTGTTCTCCATCTCCGTATACCCGGACGTCTCGTTCAGAAATTGCCAAGTTGAGATAGTAATGCGCCGGGTAACTTCCTCAGCGGTCGGAGGACTTCCGTACCCCGGCAATGCAGGATTGGCAAAGGTGTATTCAAGCCATCTAGTCACATCATCTGGAAATGCTAGAACAGGAGCTTCGGGGACTGCCACCACCTTATTGTAAGAGCCAGTCGAGGATGACGGTGTATTCAAACCTGTGGCATTCTCGTGTCTTCCTGGAGATGTATAGCTCAAGGCTGCCCACGCGAGAAGACCGACATCACCTTGTCTTGTCTCTGCCTGGATCCAGAATTGGCTACTCTCATCAAGCTCTCCAAGCTCTTCCTTGGATTTTGTCTTGAGCAGGAAGCTGAACCTCTGACCAGTGTCACTCTGCATGTACCAGGTCTCAACCGGATAGACATAAGAGTTGTCCGTCTCGATGACAGTGAGGTTGTCGTGGCCCTCAATCCCCAAGACCACCAGAGAAATGGCCGTTGCCGAGATCAACCGAACCCTATACGTTCTGTCCGGTTCAACTGGCAGGTACGCTGGTTGGCAGGATTCATCTGACCACTCATTCAAGGTCCCTCTCCCTCTCCTGCCACTATGGCCATTGATCAATAGAGCGGTTGGATCGCCAGGCCAGGACCATGGCCGACCTGTCAACTGCGCCTCGACTTCATGATCCTGTGCGGAATAGTAGTCTCCCAGGATTAGGATCAAGTCGTCATCATAGTTGTATGGCGGAGGGCCGGCATCTTTGACAATCAATGCGCCAGCAGCTGTGACGGCCTGGAATCCGACATGAGAATGATAGAAAGAGGTCCCTGCTTCATGGGCACAAGGATGGAGCTCATAGTCAAAGAATCGACCTGGGGGAATCGGCCATTGTGATGCTTGAGGTGCGCCATCAGCATATGGTGCCGAAGCGAGTGATAGACCGTGCCAATGCTATAAAAGTCAGCGATGAAAGAAATAAAACGAGCCATAGAAGAAGAGATACAATCGTGGCATTCACATCTGCATCATTGTATACCCTGATCCAGGTCGTGACATCTGGATCAAGGTAGATGGGAGGAGCAGGGTATGAGCCATTGATCAATGTCGAGGTTCTAGGCTGACAGTCCTGCTGAATGATGCCAACGCTGATGCGAAGTACATGATCTGGGACAAATATAGCACCAACACCAATGGACAATGGGAGGATGATGGCGGTCAGCAAGACAGTGAGAGACATGCTCACTCAAGGGACTTCGACTTCTTTGCAAGAGTTCCGCAAACATGTGCAACATGGCAAGCGTAAATGGGACTCAATCACCATATATGTGCACCGAGCATCTCACGACAGGACTTGGGGTGACGGTGAACTCTGCAACCTGGCCTACCTAGATCTTGTCTCATCACTTGCGTGGCTATCGTAGCAGCGGCAGCAGGGAGCCAGCATTTCGAGACCTGTCATGTCTGATCCAGAGGCGTCAATAGTTCGTGCTAAGACTTTACGGTACTCAATGGTCAACTCTTTGTCAAGGCCGAATATGCTCGGACTGCGACAGCGCCCGCACCACATGCTGCAACCGATCTCATCAGGAAATGCAGGATTCGGAGAGTGGCAAGCCGTCTGGTGCTGGGTGGTTTCCGGCGGACGGAGCTCCGAGGTCCGGAAGCTGATGTATCGCGAAGCCTTTTGGGTAGGTTGACGTCGTCGAGCTGTGCAACTCTACGTGAAACACGATCGTCGAGCTGTGCACAGGTTGAAATTTTGTAACCAACCGACCAAGCCTTGGTTCGGGTGGTATCAAAATCCACCGAGTGAATGAATGTGTCACCAGCCCTGCACAAGCAGTGCATTCATGATTCCCGAGGAATGGTATATCATAAATCCAATGACCCATTTCTATCTATCGCTTGTCAATAGAAGGGGTAGAAAGAGAATGGACACGTGTAAGTAGTTGAAGCGTGAAGTGGTAGTGGAATGGAAGTTGAGGTGAGGTTCTCGAGAGGGAAAATGTCATATAAAATATAAAACCCTAGTGAGGAAGTTGCAAGTCCAAGATGTGCATCGTGCCTACCTCAATCCAACTTCCATGAATGATGAATATCTGCCTGCGTCAATCTTTCATCTTTCATCTTTCATCTTTCGTCTTTCGTCTTCATCCTTTCTTCTACTCGACTGCCATACTCATCTTCCAAGTTCTTCTCTCGCTCCAAAGTTCGAGCCTGTCACTCTCTCAATATTGGTCACCATGCCACGAAAATCACGGCTGAGATACCAGAATCCCTCCTACACGGTTAATCAATTCAATCAATGCACAAGACTCTTGACTGTTTTCCGCCAAAACATTATCTATTCAGCTTCTGGCTGTTCGCATCAGCGAGTGACAATCTAAGTCTTTGTGCTAGAGTACAATTGCAATAACTGTTTGGGAACCACTCCCTTGCTTTTCAGTCATCCACATCGCCACCAAGTCAATCTTCGCGCTCCATGCATCCTCTCGCTTTCCACGAAGCCGGTTAACATCATTCTTCGGTCTCGACTCGTCCTAGACCCGTCCCCCCCCATGTCCGTCCCTTCTCACGCGCACGCTGGAATCACCATTTCATCTCGAGACATCGGTTCATTCTATGCTTCCTTCGAGAAGACCCTTTCCTCCCATTTTCATGCATGCAAACCCCCGAAGATCACTTCGTTGTGTCTTGTCCACGGGGGTCAAAAAAAGAATTCCATCCAACGCCGTCGCTAATAATCTCAACATGTTTTTTCGGTGAATAAGACATTGATGGCCAAGATATGGGTAGAAGCAAAGTGTCGATGTTGTGACCTTTGCCCCCCCGAAACAATTTGAGGGCCTTAAAAAGCATTGGAACAAAAAATAACATCGCAGATGCAAGCACTGATAGAAGGTCAAGCTAATGGATCCATCAGGTGGCTTGGACTACGGAGCTGTTGGTAGGGATGATCCAAATGATCATCTGGTCATGATGATACAACCGACGCTCAGTCCTCTTTGGGTGAAGTTGGCGAGTATTGTGGGCTATTGGGAGAATATTGTGGACTGCTAATAGCTCCAGGTCGATTCGCTGCGGGACTTCGTGGTGAGGCATTGTACATGGGGCTGGTGGGCGAGTACGAAGGACTGGTCGGAGATGTCGGGCTGGTTGGGCTGTATGTCGGTGAAGTTGGCGAGTAACTCGGCGAAGTTGGTGACTGCTTGCCTCCAGCCCCGCCATACATCGGACTGGTGGGACTATACATTGGCGATGTTGGACTATACACCGGTGATGTTGGCGATGTCGGTGAAGTCGGACTAAACGCTGGAGACGTAGGCGAGTAACTGGGTGAAGTGGGCGAGCCACCATATGCCGGAGACGTCGGCGAATAGTTGGGAGATGTAGGCGAATAACTCGGCGAAGTAGGTGAGTTGTACCCTGGGGACGTCGGCGAGTATGCAGGTGAAGTCGGCGTAAAGGCTGGACTGGCTGGGCTGAATGATGGCGAAGTTGGGCCAAAGCCAGGGCTAGTCGCACCAAACATCGGTGAAGTGGGGGAATAACCAGCCGTAGGAGAGAAGCTGGGTGAGCTGGGACTCGTGCCAAAGCCGCCTGCGGGGGAATATCCTCCAGGACTGCGAGCTCCAAAGGGACTGAAGCCGCCCGAGGTGCCATAGCCTGGTTGGTATTCCGAGAAACCGCCAGGAGTTTCCGATCCTGTAGCAATGGGTGAGAAGGAAGCACCATAATCTGGCGACCCAAGGTAGTTGTTGTCTTGCATGGGGGAGCCAGAGTCGTAAGGCGTGGCTGCACCGTCGATCAGCTGTTGGTTTCCTTTGACGCCAATCGCACCACCCAGTCCCAAGTTTCCATTGTCAGAGACAACAGTGGACAGAAGATTGTGGTCGAGTAGAATCTCCATCGTACCAGTGCCAACAGGAGCCACCTGGCCCAGGATCAAGTTCTCCGAAACGCCACGACAATCGTCCAATTCACCAAATGCTGCAGCTTCCAGAAGAATCTCCACGGTCTGCTCGAAGGAGCAACGCATGAGGGCTCCAGTGTCAGAGCGATTGATACCATGACGAGTAACGGCCATGATGTATCCTCGGGCGGTCATCACGTCGCACAGGATACCCAAGTGACGGGCATTGACATATGAGCCATCGAACGACAAAACCTGAGTCAACTCGCGCAGAATGGCAGCCCGAGCAGCTTCAATGCCCAAAACCTCGAAGATTTCGGTGAATCTGTTGCTGTAAGTTCGCGTCGTATCGACTCCTTCAATCGCAAGGACTTTGGCGAAAGCGCTACCGCTAGTCTCGAGGACATATTCATTGCATCGAGGATCGCTTTTCGCCATGAACACCGAATTGTCATCTGCGATGATAGCGCGAGACTTCTGGTCAATGAACGCGCGAGAGACACCAGGAACACCGTGGAAGGTCAAATGGTCAAGCATTTCGTTCAGGAATCGACGAAGGACTTCGTCGTCTTCCTTTCGCTCGTCATCCTCGTCTTTGCCATAGTTCTGCACCAAGCGAATTCGAATCACCTGATCATCCGCATTGATGTCGCTGAAGATGACTGAAAGATCCTTTCCATAGGTGGATTTGATGTTGGCTGCGACATCCTGAATGTTAAGACCTTTGTCCAAGAGCTTGGCACGACTGAGCGTGATGCGTAGAAGCCACTTCGAATGAGCATCGAGATCTTGATCCGAGTCCTCGGGGATGATGAAATATGACTCAACCATATCCAGATCTTCCGGAATGATAGTGCTCTGGATGTCAGGATCGTACCAGAGCTCGCAGGTCTCCGCCACGGAACGCAAATTGGTGTGTTGGACTCGACTTCGAAGTAGCTTCGCCGCTTCCTTATCTCCAGTCTTGTCAGGAAGTTGGTAGACAGTCATTGAAGGAGTACGAATGTTCGCCGACACATTGAGAATCTCCTTGAGACGAGGAACACCAAGGGTGACGTTCTTTGCAGATACACCAGTGAAATGAAATGTGTTCAAAGTCATCTGTGTTGCAGGTTCACCGATTGATTGGGCGGCGAGGACACCGACCATTTCGCCTGGATTAGCCGCGGCCGCGATGAAGCGGCTTTCGACTGCACCAATGACATTGTCGAAAGCCAATCGATTGAGGCCATGCTCAAGAACAAGTCTCTTGAATGCCAATCGTGACCGCAGTTGGGCTTTGAGCAAAATGGTTGCGTTTGACTGGGCCTCGAGGGAGATGGGATCATCTCCACGGACCACGATCAGTCGATCCAGAAGTTGGTTGACAGAAGTAAGTGCATGGCGAGGGTCGAGATCAGTCTTATCGCCTCGACGGATCTTGAAATTTTTCTGTGCCTGATCGATGATACGACCGATGTTCAAAGGCAATTGCATCGAGTCCTCGGTGCCCTTGCCCATCTTTCGAAGGAAATCGCGAGCTTCACGAAGTGCTTCGAGTTCCTCGTCGAAGAGCTCCTGCAGTTCGGTGTCACCTTGAATCTCTCGAGCTTGTAACAATTTGCCCCTCCAAAGTGAGAGATCACCATTCATGAGATCGACTGCAAATCGGTTGTTGAAGGCCTTGTCAGACATGGTAATGATGTCAACCTTTTGATTCTCGATGTGAGCACCGTCAAGACCGTCTTCACCGTAGATGAACTGAACGACGTTGCCACGGCTATCGCGAATGGTGCCGTCATACTTGACAGTAACCTCTTCCAGTGCCTTGACCAAACGACGCTGGATGTAGCCAGTCTCGGCAGTTTTGACAGCAGTGTCGATCAAACCTTCACGACCAGCCATGGCGTGGAAGAAGAATTCTGTGGGAGTCAAACCACGGAGGTAGGAGTTCTCCACAAACCCACGAGAAGGGGCAGAATAATCGTCCTTTGCAAAATGAGGCAGTGTACGATACTTGAAGCCAAAAGGAATACGCTTGCCTTCAACGGCTTGTTGACCGACAATGGCCATCATTTGTGCGATGTTGATGGTCGAACCTTTGGAACCTGCACGAGCCATAGTGATGGCATTGTTGAGATCTTTCAAACTGTCTTCGGTTGCTGTACCAGCTTGGTCACGGGCCTGATTGAGAGCATTCATGACCTTGCTTTCGAAAGTTTGACGGACATTCATGCCGGGAGCGGGTTCGAGTTCTTCATTGTAAGCAAGCGCCGAGATCTCAGCAACTTCCTTCTTCTTTGAATCGACAGCGTTTTGAACCTTTTGCACCGTCTGTTCATCAGGGACTGTGTCACCCACACCAATGCTGAAGCCATTGTGCAATAGCCAGTAGTTGATAACGGTTTGTGCGCCATTGAAGAACGCCATAGCAGCGTCATGACCAAACTCATTGAAGATGGTATGGATAATACCACCAGCACTGGTGCCGACAAACTTCTTGCTGAACAGGCCGAACATCAAGCTGCCATCAAGGACCATCAGGCCAGTGTCATTTGTAGGAACGTACGGGTCTTCACCCTTCGCATCCAAACGCTCGAGGTTGAGTTGTGCTGGGAGTACCATACTGATCATCTGCTTACCCGACCAGCGGGCTGTGGGCTTGATAATAGCAGGCTGTGGAATCACCCCATCCCAGTCAGGAACCCAGAGCATGACATTCATGACTTGGTCTCGAGTCAAGAAGACATCTCGACGGCAGATTTTGTAAATTCCGGCCAGTGTGTCTTGGACAATACCCATCAAAGGCCCATTGCGCTGTGGCGAGACGATGTTAAGAGGGACCATACAAAGGTTGGCCAACTCGGCTCTGGACTCTTCGCTCTGAGGCACGTGCAAATTCATTTCGTCACCGTCGAAATCGGCGTTGTATGGGGTGGTCACCGATAGATTGAGTCGGAAAGTGGAATACGGCATGACCCGGACACGATGACCCATCATGGACTCTTTGTGCAATGAGGGCTGACGATTGAAGAGGATGACATCCCCATCTTGAATGTGACGTTCGACTTTCCATCCATACTGCAGGTTGAGTTCGCCGGAACGTTTATGATGACGAAGATCAATTCTCTCGCCGGTGTCTCGAATGACGTATCGTGCACCTGGATGCTCAGCTGGACCCGCGGCAACGAGACGTTTGAGCTTTTCAATGTTGAACGGGGTGACGGTCTCGGGATATGTCAAAGTCCGAGCAATACTGCGAGGAACGCCGACTTCATCCAGAGATAGATTAGGGTCACCAGTGATGACGGTACGAGCAGAAAAGTCCACACGTTTGCCCATGAGATTTTGACGCAATCGACCTTCTTTGCCCTTGAGTCGTGCACGGATTGACTTGATTGGGCGGCCACTCTTGTGCTGAGCCTTGTCCAAGCCAGCAATTTCATTGTCCATATAGGTGGCAATGTGATATTGAAGAAGATCTTGAAGATCGACTTTGATGTGGTCGGGAGTGCCATCAACTTCAGTACGAAGAACAGCCTGATTTGCACGAATGATATCGCCAAGTTTGAAGGTGAGATCGTCTTCACCACGTTGACCTTGGCCACTGCCATCCACGCTGATGCTGGGACGAACGGGAGGAGGGGGAACTGGCAGGGACGACAAAATCATCCATTCGGGTCGAGCATAATCGGTGCTGAGACCCATTTTCTCCAATGTCTCGTCCGTCAAGGTGCGGAAAGTGCGAAGGACTTCAGCAGGGAAGATTCGCTTCTTGTCAGGTGTAATGTCTTCGTCATCTTCGCCCTTGCGTGCCTTCCAGGTGGCCCACAACTGCAGACCAGTTCGTCTGATCTCTGGTTGGGCATTTCCACAGCCGCCGTGCTTAGGAATAGCAGGTCCTTTGGATGGTTGATCAGGGTCTTCGGGAGGGTCGGCTTCACAAATGAGTCGGGGCTTGCTCAAACGCCAGACTTCTTCGAATCTTCGCTTCTTATCTCGAAGGGAGATTGCGTGCTTGAGTTCTTCGGACTGGTAGTAGAAGTGTCAGCATTACGTGTCAGAGACAAAGACAGTGATCTGGAAGACCAACATCAAGGGCCTTGATCTTGCCACAATTGTGGCAGACCGTTTCCAGGATCTTCTTGACTCTGGCCATGAATCCATAATGATACACGGGGGTGGCTAGCTTGATGACACCAAAGTGTCCTGGACATTCAGCCATGTTTTCTTCACAAGTACTGCACTTGAAGTTGCGATCGATTGTTCCAAGATGAGGATCGTTCGGACCTTTCTCGCGAGGTCTGAGGCGTTGCTCATCCCTGAATCATTGGTTAGATAAACATGTCAACGGGTTGGTTTTATTATCTACATACATCGTCTCAGGATATTCGATGTCGATGACCGCGAGGCGTTCGGATTCTTTGGCCGAAAAGAGACCAAACCGAATTTCTTCGACGGTGCGCACCGGCGCGCTCGAATAGGCAAAGTTGAGGTTCGCCATGATTGCAGAGATATCCTTGGGAGACGATGATTACTTTCCAGACGATCGTTGATGATCGAAGGGCCTGCGCGGATGACTGCGCGTCGTGGTCAGATGGGACCTCCGCCCTCTTGGGCCACCCAAAACAACCACTCTTTCGCCAGCTGCGCTCGTCACCAATCTTTACTTTTGGGATCCAAAACTTCCGGGAATATGACCGTCTCGTCGGCTAGAACGTGGGGATCCGTGTGCGCGATCGATTCGAGATGGTATGGGTAGGGTTGATGATAAGGAAGAAGATGAAGTTGTTGTGAGAAGTCGGGTCTGCCTAAGTGAAAAAGAATGAGTGCAGGAGGTGCCAAGCGATTTCTGTCAACCGGTATCGGAACAACCTTGATCCGTCAAGGCGTGACAGGCCACGGTGGCTGGCGTGTCCGGTGTTGTGGGTGATATGATTCACAAACGACGGAGTTTGGCAAAATAACTTTTTTTTCAGATGCTGCCTGAGTTGTGAGGAAAGGAAGACTCATTCTGACTCGATGGAGGGCGTGATAAACTGGACATGACACAATATGAGGTTACACAGACACGGTCTGATTGTTCTCAGTACGCCTACTTGCGTCATAACAATGAGGGTGACAAAGAAACTGGCAACCTCTGCTTCTGGAAAGTATCTGTATTGTCTACAATAGGGATAGATTATTGAATAAGTGATAGAAGAGCCAGCGTGACAGGTTTCCAGAGCTCTTTACTTGATAAGGTGATGAATTGCATCTCATCTGAATGCCATCTTGTTTTCGTAGGTAACAACAATGACCACGTGACTTATTGTTCCTCCACGTGACTGAAGTCGACAACCTACTATCAACGACACCGGGTAACAAGATGTTTCCCCAAATTTCATTCTGTATCATAGTTCACGCCTTTTTATTTTCGATGCGATGCGATCATGAATCTCGCTTTGATTGATCCATTTCAATTGGCTCAGGATTCTCCTGATGCTTTGACGAATGATCTGCGTAAGCCTCCTGAGACGCGATTTTCCTTCCAGACTTCAGCAGACTAAGAAAACTAGGATCTGGCCATGCCACCACTTTACGCTTTAATCGCAAAGGCGAATACCTTGCGTCTGGAAGAGTCGATGGCAAGATCGTTATTTGGTTAGTTGGCATTCATGACATTGACGGATCTACGCTGACCTGATATGTTCAGGGACATGGAAACCTATGGGGTTGGGATGAAATTGCATGGACACTGGAAACAAATCCAAGGCTTGAGGTGTGTGCACTCGGTCTTTGACTCGGCGACTTGAAAGTGTACTGACATAGCCGTGACAAAGCTGGTCGAGATGTGGCAGATATCTGTTGTCTTCGTCGCAAGATTGCCGAGCATGCTTGTGGGACTTGAAGACTCAGGAGCGCATCAGAATCGTCAAATTTGAAGCACCGATCTACATGGCAGAACTGCATCCGTACAATCGCAATCTCTTTGTGGCTTCTTTGTTCGAGGATCGCCCCCACCTGGTCGACACCACCAACGCAGTGCCCAAGAAGTTCATTCTACCCACCGCACCACTCAGCGACGGGATCTCACGCTCGGACGACAAGCAAGCAACGACGGCAGCGATATTTTCGGCATTTGGCAACCACATCATTACAGGAACATCTAAAGGATACATCAACATCATCGAGACAGAATCTCGCAAGATCATCCATTCGACCAAAATTTCTTCTGGCCTTATATCACTTCTTCGGCTGACTGCTAACGGCCGTCAACTTCTGGTCAACAGCACCGATCGCATAATTCGAACGGTCAACATTCCCGATTTATCTCTGATCACACCGTCGACGGCACCGCCCATTGAAGGCGGTGATGACGACCAGACCGATCCAGCCACCCTGGCCGAAAACATCAATCTCACAGTGGAACACAAATTTCAAGATCTGGTGAACCGACTTCGCTGGAATCATTGTGCTTTCAGCCATTCATCCGCCGCGGGTGTGGCCGATTACGTGACAGCATCGACATACATGAAAAAGGACATATACATCTGGGAGTTGCGCACGAATTCTTTGCTTCGCATCCTGGAGAACCGTGAAGAGCCGGCAATCATCGAATGGCACCCATCTCGTCCCCTGCTGGCGTGCACCTCGATCGAGACGGGCAGTATCCAGATCTGGGGCATCGAGCCGCAGCAGAAATGGTCGGCACTAGCACCGGACTTTACCGAGGTGACGGAGAACGTCGAGTACGTAGAACGAGAAGATGAATTCGACACATATCCACAGGAAGAACATCAGAAACGGCGATTGGATCGCGAAGATGAAAATGTGGATATTCTGACCGTGGAGAAAAAGATTGGCGAAGAAGACAGCTTTGTTCTGCCAATGCTGTACAATGTTGAAGACAGCGATGACGACGACCAAGAATTAATCCGCATGGGTGTGGGAACCATGCGCAAGAAGGATATCAACGAAGGCAAGGAGTATGAGAACGACGCAGACGAAGTGGTCAGAAACGCCAGGAAGCGGAAGTAGAGCTCCCGCTCCAGCGTAAGGATTCTGCAGAAACCATGAAGCATGGCGATGCTATGGCGTCACAATGATGGTGTCGCAGATGTGGCAGAACGAAAGGCACTCCATGTTGACCATGATGGGAAACCTGGTTCTGGCCTGGCTTCTATCACCATACACCAATGCGTATCCCCGGATGAAACGCAACCGTGCCCCGATCTCGAATCTCTCATGAAGATCATGACCGTCGACGACGACGACGACGACTCCTGGGTTTCTTGCCCCGCCCGTCATCGAACCACGGGGAAAATGCCAGGCGCGACATTGTCCTAAGGGAAGGTCGTACCAACCACCAAGACGCCTGAACCACCTCCTTTGGGAAGAACAAAATTACCAGAGTCATTCGTACTGATCTGCTTTGGGCCTACTGATGCAGCATGCGTCTAGGTGTACCAAAGGAGATCTTGGTCGAGCCTTCAGAAGGAGATTCAACTCAAGTCAGACACTCTGTGAGTCTCCACGAAAGATAAGACGGCCCCCTTACTGGGGATTGGATTAGGACAATGATACGATCGGGTGCTTGCTGCAGATCTGCCAAGCTCGAAGGGAAGGTGATGGATAAAGGCATATATGAACGAGCCAAAGCAGGGAGCCGTATTGCTCCTGCTTTGTACAGGAATTGTAGTTCCTGTATGCCCCCGCTATTTAGCTCTCGACTACTTAGTAGAACAGACATGCTCGATATTTCCGAGTGAGAGGTCATCGGGTAGCAGCATATGATACGTATCGATGATCTCTGTAGCATGAATATCAAGTCCATAGACATGTCACATATGGAATCCTGAACAACATAAGGAATTGGAAGACCAGTGGTAGAAATTCTACATGTCTAAAGAAAAGTCCAAATATAAACAATCAACAATATCGTAGGGCACATATGATGTTTGGCAGCCAGACTCCGACACAAAACATGTGTACGTGTGCGTGTGACGTGTGACATGTGACGTGTGAACGTACGCACACACGTAACATACCACCTGCTACTAGTCCAAGGGCGAAACGCAGATGTACTCGTAGTGCTCAGCCGCTAGTGTCTCAAAAAATCCAACTCGACCGACTTAGATTTTGGTCTCCTTGGGCTGCTGTAACCTGACACATCCTTCCTGTGTACAAGTGGCGATCAGAGTGCCGGACTTGCTCCATATTCTCTGGACGACCAGACCTCTGCCATCACCGGCCCAAGGGCTCTCCATCTCGGTCAACATCCATTCGTCGGCGCGGAAGGCGCGAGGGTTGTGGAAGAAAATGGCATGATCGAGGGAGACCATCATGCCGATCTTGCGATCGTCCTTGGCGGCCGACTTTCCAAATTCCCTGTTCTCTTCTTCTTCCTCCATGGCGATTTCCTGGAGATATTTCCGAGTCTGCGCCTTCTCCTCCTCGGAACCCTTGAATGCGGCGATGGTGGCCTCGATACTCTTGGGGTTGGCAAAGCGCATCAAATTATGGACGCGCGCAACGGTGCCGACAAAGTAGCTGTCAGACATGTAGGCGAGAGCCGACAGGTGGGCTTGATGGTTATCTCCAGGCTGATTTGCGCGCACACCGTCGCTCAGTTCCTGCTCGCGCACATCTGGCGGACAGTCGCTGATGCGGCCTCTGGCGCGGATCCATTGGCGAAGTTTACGTTCTGAGGGGTCCGCATGGCGAGTGGAACCTGCGCGCACACTCTCAAAGGGTCGTTCGTCCACGGCACCACTGGCTTTCAACTGCCAAAAGTCCTTGTTGGGGTCGAGCTCGGGGGGAGGGGCAACATCGCGAGGCAACCGGGATGCATGTTCGACCTTGAGTTTGCCTCCAGCACCTTCTTTCATGAAAGACAAAGTGGTGGTGAAGATACATTTTCCTCGTTGCCGGGCTTGGACTGTACGGGTGATGAAACTCTTGCCATCGCGGACTCGTTCAACGTGATATAGGATAGGGATCTCCGAGTTGCCGGCGAGGACAAAGTAGCAGTGCATGCTATGGACGGTAAAGTCCTTGGGGATGGTGGCTTGGGCGGCAGAAAGACATTGAGCGATGGCTGCACCACCAAAGATGCCTCTGGCGCCCGGAGGATGCCACAGAGGACGAGCATTGGTGTAGATGTCGGGTCCAATGTCGAGCAGTGGTAGGAGGGACAGGACATTTTCGATAGGGGAGTGGTGGGGGAGATTCTTGGGGGGTTTGATCAGAGTCGAGTGTGTAGACATGGTGACTCTGCTTTGGAGGGGATTTATTGAGGGCGATGAAAGGGTGCTAGAGTCGAGAGTCAAGGTAGACAAGTCTCTCTCCTTCAGGGAGTCACCAGATAGATGTATGCTCAAACCCAGTTGAAGCAATAACCAGCACTGGGACACTCCTGACACATGTATCCTGACCACGATGTGGTGGTGATTAGGCACCCGTGGGTAATCGAATGAGTTGCGCTGACAGTTGGGAAAAGGAATAGAGAGGATGAGGAGGGCGATCAAGGAAAGTGATTTGAGCGAGAGCTCGGAGCAACAATAATATTCAGGGCGTTCAGGGCCGGAATGAGGTCGAGGGCATTAGTTCGGAGATGGAGTGATTGGTGCTGTGCCAGATAGCCGGTGGATCTGGGGTTGATGATGGTGTCCGGCCATGGGGATGGTGGATGGTCCATTGTCGCCGCCGGCCGGAGGTTTGACTTGACAGTTGAAGTGTCGCAGGCAAACGGGAAATCTGACAGCCGAGGTTCAGGGAAAATCACGTGCATAGACTTTCTACATTGTTGACTTTGGCCGACACAGCGTAGGGCACCAATTCCTGCCTAGGTACTTAATTATTAATGGTTTGGTCAGGAGGCAGTCAAATACGAACCAGCAATGGCCAGTAATGACAGTCTTGTCAATCATGATGGAGCCCAAGGGGACAAGACTGCAGAGACCACTACGACCAGGCTGAGGCCTGTGCTATCTTTTCCATTATTATATAACATTGGCCTTTGCATAGATGGACCGGCTAGTATTAGAATACATTCACGTGCATCATCACGACCCTCCGACCGGCAACGCCTTGCTATTCTGAATTCATATTGTTCCCATCCCATTCTCGTACATGTCATGTCATGTGTCAAGGTCCAAGGGTGTGAGGCAAATGGTCACAACCCCGGAGAGGTGCCCGGAGTCCGGGCCCATTCCCCACCACTTCCTAGACTAGGCGTTGCATATGATATGGAAGATCGCTCAATCTCTTCGCGGCGCTTCTCTCGCGAATTGACCGAGTTGTCCAAGGGGGGACTTTTAGTGCGTAAGAACTTTAGATTAGTGAAGACGGTGGACTTGTTGGAACTTGATGGGAGACTGCCTGTGCGCGTCCGCGATTGGGGGAGCAGCTGTGCAAGATCATTGTCTTCGCCAGGTAGATTGATGCGGTAAGTGCTGGGGGTGCCGGAATGGAGTGGAGAGTCAACAGGTTCGCGATTCAACAATAAACGTAACAACTGGCGCCGTTGAGCCTCATCCTCAGGAATCCCGTAACTGTCCACCGGGACGGTGTGTTGCATAGTGTCCATGGGTAACAGCTCACTGGTCGAAGTTGCATCTCCATAACTGACTGACTGGAAGTGATCCCACCTTTGGACATGTTGACCTCGTCTCTGGTCCGATTTCCTGATCCCCCGGATTTTGCGGGACACAATAAAGGTGAATAGACCGGTGATTATTGTAGCAACACCCGACGCAATGAGCGGGACCAAGACATATGCTTCTGAGGGGATCTTGAGATCTTTTTGAGAAGCATGGTTGGCGACAGAAATGAAGAGGCCCACGGCTGATGAGGTGAAGAAGGGCAGGAGGACAGCATCCTGGGTGAAGAGCAAACTTGAACTGAAGAATGCCCCCAGGGCCCCTATCACATAGCCCAAGAAGGTCATGACAACGGCCAGAGAAACAACTGCGACCCTGGAGGGCTTCAGATGTTCATCTTGAGTTGTAAAGGCTATGGCAAAGACGGCATAGCCCCCAAGTACCAGCCACGAGGCAGCAAGCGTTACTGCTCGATAGTAGAATGGTATAGCGTCCCTTTCGGCATACAAATCAAGCCCTGTCACTTCGCCTTGCTTGTAAGGGCGCCGCATTGTCTTTTCATCAAGAAGGCTTCATACAACAGAGACATCCAAAAATCAAGTCGAGTTTCGCAACGGTGAGACTTTGGGCCGAACTAGGGGTCAAGGACGGACGGTTTTCATGAGAGGGGGTGTAAGCGAGCGTGGACAATTGGGTGCAGTTGAGGCAGGTCAATTAGGGTGGGATGGAGGATTCGATCGATCAGGTCAATAGTCAGCAGGGAGAGGGTCAGACACAGTGGGAGAAGATAGCCTACGCAGCGCAGGCGGGGCTCAGGAGCACAAAACAAGAGACGAAATTGAATACCACAGAAATGAGTGAAGGTTGATTTTACACAAGAAGAATCATAGTAAGACGAGGTCGTTGGAAGGAAGCGAGTCGATGAGGATCGAGGCTGAGGCGGCTGGTGGTGAGAGGCCCAATAAGGCCCAATAAGGGTGGCCTGCGCCGTAGGACGGAGTAATATGAAGCCCCTCGGCCTATAAATTTATTAAAGCAGAAACTACGAAGGTTGGTGCTGACAGCCTGAGGGATCTGCTTGCACTTGCCGTGCCTGGACTTAATTTAGTGGGGATCAAATCCTTTATTAGATTGTCGCCAAGCCCCTCGGCCCTGTAGAACACGAGTTTCTAGACTTGACTGGCAAGTGTGCCGCTTGAGGGTCGCCCCTGCACTGGTCCACGACTCCTTGTCCTTCTTTCCCTTTGTAGTTGAGACAACGAGGAACGACCTCGAGGCTTCACTTTATCAGGGACACAATAAACAGAAGGTGCGACCATAAACCTGGACCGTAATTATCAAAAGAGTAAAAACGTGACATGCGTACCCTCACGTGTCACCCCTCAGCACAACACCATCCTTTACCACCACCACCACAAAAATATACCTTCTGCTCATCGTCGTTTGTCTTAACGACGGCGTTGAATTCGAAAGCGTCCCTGCCAATCAACTAACTAGACTTAGACTTCTCTTTCGACTTAGACTGCTCTCCAGTATACTCGGGATAATCGCCCCGTACTCCTATCAACAGTCCAGCCATTGAAGCAATCCCCAAGACCAGATGTGTCGTCAACCATCCAATCCAGCCGCTGTCATCCCCCAGGAAGACTGGATAATTGTCCCACGCCTGAAATATGGCAAATAGTTGCAACATCACCACCCATTGCTCGACCCACCTCCCGACCATCCATCTAACCACTTTAGGCACGTGATACAACTTCTGTGGCTCTTGTTCGGTCAAGAACGAATTCAACATCCGAAAGAAGGCCTCTTTATCTCCATCCTCGGGTATAGTCCATTCCTGCACAACCAGGTCTTCTCCATCCTCAGAATGCGGAACTCGCTGCCATTCATGGACTGCGTATCGAGGCACTTGGATGATTCCATCCTGTGCTGAGTACTCCTTGATGCCTGGCCCCAGCCTCACTAGTGCTCGTCCTTGCTTGATCTGTAAATATTCTGTATGAGACTCATGCCAGTGTGGGCCAGATGTCCAAAGTGACCCCGCGGGCACTGTAATTGTCACTCGATGAGGCTGAGATAGGTCATATGTCACAGCCTCGGACCCGGCTCTGTGGAAGACTTGGATATCTGTCGTGGTCCTTCTACTAAAGTCCATTTTGCTCGCGGGGATGCTGCTGCGTTGGAAGTGTACTGGTGATCCTTCTGCTCGACCGTCGACCTTGTGAGAGTGCAACGTCCCTCTTGCTTTTCCATGTCCTTTTCATATCTTGTGATGTCCTTGAAGATGACAAAGCTTACATGAGAAAATACCACCTCCATCATTTGCTGCGGGCAGTTCCGCGTGCTTACTCGGCCTGTTACTTGTCCTGAGTCAGCCCAAAACCACATCCAAAAAACAAACACAATAACGTATGCATCCGGGCTTTAGTCAACAAGTGCTGAATACAAATACTACTGGCAAAACTCCAAAAGAAAATTCACAAAGAATGAACATGAGCTCCTCCGGGTGGGCTCGAACCAACCTCTTGATATTTGTGCTCATGATACTCATGGTTATACCAGTCAAACGTGTTTAGAATAGAATACTGCCTACTTGACCAGTATTGTTCATATTTGGCCTCCAGGCCATCATTATTATCATGATACTTGTAACTTGCCTCGTCGTTGCCTCATTTCATTGACTTTTCGCTTGTCGTCCTCAAATTTCTTCAGCATCTCATTGTGCTCTTCTTTCCTCTTCTCGCGCATCTGGAATCGGTAGAAGTTTTCAAGGCCCTTGGTCTTCTCTTTGGCCTTCTCCGCCAGCTCCTTCGCCTCCTCCATCCTCGCACCACCCTTGGAGCCTCTGGTAACGGTGATAAATCCATCTTCGTCGGGCAATTGCCGCTTCCGCGCGTTTTCTTTACTTCTGGCCTCCTCCATCTGAGCATAGGCAGTCATGAATCCGTTGACGCTTCGTAACAGTTCTTTCCTCGAAGGATATTGCAAGTGTTTGTGATGCTCATATCGGGTCAACCCTAATCCAGAGCCCTCGCTCTCCCACTTAATGACTTTCCCTTCCTTGACGGCCTTTTTGGCCGCCTTTAACGCAAGTTCCATGCTCGAGCGGTCGACAAAGACAACCACAGCGGTCGAGCCGGTCGGATGGATCTCGCTGTCGAAAACCTGTGGAAGGGAATGAGAAGCTAGCCCAGTCTCGAGTTCGTCTGCCGTCATCCGCTTCCTCTTGCGACTGTTCACCGAAACAGCCTTTGATGTGCTTGACCCATGTTCTCCAAACTGCACCCTTTCTATCCGACCTCCGTTGAGTTGGTTTGTAAACAGATCTCTTAGTGATTGGAGAGAAGATGATACTGGAACGTTGACGAGAAAGAGGGATCTAGGGGAGTCTTCATCGGGGATCTGAGGGTCGTGAGGGCGCAGGTAAACGTAGTGCCTGGTTTCTTTTGGATATGAAGCCCGGGGTGGTATCGTCAGAGGCAGGGCCACACAGCCTGCTATTTCTCTTGGTACTCTGACCATTTTGAGGATCCTTGTAGGCGTCTTTATAAAGGCATTATGTTGGTCTTGTCGATAAAGACATCGCTCCAACTTTTTTGTCGCAAACCCAGGAAACTTCCACGGACTTATAAAGTCTTGGCATCGTTATGTCCGACCCGCTATGGACTACAGTCGAGATTCATCATGAATTATGGATCATAGATTGATTCTCTTGGTAGTCCGACATCATCAACACGCATCATCCGCGCCCTCTTTGAAACTATTTCAAAATGCGGAGGACTGCTGTCCGTACAGGCTCTACGGCCATACGGGCCAGTTATTCAAGATGCTCGAGCGGACAACCAGTCAGCACCATCCAACCGTCTCCGTTCCGACCTATCTCAACGACGTCAAATGTTAAAGCAACCGCCCTTCCCATCACAGGGGCCGGCCCACCTCCCAGCGCTCCAGTACCACAACCCTCATCGTACAGTGACCGGATATCGGAACGCAAGCGCAAAGCAGATCTCCTCGAAAAGGGCAAAGAGATCCGGGCGAGCGAGCAAGCGTCATCGAGCTCTGGCAAAAAGACCAATCCGTTGAAACGAAGGTTTTGGAAAGATGTGCACGTCAAGGAATCTCCTGACGGCTCAGCATACCATATCTATCTCGACACACGGCCGGTGCGGACGCCGAATCGGTCGCTGCTGTCGATACCCCGAACCAAACCTCACCTAGCCCACGCCATTGCCATTGAATGGGACCTGTTGGAGTCGGCGCAGCAGGCGTTGAAAAACCATTTCATCCCCATGACCTCAATCGCAGCGCGTGCACAAGACATTTCCGAGGCCGAGGCCGGTGGCAGTAGGAACAGTGCCGACAGGGCCGAGATTGTCAAGGTGATGATGCGCTATCTCGACACCGACACCCTGCTGTGTTGGGCGCCAGCACACCACTCGCACGACGCCGCCTTGGTGGAGCAGCATGAGAACCGGGTCGAGTCGTTGCGCGACATCCAGATCCGCATCGCCAAACCCATCATCGGCCATCTCAACGCAACCATCTGGCCGGGTGTCGAGATCAAGCCGGTCCTCGACGAGGGTTCGATTATGCCCATACAACAGAGCGACGTTACAAGGAGTGTCATTCAAGGCTGGATATCAGGTTTGCCCCCTTACGAACTGGCTGCTCTGGAACGAGCGGTTCTGGCGGGCAAGAGTCTCTTGATTGGCGCGAGGCTGTTGGTCGAGTGGAGTGAAGAATTCCGAGATCTGCAGCGCAGCACCGAGTCTCGATTTGGCATCGAGGAGGCCGCAGAAGCTAGTAGCCTCGAAGTCAAGTGGCAGACGGGCATGTGGGGCGAGGTCGAAGATACACATGATGTTGAGAACGAGGATTTAAGACGACAACTGGGCAGCGCAATCTTACTGGTCAGCGGCATCAAATAGACCACTTGAGCCTACAGAAGGATCATATAAAAGGAGATTCCAGTGGAACAGGCTTCGATCACAATCTGTACAGTATCAGCTTCTAGCGAAGTTCAAATTTGATAATCGTCCAAAAGCATTCCGCTGCGATCCATGGTCTCGCTGCCGGATAGAGATCACTATTTTATTTACCGGTTGATTTGAATCAGTAATCGAGCTCGTCATCGTAGTATCTTGACCTGTGTTTCCTCCTCCTGCCCCCCGTCCACCTCGAAGTATTGTGCTGTGTACTGCCGGCCTCCTTGTACCCGTCATCCCAATCCTGAACCGTCTTGTAGGAGCTACCATGGCCTCCCAAACCACTCAAGCGACTTCCTAGTCCATGTCCACTGCCACTGCCACTTTCACTCATGGCCATGCCCTGGGTCTTGGCCCTTTTCTCCTTCTTGCGAAGCTTTCTATCCCCTTCCATTTGAACACGGAGTTTCTCGGCCTCCTTCCATCCGATACCCCCGGTGTTGACCTTCTCGCTCGTGATGCCACGGCGCCTGCGACCAGGATAGATGCCGGATCGAGCCTTTCGTTTGCGGTTGAAATAGGTCATGCTGATGTAGAAGCCATGAATATGGGAAGGGAAAACTGCAAGGAGGAACAGCAGGCTGTTAATGAGTAGGTCGGCATTGAGACCGCATATGAGCATGACAGCAAATGGCGGGAAGAAGATGTTGAGCAGAGCAATGATAATACGCTTAAATAATGGGACACGCATCTTGACCGTGTCAAATTTGATGTTGAGCAAGGGCTGTTTGGCGCGTTTGACCCGGCGGTGTATGCTTTATCTGACAAGACAAATACTGGTATGCTCGCCGAGGTTCTTGAGGATGCCGGGATAGGTAAATGAAGATGCACACTCAGAGCCTGCTGTGTTGAATGGGACAGGTGCCGACAGAAGAAAAATTCCGCTTGAATCGATAAGAAAATGATGATACCGGACCACGACGTGGATAAGCCCTGAGGTTTTAGTTCCGGTCTCGATGATCACCCAAGTCGTGTTGTTTGGCGTGATTTCAATCCTCACCCAAATTTGGTGTGAAAAGCTATCCAATAAAAGGTCCTCGGCCCAGTGATAGAAATGTCAAGCACCAGGGCTGGGAAAAGGTATTGCTCGAGCAAGCCTGACTGTCGAGGCACTGGAGACAAGGATTGATTGAATATGCTTGAGCTCCAGCACCTTTGGATATATTTGTAGGCAAACAGCCAGAGATCTAGACAAGAAGGCGCCTACAGGACGGGGGAAGGGACGATGGAAGATAAAAGAAGTGGTGGCAGTGCCACGTACATCATTGCTCACCTTTGCTCATCTTTGGGTAAGATAAATGCAGGGACATAAGAGCCTTGCATGGTCGAGGCGAGCAACCAAGCGATGGTCTGGCGAGTCCAAGTCTTGACTTAGGCATGGCATCATATCAGATGGAGCAATGTGTGCGGGTATGCAGCAAAAACATGGAAGAGGCCGAGGATGCCGGGTCCCTTGGCCGTTGGAACAGCAAAGAATGATCCACCGACCTGCAAGGATGGTCTGGATCGACACGGCGGTGATCGAGAATCATCAGCAAAGCCAACCAGTGTGAGGGTCGCTAGGGTGTGAAAATCAAGAAAGTCGACAATAAAGACAAGGGATTCAAGGGATTCAAAGGACAAGCCTTACACGTCATCCGGTGGGGCTTCTGGTCCAGGGCAGGTAAAGATTAGACGAGAAATGTGGCACGTCAAATGTGGCTGGTGATCTTCATGAGGCATGGATTCACCAGATTGCAATTTTAAACGGGCGGGGTCAGGCCGCATGTGGCGCGGTTAATTTCAAACTCAACAACTAGCCATTATAAGACAATTGTTTTGTGTAGGTCGTGGATTGCAAGCTTTGCTGATGGGAGTTGGAGTGGTGCCGTGATCTACAGAGACAGGTCTGCAGGGTCTGATGAACATGGTAAACCTATGTTGAAACAATATAAGATCACCGGGTCATTCGGGTGTAGCAATCGTCTCGAATCAACAATGCCGTTGAATATCTCTCCGAGTCACGATACTCACAAGTCACATGTCCGAGCTACAGTGGATGGATGGATGCAAAGAAATCACCGAAAGTCATTGATCCATAAGTATTCATCTCTGACGGGTTGATCCTGCCGAGATATCATATATGCGTTGCACTGATGGCAAGGCCACCTCAACCAGCAAAGTGCTGCTCTAGATGCTAAACACGTGTTTCAGCTTGGACATCCTGCCTCACTGTGAGCTCTTGTGAGGAGTCGATGGCTCTTGACATTTCACCGTGTTTGATCATACCGAAATAAGAGCATTGTAATGCAGATAGCTGGACAGTAGTTTATCATCATCTTGGGCCGAGTGTCAGCTCGAGGCATCCGGGTTGTCTCTCTGCGGCGGTACGGTTGGAGTAGTCGCATCATCAGATCTTCCAGCCAGCGGATAGGGACTGAAGTCTCGAGTGCTGGTGCTGAACGTAGATTGTATCGGAGGGTGCTTTTCAGCATTGCTACCCGTGCTCGCCTTGAGCGCGTGATGCTGAAAGTCGTGCTTGTTGGGGACTGGGGTGTCCATCGAACTCTGATCGGCCGAGACTGGACTGGTCAGGTCTGTGGTGTGTTCATCGGGTTCTAGGGTGACCGAGTTCAGGCCGTGAAGACCACCCTCGATATGTCGCAAGAGCCTGACAAATTCTTCAGGAACCAGGCCACTCTCTCCAGTTCTGGGATCTTCCGCCACGAGCCATCCTTGGGACAGGCGATACGATACCAGAATCACTTGACCCTCCTTCAATGGCAACTCGTTTTGATGCTCGCTTTCAAAGTCAAACAATGCGACGGCCTTGCCATGCATTTCCTCGTCCGGGCTGGCAATCGTGAAAGAATAGTCTTTGGAAAATCGAATTTCATCGTCGCCGTCGGAATATTCCTCCTCCTCAGAGGTGGGGTCCTGAATCTGATGTTGAGGAGATGTGTTTCGTTGCAACGGCTTGGCAAAGTTGGAATCTCGGTGTTGAGGTTGATGAGGAAAGCGCAAGCCATGGTTTTGAAAGGTTTCAACCGCTTCGCCGGGACCATCCAATTCGTCCAGCGGTCCGCTTGACCCGACAATAAATCCTCGATTGGGACCAGCGGCACCGGGTGACCGGCCTCTTTCATTAGACTTGTTCTTCTTGTGTCTAGTGGTGGTTACTATGGGAGATTGAATATCGTCATCCTCGCTGTAAGGAGGGCCTCCATCACTGAATGTCATGGCCGGCAGTCTCTCTTTGTGGCTCAGAGATGGACTGGTGTCTGATATCCAGGGTGGTGTGGCAGACCACTGTCCTCGTCCATCTTCCCAGGTTGACAGTGCCGGGTCGGATAATCTTCTCGCCTCACTGGCTGGAGTAGAGATACCTGATGGCGTTGCAGGTGGACCATAATGTAATGGGTGGGTCGGCAGATACGCGAAATCTCGAACAAGGGTATATGGCAGGCTAGAATGAAAGAGAGGAAAGACATGGGACACGGGGCGAGATTGAGGTTGTTGCGAAGCTTTCGAATGTGTGGAAAAGGACGACATGCGCCTTTCAGCATAGGATGTAGGTCTCTGCGCAGGAGTGCGGCGAGGGGTGGGAGTCGAGGTGACTAAAGGAGGGAGTGAAGGTGAAGAGGTAGACTGGCCGGTCGGAGGAGGCGACATGGCTGGCGGCGAGGCGGTGATTGTGGCCATGTTGGGTTACGTGGAGGACAAAATGACAGAGGGTAGGTCGCCTGGAGCGGCGGCGATCAAGAGGGTGTGACAAGCTGAAAGGCGTGTTGTTCCACGTTGGAGGGGAATGGCGGCGGTGGCAGTCGAGGAAGAAATAAATCAAAGTCAGGGATCAAGGCGGACAGCCCAGGCGAAGATGCGTGGGCGGGTAACGTTGAGGCGTTAATGAAAGTCCGTGAAGATGTGGTCGGCTAAAGCAACGAGTCGCAGTCGAGGAATGGCGGGTGGTGCCTCGAGGTGGCGCGTAGCCACGAGGATGGAGGCTCGACTAGGACGAGTGAGAGGAAGGATGGATTGTCCTAAATCGAGGGCTCGAGCCTGATGTTGAGACCGAGTGCAGATGGCGGAGAAGTGGGTTGCCGGTGAGATCTGATCTTGTAGGTAAGTGGGAAGGATCAATCAGCTTGGACAACGTGTGGTCAAGTCGAGATGATGGTGCATCCGCCGTGAAATGCGCGACTCTAAATATAGGCTTTCCATGGGCCGAAACGCCAGGGTCTAGAGGAGAAGACGACAACCAAAGTAATAATGGTCCTTAGAAGTTAGGGCGGTTCTAGGTGAGAGGACTATTACGTGTAATGATGATGATGATGAGTTTTAGGATCAGTTGAGATGGGATGGGATAGGATGGGATCAACATGAGTTTAGATGGCTTGGAATTGACAGTCAGTAGTACAGTGACTTTACGAAGGTTGTCGTCGACTCAGGTACCCAAGTGTGGGACGCGCAGGAAGTTACCGTAGGCGGTTGGTAGTGCCCAGTGGGTGGCATTGCTGGGTCCGTGGGCTAAAAGCGCCCGAACTCAAACCGCGGCATTAGGCCTTCGATAACCTTATAGGCGACAAGTCCACCTGAAATCACACTTTCAAAGGCGCGCCGAGTCGAGTGGCACCACTACAAAGTCTGCTTGTTGCCGCAGCGGCAATCAACCACAAATCCGTAGGTCAGCTTCATATTGTCAAGGCAGACAGCATCTACATTTGCTGCCGCCTGAGTGGAATTCATTTTGGATCTCGGTCGAACTTCGTCAAGAGATCTGACTGTGGTCCACCTGGCCTCAAGCCAATCAAGTTTGGTGACAAGGGGTCGGCACGCGACGAATCTACAGAGTTGCGAGGCTTGATCGGTTTGATCAATAATGTACCCTGCCAACCTGCCAGCCTAGTGAATGTGGGTGATCCTTCAGGCGCAGACATGTAGAGCAGCATCTCAATTTTGTGTCTACCCTAATAGAGAAATGCCCAACAGCAGAGTATTCGAGTGTTCGAGTGAAGAATCCTGTGGATCGTTGTGGTAATGATTAGGCAGGATGCCCTGCTTGGAAGGGATCTAGATTTAGGCTCTACGGGCCCTCGGGCTTCTGATCAGGCTGAAGAATCGAGGCTGAGGGGTTCTTTTGGGGGCCAAATGACACTCGGTGTCCTCTTTGCCTCTGAGACCGCAATCACCAGTGTATTCGCCAGCTTGGTATGATCGCTAAACTTGCCTAACCGACCGAAATCTCGTCCTGCCACAGTGGCACTTTGGGGGCGATTCATCTTTCATTTTGCGCCTTTTGCCGCCTATTCTCGGCTCTTATGGAGGCCGAGGAGGCTCCCAGGGCTCCTTAGGCGCACTCAAGGCTAAGGACCCGGTAATCAACCCTCAGCCTCGTACCTGATCTTTGTTCTCCGCACACCCATTCATTCATTCCATCAACCTGACTACAACGCCCTCCTCATCCTACCAGTACAGGCTTAATCATTAAGCCCTCCGATGTTGATCCCTTAGGTATGTACTCATCATGAATTCCACCATGTTATTGGCCTCTTTGCGACTACAGTGATGAACACCATATTGGAGCTGTCCTACTTTACCTTGAGGATACTTGAAAATACGCAAAATATACAACATTTCTGATTTTTGTCGAACACCACAACACACATCCTGACAATTCATGGACAACACGTCAACTAACACATCTATTCATGACATAGTTCTCAATCATGTTTAGCTGACTGAACTGCGCTTGATTCACTCGCCTCTCATCATGTCAGTCGACCCTAGGCTTGCCCGCCGACAGGCACAGACGAGTACACCTCAACCACCACCACCTCCTCCTCCTCAAACACAATCAGAACCCCCACCATCAACTTCACCTGTTTCATTAGAGCCTCCAGTACAATCACCAAAACCTCAAACCTCGACACCTGTCCCAGTCGACGGAAATGCCATTGCCATTCCGCAAGCATCCCCCTCTACCTCCACCACCCCAGTGCCTCCATCCACCGAATCCGAATCCTTCAAACTAAAATTCTGCACCGTATGCGCTAGTAACAACAATCGTAGCATGGAGGCTCATCTACGGCTATCCACATCCTCGCATGCATATCCTGTCATCTCATTCGGGACTGGCTCTTACGTACGACTACCCGGCCCTTCGATCTCTCAACCTCAAGTGTACACGTTCAACAATACTTCATACACCAAGATGCACGACGAGCTCCAAGCACAGGATGCAAGACTATACCGTAATAATGGGATCTTGAACATGCTCGATCGGAACCGAAACATCAAGTGGGGTCCTGAGAGGTTTCACGATTGGATTGCTGGTGCCGCTCGCATGGATGCGTTAAACAGAGGAGACAAAGGTGCGGTAGGCACGGAAGGCGGTGTGGTGGACGTGATATTCACGTGTGAAGAACGGTGCTGGGATGCCGTGGTGGACAATTTACTGGACCGCGGCGCTCCTTTAAACCGTCCAGTCCACGTCTTCAACGTCGACATCAAGGATAACCATGAAGAAGCTCTGGTTGGGGGAGGAGCCATTCTCGAGTTGGCTGATGCTCTCAATGAGGCGGCGAACCAAGAACGCCTGGCCAATGGGAGTGCAGGTTGGGAGAATGGTTCTGGACCAGCCAGGATGAGCTTTGACGAGCGTGTCCCGGACATCCTCGCCAGTTGGCAGGAAAGATGGCCATCTCTCCCGGCACAGTGGACTTTATCATGGCTCTAGCTGTGGTCCGTCGTTCACGGCTTAGGTAGTTGAGTCTCCTTGTGTCAACTTGATTTGAGCGATGGCGCTTGGTGGTTTGTATCATTTGGGATTGATGATAAAGAATAACTTCATTTTCCATAAAAGAGAATAGCTCGCATGCTCCCTGGATGGCCTTGACGGCTTAACGTAGTCTGTTTCATGGCCTCGTACAACACAATGACTAGGCATTGGTGCCTTGAATGAGAATCTAGGTCGAGACGCCAAAGGCGCAAATTATATCCTTCATATCAAAGTCATTCGCTCAATACATGTGATGTGTAGATCTAGTCCCACAACCATCCCACCGACCCTGATGACCCTGATGGTGTCCGGCCCTATAATTTACTCCGTTCATCATTTTCTTTCGCCCTGGCCTCGCTCAAGATCTGATCGCGAAGCCCGACTTCGACCTGTCTTGGGCCCTCCTTTGCAAATTTGACTAGGACCACGTGTTCCCATTCTCCGCGCAATTGGGAGTCCTTCAACTCGGGACCAGGCTTGTCCAAACCCAGCAACTGTCTCTTATCGTCTCTGCCAAATTGCAAGCCGATCGGACTGATGAATTTATCTCTCCAAGCAGGCCACTGGCCACCCTTCTTCCCGCCGCCGGTGCCGCCTTGCTCGATGACTTTTCTCAATTCGTCTCTCTTGCTGACGACAACGCTGTCGCTCTCAACCGCGCCGTCCACAAACCCTCGATCGAGCACCTCCGAGATCAAGTACAACAGCAGGAATTGTGGCGGGAACAAAATGATCTCGCCGCTCCTGGCGCGTTCTAGCCAGGCACTGGCTCGTCGCCACTCGGGCGCCATGGTCTCGATCTTGTCGCCCGTAGCTCGTGTGCTCGGGTTTCCGGACTCGGCCACGTCCACAAAGTACAGGTACATCTGAGTGGTGAAACGTTTGGGCACGTTGGGGGGTGTCACCCAGTGCGTAAAGGGGATAAGTCGGTCGGTGTCGAGCACGGCGGCATCACCCCCGATCGACTTCAGCCATTGTGCAAAAGGAATCTTGCCTGAGTGTACCGCCTCGCGTCCGGACCGGCGTTGTTCGCGTGAAACAGAGAGGAGCGATGCTGTGGTGGGGGACTGCCGTGCAAGGAGGATTCCGGTTTCTTCAAAAAGCTCGCGGATGGCCCCTGTGCGATAGGCCGCTGAGTCAATGTGTCGCGCTGGGTCGGTCGGGTCGCTGGGTAGGGGACCATCTGACCCCTCGAGGTTGCCTCCGGGGAAGACATGTGCCGAGGGGAAGGCCGACGACGTCTGGACACGGTGTAGAAGTAGGATCTCGTTGGATGGCGACACCACAATCACACTCGCGCTCGGACTGGCTGGAGCTGGGTCTTTTTGTGACCCATATCCTCGGATCTCAAACTTGGCTTTGGGTTTGGCGGCCATGATGTTGGTCGTGGTTCTTCCCGATAGAGGCAGGACCGATTGCGAGTAATGACGAGGGCAGGGATGTCTATAGGCAAGGGGGGAGGCGTAGCCGTTGATTGATGTGCTTCTGAATGATGTGTGTGCACCTACGTTGGTGGTATAGAACTGTCTGCCCTGCAGATGGACTAGACGAGAGGCTCGATTACAGGTAGGACTGGTGTGGAGGAGATGAGGAGGAGGAGGTCGTTCTAGTGATCTGAGAAGACAATGCCCAAGATCTCTGACAGAGGAATTGTAAATATGATTGTGTGAAAAGTAGAGAAGAGAGCGATTGGTGTGCGCCGATATGTGCATTGAAACAAGACCAGGAAGGAGCGAGGCAGGTGGTAATAGGAACAGTAACGACAGGGAGGGGAAGGAGTAGAGACAGAAGGAGCGGCACGTCCAGACTATCCGAGGCCAAAGCACAGAGATGCAATCACTCTAATCACTCCTCCCAGCTTTCATAGGTACGACAGGGCTCGCTCGAGTGATGAGATGTGGTAGTTTTCAGAAGGACATGTCGGTCTCGGTTTGTCGGCCCGTGGGGAGATGGGACAAGGATGCCAAAACATGGAAATGACCGAGGCTTCTCCAAAGGCCGAGCCTCCAAATGGGGATCGAGGATGACAGGATGGAGTATTGCCAGGATCGTGGATGGGCGAGTGGGAGAGAGCGAGGGGAGAGAACGCCAAGCAAATAGTATCGCACTTCTATTCGTACTCTCGAAATCAAAGGGAGTGTGGGGGGTCTCAGTAATAATGGAATTACCTGCGCTTGAAGACAACAGCCCATATACAGACACAAGCATCAAGATACCCAAAGCTTCAAGGTGTCTAACAGTACAATTCACAATTACGTCCTCCATCTACTGTACGTGGACTCGTCTCAAGCGTGAGCATCAATCTTTAATTCATGTACACATCACTGCCAATGCAAAACTGGGCCAATTTTTATATCATGGAACAAATCCCTCCTTAACGCCGACCCGCGCCCTGCTTGATGCCATCCCCTCACATGCATCGACTCTCTCAATCAAGAGTACAGCTTCTTGTCGAAGCTGTCCAAGCCGTGCACGTTGCCCTCGGCTTGAGCACTCACTGTTCGAAGCTCAAATCGCACCTTGCCACTGACCACATCCTCCCGCAGCTCGACCAAACTCTTGCTGCCAATGTCTTGCAGAGAGTGTTGCAGTCCTGCCAAAAGGTAGGGAACAAACTTGGTGACTGAGCCTCGATCCAACACAGATCCTGAAACACCTTGAGCCACCAGCAGTCGATCACCTTCGGAGAAATATCTTGCCGTGCCCGCATTACTGGCTTTGGAGTCCTTAGCTCCTCCACCAGCCTTCTTGTCCTCCATGGCGTCAATACTTCCCATGCCACGATAAGCCTTGACGAGCTTGCCTTCGCGACTGACAAAGTAATTGCCTGGGGACTCGGTGGTCCCAGCAAGAAGACCGCCCATCATGACGGTAGATGCACCCATGGCAAGACCCTTAACAATGTGTCCCACGTTCTGAATGCCGCCGTCGGCAATACATGGAACTCCAAAGCGGGCTGCGAACGACGACACGGCAAACACCGCAGCCGCCTGTGGTCGACCGACAGCCATGACTTCTTGCGTAATGCACGCACTGCCACTGCCCATGCCGATGCGGAGACCATCAGCACCAGCAGCAATCAAACTGGCTGCTTGTTCCCGTGTTACCACGTTTCCGGCAATCACATCAATCTGAGGGTATGTTTCTTTGATATACTTGACCATCTCAATCTGGTAAAGACTGTTACCCTGGCTGCTGTCCAAGACGACAATGTCCAGCCCTGCGTCGACGAGCTTTTGGAGACGGTTCTTGTCATCTGGTCGCGTACCAATAGCTGCCGCAGAAATGAGTTGCTTCGAATGTGGCATTTTGGAGGCCAGAGGATAGTTGAGGTTTTTGAGCAAATCAGATCGTGACAAAAGTGACACCAAATTGCCCTCGTTATCGACAATCGGAAGTTTGCCCTTGCGAGACTCGCGGAGCACTGCATTTGCTTCGGCCAATGTGGTGCCAGCAGGAGCAGTGATCAGGTCAGTGGACATGACCTCTGTGACCAGGTCATCGGGTCGAGGATGGAATTGGATATCTCTGGTGGTGATGATTCCAATCAATTTCGACTTGAGCTCGCCCGTCTCTGTGTGGTCGATTGGTCAGCCATCGTCCCCAACTTGGATGTCACAATCAACAAAATCGATTCATGTAGTATCAGACAGAAATCTCCTGAATTCCCCATTGCAAGTTCATGCTGCGGATGAACGAAAGTTTAAAAGGGTAAATGGTTTGAACATCATTTTGAGTGGGCAAAGAAAGGGCGATTGGTGTGGAGTATGAGCATACCTGTGACAGGGAAGCCACCGAAACCCCATTTCTCCTTCAACTCTTTGGCTTCGCCGACAGTGGTCTTTGCAGACAAGACAATAGGATCCGAGATGAAACCGTTCTCATATCTCTTGACTTTTCGGACCATGTCCGCCTGTTCATCGGCAGAACAGTTGTGGTGGATGACACCCAGACCACCAAGAAGAGCCAAGTGAATTGCCATGTTCTCTTCAGTGACTGTGTCCATAGGAGACGAGAGAAGGGGAGTTTTCAGGGAAATGCGCTTGGTGACGGGCGAATCGAGAGTGACTTCGGCAGCAGCAAAACCTGGGGGCCAGTCAGAGAGCCGGTCAACACGACGACAAGAGGCAAGTACCAATGTATCCTGGCAAAATGAGGAAATCATTGTATGTGAGTGCTCCATTTTCCTTTGAGTCAAGAAGGGTGTGGATGTCTAGGCCATCTTTTGATGGATATTCGGCCTCGAGAACCTTGAGAGCGTCTCGATAGTCGAGATTTTCAATCTCGCGGCGGAGGGGAGTGCCAGCAAGAGCACCATCACCGTTGGCGATCGGCATGATGAAAGAATTGGAGGTATAGGAGGTCGAATTGACAACAGGATCCGGTGGTGAAATGGTCTGTTGGGGTCAAAGAAGGACTTTTCCCAAAGGAAAGGAAAGAAAGAATCGCGTTGCAGACGGGAGAAACTTTTTTGAAGAATTGCAGGGAGGGGAGGGAGAAAGCGCGCTAGAGGGCTTGGCTTCAAGAAAGCGGTCTGGATGGGCCGCATTAGGGGAGAATTACTAATTCAGTCTACTAAGTAATTGTCCGTCAAGTCCGTCAGTCAGGGGACAAAAGGCCTTTGGGCAATTCTCTAGGGTCAAATAAAATCTCCTGTGCTGTCTTCACGGCCAATTACATTTTCTTCTCGTTGTAGAAAGAAGGGTGGTGTGTTCAGTCAGCTACAAAATGCTAAATTCAAGGTGTGGTATTGCACTGCAGGGTTTGATGCTTTGGTATTCAGAACCGTCTGACGAGTTTGCGGGCCTCACTTCTTGCGAGGTTAAGCTTGTCAGACAAAATAAATATTCTACCTGCATCTTCACGTCAGGATTTGTTGAACGTGTTGAGTGGTTGGCCAATCATAAGATGCTCTCACCTCTCAAAGCCACCATTCTACTTTGGGTCAAACATAAACACAGACACTCAAGCCCCTCCACAGACAACTCAATGCCTACAACCAACTTTTCTTCATCTCGCTACATGCTACACCTTCATGCTCGCACTCGCCTCCATCATCTTGAACAATGCTGTAGCCTTTCTACATAATCACAGCATGCGACATCTCGAATCCGCTTACCTGTCGACCGAGTTTTGTGCAGCACGTTTGATGTGGCCGCTTGGATGACCTGAATGTCACCTTGAGTTATCGTTGATCTGCGGAGGATGCCCCGAGCGCCGAAATATCACACTCACCCAAATCTTGTTTCTAAAGCCGATCCTGAATCACTACCACCACCGGCATGTCTTCTCACGCCCTTCGTCGTGCGCAGACAGACAACCAGTTCGGATTTCCTCTTCGCCAAACCTCAAACGCTTCAACGGTGTCTTCAGCATATTCTGCCGCATCAAGTGCCTTCCATCCTAGCCGAACGAGTACTGTCACCTCGACGAGTTCAAGCATTTACTCCAGAGGGTCACCAGGACACAAGAAGGCTATATCTGACACCGGAGAGATGACACCAACCAGAACATATGGTGGTCAATCCAGTATCGACAACAGTCCTGATCACGTATACCGAAACATTCGCCAATCACTGAGGCCTCTCCCTCAAGCACCATCCTCCAATTCCACTCCACAAGCCGCACGATCTGGCTCGGTTTATGCCAGGGCCCAAGCAATAGACCCCTACCCTCAATCTCACTCCGAAGATCCTTTTGTTGAGAAACATCTCCATCAACACTACGCCGAGCCTATTCCTTCACGGCCGCATCTACATCATTCCAATACCAGCCCACACGCCCACACATTCAAAGCTCCCGATCTACAAGACTTGCAAAAGTCATCCACTGCCCAGCTGAGAGCATTGTCAAGATTTGCTGAGAATGGAGAGGTGGAAGAGTATGGCGTCAGCAGACCAAGTGCGTCTGTCGTTGGTATGCATAACCGGCGGCAACTGAAACGTGCTGATTCCGTCGCCGGCCCAGATCGGTCCCTAGCTAAGAGTTATGGATGGGGCGACCGTAACTGGATGGACAAGCAGCGTCAGTTTCTCCAAGCCTACGAATATCTCTGTCACATTGGAGAAGCCAAAGAATGGATCGAAGACATCATCAACAAACCTATCCCAGCCATTGTCGAACTTGAGGAGGCTCTGCGCAATGGTGTTACCCTGGCCGAAATTGTCCAAGCGTTCTACCCAGACCAGCCTCTCAAGATCTGTCGACAACCAAAATTGCAATTCAAGCACTCTGACAACATCGTCTTGTTCTTCCGCTTCTTGGAAGATGTCGGCCTACCAGACTTATTTCGATTCGAACTGATCGATCTCTATGAAAAGAAGAATATCCCAAAAGTTATCTATTGCATTCACGCCCTGTCGTGGCTTCTCTATCGCAAGGGCATGGTCGACTTTCGCATTGGAAATCTTGTCGGCCAGCTCGAGTTTGAACATCACGAGCTTGAGCAGACGCAGCGTGGACTCGACAAGGCAGGTGTCAGTATGCCTAGCTTCACTGGCATGGGTGCAAGCTTTGGCGCGGAACCAGAACCAGAGCCTGTCGAAACCGAGGAGGAAAGGATCGATCGAGAATTGCATGAGCAGGAAATGGCAGTCCTCGACTTCCAATCTCAGATCCGAGGAGCCCTCACGAGACTACGCTTGGGCGATACCATGCAACAGCTGTGGGATGCTGAAGAAAGCTTGATCGACTTCCAATCCCGAATTAGAGGTGATTGGGCAAGGCAAATTGTCGGGTACAGAATGGACATGCAACGGTTTGCCACCAATCTTCAGACGATTTCCCGAGGTTATCTTGCTCGATGCCACCTGCAGAAGACACAAAACATTTGGAAATCTCGAGAAAAGGATGTGCTAAAACTGCAGAGCCTGTTCCGTGCCAGCAAAGTGCGTGCAGAGAACAAGACACTTAAGACACAGTCTCGTAAACAAATTGCGGGCATTCGAGACTTCCAAGCTGCAATTCGAGGAGCGCTTGCACGCCGAGATGTGGAGGATCAGTATGAAGCAACGAGGACTGCGGAAAATGAAATCTACAACCTCCAAGCCGCTGCTCGGGGCATGCTGGCCAGAAAGAGACTCAATGATGAACACGCCTATCTTGAACGTCAAGCTCGCACCATCACCCATTTGCAATCCAACATCAGAGCACTGCTACTTCGAAACGACAATAAACAGGTGCAAAGAAGACTCGAGGCCTCGACGCAGAGCTGGGCTACCTTGCAGGCCGTGATACGAGCCAACAAAGTCAGGCGAGATGTGTTGTCGCAGAAGAGAGCATTGAAATCTCATGCTCCCAACATAGCCTCTTTCCAGGCAATCCTTCGAGCCGCAAATGCCAGAGAATCTTACAATGCTCTTAGGCTCGCCCTTCTGAGACAATCGACCGCAACTATACCAATCCAGGCAAAATTCCGGGGCTTCCTCGTTCGTCATCAAATACAAAAACAACAAGCTATGCTAGCACGTCATGTTTCAAGGGTAGTTCAGCTGCAATCGCTTTCAAGGGCAGCGATGCTTCGTTCACGCACAGGAGACCTGCTTGCAAAGCTTGATGATCACGAAACCGAGATTGTCCAGCTACAATCGCTAACTCGTGCCATGCTTCACAGAAGCCGTCTTGGAGACTTGTTGGCTTCTCTGGATGACCAAGAGGACTCGATAATTTCTATTCAAGCCAGCATAAGAGCAGCTGCGGTGCGCTCTAAGTTTGCAGAGAAGCAAAAATTCTTCAAGGAAAACATGGAAAAGGTCGTCAAGATTCAAAGTGTAGTCAGGGCGAAAATTCAAGGCAAGGCATACAAAAGTCTTACTACTGGCAAAAACCCTCCTGTTGGCACATTGAAGGGTTTCGTGCATCTCCTCAACGACAGTGACTTTGATTTTGAGGAAGAAATCGAGTTTGAGCGTCTTCGCAAGACAGTGGTTCAGCACGTCCGACAGAACGAGCTCGCCGATCAATATGTGACACAACTCGACATCAAGATCGCTCTGTTGGTGAAGAACAAAATCACACTTGATGAAGTCGTCAAACATCAACGACATTTCGGTGGACATGTTGGCACCCTACTTCCGAATTCCGATATCTCGTCCAAAGATCCCTTCGATCTCAAGGCACTCAACAAAGCATCGAGGCGGAAGTTGGAACACTATCAGGAGCTTTTCTTTCTGCTGCAAACACAGCCGCAGTACCTGTCGAGGCTTTTCAAACGAATCCGAGAACAAGCTACCCCGGAAAAGGAATGTGAACGGATCAAGCACCTCGTCATGGGACTATTCGGGTATGCGCAAAAGCGCAGGGAAGAATACTACCTGGTGAAGCTGATTGCCAGATCAATCAAGGAAGAGGTGGACTCAGCCTTGTCTCTTCAGGATTACTTGCGAACTCATGCATTCTCCAACAAGCTCTTTTCGGCTTACACCAAATCGCCGCGAGACAGGAAGTTCTTGAGAGATGTCTTGGGTCCTTTGGTGAAGGAGAATATCATCGATAATCCCGAACTAGACCTTGAGAGCGATCCGATGCAGATTTATCTCTCTGCCATTAATGATGAAGAGCTACGCACAGGGCAGCGAAGCCATCGAGATCCAAATGTACCGAGAGAAGTCGCTATTCGAGACCACGAAACCCGCGCAACATTCATCGCACATATGCAAGACTTGCGGGATATTGCCGACCAATTCTTCCTTTGCTTGGAGGACTGCTTACACCGAATGCCATTCGGCGTACGATTTGTCGTTCAACAGACATATGAACTGCTTTTGGAGCGTTTCCCTAATGAGGACTCGGAGCACGTTGTCCAGCTTGTTGGACAATGGCTGTGGCGAACATATCTTCAACCTGCCCTGCTTGAACCTGAGAAACATGGAGTTGCTGATCGAGCCATGACTCAAGAGCAAAAACGCAATCTGGGTGAAATCGCCAAAGTCTTGAACCAAGCAGCCGCTGGGCGGGAATTTGGAGGTGATAATGTCTACTTGCAACCGCTAAACAACTATATCAGGGAATGCATTGGCCGGTTTGCCATTGTCTGGAGCCACAGTGAGTTTGAATGATTGCACACAGGGTAGCTGACGTTGCTAACACGATATTTAGTCATGGCTATTCCGCCGGCGGAAGAGCATTACGACATTGACGAGTTCAATGATCTGTACGCAAAGACCAAACCGACTTTGTATATCAAATTGTCCGACATCTTCTCGGTTCACAAGTTACTCTCGCAAGAGGTGGGAATGATCTGCCCGAGCCAGGATGATGGTCTTCGAGACATCCTCCGCGAATTGGGTAGCGTCCAGAGCAATGAAAGTGAACTTCGAGGAGTCAGTGTGGGTGAGATTAGTCTGACACTGAGTCCCAAGTTGCTCAACTCTCAAGACCCCGATGCCGATGTCAAGGCTTTATTTACCGAAACTAAGCGATGCGTCCTCTACATTATTCGCATCCAGTCTGGCGCCAGCCTGCTCGAGATATTGGTGAAGCCAGTCACCCACGAGGACGAAGAAAAATGGGAGAAGCTTGTTGAAGAGGAGCTTGCATCGGGTAGTCGCCGACATGGAGCCTACGCCGATGCAAGCACTCATTTGGACATCACATCCCTGTCCTATCATGATTTGAAGAGCATTGCTTTGGAGAATGTGCTTCAATTAGAGTCAATTGGGCGTCTAACCCGCAGCAACCAGTACCAAGATCTCTTGAACATCATTGCGGTCGACATTCGAACCAAGCACCGCCGGAGATTGCAACGACAGCGGGAACTGGAAAACGTGCGGACCACACTGGCAAGGCTGAACGAGCAAGCAGTTTACCTGGAGCAGCAACTCAAAACATACAACGACTACATTGAGCAAGCTATGGTGACACTGCAGAACAAAAAGGGCAAGAAAAAGTTTGTTATGCCTTTCACCAAGCAGTGGGACCACGAACGAGAACTGCAACGGTCAGGACGATCTTTCAAATTCGGATCCTACAAGTACTCGGCACGAACTCTTGCTGACAAGGGAGTCTTGGTGCACTGGCGGGGATACAGTGAACGACAATGGGATCGAGTAGACCTCACGTTTTCATCCAACGAAGTCGGGATGTTTACAATTGACGGATCATCTGGCAACATGATGATCCCTGGAGCGAACGCACAGGTGCCGCTGGACGATCTGCTGCAAGCCCAGTTTAATAACACGCAGTTCTTGGAGTTCTTCGAGGGAGCGCTTCGGGTGAATGTCAACCTTTTCCTTCACCTGATTATGAAGAAATTTTATAATGAATGAGACTATGACTGCAGCGATATTCGCATTGGTATGGGGATTGGCATTGGAAGGTGGGAGGGCAGGCACTGGTGAGGATTGGGTTTCGCACACGGCATCGTTAGAGGGTTGGTTGGATAGATTGTGCTGGTGCCAGTGGAGGGACATCGAGGTGTCGTCGACTTGTCAAAGACACAAATATGTCTGGGCGAGGACATGGCGCAGTCAAATTCAATGCCGGAAGACCCCTTGATAACTTTGTTGAGAAAAGCCTCATGCATGATCTTTTGCATGAATACACAAGCTGGTAGTCGTAATCGGCAGCTTATCAGTGTAGGTTTTTTAAAAGTACTATTGGATTAATTGGTTTTGTCTTTTCGATCATGTTCAGATTGGGTCTCGCTCATTACGCAGCCTAATGCAGTAAAAAAGGGGATCCCGCGATCGTCCATCTCAGCACGGCGACGAAAGCGAGGAAGAGGATGACATCTCAGGCAACAACTCAACTTCACCACGTTACTTACCTCTCAAGGTATGTTTGACCTCGTTGACGAGGAAGCGTCTCGAGTGCTCTGAGCTATCTTAGTCACTACTTGAATGATTTTCGGGGGTGGAATGGGCTCGATGCTGTGATCGACACGAAGGTTTCCGACGAGCCTCGTCGGCAGGGTCTGCGGTGTAAGGTGAGTGGAGGCGAGTACAGCGCCTGGGAGGCATAACTGGTAGAGGTAACGGTGGCGATGGCGACGGCGACGGCGGTGGCAACAACAATCCTAACTCGCCATCCTTCTCAGCTCGACAAACCTTGAATATGACCGTGAACCAAGTAGCTAGCTGCCCACTAGAGGGAGTCCGCATCTAGTCGTAGAACAGCTTCGTGATCCGCATGTTGGAAACACTGAAACCATCGCGAGTGCGCCTTCGCTCTAGCGCGGCCGGTACCGTTGCTTCGAAGGCTGGGCCGCTTGATTGTTAGTAGGGGAGGGGGGAGGGCGGCGATAATGCTTAAGCCGGCGATAGTGGGCGTGGTTGCTAGAGACAATGATGATGGTGGTGGTGGTGGTGGTGGTGGTGGTCAGTGCTTTCTTCTTCTGGCAGTGCGTGGTCAGTTTTACAGCCACCGCCTTTTTACTAGGCTGGTCAAAGGGCGAGGGTTTAGATATATGTTTGGTGCATAAAGTCGCGGTTGGGAGATTGGCCGGGCTCTAATTTGATGGACAGCGGAATCTCTGGCGACACTGCTGTTGGGAGAAGGGAAAGGATAACAGATGGGCAGACGGATAACGAGGCCGTGTTGCGTGGTTTGGCAGAGCGTGGATCCGTCTCCATGCCCACGAACATGAGCATATCAGAGCAGGAACACCTGTTCCAGATGACAAGCAGTTGTTTGAGAGAAGGATCGTCAAGCAAGTTACCTCGACAAAGCGAATTCCGACTTTGACAGAGACAGTGGGGGAAGTCATGGGCGGACAGGACCATGAGGCACACGAAACGAGGTTGACATGCTGCTTTGTGATCGATACAGTGCATCCATCGTCCCAAAGACGCACGATCGGACCCAACCTCGACGAAGACGCGGGAAGATACTCGGTACCGACAGCTGTCATGACTGAATAGCTCTGCAACCTCACTGCATCAGTCTCTGCCCCTCTTAAGCCACGATCATGCACGCACTTTGAGAGGATCTGCCACCCGTGGCGGAGGGGCTGCGGTCTGACAGGTGGCAGACGGGGTGCACGTGCCCTCGCTGACTGACGAGGGGGGTAACGGATTGTTGGGCGAAGATGCTGCGACGACTTTTGGACGGTAGGTCGGTGGCTTGAATGGCGGCGGCAGGATGATTTGGCAGGTTGTTCTGGTCCAAGTTTGATAATGACAGACGTGCTCGGACAAAAGATCCAATGACATTTCCGTACTGAGGTGATTGAGGTGAGGGATCGTGGTGATGGTGGTGGTGGTGGTAGCAGCGGAAAAGTCACAGGTTGCCAAGAAACGGGAATAATGGAATGGCTGGCCTTGGAAGAAGTCGCCCAAAAGTCAATTCTGACAGCCTTCAGTCGACGCATATCGAACAACGAGTGGTGTCGAGAATGTCGATTGACACAGCAATTGTCGATGTAAGTCTCTTTTGCACCCATGAACTCCTACCAAGTGAATACCCTAGTACATTCATTAAATCCTGGACAACGCAGGGTCTTGTTGGCTCGCAGTGGTGTCGATTCTGCAAAGAGCAAGAATCTTTAATGTATGAAAAAGGGGTTAACAGGGCTATGATAAACTCAAGTACATGATTCATACCCTGCTATACACGGAAGTCAGGACATCTCAAGTTAGAAAGCCGTGAAAGCCTAGAGAAGAGCTCGAGAATCTCCACCAAGGGCCGATGAGTGGATTAATCAAGAATTCAGTTCAGTGAATCGGTGACAAACATGGCATTTTCATTGATACTGCATGTCCCGCGTGACACTTTCTGATCCTCTCGCCAGCCGGAGTGGATATCTTGCCAGGTACCAAGATACCTCCTGGCTCCTGGTCTGAGTAATCATGCGGCTCTTTGAGAGATCGCCTGGTCAATGTCACCTGGACATTACCATTAGACCCCCAAGGAAACAATGTGAAATTTCCCGTCGAGTGAGGGCGAGCTAATGATGTAATCGTGTTTGAATGAGGGAATATCTCAAATATTCATGTGGTCTGATGATGCTTGCAAACAGGCAGGCGGATGGCCAGGTGACGCGCGGATCGCAATTATACAAAATGAGAAATGAATGTTTCAGAGTTTGGAATGTGACGAACCCACGAAGTGCCTAAAGTAGGGAGCCTCCGGAGGCGGGAGACAATTGGAGTCTGGGGCGGCTGGTGGCTTGCCGGACAGTTGCCGCTGCCAGGTACAGGCACAACAGGCTTAGGCAGTCAGTGAGGTTTAAGCCAAAAAAAAAAAGACACGCTCGGCCCCTTGCATACACGCTTGAACGAGTCGGTCCAAGTTCCCGGGTGCAGGTGTCGTGGAGGGGTGCCAGGGCCTTAGGGGCGTGTGCGTGGGCGTGGGCGTGGATGTCATGGGCCTGAGGGCTTCGGATCTGCAGTCTTGGCCACGAACCAACAGGAACCAGGCACGCCAGGGGGGTCGAGGATGGCCAGCCTCATTGCCATGATCACCATCATTCATGGTCTATCCATGCTTTCCCCATCTGATGAGTACTAGCATCCTGTCTCCAGATGAATGGCATATGTCAATGCTCGCGCGGCTCATGCTTGGAACGGCCCACAAGTAGGAATATATCCTGATGACCGACCAAGACCAACGATGACCAGGCACAATCGTCTCCTCAAGTCATGCCAGTGCTATGCTATGCGCTATTGGCTTCGTTGGTCGGTGAGGTGAGCATGGTTGGTTCGACCGTCTTGCGCATCAATTCATCTATTAGTATACCTACCTGACAGAGCCGCTTCGATATCAGTATTCCTCTACTAAGTAGTCCATTCATTCCTTGATTCTGCTTTCCTACCTTGCTTGTCTATTGTCCCGTCTCCATTCCCTTTCGTGCTCCCGCCAGCACATCCTTTCCTTATCTCACCTTCGTTGTTGAGATCCAGCTTGGTCCCTGGCTCTTTGGTTCAGCAACAGCACTATGGCTCATTATTGGAGGGTACCCACGCCCACCCCTACGCCCACCGACAGTTGGGCCTCCTACTTCGACTCGTGGCAACAAGAAGACCAACAGCTGCCCCCTAGCGAACCCGTGATTGTTGACGGCGAATTCCCTCCTGACATGCAATTCAGCCTCGACATGGACCTAGACTGGGATTTGGACATGCAATCGCCATTCATCACCAATGCGACAACCAAATGCAAATTGAGGCATGTCCATCCTTTCGACTTTAGGCAAAACGTCTTGGGCGCCACAGGAGGCCAATTCCACCATGACGTCGATGCCTGGGGTTCTGACCAGGACGATCTTTTGTTGCCCGAGTTTCAGATTCAACAGATTGGCGGGAGCCCGGAATCTGAGGGTCCGAGGGGGGGCCTCGGGCCCATCGACCCCTTGGGCGCACGCCATGCACGCCTGGACGCGCACCCCATCGACACTCACCAACGGCCCTGCACTAACGCCAGCCTTGGGCGGGAAGCAGTACCATCGTATCACTGGCCGCAGGACCCACAGAGCTCACAACTTGACCGATCGACCTACGAGTACCACCACCGCGCAGAATTCCAACCCCGTCATCATCGTCATCACCCACCCCCCGTTCATCGTGGCCAACGTCACTTACACCCAGAGGTCAGTCACTCTCAGTTCGACTTTCCAGGTCCTTGCCCCTCCCTGCATGCACCTTGTTACTTCTATCTACCTTACCTGACGCATGATCTATCGCCTACTTCTCGTCCACCTCGCCCACCTCGCCCACCACGTTGTGCCCCACTGCGGCCTCCCACCTCCCCAAGTCTCAGTGGTTCGGTGATATCATCACAGCCCATCATTCTTGCCTGGTCCCCAAACTCTCCTTCTCCCCGAATGCCTGCCTATTGCCTACTATTCATTTCCCAGCGTCAGTCCCCATTGTATTGTCCTTGTCCGTCCGTCACTTCCAAGTTTCTTATTTGTCCCATTTGTACTTCTTATGCTAGCTTTGTGTCGATACTTCACAACTTGTTTGGCAAACTCGACTGGAAAGACTGGATTGGACCGCACTGGACTGGATCGCATTGGTTTCTTCGACAAAAATCAAGATACATGTCAGGTGGCTCTGCACCTGCACCTGCATCTGTCTGCCTGCGTCTAGAATTACGCCTTCACTCCTCCCGCCCAAGTTACATTAGTTTACCAACCATATGACAAAGACTGGAGGCCATTACTGCAACAACCCAATCTGACTTGCTAGGGCCCCTCAAGTGGCTGAATCATCTCAACAACACTTTATCAATTACCACATCAATCACCGCACCGACTTCCTCCCAAAGAAAGCACAGCCAGCACAGCTAGCACAACGCACGGCCACTAAGCAAGATCCCTTTTGGCTGCCCGCGGCCACTCAGACCTTCTGCCTCTGGCATCATCAGCCAGGCGCCTTCTTGATGCCCCACTGCCCGCACTTGGCCATTACTGACTACTGAACCCTCTCCCGGACTACCTTCCACCACCAAAGTTGCTTCTTCACCATTTGGACTTCACAACATTTCCCTTCCTCGCCTCAACCTGCCTGCCTGCCTACCTACCTACCTAATCCTCAACCGGTCTCCTCCTGCCACTCATCTTGTTCCTCTGACCTTTCGCCTTCCATTTCCATTCCACCGGCACTCCCGCCGCCATCCTTGACCCGTTCAAGCAAGCTATTTCCTCTCTCACACACATCTAGACTCATTTGTCACCACCACACCACAACCTGGTGCTCTGATTTTTGTCTTTCTGTTTCGTCCTCCTCTTATCATCACTCATTCTTTCTTTGTCCTTGTTGTCCTTGAAGCCTTCTCGGCGCCCTCGCTAAAATGAGCACCATCCAGAACCTCAAAAACTTCATACGTCATGGCAAGCAGGCAAGGGCAGCCGACCCACCCCGCGATCAACCAACGACCAATCTTTCCCCAGTCCACGCCCAACAGCAAAAATACAACTACGGCCATTCCGAACCTGTAGCTCCTCAACGACAGCCCCAGGCGCAATTCCAACCCCAGCCCGCAGACTATTCCACCGCCGCCATCGACAACCGGAACGCTGTTGCCCAAGCCGGTCATGCCGCCGCCCATGCAGCCGCCAAAAATCAAAAGATCAATGCCCAGCGAGATGCCGAGATCCAGGCCATCGTCGCCGAGGAAAGAGAAAAGGCTGGCAAGCTCCCTCGTTACCCAGGCCTCGAGAGATACATTCTGCTGGAGAAGATGGGCGATGGTGCATTCAGCAACGTCTACAAAGCTCGTGATACAACAACCAACGACGAGGTCGCCATCAAGGTCGTCCGGAAGTTTGAAATGAACTCGAATCAGGTATGCCTGCTGTCTGGACATGTTGTCCAATCTTCTGGGCCCCCTAGTTTCCCTCTTGCTCATGCTTACCATTTGTCCTTGACATCACTGCATCCTCCCCTCTCAATCTCTCCTCCCCTCACTCCCTCTCTCTCCCTCCCTCTCTCTCCCTCCCTCTCTCTCCCTCCCTCTCTCTCCCTCTACGCGCTAGACACAAAACCAACCTCACCATACAGGGCGATGCTCATCTTCATCCGAATTTCAAAAAGCAACCAAAAGGCGTCGAGGTGCGCAACTTCCATATTCATTCTTGTCTCTTTGCTCTCTCAGCGTTACGCATTCGCCCATCCACCCACTCTGGTTTCCATTTCCCTCACTAACTTGGCATCAGCGTGCCAATATCCTCAAAGAGGTTCAAATTATGCGGCAATTGGATCATCCCAACATCGTTCGCCTCATCGACTTTTCCGAATCACGTCAACATTACTTCATCGTCCTCGAGTTGTGCCCTGGCGGCGAGCTGTTCCATCAAATCGTCCGTCTGACCTATTTCAGTGAAGATCTCAGTCGGCATGTCATCACACAGGTTGCCCAAGCTCTTCTCTATCTGCACGAGGAAACGGGAGTTGTCCATCGGTGAGCCTGAGACACAGCAATGTCCCTTGACAGATACTAACCCTCAACTAGTGACATCAAACCGGAGAATCTCCTCTTCTACCCCATTCCTTTTGTGCCGACAAAAAACCCAAAGCCAAGAGGACCCGATGATGAGGACAAGGCCGACGAGGGTGAATTCATCAGAGGTCAGGGTTCTGGTGGAATCGGTGTCATCAAGATCGCCGACTTTGGCCTGTCCAAAGTCATCTGGGATTCCCAAACCATGACTCCTTGTGGCACTGTGGGCTACACTGCTCCTGAGATTGTCAAGGATGAGCGTTACAGCAAGTCAGTCGACATGTGGGCTCTGGGCTGCGTTCTGTACACGCTTCTCTGCGGCTTTCCTCCCTTCTACGACGAGTCAATCCAAGTCCTGACGGAAAAGGTGGCCCGGGGACAGTACACGTTTCTGTCTCCATGGTGGGATGATATCTCCAAGTCTGCCCAGGATCTGGTGTCACATCTCCTCACTGTGAATCCAGACAAGCGTTATACCATTGAAGAGTTCTTGAACCATCCTTGGATTCGAGGCACCACGGAACCGACTTATGCTGCAGCAGATGCACCGCCTCTTGCCACACCATTGGCCGTGAGGCAAAAGGAATGGATTGCCGCCGGTGGTGCCCCAGTCCCTGCCGAATTGGCCAATCTAGCTGCGCCCAACACGCCCGGTGCGCGAAGGGCTGATTTCCGCTCACCAGGTGCCGTCAATCTCCGGGAAGTTTTTGATGTTGGCTACGCCGTACATCGGCAAGAAGAAGAGGCCAAGCGAAGAAAGAACTTCAAGCAAGGCTACCGCGGAGCTGGCCTCCCAGGTGGCTTGAACCCCCTGAACGAGGATGATGACTATGACGACGAAGATGACTCTGAAGACCAAATCTCCAGCAAGGTTCCCAAAGCACAGCAGCCAACCGACGTTACTACTATGGAGGCCAAGATGCGTACGACTAATCTCGGCACTCAACCTTCAGCGGCCGCGCAGGCGAGAAGTGCCGCTGCACCAGCGAGAAGCCAACACCATGCCCAGCAAGAACGTGGCTATGGTCAACATAGCGCAGCGGTAGCGGCAGCTGCGAAGCGAGATGTTGGACGGCGGAACAAGCAACCGTTCGAACTGAGTCTCGACAACTCGACATTGCTGGGCCGGAGGAACAAAAATCCGGGTGGAACGGCCGCACCGTCGAGGCTGAGGGAAGAACTCAGTGTGCGATGAGAGTCGTCGCGAAAGGCGGGCGTCGATCACTGTATGCGAAAGAAATGCTAATTTGTCGAGTATTTCGAGAACATGGGCTCCACAAACGAGGGAACATGCGAGGCCATCATGATACGTTTACAGCGTTGTGTTGACGCGAATTTCTCATGTATTTGTGCAATAAGTAGTCCATCGGACTCTAGATATGGACACCAATGGACACCTGATTGATATCCACACATGCTGAGGCATTTTGGAAGTTTGAGATCAGAGTGATTAGGTCGTATCAAATCAATTCATTGAAGAATCAATACCATGGTCGGATCTAATGACCCTACATAGATGGTTTACAGGCTGCCACCATTGATCTCAAGTGCTCAACATTGTACCAAATGACGAAGACATCATGCTTGTGCGTCTTCACGTGACATGCCTTGTACGACATTGTTTCGTTGCTGCCTTGAGAACTGCAATGTGGCACGTGGGTGGCTGCGGTGGCTGCGCAGTCACAGTGTCACGCATATGGCAGGCACAAAGGCTGCACTCAACCACAAACCGCTTTTTCTTCGCCCTCGTACAACACCAAAAGTTTCCCACCCACCCACTGTCCGCCACTATGACAGCGTGAGCGGGAATCTACATACGACTACATCATACTTGTACGCCAGGGTTGAGTGAGGCACGATTGTAAAACTGCTACTCTCCTCACCACCCTCCCTTCTACCCTCCTGCGAACAAGGAACACGCAGCCATTCTAACAGGCAAAATCACCTAGAAGAGCTATTGCATTCAGTCTTTGAAACCCTCTCCCATGAATTCCTTGTTAACAACTAACAAATTTCTTCAGACTGACCCTTCAAGGACAACGAGGGGCCCCGCGGATATTGCCTGGCACCAAACTAGCTACGTAAGAGGTTCCACCCGAAGCTGAGATCCTCCACCAGATTCACCCTCAATCTTCGGATTTGCCCGCCGACGACTATACGCCATAGTCCCTTTCGTCCACAAATATGCGTACGAAATCTGGGGCGAACCTGGACCCCTTTTGTCTTTTTTTCTTTTGATCAGCTGTCGATAATCTTTTCTTGTGATCGTCATATTTCACTATAAGCTCGAGAAGTACATTATAAGAAAGGATTCCTGTGGAAACATCAGCGTTTTCGCAGGCCCAGTACAGACATACCAAAGCAAATTAATCCACTGATCTACTCTCTCACTTCGGTTTTCCATACCCACCCACAAGTCCTCCATTGAATGACACTTAACCCCAACAACAGCCACGGAACTTCCCTGAGCAACGCTCAGGACGCAAGCCGTCCAAGTACTCAACATTTCGAGAGCGAGCCAGCTTCCTCATCTGCCTCCTGCCGTTCAGACGGTGTCAGGTGGTCTTCGGAAACAGTGACCCGCTCATGGCAAGATAGTCACCCAGAATTCAAGGTCTTCCACGAGGATGGAGACCTGGCGCAGGATAAATCATTCATGACGGACCCGACAAAGGAACTAAACCCCGTTTCTCCCACTGTCACATCCTCCATCGGCGCCGCTGCACCGTACGTCTCTCCCCATGATGCCGACATTGAAAAATCCACCGGAGAGCCTCATTCTCGAACCGACCGCTTCGATCACGACATGAAAGATGTCGAGCAACGACCGCGATCCTCTTCAACCTTTTCAGGCACCCTGACCATTCATGAGGCCCCTACCAACCTCAGTAATGCAACCAGAGTCTCGACCGACGCCTACGGCAACACCTATCCTGAAGGCGGGAAGCAAGCATGGTTGTGTGTTCTAGGCAGTTTCTGTGGCTTGATGGCCGCTTTAGGCTTGATGAATACACTTGGGACATACAACACCTGGCTTTCAACTAATCAGCTCCGCGACAACACCGAGAGCGCAATCGGATGGATTTTTGGCATCTATGCATTTCTGTCCTTCTTCCTAGGCATCCAAATCGGTCCACTCTTTGACGCCATTGGGCCCCGATATCTCGTCCTCGCTGGCTCTGTGTTCTTGACCATGACTTACTTCCTCATCGGTCTCTGCACACAGTACTGGCACTTTCTGATCGTACTGGGACTTCTCGGTGGTTGCGGAACCAGCCTCGTCTTTACCCCCGCGGTCGCTGCCATTGGGCATCACTTCCTCAAGAAACGAGGCTCAACCACCGGCCTCGCCGCTGCAGGTGGTTCTCTTGGAGGCGTCGTCTTCCCGCTGACACTGCAATCTCTTCTCCCTCGGATTGGTTTCGCATGGTCAACGCGGATCATTGGCTTTATCAGCCTTGCCCTCCTAATTGTTGCCAACCTATGCATAACCTCACGGCTCCCACCACGTAAAGCTACGCGCGAGAATATTCTTCCCGATTTCCGTATCTTTCGAGACCCTGTCTTCGCTCTGACCACGGTGGGAGTCTTCTTTGTCGAATGGGGATTGTTCATTCCCCTAACCTATATCGCCTCTTACGCCGTGCACCACGGCGTTCCAACTAATTTGGCCTACAGTCTGATTGCAATCCTCAACGCCGGCTCATGCTTTGGTCGTTGGCTACCAGGCCTGTTCGCCGATCACCTTGGACGCTTTAACTGCATGGTCGCTACCATCTTCCTCTGCCTGCTGTCGAGTGCCGCCTTGTGGCTGCCAGCTAACAACTCTGTCGCCCTCATCATTATCTACGCCCTCGTCTTTGGTTTTGCTTCCGGTTCCGGAATCAGTCTCACCCCAGTCTGCGTCGGCCAGTTGTGCAAAGTCGAGAACTACGGGCGTTACTATGCCACCTGCTACACTATCGTCAGCTTCAGTTGTCTCACGGGTATTCCCATCGCCGGGCAACTGGTAACAGCAACGGGTGGCGAGTATTGGGCTTTGATCGTCTTCACCTCAGTCAGCTATGCTATTGCCACCGCCTTCTTTGTCGCCGCTCGGGTGGCCGGTGCGGGATGGGGGCTCAAGGTCATCTATTGAGTTTGTTGTATAATCCTCGTCATTGGGTCTTCTACACTCCTGTTTCAAGCAGGTGCTGGACCATGATTTGAGCATGGGTCTTCTGTTGGGAAAACATTTGTGATTGCTTCTTTAACTAATGGTGGCGTTTGGTGCAGTCGTCATAAAAATCATGGATAAACATAACACAGGTACACATCAGGTGTTGGAGCATAGTGCCACAAAGACTGGACACATGGATTGAACATATGTATACACAGATGGACATAGAACTCAAAGACTTCTTCTCTGATAACGGAGTCAAATTAAAAACATGCAAAATTTTCAAAAAGTTAAGAACTTCATGACATGACCGAAAGGGAAGCATTGATCTTCTGATAAATCAGGGTTATACCAGTGACTCAATCATGTCTAAAGCTGAATCTGAGCAAACAGATCGACATGCAAAAAGATAGATAGATAGGCATATAACAACTTTATCAAATGTCCATGTAGATCCTTCTGAACATCTCATCGTTGGTCGTTGCGTATTGCCCTTTCGGCTTTTGCACCACCACCACCACCACCACCACCACCACCACCACCTCCTCCTCCTCCTCCTCCTCCTCCTCCACACCTCGAGTCCTCGCCATGCGACATCCGGTGCATCCCTGACCTCCACATGCTTGCCCGTGATGCATCAATGCATGGTTTTAGACGGGCTCATAGTCCTCGAGGAAATGCGTACTCGACTCTCGGGCGTGGCTCGGGATGGCCTGCTGGCTGTCGTTCGAGAACTACCGCCTGCCACCGTCCTCCATGCACCTCTCTTTCCAGAAACGCAATTTGCCCCGTCCGCCCTGCAAACAATCCTGCACGCTGTCTGTTCCCGCAAGGGAACGCTGAGGGACCTCCGTCTGCAGTGCGAATACCCCGCCGCGCGGGCTGCTCTCTGAACGGCGGATTGTAGATCGGCTCAGGTCGTTGTGGCAGCCTCGGCGTGCGGGGGCTTTCTGTGTCGTTCAAATGCCACGCTGGACTTCCTCGTTGTGATGGTCGTCGTCGCTGGCCGTGCCGCTTGACTGGTTGGTAATGGACGAATGCCGCCGCCGGCATAGTCTCATCGCGGAGATACATCCAACACAGGCCCATGAAAATCACTATTATTACGATCACAGCGACAACTGGGCCCCAAATTTCGGGACTTGTTTCTGCCATGTGGTACTATGTGGCGGAAACAAGTGTTGCTGTCAATTCAAATATCGAATTGAATGATGGTGGTCAATTTGAGTTGACATGCCCGCTAGCTGGTCGTTGTGCGAGCTGGATGGTATCGGTTGGAACGCAAAACCTTACCCACTGATTATAAGACATTGTGAGGGCCTTGATTTAACACCCGTGTCGTGTGGTCTCAGATGAGAGAGAAATTGGTGGGTGTGGCTGTTTGCTTTTGCGACCACTACTTTCTTCAAACGAGCAGGCTCCACGGCAAACGATGGCTTCACTTGGTTGCAAACACTTTTTATATCCCTCACATGCCTTGGTACATGTATGTAATGGCGCTGAATGGAATATAGGAATTTTCCTGTGTCCAACTTTGAGTGCTCAATTACAACCCACAGGCAGTAGTTATTGATGTATTCGGCAGCCTGGAGCCTTAGCGGTGACTGTATCCTTGGTAGCCATGGTGTTGGAGAAGCGGCATCTGACACAACAGGATATGCCGATTGCGTTTGTTTGTGCTCAGTCGTGAAGGTGTCTGACGTTGCAGTATTGAAGACCAGGCGTCAAGACAATGGGGCGTAACAACACAACAGTTCTTGTTGTGCTGGGATATTTGTGCCATGTCATTTAGAATCAAAAAGTTATGTTTGGGTAGCCTTCGAGGTCTTCAGGATGATACATGGCAGCAAAGTCTGCTTCGTTGATGGCACCGCAAGCAAATGCGTCGAGTGTCGATGTTGGCGCAAAGTCGCCAAAGTTGAATTGGAACAAGTTTGGCGGCTGTGTAACCTGCTGGAGCGGAGGTTGAAAGTTGTACTGATGTGTCTGAGGACGTTGAACCTGCTCCGGGATGTGGTTTTGGGTTCGTGAAGAAGATTTGACCTGCGATTTAGTCCTTTTCTTCTGGACGTTCTTTTCTTCCTGCGGCTGTGTTGGGGATTGTGAAGCTTCGATCATGCGCAAGGGCCGCTTGTTGGCCATGTTTGGGGGGATCGTGTTGAAAGCAGGCATGTCATTTTGAAGTTCAGGAAATCGTCCAAACATATCGGGCCCCATAGTCCAGGATTTGATGTCGCGAAGTCGTTGTTCGAACTGGGGAGAAATCTTGTAAAGACCGGTGTCAACTTCTCGGGTGTAGCAATCGCGAAACTCATAGGGCCACATAACATGCAAATTGGTGGCAAACAAATCCCAGAACTCGTTGGCACAATAGTCGTGCTCGCCGAAGATGAAGCGCTCGCGGATACCAGGCCAAGCAAAGAAGTCGATGGCATACGAATGGGCGATCTTTTGGGATGGCCTTCGGAGGTACCATGGTGGCAGGCGAGAGTAACGCTCGGATGAAGTTTCCAAGTGGAATTGTAGCAGAGTGTGCATGGCTCGAAGAATGGCGAGGCGTTCAGCGGGTGGACATCTATGAAATAGAATCTGGTCGATGCGTTTGAGGACATTCCAGGTCGGATGCAGAGGACCTCTTTTTTCAACGGATTTCCATCCTTCAAGGATGGCGCGTACTGGGACGTCGTGACTGATCGCATCGGAAGTTGGGTGAACAAGGTCGTTCCACTCAAAACGTTCACCCAACACTTCATTAGCGTACCTCCAATAGCTGCCCCGCCATACAGCCTTTTGACCAGGTACACGGTCGTCTCCATGGCCCTGGTTACATGTACAATTGCGACCGGAGTGAGCCCAGGAATTGGCATAATTGGAAGGTAATATCTCGAGTTCAGTAACGGACTTGACAGTTTGACTTGTTGACCGGGGGCTTTGGTCTTCGACGCGCAACATGGCTTCGGGAGATTGAGCTGTTGCTGGAGGAGTCGGGTCAAAATTGGCCAGCTCAAAATACGATGGCTCGCCCGAGTCGGACTGATGATCCAGGCGAGTGGTTTGTGAGGTGGTGGAGGACAGGTCTCGAGAAAGGGACTGGATGCTAGGCTTCTGGTCCTCTTCTTCCTCAATGGCTTCGTAGAATGAGTGGGCTTGGTCATGGAAGGGAAGGTCTCTAGGTGGTGGAGGGAGGTGGGAGTTGATGGGTTTGATGATGTCCATGGCTTTTTGAATGTCCTTCAAGGTTTTGGACATGGTGTCTCTTTCGGCTTCAACTTCGTGCAGCTGTCTCATCAGAGTAGCAACCTGGCCACTGGAATCCTGTCGTCTGAAATCTTCAACTAGGCCTTCAAGGTAGGCAATACGACTTTTGGTCCTCTCCCTGGCCTGCCGTTGACAACGACGGTCGATCTCTCTTTTCTTTAGGCGACGGGAAGACACGGTGGGGACCATGTTGGAGTCAGGGCCGTTGCAGGGATGAGGGGCAGCCATGGCTGTGGATGTCGAACAGGTCGTGGTCATGTCAGAATGAGACTGCGGCAAATGTCAGGTCAAGTTGGTGATGGCGGTCGAAGTGCGGTTTGGCGAGGGCTCGGTTCCATGAGGAGTGTATGGAATTGAGGTGGTGAAGTAGCGCAGAAGAGGGAGGTTCACCCGGAGGTGTAGCAGCGCCGTGAGGAACCAAAGCTGGGGGAGACCCGGGTGGACGGTGTAGGCAAAATGAGGAACGACATGGCCACTAAGCCAAGTCTGGGTGTGGAAGGGCTGCTTGCCTTGATCTGATCGACCCCAGACTGGAGTGGAAAAAGTGGACGTTGATCCCTCGGCCTTGTGTCAAGTCGCGGGGTTTTGCGGATTCGACCCGACCGGTAAGGATCCGCCTACGCACACGAGTAATAATCGTACTATTCGCCCGCATAGCGCCAGGTCGTTCAGGTGCATCGTACGCCTCAGTTCGTAACGAGAAATGAGAGGAAGCGATGGGGAGGCAGTGAAAGCCTAAATCGTGGGTATGGCCAGTGAGAGAAGCTCGCTTAGAGACGAAACCAGTGGCGATGCCTCCAGGGCCAGCGCCAAGGGCATTGACCAGCTGTGGTTGAGGCCTAATGAAAAGCTTGATGACCTTCCGAATTTTGCCCGCTGCTGTTATAGGCACCAGAGGTTGATGGCTGGTGCGGAGATTCTCAGCCCCTTAGGCCGCGTGTGAGAGCCTGACAGGTCTTGGGTTTGACATACATGATCTGATGTTACGCACTTTTCAGATGCCTTTGCTCAATGATGGGTTGAGGCTGCACGACGAGAAACAATAGTCTTTTTTGCCAAGATGCAACGATGAATCAAGCTGAAGGTAATCAACGACATGGATTTTGGCGAGGCCTTAACAGGCACAGACGTGTTTGAGCGACATACACATCATCAAACGTGTGATGATGAATGGATGCAACGTGAGAAGGACCGAAAGTGACAGCGAAAACAAAGAAATTGCTCTCATGATGAGAGTATGTGTGTCATTGGCAAGATGCTTTTGGGACCCTGTCACTTGCCACCCGAGCACCAGCAGGCCAGGACAGTCAGTGATTGGATTGAGTGAAATGAGATTCAGCTGGAAGAGATGAAACTGTTAACAAGACAGAAAGAGAGAAGGAGAGAAGGAGAGAAAGATATTTTTGAGTCGTTGGATGTGTCGGGTTGGCAGCAAAGGAAGGAGGTCGCCAGGGAGTCGTTTCACCAGGTAAGAGCGACTGACTGAATGCTTACCAGGCAAGAACGGCCAGCCCTCGTTGTCGCTTCCTCATGTCCTAATCACATCTAACTGCGCCCTCAGCAACACCATCATCAATTCATTCTCTTGTTTACTTTTCTTCCAGCTTGTCCTTTTGGTTTCCTATAATCCCAGAGACCCAGGCAATCCACTCTTGCCAGATTACCCAATGTACCTACCCGACCTCTTCAGCAACCAGCCGTTGGCCGCCTGATGCCCTCCCTCTTCTTCGTTATCTATCACGCTGCTGGTCACGTTGGTCACGCCGGAAAATCCTGCCCTTCATCAAATCAACCACCGAATTCACCTTCAACAATCAAGCAGGTCTCCAGAAAGCCAGGCGGTATAGTGCAGAGGTTAGCATATCCCCCTCCCACCACAGAAAGTTCTCTTGAGGATCTGAAGACCACTGTTTATACAAGACCATACCAATCCACGGTTGTCCCGCGGAGATCTTGTGATTTCATGTTGATAGATTTGTCTTGAGACTGTCGTCGTTGTTGCTACAACTGTAGGATCGGGGAAGACCTTGGTTCGAATCCGAGTTCCGCCAGCAAAGACCTTTGATTTTTGGCTTCATTTTCGTTGGTCTTTGCACAAACGCCATGTTTTGCATATTTAAGCTGGCTGGCCATGATACAAGACAATGTTATGTACTGTCTTTGCTACTCTCTGTGGGTGTGTTGTGCTCAGGAAGCACAAGGTGTTAGTTAGGTAGTAGAAAGCTTACTGCTGTTACTGTTGTTGCTGCTCCTGATAGTGGGAAGATCATTCATCTACACACTCCTGCATGCTGTCATTGGCAGACTTGACATGAGCTACCTAAGCCCTATGCTGCCGGCTGGGACGGCATCGCTATGATTCCTGTATCTGTATGCAATCGTGCTTTCACGCCGAGGCCAGCGGATATCTGACTCTTAGCTGGCCTTAATGCCTTTCATTGTCGTATCCATCAATCTCTCCATTCGTCCACCTGTGACATATACGCCGTGCTATCGTGACCGAATCCATTGCATCGTTGTTGTGGCAATAAAGCGTGTTCCGGCCATGCAAAGTCAATGTCGACCCTCATTCCACCATGATCTGCTCATCGCTTCGCGTAGTATGCTTGCTGGTCAATTCTCACCTGTATCGAGGGTATGAAACGTCCCTCGAGGGATGCTGGGGTCGAGGGCGGCTTGGAGCGAAATGGTCAACGCTTCCTCTGGACTGTCTGCCAACCATCACTGTCAGTGCCCTTTCTGGGGCGGACGGTAGCACTAGGCACAAACTTTGCTGCCGTGGGATTGTATCCTCGACCACCATTCGACATGGACTTGGCACTGTCACTGCGCTCTCTTTGAGTCGCACCCGAGCTTGGATAGGGGATCTGAGTGATGAGGTTCATCGGCCGCTCGCAGGGGTCGTGCGAGAAGCCCACAGACACATCCTGGTACGGACCACACTCTCGGGCCAATTGAAGGAATTCGTCGCGGACCCGGCGGGCAATGACGGTGGCGGAGAAGACGACCGTAGCTAGACACACACACACACCACCCGGTCAGATGAAAGGCGTATAGCATGGTGTGTACTTACCATTTCCCGTGTTGAACAACCACACCAGGATGACGTTGTGATCGCCCACAATGGCGACGAGGTCTTTGACGAAGCGATCCTTGGTTAGACCATTGGTGAAGAGCTGTTGGCGGGCAAAGGTTAGGCGTCGTCGTTCATTGACTGGGGTCACCATGCGTTGAAGATCAACCGACTCCTTATATGGCCCTCCGATCTTGACCTCACTCCCAGGACCAAACAGACCTACCCCCAAGTCACGTTGTGACCGCATGTCCTCTTCGATCAGGAGCATGGCCGACGTGGCGTATTGGAAGATGATACACACGGCTTCATGCTCGGGCACAAAACAAATGGAGAAAATGGCACCAATCGAGATGCGATCTGTGGCATTTTGCAGATGTCGGGTCCTGCTCCAACCATAGATCCATACACATCTCATGTCTTCATCTTTGGCCGGAGACATCGGGACATTCTCCTCTGCAACATGACGTTTCAAGCCGTCGCAGGGACGAAACTTGACCAGCCGGTTGTTGGAGGATACATCCGTAGCAGCCACTGCGGCCCAAGATGAAGCAACGGGTCTGGAGGAGGGAGACATGATGGGTCGACTAGCATTGGGCGAGGCCGGAGGAGCAGGAGTTGTCGAGTGCATATGGAATCGGCCAATGTCCCATGGTGCTGTGGTTTGATTGAAGGTATTGAGCATCGAATGGGCGTCGCGAGCCATTCCATTCGCCGCCTCGTTTTCATCCTTGTCACGAAACTGGATTGTGATTAGTGGACCACCACGACATGCCCAAAATGGAGTGGAAACACCTACATGCTCCACCACGCGACTCAAAAGACCCAATGCTTCCGCCATGACATCGGCGGCATGGTTGGGGTCTGACTGGCTCCCAAAAGCCATAGTGTCCTGCGTTGGTGCCTGATCAGTGGATGGTCTTCTGAAAAGGGCATAGACTCCCGAGAATCGATTGGAGCGAGTGCAATGACAAGGGATGGAGTGACTAACCTCGGAATCTTCACTGCTTATATCACTATGGTAGAGAGAGGGTGGGGATGAGGGATACGTGGAAGAACTGTTGAGACTGTGGCGGGTGGGAAAGGAAGGGCGAGGGCGAAAGGGATGGTGGTAGTCCATGGTGAAGGCAGATTTGAGGACGCCTGGACACGTCTGCAAGTGTTTGTGCTTACGCGTGGAGGGTGAGGGTGAGGCAGTATCCGAATCCAACAACGTGATGATCAAATGTGGTAGAGTTGGCGTTGGAATTGGTAGAATTGGTAAAATTGGGCGCAGGCAAGTGTGACTTCACGCGTCACTTCCCAAAATTGAAAAACCAACAACGCACACCGAAACTCCTAAAAGGATGAAATGAGAATGAACAAAGAATGAAAGGCAAATGGTAATGCCGATGTCCACGGTCGTCCCAGAGACTGCTTGTCTACCGGTAGCTACCCGCTCTTCATGCCGCTTCTTTCTCACCCTTGGATTCCTTGAGCCGACGATGGCGATGGCGATGGCGATGGCGATGATGACAGACGCCTGAAAAGCCACAAGTACGGGAAATAGAGAGAAAAAGAGAGAAATGGCAACTGAAAAGGGAACAGCAGAGATGAACAATAACGTGGACGTGTGAGTGTAGAAATTGTTGACCGGTCGCTGGTCCCAAAAGAAATTGAGAAAAGCGTTCATGATATTTATGCTCGCGAGAGCCGACCTTATTCTCCGCTGGCCATGCTGCGAAGCGACAACAAGGAGTAACAAGCGCTCCAGGCCTAGAAATGCAACGCACCAGTACCGAACCAATGTGAATCAAATCGTCCACGCGATGACCCAGTGCCAGCATACAGAACCGTCATATGAAGAGGCAAACAAACGCTCAAAGTAGTGCAAAGCAGGACCAGAATGAACCTACCAGAGATGTCATCTTCAGGCACTCCATACGGGTCCATCACCCCCAGCAAAGCATGGCTAGTTGCATTCATCCAATCATCAAACCCCCGATTCATCAGCGGCGCCAAAACTGGAGTCTGATGCCCAATTCTTGTCCCAATGCTCGCCTTGCTTCTACCGTTCTGCTCACAGCGTCTTTATTTTCTTGAGCACGGCGAAGGAGATACTTCATGCATTCGCCTAGTTGGCCCCAGACCAGGTATTTGTAGGCCCGTGGGATCTCCACATTGGAAGCTTGAACAGACCCTCTTCGTTCTCGCGCCGTTTGTACCACCGCACAGCTGACGTTGTCGGCCATTCCCATCAACTGTCCATAAGCCACCTCAATCTGCTCCTCGCCATTTGTCGCCTGCAAGTCTCGCAGTTCTCTCGCCAGACGGACGGATTCGGAATTGTGCGTTGCTAAGACTAGACTGACTCTGGGGAATTCGGTTGCTCCTTCGTTGACAGGCTGGAGACGGTCGTTGTATTTCCGTTCCATCACTCCCTTAGCGAGGCCATTATAACAAGAGTGTGTTTCTTCAGCGCTTGGCCAGAAGAGCTCTCGTGGGTCGCTTCCCAGGTAGGCTCCGCGAACCAGTTTCACGCCAAGAACAAAGTCATTGTCCAGGGCCACAGCAAGATGTCTGGCAAGGACGCCCGGTGTTTTCTTTGCATACGCCTGGTAAGTTCCAAATACCAACGCTTCATCTTTGTTGTAAATCTTGGCAAAATACATGGTCCAATTGTCGATACCCTCCTGCAGTGATGCTTGCTCGGCGTCAAACAAGAGTTTGACTCCTTTTCTTTGTGCTCGCTTACACATGGCATGTACGGCTTGTTCGAATTCGGGTGCGCATGGGATCGTTGCCTTCAGATGTCGCAATGCCTGCCGACCGGCACCGGTGAATTTCAAGGCAACAAAGTCCCCTTCTTGGGCAAGATCAATCGTGTCGATGGTGTTTTGTTTCCATTGGCCGATGTCTTTAGCGTTGATCTGTGCCTGATGACCCTGATCTGCGGATGAATCCAAGCCCGCGGCGTCTTCCTTGCTAAGCACAACCTCCTTTGCATGGCCAAGAATGACTCCATTGTAACCCGTCTCTTTCAAGTCGTCGATGGTTTTCCTCACCTCTTCAGGTGTCTCTCCTGCACAGAACTGGGCGTAGAAGGTCCGTTTGAGGAGAAAGTGGAGTACTGGATTGTAGTTGGGGCTGAAGATGGGCGATTTGGTGTGGGCGAGGAAGTCAAGGGCAACTAGCGACGGTCGAAGGAGAAAAGGGATCGAAGAGACTGAAGTAATGGCATAAGAGCGGATCAAGGTGGTCAGAGACAGACATGACAACGGTCTCGAACTGGGGGCTTCTGAAGGGGTGAGCTCAAAGTGGGCCTTTGCAGGCAATTCATAGCTTGAGGACGAGATTTTGCGACGTGTGTGGATGGCGCGGCGTTGACAAGGGCGTCTGCATGGCTCATGTTTACTCCATGGCGTCGATGGGGTGCTGGAGGCAGCGAGGATGGAGAGGACAAGAGTTGAGGGCCCGAGGAGACTTTGACTCCGTAACCGTGGTAATTGTTTTGTATACAACGATCTGTCCATGTCGAGACTTATGGTTTCGCTCGAGGGGTATCGTCACTCTTGGACGAGAATGAGTTGTAGAGTTGGGTAACTGGGGGTGATATAACAAAGAGATCGGGAAGTGGATCATGCTGGCTGTCATCATCGGTTCGGCCGAGGGGCGTCTCTGATAAAGAGAACCCGCTAGGACCGTGACATGAACACCGGAAAGCGGGACCCATATCGACCTCAAGTGTGTTGGAGGTGGCACGAACCTGTAACGTTATCATGGGCGAGTTGGCCTTGGGATCGACCTGCCTATCGTCCTTGGTCGTAATCATGATGAGGAGAAGCCGTGTCTAAGCGTGAGGTCACAGGACCAGATGGCCAATCACGTATGCTGTTCTGGCTGTTTTCGGCAGGCTGCGCCGACAAGACATCGGCTAGAACTTTCCGACGCCTCTCAGACCTTCTCTAGGGTTATCTCGCGGCTGTCTTCCGCAACACTACACTTCTGTGATATAATCAATAAGATGACGATAGCCGTTAGTACAATAAATCGAATCAGCATACACCTAAGGATTTGATGTGGGAAATTCCGGCTTGGACAACTTGCAGGTTCTTGTTGTCATTGTGAAGGGGTTCGTTGCTAGGTGCCAGACATCTGCACATGCGCCGTCAAGTGTTGATGATGCAGATAACACATGAAGTCTACTCAACTGAACCGCATTATCATGAAACATGCATGCAGGATCAGCTCAGCTGCACAGACATTCAAGGACCATGGTGGTTGATAGAATGTCTGAATCTGGAGGTTGAATGATGCTGTCCGTCGTTGCTGTGGTGATACTACACTTGTCCAAGAATGGTTAGCGCTATATGTTTGTCCCTTCACAGACCCTGACATGATCAATTACACTCAATTTACAGACGAGTGCTCTGCTTCGATGACCACATTCTACGACTGATGCTTTGAAGATATTGACATCGAGTCCCATTCTATCAACCTCTAACTGTGACTCTGTTTTGACTTGTGTCTTTCTTGACCACTACCAGGACTCTCGTTTTGTCTGTTTATCTCATGTATCCCCGTCAGTCTTGATTCATTCTACGGAGACTGCAGCCACACAGATCTTCAAGATGGTGGCGCCCGGCGCTTCATCAATCTCAGTCACTGTTCGAGTCCGTCCATTCACCATCAGAGAAGCAGCTCAGCTCACCAAGTGCGACGATACCACCATATTTCTTGGAGACGGTTCTCTTGCCGCAGCACCTGCCCCGAAACTCAGCCAAAAGGGCATTCGATCCGTCATCAAAGTGGTCGACGACAAATGCCTGTACGTGTCTCCAATCAGTAACTCACCAGTCTTGCCCGCTAACATTACTACTAGTGTATTTGATCCTCCCGAAGATAATCCCGTGCAGAAGTTCTCTCGATCGGTAGTCCCATCAGGAAAGCGAGTCAAAGACCAGACATTCGGATTCGATAGAATCTTTGATGAAAATGCCTCCCAGGCAGAAGTTTACGAGGCCTCGGCCAAGCCACTGCTGGACAGTGTTTTGGATGGATACAATGCGACTGTCTTTGCCTATGGTGCAACTGGCTGCGGCAAGACTCATACCATCACTGGAACGGTCCAGCAGCCGGGCGTCATATTTCTGACCATGCAGGACTTATTCGAAAGAGTGAGTGAATCGTCTACGGACAAAGTGACCGAGATCTCTCTGTCGTATCTGGAAATCTACAACGAGACCATCCGAGATCTGCTGGCCCCCAACAACTCCAAAACTGGATTGATGTTACGTGAGGATGCCAACCAAGCTGTTTCGGTGGCAGGTCTCACCACTCATCACCCTCAGAACGTACAAGAAGTCATGGATATCATCATGCAAGGCAACGAACTGCGGACAATGTCACCCACCGAGGCCAACGCAACCTCTTCCCGCTCACACGCTGTCCTTCAAATCAATGTAGCGTCCAAAGATCGTAACGCCAGCGTGGAGGAACCACACACCATGGCAACGCTGAGCATCATTGACTTGGCAGGCAGTGAACGCGCGAGTGCCACCAAGAATCGAGGGGAGAGACTGTTGGAGGGTGCCAATATCAACAAATCTCTCCTGGCACTTGGAAGCTGCATAAACGCCTTGTGCGACCCACGCAAACGCAATCACGTGCCGTACCGGAATTCGAAATTGACGAGATTGTTGAAATTCTCCTTGGGTGGCAATTGCAAGACGGTCATGATTGTTTGCGTCAGTCCCTCCAGCACCCACTTTGACGAAACCCAGAATACCCTTCGATATGCCAATCGAGCCAAAAACATCCAGACCAAGGTCACTCGGAACGTATACAATGTCAATCGGCACGTCAAGGACTTCCTGGTCAAGATTGATGAGCAGATGACCTTGATCAACGAGCTCAAGGCTCAGCAAAAGGACTACGAAGCCCTGGCATTTGCCAAATTCAAAAAGCAGAATGAGAAGAAGGAGGTCATCACTCGAGAAGGGATCCAGAGAGTGCGGGCAGCGTATGACAATTCTGCAACCGAACGACAGGAACGGACCAACAACATGTTGAAGCTCAGACAGATTGGCCGAAGAATTGCAATGCTCGCGTCGTGGATTGCAGCATTCGAGGCCGTGTGTGAGTCAACAGAAGACGAGGACCCATTGCCAAATATGCAAGTTATCAAGAAGACTGCGCGTGGAATCATGGTGGAACTCGAAACTGGTCGGCATCATTGCCAGCAAAAGATTATCAAGAGTGCCTGGGACAGAGGTATGAACAGCGCGTTGGATCACAGCCTACGGCAACTGAAAGAGGTTGACACCAGCGACATGATGGATTCCGAGACACTTCGACGTGAAGTCGAATTGCTCAAGACCACAGCCGAGAGAGAGGCTCTAGCAACTGTGTCGGAGCAGGACAAGTCTGGCGATGCGCCGACCATTCAAGTCCTTTTGCATGCCCACTTTGAGACCATTTCCGCGATTGACAGCCTGAACAAGATGAGCGTCGACGAAGCCGTAGAGGCTGCCAATCAGATTCTGGGCAAAATGCTGGCTTCGGCCAGTGGTGCTGCCTCGTATGTGGTCAAACCAGACGGTAGTCTGGCCCCTGCTGAGTCATCTGCCCCAAGCAAAGCCGGCACTCCCAAACGCCGCAAGCAGACTTTCAATACCTCGATCCTCGATATCAGTCCCACACGGCCCAAGGCGCCAGCAGTCGCCCCTCCTCATGTTTCAGGCTCTCCTCTGCGGCCATCTCCACGAAGACGGGGTATGGTTGGACCAGTGAAGAAAGGCCACTCCGTCTCTTTCACCCCCAAGAAGAGAAAGTCGCCTGTCAAGAATGTTAGACGAGCTGTACGATGGAAGGACGATACCGAAGACGGTGCTTTGGCCGAGTTCGAGAAGACACCGCAGAAGTTCCACTCATCGCCACCTGAAGAGTCAACTCTAGAGATCACACTGCCCCAGGTGTCTGATCTTGCAGCGTCACTGGCCCAACTCCAAACGACATCACCCGATTCTTCTCCCGTCCTCCCTCCGCCAGAGCCCAGTATCAGTCTCACTTCGCAAGGCAGCCGATTTCAGGCCGGATTTCTATCTAAGAAATACGATGGTTCGCCGTATTCGTCAAAGATGCCACCACCGAGAATGACCCCACTTTCATCATCCTCAGACAGTGAGGTGTCACCCCTCAGAGAACTCAACCCTAGTCAGTCCTCTAACAGAGGCTCCCTGACGCCAGTGAGTTCGAACAAAATCGAGTCCAAGTCGTGTGTCGAAGGAGACAATGCGGAATCATCAGCAGCTTCGGGATCCGATACTGAAAATCGAGAACGAAAGGACAGCGAAGAGGTCATTTGCATTCGAGACGCTGTCCGACGATCGAGCTCATTCCGACGATCTGGGATTAACAATGCCAGAACACAGCGTCGTCGCTCGCCTACGGCCGCAACAGGCATCTCGGTGTCCCCGACCAATGAGCACTTGTTTGGACCAGGACATGTTCGTCGAATGGTACACGGCAAGACAGACAAGGAAAACGATTGGAAAGTCGGAGTATTGAGCCCACACGTGCAAGGGGTTGTCAGCCACGGCAAGAGTATGAGTATGAATGGTGCTAGGAGGACCACGCTGAGCGGGATGGACGTCCGATCTACCCCTAGTGGCAATGATCGGACCGCGAGACTGAGCTCAATAGCAGCATCGCATGGACATTTGCATTCAGGATCTCGAGGCAGTCTGATGCCTTCTGGAAAGGCAGTTTGGCGGTAGACAGAATGTGCAAAAGCATTGAGGGTGTTTGTGGGTCTGATTTGGAAGTCTCTGGAGCCCGGTCAGGCTCTGGACCGTGTTGGGAGTTGGGACGGTCTGCTATTGATTCGCTTGCTGTCAATGTCTGGCATGACAGGATATGGATTTTGTCAGGAGCCGGTTGTGAAGGGATTCGAATTGTGCTCAGTCATAGTCGCTGGCAGGGCAGTTGTGTTGTTCACAAGTGGAGAGAGTTGCGTACCACTTTGCTAGGTGTAGGTGTAATTCTGATGTCTCCACCTCTTGCCCCGGTCCATCGTACTGTTCTTCAACGCATACTAAGAAGCTGAATCGTCATTGTCGTTGTCGTTCATGTATTCTGCCGAGGTTGAAAAGCAGACCTAGAGAAGTGAGTTGCAGTTTCTGACTCGTGTATTGACACGTGACCATTGCTCCACACATCTCCGCTCGTCTCCACCCTGTTAAGTTGGAAGGTGCATCCCGCGTGGGCGAGTGGGTGGCGACTGCCTAACTTAGAGTCCCGCACCCGCACCAACCCCAGACCAACAACGACCATCCGCGTTCTTTTCCCATTCTTCTCTGGGCATTCCAACAGTCCAACGTCGTCCTTCAATCACTCACTCAACAGCCTTTTGCCCTTTTGCACACTGAACCATGTTCTCTCAGAAATCTTATGAAGACGACCTCAGATCTCAATCAGCACCCACACTTTCCTCCTAGCCATGGCGAATGGAGCCAAAAGCAAGCCACCTCCTTCTTCGGATGATACGTCCTGTACAAAACCTCCTACGGCCGCTGAAAGACGGTAAGGCTGTCAATGACACCTCTTTTGATACACCGCTGACTCTACCAGAAAAATCCGCAATCGTCTTTCGCAGCAAGCCTTTCGAGCAAGACAGAGCTCTGAGTTGAACAGCCTCAGGGCCCAACTCGAACAATTCTCTGCCTCGGAAAGTGCTCGGAACAAGGCTCTCAAGGAGGAAAACCAGAGACTTCGAAGTCGTTTGCAGATTTGCCAAAACCGCCTCAAGAGTCATCAGGCAACCTTGGCCCAGATAGTCGATTCCTTGGGGGACGAGTCTAGTGCTCTCTCCCCTGTACCCTCCTCCCAAGATGTACATCCCCCATCCTCTGAAGCCGACACCACGGCGCTGGATTTGTCACCCACAACTTCGCCTTCCATGCTTCCCCTGGATCCATCGGTAGTTGACTTCCCACCCTTGGACGCCAATCACGAGAATTCCGACCAAAATCTCGTTGAAGTCTTCGAAGATTCTGATCCACCTCAGATCGATACTCTTAACATACCATCATTGACAACGAATCCAGACCAATCTATTTTAGATCAGCTAACAACCACGCCACTGCCTTGGTCCCTACCAAATGAAGGAGAATACAATACTGATATGAGTATTTCATTGCGCAACAAGAAATCCCCTCTTTCCCAGAGCCTAGACCATTCTCAGTCAATGGGCCTCACCAAACAATTTGCCGGTTCTGCGCATATGTTTCCTTTATTAAAGAGTGTCCGAGCGACACCACTGTCACCGGTGTCCAAGTACTCGGACCACATTAATGCTTACGAGTTCTGTGTGGTAACCCGCTATCTGAATAATCAGGTAACCCTGGATTGTGACAGGTACGTCCAGTTCTCCTTGCCAGAGACCCTGAGCAGATTCCGAACCCTAGTGGCAATTCTCAAGCCAGCTAACCATCACAGCCTCTTCGAGATCATTTCCTCCATGATCGCAACATTCTCCGATCTCTACTGGCACAGCATGGGCCCATGGATGAAGCACACCGACGGCAACGCTGCCCTATCCAGACTCACTGCCTGGCGCTTGGCCCCGAGCACCGAGACGTACACAGCCATTCCAGCATGTCTACGTCCAACCCCATTACAAATTGCAGTCCCTCATCCGGCCGTGATAGACTGGTGCATATTCCCATTTCTACGAGACAAAATGATTCAGTATCATTCCTCGGATCCCGCTCTCGATCAAATTTGTGGCGATATTGGAGAAGCATACGTTGTCCAAGCAGATCTCTCCGACTTGGTCGTTGATGCTGGTCCATTGGCCGTTAATTTCAGTGTCCTCGATGTTATCTACGCCTACGAAAGCAGCACTGAATGGTCACCAACATCGGACCATGATCATGATGACCATTCGTACCATTCTTCCTCTTCTGCGACCAGCGCCAAAGATACTCAGCCGCAGCCCCCCCACAAAACCTTGCCGGCCCCCAATCTTCATGCGCTGCTCCATTCGCGAGAATACATTGCCGCCCTTTATTCCCACCTCAATTTCAAGCAGCCTGGCGATCACTTTTTGCTTGACAAAAGCCTCTTCGTCAAATATCCCCACCTCTACGAGCCTAGCCCACTTATCGACCAAAGCTTGCCACTCCGATCGGCCAATCGCGTCAAATGGGGCCACCCACTTCCACTCGATAGTATCGCGTTGAGTTGCTACCAGAATGCCGGCTTAAATCGTCTCGGGGCTACAAGAGGCATCAGAGTGTAAATACATATGTCTAGGCTGCGATGCCAGTGGGTTCCCGTCGATATCATATAACCAATTGTGTGATCGTTTTCTGCGAATTGTCAAGGCACGACCCTTGCTTGTTTTATTTGCTGATTTATATAGTATCATATGAATGTGTCATCCCTACTTCATTCGAGTGCATTGTCGGTCTACACTAGTGGCAGGTCCAACGACCATGGCGTATCCTCATTACGGATGTATGGTGCCAAATCAACCTCTGCACCTTTCTCTCGCTCCATCTCCAGATCGGTTCTCCCATTCCCTAGGAACGCCCAGATATTGTCCTGATCATAGCGGAGCTTGTAATGCTCATACCGAGGAGTACGCAATGTTTTCAAATGGTGCAACATGCTGCCAGGCCAAACATAGACACGGCCGTGAGGCTTATTGTCCTTATACCATGAGCGACAGTCCTCCGCCCACACGCTGTACTTCCGGTGCCAGGCGTCTAGATGTGCATTGATCTGTGTCGTGGGCGACTGTTGCGGCTCCATCGACAAGATCTTCTCACTCTGCATTTTATTGATGCATTGGAGTGCGTACTCGAGTTGGACTTCGTGCTACGAAGATTGTCAGTACGATTACTCTGTATCTCACTGATGGAATTTCCTTGCTTACCGATGGCAGAGCACACCCTTGGCCCCAATTGCCTGTTGGCCCGTTGACCACGAAATAATTGGGAAATTTAGGCGCGGTGATGCTCAGGTAGATGTTGGGGGTTTCCTTCCACTCTTCCTGCATAAGGACTCCGTCGCGGCCTGAGATGGCAAAATGAGGTGTGTACGCAATGCTGAAGCCAGTTGCGCATGCGATGATATCAAAGTCCAACTCTTCGCCGGTGGCGGTCACGAGCCCATTCTCTGTGAAACGGACGATCTCGTCGTGAATTACCTTGACGTGGTCCTGGGCTAGTGTTTCGAGGTACCCTTCACCGGGCGTTAGTCTTCGACATCCCGGCGACCAGTCTGGGATCATTCGTTTCTTGAGCTCATCGTGGCCAGGTCCCAATTTCTCCAGCATGCTCTCTCGAAATGCCTTACGCGCATGCTGGTTCAATGCGGTTCCCCGTAAAAATAGTGGGAACATCTCGGTCAGCGCCGATTCAAGCTTTTTGCGATATACTAGGTGGAACTCTGGGTCGTTGCGGAATTTCTCCTTTTCGGCCTCAATGTAATGGTGCTTGCTAGCGGGGCCTGGCACTTGGCCATTGGGGTCGACCTTTTGCTCGTCAGAAGCCACCTGAGGCGCTATGTATGTTGGGTTTCGAGCAAAGACCGTCAGCTCCTTGGCTCCTGCAACGCTGATTAGACGGAGGGGCTTGGTGAAGACGCTGGTTGCAAAATGAGACTCACCATCGGCAAGATGTGGTACCATCTGAATGGAACTTGATCCAGTGCCGATTACAGCGACTTTCTTGCCTTTCCAGTCGATTGAGGTATCCCAGTTTGCGCTGTGTGACAAGGTTCCTTTGTATGAGGAGATGCCCTCGATTGCAGGCCCTGATGAATGATCAGCAGTGCTTTCAAGAAAGGGCCCGACCTTATCTGACATTTCCACTTGTTGACGACTCCTGAGCCGTTGATCAAGACATGGCATCGATCGGTGAAACGTTCTTCGTCCTTTTTAAGCTCAATTTCCCCTGTTACAAACCAAGTCAGCAATGCGAATGGCTCTCACGGCTCGCTTGGAAGCACTCTCACATTCACAAGCGGCGTCATCCCATTTCGCACTGAGCACTTCAGTATTCAGGCGGACAAACGGGGACAGCTCATGCTGCTTATAAAAGTTCTCGAAATAACTTTGGATTTCGTCTGAGTATGAGTAGAAGCCGGACCAGTCTGTCTTGGGCTGGAAGGTATAGGTGTAGGTGTGAGCTGGGATGTCGCAGGCACAGCCTGGGTACCTGTTCTCCCACCACGTTCCGCCGATGGTAGGGTTCCTGGTGCAATGGTCAGTCCACGAAGTTCAGACCTTTCGACGATACCATGCTCACTTCTCGTAGCAGATCAGCTCATAGTTTCGTAATTGTCGACGGGCTTTGTACGCAAGTAAAAGTCCCGAGGCACCTGCGCCGACGTGGACAATTTTCAATCGGCGTGGTTGAGAATGGTACTGGTCGAGGACCTCGTAGTCGTCTGTTGGTCGGGAAATCATGCTTACAGTTCTACCTCGCTAGTTGAATGTCGAACTCTAAAGCGACAAAAAAGATGAATCATGTAAACCTCTATTGGATCCGGTTGCCATGTCCTTGGTTCTGTTTATGACCTGGTCTCCTTTTTAGAGGTCCAATATGGCTCTTGTTGATCGGACTTGTGATGTGGCACCACCGAAGTATCCGCTCTTGCATCTGTTCTGCCCAGAGTCCGACCCGCGGCGCACGGGGCAAGTAATGGTCTACTACTCACTCACACACTGGGCCGCCTTTGAACCCCGGGAAAGTGTTGGTGTGGGGGACAGTAAGCCAAGTGTTAGTGTTCCCTGGGGGCCGCGGAGCCGGCAATCTTCAGCCGAGGGGCGTGAAGTAAATATATACGGGTGATTAATCAATCTCGATAGTGACACGGCCTAGGCCGAATAATGGAGTCAAAGGAGGACCCTCGCTGACGAGGCTTGTATAGAGGAAACTCAATGGGTTATACTGTGCTATACAAGGCTGGCAATGTAGAATTTCTCTGAGCCAGGACATAAACTCCCCACCATTTTCTAACGTCGTGCTCTGTACAGAACACGGCTCTCGTCGATCGCCAGAGCAGATGACCTGTGATTTCAGACTCTAAATGTGGCCGCCATGAACCTGTAAGACTCCGCCTGCTACATAACTAGATGCGTCCGACAGGAGAAATGCAACGGAGGCTGCAATTTCCTCCGGCTCAGCGTGTCTGCGGAGAGCAGACGACGGCATACTCTCGAGGAAGCCAGGCTCGTCTTGCACTCGCTTTTTAAAGGCCGCAGTAGCAGTTGTTCCTATTTCCACATTAATCATGTGACTGAATGAATTAACGAACAAACGTCCTGCGTACCTGGTGCCACCGAGTTCGTCCTGATACCATATTGACCAAAGTCCTCCTGCCATGACCTAGATAGACCGATGACGGCATGTTTGGTAGCACAATAGACTGCCAGACCCCCAACACCTCTCATACCAGCTCCGCTGGCAATATTGACAATGCTGCCGCGAGTTTTCCAGCGCCCAAGAGGTTCTTGCTTCTGCATAACTTTCAGGGCAGCAGTACCATAGAACCAGACACCTCCGATGTTGACGTTGATCATCCTGTCGTATGCATCATCGGACGCAATAGGACCTTCGAGGAGCCCTATACCAGCATTGTTGACCAGACCGTCCAAACGACCAGCTTTGCTGACGACGTCGTCGATGAACTTCCGGGCAGCTACTCGATCCGCCACATCGACTGAACCTTGGAAGTGGACTTTTTTCTGGTCAACCCAAGATTGGAGCTCTTTGGGAGGGCTAGGAGAGATGTCGTTGACCCAGACCGTGGCACCTCTCTCTGCCAAATACAGAGTGACGGCTAGACCAATCCCAGAAGCCGCACCGGTCACTACAATGTTCTTGCCCTGAAACTCTGACATGGTTGCTTTAGGTCCAGACTCTTGCTGTGCGGATGGAACAGGTTGTCTTGACCCCGGAGCTAGACCCTAGTTTATGAACATAATAGGACCACCCAAGCCAAGTAGAAATGTGTTGAACTTGACGGAAACCGGGGTTCGGTCGTGTTCCTTTCCCGTGACCATCGACTCCAGATTTCCACCGATGTATTTGGGGACAGTCAGCGGCGGGTTTGGGGTAAGGGCGCCCTCTGCGGGCACCCACAACCGCTCGTACAAACCGAGACGGCGAATTGGTATACGGAGTAGTGGGCACAAGTGGGTCTTGATGTGGAGGCCTGTACGCTGAGTGGTCCGTTCGGAATATGCTCTTCCAAATACAGTCATAGATGGCCGTAGGGGACAGTAATCAATATCTCTGTCAGCTCCCTGTCTTTGTCAAACGTAGCTTGAACTGTTCAACAACGAGTCAGACATTCCGATCAAAGCTTTTAGGCCAGCCAAATACCACGCGGTCCAGAACCGGATATCCCAAGATCCTGAGATGGCGGAGACATCACAATTGCCCATGGGGAAACCCCGTCAGGGCTAGGTAGCCGCCCACGAGGTTAGAGGAGAATGTGGACCCTGTGTTGCTTATTTATTATGATTATGATTATTATTGCTATATAGCATCAGATTCCCACGTTTTACTCTTAGCGAATGTGTTCGGGTCCTCGACATCTTCTACAGATCTCGCCTCGAAAAAGTAACAACTAAGCCAATCAGGTTCGAAATTTTTTAGACGACCATGGGCTCAATGACAGAGGAGAAGAGCCCTGTGGCTGCCCATGACCCTGAGGCGGTCGACTCATCACAGGTATCTCACCAGGAAGATACAATCCATATTGAGAACGAGAAAAACCGTGCCGCCAAAGGCGACGATTCTGATGGTCGCGTCAATTGGACTTGGAAACAAGTCATCGCTGTCATTTCACTGTGTGGTGTCTACGTCGGTAGGATACATTTGCTGGATTTACCACAAGGATGTAAAAAGCTGACCTTGTATCTGTCAGGCTCTCAAATTCCCCTGTACTTTGTTGGAGGTCAGAACGCTCCCACCGTCAAGGTCTTGACTAGGACATGACACTAATAGCAAGCAGGTTCCTTGACATACATTGCTGCCGACCTAGGCGCGGCGTCAGTCGGATGGATACCGGTGTCCAACTCGTTGGCTCTTGCTGCCACCTGTCCCTTTTGTGGTTACCTACAGGACCTTTTTGGCAGGAGAAACATCTCCTTACTTGGCTGTGCGTTTCTCGCCGTCGGCATCATCCTCACTGCCACCGCCCAGACCTTTGCTCAAGGTGTGGCCGGCATGGCTTTGGCGGGGGCTGGTGCTGCAGTTGGTGAACTTACTGCTTTGGCTGGGTTAGTACTATCATTTGGCATCGTGGGCTTTTTGGTAGTGGTTCTAACTGTCAACAGTGTCGCTGAGCTGGTCCCAGTCAGGAAGCGAGGTTTGTACCTTGCTTGTGTGACATTTTTCATCTGTGAGTCACGTTCAACCACAAGAAATCCACCGGCATGCTTATACTTGTACAGGTCCCTTCTTTCCCTATGTCTTGTACGCTCAGCTCTTGTCAACACACGCAACCTGGAGATGGGGCTTGTGGATCTGCTTGTAAGAAGATTACCTTTCCTTGATGAAAGACAAGCATGCTGACCCAACCGGTCCAGGATCTATAATGGACTCTTCTTCATTGGCATCATCTTCTTTTACTTTCCCCAATCTCACGTCTTGCGGAGTGGAGGACTTAGTAAGATGGAACTCACCAAACGCGTCGATTACGTTGGAGCTGTACTGTCAATTACTGGGGTGATACTTTTGTAAGTCACTCGCACACAAATCTGGCGTGATCAATTGTACTAATTCACGGATAGCCTCGTTGCTTTGCAGTCTGGCGGCACTTCTCATCCATGGGTTAGCGCATACGTTCTCTGTATGCTCTTCATTGGGGCCGCCCTTGTCGCAGCCTTTGTGGTATGGGAGTGGAAGTTTGCGAAATTTCCTATGGTTCCATCAGAGCTGTTTACTGGCCAGCGTGTGGTTGCATTTGCCCTGGCCATCGCCTTCGTCTCTGGAATGAATTTTTACTCCGTTATCAACTTTGCGCCACTAACATATGGATCGGTGTACAACCCCGAGTAAGTTGAGCCAACTTTGCTTTTCTCTAAGCCATCATCTGACAATCCCTAGCCCGATCCAAGTAGGTGTCAAAGGATTGGGCTATTCGATCGCGATTACTGTTGGCGCCACGGTCATGAACGCTGCGCTGTCCGTTTTCAAGAATCACGCTCGAGAGATCCTGCTAGTCTCATGTGTGCTAATGAGTGAGTATATTCTGGTCTTGTCGATGTTGACACAGTATGACTGACTGATGTGTTTGTAGCCGCCTTCACTGGAAGTATGGCAGTGGTCAATCCGACCAACCCCGGTCTAGCTGTGGGATTAGCAACCGTTGCGGGCTTTGGCATCGGAGGTGTGATCGTGCCAGCCGCCACAGTGGCAATGACAGCGTGCCCCGACTCTTTGATCGCCACCGCGGCTGCACTTACTCTCACTATTCGCTTTGTGGGAGGTTCCATCGGATACTCGATCTACTACAATGTCTTTGCGCAAAGACTGGCACCAGCGCTTCCAGAACGAGTCTTGGAGTATGCATCAGAGGCAGGTCTCCCGCAAAGCTCTGCCGTCGACTTTGTCACCGCCTTCCTCACAGACCCGGCAAGTGTCGGCAGCATCCCTGGAGTCACTGAGTCAGTGGTACAGGCAGCCACTATGGGGAGCCGGTGGGCTTACGCTGAAGCATTGGAATATGTGTGGTATGTCAGTATTCCATTTGGGGTCCTGTCCATTATTGCATGCTTCTGCATTGGAGACGTGTCGAGATTCATGACCAACCGAATCGCCGTCGAGATGAAGCATTAGGCGAGGTCAATCTGTGAAGCGTGGCATGGCTGGGATGAGATGGCCTTTAAGAATATCCACATATTGTTCAGATGTCGTGTTTTCGTGTTCTGAAGCATGTGAATGGCTGTCCACTGTTTGTACATACATGTGTCACTCCCACTATTAAAGCCCACTGGGCTACTATTCGGTCCTTTTCCAAATATATCACTCATGTTGTACTTCATGTTGATCTTATCGAGAATTCCGCGAATACGAGTTTTGATAGGCAGGAGCTGCAGACACCGGGAACCGGAAGGTGCGGCGGTGAGTTGGGGACGCCGTTTGCATTGGTGGGAAGGTGCGATGAGGGTCCGAGTGCGGCTCTTGCCCCTCCAATCCCATCGTCTTTAATTTTTCACCAAGTCCACACCTCAAAGTCCACACCTTATCCATGAAATCTCAACACCTGATCCCTCGTATCCACCATGCATCTGAGCAGCTAAGCGTCTAGAAGGATGAGTCAATTGTCAAATCATTTTTCATCTTCCAACCCTTGAAAGTATTTGATTTGACTCAGTTATATTGACCACACTCAGGCCAAACTTCCTACTCTCTTGTCCTGAGTCACAAGTGGAACAACGTCCAGCTATGGGAGCAGGGCTCCTTGTCGCAATTGATCCTGAGGAGATCCTCGCCTCGAATCCCCGCGGTCTCACTCTCGATCAAGTCGCTTACTTTGGGCAAGCCCTCGTCCAGGCTACTCCCGAGAATTTCGACCAAAGCCTCTCGTTCCTTCGCAACCACTTTTCCTCCCTTGCTATCTACTTTGACGTCCGCAAACTTAAGAGCTGGGATAATGTCATTGACATCCTCAATAATGGCGCCGCAAAGATTTTTGTTACCTTTGAACAACTAAAAGCCTTATCTCAAGAGCAAACCATCGCCCCCGACCGGCTCGTCTTGACCATATCCCTCGTTAATCCCAAAACTGATCTCGACAAGCTTAAAGCCTTCCTCTCCGAAAACCCAAATTGGAAAACTACCGAGTGGGCGTTTGATGGAGACAAAGGCAATGAGGTCGTGGACCTGGTTTTGAAAGAGCTTGGAAACTACCCTCCTAGCCCGGACCAGACTCTATTCGTTGCCGTCACGAGCGAGACTGATGGAAGGAACTTGCTCCATGAATACCCCGGCAACGCCCTTGTCATCTCGTCCAAGTCTCTGACCTTTGACAAGTCCAAGGACGAAAATAAAAACTTGATTTCTGCTGTTGACTTGGTTATTGCCGGTGCGACTGCGGATCGAAAGACTGGACTTTATGCAACCACCGTCGTCGATGAGCGCGATGTAGCTCTCGGCCTGGTCTGGAGCAGCAAAGAGAGCATCTCTGAAGCATTGAAGACTGGCACTGGCGTCTACCAGAGTCGAAAGCGAGGCTTGTGGTACAAAGGTGCTTCCAGTGGTGACACTCAGAAGCTCATCAGCATTGGTTTTGACTGCGACAAGGACACCCTTATCTTCAAAGTTCACCAGCAAGGTCGTGGGTTTTGCCATTTAGCCACCTATTCATGCTGGGGTAAAGAATCGGGTCTCTCAAGGTTACAGCGCACGCTGCAACAGCGCAAGTCCGATGCTCCTGTGGGTTCCTATACTGCCAGACTCTTTAATGATCCCAAACTCCTCAACGCCAAGATCAAGGAGGAGGCCGACGAACTGTGTGAGGCCACAAGTAAAGAAGATATTGCTTCCGAAGCAGCAGACCTATTGTACTTTGCACTGGCGAGGTGTATCGCAGCCGATGTCACCTTGGAGGATATTGAGAAAAATCTGGACTTGAAGAGCCTCAAAGTCAAGCGGAGAAAGGGTGATGCAAAACCACAATATGTCGAGGAGAAGCCAGTTGCCCCAACTCACACATCCAACGCCGAAACAGAAGGAGTCAACGGTCACAAAGATGACGCCGTGAAAGAGGCAGCATCGATACCGAAAGGTCCCTCCGACCCAGCAGGCACCATCTCTGGAAGAATATCCATGAAGCGTTATTCTACCTCTCAAACATTTGCTGACGACGTCCTCAAGTCTGCCCTGCAACGCCCAGCCCAGCGGTCAAATGAAAAGATCATGGGTATTGTACGACCCATCATCGACGACGTACGCACCAAGGGTGACTCAGCTCTTCTCAAATACACCCAGACTTTTGAAAAGGCCACTGGCCTCAAATCTCCAGTTCTCAAAGCACCTTACCCTCCGTCCCTAATGGAACTTCCTCAAGAAACAATCAATGCCATCAACATCTCATTCGACAACATCCTCAAGTTCCACTCCGCACAAAAGCCGGCCGCACCTCTGGTAATCGAGACCATGCCAGGCGTGACATGCTCGCGCTTCACCCGTCCCATTGAGAAGGTCGGTCTGTATATTCCCGGAGGGACTGCTGTCCTCCCGTCGACTGCTCTCATGCTCGGAGTCCCTGCGATGGCAGCAGGGTGCAAGAACATTGTTCTAGCCTCTCCTCCTCGCCCCGACGGCACCGTCACTCCTGAAATCGTCTACATTGCTCACAAAATTGGCGCGGAAGCGATTGTTCTTGCGGGAGGTGCGCAGGCTGTTGCGGCTATGGCATACGGCACCGAGTCCGTCACCAAAGTCGACAAAGTCCTCGGTCCTGGCAATCAATTTGTGACCGCTGCTAAAATGCTCGTTTCAAATGACACCTCGGCAGCCGTCAGCATCGACATGCCCGCCGGACCGTCAGAAGTTCTCGTCATCGCCGACTCGACGGCGGATCCAGCCTTCGTCGCCAGTGACCTTCTCTCACAGGCGGAACACGGCACTGACAGTCAAGTGGTCTTGATCGCTGTTGATCTAGACGAGCGCCAATTAGATGCCATCGACGACGAACTACACAAGCAAGCCCACCAACTTCCACGGGTAGACATTGTCCGTGGCGCCATCGAACACTCAATCACCATTTCTGTACCAACCCTCTCGTCGGCCCTTCATTGGTCCAACTATTACGCTCCCGAACATCTCATCTTACAAATCGCCAACCCAAAGTCGGCATTACCTGAAGTTCAAAACGCTGGATCGGTGTTTATTGGCGGCTGGACCCCTGAGTCAGTTGGCGACTACTCGGCCGGTGTCAACCACAGTTTGCCCACGTATGGGTACGCCAGGCAATATTCTGGCGTCAATCTTGGCAGCTTTATGAAGAACATCACGAGCTCCGAAGTCAGCGAGCAAGGCGTCGGCAAGGTGGGGTTTGCAGTCATGGAGCTCGCAAGGGTCGAAGGTTTGGACGCGCACCGTCGAGCTATGGAGTTGAGGATGGAGAAATTGGGCTTGGTGGAGAAGAGATACAAGGACGTTAGCACGCAGCAAGAGCAGGAAACGACGTCGAAAGTTCACAATGTCAGTGCGACAGTGGCGGTTCCAGCACCCGTGGAGCTGAGTGACGCCAAGACAGCTGCGGACAAGGAGATTGAGATTGAGAAGACAACCTTGATGGAGAAGCCGTGATGTTGATGATGAGATTGACGCTGGCGACGGTATCATGGCCATAGAGCGAGGGCCTGGTTTCCGACATTGCCTAAGGCGTCGTGATGGAAGAGGACGAAGATGTTTTGATAATTAGATCTCAGGTTTAGACATTTTCTGACGAATACACTACTACGCCCGATGCGATAGTCCAGATGTTGCACGGTGAATGTCCTTCGCTGGAGGAAATTTCGCACTACTAGGTCGTAACGCTTGAGAACCTCGATACTCGAGAAGGGCGACAGCCATGTCTCACAGCCGGGTGGGAAGTCTAACGGCGCCGTCCAAGCGAATGACTTGGCCGTTGAGCATGGGGTTTTCAACCATGTCTCGTACCAGACGGGCGAATTCCTCGCCCTTTCCCATGCGCTTAGGATACTGCAACATCTCCGAGTTGATGGCGGCACGATTGGCCGTTGAGCCTTTGGGTTTGGCCTGGCCCGATGCTCCTGGCTTGGATGTGGAAACCGTCATGCCTGTCTGGAAGGCTCCTGGGGCGATGCCGAGGACGCGGATGCCGGCCTTCTGGCCCAACTCCCGGGCAAGTGGGAGGACGATGCTGGCGACGCCACCTTTGCTAGCGCTGTAGGCGAGCTGGCCAACCTGGCCTTCATAGGCAGCAACGGAGGCCACGACGACAACGATTCCACGCTCGCCGTCTTCGCCCCAAGGCTTGTTGAGCGCCATATGTGGCAGCGTCAGCCGGATCAAGTCCACCGTGCCACGCAGGTTGATCCCGAGGGTGCGGTCAAAGTCGGCCATGTCCATGTATTTAACCGTCTCGTGGGTCGCATCGGGCGCTTGTTTTGGGAGACTGAGTGCTGCTGTCCCAATGCCTGCGCTGCAGATGGTACCTGATAAAGGCGCCGGGTTTGCCGACTTTGTGATCCATTGAATCGTGTTCTTGACAGCCGTCTGTAGTGAGGATGAGGATGACACGTCGGTCTTGGTGAATAGGGTTCGTGAAGAAGGAAACTGGGCGAGGGCAGAGGCTGGGGGAGGGTTGATGTCGAGGATCGAGACATTGGCTCCGTTTTCCAACAGAGTTATCACCGTGGCCAGCCCTAGACCACTCGAGCCGCCTGAGACGATGAATGTACGATCTTTGATCTGCATGGCGGAAGTCTCGAAGGGCAGGGTATTGAAGGGTGTGATGTAAGGACACTGACCGAGATTGATCGTTTGTTTATATCTTTCTTTCCTATGCGGTGGATTGCCGTGGGGTAAGGCTACCTCGGCATCCAAAAAGAAGGGACCAGGGTCGGCTATAGTCCAGTATCCGTCCTGAGTTGGATATTTCTTGTCACAACTTGTACAAGGGCATTAGAACCTGGTTGATGTTACTCATCTGTTGCTCATGTTGGTCTGGATGAAGTCGTTGGGCGACGATTATGACAATGACGATTATATGGAAGGAACCAATTAATGTACAAGTATACCATTTGACATGTGATTTCGATAGATCACGTGATGAGTATGCACGGATCTCCGGCGTCACCAGACTTTCTCGGTTGGGCTAGATGACTTCTGCATCACGCCCGCACCTTTCTACTTGCGTATACGGAGGAGCTACAGATGCTCAAAGAGACGGTAGGATTATGGTTTGACTGTTGCCTAGCGGCACACGGGGCAATGAGGGTTCCGAAACACATTGCTGCAATGACGGGCGAGGTAAACCGATCTTCCTTACACATATTCGAACTATAAATCTCATCCTTTTTACAGGCCTTTCGTCTCAGACCAGCACCATTCCATTGGTGTGAAATCAGCGTAGTGTGACTTCCACAGAACGACCTAGTCCATCAACATGTCCACCCAGAAGAAAAAGATAGCCATCATTGGCGCTGGACCAGTGGGCTGCGCCTTTGCAGTGCATCTTGTGAAGGCTGGACACGACGTCACAATTGTTGGTCGAGGGCAGCGGCTTGCAACTCTCCAGACCAATGGAGGTGTGCTCACGAAGAAATCGGAGAAGGCGACCGAAATCTCCAAGACTCCTGTGGTCGCCGTCGCATCCCTCGACACAGCACAACCCTGGGACCTTATTCTCCTGACCATCACTGAGCGAACCTTTGACGAGAAGCTGTTGGCGACGCTCAAGGCATGTCCAAAGTCAATCGAGATCCTATTCATGTTCAACACCTTTGCATCACTCGACAAATATTTTGACGCTTTGGGAAAGGAACGCTGTATCATGGGGTTTCCGGCCATTATGGCCTTTCTCTTTGACGGAGTATTGGTACATCAATTTGTGAATTTTGCCCAGATCACCATTGTCTCATCAGTCGAATGGCGGTCCATCTTCTCTTCGGCAGGGATCAAGTGTGTGCATGAGCCTGACATGCAGAGCTGGCTACGTACACATGCCGCTTTTGTCGTCGGTTTCATGAGTTCGACCATTGCGGCCGCCAAAAGGAAATCGGGAGTGACGTGGGAAGAAGCAAAGCTTAATGCTGCGGTGGTTAAGGAAGGGATGGCGCTGGTACAGAAGTTGGGAAACCATATCATCCCCAGATATGTATACTTCCTTGCTGTCGCGGCACCGACTTTTGTGCTCGCCGGCATATTTTGGCTTGTGACGAAAGTGCCGAGGATCCGCGATAACCCCCAGGCACTGCTGCACTGGCAATCAGAGGTGCTTGGTTTGGTTGAAAGCATTATTGCAGCAGCACCCTCTGAAGACGACGTACGTCTTATTCGCCAGCTGCAGGCGAAGTATACATGATGAAAGAATACTGGGCCAATAGGTCAACTCAACTCCAGTTGCAGCTCTTCCTCTTGGAGTTGCTGATGCATTGGTGGATTACATTCAAGTTGGCATGTTTTGATTTGATTCTACAATGTCCATTACTAGGTTGATAGTATTGTTTTTCTCAATGTCACAGATTCAAGATTTGTGATGACAACTCACGTGACAAAGGAGATGCGTTTATAGATATCGGGGCAGAAAGTACGACAGGAGCATCCCTATACATAGAGCCATGGACATCCATACTTAGGCAAGTCTGCAGGCTACCTACTTAAAATTAGGTATGTATTTGAGTAAAATCGGCATGCTTGGCCCCTGGACCCCGTGCCCCAAAGCCCGTGCCACGGTCGAAGAACCTTGGCGATGACCTCAATGCTTTAGGGACCTAACTTTTAACCATCCGTGCTACCCAACCACCCAACCGCCTAACTAAAAGTTTCTAACTAAAAGTTTCCTAGAGAAGTGGGAGTTCCCTCTGGTGGAAGATCTCTTGTAGCCTCCTGCCAAGCGCAAATAGAGGAGGTGCGCCTATGGCTTCACACCGCGTCCATGCACTCTTTCACTGTCACCGGCATCACTTCTGCCCCCATTATCGCCCCTCGCCCCTCGCCAGTCACCCCCGCCTCCAACCATTCCTCCAGTCATGTCATCCAGTTTGAAACAAGGTTGGACCAGTCTTCAAATCTGACCAAAACTTGGACTTGGGCAAACAAGTCACGCAGGTGTAAATCTGGCCAACGATTCATGGCCATGCAGAATCCTTCGTCTCAAGTCCGTAGTCACCTATATATTGCTGTTACACAGTAGTCCATCATTAACAAGGAAGCATTGGTCTGAAGGGGAGAAAAGAAAAAGGAAGAGAAACCAACAAGCGCCTGCCACTTGCTGTGCTCACTTCCCCGCCCCTTCCACTTGAACAACTTCCTTCAGTGAACAATTTGGACCCAATCGGGCAGGAAGGAGGAAGGAGGCTGCAGTCAAACATCAAGTAAAGTCACGTTCTCATCATTCTCACCGACCCACACTCTCTACAGGTCCAACATCACCAACCCCCGATCAAGACAGTCTTCAGTGCCTCCCAAACGCCTTGGAATTGTTCATTACCGTTGTTCCTGGCTGGCTGACTGCGCCGCTACCCTCTTCAATCAACCGACTCTCCTTGCATGTTCCATATTTCGGCCTCCGCAGAGACACCACTCCCTCTTCCTGCGCCTGTGGTTCCTTCCACCTTGTCCTTCTTCCCTCACCCTTCTTCGCCATCTTCATTAATGCTCTCCATATGTCCCAATCTTCTCAGCGCTCAAAAGCCCCCAATAGGAGCCTGAACAATCTGAGGAATGGCGGAAGAGTGTCCAGGGACTCTTCCAGGGTTCGCCGCAAATCTATCTCCATAAACGATGCATATCTCTACGCTTTGCGGGTCGCCTATCTCAATTACCTCCTCCAGCCTAGGGCTACACGCAAACGCCATGTCGAGACCAGACCCCCTCCCAATCGTTCAACCTCTTCTCATTCCTTCCACGATCTCATGAATGACTTTACCGTCGTCCGCGATCCAAAGAGTACCAGGTTTCCACATGGCTTTGTCAAGGAGTTGGAAAAGAGGTTGCAGGGTATCCTCATGGGCAAAGAGCGTCGTCAGGAATATCAAGATTCTGTTGTTAAGCGTGTCTTTGCCGCCTTCCTCAACGCTCTCTCCGACCCCTCATTCAAGAAGCGTATGGAGGCCGACCGACGAGCAGAAGACTTGGTCTTGATTTTCTTCTCAAACGCCACGCGAGAATTGCAGAAAGGCAAGCCCCCAGGAGACGATGGCGTTAAACGAATGGTGGACCGCCAGGTCGCCCTCTTTGTTCGTCTCCTCGGCTTGATTCTGAAGGATCACGATTGGGCAAAGGACAAGCCTGATTTAGTCTCCAGATTGACCACTTTAGAGTCGAAGCTTCTCAAAGGTGACGAAAACCTGGCATCTTCCCAGACCAACGGTGAATACAAGACCATCGAGGAGGTCGTGCCGTTGTCCTACGAGGTCAAGGATATGCCATTGGTTCAGGTGGTTGGAAAGCTCTTTGGTCTTACAAACACCATGATGCAGTCGGACATCTCCAAGAACAAGCCCGTTTGGACAGAGAAGGCTGCTCTTCAGGACCTCAAGACCTACCAACAGCATCTCAATCTCGGAACCAAATTGACGCTCACTTCAGCCGATTTCGAGACTCGAGAAGCTTACGAGTCCTGGAAAAAGGACGAGGCCCCAGACCTGTCACAGATGATGCTCGCCATCATGCAGTCTAATCCTCAACTTGCAAAATCCACTTCTGGACCTCCCCTTCCAAGCCTCAACCCAACCTCCTCTAACGACCCGAACGATGCTCACTATGCAGAGCTGTCCAGAATGCTGTCACAGCCAGGCGACACCTCTTCCTACGTCCTCGATCTGCCGGCAGACATGGGCAACCTTGATTTAAGTTCAACTTCTTCCCACCTCGATAATGATTCCCCCCAACTGTACGTTTTTATTCCTTCCGACCCCAGGGCCATGTTTCGCATGATTTTGCTTCAAGCCCTCACTCACGACCTTGACGACAATTCGAATGAAAATCCTGGCCGCGCATCTGGCCAAATTCTTTCCAAGAAAACAAGCGACCTTTTGAATGAAATTGCTTTGAGGTGGCGTATACCCAAATTCACTCGTATTATCTTGTTTCTGGACGTTGTGAGAGAGAAGTTCATGGAGAAAGCCATCAATTTGGACACGCTCGATGCAGTCTTCAACTTTGTCAAGCAGCCATTACAGGACGACCCCAAGAACAAGAGAAGCTCTCTGATCGTGAGTTCAGCATTGTACGATCGTTTCAGTTGGACTTCATCCGACTTTGCCGTCATGAGAAAACTCCTCTCCAGCCTCTATGACTTTCTCCTGAGAGATCTGTATGAGGTGATGCTCACTGCATATGCCGACAAAGCTCAACTACCCAGACTCGGCGCCATCATGGCCGTCATTGACGATCATATCCGCACTGATCCGAGCTTCTCCCAGGGTCCCGAGGACTTTGAAAATTTCAAGCGGGCAGCATTCGATGGCTTGGCCGCGGAAGCTCGAAGATCCTACGATGTCCTGTTGGCTCGTGAACTGCCTCAAGAAGATAGCGAATGGGAGTTCTACCATATCCAACAACTAGCCAAGGCTTTGTTGAAACTCGCTGAGAAGATACAAAAACGATTCCGAAAAAATCCAGAGATTTTGGGCATCAATCCTTTGATGATCCTGCTGAACTCGGTCCTACCTGCATTCGCAGAAGATTCAAAGGCAATGGTTGAGCAAATCCTGATAGTGTCCCGACAGAGGGGCGCCGAGATACCAATGCAGGAGGGCTTCGACTTGTACAAAGATCTGAGTGAATTCAGACGTGTCCACACCGATGCATTGCCCGGAATTCCATTTCCGTACAAGATCGAGGACCTTCTTGCGGAATTTGTCTGGAAATGGATCAGCTCCACCGAGGGCCAAGTCATGGGTTGGGTCGAAAATGCCGTCAAGCACGATACCTTTGCTGTTCGCACCAAACACCCGGACCAAGTACCGACAGAAGACGAACGTCACTCAACCTCAGTCATTGATATATATCAGTCCTTCAATCAAGTCATTGAACAAATGAGTCAGCTGAATTGGGACGACGACCTCACTTACGCCAAGTTCATGACTGCCCTGTCAAAAGCGATCGGCCTTGGAGTTGCGCGGTACTGCGAACTCTTGGACCAGATGTTCAGTAAGGAAATGGACCGAATGACACCGGAACAAGAAGCCGCGGCCAACATGACAAGGCAGGAAAAGTGGGTTCAGCTTGCAAAGGACACCTGGAACAACAAAGAAAGGGTGGAGCCATTTCAGTTCTACCCTCAGTCTTTTGTGAAACTCAACAACATCTCATTTGCGATTCAACAGTGGGACAGGGTTGAAACGGAAATCAATGTTGACGCGTGTGCTGAGGTGTTGAAACGGTATGCACCCCCGCTCGCGCAAAGACCTCGCAAGACGTCCAACTACGTCTTCACCATCAAAATTGTCGAGGCCGAAGATTTGAAAGCGTGTGATGTCAACGGGTTTAGCGATCCCTATGTTGTCCTAGCCGACGAATATCAAAAACGCCTGTTCAAGAGCAGGATCGTGTATCGCAACCTGAATCCACGCTGGGACGAATCGATCGATATTACCACTCAGGGCCCTTTGAATCTGATTGCAACCATATGGGATTGGGACGCTATTGGCGATCATGACTATGTGGGGAGGACCTCACTCAAGCTCGATCCAGCCCATTTTAGTGATTTTCTGCCACGCGAGTACTGGCTGGATCTCGATACTCAAGGACGTCTTCTGGTACGGGTAAGCATGGAGGGCGAACGAGATGATATTCAATTCTATTTTGGAAAGGCATTTCGAAACCTCCAACGAACCCAGCGAGACATGACACGCAAAATCACCGACAAATTATCAGCGTATATCAATCACTGCCTCTCTCCGAGAGCTCTGCGGTCACTTCTCAACCGCGACATATCCATCTCCAGTGTGTCGTCGTATTTTGCTCGAAATCGACAATCCGTTATCCAGACTTCCACTGCACCGACTGAAGCCGAGATCATCAATGCTCTCAAACCCCTCTTCGACTATTTTGATGACAACTTTGCTATCATGCAGCAGACACTGACTTCAGAGGCCATGATTGCCGTGATGACGAGGTTGTGGAAAGAAGTCCTGATCACAATAGAAGGACTTCTTGTGCCACCCCTCTCAGACAAGCCATCTCAACAAAAGCCATTGAACCAGCAAGAACTCGACGTTGTCTACAAGTGGCTACAGAGTCTGTTCGAGTTCTTCAATGCTACCGACGAAGAGACGGGCGAAGCAAACGGTGTGCCGGTGAATGTGTTGAAGAACCCCAAGTATCACGAGCTGCAAATGCTCAACTTTTTCTACTTTGAGCCGACGGATAGCCTAATTCGAGAGTCGGAGAGAATGGCGGCTGCTGCCCTTTCGAGTCATCAGACACAAAGATCAAGAGTCTCGGCTCCGGCAAGTCTTGGACAAGTGGGCAGAGGCGGGCTATTGCAACCTGGTGGGATGACCGGGACACGACGTGCTAAGAGCATCATGATGAGTCGCAACCTGGGGACCATGAGGAAGGCGAAAGAAGAGAAGTGGAAGGCCGCACAAGCTGAACCCAGCGATGACATGATATTAAGGATCCTCAGGATGAGGCCTGACGCGGGAACTTATCTAAGAGATCGGTCTCGGCAGAAGGAACGACTTGCTGCCTCTGCTGCAGCCGAGATGATAGTTCGGCAGAGTCTTCTCTCTGGTGGTGGCAGAATGACAGGCCCGAGCGTTATCAGGCGGTAATGGATGGTGGTTTGAGGCATGCGGTTGGAGCGATCGTAGATATAGGGTTTGCGCGGTCACCGAAGGCAAGGTATCGATGAGCAGGGAGGAGATACCCCAGGCAATGGACTACGAATTTGTCAAATATGATTGGGATGACTATTAGACGTTGGACCCTTGACAACCAAGGGAGTGATATGCGAGTACGACGAATGAATTTGTATGAATGAATATCTCATAGATATGTGAATCGTACTTTAGCATCTTTGATCGCATGAAACAAGTTAGCATGCTTGACTAACACACTAGTTTCCGGAAGCTGCAACCAAACCTTAAATTTAAGCGTAACCTTATCGCCTCGACCGTCTAACTCGATATAGGCATTTGCATTTGTCCCTGCGAGTCTTTGTTACACACGACTTTTGACTTTCTCCATCCACATCATCCGTGAGAGTGACGCCAGTTCCCATTGTTGGTCCACGCCGCACCATGTCGTTAGGTAAGTCAACTACCTATGTCCTTTGATATGGACTGCTTTTCTCCATTCCATGACAGAGTTTTCATGCGCCAAAAACTGACAGAAGATCCTAGAACTGGACGAGAAGGCACTGGAGAGTGTCGCCAACAATGGCGAGATGGACTAGTAAGTCCTTGACTCCCCACCGCTACCGACCACAGGCGGCTCACTTTTGTCGATGCTCTAACTAACAATGCTGCCAGTGACAAATGGCCCGCCCTCATCGAACCGCTTCTACAACGACTGAACGATGTAAGAGACTCCGTCAGACACCTGGCATTCGTGTCATTGCTAATGATCGGGTTACAGATCGTCTACAATGAATTTCCTCTCCCAAGACCCTATCAGAACATCACTCGCGCAGCACCACCAACTTCACCTTCCCTATCCCAAAGTACTCCAGCCAGAGATCCCAACTCAACAACCCAGGCACCCTCAACACCCGTTCGCAATCTCCCTCCTGTCCCACCCTTTCCAAATTCTTCAGCGACATCCACATCACACGTCCCCGATTCCCTTCCTCCATCGCAAGACCCCTCCAGTCGAGACAATAACGTCCTCACCGAACTCCCTGCTCTCCTCCTCCAACTCCTGACGGGGACCATCCAAACGCTCCGTACCTCATTTTCAGACAAGCCACCACATACCATTCAACGCCTTGCCGAACTCATCCTCCATCCCAAAGCTCACTATAAGACTCTCCCCGCTTGGCTTCGCGCGCTGGATCGCGTTGTTAGTGTGAGCAGCCCAGCGGATATCTTTCCTTTATCCGAAGCACCACTCCTCGTCAACGGGGTCAACGGCGACCGTTCTGGCGGCGGCATTTTATGGAACAATAATACCGATGCGCGTAATGGCTATGATAGAGATTCGCTAGGAAGTGACGAGAGTTTGGGTGGCGCCTTACTCACACCCATACCCTGGCTACGCAATGGCATGGCGGGCAGCAGTTCAGATGATGATATTGATGGAGGTGATCACTCAGGTTCATCCCTGGATGCGAATGGGATTCTCGGCTCAGATGGCAGCCTCGGTGATGGTCTGAGTCTTATTGGCAGTCAAGGCAGTGCGGACCCCATGGTTCCAGACCGAGAAGACGGTGGTGTCACACAAGGTGAATTGATGCGGATGGAGCAGGAGGCTGGTGTCGTGCCTCTGACACAGAATCTCGCCGACACAAGTTCCCGAATCATGGGTGATGATGTGGATGATGACGAAGACGAAGACGAGGACCAGGACCAGGACCAGGAAGCGTATCAGGACGATGGCGATAACCTACCACATGCTCGTGGGCCCGATGTCGTGGGGAGTGTCGATCTGGGCAGAGTCGGAGGCAAAGACGTCCAATTGCATATTGGCAGTCCACCCTCGACGAGTGAAGGAGGTCTTGCTGAAGAAGAGATTGTTCCAGACCCGAATGACGCCCAGACTGTTTTACCTACTCCACAGCCATCTGATCCACCATCTGTCTCGACGACAATAGCTACCGACGACCCAAACATCACCTCTGCGTCGCCTGCGGATGATTTCGAAATCATCCTCAAAGAGGATGCGGAAACCGATGCCATGCAATTGGACGAAGTGTCTGATATTTCCTCGGCCCCGGCTCAAGTCTCTGGTGCCGCCACTGATCTGGAATCCTCCGGCAGTGGAGCAGAAAAGGACGGTGACATCGTTCTTGTAGATGCGGCTGGTGATGGCCAGAAGGAGGACAACGAGAAGAAGGTTGAAACCCCACCAGCGACAGCCTCGTCGCCGCAATCCAATGAACCCAATCCCGACCCAGATACTACCACGACGTCGACTGCGACATAGTGCGTCAGCATGATTCAATAACAACAGAAAAGGATCCCCTTGTCTGTACCTATGTTCTCAAGTTGTTGGCTTTGACTTTGTTATCAGCGTCAGCGTCAACGTCAGCATCCGCAACCATCGATCCATCGAATCATCGAAGACACGACCGCGGCTGTACTGGCTGTCATGATCTATTTTTCTTATATCCTCTGTAACCTCTAGACAGGGCGGGAGCACGCGGAGGAATCATGAAAACGTCTAGACGACAGCGACCGATTTAGTTTCACCGCGATTGCCTTGTGGCTCTTGTCTTAGCGGTGTTCATGTGGAATGACCCCTACGTAACTCCTTATGTAGATTGGATAGCTACCGTGTATTTGGCGCCCGCGCCTATGCTCATGCCATTAATTCGAATTCGCGTTCGTGTTTCGTATCCATGCCCATGCCCATGCCCATGCCCATGCCCATGTCCATATTCGTATTCGTGTCCACGTCAAAAAGCCTCCTTTTCTATCTCTACAAGACTTTATACAATCGTGTACCTCCCCGGGTACGTGCAACATGGGCCCATCTGTGGGTGAGTATATATGTATGTCATCAAAAATGTGAGTATATTGTGAGGTCGGGAGCAGGTGAATCGCAAATTGAGAGAGTTCACTCAATAGTATGTGTCCTTCGTCTGGACGAGGAGAGTGAAACGGGATTTGAGTGGTGACGAGTTGAAGATGCTTTGTCGAAGTCAATGTAGGCGCCAGCATGTCGTGGCACGAGGCTTGCTGTTGCAATGACTCATGTGTCTTGACAAATGGGTAGCTCAGTAGTACCCGGCAAGGCCCCAGAACTTGGAGCTGGAATTTGCAGCTTGTTGTTGCAAAGGTCAGGTTTCCATCACCGCTCCGGCCACAGCCTCGTGAGCTGAGGCAAGAGTTGGCCGCTGGCTATCAAAGCTGTGGTTTCCGATATCCAAAATATTGCCGAGATATGATCCACCTCTCGTGTTGAGTGGACCAAGTCACCAAATCAAGTCGTGAATGCTGCAAATGCAAGTTTTGCGACCGAGGTTCGTCAAGGCTTGTCTCACTGTTGGTACACGATCGTCAAGACTGAATGATGAATGGTGTCCAGTATCGTCTTGATCAATTCGATTTCTGATATGATTGGCGGATTTCCTCATATACCTGCCATGCCTCTTGTCGAAGTCAAGTCTCATCAACTGGCACCGCCACTGTTCATGTCATTAAGATCTGTCCCTGATCCGCCACGCTTCTTCTCTTTCTTGGCCCATCTCAACCCGCAAGCATTGCAGAGTGTTTTGGGACCATTGGGACCTTTTCGCCATTCTGGACTGTCGAGAGTGCCACAGTCTGTGCAAACAAATTCATCGGCGCTCTTCACTTTCTTAGGCTTCTTGTCTGAATACGTCGAGCCACCAAATCTTGCGTCGGCTTTGTCGATTGGAATATGAATTCCTGCATCTCCACGAATCAATGCAGGCGAAGTACCCCCTGTGGATATGCCGTGAGATCTCTCGCCCTCTCTGTATCGTAGTCCTGTGAACATTTCGATCGAATCGACATGAGATGACCCCTCATAACGAGCCATCTTGTCGCGAATGCTGTCAGGTCGAGCGTGAGCATTTGCTTCGTCAAGTGCCTCGCGGGTGAGGGCTACATTAGAACTTGTTGGCTTGGCAGGAGGGGGCATGGCGTTGTAATCGACATTTTCGCTTTTGCCTCCAGCCGATGGGGATCTTGCCGTGATCTCAGCAGAACCCGAGGGCGTTCGGTGACCGTTGGCCCCAGCTTGCTTATGGAAGGCTTCTTGCTGAATTTCGGCATCTTCCTCCTCCTCACGCTTCAACGCGGCGATGCGAGCTTGAAGTCTTACATTTTCCAGCTTATGTTCGAGAAACGAGTCCAACAGTTCCGAATTCTTGGTAGGATAAGGTCGTGCCATCATGAAAAATCCGCGACAGAATGGTGCCGGAGGAACCGGAAGTCCTTGTTCCACACGCTGAACGTCAGAAGTCAGGTGTGGATGGCCATGACATTCGAAGATTCGATACTTCTCTTCAGAGGTCCGGAGGCGGTGAAAGAACCGAAGAGGATTGCCCGTTGCGATGCTTTCATTGAACTCTCGGATGAATAGCGAAGAGTCATCTGGATGTAAATAATCAGAAATTGGGCTTCCCAAGATGTCGTTCGCTTCGTAGCCGATTAATGTCTTGGAGGAAGGCGACATGTAAAGGACTCGGCCATCGGCGGTCAATATATATAATAGGTCTTTGAGTTCGTCCAGTACCCTCTGAGACCAATTGCGCCGTTTGGTGAATTCGGTAAGTGTACTGCTCGTGCCTACTGATTGAGAATTCTGGGCAAACCCCGTTGGTAAAGGTCCTGCACCAATGGTGGGATTGGGCGTGGTGCTTTCGGAAAGACTAGACGGCTCCTTGACTAGAGTCGGTGTGATATCAGGCCCAAGTCCTTCAAAGCCAGCGGCTGGTAAGTTAGACAAATCCATGGCCATGCTATCTGCGTACGTAGAGAGATCCAGGTTGGCTGCCACAGATGGATCAAAGATCTGTGATTGAACATTGTATGAATCGGCCATGGATTCGGCGCCATTTTGAAATGAATCCATCATGCAGGGAGATGGTGGGTCCAAGAGCGTTTAATCTTGAGTGCTTTTCTCTGATAGCCACAATGCGGCACTCTCAGCACGGGAACGCGTACCCAAAAGAAGCCAGCAAGGGACAAGGTCAGACGAGGTGGAATCCTCTGGCTGGGAAGTTGGAACCGTAACCAACAATAAATTGAACAACTCATCCAGAGACTGGAGGCCGGAAGATATTACCGTGGGCGAGTATTGGAGTCCAGGACTTAGCGAGGGGTTACTGATTGATCCAAAAAGATGGCATTGCGTCAAGGTTGGATGAATCGAGGCACGACGAAGCGAGGCGGGACTCTCTGCAACCACAAATCTGGGCAAAGAATCTCCGACCGACGACTTCCTCCGCGCCACCGTCCACTGGGCGCTCCTGCCACCTGTGGCGCTTGAATCGATGTGCCAAGACTTGGAGACACATCACGTGTGTGTCATGTTTTAGAAATACGCTAGGCCCACGCTAACAGGTTTAGTGGGCAGGCAGACATCTCCGCTTTCCCTCTCATGCCAGTCGCGACCGCGTTTGCTCCTTCCCCATTACCTTTGGCATCTGGCATCAGTGCATCAAAGCGTTCTTCAAATTTTGACAGATCTACTCACCCATGTATTGAAAAGAAGAAATTCTGAGCATTAGTGAGGTGGTCTTAGGAAAGAATACTGATGCCAACGCCTGACGGATTAAAGGGGTTTTGTTTCTCCCATTGATTTACCCCATTGCTCGAAGGTCAAGAACACTTTCAACATGTCCCGTCTCCTTCAGATGTCCATTGCGGGCATCCGTTCATTTCCCCCGGACAAAAATGAAGTCATCAAATTTGACGACAGCCCCCTCACCCTCATTGTCGGTTTCAACGGCTCCGGCAAAACCACCATCATTGAATGCCTCAAGTTCGCCTTCACTGGTATGCAGCCACCAAACACCAAGGTGGGGGGTGCTTTTGTCCATGATCCCAAAATGAGAGGCGAGAGCACTGTGCTTGCTTTAGTCAAGGTCCAATTCACAGCATCTGACGGAGCCAAAATGGTTGTTGCTCGCCGCTTACAGCTTCAAGTGAAAAAGGCTTCTCGTTCCCTCAAGACTCTGGAGGGCTCCCTGAGAACTGTCCATAATGGTGAAACAATCACCACTTCATCTCGAGTGGCTGCACTGGATCAGTTAATGCCTCTAGCCTTGGGTGTCTCGACTGCGGTTCTCGACAATGTGATTTTTTGCCACCAAGACGAGAGCCTCTGGCCGTTGAGTGACCCTGCAACACTGAAGAAGAAGTTTGATGAGATTTTTGAGGCGCAGAAGTACACCAAAGCCATCGACAATATCAAAACCATCCGAAAGTCTCACAACGAAGAACTAGCCAAGTACAAGATCCTCGAGGAGCACGCAAAAGCAGACAAAGATCGTGCAATCAAAGCTCAGAAAAACGCAGAACGTCTGCAGCAAGAAGTTGAAACCCTACGATCGCGAGTCGAAGATCACAATGTCCGTATTACCAAAGCCCGCAAGCTAGCTGATGAGGCATGGAGGAAAGGCGAGGAATATGCAAAAATTCTAGGGTCACTTGAAGGCAAGCGAATTGAGGCACGAGGCAAGAGAGAAACCATCGATGGCTTGAGAAACGACCTAGAAGAAGTTCCAGAGTCGGACGAATGGCTCCAGAACACCTTGAGACAATTTCAAACTCGACAACAAGAGCTGAAAGAAGATATGCAAGAGAAACAAGAGAAGTACATTGACCTGCAGGACATGCTAAAAATGCTGGGCCAACAGAAGGAAGAACAGACCAGATATCAGGGCAAGTTCGAACAAGAGAGGGATGAACACGAACGACAAGTTCGCTCTCGCAGAGAAACCGTCAAGAAACTTGCCGCAAAGCATCAAATCCGAGGTTATGATGACATGGATGACGAAGTCCTGGTTGAAGAGTTTCGTTTGAAGATCAGAAAGATGGCCAAGGACCAAACAATGGCCCTTGAAAGAGTCAAGGCCGAGAATACGGCAGAAAGATCGGAAGCTTCAAGTCTTGTGAACCGATTGACCGAAAGAAAGCGGGCCCTTCAAGAAAATAAAGTCGGCATCAAGCGACAAATCGATACTAACGACCGCGAAGCAGCCGGATTTCAACGAAATGTGGATGGGATCAAGGTCGATGAAGGAACCAGAGCCATTGTTGAATCCAGGATTGAAGATTTGAACAAGAAGTTGGAACAGGCTCGCCAGGCTGCTCGAGAGGCTGATTGGGACAAGAAATTGTCCGACATGGGCATTGAACTTCACACCCACGAAGAAACACATTCACGGCTGAATGATGAACTAGTACAGTCGATGGAACGGGCCAATGACTTTGCCAAAGTGTCGCATTTGAAGCAGGAACTCAAAGACCGGCAACGCAGCTTGAAGACATTGCTCGACACACACGGTGGCCGTGTGAGCCAGATTGTGAGCCAAGAATGGAATGCTTCCAATATCGAGGGCATCTACCAGGATGTATTAAACAATGCCCACAAGGAAGCAACGTCCGCCACACGTGAGAGGGACGACGTTGCCCGGGATCTGGAGCATGTTCAATACAAGCTCAAAACGCTCCGGGACGATCTTTCTGGAAAGAAAGCGCAGGTCAGTAAGAACGATAAACAAATACGACTCGTTGTCGAAGGAGGCGCAGAAGAATACGAAGAGGCACTACGGAACGCTGAAGCGGAGGTAGATGTTGCTCGCGACGACAGCATGGGGTTTGCGGGTCTTCATGACTACTTGCAAAAGATTCTAGAGACCGCTGATGGCCCCAGCCCTGCCTGTCGTACCTGTCAACGAGGATTCAAAAAGGAAAATGATCCCCATCTCCCCAAAATGAGACGTCGAATCACAGATTTGATTGAGAAGACGAAATCACAGATTGATGCAGCCAATGTGAAGGAGTTGGAAGTTCAGTACAGACGCCTCTTGGACCTCGGCACGGCCGTGGAGACCTGGAAAAAGCTTGTCGAGGTCGAAATCCCTCATGTGGAAGGACAAGTCGCGGATCTTACAGAGCAGCGAGAGAAGCTGGTCGGCAAGATTGAGAAGCATGATAAGATCGTTGAGCAACGCGAGGAGGCGAAGCGCGACGTTGAATCTATTGGGCGGACAATCACTTCGATATCTCAAAGCGATCGAGCGATTAGCGCATTCACCAAAGATGTTGAGGATCTATCTGCCAAGCAAGGCCATGTCAATAATGGACGGACGCTATCAGAAATCCGTGAAGCCATCACGACTGCGACAGACAAGATGAAAGGTGCACAGAACCAGATTGCACGCCTGCGGAGCGAACAGGAGCAATCGCGCAGCAACATCTCTAGCATGGAGATTGAATTGCGTGAGAAAAGAGGCGAAGTTGACCGGATTGACTATCAGCTGTCGACCAAAGCTGGTTTCGTCAAGCGAGTGGAAGAAAATCGCGACAAGAACAGGAAGCTGCGCGAGAACCTGGATGAACTTGATCGTGACGTTGAAGGCTTGGACCCTGAGATCTCGACGGCGAATGCCAAGTACGAAGATATTGATCAACGATCACGAGTAAGAGAGAGAGAGCTATCCCTCGAGTTATCTGAAGTCAACGCGAGTGTTCATGAACTCAATATGCTCAGTGACCTCATCCAGGCGTACAAAGACCGCGGCGGGCCGAGTCAACTTGGTCAGGTCAAGCGCGAGCTCGACCGGATCGAAGGGCAAATCAACGAGGCGAAAGCTGACCAAGGGAATCTGACACAAGAGATGAACCTGATCAATGATCGAATCCGAGACGCAGACGCAACTCGCAGAAAGTACTCGGACAATCTGCGGTACCGGCACGAGAGCCGATCACTTGAGAGGTTGGAGGAAGAGATTCAGGAGTTGTCCAGTCGCAATGCAGAGGTTGACCGAAGCAAGTTTGAACGCGAGTCGGACAAATACACCAAGGAGCACAACCGTCTGAGCGCGGAGCAGTCGGGACTGATGGGTGAGATGAAATCTAAGGACGCACAACTAGGCGATTTGTTGCGAGACTACGAGATCGACCTAAAGGACGCCCCGGGGCGATACAAAGAAGCTCATATCAAGGTGGAGGTAACCAAAGCGGCGGTTGAAGATTTGGCACGGTACGGAGGAGCTCTCGACAAGGCAATCATGAAGTACCACGGACTCAAGATGGACGAAATCAACAAGATTGTCGAGGAGCTTTGGCGAGCCACATACCAGGGGAGTGACATTGACTCGATTGCGATCCGGGCAGACAATGAAACGGGACGTCTGAACCGATCGTACAACTATCGGGTGGTGATGGTGAAAAGAAACGTGGAGATGGACATGAGAGGACGATGCAGTGCAGGACAGAGAGTTCTCGCCAGTATCATCATCCGATTGGCGCTGGCGGAATGTTTCAGCTCAAAATGTGGCATCATTGCCTTGGACGAACCAACGACCAACCTTGACCGAGAAAACATCGAGAGCCTTGCCCGTTCACTGTCCGAGATTATCAAGTATCGGCGGGAGCAATCTAACTTTCAACTACTGGTGATTACACATGACGAAGACTTCCTGCGGTCGATGGACTGTGGACAATTCACAGACTACTACTACCGGGTTTCGAGAAATAGCAATGCAGACTCGATCATCGAGCGGCAGCGCATTGCAGAGGTTCTCTAAAAGTGGCAACCTTTGTGTGTATGTTGTCTTGGGTTGGTAGGAGACGAGAGACAACATGCCACGGATGCCAATAATAATCGCAGATAGGTAGATACCTAAGATGTAGCCTGAGGATACGAATGGATAGACAGATCTCATGGCATGTTGACTGGACAATTCCGCCCCATGTCCAAGACTTCGAATTGTGAAACATGGTCTCAGTCATGAGCAAATCGCAAATCGAGTTGTCATGTGATTGTCATGTGAAAGGCTTGGGATATTAAGTGCCCATCACGTGCCACAACATGTTTTGCAGGCAGGGACCCTTGGGGAGGGATGTTCCTGCCTAAAATAAAACTCTAAGGAAAGCCTCGTGCTTGGCAAATGGCACTTCGGAGGAAGGCACGAAAATGTCAGAGAATACGGAGTACGGCTAGCAGGCGCAACTGAGGTGACTGTGGAATCATTTGAGAGAAGGAGCGACCTGATAACACGTGCAACAATCAATACTTTGGTAAACATCCTCATGTGAACGCATTACTACTACTGTTAGTATCAATTTTACCCAATTCTACCCTTTTTTTTCCCATTCGAGCATACCTCACTCGGCGTGGTCAGGTACCCGGACGTGCGGGACTACTTAGCACGAGCAGGTTGCATTGACCCTAATCGACGCCGATCAACATCATCGCCAATACACATCATTTCCTCCTCGCCATTGACAAGGTTCACATCCCAACTTCACCCTCTCGAATAATAACCACAATTCCCATGGAGTACAGTCATTGCGACGATTCATCCTCACTCCACATAAAGTTACAGATACAGATATCTATCCGTCCCCACAATTGTCTTTGAGGCGTGGATCAAGATTATGGTTTGCCACAGAACACTATGGGTGTCGTGGTCAGTAGACTTCGCTAATATTTCACTGCCCAGGGCGCTATGGCGCCCGCTTTTATGTCCATACAGTATAGCTAAGGCTGCCTAGTCCACCTCCCCACTGATCTTTCCCAAGCCTGTCTTCTGCCCAGTCGCAAGAAAACCCTGTCGAGGCGCTTCTTCATCACGAGACATGTTCACAGGGCCCTCAAGCATCCATGCCCGCCCCCCCCCCCAAGGGCTCCATCGAGCTTGGTGCTTGAGATCCGCCATCCCAACCACCCGAAATTCAGACTTTGCGCCCAAGGAGCGTGCTAGCATACACTTTCGGCGCGGCTACGTCGGCCTATTCGTACACCAACATCCTCGCAATGAAAGAGCTCTATTTGGGAACCACAAACAGCCTTGTTTTCACCATTGGCATGCAGGTCCTGGTACTGGCTTTGCTACATTGTTATCTCCACTTTGCTCTGGTAGGTCGACGCAATACCACCGTCAACTTCCAACCATCCAACCATTTCGGTCCTTTGTCTTTTCAAGCCTCTTCTCAATATCCACCTCTTTCGATGCCCCAACGTTGGACCACCGTGCCACCCTTCTCTTTACGTGAGAGAAAGGACGCCGCGCCTAAGTAGTCCAGCCCTCGACGATTCTACTAACGACCATTGGCGCTGCTTCGTCATCCCACATCTCGGCATCGTCTGGGAGCCATGCGCAGATCGACAAGTGTGTTGACCGTGCTTGTTTTTGTAAATCCTCACTCATAACTTATCCTCATTTTTGCTTCTTCCTTTGCTTTGCAACTAGTTTGGTTGTGACCATCATACAATACGGCTCAGTCTTATCTTTCCGAAGGACAGCGACGGTGCTACAAATTCGCCCTTTCGCCAACGAGGTACCTCGTTTGTGTTTCATGCGTAGCTCCCACACATAAATACCCAGGTGACAAAGACCTGTGAAGGGTCACAGGAGCCCGTCCCGCCGCTCCTGCAGACTTGGTCTATAAGTGGCTTGTAGACCAGATCAATCACTCTGAGGAGCGTCAAGGTAGAATCATGGTGGGAAGAAAACTATTGGCTGCACTGTTGGCGGCTACCTCAAGCACAGCGTAAGCACCTCTTGAGTTGAAACTTGATGCCTCGTGTTGCTGACCTATTGATCAGGACCCCTATACTGAAACGAGACTTCGCATATGGTTCAACGCCGGTGCGAGGTGTCAATATAGGAGGTTGGTTGCTGCTCGAACCTTACCTCACTCCATCCATATTTGAGCCGTTCGGTGGTAGCGTTGTTGATGAGTATACTTTTACACAAAACGTGGCCAACGCCGGCGACATTTTACAAAGTCACTGGGACAGTTGGGTGTCCTTGGAAGATTTCCAAAAGCTCGCCAACAATGGCTTCAATCTCGTCCGTATTCCCATAGGCTACTGGGCCTTTCAGAAGTATCCGGGCGATCCTTATATCCAGGGCGCAGCAGATTATCTGGAGAAGGCCATTGGCTGGGCTCGACAGACGGGACTTGTAGTCTCGATTGACTTGCATGGTATTTCATCCTCGCGATAGCTTATGGCGCTTCTTCCGGCCAATTCTAATTTTGCCAATACAGGTGCGCCTCTGTCACAGAATGGTTTCGACAATTCCGGCCAGAGGACGTCTGACCCCGGCTGGACTAGAGACACCACAGTCGATGTGACTCTCGATGTTATCGGAATCATATCACGGAAGTATGCTACCAGCGAGTACTCCGATGTGGTTGCGGCCATTGAACTCATCAATGAACCAGTGGTGACCTCCCTTGACGGCGGAAAGGATGCAGTGGTATCTTACTACCAACGAGGATTCGATATCGTGCGATCATCAGGCCAAACCCCAGTCGTTATCTCGGACGGGTTTGACAACCCCTCGGAATGGAATGGCATTTTGACCAGTCAAGGTGCCATCGTCGACCATCATTATTACCACTCTTTTGGACCGGTGCATCTCTCTTACGACGAGCACGTCCAAGCTGTCTACTCCGACGCCGAGACTTGGGCCCGGGGTCAGGACAAATTGGTAGTGGTCGGTGAATGGTCTGGTGCCATGACCGACTGCGCGCCCTTCCTCAACGGCGTTGGATATGGCGCCCGATATGATGGGACATATTTCAAACAGAACCCAGATGGCACGTATACCACTTCCGAGTACATCGGCTCATGCGCCATCAGGAACCACATCGAGCAGTGGGACGACGGATTGCGCGCCGCCACCCATGCATATTTGGCCGCCCAGCTTGACGTCTATGAAAATCAAGCTCAGGGCTCGATCTTCTGGAATTTCAAGACAGAAGGCGCCGCCGAGTGGGATTTGTTCCGCTTAATAGATTACGGTGTATGGCCAGGTTTCAACTAGCTGGATAACAGCACTGCGTTTGCACCTGGGAGAATGTCTGCTGGCTGAGGAACACGTGAGCAGCAGTCATCAAAACATACGGTCGGAGTTACGGGCATTATGTGCGAACCTTTTCCGCCTGCAGGCGTGAAATAATGAGAGTAATAGACGAAGTGTGATCGCAGTAAGCGTGCAAGAGAGATAGAGAGAGAGAAAGAGAGAGCATCTAGATGCATATACCCGTGGTATGCGGGACGAGCAATGGCAAATACCCTCCAAAACACCTACAGAATGTGGTCGCTTTGGTCAGAAGACCAACACCATGGTCCATATCAAGTCCCAAGGAAAGGAAAAAAAGGGATAATTGAGACACATCATGCATACATGCATCGCATTGTATTTGAAGCCTTTCTAATTGAACCATCCATCCGCTGTAGCATTATTTCATCGTACCTGGACATTTCGACTACTCAATGACAAAGCCATCCGTGGTGGCTTTGACCACCTTTTCGAAATCCACATTCTCCTCAATCTCGAGCAGCTTGGCGTCCAGCACATCCACTTGAATGTACGGCTTGTCCAACTCGAAGCTGACCGTCATGGGGAAGAATTCACTGTCGTCGTCCGTCTGGGCCTCAAACTCAAACGCTCCGCTCGGGTTGCTCACATCGACGCTGCCAATTGTCCATTCCAGACTGTCTCCCGTGACCTGATAAATGGCGTCAAACGATGACACCGCCGGCTCGGCCGACGAATACGGAATCGTCACCACCACGTTGTTGAGAGTGTGGGCATCTGGGTTCAGCAGCTCGTACTCGATGGTGATGGTGTAGCTGTCGTCCGACTTGTTCACCCACGCCGTGAACGTGATGGGTAAGACGTCATTGCTGTCGGCTGGGGCGGTGGCACGCCAACGAAGGACCCCAATAGAATTGTTGGTTGGGAATCGCTTGGTCGTGTCTTTGAGCTGAACGACCTTGTCTGATGTGAAGAGGTTTCGGTCCACATTTGGGTGAGTTCGGAACTGGGCTTTGAGAGGTCCTTCGACCGCCTGCACCGATAGAGAGAGTTTTGTGAGCGCTGGGTCTGTGATCTTGACCTGTAGATCTCCCTTGACCTCAAAGCTCTTCAGTGTGCCCTCACGAGAGAGCTTGGCTGACAGGGTTTCGTTGACGGCGATCGTAATGGGCGAGGCACTTGACAAGCTAGATTCGTGATGGGCATGAGATGAGGAGACGGTGCGGTCGGGCAATGTGGTCTGAGGAGAGGCTGCAGGGGGTGGTTCGAGTTCCTCGGGACCAAGATCTTGTTGCACCTTGGCGAATGCATTGGATGTTTTTGATTTCTTGTTCAATTGCATGCCCTTTGTGGGACGAGATGCGGCAAACTTGCTGGCCGTCTTGTTCTTTTCGGCTTCATAACTGTCGTAAGATTCGGGTCGTGTTGGAGGCGTGTATGTAGGTTGTTGAGGAATCTTGGGAGCCATGCCCCGTTGGTATGCAGCCGCCTTGGAAGCCTCTTTCCTCTGTAGTTCAAGTTGTTTGGCCTTGCGCTTGCGTTCTTCCGAAGCCTCGAGTTCCTTGTTTCGCGCGATGATTTCTTGGATGCGCTCCTCGTGAGATTCCATCTCGAGAAATGTCTTGATCTGGGAAAGAGAAAGATTCTCTCGATAGCCCATGGTGACCAGTTCGTCAAACGCCGATAAGAGGTCAAATGCATGTCGCAGAATCTCTCGCTCATCGGCCTTCTTACAGATGGAGGTGACCACCTGGCCAAAAAGGTGCAGGCTGTCTATGTCTTGGAGGATGTTGGATTGCTTGTTTGTGATGAGGACGAGGTAGAGCTCATCGAGAGGTTGATAGACAAATCGAACATTCTCGCTCTCGACGGTCGTGTGCTGTGTGGAAGAGTCGGCGAGTTTGGGAAAGGAGGCCAGTAGAGCCTCGACCCTGGATTTTTGGATCTCAACGAACTGCCGCGAGAGTAGTGCCTTACCTCCCCTCGTACAAATCGAGGCTGCCAGAACAACCATTGTCGGGAATTTGCCTGAGTATTGGAGGACAACGAGAGAAGGGACAGGCTGCGTTGAGGGCCAGTTCTGTGAATGAGGGTGGTTCTAGGAAATATGTTGATGTGTGAGGGGGGATTTGGGAATTGAGGCCAGCAGGGCCAGTGGCTGCACGATTCTGTAGAGGACACGGTCAGGGTAATTTAAAGACCGTCAGACTGGGAGGTTGGCACTAATGGAGCCCATATTTGGCGTCTTCAAGCACATTATTCCTTGTCTGACAACTATATATTCACTACAATGCACCCCTGTCGGTCCAGGTGCTACGAAGCCGGTAGCTATTGAAATGGATTTGCTCACAGACAAGTGTAAACACCAATCCACATCACTAGAAACTCTACATAGTCTCTGACTCAAGACTGTGCATACAATCTCATCGTCAATATCTCCCTCGACGCGCCACACGTGGGATCATGGGCTGCACGATGGCACGTAATGCTCCGCAGTGGCTGACTAGCATCTATCTAACTCAAAACAGGCAAGCGTCAGTGACTCGTGACTGCGCTTGAAGAGTCTTGGCAGTCACCCTCCTTCGTCTCTGTTTTCGTCGCCTACTCCGTACTTTGATCCAGACACTCGCGGCATTTGAAAGCCATCCTTCTTGAATTTTCTTTTCTCGTCTTATCAAGATTGTTGCCTTGCGCACTCATCATTTCTGCCTCAAGTCGATCTTGAAAATGCCTGTACTGCTGAAATTGCAAATCAGCTACGATCCTTGAGTTTTGAAGCAGTCACTCTCGCCCCACGACACTGTTGCCTTCGCATTCCTCCCACTCGCCCCAGATTCCCGCCTCTTCCTGAGACCCCTTCATTTCAGATCCAAAGCCAATCTCACATCGCTTTGAGTCACACTGAGTCTGCTTACATTTCCACGAACCGCGTTCGATCTCGGGGCGTCCGCCTGTTGGCTACCTAGAATCCCCCCTTGCAGAATGACCACCGCCCCTTCCCTCCTGTTCCCTTCCATCGACACGTCATCCTTGGACGACAAAATGGACGTCGCTTCGTCTCCCTATCGTCAGTCAGAAGACATTGACATCGAGCTTGAGTCTGTTCATGATCCTTCTGTGATTGAAGACGACATGGTTGATTACAATCCAGAATCTTTCCTAGATTCAGGTGAAGCCAGGCAAGATCAAGCCGATAATGAATATCTCGACGACGATGACATGTTGGACGACGCCCCTCCCTCTGCGTCAGAACCCTTGGATTACACCATGGATGCCCCTACTAGTCCGTCGCAACAAAAGCAAGACGAAGATGAAGATATCTTGTACGAAGACGACGACGACAATCTGATCACCTCTCATGATGCTGCAGAAGAATCTATCGGACTCGAACATCTCGAACATGAGCCTGCTGCCGACGTAGAACACCCCCAACAGGAAGATCTCGAGGACCTCATCGATGTTACTGAGCAAGATTACCTGTCACCTAATACTAACCAAGTAGAAGAAGCAACAGCAACCGTCGGCCCCTTGACCACTGCACTTGAAGATTCCTCAGCTACGGTTGCAACATCCTTGCCAACTGGAACCAATCAACCGGCTCAGGAGACCCTGGACACGAAACTACCAGCAGATGTCCAAAAGTCTGTGGATGACCTGGATGCGTCCGTTCCTGATCCAACATCCCTCCCGGAGGACCCCGATTCTGAACTCAACGGCGAGGAAACTGTTACCCTTGCTCAAGATCCTGGTGACTCCCCGCAAGATCTGCATCCAGTGACTGTCGTCTATTTGGACGATGAAATGTCCCTATTCCCTCCCACCATCAGCGATGGCTCCTCGCTGTATTTTCTCTCCGACACGTCGCTCGCATTTGAGCCTTTGGACAAACTACTAGCCGCCTGTCGCGAGGTTCTAGTCGGAACCTTGGACCATCATGACGAGCTTGTTCTCGATATACCCGGACTGGGGCTTCATATTTGTGAAGATTCCAGGTACGCTGCCGAGATCACGCTTAACCAGGTCCTTGAGGTGTATCTCAGCTTGTGCCACAACCAGGCATTAGAGCCAATCCATCCTCTCTATTGCCAACTCAGCAGCCGTGTCAGCCTGGCCTCACAGTACGAGTACCTGGTTGCTTCTGGTGCTGAAGGCAAGTCTTTTGCTGAAATTGCCGCCGACCATGTAGATAGCCCCTTCGATGACGAAGTCAGTGCACATCAACCAGGTGCGACTACTCCTGTTCAGGATGGTTCTGATGGTGAGCACACTGTTGCTGCAGAAGAAGAAACGGCTGTCCATAAGGATGATGGCCTCCAGCAGTATGCACATGACCCAGAACCTAGTCAATCCACCGCTGAAGATTCACAAATCGGCCAAGTTGCAGACAAAGTTCAAGAAGTCGGCGCCCAGAGCGATGCTGTCGAAGTGAATGGCGAGAATGACCAGCCGCAGGATGGTCCACTTGATGAGACGGCTGCTGAGTTGGACGTCCAAGGTGCTTCGAGCGACGAACACGTTCAATTCACCGAGTCTGATGAACACCAAGGCACCCATGCCGATGAGTCAGAGTACCATGACACCGGCGAGCCCGAATTTGACGCTGAAGCCGAAGATGTATTTGACCCTGATGTCGACGATGGCCAAGATCAAAACGACGCTACTGTCGGCTCCGTGACAGAGGACGGCATATATGACGACGAGGAATTGTTTGCTGAAGGCGAGGATGAGACCCTTGTCGCGAACGTATCATCGACTCTGGATCCCCACGAAGCTGCGCAAGAGGTGTCTGCAACCGTTGTCCCTGATGGCACCGAAGTCACGCCCGCAGAGGCAGATTTTACACGTCATAACACAGAGCCAGACGTCAATCCAACCACAACCGACGGCCTACACGCAGCAACCAACACCACGGCCAGTCCACCCGTCACTCCATCAAAGAATAAGCTCGTCAAGAGGAAGGCTGAAGAGGACGATGAGTTCGATTTTCTCGATCTCAGTACACCTGAACCGAAGCGGCGACGGCCTTCTTAGAGGCATGATACAGCCAGGATATGTCGGGGATTTCAATTTTCCAATTCGAAGTCACGAGCAACACTACCCAGGCCAACAATGTCGAATAGCAAGCCGCCGGAACCAAGGATCTCCACGCTACTAACTGAGCAGGTATTTGCACCGTAGAAGTTTGGCAACACACAACCCCCCGACCCTGGAAAAGCATGCGATCTGTTTTGTCTCCACCACCCCCTGCAGTGACATTCCCCGTCCCCCATATTCATGTACTAACAACCAGCACTACGACCTTTCAAAAAGTTCAGCCCACACAGCTTGCGCAACAGTCTTTCCAACAACCATCGTCACCGTCCACTTGTCTCGGCCTTGGGATGAAAACTTGCCAAGTCTCGACCCCAGGTCGATGACGCCAGATTGATGACCTCAGACACATATTGGTGACTGCACTGGTTGGGAGGGTGGGGTGCAGTACACTGTAAGTTTCATCCAAGGTGCAAGAGCTAGGAAATACTTGGGGTGAAGGCAAGACAAGCATCAACAGCGTTTGGCATGGACTGGGAGCAATGGTCTCAGGCAAGGTGATGATGGACAGGAAGCAGTAGGTGATTGCTCATGTCCACATGGCATTGCAGATGCGGAAATAGAACAGGAGCTCGATGGATCATGACATCTGTGTCTTGTATTCTCATTGACGTTTCATGTACATTCCAAGCATGATAGAGATTGCGAGATGCGCAAGCAATGAGATAGACTGGGAGCTCAAGTACCTCATGATGGTCCTCCTGATGACATTGGGTTGACATACTCATTCGTGAGTGTCCAGTAGTCCTTGTCAGGTACGGCCCAGACCCAGCCAATCACACTTTCAGCATTTCGCATCAAGCATAGTTTACAAAGCACGTGGGGTGTGTGAGACATCAATGGCATATGATTTTCGCATTATCGCATTGGATGCATGTATAGTTTGTTATTCTGTGCTGGACATGAGCAGTCCACGCTGTCTTATAACATGTCCGGGTGGTGACGCAACATCGCAGTACAACAGCCACAGAAAGCAATGGTGGCCCAGGACTGGTTGCATCTCCCATACGGAAATGAGTTGATTGAGTTGATCAATGGTTTTGATTCACTTTGTCCTCGCGGCTTCATACATGGCTCTGGACTTCGGTCGACTTGGCGCCATGTGCGACTTTCTCTGATGGACCAACACTGGTCTCGCTCGTCTCATCGCCGCTGGTATTCCTCTTGGTTGAAGGAGCATCGACAGGCTTGGGCTTGGTGAATGGCCAGCGACCCTTAGTCTCCTTAAAGCGGAGAAGAACGAAACCGGCGATGACGAAGATCCAAAAGACGTTGTACGAGATGACGCTGCCGTAGGTGGCACTGTTCTGCCAGCCGAAGAGGGCGTTGAAGATGCCCCAGCCGCCGCCACCGTTCAGCTCGGGGTTGCAGCAATTGACGTGCCAGACACTGCGTCGAATGTCATAGGATCCTGGTCCAGAACCATTCTCTGCAGCGTCACCGCCTGTGGCCTTGTTCCAGGCGTTGGCTTCAAAGTACCAGACGGCCTTGGAGAAGAGACCAGCGGCAACCAAGTACAAGAAACAAGTACTGATGATCAGAAAGACCTGCAGAGGAGCCATGTTGCCACACTTGTAGATGATAAAGCCAACGAGGATTCCAGCGGCGAGGCCACAGACGGTAGCCAGGGGAATGGAGGTGGCAGGCAAAGCCAGGCCAACACCAGCGACAAAAACGATGGCCTCGAGACCTTCTCGCAGAATGGTAATGAAGGGAAGCAAGAACATGGCGTACTTTTCTGCCCAAGCCTTGAAGCGGGTGCCAAGTCGGGCGTTACGGTTGTCTTTGGCTTCGAGAGCCTTTGCCAGCTTGACTCGCCATTTGGCTTGGAGCTTAGAGATGCGAAGGAGAGCGGCACCGACGAGGGCGATGATTACAGACGCAATGATGGAAAAGACTCCTTCCCAGATGTATTCTGCTGGGCCCCAATTGTCTTTACCAATGCTGTAAAAGGCCCCGATCAGCCCGGCACCGATGATCAAACATATGGCGAAGCCTATCCCAGTTCCCCACCATATCTGAAGAAATCAAGTTAGCTTGCTGGTTGGAGAAGGAAGCTCGTCAGCAGTTTGGTGCGAACCTGTTTGCGCAGCTTGTTGTACACTGTTTGATCCTGGTCAGGGCCGAGTTGTTGCTTGAGGAAGGAGAGGAGGACTGAGACAATGATACTCGTCTCAAGAGTTTCTCGGAAAACGATGAAGAAGACGGGGACAGCAAAGACCTGAACCATTTTGCGTGTGCTGTCTTGCGATAAACTAATCTGGCTGGCCGAATGTTGCGAAGGATGTTAAAGAAACCACCTCTGAAGTCTGATAAAAGAAAGATCAGAATTATGGCAAGCAGAATGTGTCGAGAGGATGGACAAAGAATGGACAATATCTGATCAGATAAGATGTCCTGGGTTGAGCAGACAAGGTGGAGGGTGGAGGGAGGAGTGGAGCTGGACTTGTTGCATCCACCATCCGAGAGGGATTTCCAAGAAAGGTCCGAGGATCAGGTGTGAGGCACCGACCATCAGGAATCCAAAAAAAGGTCAGACCAGAAAAGCAGCGCCGATACCGCAAGCACATGTTGCCGCGAGTCGAGGGATGACAATCCGTGCCCAATTGAGAACGAGTTCAATGCTAGGGCACAGACGAGTCGCAAGGTTTGTACTTTGAATTTTTTCTCCTTGCAGGACGCTATTACTACTGCACGATGCAGCTCATACTCTGAACACTTTTCGGCACTAACAGAGTTACCAATGGCGGTTCTCGCACCGATTCCTGTCGTGCTCTTGGAAGTGAGATGACTCTGCAGCTCTGCTGATTCTCCCACTCATGTCGTCAAATAACGAGGAAGACCTTTGCAAAGGCGACTGACTAGTTACTTGCCATCTTCTTCTCCCGTTCTGGCACGATAGAATGGTTCAAGCCATCAGGTGAGGACAACAAGAGAGTGGGTCTACGATTGCCAGCTTCGTGGGTCAACACAAGGTTGCTCCTCTACTGTACTCCGTACAACGCAGAATGCTTGGTGTTCGCTTGAAAGAGCACCAAGAAAGCTTAGGCTTTCCACTGAATTTTCCGACCTTCTGGATAACACGGCACCCAAGGTGGACCATTGTTCCAGTACAACTAACCCCCGACAATCCTTTCCAACCACGACACACCGACGATCCAAAGATCAAAATTGAGTTGAATGAAAAAAGTCAGACCGCCGTTGAATTTATGTAAGACGAATTATCAGATAAGACAACGGTTGCCACGATGCGACAGACTCGCTAAATAGCTGAAGTGATTGGGCCTAGATTGTCCAGATTAGATCAGATGAACACAACGAGGGGAAGAATCACACCACTCGAGCGCCAATCTGATTGAGGCTGCGGAGTACTTAGAGAGATTCAAGTGGACAGAGAGTTGTAGCCAGCCCACGACATGTGCCGATCCACCAGACACCAAGGATGGGCTATGACATGGGTATTGGATCGATTCGATTCGATTGACAAACACAAACACTTTTCTATGCATGTAACACCCTCCAGCACTTTACAGGAATATGCAGACGAGAGTAACGAGAAAAGGTGGCTCGTGTCAGATGGAGTCCAAGTGTCGCGTCGGATGGATAGTGGGTGGTCGAGACTTTGAAAGGCGCTGCTCGGTCGCTCCTTCCCGCCGGGAGAACTCCACTTAGGGGTCGCACCTGCCCCCGTTGTGAAGGCCAATGGACCGTCTGCACCTTCCTCTATCGACTCTTGGAAGCTTGGAATCCACCGCACAAACCACGCTTTCGCCAAGCAACATTGGCAGTTCTCAATTCCAATCTCCTGTCAAACTTCTTCTCCTTCGGCCTCTATTTTTACGCCCTGTCACAGTCTTCCAGTCTTCCAGTCTTTCGGCCTTTCAGCCTTCCAGCCTTCCAGCTTCTCCTCAAGATCCACATGTTAGTCGATCCTTTGAAGCTCTGGACCCTGCAGCAGCAGAATCAGACGCATCATACGGTTCCTTTGCCCGAGCTTCAGTCTCGATCATTGCCGTTTTGGCCCCTCTCATGCTAAACACTTCACATAGACACACTTTCTCTCTCGGTAGCGTCCTCTTCACACCACTTCGGATATGTCACCATTGCCGTTGCCCAGGGCTTCTTCCGTTCCCCTGGCCCGCCTTTTCTCCTCCCTGGTTCCGTGTTGGCCACTGGCCACGTAGCAAGGTTCTCGCTTCCATCAGCAGAGACCATGTCCAGATGTCCCCATACCCAGATGCGATGCGATCGTCCATCGCGTGACAATCTAATCTAATCGCTCACCACACCTCCACGTCCCATCCTATACCGGAGCAGCATCGGACCTCTCTCGCATCCATGTGCAAGCCATCATGACTAGACCCGCATGCCCTCTTTTTTCACACACTACCCTGTTAGGTAAGGGCCTGTGCCTTTTGTGAAACCGTCATGGATCTTATCTGATCGCAACCGTCGTTGTTTGCTCTCTCTTTTCCTTCACAACCATCCTACATCACCGTGTCTTTACTCTCGACACCACACACCCTCGGAGGACGACAGCCATCATGGCCCTGTCCTTGTCCAGCTTCCTCGTCTCATCCATTCTCTTCTGTGCCACTTTGATTACTGCTGAAACCCGTACCTACGACTTCACCGCCGGCTGGGTCAATCGAAATCCAGATGGTCAGCACGAGCGACCCGTCATTGGCATCAATGGCGAATGGCCTCTTCCCGCAATCGTCGCAAATGTTGGCGATCGCGTCGTGGTCAATTTGAAGAATGATCTAGGAAATCAGTCAACCTCCATCCATTTCCACGGTCTCTTTCAGAACGGCACAAATCATATGGATGGTGTTGGCTCAACAACTCAATGTCCTATTCCTCCAGGATCCTCATTTACTTACAACTTCACCGTAAGACCCATGCCCCATTCTGCTTGGATTCGTCTCTAACCAATTTAAATAGATCGATCAGCCAGGCACATATTGGTACCACTCACATGTGGATGGCCAATACCCAGATGGCCTTCGTGGTCCTCTGATCGTGCACGACCCCGAAAATCCATATGCTGACCTCTATGATGAAGAACTGGTTCTGACTTTGTCTGATTGGTACCACGATCAAATGCCCGGTCTAATTGCCAGCTTCCTCAGCGTCACCAATCCAACTGGTGCCGAACCTGGTAAGACTCTCTTTCGTAATAGACTCTCCACTCCTGCTCACCCAAGCAGTCCCTCAGGCCGCTCTCATGAACGACACCCAAAACCTGGAGATTCACATCGAACCTGGCAAAACCTATTTCCTCCGCATCATTAACATGGCAGCCTTTGCCGCTCAGTACTTCTGGATAGACGGTCACACCTTCCGAATCATCGAAGTTGATGGCGTCTATCATGAGCCGACCGAGGCAGAGCAAATCTACCTGACAGCTGCACAGCGCTATGGCGTCCTGCTCACCACCAAGAACGAGACCGACGCAAATTACGCCATTATGGGATCCATGGATGAGGATCTGTTCGATCAGATTCCAGATGGCTTGAACCCCAATGTCACTTCGTACCTGGTCTACGATAGTGCTCTACCCCTCCCGGAGCCGGCAGACATTGACGAATTCGATCCTTTCGACGACATGTTGCTCGTTCCAACTGATGGCGAAGAGTTATTGCCCGATCCTGACCTAGTCGTTACACTCGACGTCGTCATGGACAATCTCGGCAACGGTGCCGTAAGTGTCTCGTCTCTCCATGAAAGCTCCATTTTCTGACCCTCCCCAGAACTATGCATTCTTCAGTGGCATCACCTATGTCAAACCCAAGGTCCCATCTCTATACACAGCTCTAACATCCGGCGAATACGCCACCAACGCCAGCATATACGGTGTCAACACCCACTCGTACGTTCTCGAACACAATGAAGTGGTTGAAATCGTCCTCAACAACCAAGACCCGGGCAAACATCCATTCCATCTTCACGGTCATGCCTTCCAGTCGATCCTTCGTAGTGAAGAGGAAGCTGGTGACTTCGACCCCGAGTCTGTGACTAATGGATCGGTCGTCCTACCCCAAAAACCTATGAGACGAGATGTCCTACTTGTGCGACCTAATGGTCACATTGTCATGCGCTTCCGAGCAAATAACCCTGGCGTGTGGCTATTCCATTGTCACATTGAATGGCACGTGGATTCTGGCCTGGTCATGACTTTTGTTGAGGTTTGTACTCACCACTCGTGTATACCCCATCTTCCGTCGACTAATTTGTCTTTCCCATTTAGGCGCCTCTTGTGTTGCAGCAGACCATCACAATCCCCGAGGATCACTTTGCGGCATGCGCCGCGCTTTCTCCACCAATGGCCACCGCAGGAAATGCTGCAGCCAACACGGTCGACCTTCTGGATCTTCAAGGCCAGAACCTCTCTCCCGCTCCACTGCCCTCAGGCTTCCAAGCCAAAGGTATTGTTGCTTTGACCTTCAGTTGCCTGGCAGGTCTGATTGGTGTGGGAGTCATTGCTTGGTACGGCATGGGCGAGATGACCAACCTTGAAAAGGAAAGACAGGTGGACCATGTCATGCATATTCAAGACGAGAGAGGCATTGTCAAGACCGAATCCGCGACAGGTAGTGTTGGCGGGCCCGACGCTGGCGTTGGCGTCAGAGATACTATTGAGACCGCCAGGTGAAGATGGTAACATGTTCTTGAAAGATATACGCCGTCCTTTGTTTGGTCCGACTCAAACTGCTCGTTCCTACCAACAAGCTGGTGATGAGGTGCAAATCCAGGATCGAGTGGATGGCGGCGAAGTCAACCACTCTAATGTAGCTACGCGAGCATCAGATATGTCGTCCAAAACGACCGTTATTAATACACTATTAGCCAGAATTGTCTATTTCTAACCAACGTTTGACCTAGAGGACCTAGAGGTCTGTCTGTCTGTCTGTTTAGCTCTTGAGACGCACATCCTCGCTTGGTATAGAGTCTAAGTCCACCACTACCATCTTCCGGTCTTGAAACGGAAGCGACTCATCCATCTCCTCTCGTCTGCCTGGCGTTCAAGAGCCAGCCTCATTCTTTGGGCATATTCCTCTTCCTTGTGTCTGAGATCTCTCAAAGTGTCCTCTTGTTGGCCGGCCGACTCCATCGCGTTCACGACTTCACGATGATCTAGTCGCTGTGGTTGAGTCGTGACAATGCCGACTCGCTCACCGGTCCAGACCAATAAGTCGTCATCTCCTCTCTTGCCATAGCCGTAGGTATCGGAATCTACAGAAGACGCAGGCATCGTTGTCAGTGGCACAATCTTCCGCGCGACTTCATCACCGGACCGACTCGTTGTCAGCATATTGGAATTGATGCCTGTTCCAATAGCCTTGGCATCGAGATCGAATGAATTTATATTCCAGCGGCGCACCAGACTGCGGCCGTCACGTTCCACCCACTTCAAACCGCCTTCGCTGTCCGAATACACAATGCGCGTGCCGTGCGTGGCAACACTGAGTAGTTTCGACGATGACGCATCTTGTCGGTTCTTATAGCTATATGGGTGGTCCAACGAGGCAGAACCGTCGTCCAGGTTATTAGAGACTTTGACATGAGGCAAGGAGTAGATCTCCAGCGAGCCACGGCCACGATACTCACCACAGGCAATCAGTGTCGATGTCCCCGGTCGACTACTACCACTCATGGCCGGAGGGTAAGGGATCGAGGCCAATGCAGAAAGCGATGCTGACGAGTGAATGACATACTGTAAACGTGGGAAGTAACGGCGGTCGTAGGACAGAATGCTAGGGAACCGCCCGCCGGCGAGAATTTCGTGTTCTGAATGATGAAGGATTGCCAGCGGACCGGGCTCCACGCGTGCGTACGCCATCCAATGTGGGTTTTGGAGCCGGTGAGAGGGTTCCCACGAGGGAGATCCAGGCGCCCAGATCGAGGGACCTGGGTTTGCTGAGAATGGTGAGCTGATTCCAAACTGTGTGGGGAGCTTGTTGGCATCTTCGGTCAGATTCGGTAACAGTGCAGTGGATGTCCCTGCTGTAGCTGGAATAACCTCTAGAGATTCGGTGCTTTCGTTTGACAGCGGCTTCACGGGAGCGCTTGGATCGACGATGTGAAGACTCCATTGAGTCCCCACCGTTAATGGAGGCATCGAGTCGGAAGATTGTGATAGCGCCGTTATGGGCCATGAGTACTTGGATCGAGATACCACTTGCATCGTGTTGAGGTCTACTTCGTTCAGTGTCTTGTCAATGGCGACGAAGGCCCTTTTCTGAGCTGGGAACGAGCTGACACAGTCAACCACTAGGGTTTCGGCTGCGGTGTCCAGGTCTGTCGACGGTAACAATGGTTTGCTCCGGCCGAGTTCGGCGAACCTTCGTTTGCCATTGCTGTCTGCTCGGAGATCCCAAATCCGCAAACTGTGATCTTCCAGGTAACCGATTAGTCTGGTGGAGTTGTCAAAAACCGAAATGCCACGGATTTCGTCCTGGGTTCTCTGTGCTGAATCCATCCATTCCATCCGCAGAGGAGCATGCCTGGCCTTGTACTCCGAGTACCAGTCGATGCGTTCGTTCTGGTCCGAGAGATCCCATCGATTGACAGCACGTGCGCGCCGGCTAGCATATGTCTGAGGCTCTGGTCGCTGGGAAGAATTGGCCGGCGCCGCTGGTGGAGGATTTGATCGGTCGTCAGACAATGAAAGACTCCTAAGAGCGCCGGTCAGACTCTTGAGAATATCTTTTTCCCCACCCATGGTCGCACTGGGAGATTTCTCGAAACATTTGTACCTCCAGAGCGTGTTGGTCCGAGCTGACTTGGAAAGCAAGTGGCAAGTCTGCTGTGCAGAGATAAGATCCTCGGCCTCGAGATGATCGAGCACATCGACCAGTATTTCTTGAGGTAGGATCTCCATTTTCTGTGGTTGAAAACTGGTTGTCTATCGCAATAAGGGCGGTTATGTAGTTACGTGGACATTCAGCACTAGATAAAGTATATGAGGTCAATATGTGACCGGCGAAAGGTGCATGTTCACCATGGACTGAGCATTATCCTTGTCGATGACAGAGAATAGGATTCTCAAGACCCTCGTTCAGTGAGATAGCAATCTTGTTCGCAATATTGCTGTCATCGACCGAGGAAGGTTGACGAGGCTGAGGTGTCAGGTCAAGGCTGAGACCAGAGACTCAAATGGAAATCCGTAGATTCTCGGAACAGAGAGTGACTTATCGGGCGCAGGGGGTCCCCACACGCCTACGGCCTTCTTCGCTACGCTATGATTCATGCGGAACAACAATACACCCGCAGAAGCAAGTTTGTGTTTCCGGCCACTTGGATAATTTAAATGGGCAAAAAGGAACATGAAAAACACTAAAGAAATTGATACCGTGCCATCATTTGAGAAGTGCAAAAAGTATTTGTCAATAAGAAGTGACGAAAAGGACAAAAAGGAAGTTGCCTCCGTTGAGAGTCGAACTCAAGACCTCGGCATCACTTGTACTGTGTACTAGTGCCGCGCTCTACCAACTGGGCTACAGAGGCAAACGAATCCGCTTGCTGTGACAAGCTTCGTGATTTGTTGATGCAACTTCGAACTTACAAGTATATGAATGATCAAAACTAAGTGTTTACTCTGTAACCCTACCTTTGTTGTCCACACCTTTTCATAACTGTTCGGTCCTTCTTAAGTCATGTAAGGTCAATGTACAGCAGATTTGAACTATGCGTTGACAAAAAATGATTTTCCAATGCCTGATTTACTGGAAGATAACTACTTAGCCACAAGAATACCTGCATGCTGCGTCTATCTGCAGGGCAAATGCCCTAAACTGGCGTATTTAACTCCTCACCAGCCACCCTCGTGATAAAAGCAACGAGTATTTCCCGGCTTTGGTGCCTAAGCTTTCACACGATGGATAGACCTTGTTCAAGAGGTTCTAGGGGAAAGATGAGCCGAAAAATGTGGTGAGAACCACTCTGAATAACATGAATCTCCACGTCGCGTTTTGTGCTAGTCGTCGAGTTATGAATTAGCCTGCTTGGTCGACGCCGAGATGGCGTTCCTACTGCACTCAACCTTGACCTGTTCCGTCCACCTCTTCCGCTGATCCGCATCCTCGATGCGGTCACAGGCCTTTTGGAACACGACTTGTCCATCTTGTTTGAGCGTGACTAGCTGTGCCGAGAAATGAATGGTCACATGTTCTGGAGACTTCGATATTAGACGAACGAGTGGCCTTCCCCCCCGTAGTTCTAGGCTTGGTTGGTCCGCAGACAAAAAGATTTTGAACGTCCCTTTCTGGGTAACGGACACACGTTCTCCATCCCAATACTGCTTGAAGCTGTATCCGTAGCGTGCAGCTGGGCCTTTCCTCCCAGCCGAAGTATAGTTATGTCCGTTTGATTCATGTTTTGCCCTGATCGCACTCCCAATCTTCCTGATAAGGGCATCAGCTAGGGAGTCCCCGCAGTCAAGAATAGTAGAGGGACGTTGAGATAGGTAGTTGGCCGCCCAGATCAAGAATGTGGCTTGATATTCGTTCTCAGTAAGGGCTCTACCTAGAACTTCCTCGCGCTGTCGATACTGGTACAGCTCTTGAAGTGGGGCAGCACCAGGGATACCTCGTAAGGTCACCGATTTCGTTGCTGTGAAGAACCCTACTCTATCGTCCTTACACTGTATCCATAGAAAAAAACTAATACCCGCATCGAGAATAGTTGCGTATGTCGAGGCATATGAGGGATGAAAGAAACCCGATGACGGATGAGGGATATATAGCGTAATGCGCCGGAGATGATCAGTTCCGAACTCTAGCTCGATCTCAATATTAATTGTAGACGACAAGCTCAAAGTTGTTAATCTGGATGTAGGTAAAAGGGTCCTTTGGTAACTAGACTTTGCGCAGGACCCTCCCACAATTAACCAGGGTAAGTCGAGGATGTTAAGGATGTCCGAGGACAACTTGTCGTGCAGTAAGCGCTTCTCGGACGCCCAGACACGAGTAGGGCAAGTTGATCTTCCGGGGCGTCGTGCAGTTTCTTCGGCGCGCCAGTGCCAATCGAAACCGAAAACAAAGTCGGAGTTGAGGCCTTTCGCAAGGAGAGCTTGGATAGTCGGACTTTCTGGGTCCCAGAACTCCCCAACTGGTCCCCTCTTAGATTGGCAATGTAGAACAATGCCGAGTGCTGCGTCCACCGGGCCCGAGGGCGTGCTTAGCCTGTCTCGTGGTTCTCCAGTAAGGGCTGTCTCGGCTTGATAGAATTCATCTAGACGTGACTGGAGGAGCACCTTTGTGTCACTTTCATTCACCATTCTAGTCTCAGTCAAGAAGGTGAGAAGAAGGCCGCACTCCTGAGCAGTCAAGTCTGACGAGACACTCTCGGCAAATTGTCGAGCCAATTGAAATGGTGAGCAGTGCTGGGTGGGGCCGGTTGAAATGGCTTGACTTTCGGCCAGAGCAGCATTTTGAGATACGTCTCTCCTGGGCGACAGACTGTAAGAATCTTCGGGAAAAGTTCTGGGCTGCATCATTCGAATACTCGTGCCCTGGTATGGGGGATCGCCGGAGATGTTTTCTTCGTTCTGCGCCAATGGCGCTGTACCTGGAACAGGGTCCCTTGGAGGGATTCGGAGGCCGCTTCGCAAAGATCTGTAATCCAAGATCGCGTGAAATATCATCTCTGCAGAAGGGTGGATGTGATAATCACCCTGACTTTCGGCTGGTCGTTCAGGTTGGTGAGGATGTGGATCTGGAGGTGGCGGAGACATTTTGAGCCAGGTTAGTGTCAGACTTCCCCCTGTGCTTCGTTTGGTTGCTCGAGTATCCGAGATGGAGACGCATATGTAGAGTGCGAGTAACCGTACTCTTTCAAGCCAGGACCTCTGCAGGGTCCGTGGACAACGCTTTGTTGGAGTGGTCTTTTTGTCACTATCGAGGACAACACGGATTTAATTAAGCGCTTGAGTTACAGGTCGATCCGGAAGGGTTTCTTGATGACCAAAGTGTCTGTCCGCGGGAGAAATGGAGCAACCTTGGTGGAAAACAGGCTTCTCATTGAAGCTAGAATCTGAGGAGCTACCTAGAGGGAACACAAAGAATTGAAAAGGGTTCCTCTCGAAATGGGGCAACAAAAAAAGGTGTTTTCTAGCAAGTTAATTTACTAATTGCCGCCAGACTAAGAGGAGCGATGCTAACCTTTCGTGAGAGTGAAGGCAACCAACCGTCAGTAATAGGCGAGAAAGCCACAAGCCAGTCTTACTGGACAACAAGAACAACAACAACAACGCGCGTGCTGAGGAGGTGAATCACTAACCTCACCTCCTGTGAAGTAGCGAATGCGAGCCATACTGGCAGATCTGAATCTGAATGGCCTCCCTTCACAGGAAATTCAAATCGACGAGGGTGGCAGCCTCATGATAGCAAGCTTCGCACCACAGTCCTCATGAGTCCAGATATGCTAGGCTGAATGGCTGCTTTGTAGCCTTCAGAATATAATGACTACAGGTCGGGAAGTAATACATGTGAAGTATCAAGACATAAGTAGCTGACTGTAGGTAGTTAGCGCTTTGTGATTTTCGTGGTTGAAAGACGCGACGTTGGGCTCGCCTCCGAAAGGAGTGTGAACCACGTGACGCTAGCTCAAACGGTTCCCCTCAAGTGAGAGCACTGACAAGGGGATGCAGGGGTAAAGATATCAACTCCTCCTCCAGTATCATTCTTTAGGCTTGTCGGGGGTCATAACCACCGGAGCCCTATGGCGGTCCTCGAGGTTGCATGCTTCAACCCAAGTTCAGCCATCGCCGCAAGCACAGCCCAAGTCGACCGGATCGAGCTGTGTTCCAATCCCACTGTGGGAGGAGTAACACCTGACATTGAATGGCTGGCTCAGATCTCAGACAAGGTTGATATCCCAATCAACATCATGGTACGACCCAGGGGCGGCAACTTCGTCTACTCGGATCCTGAGTTCGATGAGATGAAGCAGACCATTGCACTCTACAAGTCAAAGGCAGCTGTCAATGGATTTGTGTTTGGCATTCTTCTTCCTAATGGCAAAGTCGACATCGTCAGGACATCGGAACTTGTCCAACAAGCCAGTCCACTACCCTGCACATTCCACCGTGCCTTCGATGACACTCCAGATCTGTTTGAAGCTCTGGAAGATGCGGTCAAATGTAATGTGGGAACGATCCTTACATCTGGTGGCTGCCGCACTGCAGTGGATGGAATCGACACGCTTGCTCAGCTAGTCAAGCGTGCTGAGGGCAGAGTCGCCATTATGCCAGGTGGCGGCGTGAGGTCTGAGAATCTAGCGACATTAATATCGACGACTCAAGCAACCGCATATCATTCTTCAGCTTTGGTGGACACTGAGCAGGTAGCCAATACTGCCGAGATGGAATCTATGAAGAAAATAATTGCGACCATTTTTTAGTGCAACAATCGAGGACTATATTCAATTCTATAACACCCTTACATCTGATTGCATTCGCTCGAGACATGAGATGTGAGCTGGACAAGTATCGGCTACTATCAATGGTAGAGCATAGAGAAGCTTCTCAGTAATTCAATGTTTGCACAAAGTACTGTAGGTCTTCTTTGAAGATCTCGAATATATGGCGGCATATTGTGCCCCTTGGCCGTTGTGCCTAAGTTGGCTGAGCCTAATAGATGCCCCGTAATTGAGGCAACACCCGGGCTTTAGGCTATATCCCACCCCCACCGTTGCTGAAAGGGTGTACCCATACCTATGAAAACTTGGTAGCCATAGGCTCTCTCCACATCTCACCCCAGTAAAGACTCTGCCGAGCATTGGTTTCCACCGGGCATAAACATGATCGCCTCATTACTCTTTGCCCCTTCGGCACCACATCGGCTATTGTCGACTACACATACGACGCGAGGAACGGGGCATGTTGTGGGGGTTGACTCCTGACTAACTAGCCAGGAACTACGTTGGTAGGTGATGTTGCATTAATATCGTCCAAGTTCGCAATGGGCTGGATTATGGAAATTCCAACGTCGCTTGTTGCTGCTGGCTTGTGGCAGTCATTCCAATCCAAGCAGACTAAAAAGTATATTCAAACTTGGTAAACACAATGCCTGGCATTATTAGGGACGTCGAGGCCTTGATAGGCGAACTCTCGCTGGATGAGAAAGTGTGGTTGCTCGCAGGACAGGGTTCATTCAAGACAACCGGGCTTCCAGAACGGGGAATCCCACAGATTGTGGTGAGTGATGCGTGGTACTACAACGGCAGACTGGCTTAGGATCTTCTAGACATCTGATGGTCCACATGGGATCCGTGGCGTGCGGTCCTTTGAAAGAGTAAGTGAGGCAAAGACAGATTGCTCCCTCGACTGGATCTGATATCTATCCTGACAACAGACACCAAGCGTATTATTTCCATCCGCCACTGCAATGGGCGCAACATTTGATGTCGAGCTCTTACGCCAGGTCGGGTCTCTGCTTGGACAGGAGGCACGGGTAAAGAGGGTACATGTTCTCCTTGCCCCAACGGTGTGCCTGCAACGATCACCACTCATGGGTCGCAATTTCGAAGCTTTTGGGGAGGACCCAATTCTCAGTGGATTGCTGGGTGAAGCTTATATCAAAGGCGTGCAATCTCAAGGTGTTGGTACCAGCATCAAGCACTATGCTGCTCACGATCAGTCCGACAACTCGATCGAGGATGATGTCTTGATGACAGAACGGACTCTTCGTGAGCTGCATCTGCTGCCGTTTCAGCTTTCGTTCCGGAATGAGCATCCTTGGACGGTCATGACTGCTTACAACAAGATCAACGGCATCCACGCCAGCGAAGACCCGTTGTTGTTGAAGACGATTCTTCGCGACGAATGGAATTTCCAAGGCTTGGTCATGAGTGATTGGTGGGGTACATACAGTACCTCAGAAGCTATAAATGCAGGTTTGGATCTTGAAATGCCGGGCCCGACCATCTTTCGGGGAAAGGCATTGAGTACCGCAGTCAACACACGCAAGGTTTCCACTGCGACTTTGGATAGAGCAGTAAGGAATTTGTTGAATCTAGCGAACAAGGTAACGGTGTCTGCACCAGATTCGCCTTTTAATCCATCAAGTGCAAACACGCCCGAAAACCGCACCTTTGTGCGCAAGGTTGTTGCCGACAGTATCGTATTGTTGAAGAACAAGCGGAAGATACTGCCCATCGTCCCTGATCAAGCGAAGACATACGGTCTCATCGGGGACCACTTCAAATACCCTGCATTGAGTGGCGGAGGGAGTGCTGAAGTCGATCCTTACTATTCAATCACCCCCTATGATGCCATGGTCGAGGCTGTCGGGAAGAGCAACGTAACATACCTTCCAGGGTGTCATTGTGAGTGCTCCGAGACAATGCGTATGATGCTTTATGATGTGGAGATTGATTGCTGATGTTTGTACCTGCCTAGCGTTTAAATTCTGCCCCTTTATTAAACGTCTCACAAGACCAGGCTCCAAGGACCGTGGCTGGACCGTTGAGGTGTTTTCAGAAGATCCAGAGTCCACCCCAGAACCGAAACCAATCTACACCACTGTCACGGAGAAGGATCTGGTCGATGTTCCAGAAAGCTTTCACAGCGTGTTCCCAGAAAAGTTCTTTGTACGAGCGCGGACGGTGTTCACGCCAGAAGCATCGGCACGTTTTCGTTTTGGCTTTGGAGTCTCAGGCAAAGGAAAGCTCAAAATTGATGGAGATCTGGCCATCGATCAGTGGACCAGCCAGTTGCCTAAGACAGAAAGTACAGCATGCTTCAACAGGCTTTGCATGGATAAGTTCCACGATCGAGACGTGCAAAAAGGGAAGCCTCTCCAGATGGAGATTGTTATGGTGAATGAGAATGTCAGTGGAGGTGTGGGTACAGCACTTACACTTTGCGGTCGCTTGGGTGGGTATGAAGTCTTTGACGAGGATCAAGCGATTCAAGATGCAGCAAACCTCGCCAGAAGGGTCGATGTGCCGATATTGGTGACTGGACTTTCATCGGACTATGAGTACGAAGCAGCCGACAGGAAGAACTTGAGGCTACCGCGCCGTGTAGACGAGCTAATTCAGGCCGTGCTTGAAGCAAATCCGGACACGGTGCGTACCTCGTTGAGCTGGGTTTTATATGTCATTGAGCTTTGCTAACTTGCTGGCTTTTCAGATCATTGTCACTCAATCTGGAAGCCCAATCGAGATGCCGTGGGAAGCGCAAGCAGACACCATTGTTCACGCGTGGTTTGGTGGTCAGGAGGTAGGAAATGGGCTGATAGATGTGCTTACTGGGAAGGTCAACCCATCAGGCAGGCTGTCATTGACGTTTCCCAAGTCGGTCAAACACAACCCGGCATATTTGACATTTGGCAAAGCTGATCGGGGTCTGATGTACGGCGAGGGCGTGTTCATCGGTCACCGGTATTATGAAATGGTCGAACGGGAGCCATTGTTTTACTTTGGCCATGGCCTCTCATACTCGACCTTTGAGTATTCGGACTTGATCGTGCCAGCAGAATTTGAGCCTTTGGCGACGCACAAGATGCATATCTCGGTCACGATCACGAACAGGGGTCCATACGACGGCGCCGAGGTCGTTCAGATCTATGTCCATGACCCGGAAAGCTCTCTTCAAAGGCCAATCAGAGAACTCAAATCATTTTCCAAACAGACACTAGGCGTTGGAGAATCCCAGCTAGTGAGCTTGACCTTGGACAAGTATGCTCTCTCGTTCTGGTGCGAGGAGATAGGTCAATGGAAGGCCGAAGCGGGGGAATTTGTGGTAATTCTTGCGAGGAGCTCGAATCCCCAAGACGAGGTCATCAGGAAGAGCTTCCATTTACCCAAGACCTTCACTTGGAGTGGCGTTTGATATTGCATCACGTCTGAGTCGCATCAGTTCCCAGTATAGACAAACAATCATGGGTAGCGATATTGTTGACAGCATATACGGTAGGGGTGGTGTTCAATGTTGATGAGGCGAAGATGGGTATCTAGTACTAGTCACGCAAGCTCAAGTGTAGGGCTTATCGCAATACACCAGAGCATGACTGATAGCTTGACCAGTCGATAGCCAAAAGCTTCTTACAGCGGGACCGAGGCGGTCCCGTGCTTAAACTGCCACAAGGCATTGATGGAAATGCCAACATACAACTAGTAAAAGTAGGCATGGGCGTCGACGAGTTGAGGACCCTGTATGGTCGACAAGAGCAGTATGGGGGAAGATGGATGAGGACCAGTCAACCGTCGCGCGATCCTCGTACGAGGGCACAGAGGGCAACGAAGGGCGTGCAAGGACACTACTACTGTTTTACCTTTGAAATGCCATCAACGGATTACTCCGGGGATCTTCGTACGGAGGTACAGTCCTTACACACATTATTGCCCCTCAGTGCCCCTCTTATTCCATGATAAGGCGGAGATGCCAAGGCTTGGCAGAGATTCCTATTGGCATTCGCCCTCAAAATACAGATGCCAAGAGTGGACGATATCCTCTCCCTCGTATGATCTTGCCCTGTCGTGCCTGTCGTGCCTGTACAAACAGGAAAACTATTAACCTGTGGATTACGTGAAGACTGGCAAAGCACCATGGAGGTGTACAATGATAAGCGTGGTTGTGCCACTGGTGAGAGCTCAGTTCATTCTCCTCGGAGCTAGCTTCAACGTTTTCAAGCTTATAATAAACAACAACTATCTTGCCCACCGGTAATCAGGTATCCCTTGTGTTCTTCCCATACTCGAAATCCGCCATGCTCGTTGAACTAGGACTGACAGCAGGTCTCCTCACTGCCGTGGCTGCGGAGACAGTTCACGGTGTCGTAGCTTTCACTCGACATGGTGACCGTACCACTCGCATGTTCCCTGGCTACCATCTGACCAAGTTGGGGGCGCAACAAGCGTACAATTCGGGTCAATTCTACCGTCAGAGATATGTGGCGGAAAATGCCAGCTTTCACATCGCCGGCATCGAGCCTGATGAGGTCAATAGCCGACAAATCTGGGCCAGTGCCCCCAATCAAGGTCTACTCTTCCAGACTGCCACCAACTTCCTCCAAGGTCTCTACCCTCCCTTGAGCGAACTGGATGAGTCCATTGCGACTGAGACCTTGACCAACGGAACCGACTACACCGGCCCACTGGACAGCTACCAGTTCATCCTGATCCAGGGCCAGCCGGCAACCAATCAAGACACCATCTGGATCAAGGGAGACGACAATTGCCCAGTCCATATTGCTTCCCAGAAGTCGTACCTCAAAACCCCCGAGTACCAGGCCACCTTCGACGATACGTTGGAATTCTATCAACAGTTCGTGCCTTTGCTGGGTCACATCCTCGGTGACGATGAGGTCACCTACGAGAATGCCTACGAGGTTTTCGATTTGATGAATGTAGCATCCATTCACAATGAGTCTATTGCCGGTGAAATTGACCCGGCTGACCTCGATCGACTCCGCTATTTGGCCGACGCCTGGGAGTACAATACCAACTTCAACGCCTCTGAGCCTGCACGTATGATTGGTGCCAAGACCCTGATGGGCGGCATCCTGCGCCAGATGAACACCACCGTTGCATCGAGCGGTCGCAACAACAAGTTCCAGCTCTTCTCCGGCTCTTATGACACCTTTATCTCCTTCTTTGGCCTCACTAACCTGACCTCGGTCGACCCCGACTTCTACGGTCTGCCCGACTATGCCTCGACCATTGCCTTCGAGCTGTTCACCGAAGAAGGTGACAGTGACAACCCAGCAGACTTCCCCTCGGCAGATGCTGTCAACGAGAACCTGCAGGTCCGCTTCCTCTTCCGCAATGGAACCGATGGTGGTGAAGAACTCAACGCATTCCCATTGTTTGGCGAGGCTGACCTTGCCATGCCCTACGGACAATTCAGAGAGCGTATGGAGTCTATCGCCATTAACTCGGTTGGGGAATGGTGCAACGTGTGCGGTTCTTCCCAGGATTTCTGTATGGCGGCCAACGAGACATATTCAGGATCGAGTGCCTCGACATCGAGCAGTTCATCTGGTCTGTCCAATGCCGCTGCTGGAGGTATTGGTGCCGCTGTTACTCTGGCCGTGGTTGGTCTGGTCGGGGCTGTGATCTATTTGCTTTACCGTTCGCGACGGAAGAATCAGGCCGAGGCATCTGCGGCGCGCGTGGCGACTGAAAAGCTCGATGACAGTGACTCTGTTTGAGATGCTCCGGCCTGAAAACAAAAGCACAGCTGTCCCAGCTGACTTGTCTAGGAACTCACTCACCTCACTGGTCAGCGGCCAAAAGGCAATGCCAGTTACAGCTCCGGTCCATTCAGCGAATTATACTCACACAGATAATGACAACACGCTGCGCTTTTTCTTAGTAAAATTGTTTCAAGAAGCGGACGCACAATGTCTCTTGTTTATGTTTATAATGTGAAAGTGGTACAAGGGGAAAGGTTGGAGGCAGGAGGCAGGAGCGTACGGTGTCTGTTATACATTCACAATAGGCTTGTCAAACAGACAATGTTGGACTGTGTAGGAGCACCTGTTCATAAAGAACGTCCAAAGTGAATATGAATATATACTTGAATCACATCAACCATCTCTGGAGTGACAAAATAACGGGCGCAGGCGCAGGCGCAGGCGGCACCGGAAAAATGTTACTGCAAGGGAAGTGAATGATGCACGTCTATTTCGTCATTGGGCTTGGCATTGAGTCCTAGTGCTTGCGGGCAGGTGCGGGCAAAGAGTCCAGATTGCGTGTGGAGTTTCACTTTGAACTCTCACCTCTCGCCATTCCAGTTGGCCAGGCCTCCATTATTCATTGTTGTTCAGACCTCCAACAATTGTTGCTCATTCATTGTTACATCGATATCTGCTTATCATCCTTCCAACACAGAGCTCACCTTTAGGTCAACCCTCAATCAGGGGACAATGGCTCCTCCGAGCTCAACCGCCCGCCGAGGCCCCAGCGTTCTGGTGAGTCTGTTCCAAGCCCAACCGCGATCAATGTATCAACTGTGTGACTAACGGCAAGCTGGAAACAGGTCTCAGAGTCGCGTGAAGGCCGACCCACACCGCGTCGCCAGGCATCACGTTTCATCACGGTGGATAGCGTTCTCCAATATGCCTCGGACATTCCCTCGATGCAAAAACGTCAACCTCAGAGGCCTCGAGTCTCCCGCACAGGCTCAGGCAGACCTGTTGATCCTCGCCTGACCGGTCGATTTGCCGCACCTCATATCCCTTCTCGGTCGACCAAGACCTCAGAAAAGCTCGTCTTGTTACCCGAAGCCGTGGAAGAAGAGGATGAAAAGGGCGAGTTTGGCCAGGATGCCGATTCTGGCCCTCCTAGAGATGGTGAAGACATCCGGAAACCAGGCAAGGACAGAGTCAAAAGCTATGCGGAAAGACTTCCAAAATCTCGACGGACAGAGAAGGAACTTCCGAGGGTGACCGCATACTGTACCGCGCAGGCATACAAGCTTCAGTCGGTTGCTGCTTTCGTTCGACAACGCCACGGTGCCCGCGCCAAGTTATACGACGATTGCTTGTACTGCGCATATCACCTCCCGCTACTTCCCGGAATTGAAGGCTATCGATTGCGAAGTAGCCCACCAGTCAAAAGCGCTCGAGGTGGGACGGTGCTTGACGAAGCGATTGAGCGTAGTGAACAGACAGACTATCGACAACCATACTCTGCAGAAGAAGAAGAGCAACATTCGGTGCGTGGCAATTACACACCGGAGGAACAGTTTGGAGTGCCGAATCAAGACATTTACGATTTGGAGTCGACGAGACCGAATGGACAGCGAAGGGATAGCACAGTGTCACAACGGTCCAACAGTCCTTCGGCGCCGGCACCAATCAACTCGTACCGGTTTGCGGAGATGTACGTGTTCAACTATGGCGTGGTGGTGTTTTGGAACTTTAGCGAAAGGCAGGAAAAGGACATGTTGGCCGACTTTGCATTTGCCACGATTGTCAATGCCGACACCAACTTGGTCACACCCACTCCCTTGACGTCAAATCCGCTGCTGGAAGAAGACTTTGAGACGGAGGAATTCCACTTCGAATACAATGCTGAAATTGCTCGACCTCGGGTATATAACGATATGATTACGCTGCGCAACGGCGACCATATGATCAAACTGGCCATCAGCCATGCGATTGCACAGAGCACCAAGCTGAGCTTCTTTGAAGAAGCAATGGCGGCGCAGATGGAGGCGGCCAAGGATGTTCCAGGTCGGCTGGCCAAGACAGGAGAGCTTGGGCTCAAGCGAGAGGAAGTAATAAAATTACTTGGAGGGCTGTTCAAGAGCCGTGTCGATGTGAACTTGTGTGAGTATCATTGTTATGACTGCGCTGTTTTGACATCAAGGACTGACCAATGCCTCTCCTTTTTTTTAGCATCCAACGTGCTGGACGTGCCCAACTTGATTTGGGACAGCGAGCCCACCCTCCACCCGTTGTACTCGGCGGTGCGTGAGTACCTCGAGATCAAGCCTCGGATTCAGGTTCTCAACGAGCGCTGCCGTGTTTTTCTCGATCTGGCCGAAGTCTTGTCAGACTATATCTCGGACAACAAAATGTCCAGGATCACCTGGATCGTGATTGTTCTGATTGGCATCTCGATCTTGGTCACATGTTCGGAAGTGTTCCTCCGCTTTGGCATGCTAAGCACTAGGGGTGGTGCCAAAGGAGCTGCCGCGATTCAGCACATTGGGATATCTAATGAGCTATGAGAAAGCTCTGTGTCCAACTGGGTTCACTCATTTGTTTAGTCACAGCATGGAATCGCCTCTGGGATGCACTTGGGACACGATCTAGGGGTAATAATGTATGTAGCATGGTGTAAGGAGTAGATCAGATGGGTCGTGAGGGTCAACATTGACATGACAGTCAATCGCAAGCTCTCGTTGTATCTTGTACACCTGACACGAGGCGACGGCCGACTCGGGAGTAGCCAAGGCTGTGTCAGCTTGTCCCTATCCATGTGCTATCCATGTGAAGACCATCGATTCAATCTGCAGGTCAGCTCAGCCGAGGGTGGGACCAAGGGTTCAGGGCCAGGGCAGAGGAGAATCACATTGTCGTGGGAAAGGATGTCACTCCAGGTCGAATCGCAAGGAGGGTCCGATCTTTTTACGCGGATAGGTGGAGGCAGAGGAAGGATATTTGTGTATCTGACTTGGCGACACAAAATTGCTGCGTGCCTGTCTCGCATGAGCTGCGATTCTTGAATTCCAAAGACTATCTCGACCCTCGTACCCGATTACCGATGTTGGAATGGCACAAATGGGCACATATAGTCAAGGCCGTTTGAGTATTAGGAGGGGGAGGGGGAGTATCAGTCTATCAGCAGTGCCAATGGGACCCCACAAGGTTGGCGGAAGACAAGGAGGCCAGCAGGGATCATTGGAATATGCATCTAGAAGATGAGCAAGTGGAGCATGCGGAGGCGACCGAAGTGTAACGCGAGTATCTCGAGGGCAAGAGATATGCGATGGGGCAAATCTCATTCGACGAGAGGGGGAGAGAGATCAGGAGGATACCGAGGCATGATTGAAGCTAGCTAACTTAGATTAGCTCTGGGATTGGATATGGGTCATGACTGATACCGGGGTTGCATCTCTGGAGAGCGTGGCGCGGATGAGAGCCTCGTGTTGTGAATTGTGAACAGAGCTGTGATTTGAGAAATGGATCCTGAATGTGTATAGGCCATTAAAAAAGATCCAGGCATCTCCTTATCTCTGAGGGTCGAGACCCAATAAGTTTAGGAGCGTAAACTTTTTCTGGGAGAAGAACCATGAGGGTAGTGAGTGAGGGCATGGAGGGAAGAGAGAGGGTAAGGTGGACATGGTGGACATGGTGGACATGGTGGATGTCAGTCAGCAAACGGGCGCGGCTAAGGCTCAGGCTTCCACTCGAAGGAAGGACCGTCTGTCAGCAGACTGCCACAGCTTAGCGACTAAAGTACCAAGGTAGGAAAGAACTGGCTACAGCGTTCGTCGACCTGCAAGACACGCCTTAGGAAGGTACTCACGGTACTGTAGGGAGTTCGACGGACGCTCCGGGGTGCAGTCTCTCACTCCACAGACAAAACCCTGTGAGCACCGTGGCATTTCACTACTCTTACAGGATAGTAGTAGCCTATAGATATGCGTACTACATACTGTATGTTCGCCATGCCGTTAGAGCGTACGCATAGGCGGCGACAGCGACCATGGGAGAAAGGATAAGCATTGACAAGGTACCCAAGGTTGCATTTGTGCGGGCCAAGGCAGTGGCGCTCACCCCGAACGAGACCAACGAACCCTGTCCAAGAATGCCACTACGAGTGTGATCTGACCAGTAGTAGGGGCTGCCCCAGGCGGCGACTAGCCATGATCGACCTTCCAGGGCGTCTTCCGGCCAATAAGCAATGACACTTTCCTTGACCCACGTCAATGGCTGCACGGGTTGCACCTTCCCAAAGCCAAATGTCCCTCACTTATCTCCGCCGTCTTTGGAATTGCTTGGTCGTTCCTTCCAACGACACACAACCATCGATCACAAGTGGCAAGTGGCACACTGCCTTCCGCACAATTTGATACACACACAATTCAATATCAGACTTTTGCTTCTCCACGCGAGATATCTCCCTCCCAACCCTGGTCATCTCGGTTGATCCGCCCCATGTCCGGCAGCCAGACAACTGCACCATCACCTCCCCTGCTCGGGCCCTGTCCCTTATTGGGCAAAGTCCACTGATAAGTGAATGAACCTTGCACGCCTCGAATTCTTGGATCGTTGTTGTCGAACCGTGGCATCTCATCGCCTGTCGTCTGTCGTCTTGTCCTGGACGCTATAAGATCAACAGCCCTCCCCCCACCATGTCTCCCTGGTTGATCAGTTTAGTTGCCTTTGTCCCTGTCCTTCTTATTGCCTTGTCCTTCCTTCGTTCCACCGTCCTGTCCAAGTATCTCGACGACAGGCACGAAAAGAGGACTTGACTGCACAATGGCCTCCCAGAACGACGACCTCGCACCCAAGAGTGCTCCCTCTCAGGAAGTCGTCACTGGCAATGAGCCATCTCAGCCTTCCCACCCGGTCGACGGCCACGGTGAGGTTGGCGAACGCAGATTCAAGCACCATGATCTGCCCGACCACGGCCATAACCCTTCCACCCAGAAGAATGTCGACGAGAACCCAGATCTGGCCCTGCACTATTCTCACGAGCATCAACACATGCATCTCCACCACGGCCGCACTTCCCTAGTCGGTCGCCCAGATGAGGTGGTCTTTTCCGACCACACCACTGTCGACAAGTCCAACATCCCAGAGGAGAGCAACCAGAACTATGTCAAGCACCACTTGCAACACTCGGACCAGACTCCAGGCTATCCAGACACAGAAAAGGGCACTGTCGATCCTTCTCGTGTCGACTCGAGCAACTCGGAGGACGACGGCCACAAGCATCGCTTCTCGCGCAAATACTCGAGCTACAAGATCTTCGTTCACATCTTCATCTGGCTTTTCTTCACAGCGTAAGACCTTTTGACAACTCCTTTCATCATGGGCCCCGCACTAACTCTCCTTTTAGATGGTGGATTGCTGGTCTGGTCATGCATCGCGACGACCTCGGCTGGTTAATACCCTTCCTCCTCTATCTTGCAATCACTCTGCGTCTCATCTTCTTCTGGGTTCCCATCTCCATCATCACCAAACCAATGGCTTGGACTTGGAATAACACCGTCGTCCGCGTCGTCGATTTCATTCCTGAAAAATTCCGCATCTGGTTGGCCGCCCTTGGTGCCATCGGTGTCATCCTGGTTGGTTCATTTGTCTCGGAGGAATCGGACGACAACACTCGCGGCAACCGCGCCATTTCTCTCCTCGGTCTTGCTGTCATGATCGCCGTGCTGTGGGCTACTTCCCGAAATCGTAGCAAGATCAGGTGGCACACGGTTATCGGAGGCATGCTGACTCAGTTTATTGTAGCCGTCTTTGTCCTTCGGACCAGGGCTGGTTACGACATCTTCGATTTCATCTCCTTCTTGGCCCGACAACTTCTTGGATTTGCCGATCAGGGTGTATCTTTCTTGACCGCTCCCAGCGTCATTGATCTTCACTGGTTTTTGACCGGCGTCGTGCCCCCCATCATCTTCTTCGTTGCCCTCGTCCAAGTTTTGTACTACATCGGTCTCATCCAATGGTTCGTTGGCAAATTCGCCGTCTTCTTCTTCTGGAGTTTGCGTGTCTCTGGCGCCGAAGCCGTCGTAGCTGCTGCGTCGCCTTTCATCGGTCAGGGTGAATCGGCCATGCTGATTCGACCTTTTGTGGCTCATTTGACCTTGGCCGAAATTCACCAAGTCATGTGCTCGGGTTTCGCCACCATCGCTGGTTCCGTCTTGGTTGCTTATATCGGTCTTGGCCTGAATCCTCAGGCATTGGTTTCCTCTTGTATCATGTCAATTCCCGCCTCCTTGGCTGTGTCCAAGATGCGATGGCCCGAAACGGAAGAGACCATCACCTCAGGACGAGTGGTGATTCCGGACGATGATGAGCATCGTGCCACTAATGCTCTTCATGCATTTGCAAATGGTGCCTGGCTCGGTATCAAGATTGCCGGTATGATTGTGGCCACCCTTCTTTGCATTTTGGCCTTGATCGGCCTGATCAATGGACTGCTCGGCTGGTGGGGAAGGTAAGTCTCGTCTACTGTCCGGGAAATGGAGTCACGCCCAAACTGACTGTGTCACTTTTAGATATTACAATATTACCCAGGACGGCGGACCGTATCTCACCTTGCAGCTCATTCTCGGCTACATCTGCTACCCCGTCGCATTCTTGCTGGGTGTGCCCCGCAGTGACCTGCTCCGTGTGGGCCAATTGATTGGCGTCAAGGTCATCGCCAACGAGTTTGTTGCATACAACTCTTTGACCAGTGAGCAACAATACATTGACATGAGCCCACGATCCAAATTGATCGCCACCTATGCTCTTTGCGGTACGTTGTTCTGTTCCTTGGTCCTGCTGCCGCACCATACTTATAAAATCTCTAGGATTTGGCAATCTGGGTTCGCTTGGTACTCAAATCGGTGTCCTGTCCCAAATCTCTCCCTCTCGATCCGGCGATGTTTCTCGCGTTGCCCTGTCTGCTTTGTTTTCCGGGGTTCTGTCCACTCTGACATCGGCCTCGGTTGCCGGTATGTTGGTCACGGATCAAGTTACTCTAGCTCAGGAGACAGCTTCTTGAGAGATGAACAAGACCATCCTAGACGACGTCATGAACCTGTTAAAAGCACCAGCAAGTTCACTGCGCCCTGTTTGGAGTGCCAGCCTTGAGTGCGGTTACTCAATTCGATATCCCGGCGTCTTGAGCAATTGATTTATGTATATGTACGCCGTATTGCCAATGCAGCGTGCTTGCTGTACGGGCCTCTACACTTTCTATACTTGTTCGATGTTTGATGACGTGCATCGACATGTGTTTTCTTCACTCCCATCTTTGTCAAACATGAACATCAGTGCGGTGCTCCCATTGCCAGATTAGCCCTCCTTGCCTGAAAGATTCTGTTTGTCCTATTCATAGATCAAGGAGCCCTCTGGCTTTGATTTTCGCTTAGGTTTCCACTAACCCTACTCAAAGGATACTTCGACGCCTGCCCATTACGAAGCCAGACTATCCGTCGAGGCTGACTAGGGAAGCCTGGTTAAAGCATGCACCCCGTATTGTGTACGTAAGGTCAGAGTGCAGATCCGGGGCAGATTGTCACCGTGAGAGAAGATCGACACTGCATCCATGTACTCGTGGTAGCCTTTTAAGTACCGAATGGCATCACTCCAACTCAATCACATGTTTCAAACTCAGGGACCACAATATATACTTATGGAAGGTAGGTGGGTAGCGTGGGTAGGTACTACGGAGTAGGTAGTATTTGTTACGTGGGGAGTTCGATGAGATGACTGGATCTTTTTCTCCGGTCCCATCTGCCTTGCCGAAATATGGATCTCGCTCTGGTAAAACGAGATTGGCGAATGATTGGTCGAAGGAACTAATCTCAGTGGGGAGTAAAGGTATACATGATGGACTCAAGGTCACTAAGCCTCCCACGACATGCACTTCCAGCAGCATCAGATATCTGACTAGTGTTTCAATTATTCCATTCTCCACTCTTGTGGTTTAGTTTCAACACATTTCCCGCAGAAGAGGCCTATTACCGGTGGTATTATGTCAACGGCCTCCTTTACTATGAAGCCTGGTGCCCTCAATTTTCCCCGCCTATGATTCTGATAGTGAAGACGACGACCAACCTAGGAAATGATATTGTCATAGCGGTAGCAGAATGGCCCACCAGTGGTACTGATCAAATCCCGTACCCTGACTTGGCCAGCATGAAAATAACCCCAGTCTGGTAAGACATCATCCAGTGTCACGACCTCGCTGGGCGGATTATTCAAGGCTGTTCCTGTGGTTCCATCCAATTGGTCTGCGCGATCTGGGTAATTCATCTGCCAACTCCAATACACCTTGTCGATCATTGTGTGCAGCGGATACCACACGGGGTCCTGGGCAGATACATGGATCGAGTTCATTTGGCCGCCGACGGAGAAATGAGCCCCCGAATGGATTCCAAGGCTAGAGCCGCCGATAACGCCATTGAGCAGCAGGTCGAAGTGGGTGGCATTGTCGGCGTGCGCGGCCGCACGCAGCTGTGTTTCGTTGGTAAAGGTCTGTGATACATATCCGTTGAGGTCCCGCTGCAGGCAGATTGGGTTATACGCGAATGCATCATCCGGCAAGGTCCCGTCATCGGTGGTCAGATATAGTGGGTCGATGAACTTCAACGGCGCTATCAGATTCGCAAAAGGACCTGTCGTCACGCAACCTCCTCCCGTCCCATGTGGGAGACTCAAATTCGGACTCAACACAACATCTCCGCTGTCGATGAACAGACCATCACCGGACAAACTGGTATCGGAACCGTCGAAGATGGCCGATGCTTGCGGGTCTGACGCCGTTGCGGCAAAATCCCAGTATGGAAACGGTCCTGAATAGTTGCACGTCTGTCTCAAGTCGGTCTCATATAGAAACAGAAAGTATCGATGCCAAGTCAGGAAGAAAGCATCCAGATGCACATACTGGGTTCGGTTGACGTGTATTATAGCATAGTCCAGATACCGACTTGTGGCGGCTGGATAGACTGCAGGATCGAGCTGTGAAGGTGCGCTCAGGAGGCATTGGACTGCGTCAACATAACCTCGCCGCTCTGTAGGGGTCATGCTACTGTAGTCAACCCGTGTTCGGATGTTGCTCGCGTTGCATGCCTCTTCTTCTTCTTGCATCCAGGTGTAGGCATGCTTGGTCGGTCTACGAAGTCGTCTTCGCGACGCTGTGGAGGTTCCAAGGGAGGGAAAGAGGATTGACAAGATAACGAGTGAGACAATGGAAAGACGCCGCATTTTGATATTCTAACGAGTGTGGATGGTTGAAAGTAAGAGGCTTGTGATGGAAAAGAGGCAAGACCCAAGACGGGATCAAGAGAGCAAGGGCGGGAAGAAGAAGACAAATCGCATGTGAACAAGATGCAAACGGGTCTTTATCTTCCAAACGGTATTCATTGAAGGTTCAGGCCAGTGTTGGTACGGTTCCCTGTCCAACGCTTTTCTTGGGGTTGGACAACATTGCAACGGCGAGACAAGGAACTTGACAAACGGCGCAGGAGACAGCTCGGAAGAATCCAATGCGTGGAGAGGTCTTGGTCGGTATCGCAACACGGCGGGACCGAAATTATGGTCGACTCAGTGACGGTGAAATTGGATTGTCTATTTGACAATACAACGGAGCGAGAGGGGGAAATCATGGTGACACCACGGGTTCAACCTGATACAAAAATATGGTTGGCTGGCATGCTGGCCTCGGCCTAAGTTTGGCATTGTCTGCTCAACACCCCAGACCGAGGTTTTGAAGGGAATTTGATGACGCTGTGGTGCTGCGTATGGATAGTATGGTTGTGGGTTTTGGGATGGAGAATTCTTGACCGATGTCCGGCCTTGACACAACCGCGACATGTCAAATGGCTCCCTGCAACAACTTACGGTCTCGACCGTAGCTGACACGGCATGGTGCTGAGCCACAATCACGGACGTGGCAGCCCATGTTCTTGCCTGAATGGGCCATCTCATCATCTTGTTTGAATAGGTTTGTCGAGAAAATGAGGTCGTATGGTAGCGGCAAAGACTCTTCAGACTTGGCAATGATGAAATGGAAAGACATGAGTTCAAAAGGAAGAACTATGCCCCTCGTCCCCTTCCTAGTCTCGGTTGGGGGATAGTGCCCACAAACTGTGGCGGCGGTCGTCCAATGTGAGAGTCAAGCGAGAATCTGTGTCACCTACCAAGCAACTGCCAGATGCCTTGACGCCTTGGACCGCTGGCAATCAACTGCAAGGATGTCGGAGAATTACAACCAAACATGGGTCTGCTCACTGGTATCAGTATATTTTCACCCGCTTCTGTGTGTACTTGGATCGACAAGGAATTCTGTTCCTCGTCGTACGAAGCCCTTTTTGCGCAGCATAGGACATCCTCCGAAGAAAAGAGATAGCCATACTCTTTTGTATTCTCTCGTCAGCAGCATCGTCCTTGGCGGTGTGAAAGGACTAACCAGCCGTCAGGCCATGTGAGGATCTTGTTTCTCATCCGCTCAGACTCTGATCGTACTTATGTGACGACCTTTTAAGGTGGGTGAATTCGATTTCTCCGACGTTCCCATCTATGGCCCTAGGAGGACAGTCCAGTCAACATGTTCTGTGACACAGCTCCTCGGGCAGATTATGGCAGATTTGGCGGTGCGCCATGTTAGTGGTACAAATCAAACTCTGACGTTGGATTGTCGGAGTGTTTGACCGTGTCATTCGAAACAAACGGTGGCAAGATATGTTCTGGCGCCAGGAGGCGGGGAACAGAGGTCAAGATAGGCTGTGTGACTTGACATCTGATATCAAAGGAGGATCTGTCAAGCCGGGCTTCAGATTGACTCCACGTGCGCACCCAACGCCTTCAAAGAGTGCCCAGTCGGACCATGAGGTGGCCGATACAGCTCGACAACGCCAGACAAAGCGCACGATCATCGAAGCAGTAGAACACGTCTCTACAGACCTTTGTGGCAGAGGAGCAAGGTCGACAACATATGGTATGATGAGAAGCAGATCGAGTGTCGGGAGGAACATGGATTCTAGAAAGCTTGGCAAGGAGTGTCGTTTAACCCCTGTGATACGATATCTCAATGGCAGGATGATTGCCAGGCTCGAATCTTGATCGTATGATCTTGACAAAAATACCCCCGGTCTGCAATCTCGAGATCTAGGGAAGCTGATCGGGTCCGAAAGATGAGATGGCTAAGTTCCCTTGACAGGGGAAGCTTGGGACGAGCGATGCAACAAATGCAACGCTACAGTCTCGACGTGACAGTACTTAGTGACGAACAGCACAGACTGATGCCAACCTTCGGATCCGTCAACAGACACCTCGTGTCCGAAGAATCTTATCAGATTAATGTTTCCATGAGAAAACAAACAATCTGTGTGGGATCCATCGCATGCATGCTCGTGGCCCTGTCGATAGATATCACTAATGTCTGACACGAATTAAATCAACACAAAAGCAATAAGTATATCAAGCTCACATACTCACCAAAGAAAGGGAAAACCCCATCCGCTCCATCACACGCACGCATGCATACACACATGTGCTCGTTGACAGTGCTGCGCTCAATGATGCGATTCAATTAATCCCCACTGTGGAATCGCTGTGGAATCGCTGTGGAATCATTCCGGTGAGACGCAGCCAGTGAGAACCAGGCTTGTCCAAAAGCACGCCATATTTGGTGTGTACTATCACCTGTATCCGCGAGTCAGTCAGTCAGGCCAGCAGTACATAAACACATGCTTCTGTTTCAAGTACAGGAGTAGTGTTCCGAATGAGGTTGTTGTGTTGCTCTTGGCTTTGTCCGGAGTCGAATTGTCAACTTCAACGGAAGAGCATATCGGGTCTTGGACGGGAATTGGACCGTGTCTTGGCCATTGTTCTGCAATACGGTAGTACACTGTACTCCGTACGCATGCGTGACATGCTACTAGTGCTCATAACATATGCCTAGGTAGACAAAGCTGGCAAGGCTTCTTCCACTTCTAGAAAGACATTGGCGTCCGCCTCCTTAGGCATATCCCGGGGCTTAATAAGCCTTTATCGGCGAAGGCCCCAGGTGGAGGCGGAGCCTCGGAGGTGCTCCTTAGGTTGAAAGTGGCTGAAGGACCCTCTCGGCCCTCGGCCCCCTTCGGGGCCTTTTGGCCATTCCAATTGCCCACCCCGGCATTATATTAATTTGACAACGTTACAGGTAGCGATAAGAAGACAGGTAATATGGCCACGAGTATCTACAAGTGAAAGAAGGGTTCTTTTCTCTTGGTTTTTGGGCCAAGCCAACATATTGACCTCATTGCCTCGTGCCGAGCGCCAATCAGAGTGGGGATTCAGGGAATCAGGGTGGCCGGTCTTTTGATTTTGATACCCCATCGCGATTGCGCCATTCTCTTCTCACGTACAGTACAGTATGTTTTCGGGAGGAGAGGAGAGCAGAGGCGAAGCAGAGCATGGGTCGGGTCGGGATGGTTCCGGTCATGTTATCTTGTGTCAGGAGAGGAGCCCTACCAGCCTTCCTAGGTACCTAGACCTTTGCATATACCCATACGGTATGTGTACAGTAGCGTGAGAAGATAGCTGGTAGGTAGGACATAAGATAGGTATCTTGAAACGTCACACATACCCTGGGACGCCTGATAGATACCTACTGTTCACCAGACACAGTAACTGGCCTACTCCCTCATTTCCGAGACGGCGTACGTATTCCGAGACCCTCTCCCCCCCCCTTCTCGTTGTCTCTTGTCAATCTGCCAACAAGAATTACTGGGCACGGTAGGGATTCTGCTTTACCAAGTCACCTAAGCACTGCTCCAATGCAACTGCTGCACTGCTGCTTCTTCTCCTGACCCAATGCTTGCCAGTCATGTTGATCCTGGTAAACAAGACCCTTGTATCCCTTCCTCACTGATGCCACTCTATTGGAGACCATGTGTTTCGGATCCGAAGACTGCCTTTGCTCTTTTGATCTTGAATACTGGGCTGGTCAAGTCATTTCGTGGCCTTGTAGACGGTGGTGGCGATAGGTGCATAGGCGTGCAGGTTTGTTTGTCTAACTCGTTCGCTAACAATCCCTGGGACATCTCGGTCCAAAAGGACCCGATACCTCTCGTCTAAACATCATGTTCGAGATTCCTATCCTATACTACATCCGGCATCCCATCGGAATCCCATTTCGGAACCTTGTTTTCGTCCTGCATGGCCGTTGGCGACCACCACGCGAAGCATCCTGACCAACCCCTCGAAACCCTTCATTTTCAAGATCCACCCCATCACTTCCCCAGAGGTTCCCCAGAACCGGATCAACATCTTGTGGGATCTGCATCGAGGGTCCATGAAAAGCACCGTCAGGTACCATGTGCGCATGCATTTGCTACGAGCCTGACAATATGCCAAGAACAAATTCTCAAAGGACGAGAAGCGAAGTGGCTCAGTAAAGACTAGACTCTTTTATAGACATTGACGATGATCTCTGTACAGAATCATGACTCAGCAACTTGGTTGTATAGATCTGTAGATTCCAAAAATCTCGCCAGAGTAATTGGGGGTTTGGAGGATTTCACAGCTGACATGCCCCTAGATGGTATACATGAACTTTGGGCTGTCATCTCCCATCTCAGCAACCTGCTCATCGGTCTTGCCTTCCATCTTCCAGTCCTCAAGTCCTGCCAATCTCTTGCTGTTTTGTCGCTTAAAGTAGAAATGCATGGTTGTGAAGAGGGAGAATGACAGGGAAAGGAGACCAATGGTAGCACCATATCCAGGGAAATAAGTAGGAGCATAGATAGACTGGAAGAGGAATGGTGCGGCAACACCCGCACTGTTTCCCACAGTCAACTGAAGACCACCTGCGATCGCTCGCTTCCCATATCGTGGGCAGTTGCTGGAAAGCCATGCAAGTGCTGTGCCTGTTGCGGTATAGCAACCAGCAGCGACAAAGAAGCATCCAGCGAAACTCATCTGAGAGTTGACATTGGCGATGAGCAAGCAATAGCCGAAGATGCTAGTCGCTGTCGCGCCCATGCAAAAGAGACCACGATGTTGGGTAATGTCGCTGACACGCGCAGCTGCAATGTAGACGATTGCGCCAGTCACATAGACAGGAATGGTGAGGCACTGAACTTCCGCGGTAGACCAAGTACCAATTTGTTGGATGATGGTGGGAAGAAAGATGGAGAAACTGTAGAGCATAGTGTTGCTGCAGTATTGGCAGATAGGGTAGACCCAAACCTTCCAATCTTTAACACCCTTCATGACGTCTTCTTTGTGAAGAACTTGAGCGCTCTTTGTCTGTCCAATCTCGGCTTCACGAAGGAGAATCATGTTTCGTCGGTCAGTCTCGGTGAGGAACTTGGCAGTCTGGGGATCGTTTGGTAGAACAAAAGGAACAACGAGTCCAGTCAGGATTGTCGGAATTCCATTGATTAGAATAATCCATCTCCAGGCACGCCATCCACCAGCGCCGTCCATGAAGCCGATACCGTAGGCGACCAAGCCACCAGCTGCTCCAGAGATTGCGGCTGTGGCGAAAAAGTAGGCATTGCGCAAGGCAATGTTTTTCTTATTATAGAACCTAAAACAGGTCAGCAATTATGTGACGAGACGGATTTAGGCAACTGACATGGTCAGGTACAGGATGACACCAGGGAACAATCCTGCCTCGAAGAAACCGAGCAAAAGTCGGCAGACGACCAGGCTGGCAAAGCTGTTGACAAACGCTGTAAAGGTGGCTACAAGACCCCAAGCAATAGTCAAGCCGGCCAGATAACGAGCGGGTTGTAGGCGCTTGATGATCAAATTCGAAGGAGCTTCGAATAGCTGGGACTGTTAGTATACCACTTTGGCGAGGCTGTCTATGATGTTGAACTTACACAGTAGGTGACGAAGAGGATAGACACAGCAATCTGATACTGATCACCAGTAAGGTTGAGCTCTTCTTCGAAGCCGTAGAGACGAGCATTGCCGATGTTGACTATTTGATCAGCACTTGTCATTTTCAGGAATGTCCACTACCTACCTCGATCCATAAAGTTCATGAGGTAGATCCACATGACCATGGGAATGATGCGAAGGTCCAACTTCCTCATGAGCTTGCGCTCCGTCTTCTCGTCGACAACATCAGAAGACCCAGCATTTTCTACCTCAGCATCTGGGATGGGAACGGTATCCTTCTCGTAGGGGGGTGTGGTAGACATGATGATGGGGATTTTGGACAGAGGGAAGTGAGACTGGAGCAGAAGACTGTGGAGGAGGTGAAATGCTGGGGAAAGATCTGGGGAGGGAAGCCTGTTTGTTTAATTTATGTTGCTGAATACTCGAGGGCAAATGCTCCGGAAATGGCCAAGAAGATACGAGCGTTACCTAAAGTGGTGGCGCAGGCCGTCTCGTATGGTCGGACAGTGGATTATTCACCCCTCGGAAAGACATGACTTCGATGCATAACGCCACTAATGTGCTTTTGAGAGATGCGTCCGATCGACATCTTGGTATTGTAAGAACCAAGACATTTCGCTTCCGATAGATGCTCGTTCAACACGAAAGGGAGGCGTGGGCGGCCACCGAAAACCCGTTGATGGTCATTGAAGGGAGTGGAAATGTGCCCCAATAAGGTGGCACAGCATTGGTGTGAAATGGCATGATTGTGGATGTCGTTACCATGGGTTTGGCGCAGAGTCCATGTGGATATGTCGACCGCACAGATACCGGATCCTGACGACAGTGGTTATGCTGGATGATGAGCACCTCATCGAGTCAAGATTGCTGGGCCTGCTGGGATTTTCCCGCTGATCCAGGAGCCTGGGCATAATGAAAGGCCAGGGAGCTGCAAAGAAGCCAGTGGTTTAACTTCTGGCCTGCCTTGGCTCGCGTGCGTGGCAATAGTGTTGAAGATTGGCAAGACATTGGCAGACCAAAGACAAGACTCTAGGCGGCGCCATTGTGTCGTCATAGGGTCCCCAGAGGCACAATCAGCACCCGGGGATCAAATCATCGAGTTGAATGATAATACATTGATTCGAGTAAAAGGAATAAGATTGTCGTGATGTCAAGATGTAAGCGAGGACGTTGGAAACAACTGACGTCGTCGTGAATCTCGATCAGTTTTGTTGTTGAGGAAGGAACGTGGTGGACAGGGACGACAGGGAAGGCGCCGAGGGCCCAACCAACATGTGGAAGGTCGCTCCTTCCCTAAGGTATGGTCTTGTCTGTACTCCGTAATTACAGCACCTGCCATATCTTGCGTGGAGAACTGAATTTATTTTGCAGCTGCGACCATCACCACCGTGCCCGCCCCGTGCCTGCCTCGATTGCGCCATCGACTACAATCACGTGAAGCCTTCCCAGCAGCCCCTGGAGACCTTTTTAATCTACGGTATGACAATTAAAATAAAATATGGTTAATGACGGAGCTTTACGACATGAGGCACCAGATTCTTATATCTGGCTGGCAATGTGACGTGGGGCTGGGACACCCACATAAGGGGTTGTCTTCCCTCCAAGGCTGCCACATGCCACCGTCGGAGGAAAATGTCTCCTGGACTATCTGGACTATTGGGATTAGATAAACAACAATCTACATGCAGGTCCTGATTAATCATATACATACCTAGAACCTCCTATATGTACCTCTACTCTTCGTCCACTTGATGCATTCATGTTTGTCTCTCCACCTCTAGGGCCGGCAATTGTTAAGAGACCCCCTCGCCCCAATTTCTACCCCCACAATGGGACAATGTGGGTGTCGGCTTCTGGGGGGAAAGCCGATGAATCACGTGCACACCGCTACAAGGTGGGGGTTTGAAGACTATTCCACACCAAATAACATAAACCAACCTCTGAAATCGTTGATGAGAAATCTAACAGAGAATCTCCAGATAGTACTATTGAATTTTCAGTGTCAAGGTGTTATCATCCATCAACAACTCAAAGATGCCTAAATTACTCTATCCCACCTCGTTGAAGCTTGACGTCAACAGTCTCCAAGGATTCTCAGTGGACCTCCAAGCCTACGATGTGAAGAAGCTCATTCCAGAAGAGCACACAGACGCTGACTTTCTTGTCACATGGGTCAACAGTCCCGAAAACCTCAAAGATGCAGCCTCTCGTCTTCGAAACTTGAAATGGATCCAAGGCCTGGCAGCCGGACCGAACGATGTACTAAATGCAGGGTTCAATTCCAACATCATCGTCACCACCGGCTCTGGTCTTCATGACCATACTGTTGCGGAACATACCCTTGGACTACTTCTCGCCAGTGCTCGTCGTTTTCACGAGATGCGCGACTCTCAACTCAAGGGCAAGTGGCCAGGCCATCTAGGCGGTGCCCAACCAGATCGACCTGCTGGAGCCTTTACGACATTACGCGATGCCAATGTCCTGATCTGGGGCTTCGGCAACATTGCGAAGAAGCTCGCTCCGTGGCTAACTGCCCTGGGGGCCCATGTTCGGGGCGTTGCTAGAAACTCGGGTGTACGCGATGGTGTTGAAGTCTACAGCGAGGACAAGTTACCTGAGCTACTACCACAGACCGATGCACTGGTCATGATTCTACCTGGCTCGGAAAGCACCAAGGATGCTCTTTCCGCCGAGCGCTTGAAAATGCTTCCCAAGCATGCCTGGGTAGTTAATGTGGGCCGGGGGACTTCTGTGGATGAGGACGCACTTGTTGCTGCTCTGGAGAAAGGTGAACTTGGTGGCGCTGCTCTCGATGTCTTCAAGACGGAGCCATTGCCAGAGTCCAGCACATTATGGAATGCACCCAATGTTATCATCTCTCCTCATGCTGCCGGTGGCCGACCACAAGACGCAGAAGCATTGATTGCATACAACCTGCGACGATTTCTAGCCGGCCAGGATCTCAAGAATGTGATATGACCAGATTATCCCCTGGCACTGGCAACGACGTCACAATTTCCCATAACCACTAGCTCGATAATTCCGCTTGGTTGTTGGTAGACCTAAGACAAGAGGACTCTAGCGTGATAAGTGCAAAGGAGAATTCTCGACAAGCATGAAAATGACAACATTTCCAGCCTGACGCCTGGAACTATTTCCGCTACGCTGTGCCAAATATGTATTCTTCCCCCTCCAAGTTCCTCTCTTGAAATCTACAACATCCGTTATTTTCTGTTGGGTGGCGTTGATTGGGTTGATAGTAGTGCCGAAAGCCCATCAGCGCCCATGTTGAAAGATCTCGGGAAAACGATTCTCCCGATACAGGCAGAATATAGATGCCGTCAGTGCCGCGAGAGGCCCTCCAGCGCCTGTGATTCCATGATTCAATCAATCCGAGCCCACAAGGTGCCTTCAGCTGACTCGTGGGTAAGGTTTCACATGGGCCAAACTACACGACTCAGCACGCAGAGTATTCTAGTATCCCCGTACGGTAGATCCATCCCCCTAGCAGTGCCCTTAGTGAGTTCCATTTCGTCGCCCTGTCTCCCTGTACGAATCAATCAGCCAGATTCATTTAAAACATATCGCGAACCTGAAGCTTCGACGACTGTTATATAAGAGAAGACTAAAGTATATATCGCCTTGGATTTTCTTCAAGCAAAACACCAATAAGTAAGTGATACCAAAATTCAATCTCATTCAAATCTGATCCAACATGCCGTACATTACTACCAAGGATGGTACTGAGATCTACTACAAAGATTGGGGTAACAAGTCAGGCAAGACAGTCACCTTCAGCCATGGGTGGCCATTAAGCTCGGATGACTGGGACGCCCAGATGTATTTTCTCGCCAGCAAAGGATATCGAGTTGTCGCACACGACCGTCGTGGGCATGGTCGTTCATCTCAACCATGGGAAGGCAATGACATGGACACATACGCCGATGATCTCCATGAGCTCTTTGAAAAACTCGATCTGAAAGATGTCATGATGGTTGGCCATTCCACCGGTGGAGGAGAAGTTGCTAGGTTTCTCGGTCGACATGGTACTAGCCGCGTCTCCAAGGCCGTCCTCGTCTCTGCAGTCACACCAGGCATGCTCAAGACCGACGCAAATCCAGACGGAGTGCCTTTGGAGGTCTTTGATTCCTTCCGTGACGCCATGATCAAGGACCGATCCCAATTCTTCATCGACGTTCCATCTGGTCCCTTCTTCGGCTTCAATCGTCCGGATGCCCAAGTCAACCAGGGTAAGATTTGGAAGTGGTGGCAGGAGGGCATGCAATGCGGTTTCAAATCTGCCTATGATTGTATCAAAGCATTCTCCGAGACCGACACCACCGAAGACCTGCGCAACGCTGACATCCCTATTCTGGTAAGTATCCTATTCCTCTTGTTCTATGAGTGCCAGAAAGCTTCAGCACATGTTCTCGCTGCTGACCTCGTGACAACATAGATCTTGCATGGAACCGACGACCAAGTAGTTCCTATCAACACCAGTGGGCGAAGGGCAGTGAAACTCTGCAAGAATGGAACTCTCAAGGAATTTCCAGGGGCACCACATGCTCTTCCTAGCATATGTGCAGATGAGGTCAACCAAGAGTTGTTGAAGTTCTTGGAATCATGATATCATGCATTCCATAATGAGAGACCGTCTGTACCAACCCAATACTTATTAGTGAAAGTACCATGTCTTTGCCTGGAATGCAAGAACACAACCAGTCGGCCTATGATTCCACAACCTCAATGACCGTCTTTCCTATCCCCCCCTTTCCCATGTAGACAACCCCACACGCTTCCCTGACCTTGTCAATGTCATGTAGCGATGCTCTTGATCCGACCACTGGGACTAATTTCCGCTCTTCGACGGCATTGGTCACAGTATCGAGATCAACGCCGTTAGGTTGGAGGAAAAAGTACTCATACTCGACGTGCCACCTGCTTGCCCTCGCCCTGCGAATGGTGTCTGTGACGTTCAGCAACATGCGAGCAAACCAGGGTATTTGTGGATTATTTGGCCTCCGCAAGATACTTGACTGCTGAAGAGTATTTCCGGACGGCGTAGTTGCAATTGAAGCGATAAAGCTGGTCGAGGGAGTCATGAGGGATAGGAAGCGCATAGCCTCGCCCGTCGTGTCAAAGAGAAAATCCACAGAACCTGGGGGAATGACTTTCATGACATCCTCCTTCGTATAATCAATGACTGTCGAGCACATTCAGTCAGTCTGGCTTCACAAACTGGACGAATTCCGTCTCAAACCCATACCTTGATCAACAACACCCTTGCCGAGCAGCTCGGGCACTCTGCCAACCTTAGCAGTCGAAACAGTAGTAATGACTTTGCCCGCAAGGAAGACATTTTTGGCCAGTTGGCATGCTGAGGCTCCTGTTCCACTCACTGAAGAGCAGCTCTCATTAGAATTCACCTAGATCGCTGCCAGGCGCAAAAGGGGCAGGATCGACTTACATCCAGCGGGAATAAACACCGTCTTCCCCTCTAACGAGCCCTTGTATTTCCGAAAGGCTTGTAATGCAGTAACAGCAGCCAGGGGCAATGATGCCGCATCTCCGAAGGAAAGCGATTTGGGCTTCAGCGCGACATAGTATTCCGCACATTTAGCATATTCGCTCCATGAACCTGGCCATTGCTCATCAGCCAACACTCCGCTCGAGGCTTGTTTGATGTTGGATGGAGGATTTAGCTTTACCTCGACCAACTTCTGGCAACCTCGTATAGACTTCGTCACCCACATGTACCCGTGTCACCGCACTTCCCACTTCTGTGACCACACCAGCGCAGTCATATCCAATCTTATATGGGAATCTTTTGTAGGATCAGCCCATAATTCTGCTGAGTTAGGTTTCTGCTTACTCTTCCTTGACAGCCATTTTGAGAACCCCGGCTGCCTTCTTCACATCGATAGGGTTGATGCTAGCAGCATGTACTCGAATAACGACATCTGTTGGCTCAGTGACCACAGGTCGTGGAAGTTCTGCAATCTGGTATCCTGAGGGGTCCGTGAAGGAAGGGGCTATTACACTCATCATTGAGGTCGCCATAGCTCTCACCAAGCATGCTTGCGAATTCTATGGTTCAGAGGCGAAGGCGAGGTTCACTTAAGCAACAGTCCTTGAACCACTTTATTCGCCGGAGCGGGTGGTCGGAACAACAATTTCACCGCTTTGGGCCTGTCAACTTTGCTTCAAGACTCACTTTGCCACGAGCGACCGAGGTAATTCTAAAGACACACTCCGTTTCACTGGGTTAACCGGTAACATTATGATGGATTTGTCATTGGACGATCCTTGAGCATAGGATAGCAGATCTTTTGCCGGTGTCGCTCGCAAGGAAAGACCCCCTATCTAGCGGCTGTTATATTCCCGTGAAGCATCGTGTCAGTCTCTCAAACAAAGCCGCTGCAGCCTTTAATTTTTGGGGAATGAAAGGCGATGTGATATGAGCTGAGGTTTAGGAGCAGTATAAATGAACTTTAGTCGAGACCATGTTTGGGATGAAGTGGAAGACGTGAGTGAGATTCAATGCTTACCAGAAGGAAGATCCTCTACCCAACCTTAAAGCGGCATATATTGGTCTAGCGTAAAATACCGCCAAGAGATATCGCTGCTTTTAATTACCGATTCGACTCGTCAGTTGGGGTCATCCTGCGAAATAATGGTCAAATATATCCAAACCACCTCCAGTAACGACGTTCACATTTGATCTCTCAGATCACACCTCACCACGACTTGGTCGTCTGCTTTCGGCTACCGAGTGACCCTCACAATGGCCGAGGACTTGACACCGCAGGTTCTCAAGGTCCTAGCAGACGCCGACGGTCCAGTCATCACCTCCGACGCATTCCCCACGGCGACTTTTGTACAGATCAAGTCTGCCGTTGACAAGTTACGTTCACGAGAATACCTTCAAGCCGAACAGATCGATCGCATCGAGTTGGGTTTGACAAAAGAAGGCCAAGATATCGCAGAAAATGGTAGCAATGGCGCTAGAGTGTTCGAGGCTGTCAGGGCCGCCCTTGAAGGTTTGAAGATTAAAGACCTCCCCGCCGCCGTAGGTGACGCAAACGTTGCAAAATTCGGCTCTGGCGACGCTTTCAAATCAAAATGGATCAAAAAAGATGGCGATGTGCTCAGGGCCACCACAGACACCATTCAAGACCAGGTTCAAAAACAGTTGCTACAGATCCAGTCCGCCAAATCGTTAGACGACCCCAAAGTGGTTGCAGATTTCAGGAAGAGAAAGTACGTGGTGGATTTGAAGATCATCGCATTCAAGCTCACCAAAGGACCCAAATTCTCCACTGAATTTGTGAAAGAAGAGACGGATCTCACGGCCGAGATGCTGCAGTCTGGCGCATGGAAGACTGCCACATTGAAGCCTTATAATTTCAAGGCCAAAGGTGCTCCCACACCCTCTGGAGCTCTACATCCTCTGAACAAAGTCCGCCACGAATTCCGAGAAATCTTCTTTGAGATGGGCTTTGAAGAGATGCCCACCAATCGCTTCGTCGAGACCGGCTTTTGGAACTTTGACGCCCTATTCGTTCCTCAACAGCATCCTGCTCGTGACCTCCAAGACACCTTTTATATCTCAGATCCGCCCAAAGCCGACCCTCCTCGCGAAGACCCTTCACCTGCAACGCCTGGTGCCCCACAGCCAACTTCGCCGAAACACAAAAGAACAAAGTCCAAGGAGAAGTCACTCGACTATAAGCAGTACTGGGATGATGTCAAAGCCGTACACCAGGATGGTAAATTTGGTTCGATAGGATATCGATATCCATGGGCTGCGGATGAATCATTGAAACTCGTGTTGCGAACTCATACCACTGCCATCTCGACATATATGCTTCACAAGCTCGCCTTGAACCCCAGGCCTGCGCGTTACTTTTCAATCGACCGGGTCTTCCGAAATGAAACTGTGGATCAAACACATTTGGCAGAGTTCCACCAAGTCGAGGGTGTGATCGCGGACTGGGGGTTGACGCTAGGAGGCTTGATAGGATTCATGGAGGTCTTCTTCGGTAAGATGGGTATCAGAAATCTGCGATTCAAACCTGCATACAACCCATATACGGAGCCCAGCATGGAGATCTTCAGTTACCACGAAGGATTGAAAAAGTGGGTGGAAATCGGAAACAGTGGTATGTTCAGACCGGAAATGTTAGAGCCCATGGGACTTCCCAAGGATATGCGCATCTATGGCTGGGGTCTAAGCTTGGAGAGGCCGACGATGATCAAGTGAGTATCTTCCCTGTCATGACCTGCTAGTACTGACCCTTTGAAGATATGGTGTCAACAACATTCGTGAACTGCTCGGGCACAAAGTTGATCTCAATTTCATTGAAAACAATCCCGCCGTCAGACTTGACAAAGATTAGTCGCGAGACTGATTATACTACCATTGTAAGGATGATGAATGTCCCGTATCCACGAGTGCACGCCGCATGGCATACTGGAAAAGTTCTAGACAGAAAGAATGCTAGAAATGATACCCACTTGCGTCGTCCATGGTTCTTTTGTTTGTTTACCGATCCTTCTTTCTGCGTTCCCCGGCACTTCAAGGCTTCCTCAGACAAATATCAATGACTGTGGAGGTAGAACATTCTTCGTACATACAAAAGCCGAACATTAAAATGGGATACCCCATCAGCCGCCTTCTGAAGAGCTGTGGTCTTCCGAGATCAAGAATCAGAGCACAGATACGGGTGGCACAATCCTTTCCCAATTGTAGAATCGGGCTTGCGAATTCACGTTAGTTGAAAGGCACTGAACGAAGATGGAAACATGTGTGGTGTTTGACAAGTTTGCTTCTTTTGTTGATTTCTTTATTTGCTCAGTTCAAGCCCGAGTCAAATTCTCACATGAACATCTAGGATCTCCGTTGGCGACTAACGGATCTAAAGCAAATCTTTCCGAATGCCATCCTTCCGCAGTACCAGATCCATGATGTAGTTGCCGTCGTCGTATCCGTGAGCTCTGCGAAGAGCGGTGGTCGACCGAGGAAGAGCACCTGGGGAAGCCTCCATTCTACTTAGTCAATTTGGATGACTTTCTCCATCACTCATCATTCCACTGCTTGGTGTCCACTTCACTTCACTTCTCTCCTCCCATCCCCTTGGCCGTACTGCTTATCTTGTGGGCTGTGCGCTCCAGACGTTCTTCAGGAATCCATCTCTCTGGGCGAGTCTGTTGAGGCTGTCGTCGCTCTCGGCACGGGCACGAACGAAGCCGGACAGGGCATACACCTGGTTCTCTCCGGTGTAGCGGCCGTTCTCGTCAACCTTGCCGACGCTGATCTGCACGCTGGCGTGGTCCTTGGCCTTGATGATACGGTTGGTGGCGCTGCACTTGCGAGGCACGTAGCTGTATTCATGTCAGAATTTTCCTTCTCTCATTGATTCCAACCATTTTTTGGGTGAGGGGTTCGAGAGGTTTTGTGCCGCTTTGAACACGATGTTCTGGGGTTCGGGGGAATAGCTTACAGATCGACGATCTCTCCCTTTTCGTTCTCCATGGTGTGTAGATGCGAGGATAACGGTGTAGACGGGATTTGGGTGCTGCGATTGTCCTTGCGACGGGATTCGATGTGGTTGTGTGGAAACACTCAAGACTGCGCTCAGGATATTTTGTCTGTGTGGCCTGCGCCTTCGGCATTTGAGTTTCTCCGGACGAAATCTTGGCTGCCAAGCATAACCACTATGTGATTGGCTGGCCCAACGTCCCCTGTTTCTTCTCAACTTCAATTGTCTTTTCCAATACTCACAACATCTTCGTATCGTATGCAATCCCCTGGTTAGGTCTCTTATGCTATATAGATTACAATATTCGAATACTGCCACAGATTCAACGGCACAACTCCATTCAAGCTCTGGCCCATCTCCTCTTGATTTCATGCACTGACTGAATACAAACAGATCTCGACTCGACTCGACTCTCATTAACGTGCTAAGAAAGTCAGCAACAATGAACTTCCGGTTCTGCTCTGCCTGCTGTTGGATACCAAGTGATTGTCTTCTGTGCCGAAAAGTCAAAGATGCAAATCTGTGTTATTGACCAATAGCCTTGACGATGTTCAAGGATGTTTCAAGACACTCTGGCGTAACGCTCGATGTCCTGCCTGGGTGACGTCCTTTCTCTTTAATTGTCTGATGCTGCGAGGAACACGAGGTCGAGAGGTGAAGTTGACCCAGTGTTACTAGTGTCACCATCTTTGTGTCATGGCAAGTCATTCACCACATAACACCTCTGGTATTTATTGCCGCTATCGCAGTAAGGGCCTTGAATAAGACTCACCATAAACTGCTTTGAAATGCATAAACTTTTTGCAACATCCCGGACCCCTTCATCCTGACTTTCTCTACCAGCAAGATGACCTCCGCGCTTGCCCAGAAGCAGACGACCTTAGCAGCCCAAAAAGCGCTAAAAAAGCATACCCGCAAACACCATAACAATTACCCGCCGTTAGGACGACAACTTCCCAAGCTGCTGTCTTTTACCACAATCTCCAAGATAGCTTCCCTCCTTCTATGTGCGCTCCTGTTTTCTCAACCCCTTGAATTGCAAAGTTCGACGCAGCAATGCTGACTTGATCTAGTGTCGCCTTTTCTCTTGGTGCTCCATTTATGGAGATCTTATTACCATACTGTCCCGATTGAATCGAAGCCACGCCCATTTGCGACCATCAACCATGATGTTATCTTTCAAATCATCAAGCATCTTGATGCGCCATCTGTGGTCTGCCTAGGCCTTCCCTGTCGCGAAATTTATACAGCGACGCTAGAAGCTTGCAACGTTCAACGATTGGGGCAGATCTGTCCTCGAGATCTCCGTACTCGACTCCCGAAAATGCTCATTCCTTATCACACTCTTGGGTGGGACAGACGACGTAAAATTATTGTTATCGAGAATAAGCGCTTTGGTTATCCATGCCTTATTGGGGACATGGCCTTTACGGCGTACATGAGGACCGCAGCATGGTATGCGGACAAGGAAACCAATCTTGCTTTGAAAGCATTCGCCGCACACTTTAAAGAGTATGATTTGTCGAGCGAGACCTATCGCCTTATCCTGAGTATGAAATGGCGTATACTCGCTCAACGTTTGCATGGCTGGATGGGCATGAGGTACAGATATTGCGACCGGCATGGTGGATGGCGATTACAATCGTCAACGTCGCCTTTTTTGTGTCCGGGCTGCATCCGTCTCGGATTAGTGCAGCACAGTATGCCAGGGGCCTGGGCTGGTTCGGATGATGAGGAGCTCGAGGAGGAAAAATATTGACTGCACTGGCATGGACCAATTCCGGTCTCTGCGAAACAGAGCAGTCTCTCCCGTCGCGACCGCATTCGAAAGAATGAACGCTGATAAAGAACGCTAGCAAATCTCCGTGCCCTCCATGTTGGACCTTTCCTCGTTTCCAGACTCAAAGAGAGCACGTAGATCTCTCTGCGAAACTGCTTCGATGTCCAGCGGTGGTGCGGGCTCACGGTAAAAGATTTGCTCATTCCCTTGCCTTTTTCCGTAACGTCGTCCATAATTTTTCCAGACATAATAGACTATCCTCAAATGTGTGTCGGTTTTGTGACTGATTTGTAGTTGCCAGTCACATTCACAAAAGGAGCATTTGACAACTTCCGCAGGCTTCAAGGGCCTCATGTTCATGGACGCGCCCTTAAGTAACGCCGGTACCTTGTCGTGCCATCCATTAGATCGCCAATGCAAGCAAGAAGCCCGGAATAAGAGCCTGACCTGGTCCTCCCAATTCATTCGAACCTCTGCATCCAGCTCCCATCGCGTAGCAAGCACAAGTTCTCCATCAATCATGCGTACATCGTTTTGGAACAAGAAGCCTCTGCGATGCAGTCCGCGCGATCGCAAGGAAGACACGGGATACCCATATCGCTCACCTCGTTCGTGAGCACGAAAAACCGACTCGATAAATGGAGAACTCATTCGAATGTCAGTTGTTGCTGACAAGTACCAACATTCGTATATCGCCGAATTCCAGTTAGGCATAGAATGGTGCTGACCCTCACGTGGACAGCGGGTCCACATAAGCACACTGCGCCATTTGAACATAATTCCACATGTTGGGCAGGGAAGATAATCAGGATAGTCGGGCTCGAGGCATTTATAGAACCGCAGCCGCGTCTTGACATCACTCAGTGCCGGGTCCAGATCGCTGAGTAGGAGGCGAAACTGTCGGCAGCAAATGCGAAGTGAGAGTTGATATTCGGCTTCCAGGAAACCGGCGATTAGAAAGAGCAACTCGTTTGGCAGCGTAAGAAGTGGACTGCCGAGATTTGAGGTGTTTATGGTGCTCTCCGGGGTGCCCTTGATGCGCGGGATGGCTAGGATCATGATTTCGAACATCTTCAGTGCATATCTAAAGACGTCAAGGATCCGAAACTTCTGTTTCGCGGTCATCGTGAGAGATGTGCGCCTTCTCGGGGACAGATCTAGGTGTGGGTTGGAGGAGAGCAGAGTGTGAAGAAGGGCACAGAATGGCTGGCTTTATGCAGTATAGTAACATCACGGCGCCAGATAATACAGAGAAGTAGGATGAGAGTTGAATAATGACGGGAGGAAAAGCTGGAGATCCGAACTGGCGATGGCGGTGGAGTCAATAATGCAGAAGCGTCAGGGTGCACCAACCATAACTTGATTATATTGCAGGAGCGGACTTTGTCTCCTTCCTGAAGTCTACACCAGACATGCTTCGCCGCTGCCTGTATCTAGCTTTGCAGGAAGAGGTCTTCCTCCTTTTCCTCCTCTTTTTTTCTCTCTTCTCTTAGGCACTAGACAGTATGACAATGACATTAGGTGATTCTCTCTATCCATACTTCAGAATATGATAAAGAGGGACAGGAGTGTGCTCCTGGATTGTGTTGTCATATTACAGTAGGCTAAGAGAGAGAGAGAGAGAGAGAGAGAGAAGAGGAGGAGGAGGAAGACGGCGAAAACCTCTTCCAGGCTGGATACAGGCAGGAGCGAAGCATATTTGGTATAGACTTCAGGAAGGAGACAAGGACCTCAGGTCCTGCAACAGGTTACCTACTTATTGAAGTCCTCGGTGCGCCTGGTGGATTTAGGTAGTGAGAGTTGTAGCACGTGATCCCATAAGTAACCCGGGTCTTTGCTTACTACGGAGTAATAATACAACTCAAAGTTCGCTCGTGTTGGGCACACTACGGAGTAATTTGGAGGGTGGTGTTGGTGATACTGACCTCCCATAGGTGGGAGGCTTTTGGGGGACAGTCGGGGGCCCGAGGGGCGCCCGGCGGATTGTCTAGGTTGCGCTAAGAAGAAGATGGTTCTTGGCAGAGCGTGCCTGAAGAGACGGCTCAAAAAGCCTGGAATGTAGCAAACCAAACGAAACTTTGTCCATGTTGATTGCATCTGCCAAAGGCTATATACCTGGATTCTCTCCAATCCCGCAATGATCCTGCACCAGTCCGGGTCGTTTGAAGCATCCACCTCACCCACTTCACCAGTTCCTCGAATGCACCAATGATTGACCCAGTTCCTACGATTTCTGTGCCTTAGTCCAGCTGCATTTATACGCCATCTCCTGATCTCGAAGACGAAGGAGGAGCAGGAGGCGGAGGAATTCGAGTGCCACCATCGATTGAGGTTCACGCTGGCTGGGCTGTTGTTCCAACAACAGAGATGAGTCTGGATGAAAGTGAGTGAATATTCGTACCGTGCTGATGGCTATCACACTTAGCTTTGTCATGATGGGGGATTGTGGGTGGGCTTGTCTTGGTTTCACTCTTGGGAGAGCTACTCGTCACCAGCACTGCGTAGAAGTGCAAGCCCGACGCTGGTGCGGCCGAGAGTTGAATCCCGACCGCCACTGGTATCCCCCAGTGGTGGGCCTACACCACAGTCAGCCAGCATGACGCGTGATGGTGCTTGTGATAGTATAGGTGCTGGCTTGAAGACTTCGAATGTCATTCCGAAGACTCCGAACGTCATTCCGAAGACGCTCGTTTTCAGCGGCCAGATGTTGAATCTGCTCACGCTGTCTGCGCACGTCCTCAGTCAGTTGGGAGACTCTGCCGTCGGTCGCAAGACCTTCCTCAATACCCGCACGCACAGCATCACGAATCATCGTAGCAGCACCAGCATTCACACCGACCTCTGGCACCACCTCCCGCTGGCTAGAAGGCGTACCCTCACCCCCAAACATCCTCCACAACCACCCAACCAGCCTGTCGCCCATAGCTGGCCCAAAGGGAGACAAAAGTGTGGCAATAATGCCGCCTGCTGGCCACAGGTGATTAGAATCCATTGCTACGAGCCCAAAACGCAGTCTTTGAGGAGAGGAAAAGATGAAGTGAGGAGATGCCGGTAGCCAGGTAGGAGATGGCGCGCGGTGCTGCTCCTTCCATCGCTGGGACGCTCTTTCCATCTTGCGAATATGTACATTTGGCAACAGCACCCCAAGCATGCAAAAGGCGTACGATCACCGAGAAGAGCAAGTCAGTCTTGCCAATTGCTGGAAGGAGCCGTTTGTAAAGATTGAATAGGGCGGCGAGTGGACTGAAGGCCTCGAATGTCAGGATTCCGTGCCACTACTCATTCACCACGCTCTGGGGGTCGATAGCAACCAGTTGGAAGGGGAACGTTGTCACAGCGGAACGGGCTGCGAAAACGATACACACGACCGAAGCTGTGAGTTATTGTTAGCTGATGCTCACAGATGGGAATCGTGGAGGAGCCCCATGAGCACAACCGCCTTCGAGGACGCAAGGCACTCACCCCAGGCGAAAATTGCCGTCATGTAAGCCAGTAACCGTTGACTACCTTAGGTAGGTAGATGGTGGTGCAAGCAGCGCTCCCTAAAGATACTGGTCCGCCAGCTGTGGAAAATTTGAAGCAATTTCAAGAGACTGACCGCAAAGCTTGAAAGCGATCACGATAATGACGAAAGCGCCATAGGTCAAAAAGTGCCCGCCAAACATGGCGTTGCCAACCACCACCAGGATGCCTGTTGAGGTGTCGAGTAAACTGATAGCCTACATCACTAGCCGACAGAATATCATTCTCTAGATCACGTGATCTCGATGAGTCTTCTCCTTGCGTTCTTTGCCACCAACATGTGAGCTTCTCTACGCGACGACATCAAATCAGATAGCGAAGCTTTAACCTTGAACGCTAAATACAAGTTGTTCGAAGTAGATAAAAATTCACGATCAAACCAAGGACAACATCAGTTCTGTCTCTCATTGCCGAACACTTCTCAGACTCCAGCTCGCATCTCACTGATCTTGCTCCCTTTATTAGCGATCGCCCCTACGCGTCCTCGAGGCAGCATGCTGGAATGGTACGGTCAAACATGCCCATGTGTTCCTTCTTTGAGTTTCTCAACGATTCTCTGGTTGTTTCTGAGAGGGACTGTTTTAGACTCATAAAGTCCGTCTAGATGAGGAAACCAATCTAGGCGACCACATTAGCGTCTTGGTATAGAGGCAATTCTACTTCCAAAAGCGGCGATACCAGCCGCCAAAGTCGGCGCTACGTTTCCCTGCATCTTTTGTTCTCTTTGCAATTTGTTTGTCAAAGCCTCGGTATAGTTGCTGCTGGCGTGAGAGCGTTAGCATTATTGTATCAGATAGGCGGGGTACGGGGGACGTCACTTGAACTTTACAGAGGTACTCCGTACATACGGAGGTACGTGGGTAAATCATGATTAGCGCGGAAGTTTCTAGCTTAGTCCTAAGGCGGTATAGTGATAAGTGCCAGGTCCTCCTAGGAAGGATACGACGAGAGAAGTCTAGTCTATACTCTATATTTTCAATACAATACTAGCTTCAGCGCCCGTACCTAGGCACTTATAGGTACAGAAGTAATCTTTAGGTCTCGAATGATACGAGTGCTATACAGTCCGCAGCCTTGGCGTACTTACCCTTATTGAATCTAGCGTAGATCTTGGACATTCGCGCTAATAATAATTTGCCTATGGAGTATGGACCTCCGTACTATCCGTATTTGTAGTACCTAATAATAAAACAAGGTCACTACTGGCGCCTGGATGGGCGTGGAGGGGCTTTTTCCAATCTGTATCTTCGACTTGATACGCATTGCCATCACAGGATCTTGTGGCATTTCAAGCGATGAGTGGCCCGCGTACTAAACGGTTGACCTTTAGGCTCCAAGCAAACATCAATATACCTACTTATCGTGGCTTATTCAAGCAAGCCCTTGTCTTATTTGTGAGCGTGTATGACCAGGATTTTTTTTGGCGGGGAACGTGCGTCTGCACCAAACGTCGGGACTGTAAAGATGATAAGTCTATACAGTACATGTCCACGTATCAATGCTGACGTGGGCTGATTGGACACATACGGAGTAAGCAGAGACCAGCGGATAACGTCTTTACTGAACATGGTCTAGATATTATTGTTATGAGCCGTTGGCAGGGCTCTCAGCTCACGGAACCAATGAGAGAAGCAGGACGTGGAGGATTCTGCAGGTTCAAGGGGCCCAGTCACGCCAGTATTCGCGGCCTTTGTTGTCCACCACGTCTACTCGCAGGCAGCAGTGTTTCACTAACAAGCACAGCCCAGGACCATGTGTGTCGGGATTCGCAGGCCAAAGCACGTCGAGTTGGTGACTTGTTGGCGGAAGAGAGCTGGAATATAAGCATAGTAGGTACCAAAAGCCTGTTATGCACCGTGGTTGGGTGTAGTGATTAAAAGGGCCTTATTTCCCAAGGTATCACTTCTCGGAACGATCTGTTGTGTATTTGTCTATCTCTCTCTCTATCTCATCCTAGCATATCAGGATTCATATCGACATCTAAACCACCCGTTGCTGTCAAGATGAAGTCCTCCATTGGCGTGATCAATGCTCCCAACATTGAAGATGGCATCCGATTCATCGTCCTTCTCAACAATATAGTGGCAATCGTTCTGAGCTTCATTGGATTACGAGCAGTGTTTGTCGTACTTGGAACGGTCTTTGCCATCTCAATCATCTTCAACATTGTGTCTATCTTGGGCCGGTCGACATCGTCTCGCCTCCGACTCAAAAATGATGAGGCGGTCTTGCCGTTTTTGCCTGGAATGGCCATTGAGGTCGTCGGCACTGTGGCTTTCTTCATCATGTATGTCGTTGTCATGATCGATCTGGTCAATGACAATTACGGCTGGAGGGGAGATAATTTGATTTTGATCCATTCGTATGCTTCTGCAGGAGCCCTGGTTGCTGGGTAAGTTTCTTCACATCCTCACTTGCCCGCATGTACTGGGCTCGCTGTCGAGTTGGCAGGATGAGGCCAAGCAAGAGCATACATGAGAGCATAAAAGTACCTACGATCATCATTAAGTTTGTTGGCTGACAGTCGGTTCCTGTATCTAGTATCGTCCACGCTGCCCTCGTGCTGTACAAGTCTCGACAGTATCTCGAATATCGTCGCATGCTGGTAGAATGTTGTCCTCACTGCCACCATCAGCTCGACATCAGTCTAGTCCGTGAGCCATTCTCAGGCCCTGCTCACATTGCAGCCCCGTCCGGCCCTGGCCACATCGAGTCGGGCCCTGCCACAACACCACGTCTTCAAAGAGACAGTTTCTCGGCCAACTCAGTGGGCGAGGAGGAAGGTGACAGCCTTATCATGAAACCATGATTGGATTGGCTGGTTATGCACGTCCTACCTATACGCTGCCACAGCGACTTCACGAGTCTTGACAATGCAGACCAAAAAGCTTCGATAGGACCAGGGCACTGCAGGAAACAAACCCGGTGACATGCCATGCAGAGATGGGGAACAGCAAGCGATGTGCCAAGAGCGGGGAGTGAGTCGGTATATGATAACGTCCAATACACTCTCTTTCATCACGGTAGATGAGTTGATTTTTGCATATGTATCGTTGTTGGTCGGCGGTTCGAAGTGAGAGGGTAGAACGTTGAGTCGAGGGGTGGGCTCACCTTGAGAGCACAAGATTGATATTGTTGGCTGAGGCGAACAAAAGCACTTGTGTCATCATCGCGCCATGGGCCAAAACCTCAAGGGCAATGGCCCAAGTGCAACACAGATACCAAGGCGGCAAATGATATCGGCAGGATATTTGCTCCAAGGTATTTTGAGGTCATGTGACATTGTATGTAGCAGCAGGAACAGGTCAATCATTGAATGAAATCGGTCTAGTCCGTGTCTTGAATAGACATATCACTAGACATAGCACTAGCCATATTACATGGGAGTAAAGAGTCGCCGGCGTTGTCGTAAAGTGCAATGACAGGTGCCTTAACCAATAACTGGTGGAGGCCTGATGTCAACGGTGGTGATCGCAGCAAAGCTTACGCCTGGCTGGGTTGAATGCTCACATGCTACAGCATGCCTTACACCAGCGTGACCAGACGATCAAGATGCAGCAGGGTACTGATCGACGTATAGCGGGCCAGTTATCTCGATGGTTGGTGTGGGATGTTCGCGGCACCAAGGTGTTGAACGTCCAAACTCAAGATTCACACGACGAGTCGACGTCCTCGAGTCAGGGCTGGGATCAACAAGTGTCAGCTCTGTGCAACATCGCGTATGCATGTCAACGAAGAAGCTTCAGGTAGGCGCAGGGTCCAATCAAGAAAGACGGGAAGGACAACGGCATTCTCTCAGGGATGATTGATTCTGTGATGGATGAATACCATCGTCATGATCAGCAGAGGCTGAAAATCCCTGGTGGTAGGAGGATCGAAATATCACCGAAGGCGGCAACGGCAAACACATAATTACATATATGGGTATCAGCCAGGGGATAAAGTATAACATCACCAATGAATTGTATGCCGATTCGCTTTGCTGACCAGATCTGTCCCCACGGGATGGCCACGAGCAACAAGCATGCAAGATTGTACCAAGATTCGGGATCAATGTGAAGTACTACGCAGATGGTTCAGCTGTTGGCTTGGGTGGCCAATTGTGTAAAAGATGAATGTGTTAGCGAGGCACGCGACACAGACCTTCGTAGATTCAGCTATGGCTATTGAGATCCTGATGAACATTAACGTCATGGACTCGTGGCAATCTCACCAACCGAAGGACAACGGGCAAATGGCCAGAGACCGCTGCCACCGCCACCGCATGTCTGGGAGAGATGTCGGCTAACGCCGGGAGGTTGCTCAGCCTTATTCGCCATGTTGTTGGGACTGGGAGGTTGGCATCCTCATAGTTGTTAGGGCACACGAATGCCCATAGTGGGTGCCTCGTCACGGGTCCACCGAAACCCAAAGGCCCTCGAGCAGGTGGTGTCGAATGGTGCGGAAAATTCATATCCGAGATTGAAAGATGTACGAGCTTCCCGAGGCCCGGAGGCCACCACTACGGAGTACTACTAATAAAAGTAGACGGAGAGAACAGGAGAAGACCGGGGTGCCTGGATTGCTGGGTGGTGAACCAGCCATGGCCCTGGCTCTGACTCGTTGAGGTTTACTTGGACCAAGCTTTTGTCCAGATCTCGGCTTGCACTCCGATTTTGGCACCTGAGCAAATTGTCAGGTTCATCTGCCACCTCATGTCGATGGCGAACAACTGGCCACGAGGCAGGCCGCAGGGCGTGTGGCCACGGCTATGTGATCCTGTTTCTGGCCTATCCACCGAAGAACAATGTGGCGTTGGCCCAGCAGTTTGGGAGATGAGGTTGAACTTGTCCAATGCGAGTGTTGCTACAGGCCGGGTTTCTCAACACCGAATCCCCAAGATGCGGCACTTTTTAGTCATAAAAACTACAAGACTGAGTCGCCAGGGTGAATTCCGGTCTGGGCATTACTCGATTTAGGAATTCCCATGGGCTTGCAAGCGCCCGAGATGGAGATTGGGAAATATGACAGGAGGCGGGTTGGACTTTGATGGAATAGGCAATACTAACACACGGCTTCAGCTTTAGTGTCGGTTGTCCGTCAAGTAGACCATCTTTGAAGAAGTCAATCACGAGAAATCGAGAATTTCGAGGAGAGGCCCATGTGGCGATGGGGTGATGGGCCCACGGCAAGGTCTTGGGTCCCGGCGGAAGCCATGAAGTATCTACGTACAACAACCAACGGGAGCACATGTTGAATATCACGAATCGTTCATCAATAATAGTCAGAGCAAGATTTAACTACTTACTCCATAAGGCTGTCGTTGAGGGACAGTAATAAGTCAAACAACGCTACTGGACTCGGAGACCTAAACCAATCACAACCAATGTATTAAGGCAGGCCATGTCTGAGCACAGGAGTTCGAGTTTGCAATGTAGACTGCGATTTCGGTCTGCAATCCAAGTCTGAGGTTCGACATTGTCCAAGCTGAACAAGGAGTCGACACCTGGCCACCAAAGTCGATAGTACCTATTTGGTGGATCACCGCGTGAGTCGTTAGATGTGAGGCATCAAAGACGGGATTCAAAGGGGGAGGCTTGTAACTGTTGGCTTCCAGAAGCTGTGGAGCAGACCCGGGCAGCTGGATGCTACTTGGAAGCGGCGTCACCCCGGTTCTGAGGGCCAGGGAGACGTGGAATGTGGACAAGGGTGGCATCGAATCTGACATTGTGAAACACAGGTCACCTGAAAGGCATGGTGATGGATCATTGGATCATACTTGCGCCGACAAATCTACGTTGGTATGTACCTTTGTCGAAATACAACCACAACTGGTCACTGAATTTTGTTTTGGGAAAAAAAAGTTGACGCTGGCTCATGTCAGGCCTTGGATTGCCCTGCATAATGCCCAGACCAGCAACCCAGAGCTACTGAACGCATAGACACACTTTAAGTTAAACGAGGCGGATGGCTGCATGGGCTCCCTGGCTTCCATGTGCATACGCAGCACTCTCCCAGTTACCAATTCCGAATCTTCCTAACCTGACACACCTGAGGAGCAACTCGGGGCGTCGACGGAGAGACATTGGGACTCGGGGTTGCTTGCGCTTAGAGCCGCCCGTCCACCGACCCAAGGCACTAAATGGTCCGAATTCTTATGAAGGCATTATTGTTGGTGGACCGTCTCGGGCCCAAACTTAATGCTCAAGTCCGCGACTTGCAAAAACACAATTTCCTACCAACAACTAACCAAGTTGTCCGTGAACTAGAGGCCAGTAGGGTGGTAGGGCCGGACGACGCTGACAAGCCGCAAGTGGCAGCATATTACAGATCGGGCTTCTTCAGACGTGAGACGTGTGATTTCGTTATTTCTCATGAAGCGCTGTAGCATCGACACGACGTTCGTAATCTGGTAGAGGATCACCCTTCCTGATGGGGGTAGGCTCTACACGGCCGCTCGGCCCTAGCACGGTCACGGTCGAGGATACTTATGACTGACCCCAGTAGGCACATGTCGGAGTGAACGTCCCGGGGGTTGGCCCGGACGCCACGCCTAGCCTGGATGTCACCTCAAGCCTGAATGACATCGTTCATTTTGTGTTTCTGTGGTTTCCCAGTCCATGGCCAAGTGCTGAGTGACGTCGGGAATGGCATTATTGCCTCGCTGGTGACTAACAGGCTGTGAGGCTGTACCTGGCGTGTCTGGCTAATTTGCAGCTCGAGCAGCTGTCTCGAGTACATGTGTAGCTACCCTACCTAGGTACGAGAAACATACCTGCTTGAAGGATTAGGTACTTGTTGATGGGGCTCCAGCGAGCGTAGGTCCCTAGCTTGGCGCCTCCCTGGAACACATGTTAAGAACCTGGATCGAGATTCCAATTCAACTGGCCCATTTCTTATTGCATCACGTTCACGAGCTATCGCCGAGTGATCAACATGAGCAGTTCCTCATGCTTTCACTGGCACGTCTTATGGTTGGCTACACGAAAGCATATTTGCACTTGTGATGTCGGAGGGGGAATTAGGCTGGGGTCGACTCGAGACACACCTGTCGCCTCAAAACCCCGGAGCCTGTGGGATGCATGGGCATGCCTCGTGGCGTCGGGGCTTTCGGCCAGGGCGTTTTGGGGCTCATGTCAGGAAGACACCCACATTCGTAGGCAACCACGCAGCCTACGCACCCCCCCATGACTACCTAGGTACCTACCTGGTACTCAGTACAGCACCGGGGCGACCCAGGTCTGGCCTCCTATCCAATGTCCACAACTCCCAACTTGGCTGTCGATCGAGTTTCTCAATCAGTGTAGTAGCAATTGTAAGTGACATGATCCATGAATTATTAAAATGATTATTACTACCGACGCATCGGTGCATATGCCTAGGTATTATTGTCCATATGTCCACTTAGAATCCGAGTTCTACCGGGCCCTTTACGCTTAGCCAGACCCGCTGCCGCTAGGGAATAATGGGCCGCTAGGTGGCCCCCGGCCTTGCGCTACCGCTGACAAGCATCCCAATGACCCAGTCATTTGCATCCATGCTTGGAGCTCAGACTCATCAAGAGTCAGCAAACTGGGCCAAAGGGCGAAGCACGCCCGATTCGGAAGCCATCTTGCACCCACCAATATCGAAACATCCGCCTTGTGATGTACTGGAGGTTCATGGAACACTAATCGACAATCCTCAACCCAACAATCGCCTGTTGAACACCTGACACCCGTGCGTGTGTAGAGACATGGACTCCTCTAGAGTTAGCACCATTGAGGAAACATGGCCGAGGAGTTAGATGGTTATTTGCCTGTCATTCAGGCCGTAGGCATCCAGTAGGGCCGAGGGGCCTGTCCAGTGTCTTTCAAGACTCTCTTTCGGCTATCTGGATCACAAATGGGAGGTTCCCGGGTGCAGTGCCGGTGCTCAATCGACTCGGTATGGCCACCCCCCAGTACCGCTGTCACCACCATCACCATCATCCATCATAATGACTATTGATCACCTCCATATTATTAGATCTAGCATTGTCCCGAGTCTCATCTTCTCTCCCTCTCTCCCAAACCCCTTCCTATCAGACCATTCTTCATATCATTCTACTCGCATGCTGGATGTCGACGAGCTCGTCCCTAAACAAACCTACCAAGGTTTCTAGACTTGACCAACGTGACCACCTACAGTACATACCTACGCCCCCCGCCTCCCTCCGTAACTCCTCGTCAGCCTTCCTCGTCATATTCCGTACATAATCCTGGTTCCGCTGAGACGATTTGACAGGTGAAGCATCCCCATCGCCGAACTCTTTGAGCGCCCACCACACGCCCCACACCGTCACCGCCTAACCCACTTGCCCACTTGTCGACGCGGACTCGTCCTTGGACTCTAGTCGACCCAAACTCTACTGGACGGTTTCCCCTCTAGTTACACTCTGCCTGCCAAGCTTCTAACCTCCCAAACTGCAATTGACCACATCCCTCCAACGCCCCCCGGTGTGCCGATTCCCAGCAGGTCTTCCCCAGCACCTCGGACCCCCCCCCCAAGTCCCCTACTTTTATTACCTACCTACTTTAGGGACCCTCCTCGTGCGCTGCAGGCGTACCCTTCATCTCCCGGTCCATATCCCTCTGAACATCCACCTCTACGCCGCCTACCAGTACAGCTTTGCCTGCACCTTCATTAAGTCACACCCACCCATCCGTCTCTCCAACTGGCCAAAGAGAATCGACTCTTTTGTCGCAATAACATTATCATATCTCTACGCTCGCCTCCCTCACCATCAACACCCTCCTCTTCTCACCCCCCCTCGGACTTATCCATCCTCCCACCATCTTTCATTCCACATCCTCCGCAGTTCATGTTTGATCACGAAGAGAGTCCTCCCCCACTCCATCACTCGCCTTCCTCGAGTGACCGTTCCTCATTTACCTCGAGAGACACCACTCCAGTCACTCCGGTGGGCAACGGCCCTGTCCTCGCCAGAAAGGTCGACAAGGACCCTCTGCCTTGGTTCAAAAGACCTATCGACATCGGCCGCTCCACCACTGGCCTCTGTCTGCCCAGTCCTCGCCTTGAACCAGACTTCGACGATCATTCATTTCCCTCCTTCGGCGCCTCGCCTCCCTGTCAGGGAATGGGTCACGTCGCCAACCCCGTCAACATTCTCTCCAGGCAAACTTCAACATCCCCACGTGGCAACCAGCCCTCCAATCTGACCTCGGCCCTTCAACGATCTGACAGCGACGAGAAAAGAAGCATGGCCCAACCCATCCCCGAGACCGCTTTAAATCGGCCCATTCCACAGATGCCGCCCACCACCTCAGATGACTTCTCTCGCTTCGAGCGTGGCGCACGCCCCATCGCAACCAAGAACCTATCTCATCAACAGCCTAGACGCGAGAGTATGGCCCAGAGTATCGGCGGCACTGGAATGAGCTGGGGAGGCATCTCAGTCGGAAGCTGGATTCGAGAAGAGTGAGTTACCATTCGCCTCCGCGCCATTTGTGAACCGATCTGTACTGACCTGAGTGCTCGTGACAGTATGATTATGGCTGGAACTTCTCCCTTTGCCCTCAACTCTCCCTCCTACCACTCGTCATCCTACCTGCCCAAGCTAGAAGCCAACTTCATGAAGGACTTTTCCTGCTGTGGCCTCACTCTCCCCTCTCTGCACGATCTGCTGCAGCACTATGAAGAAGCCCATGCTCAGAAAGAGCCCATTCACCCCGACACCAATCAGCAAATGCCGGATACTCGAGCCGCCATCGCCGCCACCACAGCCGCCAACGTTCAACAGGAAGCCCAACAACGACAGCAGAATATGCAACAGAACACGGCTGGCCGGCCCTTCGGCCAACAGCCCACCTTCTCCCAGCACAATCAACGATCCATGGGCTTCGCCAACACTTTGCAGACCATCCCCGACATGGACACCGTAGAGGATATGGAAATGGATGATGTTGACAACGATGACCAAAACACCCCTCCCTCTAATTTGTACACCCAGAACCTCGGTCAGACCTCACCGCCTACAGCGTTTAATTCTCCCGCCCAGCCACAGATCCCGCTCTTGAACACGGGCATGATGCAAGGCCACCAAACATACCGACAATCCACACCCAGCACCCCCATCGCCTCAGGACGGGTTTCTGCTCCGTTTCAAGGGACCAGCGGCTCTTCGACCTTGATGGCCAATCCCATGCAGCAGTTCCAGGACCTCCAGAATGCGTACCGCGGTACCCCAGATTCTTCAGCCCCCGGCTCCCCTGGAGAATTGGACGAATCCATCATGGCGGGCATCAACGACATGTCGATGCAGAACAACCTCTTCAACGGCATGCCCAACGGCTTTGGCAATTTCGGTTTCGGGCCAAACAATGACATGATCGACTTGTGTATCGACGAACCCGCGAAGCGTCTATTCTCCCCCGGCAATCCGGGCTTGAACCAAACTCAGGGCCAACAGTCGACCAGTCGGCTAGGAAGCGGGCAGTATGGGGCCAATAGCGACATCGCTCGCACCATCCGTGAGAGACAAGTCGCTGCTGGACTTCCAGACACCATGACTAACGCTGGTGCGTCTAATGAAGAGCCTAAACCCTTCCGCTGTCCCGTTATTGGCTGCGAGAAGGCGTACAAGAACCAAAACGGGTTGAAATACCACAAAGCAGTACGTATTCCATTTGTTTTACCGAGTGCCCTTTTCAGCTTGACCTGACCCTTCTTTCCACAGCACGGACACAACAGTCAGAGACTGCACGAGAACGGCGACGGAACCTTTTCGATTGTCGACCCCGACACGGCCGAACCATACCCCGGCACCATGGGCATGGAGAAAGAGAAGCCTTACAAGTGCGACGTGTGCCAGAAGCGGTACAAAAATTTGAATGGGCTCAAATACCACAAGACTCACTCTCCTCCGTGCAATCCTGAGTTGCTCAACGCCAACAAGAGCCCCGGGTTGGCGATTCCCAACATGATGGCCAAGACCGGTGGAAACATGGGAGCCGGTCTTTCCGGTGACATGAGTATGATGTGATAGAATGGCCAAGGCGAGGTTTTTCAACAAGAGCCTGGCCTCGACTTTAGTCTACTGGAGACTTTGGACATGATCATTGTCTGGAGTATCGCTTACTATTTATGGTCGACGCGTTGTCGACCATGCAGTTTCCCTCACCAATGACGCAATGGCTGTGATGGAGTACTCAACGCTCCAGCCAGGCCGTGAGAATGCTACATTGCCGGGTTTACACACCCACGGCTCTTCTCAGAAGACGCGTCTGTCCTGTCTTGCCGGCAATGGCTAGTCCCATGCCAGCCATGGGGCAATGAGGATACTTTTCAGACGATGCAATCAAGCGGAATGGCTGGAAATGGGCATCTCCCAATGTCGGAATCGACGAGGAGTGATAAAAGTTTTGATCTTAAAAGGACGGCGATTTGATTTGACCTATGTCGGAGTTGGGTTTGGATACAGCGTTGGGGTTATGGCTGGTCACATGACCTAGGAGTGGATAATTCAAGACCGTGATTTTCAGCGACAGGATGGGCGGCGATATGATGCAACGGACTCAGAGAGAAGACAGGCGCTTGCTCAGATTGGGATACAATAGAGAAGCACGGTCGCGGGAGGCATGTACAGATGCCCGAATCAGTGTCTTTGACGGGGATTTGTGCTTTTGGCCGTGGAATGATACCCTACAGCGCCGTTGACGGAGGGAGGTCCAAGGAGTCGATAATTGTTAGACATGCTCCAGCTGGGAGTGAGCACTGGATACTGTAGAATCAGATGCGTTGATAGAGTAGGCCAGAAAAAACAATCACATGTTTGGCTAACCACAAATCAAGACATCAGTCTATTGTTCTGTAAACATCACGGGGAATAGACACAACCAGCATGTAGGTCAATAATGACGGAGGCCGAATCACAAGTCCCAGGTTTCGAAGGGTTCCCCCTGACCTGTCATGCACGACCTACGGCAGTCAGACGATAGCCGACAGCCAGACGTGTTTAAAGAGACGTCGATGGTCGGTGCAGATGGTCGAGTGGGGGGGTCGCAGCCGCAGACAAAGCCGGGGCTGAGAGCCTACGGATAAGGGGGATAAGGATGCATATGCGTATGCCTCCTGTCCTCAGGTACCTTATTAAAGGCACATTGCTGCAAGTCCCTTGGTAGTCCTTGTGGATAATAAATGCATGAAACCACAAAAGTCTTGGTGGAGCCTCCCAAATCAAGTGGGAATTGAGACACCCCATGCACCATGGACTTCCACACGCCCAAATTGTGCCACAAGTCATGCCCACTCGAGCCCAGACACGCGCGTGGAGGCGCAGCTCCTGTGAGAAAAGGCAAAAACGTAAAAACACGTAATGGCGCGACGGCGGCTGCAAATCCCCAACCCACTCCCTATCTCAATGTAAAGCGAATCGAATTCAGTTCACTCGTGACTCGACGTGGCATCCATATGATGTAGAAAAGTAAAAGGGCATGGGTCGAGCTGAGGTTTCGTAGAGGATAAGGGAATAATTAAAGCCTGAGCAACGGATCCTCGCGGCCTTCCAGGGGCACAAAAGTGACCCCTGGAGATCATTGCCATGGCTGCCCAGGGTTAGTTAGGTGACACTTTCAGGGCCCAATCCTTCATCCCAAGGCCTGGCTGCCGACTTCACAGGGGAGAGTCATGGGGCCGAGGGGCGCCTCGGGCACTGTAGAGTGTATCCTGATAGGCTTCGAACGTGGCCACCTCGACTGTCCACATACTCTGGCTTCCAATGTTACCACATCGGATCCACCATCTGGTCTTTGTACAGATCATTCACTCAGACTGTGACCAAACTCATCATCCCTCTTTCTTCACACTGTACTGTCCATTGCGTCCACAGTTAGACTTGTTCGGATACCTGCGCTATCACTGCCACTGGACTTGTCCTTCTCCTGTGGACATTGTCACTCGTTGTTGTCCAGTCTCTTTGTATTCCCGATCCATCACCACGCCCTCGCGAGCCTCTCCTTCTCCCCACAATCGCAGCTGACAACGGCTGCCCGATTCTGGCCACAGTGTTTCCAGACCACAGACACGATCCCGATCCCGATTATACACGTGTCTCTCACTCTCTATACACTTGACTATTTCCGCGCGCCAAACAAGTTGACTGATGCGGCCAACCTGAAGTCATCGTCGAGCCTCCAATATTCATCCTGCGCCGTGCTTCACCCTTTTGCACCGCCCGACCGAGACACATCGAATCCCCCATCCTCCTTTCAAACTACGGCGCATCCTGCTGGCTCACACATTTACCAGTACTAGAATTGCTGCCGTGGTTGTCGCAGTTTGCCTTGTGCATCTCTCTGCCGCGAATACCCTATTCAATCCGCTCGGTTAGGATAGCGCATACAAACACTCCCCCTCATCCTCAACATGTTCGACATGGTAGAAGATAAATATATTGGCCTAGCCCTGGCCATTGTATCGACGTTGGCCATAGGGACCAGTTTTGTCATTACGAAAAAGGGCTTGAACGATGCGGCTGAACAACATGGCTTTGAAGGAGATGGATATGCATACCTGAAAACCCCCCTGTGGTGGGCGGGAATAGCTTCACTGGTGCTGGGTGAAGTAGCCAATTTTGCCGCCTATGCCTTTGCCCCGGCCATCCTAGTCACCCCTTTGGGCGCTCTCAGCGTCTTGATCGGAGCGGTACTGGGCGCATACTTTTTGAATGAGGAGCTGGGCGTCTTGGGCAAGCTGGGATGTGCCATGTGCCTGCTCGGCTCCGTCATCATTGTGCTCCATTCCCCGCCCGATGAAGAGATTGAGACAGTGGATCAAATCTTGTCCTATGCCATGAGACCAGGTAAGAGAGGCGATATTTGTGATGTTCTTCGCAGTGAGCTAACTCGCATCTCAACAGGGTTCATCATCTACTGTCTAGCCGCCATCATCTTCTCCACAGTCATGATCTACAAAGTAGGCCCGATTTATGGAAAGAAGAACCCATTGATTTACATCTCCATCTGTTCGACCGTGGGGTCAGTATCGGTCATGTCGGTTAAGGCGTTCGGGATCGCGTTGAAGTTGACGTTTGCGGGCAACAATCAATTCACCCATGCCTCGACATATGTCTTTATGGTGGTGACGGTGGTGTGCATCTTGACTCAGATGAACTATTTTAACAAGGCATTGAGCCAGTTCTCGACCTCGATCGTCAACCCGTTGTACTATGTCACATTTACGACGGCGACGCTGTGCGCCTCCTTCATCCTTTTCTCCGGCTTCAACACCACGGACGCAGTCAATACGATTTCCCTTCTATGTGGCTTTTTGGTGATCTTTGCCGGAGTCTATTTGCTCAATCTGTCGCGCGGAGACCCCGACGGTCACCGATTGCTGAATGGCAAAATCGAAGAAGATGGCATCCCCACCGACCCGCTGGCGACGTATTCGACGCGGCTGAGCATGCAAACGCGGAGAAGCACCGACCCTCATCGACGCAGTAGCAGTTTGACCTTTAGCCCGGGTGGAATTCGACACGTGAGCCGGGAAAGCGCGGGGCTGATGCATGATTACGACGTGGAGCAAAATGCATTTGGTCTGACGGATCTGGTGGAGGATCCAGAAGAGGTTGAAAATGGAAGCTCCAGTCAAAAGAAGGAGCAGGGAAGAACGAGGCTGTCTCACGCGCCTAACTCAAAGAGCCATGATCGATAACACCTCGGAGGCGGAGGCGGCAGAAGGAAGGCTTCTGAAGCCACGAGGGTTGGTTTAGACCAGAGGCTTCTTGTAACGATATTCATGCATGGGACACGGTTTTGATTAGCGATGACTTTTACAGTTTATACAGAGTTGTGGCATGTTGGCGAATGACCTAGACAATCGGATGATCTGGCCGGGTTATGAACAAGCAACTGGGATTAGCGACCAGGATGATGGTCGGTGTTGGAAGATGGGCCAGAGAGTAAGTACGGCTTGTCTACTAGAGCCAAGTGGTGAGGCGAAGAAGAGACACAAAAAGTTGGCGGCTACTGAGCTACCTAAGGTTTGCTTTAACAATGTACAGATGTGTGGAAGAATATGAGGAAGAGGAAGAAGATAGGTATCAGAATGAGCCTCACAGAGGCTGGATGGAGAACAATCAACACTCATCAGTACCTTAGTAAGTACCTACGGAGTAGTACTGGCAATAATAAGCGTACCTGCCTGTTGTAGACCCCAGACTCCCTGTGCCAATAAAGATGAACCACGGCAGGCACCAAGGATAACCACCGAGGCAGGCGCAAGTGCAAGTGCGGGTGTAGACTGGTGCGGGAAGGTGCGCACGTGGTCATTCTGCGCCTTCCTGGGGGTCTGGACATTGGAGGCAGGCGCTTGGCCGATAACAGGTTTTGCTTCTCTTCCCACTTTCTAACATGTTGGGAGACAGATGTCCTGTGCTTGTTGTTGATCATTCTTCTTCTTGCTATAATATCATGCTCATGCTCATGGCCGCGTATTCAAACTAACTTACTCGCTGCCTCTGACTATCTTTCCACCAAGCTTTCCAAAGCATCAAGGCCATCGGGCTTGAGCCACCAACAGTTGTTGTCCCTTGCCTGCTCAGCCAAGAAACTACCCCCTCGACCATTGCACCAATCCCCCTCAACCACCAACCATCCACGCCCATCCACCTTCCCCGTCTCTGACAATGGCATCATCGAGCCAACCTTCCACTTCCAAGGCTGAGCGACCCATGCCTGCCATGGATCCCAATCCCGCTCCTGCTTCTCCTCGTCCACTCCCTCAAAAAGGTATGAAAGTCTCCAAACCCCCCAAGACGACGTCCATGCTGCTTGTCCGACCACCCCAAGACTCTCTAAAGTCGGCTATGACCCATCCAAGCCTCAATCTGGATCCCACTACATCGTCTGCTCTCTTGTACTTGTCTCGATACTTCCATCAATGCACCAACTGAAACTATGGAGCCCACTATCTCAAATAGCGGCTCACAAAAGCGTGCGTGAGCCCTGTGTAAATGGATCACTCTATGCCGACAACGATCATCACACCACACCACCTCCAACTTCATCATGGACATTGCAATCCCCTGTATCCCACCTTATCTATACACTAGGATATCGGTCGCCCCAGAATCGCGTGACGCACTCCACCACATTTTCCAACGGGCCCATGGCTAATTTCTCCCATATCATCTCCAGGTGTCACCATTTTCGATGAGCCCGAACATATTGAGCCAGTCAATCATAGCGATGACGACGACCAACAAGTCTCTCCCACCTTGGTCGCTTGCCATGCTCCCAAACTTCACCGCGCCTCTATAACGGGGAAGAAGATGACTGGCCGACCCGCCCTCTCTCAGACCAATTCCTCCACCGCTCTCGCCAGCCAAATCTCTGCCTTGAGTCTTGAGAACCCAGAACCATGCGAGACCCCTGCCGAAAGCAAAGCTCCAGACCTGCGAGCTCTTCTCTCTCAGGTTGTTGACTGGCTCCAGGAAGAGAAATCCAAACGTCAATCACTCCATCATCACCGTCACAAACATGTCTACCCTCATCGTAACAGAGCCCCTAGTATTACCGACTCAGGCACCGAGAGCACTTCGACTCTTTCATCCGTGCATCCTCAACAACGAGCATCCACCGCTGACAGCGATGTCGATCTGTCTCTGGACAAGTTGGACTCGATTCTCTCCGGATATACCGCCCTCACTGGATCTCTTCCCAAGCTGACTCACAAGTCCTCGTCTTCTTTGTTCAGCAGAAAAGGCAGCATAGCAAAGGTGTTCAGTAAACGCAAAGGCTCCATCGCCCCCCAGTCGTCTGACACTGAGTTCTTTGGCGATGAGGTCATGGTTCCCAATGTCGAGGCCACCCTCGACAACACCAAAACTACTGCCTTCTGCGGCGGTTCTCCCGATGCTGACACCAGCGACCAGGCCAAGCGGAAGGACTACAAACACTGGGTTAAGTTCAAGGAAGATATTGTACGTCTGACTCATACATTGAGGCTCAAAGGCTGGCGACGCATTCCCATCGATCGCGCCGCCGATATCGATGTTGCAAGACTAAGTGGGGCTTTAACGAACGCCGTCTATGTTGTACGTCCGCCCAAAAATATGGCCGACTATGCTACAGCACCGGGCACTGGAACCAACACGGGCACACAAACACCTGCCTCGTCTGCCATCCCCGGTTCAACATCGATAGAGGCATCTTCGCAATCAACACCCTTCCCCTCCAAACGAAAACCCATCATCCTTCTTCTTCGAATTTATGGCCCCCAGGTCGAGCATTTAATCGATCGTGACTCTGAACTTGCCATTCTTCGCCGCTTATGTCGAAAGAACATTGGTCCACGCCTTCTCGGAACTTTTGACAATGGTCGCTTTGAAGAATTCTTGCATGCCACCACCCTGACTGCCGAAGATCTTCGAGTTCCCGAGACTTCCAAACAGATCGCCAAGCGTATGAGAGAACTCCATGATGGTATCGATTTGCTCGATTCCGAAATCGACAGCGGCCCGGCCGTCTTTGCCAGCTGGGATAAATGGGTCGACCGCGTTGAAAAGATCATCACGTTTTTGGATCAGCAAGTCCTTGCAGCCCAGCAGGAGCAAGCATCGGATGATACTTCGCCCAAACCCAATCCCCGCTACACCCGAAGAGGTTTCATCTGCGGTGTCGAATGGCCTATCTTCCGCAAAGCCTACGACGAGTATCGCAGAAGGATTGTTGGCCAGTACGGCGGCACCAAGAAGCTAAATTCGAGCTTGATATTTGCCCATAACGACACTCAATATGGCAACCTCATGCGTCTTAACCCTAGCGGGACATCCCCATTGCTCCAGCCATCAAACCACCACAAGCAACTTATAGTCATCGATTTTGAATATGCCGGCCAGAACACTCGGGGCCACGAGTTCGCCAACCATTTCACCGAGTGGTGCTACAACTATCACCACCCAGAAAAGAGCTGGGTGTGTGACACCCGCGGTTATCCAGATGAGAAGGAGCAGTATCGATTCCTCCGAAGCTATGTCATGCATCGGCCGCAATTCGCTGGCAGTGCTAGCGCCACTCCCAAGATGGAAGCTCGAGAAAAGACAAACATTACAGATTTCATGCTCGATGCGCGGGCTCCAGGTAGCACTAGTACGGGCAGCAGCGCCAGCACCTTCAATCTCCCTGCCGCCGCAGTGGATTACGAGAGGGATGAGTCCGAGCGCGAGAAGAGGCAGGAAGAGGAGATCCAGAAATTACTCGACGAGACGAGACTGTGGCGCTTGTCCAACTCAGCACATTGGGTGGCGTGGGGAATTGTCCAGGCCAAAGTGCCTGAGTTGGACGATAAGGAGGAGGCTAAACCTACCAAGCGTATCCTCGGTGGTGTGCTAGAAACAGTCAAGGAACTGGGTCATGCTGGGAGGTCATCTCTTTCGGCGGATCGCAAGCAGGCCGAAGACACAGATAAAGATGACAAGGAGGAGGCTGACGACACGGCAAAATCACAGTCATCCGACGTACCAGCAGAGTCTCACACGAATGACACTTCGTTAAATACTCCGCAGAACCAAGACGGGGCCGAGCATTCACGTCAAGCTTTGGATGAAGGCGACGACGAATCTCAAGGACAAAAGTCGCCAGCAGGAGAGGCGGAGGAAGAGGAGGAAGAGGAGGAAGAAGAGTTCGATTATCTCGCCTACGCTCAAGATCGGGCCATGTTCTTCTGGGGCGACTGTGTCCAGATGGGCATTGTAAAAGAAGAAGAACTGCCTGAGGATCTGAGGCATCGAATCAAGAAAGTTTCGTACTGATTCAGGGACATCGACATAATGTGGGCAGAAGCGGACGAGACTGCATACCTAATGCATCTATGGATCTAGAATTTCTATGGCCTCATCGTTTCATTACCAATCTGGTTAACAAGCACATGACGACCGCCCATCTTGATTGTTGCATACCGGATCTTACTACATAGCCTTTGTTTTCGCCATCTTTGTTACCTTACATACCTGTTGGGATCAACTTGTTTGTTTATAACGAGAGATTATGAACCGGTATCATTGTTGAAGTTTGGGGGCCAATATTCTGGATGAGGATATAGGGTATGCATAACGATATATTGAATAAGATTGACATATTGAAATGCCACTGTGATTACTTTCATGTTTGATGCTTCGCTTCGAGTTTCAAGTCCTATAAACGCAGATATAGTGGATGGATAGAGAACCCATAATCGCAGCTAATTACAAGTCCATTGCCTCTAGGCTTGGTCTTTGCCGTGACATGAGACTGATATGCACAGCGAATCGACCACAGCAGCAGCAAAGCTACAGTAGCACGACGTTGTCAGTCGGAGGGCTCAAGCACTATGACGATGAAAATTGACCAAGGACTCGAGAGGTCTGATCCTCAGAGACGAATCTTGACACCGGAAGCATCTAGGCCGAAGGCGACAGCGGCGACGGCAGCGGCATAAAGACTTAAAACAGCCATTGCTGACAACACGGACATGTCGAGCGTGTTACAGGTGAGGTTGACAAGGCCTGTGAGGAGATTGGCGACGAGAAAGATCGCAAGGCCGTTGGAGTTGAAAGCGCGAAGAATGCGGCTGGTGGCATTCGCTGCCGAGGCGTGCGAAGACGCACCGAGAGTCGAGTCCGAAGGTGCGGTTTCCGACTCGAACTCATACGAGAAGGCCGGACCCAGACTCTCAATCGCGCCACACAGCAATAGTTGGGTCGCGTTGAACGATGCCACCCACAGCACATAGGACAAGTTGGCTAGCCGTCGTGACACATTGAGGTTGAACAGTACCACGTGCGTTGACACGATGAACAGCAATATGTATATGGCGGACCGGATCGCCAGCGTCTTGAGCACAATCCGTCGTTCGGCCGCGGTTGCACTCACTGGGTCTCGTGTCTTGGATTGATGGCTTGAAGATGAGGACGAAGAGGTTCTCTGGTATTGCACAATCGAGACGCCCGTTCCACGACCAGCGAGGAATATGGCCAGATACCCGATCAAAGAGAAGACACCCTCGCGGTTCTTGGAGAGCAAGTCCGGGCCCCTCGGTGAGATCAGGATATAGCGTAGCAAGTCGGTGTTGTTGAGGGCAATTTCATAGGCCAAGGCCAAGGCCACGGCAAGTATGTCGTAGCTGTAGTTTTGCGATAATCTGCGGGCCATAGGATCGACCAACTCAACAAACGGTGGCAATAGGGCCAAAGTGAAGAAGAAATTCCAGTGAACACCATACTCGGTCACGTGTTCCGCATAGTCGAGCCCCTTGACGCTCCAGAGCCGTATGAATCCCAGGATCAATAATGGGATTGAGTGTCGAGCTGCGTGAATGAGGCGAATGATAAATCCAGGTCCTGGTGTGAGTTTCTCGACAGTTCCTATCGTCGTGGTCGTCGTACGCCTCCTTGCCTTGACCACTGCACGTGCAGACACCACCCCGGCCGAAAACACAAATGATCCCACGCCCAGATCCATTAGCGACGTGCCCCACGTCTCGACTTTGGCAAATCGTCGTGGAAACACAGGGAAATCCACCGCCAGGATTGCCAGACACGTGCTGATCATCATCGACCCTCGGTAGTGAGTGAGAAACGGCCGAACAGGCATCTGAGTAGAGATGGAAGATGAAGATGGAGACGATGAATCATCCTTGCCAGTTGCTGTTGCTGCCACTGCCGTCGATTTCTTGTCGTTCTTTGATTTGGATGACGCCGTATTAGGCTGAGAGCTCAAGAGTAGCATCAAGATTGCCGGACACAGTAGAGACAGGGCCAAGGCCAGGGGCGCCGACGAGTAGACGGTAAAGGAGAATAAAACGGCACCGACATTGAGTAGGAAATCGGCCAGACCCGCAATCGTCGTGTACGGTGTAAAGAGAGCCTGTCTCTTTTGCAATGCTGACCAAAGAAGAATCGCTAGCTGTTGACAAAACAAGGCACAGGTCAGTGAACGATGTTCAACATATTGATGGCCTTCAAAAATTGAATGAAAATATTTCAAGACACACTTACCGTGGCCACCGAAGTCACCAAGCTAATGTCTGTCAGCGAGCTGCCCGTCAAGTTCGATACAAAGGCTTCCTTGCGCGCCTTGTAGGCCGCTGCCGGGTCTGCCGCCATGGTTGTTGCACACGAGATTGACGATGGGTGGATGGGTGGATGGATGAAGGGGTAGAGCAACCTAGGTGCCGCTATGTCATTTCAGTAACAAAGGGACAGCAATGTGTTCTCTTTTCTCTAGACAGGGCGGCCTTCGAAATGTACTTGTACCACACTCGACATCATTAGGAATTGGGGTTCATCAAGAATCAATCGACAATTTAAAAAGGGTTATATCTGTTCCATCAAAATCAACCTGATAGGTGGCCTTGCGACTCGGTAGATGTTCGGCAGAAGAAATTGATATCAGACAAGGCTGAGCGAGGCTGGGCAAGGCTAAACCAATCATAAACCAATCAAAGGAACGACATCATCACTCAGCATATCGATCTACAGTCCATCAACTCCAAGAGTTTCAATTGATATGCCAATCATGCACATACTATGCTGTTCTCTCCTCCACAACCCCCGGAGACCATTTTACTCTATATCCAATAATTATTTGTCACCCAAAATATTGCCTATTACCTAATTGATCATAGCCTTTGAACAGGGGAATCTCTCGGCGCACGTCATGACTTTTGGCTTATAATCGTAGTATTATAGTATCATCAATGAAATGAATCACGTAGTGCAAAATGCCAATGTGTGAAAGCTTCTCAAGACTTTCCAAGCTTTGGGAATTCATTTCCACCTACAAGTCTTGTATATATTATCCGACTCTACCTACGCTGCTTTGATTGCCACGACCCTCGAACACTCGTGCCCCTGCTTGCCACAATGGCCGACGACTGTAGTCGCATCACTTATGGATATGTCGACCCCAATTTCCCAAGACCCAACACTGATGACTCGGCATGTATAATCATCTACGGGTGAGTTGGATCCAAGCACGACGGACGGCGCGTTGCCATGGGTCTGGTTTCAAGACACTAACCCAACCGTTAGATATGTTCCATCTCTCGCACTTGGGATCCTGGGAGTAGTCTTGTTCATCATCGCACTAGGAGCCCACATCTTCCTCCTTGTTCGACATCGAACCTGGTATTTCAGCACCACTATCATTGGCCTGGTCATGGAGGTGATTGGGTATGTGTTTCGATTGCTGGCGTCGCAGAAAAACCCATATGCCGTATCATACTTTGTGGCCCAGTACTTCTGCATTGTCGTGGCTCCTGTCTTCTTCTCCGCGGCAATTTACACCATCATTTCCGTCATGATCAATGTCGTTGGCCGAACGTACGCACCTCTTTCGCCGAGACTCATCCTCTGGATCTTCATTGTTTGCGACGTCGTTGCAACCGTGGTCCAAATCACGGGAGCCGCCCTCGTTGGTAGAGCCTACTCGGACCAGAAAGACCCAACAACTCCCAACAACATCCTGCTGGCGGGTCTGGCGTTCCAGGTCTTCGCATTTGCCCTTTTCCTCATCTGCCTCACTATTTTCGTCATCAGGGCCAGACGAGTCATGGACAAAGCACTCAAGCGATTTTCCGCCGCCATCTTCATAGCTGCACTCGCCGTATACCTTCGTACCTGCTTTCGGTTGGCCGAGACCGCTGAAGGCTTGTTGGAGTACCTGTCGACACATGAAGTCTTCTTTGGATGCTTGGAGTTTCTTCCAATTGTGGTTGCAGTCTACCTTCTCATATACTGGCATCCTGGTCGATGGCTCAACAGCAAGAGCGAGAACAGTCCATCACACGATCAGCTCGAAAGAGACATTCAGATGAAATGAGATGGAGCTCAGCGCTGGCTTGGCTAAGCTGCACTTGTTCATCCATTGATCTCCAACAACAGAGCCGCCTGTGGGTATAAGAGCACACGAGCCTTGTCTAATATAGCCAGGTATTGTGTTGCGACTGACCATCGAGCACTCATAATCTCGAGCAGCTTCCTAAGAAAATGGTACGCTTCAGCATCATCCCTCGTTCCGGTCTCATACACCATCCACGCAAACGTCGCTGCGGCGGTGTACAAACAATCAGCCATGAGGGGACTGATGGCAGCGGGATCTTGTTCCATGGTGACGCGCATAGTCCGGCTGAAGTGAAGCACGTCGGACGCAACAGCCTTCATCCCATTGAGGGAAATGGTTTGCATTTCCATTTCTTCCACCGTATGCTCACCACGGTTCTCCTCTGTGCAGCAGAATGGATCGTAGAGGTGCAACAAGGCACCGTGACACAGCGCCAGCGCTGTGCCGAATCTCTGTGGCGCACGTTGAACGTCATCGGGGAGAAGATTTGTTAATGCTTGGATGGTTCGATGTAATTGAATAGCCTCGGGAAAACGAAGCGTCGCGTCGCTAGGGCGGTCGTTCAAGAGTCGGATCAACCTCCCAATCAGATGGGTGGCTTGACAGCAGCGGGCAAACGCACTAGCTCCAACTTTCGAGGCGCTCGAGACATAGAGAGGTTCGCTCGTCGTTGGTTGTCCCTCATCCCATAGCTCATCGTCTGCCGGCAACAAATCATTCATTGCCGGGTCGCCTGTGGCAAGTGGATGTTGATAGCTCCCCAGATTAACGTATCGATCCAACAACATGACTACCCACCAGATTCGTCTGGCTTCTTCTATTTCCGCCCAAGCCCCAGACTTTCGTTTGATGAGCTGTGGCGCATCACGACGATTGTGAAGGCCAAGTGCATGTCCGATCCGGGCGCAATGGCCGGTCGTGACATATGCGGCCGGGTAGATAGAGTGCCCGATCTCGTAAGTTGCAATGAGGAGATTGGCTTGTAAGGACTGAAGCGAGATGATCCCGGCTGCCTCAACAGCTGCGTAGTATTTCTTGGTCATTAAGTACAGCGGAGAGATGGCGCCCCGAGGTCCCCCAGTAGGTACCTGTATGATCAGCTTCATAGCCAGTAGAAGAAGTGCGAAATCAGCGGTCAACTCAAGTCCAGGGTTGCACAAAGCGAACTCCATTCGCTTTTTCGACACAAATGGAAGCCAGACGTGGATGTTGGCAAAATACCGATCAACGACATCCTGGATGTCAAGGATGGATGTTCCCAACGTGTTTGCGACATCCTGAGGAACCGGAAACGTTGGCTTTGGATTCGACATTTGTGCCTCGTTGAAGAACTCGGTGTCGAGGAAGAAGACGGAAGGGAAAATCGTGGCGTCGAGTCCACATCTGGAATCGCTGCCGCTGGAAGCAGAGTTCCAGTTGATGGGTCGCATAGGCTCGTTCCATCCGAGACCTGCATTCCGATTTTGACTTTGAAGGCGAGCCTCGAGACTTGTGACCTGCTGGCGAAGATTCGCAAAGTCGTCGGCATTGGGACTCGGTGTAATATCAGAGTAGTCGCACCTTCGTCCCATGCGGACACATAGATAACATTGCGGCAGGGCCTTATTGCATTTTCGCTTTTGCTTTCGACACGCAACACAAGCTTGGAGGGCCTTGGCCTCGTTTGTTGTCGCGCTCATCGTAAAGGTAGTTGATTTTGCGGAGGCTGATCAAAGGTCGTTCAACCAAGCAAGTTGATGAGGTCCAGTGGCTTGTGAAGGCACATCGTCGTCTGACCAAAATGGTGTAAGTAGTGGTTAAGTCTGGGTGGGTCATTAATCTCTCAGAAGACTCAGATCTTTCATGCGCTTAGTAAGAACAGTCGGCCTCTACTCGAATTGCTCGGTTTTGGCGACTCTGGGGGCCGAGAACCCCTCGGCCCAACAAATCAGCACCGATGGAAACCTCTAAGGCGGCCAGCAAAGAGTGTGCGCTCATCGACCCCAGAATTCCATGTCTGAGTGGGTTTGATTCGTCGAAGCAGTTCACGTTAACGTCGATTGTGATTAGCCTGTGGTGCTGATCTAGAAGATATATTAAAGAGAAGCCTAGTAACATGAGGACGTATACAAGTGTCCTGCTGGACTTTTGAGGAATCTTGGTCTTGTTAAAGATGCAGCCACTGGCGGGAAATACGATGCTGGCGTTTAATTGAATTCGCCTTGACCCAGATTGCGCTGGCAGTCTAATCCTCTAATCACCAATATGGAAGGGAAGTACTTCCATAGGGCCTTCAGAGTCTATGATATACCCTAGCTCGCACTTGGTGAAGCTGATCTTAGGTTGCGAGGCATAAAATAAATCCAGTTCCGGCGCAAGAGCCTGTGCAAGATTATGCACTCGTCCGCAAGGATGCAGCACCCGCCATGGATTCGTGCAATCTTCACCTTTACAGGACTTAGTCACCATCAATAGCGCGTCGAGTCGCGAGGTCACTTGTTCTATTGAGTAGCCGGAGATCTTGCCACTGCCGTAGTACATGTTCTTTGTCTGGTAAGGGTCGACCTAGGAACGAATCATGATGATCAGCGTATTGGAGTTTTGATAGCAGCCATAGCTAAGCCGCAACTTACCTTCATGTCATAGAGTTCGTGCACATTATTACACCACACAGTGTAAAGAAGATCATACTGTGGGCTGACGAGCCTCAGGCCTTTATAGGTGTTGTTTGCCCACCAATCTAGGTCAGTGTGTCAGTAGACTAAGGTAATGGAAGGGGCCTTGCTTTCGAAAGGCAAACGCACCGATACTACCCCCGGGACCGCCGATAGAGAATAACCCTTCGCCCACACCAACGCCCCAGAATTCGATAGTGACATGGCCATGGGCAGGTGATAGTGCAGCCTTTTCCATCGCTGATAATGTCAACGGTATAGGAACACCGTCAAAGTCATCCCGTAGTGGAATATTTAACAGGTCGAATATTGTAGCTGCGATATCGGTATGCGACGTTGCAAAATCGACGACATGGTTCTTAGGGACGTCCGGACCTCTAACTAAGAATGGAACATTAACGTCTTCTTCGTAGGCACATGTCTTCCCTGGTTGTAAACGATGCTGGCCCATATGAAACCCATTATCCGTGGTATAGATTATATAGGTATCATCGAGACCAAGTTGCTCAACCTTCTCCACCAGAGCACCAACGAGCTCGTCAACTGCTTGCAGAGACTGAAGTCTCGCTCGGTAGAAGTCATCGTTGGCCTCGACCTCGGTTTCATTCGCCCGAGGTAGCTGTTGGATCCAATTGACTCCTTGAGGCTATGAAGAATCATGAGCGAGAGACACGAGAGAGACTTTGGCTAAAACTTACTTCTTCAGGGTTGAAGCTAGGTCCTCTCGGGATTTTGGCGTCTAGAAACAAACCCTCGTGTCTTTTGGCGGGGATTGGAGGAATGAATTTCACATTTCCATCGTCCAGGAATTCTACCTCAGTGTGAGGAGCAATTGGAGCGACTCCAAGAAAGAAGGGTCGATCACTTTTTGAAGCCTCGTCGAGAAACTCCATCGCTGCATCAGAGACAATGTCCGTATTATACTCACCTGCTCGCCAGACTGGAGGGTTTTGGTCCGACTGCCAGCATGCATTGTAGTAGTTGTATGTCCCAGGATCGATCAGAACTGCCTAAATAAGCAAGGGTATAAGTCGATGGATAAAATTTGAAAGACCTACATCCAGTTCTGTTCCACCCAGCAGGGTAGGGATCGTTATAAGTCACAAGCGAGTGCGCATTCATCAGTTTACCAGTATAGTAAGTGTTGTAGCCAGCTTCCTGAAGCCAAACAGGAAGATAGTTCTCGTTCAGGCCCTGCTCGAGAAACTTTGGATATCCCCCTAAGGGTAGCAGATGAGTTGCCAGTTCGCCAGAAAAGGATGTCAAGCTTACCATACGGAGGTGACACATCTATTGAGTGCTTAGCCAAGCCTTTGAACCAGCGCAAAGCTATTACCGCGGAAAACTTACCAGTCACATTCGTGTTGTGTGCCATTTTGCCCGTCAGGAGGCTAACTCGCGAGGGGCAGCATACTGCAATCGTGCAATAGTGCTTTCGGAACTCGGTTCCTCCCTGACGAAAGTGTTTCAAGGTGATAGGCATGTATTCCAGAGAGTTTAGGTGGAGATCCTGGTCATCAGTAATGACGAGGATGACATTTGATCGCTTTGAGGGCGTAGTATGCCCGGTGACCAGCGCAATGGCCAGAGATACCAGAAATGTCCTCAAAGAGAGTCGTACCATGTTCAACATAATACCTCTAGGTGGCCAGTTCTCCTTCCTGAGCGACATTTCGTCAATTGAGGGTTTAGATGCGGCTCTTTATCCATTTTCTTCCACCATGCCCCTCATTCCTAGCCCCGTCATGCCCCTCATTCCTAGTCCCACGGCCCAGAAAAATATTTTCAATAGTTGAAGCCGAGCATGGAAGACGTGGTCAAACAACAACATTCGGTGACCCCGGTCGTCCGGGGAAACCCCCCGTCAGTGGGTGGTCGGCGAGACTGCCTCAGCATGAAAGCGCTGATTCCATACTCAGTTCTCTGAACATAAGAAGTGACGGCCGCACTTTTCATCACGTTAATACCTTCTTCGACCCCGCATATATCTTCTTCATCCCCGGTCAAGATACATATCCATGAATGTGGGAGGCTGTGGGGTATAAAACTCCGGGGTAAGACGGCACACCCATCTTTCTGAATACCGAATCCCGAGCACCGAATCCCGGAATGTGATTGTGTCTCCTTTCAATGCTGTAGAACCTCGCTTGGCTGGGAGCTAACACTGTCACTTCACCATTCTTCTCTCACGATCAGGCTCGAGAGGGAGAACTAGTGATTTGCCAAGGAAACCGTCGGAAGAGACTGACAATGCCGACCAGCGATAAGATGAGTCCAGGGCAAACTTTTCAAGCCCAATTTCTGCATGGCGCTGTGCCACGGAAGTTTTGTGCCGATACATGCGCCGTCAATTCTTTTCTCCGGAGTTTCTCTGACACATCATCCTCGATGAAAGTGGAGGTATTCTACCTTGTACAGATTTAGTGGTCTGAGCACTGGTGCTGGACCTAACAAAGTCCCTGTTGCCCATCTCACGGAGTCAGTCAGAGCGCCCCGAAAGTGCAATGAGCAGATCGTGGTGGGCATCCGGAATGGCGAGGCATTGGTCCTGGGGAAGACTGGGCCATCTCTTTGTCATGTAGCAGGATGCTACTGACACTCTGGAGAACACAGAACAGCAGGAACAGAGGAAAGGGAAAGGACAGTCTCAATGACTGAGGAATTGCTAGCTACAATAGCTATGAAAGTGCTGTGACTGATCTCTGGGTTGTTTGCTAGAAGGAAGGGAGAGAAAGAGAGGAAGAGGAGGAATAATGGGATATGACGGTGGAGGGGCACCTGTCGTCTGTATCCTGTCATGTGACGAGTCTCACGTGATGTCACGTGCCGTCATATGACACCCTTGCTGATAGAACTAATGTAGAGGGTTGGAGTGCCACGAGTGATCTACCGTCTTCACGATTCACGGCGCGATTCCTGCTGACGAGACCAGATACTTGGTGAAATCATGTCTCTCGTTGATCTAGTTGAACGATGAGGAAAGAATCTGGATTGCGACAGATCCTCTTCAGTGTCAATCAAAGAAGCATCTTTAAGAATCTGCACACTCACTCCTCAGCTTGATGGGCAGCCCGAATAATCGTCTATGTATGCGCCTGTGAAGTTCACTTGACAATTCTGGTCGGATGAATTTCTGGGCAGATGTTGAATTCCGAACCTTCTAACTTCCAACCTCGATTCCATTTGTCTTATAAAAGTGCAGCAGGCTCCAGACTCACATTTTGACCGCTAGATAGGGTCTGTGTTCGCTTCCGGAAGTAAGGTTTTCCGGCCATACCCCGCAACCTCGTAAGCAACGATGAAATTCGGCATGTTGAAGCTCGGAGAAGGCCTCCTCAGGGGCTAACCTCTCTTGGAAAGCCTCGATCGTAGGTTTTTTGATTCACAAGACAACGGGTTTGGCATTTTTGGGGATCTCATTCACCACAGGAGATCTTCTATAGACGGCTTCGGCCGTATCGAGGATGTGTGGCTGCGGTAGAAACAGCCACCCTTACCCGACGACGTAAGCCAATGATGCGTAGGCCCTTCCAAGGTCGACATCAACAGCATGTCTTTAACTGTCATTGTATACAGTACCTATAGTAGGTGCATGGTCATCATATAGGGGGAAGGCTTGTCATGTTCAGGTGGACCCCTTCCCCGTTGCCGATCCTGACCATCGCACCCCGGGTTTTGCTGCAGATACATCGTTGAGTATAGTACGAGTTTTCCGGGGCGCAAAAAGGACCCAGCTTGGCGTGGAATCCGGAATTCTTGTAAACGCGAACGTTTAGGGTGAGAATAGGGAACGCTCACGAGTATAAGTATGACGGACCGCTATATCCCAAATTCGATGAGCCATTTCTTTCTCATATCGCCCCTTGCGGACTCCTCATCTAGCACTGCGTTTTCGTGCCTCAGCTCGTCTACAATATGGAAGCCGTCAGTGAGCTGAAGCAGATCCCCTCGGAGATCGAGGTCAAGACTGCAGAAGAACCAGCTTTTACACCGGACCCGAAAATGGAGAAGCAAGTTCTGCGCAGGCTTGATGCGCTTGTCTTGCCTATCATTGCCATGATGTATCTCCTATCGTTCCTCGATCGGTCAAATATTGGAAATGCCAGAGTGGCTGGTCTTCAGAAAGATCTTCAAATGTCAGACTGGGCATTCCATGTAGGTGAGTAATTTTCCCTTCTCCGAGTTAGAGTCCAGTGTTCAGAAGCGAAGCTAATGCAGGTATCTTTGATAGCTGTCACCGTGACCTATGTCCCATACATTTGCGCTGAAATCCCCTCAAACCTTCTAATTGCAAAAGTCGGGGCAAGGCGACTTATCCCAGGCTTGTGCATATCTTGGGGCCTTGTTACCACACTCCAATGCTTAGTCCAAAGTTTTGGGGGGCTTGTTGCCTGTCGATTTTTCTTGGGCTTGTGCGAAGGTGGTCTGATCCCTGGTATCATGGTCTACCTCGCTTCTTTCTATCGACGTCATGAGCTTCAGCTTCGCGTTTGCATCTTCTTCGGATTTTCCGCCCTTGCTGGAGCATTCTCAGGCCTTCTGGCGGCCGCTATTGTGAATCTCCATGGAGTAGGTGGCATGGAAGGATGGCGTTGGATATTTCTTCTGGAAGGTTGGATTTTTCATTCTAATGTCACCATATCACAAGCTAAGGTTATGGTATTTAGGGCTCTTCACCGTCGTTTTCGGCATTGTGGCATTATTCTTGATACCCAACAATCCACGTCAGGTCCTCTCCTTCAAAGAACATCATGCCAAATACTGCGAGAAAAGACTCAAGGCCGATGTCATCAGCAATGAGGTTGAGTCGACCAAGTTCAATTTGCAGAACTTCCTCTCTGCCTTCACCTCCTTACATATCTGGGCTCTTGTCCTCCTCCAGACGGCAGGAGGCATGTTATTCTTCGGCCTCGCTTATTTCATGCCCAGCATTGTGGCTACCCTGGCGAGGTCATTCACAGACACCCCCACCGTTGTTCAAATCCAATTGCTGACGGTTCCTCCATTCGTTTTCGGATTCGTGGGATCTGTGGTGGTAGCAATTGTCTCAGACAAATATCAAGCTCGGGGCTATACAGCCCTTGTGATGCAGCTCTTCTCGATCGTCGGCTTCGCAGTGTTCTTGGGCACCTCTCCTACCCGTGGTCGAGTCAGATATGCGGCGATTAATCTGTTGATCTTCGGCACCTACAGCGCGGCACCATCAATCCTAGTGTGGCCCCCAAATAACGTGGCTCCATACACAAAGCGGGCTACTGCGATTGCAATGACCTTCATCGGCACCAATCTTGGAGGACTGGCGTCTTCTTGGATTTACCCAAGCTCCAGTGCTCCCGCATTCAGGCTCGGAAGCATACTCAACCTTACTTCCGCCTGCGTCTTGTGGTTTACAGTTGCCTTCCTCACTTATTACTTCAAGCACGAGAATACACTCAAGGTCAAGAATCGCGAGCAGCTGTTGAGAGGATTGGAGGATAAGACAATGCATGAGCAATATGAGATCTTGGGAGACAGACATCCTGATTTCAAATATACGCCCTGAGGAGGATAGCGCAGCTTTTGGCTTGGGGCACACTTACGGAAGTTATCAGTCGAACGCCAGAGGACAAACCTGTCCATATCTAGGGAGTGCGAGTCGGCACTTACGTAGCTTCATCAACACGAAAGCAACGTTGACTTTGTCAGTCCTTGCGTCAAACGAGACGTTGTTGGGGCACAAGGTTGAAGATGAATTAGAAGACTCCTTCTCGTTTATTTCACGGATGTGAATGACTTCGTGATCGCCTTGTTTGCGGTTGTGACGACTTTTGGAGGCAAGCCAAAGATGGTTGTCAGGAGAACTCCAGCCTTGCCAACAAGGCTCGATCATGATCACGTGATATCAGGAGCCAAGGTTGCCTGCCAACATGTGATGCTTCAACATGATCGTAAATCTCCTCTTTACATGCCTTTAGGCGATACCTACCCTCATAGACACTCTCGGGAGCTCTCATTCAGGTCTTAGTATGCAAGGCGAATAGTGAAGGTGATGACACCCTGTTGGGGTGTCATGTATACGTACAGTGAGGGTAATAGCAAACCCGATGCGACGAATGAGAGTGGTGCGACTCGAGGAGCTACACGTGATCAAGACTAAGATCACATGTTTTCGTCTTCGATCCGCCAAGACTGAGCCTAACTCACGGATACTTTCGTCATATGCCGATAGCAATAATAAATATCGCCAGAATCTATGCTATTAAGTCGCCAATACCGCATATACTGAGACCCCCTCAAGAGGGTCTCGTAAAATTCTTTCGCTTGTGTGAGAACATGCGCTCTCATTAAACCGGGACATCCTCATATCTCTTCCTCTGCGAACACGCCTCTCTCGCTCAAGACGAGGCTCCACGTGGCCTTGTCGCGCTCTGATGTTGGCCGTCTGCTCTTCGCGCCTCCCGGGAGCCATATTATAGATCTTGATTCTGTAACACAGCATGTATCATCTTGCACGCTCCTTGTATCTCTATGCCACCAGCAAACCAGGTAAGTGATAGATTCTGCCTGTCAGACATCTCCGTTGGTCCGCCTCAGCCTGACCGCTTACGGCTTGCGCCTAACAGAATACTCGATAATCCTGCTCGGCCTCGATAACGCTGGCAAAACCACCCTTTTATCCCAGATCAAAGCCCTCTTCAACACCCTTGTCGACCCCGCGGGACAGACTGGAGATGCCGCGCCATCGGACACGGCTGGAAACACGGTCCCCACTGTGGGACAAAATGTCGCGACAATAGACCTGCCAGACATGTATCTTAAAATCTGGGACGTCGGTGGTCAGATGAGCCTGCGCAGGCTGTGGACCAGCTACTACAAGAGTGCGCATGCCATAGTGTTTGTGGTTGATAGCACAGACTTGGGCAATGGAGATCTTGACGAGGCTCCCCGGACGCCTGGCTGGCATGGCAGGAGAAAAAGTTTCATTGGGAATGGAGGTAGTGGCACCGGTCCAGATGAAGAGCCTCAGACCCCATGGACTCCTATGACGCCTGTAACTCCCGGACTCTTGTTGGCGGGTTTGCCTCAGGGCCGTTTGGACGAGTGTCGAGCGGTATTGGAAAGCGTGCTCGGGAGCGAAGACACCGCAGGAATCCCTATCTTGGTCCTAGCAAATAAACAGGATCGCGAAGACTCACTAGAAGTGGTGAGAATCAAAGAAGGGTTTGTGAGAAAAGTCTTTGAGGGCGAAAAGGGTGTCATGGTGCGGGACAGTCGTGTGTTGCCTGTCAGCGCTCTTCGTGGTACTGGTGTGAAGGAAGCGGTTGAATGGGTCAAGAGTCGGGTGGTCTGGAACAAAGAAAGTCGACCTCCGATCATGCGTTGAGGTTGATGACACGGACACTATGCAAACAGGTATTTGTCTATGGTCCTAGGCTTTCATTGCTTCGACTCAATGATCGCCGCACACACACCGTCTTCACAATCGTCCAGAAATTATTAGATAAGGACTATAAAGATCATTTTCAGCGAAGACAATTGCAAACAAGAATCGGTTCCTAAACATTTTGAATCATGAGTCCACATTTGAACCGAGGATGCTTCACTGCTGAGACAAGTTTTGGCAAAGGTTTTTATCTGTAAGTTTAGGTTATTGTTCAGCTGTAAAGTAGTCTCTACTTGAATTTTCGATGCATCGGACTTTGGGTCCGAAGGCTGAGTTGTTAATTCATGTTACGTTATTGTCAACTCTTTATTCAAGCACAAGAGGTTATAGCAGCATCACTATCATATGAATCGAAAGGCACAGGCTTGGAATTGTGGAGTAATTGATTTGTTTGACAATGCTGTTGCAGTAGAGGGGAAACTCTAGGCGTCCTGGCGTCGCATCTTTAGGCTGGTTGTTGAAGATGCGTTGTGGTTGATGGAAATACCTAATTAGTCCATAATTGATTGCTGAGTGGCCTAAGTGGCCTTGGATCCCCGTGGACCTGTTGTCAGTTGACTGAGGTAGAGTTTCAACCTTGTTGGTGGACGGACACCGACAAGTGGTAACAAGGATTCGTAGGGGTAGATCTCGGACCAGTACCAGCGTCAATTCCAATAATGATGCATCTCGCGAAGTGGTGTTTTGTGGACTCTTTGGTCAGTTTGTCGAACTAGAATGGTAGGGCAGGCGGATGCAGGCACAAAGCTGGATGAGTATCTAACCAGAAATGGTAAGACGTGGCCATCAACCAAGCCTTCCGTGTCTTCGAGTCGAGGCAATACGCGTGACTGACAAGTTTGGCTGACCAGGACTGTGGCTGGCCTCGCGTGCCTTGTTGGCGTCAGAAGAAGGCAACAAAGACGCGATTCCCCGGTCTGACAAAATACTTCAAGGGGCTCCTTGGCATTGTGCTAAACGACACTCAGCGTTGCTGTGATTGGTCTACCAATAGTGACATAGCATGCTCGCCGCTCGCCCTGCCCTCCACTATCGTCTTTTCGTCTACAGTTTGCAAGGACGAAGCAATGTGACCAGCGTGTGATTGGTCTCTGACCGCGCTGCCCCTGTCTGGCGCCTCCCGGTTCCCTTGCTCTCTTCCCCTTCGGGCCCCTAAACCCTCACTCCCTTGTCCCCTTCACTTTTTGTTTGACGAGGGCGTCTTTGTCCCTCACCACTCCAACTTCTGCAGAGCCAGAAAGCCTGTGCCTCAGCAATCTCGCCGGTTCAGGACAGAAGCCTTCGCTCTCCGTCTCCGCCTCCGTACCAGTGACACTGGCCTTTCACCACTCGCAACGCAACCGCAACCAAAAATTCCTTCCCACGTCCAAGCCAGAGCCTTCCATCATGATCCGGCCACGCAATTCAGGTTCTCTTCAGACTGTCTCATCCCCTTCTGCCACCACAATCTCTTCAACCTCACCACCTCATCATAAGCTTCACTTCCTTTCACCCACCATGACACAACACTGCCTTTACACATTCACATCACCAAAACCTCCACCTTGACGCCTTCCAGTCAGATTTTGTGCTCTACAATAATTGTCACACTCTCAGTCAGACTTTACCAAACCCTCCAACCACTCCCCACCGACCTAGACAAAGAATCAGCCTCTTTGCCACGGCAGCTTCCTAGCCAACAAACTTTTCCACCTCTGACCTTGTCTTTGTTTAAGTGCAACAACACCACATTTCTGATCTCTACTATTCCTCCACCACGCTGTCCTTGACCACACCCTTGCCATTGTCACCATCATTCGTCAACACATACCCATATCCTGCCAACATGCCTGTCTCATCAGCCTCCAACACGAGGTCGCCGTCAGCCTCGACTTCTCGTGCAGAAAAGAATAAAAAGTTGTCACAAGTGGTGGTGCTAAAGGTGCCACGGGCCTTTCTCAAGACTCTTGAGCCGCCTTCAACACAGGACGAAGAACAACAGTCTACTCAATCGGTGGCTTCCTCGCCTGCTCCTGTGGTCGAAGACACCTCTTCACCAAAACCTCTGGACACGAATGACAATCCATCCGAGTCTAATGCAACCCCAGCTCCTACCAATGGCGATGCAAACTCAACGGACTCGTCCAAAAAACGAAAGGGCCCCGGTTCTGGCTTGAAGCGAAGCCTAGGCTCAACATTCGACGTGAATGGCACTCCTAAACCTAGAGGCAAACCGGGCCCCAAGAAGAAACCTCGCCTGTAAGCACTTCTACCACTTTGACGTCTCGTTACGAGCCACGGTTACTGACTTTTCTAGTGAGGATGGTACGATTGATCATGGCTCCAATAAGCCAGTCCCGGCAATGGGTGCAGGTATCACCGGCCATAAATTAGGCCCCAAAGCCAACCAGGGTGCTATCAATGCTGGACTCCGTGCCCTTGACCGATCGGGGAAGCCTTGTCGCAAATGGCAGAAGAGACCTTTCCAGCTGAAGAGCTTCACTGGAATTGTCTGGGATGTTCCGTCCTGGCATGGCAATGACCGTCTCAGCCAGGTCAACGGCGATGAATCCAGCGATACTCGGGAAATATCACAACAAAGCAGCAGCGATCTAAAACCAAATGAAAGTGACACTGCCATGGAGAGCAATGTTGGTGATCAAGCGGATCCAATGATCATGTCGACACCAGCAGCAAGCTCACCTCCCCCAATACCCCAATCCACAACTGCCATCACTGCACAAGGCTGATGCTCCTCAGTCTCCCCTTGGGCTGCTGTGGCAACATCAACCTTGAAGGTGATTTCTCCAGTCTCATCGATTTTTGACCGCAAAGCGAGCGGCATACACACGGGACATGTACGAGTTGAACAGGCCTTTCTCAGATCTCGGTATTTAGCGCGGCGTTTTAGTCTTTACCCCTCGTCAGGCTTTGGGTCTTGCATGGGAGCCATGGTATGACCAAAGAACAAAAAGTGGCAACTACGACACCAGACCAAAGCATATCAGATGGTGCATTTTGAACGGTAGTCGAGGCCGAATTCGCACTCAGGAAATACTCCTTCAGGTGCTGGCTGGGATAAAAAGTGCATGGTGACTAGAAACTGTGTACAGATATCATCCACTTCGATGGGCATGATTAATAGATACTTTGCTTGTCATCAGCAGGAATGAAATGATTTCTCGATCAACTTTTGAAAAGAGGAAAAAGCTTGTAGGCTTTGAGGGTTCGAGTATTTCCTTTGAGTATGCGACGTTGGAAGACATGGTTTCAGGCTTTCAGTCTTTATGCCTATTCGCACTTAATAATTAATGCATTAAGCGATTTGGGGGCGTCCTCTCACCCGAAGCCATCCTCGGCTTCTGTGCCCCTTTGGGCTGCAATATAGGCAGTCTCACCCATCAGACTTCAGTACTTCAACCCCTCTACTCCAAGACGTCTCTAACTCTATCAACTCATCAAGTACACCCAGTCGTGGCTATCAGCACATTAATCTAGCCGAAGGGTGGCACATACAATTACTCCTAAGTTGCTCCGTACTGCTCAAGCCCATGGAGGCACCCAGTACCACCCACACCACATATGGCCGGCATGGAACTTAAGGTACTTTTAGTCAGTGACTACCTAGCATAGTTCCTTAGGTACTCCATACTCCCCAGTACAGCCGGTACTGCGCTCCGCCCCAGCAGCCAACAGCCAACGACACTCACATTACATCCGACAACCATTTCCTCGTGATAACAACTCACCAACCTCCACTCTCACAACCCCGTCCACCTCACTTCCTCCCTACCGTCTCTCCTAGACAGTCTGTCTAGTTGTCTCACTGCGACAGCAATTGCCTACCCTTCTGTCATCTTCCACCTTCTTGACCATGGTCATACGAATGGCCTGGCTGACCAACACTGAGCCTTGAGAAGCGTCCTCCGTCACGACTACATCCTCCTCTTGTACGGCAGGAATCATTCTGTCGATCTCTTCTAACGTTCTATTTGCTCTGCAGTCGCCTTCCGATCAAATCCACCAGCCCAAATCCCCTCTTCGCTTCTTTAGACGACACCGACCATGACCGATGGCTCCGGCCCATCTGGCGGTGGTAGATCCTCATCATTCGGTGGTAACGTCCCTCGACGACTCTCATATGCCTCAGTAGCGTCCGGCGCACACCCACATCAATTCCATCTCCCGCCTGGCCGTTCAGGTGTCCTTGCTCATCTTGTCAGCTCCTCCGCAACCAACTCGTCCCTCCCTTCTTATCAAACCATCGATCCCCGCCCTCGACGACCCTCTGGCAACGATTCCGACCCGTTGCTTGCTACCAGTCTCCACAAGCCTACCTCACTACCTGCATATTCCAGGAAGTTTGCAAATATCCCCAGCCCATCATCTGGCAACATGCCTTCCAACTCGTTTTTCATCCCCTCATATCTGCGCCACTCCCGTTATGTCGCCCGCCTAGAATCCGCACACAAGGCCAGACTGAAGAGAGAACGAGAACTACCTTCGGCGAGCACTTCTGCGATCGGTTCGCTCTCCACCAGTGCTGGTAATACCAATGTGCATCGCATGGCTCCGTCACATCGGGGGATGACCTACGATATCATCGAGAGTAATCCGCCAAAGGACGAAGATGAATTACTCCCTCTACCTTCCAGATGGAACGAACAGGACAAGTACCCAGGCTTGGATATCGATCACCGTGGTATGACATTGAAGTATAACGGATCTGCGAGCAAGGCCGACATCGAAGCAGCTTCAGTGCGCGCCGACTTCCCCATGTCGCCTGCGTGCGGCATTTACTATTTCGAGGTCTTACTGGGTTACAAAACTAAGGATTGTGCGGTTGCAGTGGGCTTCTCTACCGCAGAAGCATCGCTTGAGCGACTTCCAGGGTGGGAGTCCTCCTCCTGGGGCTATCATGGCGATGATGGGAAAATGTTCTTTGGCGAGCAATCGGGACGAACCTATGGCCCGACATTTGGCCACAATGATGTCGTTGGCTGTGGGATCAATTTCAATACAGGTCAGGCCTTTTTTACCCTGAATGGCCAAGACCTTGGGATCTGTTTTCGAGATCTCAAGAAAGATGTCCGATATTATCCCACAGTGGGTATGAAGAAGAATTCGGGCTCCTCGGTGACGGCCAATTTTGGTCGACAGCGTCATGTTTTTGACATTGACGAAAGGATGGACACAGAGAGAGAGACTGTAATGCGTGAGGTTTCAAAGGCCAAGACGTCGCAACTCCGACCTCCTCGAGACGAAAGCAGTCTGATCCAAGAGCTCGTCGCTCAGTTTCTGGCCCATGATGGCTACGTAGAGACGGCAAAAGCTTTTGCCGAAGAAATCCGACGAGAAAAAGGTTTTCTTGACAACGCTCTACCATTGACTGCCCCAACGGTACCCGAAACGGACGACACTGATGCCGTTTATCGTCAGAGTAAGTCTCCCCTCCCACATCTTCTCAAGCGCGATTGACCATTGTAGAAATTCGACGAGCCATCCTGTCAGGTGATATCAACCAGGCACTCGAAGTCACGCAGACAAATTTCCCCAGTGTTTTAGTCGACAACCCAGATATTGTGTTTCGATTGAAATGCCGAAAGTGGGTTGAGATGATCAGTAAGACGACTGAGATCAACCAGGGCGCCGAAGCGGGAGATGGACATACTGCAAGCAACGGGCACGGAAAAGCGACAGCAGCAGCCGCAGACGATGAATTCGTTCAAGACATGGAGCTTGACGAGCATGGTGGAGGATCACAGACCAATGGCAGTGCTACAAAGACCGAGGCCGAGCCCGAGAACTTTGTCGAATACGACCAGCTCATTACCGAAGCCATGCTTTATGGCCAAGAATTGCAGCGCGAGTATCGCGATGAGGACGGCGAATATGCACGAACTCTGCAAGAGATCTTTAGCCTGGTGGCGTACAACGACCCCAAAGGAAGTGTCCACGGACACCTTTTGGATCCAGTTGGTCGCACCATTGTGGCCGAGGAACTGAATTCTGCGATTCTAGGTAAGTTAATGACACCTGGTTTGATGTGTGATATTGGATACTGATTCATGGCAACAGTGTCATTAGGACGATCTCCATCTGCTGCTTTGGAGAATGCATGGAAACAAGCCGAGGTCTTGATTGATGGGTTGAGTCAAGATGGCGGTCCAGCTGCCTTTATCAATTTACAACCCAACCCAAACTAAGTCAGCAGATCAAATCTGTGGCTTGTGGTGTCGTTTTCTAACAGAGGTGATGGTGATGGATCTGGCCCATGGCCTGGCCTTTATCGATATTGGATGCATAAGCCTGGATCACCAAGACGGATGGTGAGATGATGGATCAATATCGTCATGGATGACTGACTGCATGAACCAGTCGTATAGCAATAGTAATGGCGGACTGATGTGATATACTATACTCTGTTCATGGTGTGCATGTAAGTAAACAAGCTGCATAGTCGAATGGGCCAGGTTGGAGAGGGGTGGTCTCTCACTCTGGTCCTTTCACCCGCGGGGAATTTGGACGGTACAGTTTGGTGAATTTGGGTCTTGGAGATGAGAACGACTTGACTCAAGACCCGAGTTCATGGCCAAGTCAGGCACGACGACTGACAAGGTGGAGGTCTGGAAGGAATCACAACTGGAAGCTTGTAGAAGCGGAGCAAATGGGCTTTCCATCAAGAGAGGGTTGGACTGTGGTGCGATACCATCCATGAGGACTGGCGTTTGGATGCAATTGGACATGGAGATGGAGATAAGGGGTGTGGCTCGAGCATGGAGGTGTCTTTTTGGATGCATTGATTTATTTGTATTGATCCATGTCTGTCGAATCAGGTATCCTTCCAGTGACTTTTTGGGTACGTGGAGTAGCGTATAGGTGGATGGGTATAATACTAAGTAGGACACTCACAGGGAGAGAAGCCATGATTACCGAGTTTTTACTTATGGTGACAGTGTGCAGCTCTTCACAACACAGCACAACTCTTTGTATACACATATATCGAGGTAGTATAGTATACGAATCCACAAGCAGAGTTGCAACAAAATACCAACTCCGCATATGCCTAATTAGGTTATTCAGAGATTCTCCGTGATTATATACCTATGCCAATGCCAATGCCCATTCCCTCGCCATGCAATGCCATACCATGCAATAATATACATTTCATACCAAAACCATAAACCAGATTCCAACATTTCCCATGTGTCATGTCCGTCCAATATGATACAATGCCATGATCGACACAAGTCCTCCAAACTGTTATGGCCCTGAAGAGATAGAACCTCCCTTACATGTGAGAAGGGGTGATAATAGCACAAGGCTCATTCACGGTCTGAAATCTCTTTAATATCACGGCCAGACTCACTCGGAAATTGGGTCGACTCACTCTGTGGTCTCAGTACTGGGGGCACTCGTGGTGGTTGTAGTGGTTTCAGGCTCGATGGTGGTAGTTGTAGTGGTGGTGGTGGTGGGAACGGGAGGTGTTGTGGTAGTTGAGAGAGTGGTGGGCTCAGTTGTGGTGGTGGTGGAAGAGGAGGAAGAAGAAGATGAAGAAGTGGGGAGTAGAGTGGTGGAAGTGCTGGTGGAGGTGGACGAAGTCGAGGAACTAGAGTCCGAGGTGGAGGTGGAACTGGTTTGATGAGGGTGAGGCTTTTTAGTCCAAGTTGCGGTAGTAGTAGTAGAAGTTGATGTAGAAGGAACCGACTTGGTCGTCGAGGTGGTCACGCTGCGGGTGGTTGTAGTAGTGGTGGTTGTGGAGGCAGTAGTAGGTTTGGGTGGAGGAGTTGGCTTGTTAGGGATTGCAATAGTCACCACGTATCCCCAGACATCAACGTAGGTGATGGTCTGGCACTTGTGGCATTCGTTTGGTGGATAGTAGACTCCTCCGCCAGGGCCTCCTGATGGAGCCGGTTTAGTGACGGTGACAGTGACGGTCTTGGTGGGAGCAGGCGGGCAACTGGTGATTGGGGCCGGAGGAGGCGGCGGAACCTTGATGGTGGTCTTTGTGGTTGGGACGGGAGGTGGTGGCGGTGGTCGTGGGTAATGTGTTGTGACTGGATAGCATGTGGTTGTGGTGTGATATTCCGTGGTCAGCCAAGTGGAGTAGAATGTCTTTGGACCATGAGTGGAAATCACCGACGAGCATGGCACGAACCGAGTTCGAGTGATCCATTCGGTGGTGGTGAAGGTAGTCCAGATCTCGGTGGGCTTGGCTGTTGTTGACGAGACAGATGTACTTGTTGTCTTGGTGGTAGGCTTTGTCGTTGGCTTTATAGTTGTGGAGGAAGAAGACGTGGACGAAGGCCAGTTCCATGTGTGTCGGTGAGAGGTTGTTGTTGATGGGAGGCTGGTAGAGTCTGTGGTTGTAGTGCTTGCTGTAGTTGTAGTACACGAGGTGGTGTATAGAGAAGTAGTGGAGATTGACGATGAAGTAGATGATTCTGATGTTGTTGACTCGGACGTGGTAGATGTGGTACACGAAGTTGTAGTTCCATTGGTATAGTGTTGGCCAGTAGGCATTGCCAGAGTGGTGCCTGCCAGGGCAGCAAGAAGCAAAGGTAATGACTTGTGCATTTTGATTAGGAACAAACGAATGAGATGTGAGTTGTAGGAAGATTCAGATGAGTCAAGCGAGTGTTGGGAGATTGGGTAGCGAACGTGCTTGAGAGATCAATCAAGATGAGATTGTGAAGAACGAGTGGCTGTTTAATGTCTTTGTTTTGTATGATGGCTATAGCAACAAGACGAAGCTTACCGGTGGATGAAGGCCGAATTACTTATACTGCCTACCTACCTGTATGAGTCTTGATCGAGTGGCGAGCTCGAGAAGAAGGATAAAAGAAGAATAGAACTGAGACATTGCTCAGCGTGACCAGTGAGACATTGACAGGCATGGGTTATCGGAGATGATGGGTAGTAATGGGACAATACGAGGAGAGTGACGATGATGGTGATGAGGGCTTATGGCGGAGAAGCCGGTAGAAGAGAAGTAGCGACGGCGAAGTGGTGGTAGTGGTTGTATTGGTGATTGTATTGGTGGTGAGTGGTAAGTGGTGTGTGTCTTTGTGTGGGTGGGTAGAGGTGTCATCGCAGCCTTAGGTGGCCCGCCTCGGCCTGGTGCAGTTCTGATGCTGCTGCTCCTCCTTCACGAGGCTACCAAAGAAAAGGCTCAGTTACTTCTTATGTGCACTTGACCACATCCAGGCAGAAGCTTGGCCCCCTCGGCCTATTCAGGGCTGCAGGTGACAGCCTTGGGCATCTGGGGCTCTCCGCGGACCTTCGCCGAACGGTCTCCGGGCACTGCTTAATAGGCGTGGTCATGGGTGTGCCACTGCATCCACAGCCCTATTTTTGGAGTCCTGATATCTCCATCTACCCATTTTGCGTGGTGTGAGTTTCCCTTATGAGAACACTTTATGCCTATAGAGGCACTTTACAATCATTCTTCTTTTTCACTATTGACTTTTCGAGGGCCTCGTAGATCCGTCATCGCCAATTGACTCGGGTTTTCAGGCACAGCGCGTGACCTCATCAATGGTCGCCAACAATAATAATGATTACAATGGACCTACCATCTCCACATTTGACAATCTGATGGTTTATTGATAATAATAGCTACATCAACATGTGCTCACCTTCTTATTTACCCTCGTCACACCATTTCTTATATTCTGCTGGTTGCCTAGATTTCATCTTGACGTCTGGTGTCCACGCCACCTTGTCCTCCAACCTTGTCCTCCTCTGCCATTTTGTATGGAGTCATCTTCACCAGGCTGTGCCCAGACTCTGATCCTTTTCAGTAATTACTACTGACCAATCCCGCCACTGGCCATGCAACCATATCTACTGGTCTCATCTTTTCCGCGGGTAGCTGCCGTGACTTGAACCGTGTACTATTAAGGTCAGCAGTATGAAACTCCACATGTCTTGATAGGAATATAGGAATGGCGAATGTCCTGATACTACTCACCAGATGCAACTTATGCCAACATGACTAATCGCAGCCGAGGTTAGCTTGTGCCTTTCTTAGTTGACCCGACAAAAGAATAAGGCGATGTTGCGATGACACGCAGGCGCAGGCGGCGCAGAGTTCTGATCTGCAGCCATGACTGCCAATGATGATAATGCATGTGTAACTTCCACGAATCCATTCCATTCTCGTGGGAATTGCTACGCGAGTAGTCGCGCAATTATGACTAATTGGGAAGGAAGGATCCTGCCTGCCGTCTGGGCCGAGGGGCTAAAAAGATGGTCCACCTTCCACATTCTACAACCTCCAGAATCACGTGGCCGCCAAACACGTGCTGGGAAACGCTCGATGGCTTCAATCTCTGCCTAGAATTCTCCATTTGCCTCATTTCTCTCTCGTCTTTCTTCATTCTGTCCACTGTCAAGACTCAAGACTCTTAAATGTGGAAAATCAATCATCAATGCCAGCCTGGGCGTGCGTTTCTATCACATCCAGATCTACTTGTCATGGAGTACACATTACTCGTCTGATGAGCCATGCCCCCTGGTCCACGGCCGAGGGGCCTGCACCGAGACCATAGGTAAGCCTGTTCCGTCAACTAAGCGGCTGACCGCCCCTCGTCTTAGCCTGGCACACCTACTCCGTACCTAGGTGGTCAGCAGTTGGATCGAAATTCCCCGTTTCTAAACTCGATGCTCAAGCGAACAGCTACCGTTGCTTTCACCTTGTGATCCTTGCCCAGACCTCCCTTTCCCCTCGCTGCCCTCCCAATCGTATTGGGCTAATAAGGCCTCGGGCCTCAACCAAGCCCACCCCCAACTCGCAATCCGCACCTCTGCACAACTCACAAACCAGCCTGCATCATGTCTCTCGCCCTTTTCCATTCCTCGCCAGACGGCTACAGGTGCCCATGCTAATACTGTTGCCGATTCTGAATGTAATGCGGCCCGCTGACTCAATAGCCCTTGGGCAAGTCTACAAGTCCTTCCCCTCGTGCCCGGCTGTCGCCGTGTCTCCATTGTCAATATCCCAGTTGACCACCGTACCTAACCTCGACAACCTTTCCTGTACCAGCACCCCACCACCTCCAGTTCTTGACATAACCATCCACAATACTAATCATAAATTCACAATTGCTTTGAGACCACCCAGTCTCCAGGCAGGTCCCTGCATCGCCAAGGGCCTGTGCCTGTACTCTCTCGCTCAGTTATGCCCTCGGACCCGCAAAAGAATGTCGTCTTTTTGATCCAACCGCCTGGCCCATATATTGAAAAGGCTGACAGACTCTCACGACGTGCCATTATCAATCGCCAGATTGCCATTCACCGCCATGTCCATTCATCTAAACGCAAGGTATGGCCGCCCTTTCCTACTCTACCTCATCCTTGAGTTCATCTCTGTCTAACACCTGAACCTCCAAGGCCTCCAAGGACAGCTCCACTTCCCCAGAATCTGTCCCCTCCAGTTCGGGAGATGCCGAGGTGACTGAGTTGGCCATTCGTAAACGTCGCCCGGCAGCCGACCGCAAACGACGAGGCAATGCACGAAAGCAACCAGACCGTGCAGAGGATGAACCATGGGACGATGCCGTCCCTCTGGAGACCATTCGGTCGACGTCGCAATCCACCCCGCAATCATCCCAGGACACTTCCTTGCTCCCCCTGTCGACAGTGGGCAATTCTCTCTTTGTCATGGACGAATCCAAAAGTCGAATCTTTTCCTACTATGTCCGCTACTGGATGCCAACCCCCGATGAAGTCCCCTTTGCGTGTCAGATTGCGGGATTCACTCCCGTCTGGCCTGGCGATCAGACCTTGTCCATCGGCCTTCTTTCGGAAGCCTTGCAATCAGACAGCATGGTGTCCATCTATTCTCTGCTAACGGTGTGTGCAAGGCGCATGCGAGTCATTAATGGTGTCCAGGGCGGCTTGGACCTCCCCGAAAGCTATGCAGCAAAAGCCATCAGCAGTCTTCTCGAGGTCATCAAGGAAAAGGGTCACTTAACACAGCGATTGATCCTCGACATTTCATATCTCGTACTCTCTGAGGTATATGTTAAAATGCACAAGAAGCCCGAGGTGTATGGTCAGATGCTCAAGGATCTCATCATCCACTTTGGCGGAATACAGAACATCAGCGGCTTCACGGCTTTCGCATGTATGGGCTGGGACAATTTGATCTCCTCCACCACGCTAGTCCTGCCAGCCCTAGATCCCTTTCGGAGTCCTGAGCTATTTCCCTCAGTCATGGTCGCCTCCACAATAAGTCAAGCCGAACTGATGCAGCAGATCTACTGCCAGATCCAAAATCTGGAACCGCGGGCGAAAAGCATGGCCATGACCTCCAATGCCTTCTCAAACGTTATCACCGCCTTGCAGATCTTCCCCGAACATGTCCAAACCTGTATCAGGCTTCTTGCTCGAAATTCGAGTCCCAAGATCTTCCGCGTCTTGACCGTGCCCTTCCTTTACGACAAAGACATCGCCTATGGTTCGCAAGAAGATGCCGCCGTTGCCAAGCTCGACGTCGACATGATGTTTGTCAAGACACATTCCTACTTGGTCTGGCTGTGGTATAGCGCGCTAGGCACTCTGGGATATGAACCAGATGTCGCCCAAGAATTGTACCCCCCGCCCTACGAGGTGAGCCAGCTGGACATCGTGCGGCTCACCCTCGACAACATCCTTTCCAGCCTTGAGCGCACCAACTGGCATGCCCACTACCCTCTCGTTCTGTGGATCGCCTCCGTTTTAGCCCTGGTCAACGACGGCAAGCCCGATTACATGTACTGGACCAATCTTATGGTCAAGACAGCCACTCGACTCGGCGTTGCGACTGTCAACGATCTCGACATGGTGCTCGTGGGGCATCCTTCCCTACAGCTCGTCTCCAAGCACATGCGAGTCACCGCATGGGACATACTGGCGCAACACTACGCACAGGCGCCGTCATCGTCATCATCAGCCCGGGGGCCTGATACAGGCTGAACGACAATGTTCGATGGACAGATTCAGTGCAAGGTGAACAATGCCACCGGAACAGGTGCACGCCGAAGCGGACTGAACGTGAAGGAGGATCAATTGATCAATTTCAACAATAATGTACTATGACGAATGCTACTCTATCAAATTAAGGCTTTACGCTCACCAATGCCCATTTCGCCACCTCTTCATAAAAGCAGTCTAGTTCTTGGCGCCATGGACAGCGACGCGCTCGTCGATGGGCTTGAATGTCTTCTCGCCTGGCTGACCAGCGGGTTTGCCAAAGACCAGCTGAGCCTTGAGGCTCCACTTGGGGTCGACGTTATATGTGGAAGCAATTTGCTGATCGATCAGAGGGTTATAATGCTGCAAGTTGGCACCAAGTCCCTCGGCTTCAAGTGCGGTCCACACTACACAAGTCAGTATCGCGATACGAGCCGTCACAGGCATGGAAAGGGTAACCACTTACAGATATACTGGTGCATGGCGCTGGTATGCTCGCTCCATTGAGGGAACTTGTCGGCGTACAGAGGGAAGGTTTCCTGGAGCTTGGCGACATCGGCTGGGTCCTCGTAGAAGAGAACAGTACCATAGCCAGCCTTGAAACCGTTCAGTCGCTGCTCAGATGCAGCCCACGCCTCGGCTGGTGCAACAGCCTTGACGGCCGGCTTGACAATTTCTTCCCAGAGTTTGGTGTGTTCGTCACCCAGCAGAACGACGACGCGTGCGGATTGAGAGTTGAAGGATGAGGGGGTGTGCTTGACGGTATCCTGAACCAATTCGATGATCTTGGAGTCGGGGATTGTGGATTCGTGGGAGAGTTGATAATAGGTGCGACGGGCCTTGACGGCATCGAAAAAGCTAGAGGAAGACATGGTGGGAGATGATGTGTTGAACAAGCGCACTATGATGGGAGTGGTGCAAGATTGGAACTTGGACTGGGAAGAGGAGGACGAAGAGTTGAGAGGAAGGAGGGGATGTGATTGCGTAAAAGAAGAGGTTCGAAAGGAAGGAGCACAAGAGACGCGGTAGGTTAAGTATCTTCTGGCGGCAGGAGCTGCTGCAGTTACACGCATCTTGTCTAAAATTCTAGCCACTGTCGGTTCTGGAAGGATCGCTTGGATTTCAGATGCCGCGGCGGTGGGTTCGTGGATGGCAACGGTGGTGAGATGGGTGCGGTATAAGGACTTTCCAGACACATCGGAACTCCGAATTGGCCGTTACATGTTGGAGAGAATAAAGTGAAAGTGTGATTGGATGGGCAGAGCGTTGAGAGGGGCCAGTCCAACTCGACTCGTCAAAGCCACCAGCCTGGAGGAATTCCGCGCTTTGTCAGTCAATATCTGAGTGGTGCATGCGGGCACAATATTATCGCACTCGACCTCGAAAATTGTGTAAGCATTGCGTCAGACTGTGCGCAGGTACCCTTTGCGGGCTTTGGCCCTAGTGGCCCCTGTAGCCCCTCGGCCCCACATTCTCAAATTTTGTCCAAGAAGGACGACAAGCTCGGCAAAGTGGCAGAGGGGACAGTACGCCCTCGGTTTTCTTGAGGGGTGTATGCGGCCTCCTGTCCTTAGTAATGAATGCATAATTATAAGTACTATTCTAGAGACGCCATTGTACGTGTACACTGTGTGTAATGTCACTTGAAAGCGAGAAGCTATCGGACGAGAGAAGCAAAACGCCAAAGCCTGGATCCACGTCGACCCCGCCTACCAGAACCCTGACTCGATACGAGGGGAGCTTTTCTCTGTGAGCCCGCATGCTCATCGTCACTATCAACGTCCACCACCACGGCAATTGTCATCATCATTGTTGATTTATACCGAGTCTCTGCATAACATCATTAAACCCACAATTGACATCAATTCTCACATCCTACGCTTCTTTGCATTGCTGACCGGTATCACCGTCTAGACCGTGTAGCCCACATCTTTGTCTCGTATCTATCTGCCGTTTTCTGACTTCCTATTTCCGCGCCCCGCCCAATAGTGATGTTACTCTTTACGACAGCAATTGCACCACAGTATCAATTGACTGACTGACTGACTGACACCTGAACATCTGGAAAACCACTAGGGCACACAGTGATTTGTCACTGTCCCGTATTCAGAATCACCACCATTCAACTAGACTAGATTGCATTGGGATTGGGATGATTGAGGGGGTGGATGGGATCAAGACAGGTTAGCCCACCACTTCCATCGGAGCATAATTCCTTGTAAGGACCAGGTTCCTCAATTGGCATGCATATTCATACCAAGTCACGATGGACGACCTCATTTCCAGGTACATATGTATAATGATGTGAAATTATGATGAGGTGAGCGAACACGAGATTATGCTTCGTACGATAAGCAGAAAAGCACTCATCCGCTCGCTTTACTTACACTGTACACGGTACACTGTACCTGCCTCGTTTTGTATCACCACACACGTGCAATCAAATATCAATAACCAATCAACGTCCAACGTCCAACTACACGATCTCACAAGACAGTCAAGTAAAGAAGTCACGGTGACAAGTTCAACAAACATCCAGTCAAACGCTGCCACTGCATATGTAAAATGGATCCTATTTAATCAAACCAGGAAAAGAGATCCATGATTGGAATTCAAGAAGTGAAATTTCGGGCATCGAGCCCTCGTCTATCCTGCTTGCTAACTTTCAAAGTTAATTCTATCCATCTATCAAAAAGAGAAGGATGGAAGAGAAGAGAAGAGAAGTGAAGAGAAAAAAAAAAGGTGGGAAACAACATGAGATATCAATTCATCTGTCCCGCTATCAAACCCCAATGGCGCGCGGTCGTGACAGGTCGATAGGATCGTCTCTCAGTCAATATCCAATGAAAATCGTGACGCGTCGTCAATTGCCAGCCCCAAGTCCTGTCTCCCGTTGGGAATTCCGTGTCCCTCCCCCCCTCCCCTCCGTGGCAGTCACACAAGTTCCATGCGAAACTAATAATTCAGCGTGACCTTGTACATGTTCATCTTTGTGTTGGGGCCCATGGAGAAGTAGAAGGATTTGTGAGAGCCGTCGGGGGAGAATTCAGGGTGGGCATGAATGCCGTATTTTCCCTGGACGGAAGAACCGCTGGCGAGACTGTACTCGTCACTCCAGGGTCCATAGGGGGTGTCGGAGGTATAGAACTTGACAAAGTCCATGAAGATGTTGCACATGAGCACGTACTTGTGCAGGTAGTTGTTGTAGAAGGCGGATCCGTAGTGGTCGCAGCCGAGTTTCTGGTTCTTGGCCAGGCTGGTGGCGCCGAACGAGTTGCTGCTCTTTGATGGGATGCCAGGCACCCAGGAGTCCGTGGATCCGAACTGGAGAAACTCGTACTTGGACTGATCGAACACATCGTCCGATGCACGCACCCGTCCTACCATGACTGTTGACGGTCCGCCATCCGAGTAGATGTAGATGTAGTTTTCCGCACGCAGCACAGCGATCAGACCCAGTGCAATCTTGTCGGGTCCTGTCAGTAGAGGACCAATTCGCGTCGCGATCGGCTTATCCTCGCCTAGAGTGATGACCGCCACGGCGTTGCCTCGATCTTCGTGTCCGTTGTTAGGTGCGCCACGGAAGATCTGCCATGCAAAGGCCACGCCGTGTGTGTCGTTGATCGGAGCCACGTTGGACGTGTCCATGCCCCAGAACTGGTAGGGTGGGCCGAACTTTTGGTCTCCATGCCAAGGCTTGAGGAAGTCGTTCTCTTGCACATATTTGACTCCCGTCGCGTCGATCGTCATCACATCTCCCGTGCCGTAGAAGGCCGGTCCCATCGAGAATCCGCAAGTCAGCACGTCCGGGTTACATCCTATGTCGCCGCAGTTCCAAATGATCTTGTCACCGAGCTTACTGCTCCGACACTTGTCCCCGACTACGTCCTTTCCTGCAAGTCCTCCGTTGAACTTGATGTCACCCACGTACTCCATCGACCACTTGGACCCTTTGTCGAGCTTCCATTGTTCCGGCGACGGAAGGCTGCCTGTGGGAAGGTTATCATTGGGTGGTGGCGCAACTGGCGAAGATGTCGGCGTCGGCGTTGATGTCGGTGTTGATGTCGGTGTTGATGTCGGAGCGGCTTTCGTGGGGGCGCTGGATGATGGAACGGGTTGAGTCACCGCATATGATTGAGAGATTTGAGGCGAAAGTTCCGAGGCAGGGACTCCCCATTCGGGTTGTCTGGTGTTAGTCTCGGATGACGGGGTTGTGTCGGCGGTAGCGGTTTCCGAGGCCGGCACCCCCCAGTATGGTCCGAACCTGATAGCATTGACTTGAGGAGAAACCTGGGGTTGATCACAAGGTTCAGTGGGTAGATCGGGGGGGCCGAATGGTTGACAGAAGGGAGGACGAGTGAAAGGAGGGCGGAAGGGAGGTCGCGGTGGTGCCGTTTCATCACATACCTTTGTTACCGTGACGGCGTCGGTTTTGCGAGGTACGGTGGTCCATGAGCCATCAGTCAGCATGCAGCGGACCACACCGGCTTCATCGTAGCAGTAGTCGGGTACGCCGTTGCCGTCGAGGTCATATCGTCTGACTAGTGGAGCTGCAGTGACTGTGGCGATGGAGATGGAGATGGCGAGCAATCTCCAAAAAGACGAACGCATAATGAGTGACTGTGGAAAGGAGTGGACGAGTCGAAGGACTAGCCTTCGCCAGTTAAGCAAAAGGAGCGACAAAGAAACAAAGGACGAGGCGTGGAGGACAAAATGCTCATGTCGACGACGGGGCTGCAGTCTTTATGAGTTGAGTCTAGTATTCTTAGAATGGGGAGCGGATCAAGGCGTTGCCGTTCTTTGCCAGGCTGACCACTCTACGGTCAACGGCCAAGGGGGGAGGGGAGGAGAGGAGAGGGGGGAGGAAAGGAACGTGGCTGACAGGCATGAAAGCCGTCAAGCCCAGCAGCCCTTACCTTGGAGATGACGAGAGTTTGCGACGGACAGCGGTTGGACTCTTGATCGAGGGCTACAGGAAGGTCATGATTCAAGAGAGCCACCTGCAGCCGTATTGTCATCTGAACTGGTTGCTCGCAGAGGTCAGCAAGTTTCTTTGTTTCATCATGGCGTTGGTGACAAGCGGGACAAAGGGTTCGCAGATGTTGTTGATGGTGGACGAGGCCCTGAAGGATGAAGGATGAGTGGCTGTCGAGCTCTGTGGTCCTGGGCGCCAGAGTTGACCGGAGCTGGAGCAGAGCACTAGGGAATCCCAGGGACTTTGCTTTGTTTGACTGGCCTTGGACAGAGATTAAGCAGTGGGCTTTGCCTAAAGCGGGCCAGATAGACAGATTTGATCACAATCGACAGCCCTTAGGCGAATGGTGTGGTTTCAGATAAGCGGAAGAAGGACAGCCACTTACATATCACCTAATGATGAAACACGCTATCCTGCTGGAGTCGATCAATTATCCGACATCCACTTTAGACAGAGTTCCGGCCCGTCTAGGTGGAAACTCTACTGATGTCAATTTGTTGCTGGAATTTGGACCGATGTCGCTGCATGCTGGTCCTGTTATTGATACATATTCATCAAGTATCGTCAATGAGAAGATACAAATTGTAGAAAACCGTTAGTGGAAGTTCATGTATCGCTTGGCATTCAACTTGGCACTGTGAGTCACGGGGACACACGTTCAGTCGTGACAATCCAACAAACAAAAAAGGTAATTCGATCCCATTCACGAGTCGCGTCGGACTTGACTCAGCATCTCCAAGAACGCTCAGACGCATACCACAGTCGGACCTCCTAAACACCGACTGATGCTGCATGCATGAATGTGTCACTCAGGGTATGGCTTGCGAACCCAGGATGATGGTGACGCAGTATCACAGGATTCATTCATCAAACGTGTGTTTGGGGGAGGATGACCACCAAATCTTAACCAGACGCGTCAAAGACCCATCATCACGAAATCCCAAATTGGTGTAACCCCAAGAAGATGCATGGCCATGCATTCTGAGATTGGTCATGACTGTGAGAAGTCGTTGTTTCAACTTCAGCCATTGACCAGAAGACAGTAATGATGCGAATATGGAGAAGAGAAAGATGGGTTGTTGACAACCATTGCGTCAATTTACGCTTTCAGCTACGGACAATACCGAGGACACGGTGCAAGATCCTGTTCGCGGGCACTGATGGCGGCACGGTAGAGCCCTTGACGTCTTGACCCGGAGGCACGGCCCTTTTTTTGTTCCGACTTCGACACACGCACATACCTGTCTTATTATGCTGTTCCTGATACAATCCCCGCGTCAAAGACACTGTCTTGCATATGGAGGAAATGATTCAGCCACTTTTCAATCTTCAGAGTAAGTAAACAGATGTCGTCGCAGGTTGAATGGATGCAGATGACTACGGAATCAGCGTGCCAATGCTGCTCGTCTCACCGCGTTGGATGCCCGTTCTTTGTCTTGACGGAACGGGATCATGATCGAAACTATCTAAGCAATGGTTAGGCCTGAGTTCCGCAGTCCTTTGCTTGAGATCTCTCAGATGTGAGGATTTCCACTCAGCTGATATCAGAACCTGCCAACTATCCCAAGCGCCCCATCGGTCACTCCTACAGCATGCTCGTCTTTTTTGACGTGTTTGGCAGGAAGATGCTGATGGATGATCCTTGGTCTGAATACTGGGGCACATTTCCATACACAAGGAAGTCGAGTCTCGGGATTAATGCTGCATCTCTTGTTGGCGATAGTCTTGATGGATCACGATACCTCTAGATCCGCCACATCACACGCCACACGCGGCCGATTCACATCTCCGTAAGGGTTGACGATCCCCTGGTGTTTCGGCAGCCGCATCTCAGACCCAGCCACTTTTCTCTCTGTTCTTCGTATCCTGAAGCTCCGTCGTAAGCTCGCTAGTGTCTGAGCATGTTCACAATAGCAATACCTGCTGGACTTGCAGTCTGTAAACTTGTGATCTGCCGTAATCAGCTCGGCTGATATGTACGGCAGGTTGTTAGATCGACATGGGCAATACCATTTTCAAACAGAACCTTTTCTTGCACGTGGGCTCGCAATGCCTTGGTCGTAAACCCCTAGAGATGGCAATCGTGTGAGATCGGTCTCATAAAGAGGGCTTTTCAATCGAAGCAGTCTTAAGGAGTCATTTCCGGCCATGCCCGAACTCTCAGCGGCGTCAATCCTGATTCAACTCATCGAGGACTATCACTCTCTTAATCCGGAAGGAATCCGCAAGTGTCCATACCCGACGTCACTGGAATTCAGCAGACAAGTGTCTCGGGGGCGGCCGTGTGTGTATAGAGTCAAACCTGAGGGTTCTCCAAAGTCGTCGAGTAGACAGGCCGCTCGTGCGCTGTACCTGGACTATCTAAAAGGGCGAAGTGAGTCTGAAGAGGAGAGAGCAGAGATCACTGCATCACTGGCATTCGCTTGGACAGCACAGTCGCTCAGCGCTAGAGTCACGGGGAAGGTCGACGTGGCTGTCACACCGGATGGTAGAGCAGACTCGATCTATTCGATCAGAAAAACTCACAGTGGCCGATATGAACATCGAGGAGGGGATGACCTAGGTGACGAGAAGAACGGCCGTGACCATGGGAATGGCCTTCGCAATGATATTCTCACGTCACTATCACCAAGATCCAGACATTCTGGGGACAAGTTCGAGCAAGTCTTTCTAGAACCGGCCTCGGTACAGATGAATCTGTCAACGCTGCTATCGAAACTGACAAGCATAACAACATCGACGTCATCGTGCTCTTCCACAAATCCAGTCTACTACCTGCAGTCTCAGAACAGCAACCTAACAACAACGGCACTATCGCCATTATATGACGAAATGCCAGAGACCATTCCCTTTGCAAAACCGGTTCTCGGCGAGCCTGATGCGGTCAATCTATGGGTTGGTGGTGATCGATCGATCACGACGACACATCGGGATCCATATGAGAATCTGTATTTGGTGCTCCGTGGTAGCAAGACGTTCACGTTGTGGCCGCCGGTGGAGGAGATGTGTTTGAGTGCGAAAATGGTGACGACGGGGAAATTTGTTCTACGGGGCGGTGGTGGAAAAGATGGTAGTGGACATGATGTTGACGGTGACGGTGATGATACCATGGTAGACAGTAAAGGGGAAAATGAAGGCAGTGCATTCTCATTATTTGAGCTTCAACTTGATGATGACAATGATGATCAACAGAGAAATGGTAGGGTTGGTGGTGCAGGTGGAAGCGACGAAGAAAAGCGGGACGAGGATACAGAAGGAGCATGTTCGTCTTCGCCTTCCCAGCACGGACGAATCCCTTGGATCCCAATCGACCCGTCACTACCACGGTCGACACTCGAGCAGCTGTACCCGTATTACCGGCATGCTCGACCAGAGACAGTGACAGTGGAAGCAGGCGAGATGCTGTATCTGCCGGCTGGGTGGTTCCACCATGTCCGACAGCAGTGTGGACAGTGGGATGATGGATCTCGCGCCCCCTGTGTGGCTGTCAATTATTGGTTTGATATGGACTATGAGGGTGAAAGATATGCTTTCCATCAATTGATCACCAAATTAGTGGACGAGGTGAGGAACAGTAGCTCCCAAGATCTACGTCCTGGAGGGACTGAGTTGTGATGGAGATCACAGCTATCGACATTGATCACAATTGAAGAAAGTGAGCGTTGAAGCAGAGGGTGTAATGGTGCAACCTTGTTTATTTCAAGGCTTTTTGTCTATTCTAGTATTCGATTCGAAGTCTAGAATCTGTCATATCTCTGAGGCTGGCATAAGGATCGTTTCAGCATGACGGCAATCAATTGGTTGTCGCTCGAACAGGTGGGTTTGAACCGGCCAGGATTACTGAGCTTTGGGTCACGAAGACGCGAGTTGTCAGTCTAAGCCTTGGCTTCGATCTTCTTCAACAACTCTGGGAACTCCTTCCAGTCGTACATGATCTCATCAGCATTGCATTGTTCCTTGAGAACCTTTGCCATCTGCTCCATCTTCTCCTTGCCCTCTTCGATGCCATAGACGCCGACATAGCCGATCAAGGGGATTCCAGCACGCATGGCGGCGGTGGCTCCACTCTTGCTATCCTCGACGGTGATGGCCTCAGATGGTTTGACACCGAGTTGCTCACAGGCGTAGAGATAGATCTTGGGGTCGGGCTTGGAAGATGGAGGGTTGAGGGAGGTAGCAGCAGAGTAGACGTGCTCGTTGGGGAAGTAGTGGTCGATCTTGGTCTTGACGAGAGAGGCGACGACACGAGGCTTGGCCGAGGTAGAGACGACACTCATGGGATAACCCTGTTGCTTGAGATACTCGAGTTGCTCGGGAGCACCGGGGCAGGGGGTTGCTTTCTCAGACAATTTCTGGGTGACACGTCCGAGCTCTTGGGCAACGTAGTCCTCGAGTTCATCTGGCTTGAGGGTGAAGTTGTGCTTCTTCTGCAGACCAACCAACATGCCACGGAAATTTTGACCGACAAAGTCTTCGAGGAGGCTGTCGACAGAGTAGCGATCTGGGAGACCGTACTTCTCAAGGATTTCGTTGGTGAGATCGGCACATGCTTCGAAAGCAAGACGCTCGGACAGGACAAGGGTGTTGTCGCAGTCGAGAAGAATGTACTTGGCCTAGATGAAAAAGAGAGGGTTAGTGAGAGTTGAGAGGTGGGAAGATAGATCGACAAAGACGGTCAGGATGAAGGAGCAAAGGCGATGAGCAAGAGGAAAGAGGGGTCGAGCTTGACCTGGACGATGACGACCTACCTTAGGCATGATGACGGATGGATTTGTTGGTTGTGATTTTCCTTGAAAGAGTCTTGATCAAGGGTTGTTGAAGAAGAAGGGTTGAGAAAGAGAAGAAGACTGAAGAAATTAATTTATTGAGACAAAGTTGGAAGTGGAAGTGGAAGGAGCGAAGGGTGAGAGATGACACGGCAAGAATGTCTTTTTGTGAAGGTGCAGGAAGGTGCAGTGAAAGAAAGCTGTGGGGGAAGGTTCACTGTGAATTACCTTCTTGTTAGTTACTCACTTATTTACAGTAGTCACATCAAGTGGAGCATGGGGTGACAACAACCCTACAAATTCATGTGCCAGTATGGGGGAACTTGGCCAAGTGCGGGTTGGTGGGCAGTTGGTGGCACTGGCGGGTGGTCGGTGGGCGGCAGAGGCGTGGCTATGACGAAGGACAAAAGGAACAGGAACAGAGGAATTGTGTGGGAAATCGCCCTGATTTGGAGCGGCAATAGCCCAACGGGAATTTGATTCTACTCAATTGGCTCCCTGTTAGTGGTTCAAACCCTGCACAGTTCGGCCCGTTCAGAGGGTAAACCGCCTAAGTAAGTAGAATGGTCGCTAGTCGTCACTAAAAAGTACGAGAGTCCTCGTACTGTGAAGGGCCACAGGACCACAGAACTACAGAACCGCCATGGGGGTGGAGGGGTGGCTCTGATGAGGGGCATGGAGATCAAACTTGTGGGCCTGAGGTCCCCTTGGGCTCCAATCTTCTCGGCCTCCAGCATGTGGCAAGAAGTTTGCTCCTACGTCACCAATCACAACCCCATCATTCAATAAATACCAATATCATCAGCAGATCTGCAACTGGAGACCATGTATCTCTGTCTTGGTGGAGGAGAAAAAAGAAAGTAATGCGACTGGAAAGGCTGGGGCCATGCTAGCTCAGGTACAATCATGCATACGTGCAGTAGATCACGGCAACGGCAGCAGGCGGCGGGCGGTCAAGCTTAGGCTCCCACGTTCCCATGAATCTATTGCATCCATTGCACCTTCCCTCACTCTCATCCATGGTGCGGTAAGCCCTAATTTGGTAATAAAACTACCTAAGGTACTCAATCCCACCCTGCGCTGTTAAAGATGGGGTCATCAGTCAGTCTCCTTGTCCCACTGCTCCCACCCTCAGGTTCACTCAAGGTTCTCCACAAGGGTGATAAGAAAAGTATCTCCCTCTCTCATGCGAGTGAGAGTAAAAGTCCTGTGCAGCAACACTCGGTTCACTCCAAGAATTGGTCATGTGGCATCGAACCAAGCCTTGACCGCCTCTCTGGCTGTTTTCTGAGACCAACGTTGCCGGTCCGCTCTCTCCTCCGAGATAGTCACTCCCATTGCCACAATCCTTTCACTGTCTATTTGGCGTTCTAGGCTCTGAGACACCGCGGGTGTCTTTCACGGTGAAACTCGTAGTTCGATTCTGGTGAAGCCATCCCCGTCTGAGGAAGAACGCAGTCATGACTCACTAATGCTCTGGTGCCTGCAGAGGAGCCTCCAACATTGGTTTCAGCAGTCGTCCCATGTCCATATGGGATTCATCGTAATCAGATCAATACCCTCTTCGGCCTCCTCGTCCACCGCCTCGATAACCGCCTGAGTCCGGAAGTCTTTCTCCTCTTCTCCATTCCCCGCTGGGCAGACTCCCAGGACCAGCTGGATCGCTGCTTCTTGAACTTGACCCGTTGTAAGAGCCTCGTCCGCTGAGTCCATAGCCTCCTCCTCTTACTCTCCCATACCCATTTTCTCTCGGACCCCTTGATGCAGCACCTCGGCCAACGACGGAGCCATCACTCAAGGGCGCAAAGACTGCGCAATCGACAAAATCTCCGATTTGAAACTTGACATCTTCCAATGTCTTATCAGCGTCCTCGCCATCCAGACTCAATGCCGGCCCGGCGTCCCCATTCGAGTGCTCAGGCGCCGAAATGACGACGCTGCCCATCTCTTTACTCAAATACCTCCCTCTTCCCTCGCTCTCCAGCCGTCCGCCGCCTCCACGCGGCGCGTGAAGATCGGGATAGACCAGGCGGAAACTTAGCCGTGTCCCGACACTGGGCTGCGGTAGAATCTGAGGAAGTGTCTGAGTCAACAATTGCGCCAACTCTTTTAATGTACAACTCATCCAAGTGTATATTTGCAGGTGTGCGGGCGGCCGTGGATGAGGGTTGGAAGGAGTCGGGAGAGGGAATTCGGTTAGGCTGTGGTATGCCGAGCTGCGATAGCAAAAGTTCAAAAGAAAGGGTGTGGTTGTTTGTCGGTCGACCGTGTCTTTTGGCGCTGGTCGCCGCGGCGGCGACATCGATGAATGTCGTGACATGTTGGGATGCGACAAGGGTGATGAACGGAAAAGGTTCTTGTCACACTACTCGTATGTGGTGGGTGTGACTAGAGCGAAAGACAAGACCGAGGCTGACAGTGGTCAGGGACAGTGAAATACACAATTACAATTGCTTGTGGCGAAATCAACAAAACAAGACGACATGGATGGTGCAGATGAGATCTGGTCCTGCATAGAATGACAAGGACTGGATGCAAGTTGGAGTTCCTGGACAATGAGTGCTGTGCGTAAGTAGTCTAGTGGTCCGCTGTAACTTGCGTCTTACAGAATCACCAGAGGCACCCGTGGGCTGAGGCTTTATAGGCAATGAATTGTCCCTATAAACACCTGGCTTCAGTGGGGTTCAATCTTCCCACGCCGGCAATGGACCGAGGGGCCCGAGGGGCCCGCCTCGCCCCCTCAAGCCTCTCCCCCCTTGTGAGCGGGTTCCAGTCGATCTGGCGCCTAAACTCGCTCGCCAATCTGAAAAAGAGGTTTAGGCCCTTTGCACCTCAGGATTGCTGACCTACCTTTGGTTTAGGTAGGTAGGTACTATACCTAACCTTGCCCAAGAGTATCGACGAACATCCTTCTAACCACAAAGCCGGCGCCGTGATTGTAGGGTATACATGCTAGATTCACTTGACATTCCAAAAGGAAAGTGCAATCTCTTATCACGTAGATGAGAATACTAATAGCTAGCCATCACAACAACCAGGACATGCAGTTTCTTGTTATTGAAGCACGAAGTAAATGCGAATTACTAAAGTAATATAATACTAATCAACCTACCCCTCCCTCCCATACTTCCCCTCGTGCGCATCGATACTGTATATCGGGATAAGTAGTAGATAGTCATCTACCATCGAACAATTCTATCAATCACCCTTTTTGAAATCACAACAATCATGGCGGCTCCTTCGCACCAATCGGTGGTGACCACCAACGCACCGAATCCAATGCCCACAGTCTTCCCACAAGCCGTCGTCACGGCCAATGGCTTTGTCTTTTGCTCCGGAAACATTGCCATGGATCCTCAGACCTTGAAAGTCATTGATGGAGATATCCAAGCTCACACAGTATGTAGTGTGTGATGACATTCCGGACCCTGTGCTTAGCCTGGCTCGATCTTCCCGGTCCTGTGATGTCCTAAATTGACCTGATTCCCCATCTAGCATCGCATCATTCAAAATATCAGCGCAGTCCTCGACGCCGCCGGCACCAGTCTAGCCCGCATCGTCAAGATCAACATTTTCCTCGCCAATATGGATGACTTTGCCCGTATGAACGAGGTCTACGTCCAATATTTCCAAACCAATCTTCCTGCGAGGACGTAAGTTTCGTATTTTGTGATTCAATAACGACAGTCTGGAGCTGATTATGACCCCCCTTCCCTCCACAGTTGTGTCGCCGTCAAAACATTGCCATTTAACACCGACATTGAAGTGGAATGTACAGCCCTTTTGTGACATCGACGAGTGAGTATGTCATCTTCGACTCGATCATCCACGATGATATCAATGCACCAACGACAGATATGGAAACAGGCAAAGATAGAAAAGTAGACAACACAAAGGGACCAAAGTAGGAGAGATTGCACCATCTGAATTGGAAAAAGAGTTGTGCAAGGTAAAACAGTCTTGTGCTAAGAATCGAATGTGACAATGACGAAAGGGGCGAGTCTGGGATGAGATTAATTGATATTCCACTAAGGAGGTGTATAGACCTGAGCAATAACAGCACCCTGGCAACTTCGCCGCCTAAACTGAGAACGAGCTTCTGAAAAGTGAGCCGAGTCTATCCTAGATCGCCTTTACATGACCACCCAGTTTGCTATGACGCCGAGGCCCTCTCGCGCTGAATGTGCATGGTGATGGCGCTCCGCAGAAAGGGCTCTTGGAACCTCCGTTAGCAACTCTAGGCATGCGCTGCGTCGTCAACCGCAACGACTTGGTTGGTTTCCGTGATACCAATCTTGGCCTTTTGGGTCGAGAACTTGACGGGGTTGCGGGCCTCGAAGATTTCGTTGAGTTCTTCAAGCTATACAGGAGATTAGTATTACACAATGAATGCCTCATACTCTCAAAACTTACAGTTCGCTTGCGGGTCTCGGGGAAGAAGAAGTATGCAATGAAACCCCAGACAGTGGTCAAAGCAATGAAGATGATGTATGTCTTCCACTCGAGCTTCTTGATCGCCACCGACCAGGCAAATTGGTTGGTGACACCAGCGACGTTGGTGAACACACCCTGGAGAGCCATACCCTTGGCTCGGATTTCAAAGTTGATGACCTCGACAGGGTACAGTGCTTGAAGAGGAGTCAGGTTGAACGAATAGACGGCTCCAAAGATGAAGATGAAGGCCAAGACAGCGTTGCTAGCCGCCTTGTTGCTGAATTCGGCATCACCGTCAGCCACGCTACCAGACGTGATCGAGTTGGCCAGAGTTGCGGCAGCTGCAGTCATGCAGACCCAGACGACAGCAGTTCCCCAGAAGCCACCGAGCAACATCTTGCGACGACCAATCAACTCGACAAAGTGAGCACCAATGACGGCAAAGGCAAATTGGAAGCATGAGTAGCCAAGTTGGACGTTGGCCTTGCCAATGGACGAGTTGACGCCGGCAGTATCGAGCACGGCACCGAGGAAGTAGGACAGAGGACCGTTACCGCACCCTGGGGTTCCTGTTAGTACGTTGCTGCGGTATCCCCTCCTCACGAAGAAACCTACATTGTGCAAGCATGGAGAAGACACACGCGACAAGGACACGGTACAAGCTGGACCTCTTCTTGACGATTCCACTGTAATCCCACCATCGCTTGTCCTAATCACAAAGTCAGAAATCGTGAGATAGCAGCAAAGGAGCCATGACTTACGGAACCATCGAGCTCCAAATATTCCTCATACTCGGCCAATTGAAGCTTGACCCACGCAGAGTCAGGATTGCCGTATCCGTGCCATTTGGTCAGAAGAGATCGTGCTTGCTCACGTTTGCCATGGGCAAAGAGCCATCGAGGAGACTCGGGCAGGAACAGGGCAAACAGGGCAATGATTCCGGGAAAGAAAAGTTGAAGCCAGAGAGGGATCAACCACGAGTTGTTGCCCTTGATCTCCAGACCTCCTCGAGTAGCACCGGAAGCCAGGATGGCTCCAACCAGCCAAGTGGTGTTGCAAAGACCAGTAATGATACCACGTTGCATGGGATGAGCAGTCTCCACGATCCAGATGGGACCAGCTCCGGCGGAAATGGTGACACCGAATCCGACGAGGAAACGACCACCGATGATCTGAGATTCCGAAGCGTTGTGCAAGGTAGTCGCCTGGACGACAGTTCCGACGATAATGAAGATTGAACCAATCAACATGCCGACACGACGTCCAAAGGTGTCGATGGCGGGCCCCATGAATGGAAGAGCTGCAACACCTCCAATCTGATGCATGGAGGAAATGAGACCGGCCCAGATACCCTTGTTCTCGCCATTGAAATGGGCCAAGAAGTATTCTTTGTTGTTTAGCAGACCGCCCAGCAACATGCTGTCGTATCCGTTCATGGTCTGGCAGAAGAAACCGATCAAGAGAGCGAGCCACAAAAGGATGGTTCGAGGATGGGTCCTAGGGACAGGTTCCTGAAGCACGGCGGCATTGTAGGCTTCGCTACCGTGGACTTCCTTGACCTCGACGACCTGTTTCGAGGATTAGTCATGGACGGCATGGCATATCGTCGTATGTATCTCACATTCTTGGCGGCATCGATGGAGTCGATGCGGTCGATGGTGGCGGCGCCGACTTTCTCTTCGGTCGACATCTTGACGATGCTGGAGTAGTATCCTGGGCTCTGGAGTTCCTGTTGTCGGTGGGTTGACGAAGAGGTGAGTATGAGAGCGGGACATCTAGAGTCCTTAAATGCTACTCCACGACCACGCGTGGCCTTGGGTGAGTCTCACCATGTTCCCCGACAATCACTAGCGTCCAAGTCTCGAACAGACCAAAATTCCTGTGGCGAAGATCCGAAAAGGAGCCGAAGGCAGGGAACAAGAGACTCCACAACTTTACCAGAGCGCCATTGCTGTTTGACCATGCGCCCCGATAGGTTTTGCATCCCATGGGCACCCCGCCAACTAGCCTCGTTCAATCCGGGGAGGAGAGGATCCTCCTATCACGCAAGAGCCCACCGACCATCTCTGCCAGAAAACCAGGGGCGGAGGCAAGGGAATACGGCGGGCAGCTGATGTCGCTTAGGTAGTGCTGTGGACAATCCAGGTTTTCAGAGATTGTCTTGGTGCAATTGGCCACCGATGCCCATGCCTGTCTGCCCCCGCACCTCTTTGGGTTAATCGCCGAGGACTAGTTGCCTTCCAAGCCTTAAGCGGGATTCTGGATAGTGTGTAATGGAGGGGTGGACATCGAGGCCGTCGCCAGTTGTTGACGTGAAGTGCATCACGCATTTCCTCCCCTAGAATGCCACCATGTATGTATGTATGGTTGATCTCACGTGCCTATCCGGCGAGACGACGCGGTCCCGAGGAAAGGGGTCGTGCATCCATACCAAATGCGACCTGGAATAGATCGAACGTACAGAGCTGGGTACCTTGTCTGCTTGTTCAAGCCTCTAGTCGGAATCTCGTGATCAAGCTTTCGAGGTGCGGAGAACTTGCATTGTCCACAATGGCTATGATACGGCTGCCTCAAAGTCCACAGCACCATATAGCGCAGAGTTTTTGACCAACACTCGTGACCTAGCGTCACCCAGATTGGTAACACGGAAAGGCAGAGCGGAGGAGGTACATAGGCTTGGTGATTGTCATGTCTACCAATCGCAAGCTCCACTGGTGATCACAGAACGTCTAGAAGTACTCTAAAATTGTCGTGTGTCATTCGATAGCGTGTCGACCTGAGCGTCTATCATCAGACCACGGATGTTAAATCGGGCATCGAATGGCCTGCATGCGTACTTCCCACATGTTGGACCCCAGACCTGGTGTATCTGGGGGTGGATAGATTATGCATCACATGGAGCATCGCCGGAGATCCTCCAGAACGTAGGTCATGAGAATGTAATTGATGTGGGCTATTAACAGTTACGAGGTGCAGGACTGCGAAGGTGTGGTATGAGGGGACGCCCATTGACCTTCAAGCCGTGTTAGCTACATACTGAAACAATCAATTGTCAGGGAGCGAGCGAGCCTTGTGTGTAGAGGCCCCGATGATGAGCCGACCAGCAGAAACCCAAGTTGTTTGGGCTGGACAAAGGCTGGGCCGAAGATTAGGCGACGAGAAGAGCGCAGTCTCTGACGCTCAGGTGCCGTGTGAACCGGCAAGTCTCTGGGGAGCCCTCGGACTTGGGCATTGGTAGCTTTGGGCGTGTCCGAGGCAAAGCCAAGGGCCGCCTCGGGCCAAGTGCTAAGACGCCCCCTCGGCCGTTGGACGGGTGCTAGAGTTTAGGCCCGGGTCAAGGAGGCCATTGTGGGAGATGGTCCGTGAGTCAAGGCGACTGGAAGGGCGAGAGAAAAGTCGTGGGGTGGGGAGAAAAAAGGAAAAGGGAAAACGCTCGAGCTTCAGAGCCGTGAAAGGCTTGGCGCTACTGCTCTGGGAGAACTCCGGCTCTCCTCCCATTGGTCAGCCCTTGACCCCCCAGCCTTGTCGGTCGTGCCTTCCCCAAATTCAACTTCGGAGTACGGGAAGGAGCGTCTGTCCTCCTCATTGACGCTTTTGACGTGTTGTATTGACTCAGGCTCATTCTCGGCCCATATTCAATCATATTGGCCAAATGCTTGGTCCAGCGGGCAAAGTGCACTGTCTGTTTACACGTCTTGTTGCACAGTGATTTTGATGATGGAAGCAATGACACCAGCTGAAGAGGTCATCAACGGGTCATCGCAGACCGTCGCAGACCCCCTGGTCTTCGAGCCTGATACGTTGGCCATGTCGAACCCCAGACAACCCTCCTGCGTCCTTCCATTGTGTTCCTTCTCCAGTCTTTGAGGACTCTGCCAGTAAGCAAGAGTGGGCCCACGAGACCTTGGGGGGGTTGACTTCGCCGATACTAGTCCTGAAACCCAAGGCTGAAGCAGACTGGAGAGCTGATAGGCCGTCCGTGGCCGCCTTTGGGTACTGCCATTCTCCAAGAATCTGGGTTCGCAGAATGATCGTCGTGTTGAAGCTAGCCTGCGACATTACAGGTAGGTCATAGGCAGTGGCGAGACTCGTCAAGAGCGACATGCACTCGTCTCCACTGACCGGATGATCTTAACAATCCTAGACAACAACTCTCGGCTGTCTGCGCCAGGAAGCCTCCAATCTGCATCAAAGGTACGGGATCCCAGCAGCGGCCATTGTTGGCGCGTCGTCGATCGAATCCAGAACGCCATTCGCTTTACCTCAGGGGCTTCAAAGTTCATGCATGTCATTGGACCTGGGTGTGATGTGGCAAATCTCATGATATGGACTACCGATCCACGTATATGAATCCTAGCTCCTAGTTCTTGTCGGCGCCTCTAGACCCTGATGCGGAGCACTTTCATACCACCTGACTATTAAAAACTTGTTTCCCAAGTCCAATCGCTTGCCATTCCGATTCTCGGCCTAAGTTCCGGTTCAGAAATGGCCACGGCAGGTCAATAGGCCTGAAGGTCCCGCCGTGCTGGCAAGCACGGCAGGTCGATTCTAAGACCATTCAGGAAACATATTTGCCTATCGCCATCTTCTGGCGGCCAAGATCCATCTCAGTCAACCAGTTTTCAGTCGATGCAACTTTTTTAACATGTGATATCACGGTAGGTCCGGATGGTGTTGCTCATCGAGGCCCGTCTGTTTGACTCTTGAGCTTTGCCAACTGCGAGTAAGGACATAATTCTAGATTCGCTGATCGTTCGCCACTCTTGCTGACCAATTTTGTTAGACACATAGTCCTCTACGCGATTCCGAATGCACACGATATTTTTGACTTTTGGAAGACGGGAAATTCGGGGGGCATTGTTGGCAGACTCAAACAGCCTCATAGTCATCGATGTCAACTCAGAAAGACATGTTATTTTCAACAGAGATGGCATATGCGGAACACTTTGCTTTGATATGTATCAAGGATGATCACTAGCAAATTATTCAGAACAGCCGCACGGCTGAGGTGTCACATCACAACAGTCGGTCAGCCAAACGTGTTGGATCAACATACCAGACCACTGACTGTGTGACGCTTGGGCCCTTGACTACTGTTATCAAACGGCATCGGTATCAAGGCTCCCCAGCTGTTGGTCTCTCGCTTGTCCCTCATGGGAGCAGTGTCTCACATTCATGTGCACAGCTCTGTTCGCAGCCAGTGCCTGAAAATATACTTGTCTATACCATCTTGCAATCTTGTTCTGTATAGTGCTTCTGATTCTCCCAACCTCGAAACTGTTCATCCTGGACCATTTTAACTCACGAGAGACAGGAACACGAGCAAATGCTCTCGCCAAAATATCCGCCTCCAATGAACCAAAGAGTAAGACTCATTCAAGACACGCGCTCGAGCAGAGGCATCTCCATCAACAATAACTCATCACCTCAGCCTGTCACTGCCAGATATTTGCAAAAACATCTGGAGAAGATGTTCCACATGTGTTGCTACTAATCAATCGGTTATCTCGAATGAGTCCTTCACAATATTGATACACGGATCCGGTTACAGAACTCAAACTTTCACCACAAGCAAGAATAGTCACCTTTTCTCAAGACCCATATAGTGTTGCACGCCCATATCTGACATCATCGACATCAATGTGAATAAACTATCTATGCAAGAGCTTTACTGAGAACTTCCCAGGCTTCGAGAGAAGTCTCAGAGCTTTCTCAAGCATATGAAAGACCTCCACTACATCAGCTGTTATCGGTCGTGGCTGAGCGATCGACGTCGTGACAGATGCGGTGCTGAAGATGCCATACTCAGCCACCAATGGCGTGTACATATGTCTTCATAAATGCCAGAGAACGATACCAAAATGGCATCAACGACAACGTTGGCTTGATGTGGAGATTATTGCTTTACGCACTGCTATCCAGACCCTTCAGAAGCGCTGGCTTGTAAGGGGTGTATCATGAATGCTATCGACTTCTGGTAAGCCTTTATCCTTCACAATCTCGTCGCTCGCAAACCTTGAGAGCATTTCTGACATATGAAGCACCATGGCAAACCGAACAAGCGTCCGCAACTAGCCACTTTCCACCGGGTCACGAGTCTTCCTTGTCTAAGTGGCCTTCTTCATCAAAGGCATACATCCCACGATCCTCCACTTCCTCCTCGTCTAGTGTTTATCTTGGCACCGCGACTTCAATGACTGCGTCAAGTGCAAATTCGCTCATTGTCACTTCGGACCAGGTGATCACAATATCACTTCCGAGCCTGACGACACGTTCTCAGGCTGCTATAGCGGCTTCTACCGATAATGTTGCAGGCAGCATATCTCGCAGTGTCCAGTCAGTATCCACAACAACGGCATCTGATGGCTTCCAAACTGTTCGGACTAGTGGGCCAACGGCTTCTGTGTCGTTGACAAATGATATTGTCATTTCATCTACAACCTCCTTAAGATCACCAACCTCGGCCTCGTCAGGCATACTTTCTCCCATATCCACAGAACTGATCACCACGGCCCTCAGGTCGAGCTCTGTTTCCAAGGCCATGTCTACTGGTGTATCAACGATGGTTTCAACCACCGTCGACACATCAACAAGATCCTCCACAATATCTTCCAGGTTCCTATCACAAAACCCCCTTGGATGTAGAAAAAAGTGATGTATGGATGTCTAAGTCTCTAATTCGGATGAGAGTCTATGTATATATCTCGCAATACATGAATCACCAAAACGTCTCATGCCACTCGGGAAACGGCCCTACTTCTTGATGATATCACAATTTGGCGGCCGGCTTGATGGAAAAGACAGCCTTGTCGTGAACGCAGGTGACGGCCAATTTACCATTGACAATAATCTTGCCCAGAAGATTGGCAGTGTTCTTGCCGGCGGCCTGGACATCGCATTCGATCCTTGCTTTGCTACCCAGAGGCACAGGACGCAGATAGCTCATGGTGATGGTACGGCTGACGTGGCCAGAGTCCAAGAAGCCCTCTCTGGCAATGGTGACGAGTGCAGTCGAGGTCAGGTTGTCGAGGATGGTGGCAGCGGCGCCACCGTGTAGGTTTCCAGACTTGTTGCACACGTGTGCAGGGATATCCATCTCCCAGACAGTCCGGTTGGACTCGCATTCTACCAGTGTGAGATTGGTGCCTTCTAGCGAGATGGTGTCGAATCCTCTGTATCCGTCATCGCGTGTGATTTCTTTGTGCAGCGCCAACACCCGCTCGCGCATGGGCAGATGCCATAGTTTAAGATTTTGGAAGAAGTGTTTTCGTGGTGGCGTATTACCAACTGGAGGTGTTGGATTTGCCATTGTATTCTAGAGCCGTTTGCGTGATGTCGTGTATCTGGATGAAGACTTTCTTGATTGGTATGATAGTATCTATGTGATGGTGTGATACAATTGTCAACGAGACGTACTCGGCACAGGAAAATGACGACCTTGGAACTAGGAGTCTGACTGTCTCAATTCTATCAAGTTTTGATTGCTGGAGGATGGAACGTCGTCCAAGTGTTGTTGAAGTCTGGAAATGAACCGGCAAGGAAACAGAAATGCCGAGGTCCGGACTTAGCACGTGACCCTGTGATATATGCTGGGCGGAGTATTGTACACGGTAACGCAGAAGCTTATAGGGTGGGCTGCTGAAAGTTTTAGCGTCAGGAACGAGGAAACTCTCACGTGTCCATCGATGGCATCAATCAGTACAATTCGGGGTGGATTAGGGGTCTAAGGTTATCCCTCGCTGTTCATTTCAGGTGCAGAGAACTGATGAGCAAGGGATACAACAGTCAAACCCTGATGGGATACCAAGGTCCACACTCACGCGTCAACAATTAAACAATACACGATTTCCCTCGTCTGTAGATTCTGGTACCTGATATGGTGGGGTTTACAACTGACTTTCCATATCTTTATGGTTGCTTGTTTCACAATGCTCACCACTTCCCCTCCCCCCACCTTGATTCTCCGTATGTAAATCTTTAAACCTTTCAAACCGTGCACTCGAAAGGTTAGACTCACTCAGCTCTCGGATTATCGAGGTTTGTGTTTGCTTCTGAGGTGCACCTGCCAAAGCTTCTTTACGATACCACAATCGGAAGCCGCTGTCGTTGGCAAGCACAGCCTCATCTGCAGTTTAAGCACACCACGTTCAGCCCAGCCCAACCTTGCCTGAAATCCACATCTGGTCCCAGTCTGTCCCAATCAGCACCAGTCTTCTCTACTCGCAAAGAGGTACCTACCAGCACGGCGTGACGGTAGCATCTACGGACTGCAAACACTAGACTCTACAGGCACTTGCCACCGCCCGGGCTGCACGCTCCACCCGTCCTTGTTTCATCTTCCCTCCTCACGGTCCCGTTGGCGCATGGCGACCAACATCCGAGCCCTTTCCCTCACATTCCTGGCTCAAGCCTGATTTCCATCTCGTCCTTGCCTCCTTGCACTCCGTCGTCCGAACCATGACCCCGACGGCGTGGTGCCATTTCCGTCAAAATCATGGACGAAGACGACCGGGCGGATGACGCTGCACGAGACCATGACGGTCACGGCAGTCTCAAGTCAACGCGACGAGATCGCTTTAAGGGCGCTCTAGCCCGTACTAAGAGCAAGTTTAAAAAGGCCGGAGATCGACTTCAAGAGAAGGACTCTTCAAACAATGACAATGTCGATGATTTCCTCGCCGCAGGTCGGCCCTCCCTGTCAGGCCATCCCTCTAACACTATCCCTCCCGACTCGTCCCACAACCCCCATGATACCAGCATTCCTTCGATTACGCCTACTGGGGACTCGGCATCCCCCCGACCATCCACGTCCGACTCTTCCTCCTTCCAATTCGCGAGACAGTCTCCGCGGAAGATTGTGGTTCCACGGATCGATGTGAGCACTTCTCCGCGCTACCCTTCTGCCCAACCAATCTCATCTGCAGAGACCACCACTCCGTACAGTGGAGGCGGGGAGAGCAATAGCTTTCTACAGGCCGATTACAAGACGAGGAGTATGTCCTCCAGCTCTCTAGCTAAAGGCAAACGGCGAGGACGAGGATTGAGTGTCACCTTTATCGAGGCCCCTCCCACTGTCATTGGGATTGGCGGTGACGACGCTCCAGCCCCAACGGTGGAAATCTCAAAGGCACGGGCGAGAGCGAGATCAGTCTCGCCTATGTCCTCCCGCACACAGCCCGTCAAAGCGACCAGCCCAACTTCTCGTGACCTCGACATGAGCTCGAATGGACCTCGACCTAATCCTGCCCCACCCTTTGCAATACCCGGCGGAGCATCTCGTCAGAGTCCCCCCGACATCCTTCGGCCTCGCGCATTGCACAGGATTCAGACTGGTCTCGAACCGAACAACGCGATTGGCATGTCCGACCTCGACAAAGAGTTTGCCATGACGTTGAAAATGGAGTCACCCGCAAGCTCCACAGCATCGCCTGCAAGCCCGGAAATCATCGCTCCAAAGCCCTATCGGCCGATCCAACCTCCTCCAGTCATGGAAGATCCCGGCGCCCCTTCAGTCGGACATGGGTTGGAGGAGGCGGCTGTGGTGGGCAGTCGGACAGAAGATACGGCACCATCTCAAAGGTTCTACAGTGGACGAGAGCGGGTCGGCCATCATCACCACGGCAGTACTCCCAACTCGGCGACCAGTGCTTCAGAAAGTCAGGGGAAGCGGTGGGGTTGATGTGCAGATTCATCTACAGAGCTTGAATACTCGTTGAAAGGTTGATATCGCGCCTAAAAGGCTTATATTTAAGATTATACGGAAGCGTCAACCGCGGTCAAAGCCTTGAAGCCTTGGATGAGATCATCTAGAAGATCTCTGTCATCTTCTATCCCAATACTGACCCTCAAAAGGTCCTTCTCCACGGAATCGTCAGTCATGGTCCGCCACTCAATCAAACTTTCAACCCCACCGAGAGAAGTGGCATGATGAAAGAGATGCAGCTTGCTAGGCAGCCGCTTTGCTAACTCGGGAGTCTTGAGAGTGATGGAGAAGACGGCGCCGAAACCGTTAGGCATCTGCTTGCCCAGCCAGGACTTGTAGTCTTGGGTCTGCAGGCTGGCGTGGTAGACCTTCTTCAAGACGGAGCGAATGATTTCTGCGTCTGACTGGGACAGGCCAGTGCCCACGGTGTGACCGGTGAGTGCCCCGTCAAGGGCATCGACTATTCGCCTAGCATTCTCACTCTGCTTCAAGACGCGCAACTCAAGAGTGCGGACGCTGCGGACGCCCAGCCAGCCTTCGAGTCCTCCCATGACAGAGCCCAAGAACAGTCGGTCGCTGACAAGTTGTGGGATCCATTCCTTGTTGCGCACGGCGAGAATTCCGCAGAGAAGATCAGAGTGTCCACCAATATATTTGGTGCCCGAGTGCATCACAATATCTGCACCATGCTTGAAAGGGTCTTGCAATGGTGGAGGGGCGAATGTGGCGTCTACACTAAGATATGCTCCTCTAGAATGGGCAATGTCGGCATAGTGCTGGATATTGTATGCTAAACCGGTCGGATTGATGGGTGTTTCGAGGTGGACGAGATCACCCTTTTGAATCTCCTCAGGAGCAGAATCAAGGGCAATGACCTGGAGGCCTGATGTTCTTTGGTGTAACTTGAGGACGCCGTGACAACCATGGTAGCCGGCGGTTATGGCAACCCTCCGAGGATTGACAAAGGTGATCAGGGCATTGAATGCGGCAAGACCAGAGGAATATGTGAGGGCGGGATTTTTAAGCAGGACGCTTAGGATGGCTTCCAATCGTGTGGTGGAATGGGTGGTGTGTCTAGAATAGATATGTTTCGTGGGATCGTGAGCAGCGTCTGTTTGCTCGTGGGTAGGGAATAATTGATTAGGGTCTCGAGGATATCGAAAGGTAGTGCTAACGTGAATGGCGGGAGCGACGTCGTCGACAATATTCAGAGGGTCGTCGGCGTGTACTGCAGCAGTAGCAGGGGAGAGAGAGCTGATATCGAGGTGTTCAAATGCCAAATTGGTCACATCGTCAGATGGCGCAGACGTGAGGTGATCGAGCTGGTCCTCTTGGACGTGGGGTTGACGCACCCCATTTGTAGCCATTGCGGTGTGTGCAAGTCAGAGCGTGGAGATATAGTAGCTGAAGAGTTGGTGCAAAAAGCCCGTGCTCACAGTGGACAAGATATGTGAAGAGGTAGTGGTTTAGAGAGGTGGGAGGGAGTGGAGAGAAGGTACTTCAGTTGACGACGACGACGACGCGGATGTTATGTCGTGATTTTTGTCATTTTTTGCAATTGAAATCGCGCCCTCCGAGCGACGAGTGACGATAAGAATCTCTTGCGATTTTGGTGCGGGGATCCATCAGGGGTGAGGTGAGGGGAACACAGCAGTAGCTATTAGAGGGATGACTAAGCTAGTGCCTTTTTAGAATAATTAGTGTGTTGGCGGTCACGTGTGGCTTATGCAGTTAGAAAATGTTGCTTGTGCGAATAGTCACTCCCCATGTCCAGCCTCCCGATTTCAAAGGGCAAGGTCTTCGTTGTCGCCAGGGTCATCCTCGTTCTCACTAGAGTCATCCTCTTCCGAGTCAGTCTCAGCTTCATCATCGTCACTGTTTCTTTCAAAAGGATCAAAGTCGTCGGCCTCTGCATCCATCTTTCCCCATTGCTCCCATTTTTCCATCAAAATTCTGGGAAGTCTGACCATGTGGTGCTTCTGTCGTCTATGCCTGATAAGAATATCGCTAGCTTTGAGATAGGTCTCGCGGAATCTTTGCCAGAGGTCAACATCCAAGGAAGGATGTGGGAAGTAAGGGTCATTTCCCGTGACTGCGACAAGGTATTTCTCGACTATGTCGGATGACAAGCTCTTCGATTCAAGGTCGAACATGGAGCATTTGTCAAAATCTAACATCCATAGTTGCACCTCTCTCCGGGTGAAGTCATCATCTGTCGAGTCCGGTGTCGGGGCGGAAGCTGGGTACTCATGTGCAAATATTCTGGTTTTTGAGGTACCGATAACGAACTCAGTGTCTTGTGCGTCAATACCTGCTTTCCAGTGTAGAGTCGCAAGTCCCATGGCGATCTCTTCCGCAAATGCGTCAACATCGAGCTCGAGCATCTTTGCTTCATCGAGGTGAAGTGGAAAGTTTCGAAGTGTGTCAGTACTATCGTATGGCCGAGCATTTGGCCTGTTTTTGCCCAAGTAAACGCGAACAAGACAGTCCTTGTTGTCGGGATTACTGAGTACATTGTGTTGGATCCGTTCGTCGTCCTCGAAGAACTGCCGAATTAGCGCTCTGCGAGTAAGTTGAGGCACCGGCAAGATACGGTCAAGAGAGAAGGCGGCAGCCCTCGTCTGGTCTCCGTCAGGGAACAATTCGATGTTTGCAGTCCAGAATTCGTCTGCGGCAGGCCCGTTGAAACTCTGTGGCATGGGAACGCGCGGAACACGACGTCCAACAAACGTCCTTTCAAACAAGCCGTGTGAACAGAGTTGGCTGTTATATGCGCGACTGCCCAAGGTGAAGTCGTTCCACATGGCCGCTGTGCTTGAACCCTTTTTGATGGCGTACGGAGTTCCTGGAATTTTGAAGACACTCCCACAACTGCCTCGTCCGATGTCTCGGAGTTTGTTTTGGTGACTCAGTTTGTCCCTGGCGGCCTTCATCCGGTCTACAGAGCTGGACGTCGTTGACTTGACGGTTTCAACGGACAATGTTCGCTTGAGGATATCATTGGCGGTCTGGAGGCCAAGCGGTTCTATCAAGATCAGAGATGTTGCGATACCATCAGACAAGGTAGGAGAAGCGCTTTCTCCAGAGATGTCTTTGGCGTGTGCCATGATGATTTGAACTCGTCCTAATCACGTTTCTTCTGAGGTCGAAGGTCAGATTGAGAGAGAAAGTCGACAAAGGGAGAAAACAGATATTTAAAGGTCATTTCGGAGGAAAGCACCAAAGTTCACGAGAGGAAGGAGCAATGTCAAAGACTGGAGAACCAAGTGGAGAAAGTACCTTTTCCCACCATCTCATATGCTTCGTGAGTCACCGGAATGCAACAGCCAACCACTATCAGTTCCAGATTAAAACGTGAGGACCTCCGTGAGGACCTACGACTTATTTCAAAGCCAGTGCAAACTTTCCGATTTCGAGCCAGAGTATCGAGGTTGTTGAAGAGGAATGGCTGCACTTCCTGCCCACATTAGTTGATCGCATAAGCCACTTAATGGGCAGGTTCAAGAGTCAACTTATGAAATATATTGTCCCAAACATGAGAATTGCCCATAAGCCAGACCACCAGAAATCCCACTTTGGATGGCTGGCGAAGAAGAGCGTATCCCCCTGATCATCTCAGTCTCGTGCATCTACTCACAAGCTACAAGCCACAACCAGGCCATCCTGAGGACTGAGATATATTCAACTACCACATACAAGCAGGCAGGTCCCCACGAACGATATATCCTTTACAGTGTCGACCTGGTAATTGGGAAATAAACTCGGAGAGTTTCTCATCGTATTCGCATCCCCGCAGCTTGGCTGCTGGCCTTGACGTCGTCGAGAGCCAATTCACCTCTTCCATCACCAGTATATATAATGGGAGAGCCTCTAGTTTGTTTGATTAGTTCCCCTTCGCTCTCTAGGTTAGTTAGTTATCGCCACATTGAACTTGGAAACAAAACATTCAACAACCCTTTAGCGAACACAACAGCACCAAGCAACTATCCACCCCCCAAGCAAGATGACTTCATCCCTCTCCTCCTCAACATGGCGACTACTAGGACTCTCAGTTGCGACCAGCTACATCGGACTAGGATCAATCGGACTGCTTGCTCCAGGGTTCGCCGCCAAAGGATTCGGTTTATACCCTGACAAAGCCGTGTCTCCTGCAGCATCTCAACCCACTGCTCTCAACAAAGCCGAAGACTTGCACGCCCACTCCGTCGAGACCGCCATGTCATTGTTGGCCGTGCGAGACATTAGCATTGGTGTCGCACTGTTTGCCTTTGATTACCAGCGCCAACCTCGTGCAATGGCTACTCTGATCTTTAGTGGTGTTGTCCTTTGTGTTGGCGATGTTGCTGTTATTTGGAAGAACAGGGGGACTGCCTGGGGGACTGCCTTTGCTTTTGGTGCGGGTCTTTGGATGGCTATTGCTTCTGGGTTGTGGGATCAATGAATGGACTAGTGGAATCGATGAGGGAGTGACTGGGTGCGTGATTGAGTGACTGGACAAGTGAAGGCGTGAGTGAGTCTGTGAGTCTGTGAATCAATGAATCCATTATTGAGTCAGCCAAACAAGTAGTGAACAACAAATGAATCAAGCGAGTCACTTGTAGACAGGGAAATCTGGGCCAGTCACCAGTACGTGAATTCATCACAATGAATTTCGTTACTCTTTCAATCGCCTTTGTCATAACGCGGCTCTCGTACTATATAAACCCTCGATATTCTTCTGTAATTAATCTCTTAGTCTTCCTTCCATCCCTCGGAGCCTGCCTGAGGTGGCAATCCACCCAGGCAGTCTGTCCGCGGACGACACCAGACCCAACTACATCACACCAAACATATATATAAAGGAGGGATGTGACCTCCTTTATATATATATATACAAAGGCCAAGTGCGAACGACTCCATTGTGCTTTGTTGACCTTGCGGATGCCCTGATGATCACAATGCAAACTCAAGACCCCGTGTCGAACAGGGCGCAGAGCACAGATCAAAGAACCTCTTGCTTGCTTCTCAAGATCACAAGATTGGCCTGAACTAGTAGTTCAACCTAGAGCTGGATTGTGGTCGCTGCTTGTGAACTCACACCTATGGGCGTCAAATCGTTTGGAGTTTGCTGGCGGTAGAAAGGACCGGAACTCTGGTATCAGTTTTCCAATCTATATCAACCCCTGACTGCTGCTCTGATCAAAGTCAGTCATCAAAGCATCCCACGACCTCCACGACCAAAACGACAGCAGCAGCAGCAGCAGCAGCACCAGAAGATCTTCCAGCCTCCAACATCAGGCCAGCATGGCGTCGGGAAAGAAGCGTAGCTGGGTGAAGAAAGCCTGGGAACGACTTAAGGGGGGTAGTCAAAAAGGTAGATCATACCGACCTTGCACCTTGGAGATCTTAACTGACCACAAGTCATCGTATTCAGCCGCGACCCAGTCACCCGATCAAGACGACTCCGAGATTCTCCCAGCAAGCCAGCAGAACCAGGCGGATCGGCCATCCGGGTAAGTGAAAATGACGAGCAACTTGGACATAAAAAGTGGACCAAATAACCAATATCATGATAGATCCCGAGCAAGCTCTCACGTCAAGGAGCGTTTCCTATCTCAAGGATTTTCCGGCTCCAGCAACAACCGCGATAGAAAGTGAGCATTGAGCAGTCTCTGTGATATGATGGAAACTTCCGGTATGATTTTCAGGCTTGCATCAAAAGCCAGGCAGGAGCGCTAAATGGAAATCCTAGAGGGAAGCGTGGCATGACGAACCTGGGGTATCAAACACCTTCTACTCTCACAAGAGAAGATAACGATGTCTTTTGCGAATGTACTAGACCCTGCTCTTCTTACCGGAGATCTTCCGCCCATTGAACAGAGCAACAATGAGCCAAGCGGGTTTAGTGGTCAACAAGATCACCAACAACAGCATCTATCCAACCAGTCAAGGCACTTAAGCTCGGTACCAATTGTGAGGGGTACGTTCATGAATGTGATCGGTGCCTTCATCGTGTCAAGACACGTCGTGACTTCAATCGACATCAATGCTCACGGAACAGGAGGGGTGGGTTCAGAGGTGGGCAGAACATGTCTGTTGACAGGTTGTTGGCGTTTTGAGTCCCGAGGCATTTACTATTGAAGAGTTGACTCTGTGGCGGTCATCCTGGCTGATGACAGAACTGTGCCACAATGAACAGTAGAGATTTTAACAGATAGAGACGGAAGAGGCTGAAAGAATGGATTCGCAAGGCGAATTCCTTTCTTAGGTACGCCTTGAGATAACGGTAGAATCAATTCCTCGAGAAACAAGTTTTCAAAGTCTGCCCCGTTGAATTCTTCCCTTCCATCCATTGGGGTTTCCGTCGAGTTTGTGTACCATGGTGAAACTGAAAGTTCATATTGTGCCTAGATGTGCGTTCGAGAGAACTTGAGGAGGCGCTGAACAATGCTGTGTAACAAGGACGAGAGGAATTCCAAGCCTCTTCGAGCAACCTTGTTGTGGGAGCGAGTACTTAAGTCACAGGTTTGAATGTCACTTTTGGACTTGGCCGAGTGAACCTTCGCAAGTGAGATTCTGTAGCATCCAGTCTTCCCGTCCAGAGCGGTTTCCCAGCATAGAGAGAGGCTCAACACTGAGTGCTCTTCATCGGGGTATCACGAGGTAGTGCGGTTTGATCACCAGGGGCTTGTATTGGTGGGATCTAATATGATTCAAAGCCATCCCTCGACTCAGAGCCGAGAATGCCCCAAGCGACGAATGGGTCAGTAACCTCTACACATTGGAAACCAGATGTCCGACCCAGTATGTTGCCAACCTGCTGTTGGGGACGATACATTCCAAAATTGACAAGCTGTAGTTCAGAATGCTCCAGCAGGCTTAGCGAGAGTTGCAAGTGCGATTGAGAGTGAGCCGAATTTCCGGATCTTCAGGAGATTTGGATTTCTAAGGATCCGCCTTCTGATGTATCATCAAGATGTTATACGGCAGCTCGAAGCCGAATTAGACGACATGGACAGAAGTGACGCTTGTGATGCAAACACTGTCCATTTAATGAATGATCGAGTTTTGGACGATGCCCGTGCAGATTCGCCTCGAAAGAAGTTGTTTGGTAAGATCCTAGCAGAATTGTCACACTATGGTATCTTCTCCTAGACCAGGATGTCCCGATAGATCCGTGCTGACACCTATAATGGATGCCCTTTTGAGTGCCACCAGCGACGTCTACAAGCTGCCAGAAGCTCAGCCAGTACATCTCCAGACGGTGTTCAACTTTTTCCAGGATGACGGTATGGTCTTGGGAAAAGACAAGAATTACATATTGCAATGGGATGATCTGATCTGCCTCGATGACAATTCCGAGTTTAGCTGGGTCAATATTGTAATCGAGGCGCTGCTTCACGCCTGTGGGAAGAAGGTCAGGGTAAGTATGTCGTTGTTTTGGAAACCCCGTCAATTCGATGTGAGGCCAAGAATAACGGTTGACTGACGAGGAGCAGAGTTGCTTTCGAACTAAAAAGCAAACAGACAAACTGGAAGGCTGCGCCTTGGGAATCGATCTTTTTGAAAAGAGAAGATATGAACCAGTGGTGAATTTCCTCTTCACGGCTATCCTGGTATTCCTGATGACAGGTCCACTCCTTGTTCTATATGCCGTCCGAGGTTTGAATGGCTATGTGCAGATCGTGATGGCCATGGCCTGTACGATGTTCGTTGCATTGCTCTGTGCGACGGCGACTAGGGCCAAAAAACATGAGATCTTTGGCATCACCGCAGCGTAAGTATCAGTACCGCCTCAGTTTTGGTCGTCGACGAGTTGTGCTAACTGAGAGACTTCCAGATATTGTGCAGTTCTAGTTGTGTTTGTGAGCCAGAACAATGCAACCAATGGCGGAGACGAATAATGACTGGGGGTCCGTTTTTTGTTCAGTTCTCCTTGAGGCAGGGTTTTATGTATCGGTCCAGTCTATTCAGTTGATTGGGGCTCCGTTGATGTCGTTTCCTGTTGATGAGGCGAATGGTGTTAGGATTGCCATTTGATATTAACTGCCATCCCAGTCTTACCAAGTGCTTCTGTCGAAGCGTTTGCAATCCGGTCACTTGTCTCACTGAGGGGCATTATCCCATCAGTTAGCCCTTTAAATGCAAAGATATCTCACATCTAAGGTTCTACCGAATTCATTGATTATAATGACATATTTGGATAAGACTGCTGTAGGCCAGCCTAGAGTAGAGTGTCTTTACCTATATTTCTCCATAACAAGCCTTTCGCTTCAGACATACCAGTGGTCTAACCCTAACCTCTGCGGACCGTACACCATAAACGACAAGAAAGACTCTTTGAGTCTATTCCACGATATATTTTACATGTGACCAACTTCATCCAGCATATGCCCCTAATCATGACTCGTGGTCGGATCCCAACTGCAAGGGGCGTAAGAGTTGGGGAAGTCAAGGGCTTTCATGTCGTCCGCGTCGAGTTCGAAATCGTAGATATCTGCATTCTGCTCGATACGCTCAGGAGTGACGCTCTTAGGTAAGGGAACAAAGCCCTTCTGTAAGCTCCACCTCAGCAAGACCTGGGCCCAGGTCTTGCCATGTTTCTTTCCTAGCTCCTGTAGGACCTCCTCACCGGCTCGTTCACCGCGAACGATAGGGCAGTATGCTTCGATGGCGACGCCTCTCTTGCGGGACCACTCAACGATATCGTCACGTGGTAGCCAGGGATGAATCTCCCACTGACCGACGTCGATCTTGCTTCCATCGTCGCCTGCTGAGTTGATATACGCCTCGAGCTCGTCTAAGTGATGTACGCCGTAATTGGACACGCCAATTGATCGTATCTTACCGGCCTTTTGGGCCTCAACCAGCGCCTTCCAGCTCCCGAGCCGACCCTCCTTGCCGCCGTATGGGGCGTGGATCAGATAGAGGTCAATGTAGTCGAGACCGGTCTGGACGAATGAGGAATTGATGGCCTTTTGCGTGGCCTCGTAGCCCATGCTTCGTGGTGGGACTTTGCTAGTGAAAAAGATATCTTCGCGTTTCAAGCCCGAGTTCCGAATGGCGTCTGCAACAGGCTGCTCGTTGCGGTACGCCCGAGCCGAGTCAACGTGTCGATAGCCCGTCTGAAACGCATGCAGTGTCACTTGCTCGGCCACATCCGCTGGGGTTTGGTACACGCCATAGCCAAGTAGCGGGATCTCATAGCCTGAATTCAACTTGAACTTTGTCCCAATATCGAACTTGTGGGGGACTTGAGTCGCCATTGCACGGTGACAGTGGCTCGCAAATGCACTCGACTTGGAAATAGGTGAGCTGTGGATCAAGTTCGGCAGCTGATGCCCCAGTCGAGTGTGCATATGCATGTCAAGAATGAATAGAGAGAGAAAGAGCAAAGAGTTCCAGTCACTGGAATATGTTGGCCGGCCTTAAGGCTAAGTAAATCTCCCCTATTGCCGAGGCGTCGACAGCTCAGGTCCTGTGAGTTGCAAGTGGCTCGACCTTTGAGTTGACGGAAAACGCCACTGGAGATTATTAAGTCCGTAGACTAATCACCACCACCACCCTACGGAGTAGATAGAAAATGGGAGATAATGACGAGTAAGGGCAAAATGTTGACAAAGTGTGACGCCCACCATCGGAACAGACGTCAAAAGGGTGCAGAGCGTCTAGAATTCAAGAGTCGAGAGGTGTGGAAAGGATGACGACGATGACTGCAGTCACGTGCTTCGCTACCGAACTCCTCCTTTGAATTCCACAGCCTCGCAACCCTCGGCCTCGTCAGTCACGGGACTGAACCGGCGTCGAAGGGCGTCGACAAAAAGATTGTAGGTCACTACATCAATAGCCAGAAGTGTCCGTACGTCTATGGCTTAGTCTTGCACTATCTGTTGTCCTCTGTCTCTCAGAGCTTAAAAATTCAAGCGAAAAAGCGCTAATCTCAAATACAACAGCATGAGGTGCCAAAGAAAAGAGCTACTCTACAAAACCAGGACCAGAATGGGTCAAAAGACACCCAAACCAATATGCACCTTCGTGCCTTGTCGAATCCTAGCACAGCATATCACTTTCTGCTGGGTGCACTGTCTCGCCATTCCTCGTCACTGTTGAGGACATTCTTCCCGGAATCTACCAATTTGGGCAAGTCCTCTTCCTCGTCAATCGCAAAGGCATCGTCGTCCAACATGGCTTCAGTCTCCGGATCATCGGTGTGGGGTTGCTTTCCTGCTCTCTTGATTCGGTCGTGATCGTGCAGAGTGTCATCCGCAGAGATGGAGATACCCCTAGGACCCCAGCGTGAGTTGACTTTGCTCGGTTGATCCGCATGGCCGTTGGCCTGTCCGTCCTGTGCCTCGGGGTCGGGCATGTCATCCGTCGCCAGGGGAATATTTTTGATGACCTTGTTGACTAGCCAGCCATTTCTCATGTCATCTGCGTCAACAACACCGCCCGCTCGCAGTTTGACCCTCTGTCGTGTCCAATACACCCAGGCAAAGTCAACGTAAAAGGCAGTCTGGATGATGCCGAAGATGACCGAGACGGCATCAGGCTTATGCGTACTGAAGAGTCGATAAATCCAATTGAGGATGTAAAAGGCACGGTAGGAACCCAGAGTGACGAGGTAGAAAGAATCGATAACAGTGGGAACGGTGGTCTGACGGAGGAGAATGAGTTGCGGCAGGACGCAGAATGCTTCGAGGATGATGGAGAAAGTCCAAAGAATCTCAGAAAAGGTGGAGTGCCTCCAGCCTTCAAAGATCAAGGTGACGAGCGGTGCCGATACAATGGATGCTGCTGTGACATAGCCTCCCCATTTCCAAGCCTTTTCCCGTTCTCGTGTGCGGGCATAAACTCGGGTCATGAGAATGATGATGTAGATAGAGGACCAGATATAGAAGTTTTTCAAGATAAAGTTCCACCATGATGCGGTGGGAGGGACCCAGAACAGGTCGAGATAGCGCGTGAGGAAAACGGCAATATAGAGGATTTGAGTGAGCAGGGAAACGCCTGGGAGGTTGTGCGACGTTAGTCAACTGAGAGGGGAGTGGGTAAGGTTAGTTGAGGATCTGGCCTACCTTCGGCGCTCTTGTTGGAGTGGATGGCATATATGAGAATGCACTTGGACGCGGTATGGGACACGTCGCCCAAGATGCGAAAGATATTCATGTTCATGATTGCGGTCTAATAGACATGCCTCGGAAGGGCAGTCGAGTGTCCACCGTGGGCGACGATAGATGGTAGTCGACGGTGATATTGGGATTGAGACCAAGCAAAGGCTTGTAGGCAACTGCGAATGTCAGTGTAATGAGATTGAGGAGCTCAGAAGATCCGTGCAGATGACAGGCTTCCACGTTCTGACTATCCAGTGATAGGAGAGGAATCCAATCCAGGGGCGATGACTGTGGCAGCCAGCAATCGCGACATTTGCAGCCTGCGCCGAAGAGGGACGCGGGCAGACGGGGGGAGACTGTGGTTCGAAGGGGTTAGCCACTCGAGCCACTCTCATGCGCCACAATTCCTTATAAGGTTAGTAATTCTGATAGACTACATTTGAGATACAACTTTGTACGGTAGCTCTGTCCAGTTGATGGATTTGCAACTATTCAGGAGGGCCCGTTAACAAAGGATTGTCCATACATCAGGTAGCCAACACATATTTGTGTCACCTTCTCTGCAGAACAATGTGACTTGGTTAAATCGTTTGAAACATCCGGGTGTCCGGGAGGACTTTATTCATCCTACAGACTAGATAGAACCAAATACAGCCCCTCACAATCTAGGCTATTCGACACCAAAATATATACATGTTTCGAGCTCAATTTATGAGGTGTACTTCTTTTGTAGAGCCTTTGCAATGGTGGTGAGTTGAATGTTGGATGTTCCCTCATAGATGGCACCGATCTTGCTGTCTCGGAAAAACTTTTCGGCGATACCCTCACGCACAAATCCCATGCCACCCATCCACTCTACGGCAAGAGAGCTGACTCTGCCGGCCACCTGACTGGCGTACAGCTTTGCCATGGCAGCATCAGTCACAAAGTCCTCGCCGGCTTCCTTCTTTCTGGCGGCATTGAAGACCAGAGCTCGAGCGGCGCAGATCTCGGTGTACGCTTGAGCGAGCTGATGTTGCATGCCTTGGAATTCGCCAATGTATTGTCCGAATTGTTTGCGATCATTCCAGACATATTTGGCTGCGTTCTCCCATGCACCAAGAGCAAGACCGGTCATCTGGGCAGCAATGCCAATTCGGCCTTCGTTGAGCAGTCCAATGGCATATTTGTAGCCTTGTCCCTCTTTGCCGAGGAGATTGGCCTTTGGAATCTCAACGTCGTCAAAGGTGATGACACAGGTGCTAGATGCGCGGATGCCCAGCTTCTTCTCCTTTTTAGCAACCGCAAAGCCTTTCATGTCCTTGGTGAGAATAAAGGCCGTAATACCCTTGTACCCAGCCTCAGGGTTGAGGTTGGCAAAGACAATGAAAAAGTCGGCCTCCATCGAATTTGTAATCCACATCTTGGATCCATTGATCTGCACGCCGATGGTCAGTCAAATTCACAGACCCAGCAGAAGCTATCATCTTCCCTTACCTTGTAGCCATTCTCGGTCCTGACGGCCTTTGTCTTGAGAGCAAATGCATCTGAGCCGGAAGCGGGCTCCGACAGACAGAAAGATCCAACAGTGTTGGTGGCCAACTTGGGCAACCATTCCTTCTTAAGAGCTTCACTGCCATATTTGAGGATAGCAGTTACGACCAGGGTGTTGTGCACGTCGCAGAGTACGGAGACGGAAGGATCAACTCGGGCCAGCTCTTCGATACCAACAATAGCGGACGTGAAATTCATGCCTGATCCACCATATTCTTCTGGAATCTCGAAAGCCATCAGGCCCTGTTCAAACATCTGTTCGACGATGGCGGGGTCCATCTGTTCCGATTCGTCCATCTCTCGGACCTTGGGAGCAACCACCTCTTCTGACCACTTCTGAATAGACTCGGCCAACATGATCTCTGTTTCCGAGAAATGCGTGATGGGTGTGGGAGTGAGGGCAGAAGTGTCGACATCGTCAGGCATGTACGGTTCGGCACTGCGCGGACGCGAGGTGGAAAGGCATGCTTTTTGTCTGTGAACAGGACGAGTTAGAGGTCTGACTGTATCTGGAGCTGCCCGGAACATACGACGACAGGAGACTTCTTCGAGGAAGAGCTCGAGTGGCGGGGCTGAGGGTGGAAAGAGGTCTGATGTTTTTAGCGAGGGGTCGCAACGATCTACATATCGAGGCCATGTTGTGAAGTGGTGCTGTTAAGGGGGGTATTCGAGAATGTCAGAAACGAAGGCAGAATAGCTATAAGCTGTTGAAAAATCAATTCACCGGGATTCAATAGATATACTACTGAGATGGAAAATGTACGTAGACGGAAATCACGAAGACCGATCGGATATTTGTGGTGAATCGGGCGGTGATGTCTCCCCGGCCACCAAGGAAGTCAACCAGAAGACTGGCTATAGGAACCCTTTGGTCCAAGTGTTGTCTTGACCTCGGCCCCGGTTACAAGCGGGCGAGGCATGCGCGACTAAGGGCGTCAGTCGGCCCTTGTTCGGAGTAAGTGGTGCGAGGCCAGCTACGGCCGCTCATCTAAATTCCAGCAAATCCCGTCGGAGGCCCGGGGTGGATCTAGTGTCCATAGATGGCAGGTGTGCCGACTTGGGTGTTGTGACATTCAAAATGCTCAGTCACCCAAGTTGAGAGGCATGCGTGGCATGTTCGTACTTATTAGGTAGTTGTCAACTTCCATCACGAACTTGGCTATACTCAAGCATGCCACTCATGTCCAACCCGATGATGGAATGGATCCACACAAGAAGTCTTGTTTAAGAGTTTTATCATCTCTGCCTGGGTCATCCACCCAGGTCGATAAAGCTTCCAGACTTGCCTGGACACGCTTGGGCCGATGTGGCTGGTGATCTTAGGTGTGGCGTTGTGGCGGAGCAGTGGGGGTAGGAGACAAAAAGTCGCTCTCAATGGAATTGATCAGCCACAGCCCACCAAGATTGTGGCCTTTCAGCGCCAACTCATCACCACCCTGGTTGAACTTCCGACCACTCATACCTCATCATCGTCACTACTACAAGCATCTGCTTTGCATCATGCCTGCCGCCCACTGCTTCGCCTGGCGTTTATGCAAGCCAGAATTCTCCTCGTAGGTGGTTTATATTAAGGGACTGTGTTCGCAGTTCTCGCACTCTACACTTGTCAGCTCTCACGTCCTTCTCCTTCGCACCCTCGCTCACCTACTTCTTCCTTGTGACTATCCTTACTCCTCTACGCTGACCTGCGTCTGCATTTCTGCCCCTCCACAGACACTTCCGAACCTTGCTGGCCCCGAACTGACCACGACACGGCCATCTCTCACATATCGCCAATATGTCCGCAGGTCACTCAGAACCCCAAGTTTTGTTCAGCGTCAACAATATTTCTGCATACTCTGTCCAGAATGGAGAAGAGCAACCTATAACCACTTCGGGGCCTCAGACGTTGTCACTGTTGATGGTTCCAACCGCATCGCCTTTTGCAGAACCGTCGAGTGCAGACCCCTCAAGTCAAGCCCCAGAGGATGACTTCTACTTACATTTACATCTGCCCCCAGAACTAGATCTGCCTCTGCCTGCGACAACTCAGATCTATCATAAACCCCCAACGAGCTACTTGATACCTCGCTGGGACCTTGGTCCTGACGCTGGGGCTTTTATACGCATTCAGTTTCCATCTGTGGGTACTGGTCCGGGAAAAGTATCTCAGGAAGACGTGGACACATTTGAGACAATCCTTGCTCAGTGCACCGCCTTTCTTGAGCGTGTCAACTCACCACCTCAAGGGATCAAGCAGTATGATCCTTCGGACTATCGACCTGGTGAGGGCTATATTAGCTCTTCGTCTTCAACGCACCAAGAGAAGCCGCAACATGGTCAGATTGTACTCATTGATGAAGAGAATGGGAGTGTCATTGGTGAGCTACAAGACAGCTACAACGTGGTAGAATCCCCCGCCATTAAACCGGGGTCCAAGAGTAAGTTTGTTAACTCTTCCTCTCACTTATCGCCGTCGACTGACTAAAATTACAGCACCCGTACAAATTCAGCTTCCACAAGAAGGTCAAGGCAACGCTATCCGTGTTGATAATGTTTCGGAGCATTTCCTCGAGATGGCGAACCACCCAGCTTATGCCAAATCAACGATTGTCCAGTCCTCAGCCACAGCCTCAAGACTCATTGTCACTGGGTCCGGGTATATCGCCAACGCCATGACAACGGGAGCAAACACCTTCCAGAAAAAGACTGAACCAAATCCTAAGCCCATGACTTTCTCTCCGGCCACTCATGACCGGATACGGCAGCTTCATTCGTTTACTGCGGGGGCCGTCGGCCTCAGTTCCAAGACCGTGGGCCAGCTCAGCCGATATGCACAAAACTTTGGCGCCACTCTTGCGCGAAAAGGCGAAAAAACCAAGAAGGAGCCGGGCAAGGATTACAAACCCGGCATCCTCAACAAGTCTCTGATAGCATTTTCCACAATTGCTGATGGCATCGACCACGCTGGCCGGCAGCTACTTGCGTCTTCTTCGAGCGCGGCGACCAACGTGGTCGGTCATCGCTATGGGAGTGAAGCAGGATCTGTGGTTCAGGGTCTGGCCGGTGGGGTCAAGAATGTGGGTCTCGTTTATATTGATGCCACTGGTGTTTCACGTCGGGCGGTCTTGAAGTCGGTAGCCAAAGGCATGGTCGTGGGCCGAATGCCCAATGGCCAGCAGCTCGTCGTTGGTGAAGGTGACGGCGGCCTCGTGCCCGGATCGGACACTGCTGTGACGGCATCTACGGGCAGCAAACGAAATGACTACTATTCCGGGGCTTCTGAATATGGAGGTAGCAGACCAGGCAACGGGATGGAAAGTTATGGAAATGCCATCACAGGCCCACCAGCGTACTCTCCTGGTGTTGGTGAGTCTTTGTATGGTCAAGCTGCGCCTCGAGAGAAGCGCTAGGAATGAGAGATGAGAGATGAATACGTTGTTATGTATGATGAGGAATGAGGTACGAACGGTAGTATAAGACGGGAACGAAGGCCATATTAGAATATTAGCGGTGGCACCAGGCAGTACGTCAGCTCGAGGTATTCTTTGCTTGGAATATGAAGTATTACCAGACCGTGCTTGTTAAAAGGCCGTTTCTAAGACTCACCACAGGACGGGTTTGACATGGCGGGCAGATCTTTGTTCTGTGTTCTCTGTACCAAACACGGTAGAAGCGATATGTTGGGGCTAGACGTCTGAGGTGGGTCAATTGATAAGGAAAACCAAGGGGCACGGGTGACAAGACGACAGCTGTCATCGTTTGTTAGCCGTCAAGGCATGAGACCAGAACACGATGGCTGGGTCATCTGATGGCCCAATCCCTGGAAGCCTGGAGTAACGGTGATGAGGTCCATAGCCTGTACGAGAGGCACATGTCTGTTGATGTTCATTGGCGATAGCTACTTAGTACCTCCTACCTCCTGCTGCATAAATGCTGTATGTTATCTTCATAGTCCATAGTTAAACGGGAACATTCAACACAATCTTCATGCCAAAAGCCTAATGACCATGGACACCAATCGGCCTTAGAACGCGCTGTACTGTGACGCGATGGCCACACGGAGAAAAAATGGGCATGGACCACAGGTGCAAGAACGATGGTCTGTGCTTGCCTGGATGACGCTGTGTTACCGTGTCGCCCGCAGGTCTCGAGCTGTGATTGGATAATGTGCTGCGGCTGTCCAATAGGCCAATTGGGCGCGTCAAAGACGCGTTTCAGAGGCCTGCCGGCTTAACTTGGTCTGGTGTAGTTGCACCCTAAAGACGAGAAGAATTTCGCTTGAGGGTGTTGTTGGCTCTTTGTGTTTGTTTTGGAGTTTGGAGCATGCTGGGCAGTAGTAGCGGGCATTAATTACATAGCCAAGTTTGCCTTAACCTCAAGATTGCATCAGGGAGAGATTCAACATGGGCGAAAGATGTTTGGTGGTGCTTGGAAAACACGAATTCTGGTGACACAGGCAGACAGGGAAAGTTATCACAAGGCTGATGGTGGGCATGGTTGACCATTGGCGTTCTTGTTTTGGGCCTGGAAGCTTCGTACACCCGACACAGGCATCTGTCACTTGCTCTGACACGTCAGTCGAGGTGCTGCCAGGGCAAGGAATGGGGAGCATGATCTGCGTAGCCGTGGTTGAGGACAGTGCTCGAAAATGGTAGTTTAGTGGTAGGTACTTACGAGTACCTACTTTAGACTCTCCAGTACCTCCTCACCACCTCTTACTTATGGGGTAGATACAGTGGTAAAAGTCCGTGTACTGAAATAGGAGGCCCTTGTCATGAAAGGCTTCCTGCCAATGCGCTGAATGTCGTGTTTCACATTGAGAATTCCAACAATCCTGGGATAATTCTCAAAACTTGACGATTTGTACACAACAGCACTTCGTACGGTAGAGGGACCACTTGGCTGGTCTCTATGGTTGTCGTTATTCTATTCGCACCAGACATCCCAGTTCTAACAAAGCCCTTTTCCTCGATGCCACGAAGCGGGACAAAAAAGTGCCACGGGATTGTCAAACTGCTCGGAAATGGAGAATCAAATAGTTTTATTGGCAGCCCACTTGGGCAAATGTTGCAGGGTTGTGTATGGGACGTGTTAGGTTTAGCTGATTAGATGATGCAGACAAGTGGTGATTTGGCGCTGGTAGTCTCAGGCGTAATTGCTTGGTCTTCGGGCGGCGCCTCCAGATCGAGAAATCGAGGGATAGTAGAAGATTCAATCGATGACTTGCATTTATTTTGCCCCGTCTCCCATAATCAACTACGCGTACAGAAGCTGGGCCGTGTTTGTCTCCAAGGCTCGGTTAGGCCTCAGCTGAGAAGAAAGAAATGGCAGTAGCAGGCAGTGGCCGTGGACCAGTAGTCATTTTCTGCGGTGGCCTGTGGATGTAAGTACTACTTTTCACAGTATGGAGAGTCCTTCAGGACTGCAGTTAAAAGCATGTGGACTGGGATGATGTATGATGGGTGTGGACATGGGAATGGATCTGGCAGGGATCGACGTGCCTGTTGGTCAATGTTTACTCCGTTAACCTTACCACCTACAAGAAATTTTCTTGATTGGGAACAGGCACCTGAAAGTTAATGAGGATACTTGTCGATAGCTGAATCAAGGTTGCAGTGAAGCCTAACGACGTCTGCACCTTACCGACGTGGGATGCTTGTACTTTTCCATAGAGGCCGTCCATTGTCATGGTCATTAACATGGCCAACAGGTTGCTGTACACCGTAAGATTTCCACAACAATGCTACAACAAGAATCCTAACTTGTCGTCTCGGCCCTAGAGAAGCCCTAGTAGGGTCCTCCGGCCCCCGGGTTCCCTAACCTTCAGGCTCTGACCCTTGACAATCCGATGCCAATAGTAAGTAGACCATCTAGTACCTATTTACTTCAGGTAGGTACCTAAGGTAGCCACCAGTGCCACATAGCCTAACCTTGCCCGAGGTCTTTTGCGGCTACACCCTAAAGTGCCCAAGATCCCTCTTGTTGTGCCTGGCAACTCGCCAAACCCAAGTCAATACCTAATCAGTCACCTCTGGAGTAAACTGCCCTCTCTCCCCATTGACTTTGTCTTTGCACACCAAATTCCGTCCCTAGCACCTGGACATCGCACTTCCCACTCCTACTTGCCTTGACTTCCAAACTATCAACATCGTCTGCACTGTCGGCCCACCGCATCAGAACTGCACCGTGTGTCTTCACTCAACCTCAGCCTCCGCTTCTTACTCACCTCACCTCTCCCACCTCGACTCCTATCGCTGGTCATTATCAACAAGACCACGCATCCTCTTCCATCCCTTCCTCGCCGTCCTTGGACATACATCCTTGTTTCGTGGTCCATCTCGACTGCGACCTTATCCCTCCCCTCCACCCTCCTCCTCTTCCTTCCCTCGCCATGATCGCGACCCTCCGACCTCCCTTTCACCTTATCACGATCCGTGTCTGTTAATGATTGGTCCTGCACTTTGCACATCACAGTCGCAGCCTCATTAAACAGGCTTGAAATTTATCGTCACTCGTCGCTGGTTCGACCTGTGCCAAACATCGTTCCTCGAGATTTCACTTGCTCTGCCTAGATCATTGCCAGCGATTCAACTCGTCACAACAACAGGCCTCGTTGCGCCTCACCTCGTGGTTCCTCCATCGATGCAATAATATTCGACTTGCTCGAGCTGCCTGTTGACTGCTACCCGTCACCGTCACCGCTGTCTCGATTTCTTCACTTTTACACTGATAGATCAATTTCTGACTGAGTTGTTCTCTGCTCTCCTTCAACCACCAGTCCATCTCTGCTAGATCTGGTGCTGCCACCCCACGACGCCGCGAACTTGGTGGAACAACAATGTCTACCGATGCGATGCAGTCCTCGAGGCAATATCGTCAGGTCCCTACCACCTCATCCTATGCCACCCCACAAGATCTTCAGTTCGATCACTCTCAGATGGATGCCCAAGGCTATTATTCAGGCCAAAATGTCACTCACTCTTCCCAAGAAGCATACATGCAGCATACTAATGTGTCACAGTATTATCCTCCTCAGCCCACAAGTGATCATTCACGATACACGCCTCAGGATGAGCAAATACCACCTGGCGCTTCATACGACGTTGTTACCACTTTGCCTTATCACAGTCGGTCACAATCTGCTGCTCATGACCAGTACGACGGTGCCCCAATCCCACCTCCAAGAATATCTTCTCAGCAACAAAACTCGCCTCGCGCCCCTGCTCCCTCGACCGCTCCTTTAGAAGCAAGAGTTGCTGCGTCGCGCCATACGAGACAGGTCAACACTGAGCCACAATCTGCTCGTTCCCGCCATCAAAACATGGATCATCAGGACGAATACAAAGATCTTCCACTCGAGAATCCTGCCACATCCGCCGCTTCGGCTGCCAGGAGCAGGCGGAGGGGTCCACCTAGCCCTGATAGCTCACAAGGCATCTCTGCAAATGCCAGGGAGGCGGCCCAGTACCCTTCTGTCAAGCACAGTCGACCTGAACCTCACATGCCGTCTCCTGGTCCTCCGGGCTCTCTTGTCCGTGAACACAGCGAGGTGATCAACCGCGTCGTCGTCTCCGACCCTCAGGTGGACGCACAACGATTGCAAGAGAGAGTTGCCGAAGCTCAACCCGCGCCCATCGCCGCCGAACCTACACTCCCCGATCCCTCCCTCGATGATGTTCTGCCAGCTTCTGGCCCACAGCGACGACAGGACTATTCCAAATCACGCAGGAAGGATGTCCAATTTGGAGATTACATGTTGGGTCAAACACTCGGCGAGGGTGAGTTCGGAAAGGTCAAGCTGGGATGGAAGAAAGACGGCACTTCCCAAGTGGCCATCAAACTCATCCGCCGAGAAACAGTCGCTTCCAATCCCTCGCGTCTTCCCAAGATTTATCGCGAAATCTCAATTCTGAGAGATCTTGCTCACCCAAACATTGTCCGCCTTCACGAAATGGTGGAAACGGAACGTCACATTGGGATCATTCTCGAGTATGCCTCTGGCGGTGAATTGTTCGATTACATCTTGAACAATCGATATCTCAAGGACCCTGCCGCTCGACGACTTTTTGCGCAATTAGTCTCAGGTGTAGGCTACCTACACAAGAAGGGCATAGTTCATCGTGATCTGAAGTTGGAAAATCTGCTCCTTGACCAGAACAAGAACATCATCATCACCGATTTTGGCTTCGCCAACAACTTTGATCCAAAAGACGAGCTTGCCGACGAGATAGTGTACAATCTCGGCAACAAAGACTTTGTCAGAAAGTACAAACTTGATCGTTTGGATGCCCGGGGTATGCGAAGAGGAGACCTGATGCAAACGAGCTGTGGGAGTCCTTGCTACGCAGCCCCCGAACTTGTCGTCAGCGACTCATTGTACACCGGCAAAAAGGTCGATGTGTGGAGTTGTGGCGTCATTCTGGTAAGTCAATTTGTTTGATCTCCTTTAAACCCCTGACTGACTGCGTCTTCAGTATGCAATGTTGGCTGGATACCTGCCCTTTGATGATGACCCGGCCAACCCTGAAGGCGACAACATTAACCTGCTGTATAAATACATCACCACTACACCGTTGACCTTCCCTGAATATGTGACACCACACGCCCGAGACCTTCTCCGACGAATTCTGGTGCCCGATCCTCGCAAGCGAGCTGATCTTTTCGAGGTTGCTCGCCACAGCTGGCTGAGCGAGTACCATCATGTTGTGTCCCACATTACTAGCAGTACCACCAACGTGGCTGATATTGCCCACACCACCGTACCAGCTGGTAAGTTTCTTCTGGAGAGCCCATGTGGCTGGACTAACTCATACGCAGAAGATGAACCACCCACTCTCAACAGGAGTGCTTCGGTTCGAGAGGGACCCTCGAGATCCCATGCAGCCTCTCCAGGTACCCTGGCACGCGCCCAAGAAGGCTTGCTACAAGACGATGAGAGCTCCAACGCCTCTCGCCGAGGGCCCGCGTCTCGCCACACCTTGCAGCCAGAATACGTTGCACCCCAGACTCATACAGCTCGTACTAAGCCTGTGGTGGCTTCCACGGCTACTAGTCGAAGCCAAGCGCAGGATGGCTGGCATCCCGAGAATGCGAATAAACCACTGCCACAGGAGCCTCCCACTCAGCAATCCATGAAACCCCCAACACGGCCGGCCCGCGACATTCCTCGGTCGGTATCGGACTCGACAAGTGCATTCGGCACTGCACCAATCGTAGCGGCTCAAAGTGGACAGTACACGACTAGGCCAAGCACCCAGGGATCATTGACCTCAGCAAGTGGACCGACACGATCGGACCTTCGGCTGCCCTCTCGAGGATCTTACGGCCAACCGGTGGCACCCACGGTTGCCACGACCAACGCTCAAGGACGAGTGACACAGCCAAGCAAGCCTGGGCGAGGATACAACATCTCTGGGCCCCTGCCTTCCCCTGGAGCACAAGGTTCGATCGGGCAGCCCACGACAACGCCAATGCCACCTCCTAACTCCCATCAAGCACAGAAGAGCCATCACCGACGATCGAGCACATTAAGCGGGCTTGGAGAGCGTATCTTTGGACGATCAAATTCGGTGGTCAAGAAAGATGGCGATCGACAACGAAACGGACGCAAGTATCCTCCAACCAGCATGAAAGAGTACCCTCCAGAGGGAGGAGCTCGAATGTCGACAGACTCAAGACGATCATTCTCCTTCGGTTTGGGCAAGAAACGAAGCACAGAATTGGAATCACCAGTTCAGACGGAAAAATCGGTACGGCGAATTTCACTTCTTCCTAACTCAATGTCGTTCAAAGGTCTGATGGGTGGTTTCAAGGAGGATAACTCTAAGCCTTCGACACCGCTAAGCTCAACACGTCCGGATTCGATGAACCCGCAGATTGCAGGCCACGATGGAACGTATGATTCGCGACCGACCCAATACAGCAATTTCTCACGACCCCCACAATCGCGGTATTCTCAGCCTCCCCCACCGACAGCCTCGGCTTCTAACGATGTGTATGGGGGCACTGGAATCTATCAACCTCAAGGAAGAGCGCCTCATCATCGACAACAGAGTGAACCCATGGCACAGCTGGTGGGTCGCAGTGGGACTGAAACAGAGCAGCCAGGTCGGCCATCAATGCAACAAGGCCGGCAAGGCCGTGGGGTCCTCGTCAAGAATAATCGCAAATTCACTGAGGCGTATGACAATGAGCACGGACCGACACATCACGCTGGTCGATCTGGAGCGGTGAAGAAAGTGCAAGACTTCTTCCGACGACGCCGGACTCCTGTGGACGGGGAGTATCGATGAGGTCGCGGGGAAGGCGTGAACAACATGTTTTAATTTCATAATTCCAACGAACTTTTTCTAACGAGTGCTTTGGAGCTGACAAAGGGTATGTCTTGTAATGAATGGTCGCGGCGCCGAGGCAGCGAATTCATTCGTCGCGTGCAATGAGGCACAGCTCTTGTCTTTTTTGACGGGGAATCATTTCAAGCATACCAGGACGGATTGGTAGTGAGTTCTAGGGTCGGTTGTGTGGAAGTGAAGCAGAAGCAACGGCGTTTTTAGTTGATTGGGAACGGAAACGCTTTGATAGAAGCTTGTTGAGTGGCTATTGCAAACTAATCAGCCTGGGATACCCTTACATAGCAGTCAGTGTATGAGAAGAATTGCATTTCGATCTTGAATTGATTTTGTCTTGATTGTTGATCTGATCATTGTGATCACGTTGCCCTCCAAACTCAACACGTGACAAACATCACATGATGTGAACGCGAAGGATTTACTGTTGACTGTTGACTGCTTTTTGCTGCGGATATTTCATCGGTGTTTCCTACTGACTGATCGACATTTCAACACAACCTGACGCCAGAAACATACGAATATGGATCTCTCCAGGATGAGTGTGACACTACGACTGGTTTGTTTCCCCCACTGTCCAGGGTCAAGGTTTGCTGATCACTGACCAAGCTTCGTAGAGCCAGCGTCCAAGCTTTCACCATGTCCCACCACCACCCTCATCATCATTCGCTTTGATGGCTCTCTCTCATCTCCTAGCCCTCAATACTAAGTCCCCGCTGATTGCAGACGAATAGGGCTCGTCTTGATGCCATATTCGAGATGGCTCCATCTCTATGAGATACACGGTTTGGTCATGCCCGGAGAATTCCAAGAACGCCTTTCCACTGACGTCGTCCTGCAGCTTCAAACCTTCACGAACCCTTCTCGATGCCTTTGCCAGGATCCTTCCCCGCAATTGCGACCACCCCAAGGTCAACCCTTGTATAGGGTTTGTCCCACGAGCCATACAGCCTAGACAATCTGGAAGCTCTCATTGAGCATCACTGGCCGGGCTTCTCTTCAAATCCAGCAGCGACGTTGCAATGACCATGTCTGCTACCTACTTGGATTGCTAAGCGAGCGCTTTCCATCGATGAGGTTCATTCACCATGGACCATCCTCACCTAGGTCGGACTTGGCTGCCTCCATCAGTGATCAGCACCTTTTGCGTTGCATTGTTCCTCTTTTCAGGCTTATTCCTCCTCCAGAACCTGACTTCGTCATCATGGTAAGTCATACTTCTACCCTCCGTATCTCAAATATAAATACAACCTTCGATCCCGTGGTACCGCACACTGACACAGGTTGCACGATTCATTGCCGGCTGGCTCTCATTTCCCATGACGCCTACTTCAGTTGTGTTTTTGGTCTCTTCCTGACTTCGTCTACAGGAGTCTTAAGCCACCACCACTCCAGCCTGACCCGCAGACTTGCGATATATCTTCCGCCAATATGATTTCCACTTCTGTTTTGGCCACTCTCCTTCTCACCACGTGCCTGTCTGTGGCACAGCCGACCGCATCGAATGCCTCTCAAACCTCGACCGTCGCCACTGCTTCTTCACAATTCACTGTACCCGCTGAGGCAGACGAGGGAGCCACGTTACTGCCAAACATCCAAGATCCAGATGCACCTGATGCACAGACCCAATGTCCAGGCTACCAGGCAAGCAATGTCCAGATCTCTGGGACTGGATTGACTGCCTCTCTCACCCTCGGAGGATCGCCTTGCAATGTGTATGGCACTGACATCGAGGATCTCGTCCTCACTGTCGACTATCAAACCACTTCACGCCTACACGTCAATATTCATCCTGCAAACATCACTCCTCAGAACGAGAGCTGGTACATCCTTCCTACCGAGTATACACCCGAAGGGGTCCGAGGTAACGGCACGGAGAATAGTAGCGACCTGACTTTCTCCTGGTCCAATTCTGCAGAGACAGGCTTCACCTTCAACGTCACTCGCAACAGTACTGGCCAGGTCATCTTCTCCACCACTGGCTCGAAACTCGTCTTTGAAAACCAATTCATCGAGTTTGTCACTGCACAGGACCAGAATTATAATATTTACGGTCTAGGAGAAGTTATCCATGGCTTGAGATTGGGTGATAATCTGACTCGAACAATCTATGCTGCTGATGTGGGTGATCCGATTGATAAAAATCTCTATGGGAGCCATCCATTCTACCTCCAGACTTCATACTATGAGATTGGAGATGGCAACACGGCGACTTTAGTCACCGAAAATTCTGATGACTTGGACCCGTCCAAAACCTATACCTCATACACCCATGGTGCGTACTTGCGAAATGCTCATGGTCAAGAAGTCCTCCTGCGAGATGCGAATGTGACCTGGAGAACGCTGGGTGGTAGCATCGACCTTTACTTCTTTTCAGGCCCGACACAGCCTGAAGTCACTCGTCAATATCTGCAAGTCATTGGCCAGCCAGTCCTCCAACCATACTGGGGCTTCGGTTTCCACCAATGTCGCTGGGGCTATCAGAACTGGTCCGTTACAGAAGAGGTGGTCAACAAATACGAACAGTTTGGCATTCCTTTGGAAACCATCTGGAACGACATCGACTATATGAATCAGTACCGAGATTTCGACAATGATGATACTCGCTTTGGCTATTCCGAAGGTCGCGAATTCCTCCAGCGGCTTCACGATGGAGGACGTCACTACATCCCTATAATTGACAGTGCCATCTACGTACCCAACCCCGAAAACTCATCTGACGCTTATTCCACGTTTGACAATGGAAACAAGTCGAGTTCATTTCTGCTGAATCCGGATGGATCGCTCTACATCGGATCAGTGTGGCCAGGCTACACTGTGTTTCCCGACTGGCTCACCACAGCAAGTCACGACTGGTGGAAAAATGAAATCGTCACCTACTACCAGAACCTACCCATTGATGGAATTTGGATAGATATGAGTGAGGTATCATCATTTTGCGTGGGCAGCTGTGGTACAGGCAACTTGACCCTTAATCCTGTGCATCCACCTTTCAAACTTCCAGGGGAACCTGGAAACATCATCTATGGCTATCCTGAAGGCTTCAACCTGACCAATGCAACCGAGGCTGCATCTGCTTCTTCCGCTTCTCAGGCTCAAGAAGAAGCCACGGCGACGGCATCGAGTTCGTCCGCCAGTGAGAGCGCTTCCTCAACAAGTTATCTCCGAACCACTCCCACCCCCGGTCTCCGAGACGTCAATCATCCACCGTATGTCATCAATCATGTTCAAGGTGATCTCGCTGTTCACGCTGTATCCCCCAATGCAACTCACAACAATGGGATTTTGGACTATGACGTGCACAATCTCTTTGGCCATCAAATCCTACAATCGACCTACACTGCTTTGCAGGCGGCCATTCCTGGCAAAAGACCTTTCATCATCGGACGGTCGACCTTTCCCGGATCGGGAACCGTTGCTGGTCACTGGGGTGGAGACAACGAGTCGAAATTCTACTATATGTACTTTTCGATTCCTCAAGCATTGAGCTTCTCGCTTTTTGGCATCCCAATGTTTGGTGTCGACACATGTGGCTTCAACGGCAACAGCGACGAAGAACTATGCAATCGTTGGATGCAACTATCGGCATTCTTCCCCTTCTATCGCAACCACAACGTCCTCTCGGCCAACCCTCAAGAGGCCTACGTCTGGGAATCCGTGGCTGAAGCGACGCAGAAAGCCATGGCCGTCCGATTTCAACTCCTACCTTATCTATACACGCTCTTTTATCAGGCACACACCAACGGTGACACAGTCATGCGAGCTTTGGCCTGGGAATTTCCACACGACCCTAGCCTTGCCAATGCAGACCGTCAATTCTTCCTAGGCCGCTCCATCCTCGTCACGCCAGTTCTGACTCAAGGCGCAACCAGTGTCAATGGAGTCTTCCCAGGCCTCGTCGAGCAGACTGACACATATTATGACTGGTACAACAAAACCCCAATCGCAGCGCCCGAGGCCAAGAACACCACGATTTCCGCTCCCCTTGGCCATATCCCCGTCTATATCCGCGGTGGAAGCGTACTAGCCATTCAAGGCGTGGCACTGACCACAAAGGAGGCACGTTCTTCTCCATGGTCGGTGCTTGTGGCGCCCGGCATTGACGGCGCTGCTGAGGGAACCTTGTATCTTGATGACGGTGAGTCGTTGGAACCCAACGCCACCAAATTTATCACCTTCACGGCCGCGAATCCGACTTCCCTCGATGTCACCGTCTCTGGCGGGTACACTGGTCTTGACCTACCGTTGAGTAATGTCACATTCCTGGGTGTCCAGAGCGAGCTAGGCCAAGGGACATCTGTGAACATTAACGGTCAGAATGTGTCATCGGCATCGATCTCTTACGACTCTGACGCGAAGACACTGGTGGTCTCGGACCTGGACCAGATATTGGGTGGGAACGCATGGGCCAGCGATTGGACTTTGTCTTTGGGTTGAGATACGTAGCTGGAGAGCAGAGTGGAGGAACTCAGCACACACAAACAAGTAGGTATGGGAGATCTCGGGGCATAATAGCTAGGCATCAAATCGTCATGGTCATATCAGCTCAACCATTTATTTACCGTACATTCCATCTATAAGAGACGTCGAGCGGGCGGGGATTGAAGCAGTATGTGAGAAGACGATGCCATATCGATGCCCGGGGAATCCGGGGGTTGCACACCGGCGTACAGGCAAACATACAGGCAAGACGTGGGATTCAAAATTGATCTACAACAGGCGGGAGTTTCCACTACTCAGGTACCCCGAGGATTTGAATAGGCCGAAGAACTTCTTTCTGGTCCTGGTGCCCAGACAACACGATTAATAAAGGGAACGATGAATGTCACGTGTGGTAGCGTGGGGTGTCACATGACTGTTCTGATACATTCACAGAGCTCGTCTAGTTCTTTCATCTTTCGTTCTTCATACGTTCTGCCTTTCATGCATGATTTTCATCCTGAATTTCGACCTTAGTTCGCTTTGAAGTTGAGGCCGAACTATGAGTCTGCCTCGTGCCTAATCGCTCTCGATCTCAAAATGTCCATCAGCTTAAAGACGAATGCCAGTTCCTTGACTGGAGAAGAGACTTGTCAAGCGCAGCTCATATGGCACCTGATATTGTCGTATGCTCCGTCCAGTTCCATATCATATGTCTGAATCTGAATCCGAGGCCGAAGAGTCGGAGTCGGAGTCGGAATCAGACTCTGAACCAGCCTCATGGCCTGAGCTTGAATTCGAATCACGTCTTCCAGTCGGCGATGGAGTTGCCTCTTGACTTTCCCTGCTCTCTCCTCTGACAGCAACTTCATGAGTTCTTACCGCTTCATCGAGGTTGTCTCTTTCGCTACTGCTCCTGACATCCTCATCTGCTCGAGTCTTCTTCTTCCTATTCATCTCCTCTGACCTGGCCTTCTCCATATCGCGTTCCAGCTTTTCCAGCTTGACCTTCTGCTCCTGGACCATTCGCATGATTTCGGACCCAAGAGATTCATTCTGGTTGCTTCGGTGTTGTGAATTGTTGTCGCCTGCAATCCCGCCTCCGATGGCTTGAGAAAGCTGACTCGTCGCCAAGTCCACAATGGTCTCTCTCGCCACTTCAGTCAAGACGGCCATATCGCTAGGAACAGAACCCAATTCTCGAAATAAGCGTTGAGTCGTGCGAAGGACCTTGTGGCCAGGCAGCGCTTCGCGGAGGCGTTTGATTGCTCGAGTCTCTCCATCGAGTCGGGCGCTGAAACTGGCATGAGGGTCCATGTCGTTGCTCAACTTTCGCTTGAGTCCATTGTCGACAACTATTGCCATCCAAGAACTCGTTCGTCAGTGCTACCATCTTTCGCATGGGGTAATTCATCATTTGTGTACTTACCTAGACCAGCAGGAACTTGTACCTGCACCCCGTTGACGGTGACGGCGTTGTCCTTGGCTTCTTGTTTTCTTCGCTGGGCCTCCCGACGCTTTTCGTTCTTTCGCTCGCGTTTCTTCGCTGCCCGTGGTGACTCGACGGAGCGAATGGCATGGCCAGCGTCGGATTCGACTGCGGCTGAAGGCTCAATTGTTACCCGTGCAGAGGGCCTGCGGACCGGAGAAGGTGAGTTGACCTCTCTTGCCTGATCATCATCGTCACGATCACTGGCGTTGGCATTTGAATTGTCAATCTCGATCTCTTGCTCACTCTGATTGCTGTTGTGGCCCTCTACTTCCTGTGGCTCGGATGACTCGGGATCTCTCGCCTTGCGCTCCTTTTTGGACTTGGTCTCGTCCTTGGTCTTACTCTTGCTCTTGTGCTTGTTCTCTTTTTTCGACTTCTTGCCCTTGTCTTTCTTCTTGGGTGGTTGTTCGACGCTTGTCTCATCGTCGTCAACGATAAAATTCGGCGCAGCTGTGAAAGTCGGCTTCACCTTCGCTTGGTTTCTGACCTCTCTCAACTTATTGGCCAGCCAGCCACCACTCTCCTTGCGATCGACTGGAACGGCGATTGAGGTTCCAGGAACCCGTGACACTCTCTTCGATGGCGCCGAAGCCGGGCGTGTCGCAGAGAAGGAGGGGGACAACGGAGTTGGCCGTGCTGTAGCAATGTCGTCGGCGGTTCTAGATCGGCTACGACTCATGGGGTTAAGACCCGAGATGGACAGGGAACGACGGTGGTCAGATCCTGAGGGTGGAGCATCGTCGGTTGAACGCTTTCTCGACGATTTCGATGAAGAAATAGGGCCAACGGGGCCAACGCCGGGCGTGGACTTGGATTCTTGCGTCTTTCCAGAACCATTATCAGTCTTGTGATGCTTTTTGACGTCTGAGGAGTGAGGTTTAGCCTTTAGCTTGTTGCTTGAGTTCTGGTTTTCGCCATGCTTGCTAATCTTCCCCATCCTGACACGATCTCTTCAGTCGAGTTTAGGATGAGGCAATCTGAAAAATTGGTGGTGCGACAAGGAACTGGGGAGGGACGGAGGTTTGGGCGAAGATCTGGCAAACGGAAGGAGATGTTATAGAGAACAGTAAATCAGATCGGCAGCGAAGACAATAATTGCATGAAGGAATGGCCAAGTAGAAACATTGACTAAGTAGAGCAGGGTGATGCACAATCAGCCTTCTAGAGTTGTTTGCTGGTGATCTGACCTTTCTTTCACTCTACTTCTTTCTTAAGGTACTCTTTCACCTTCACCTAGCTGCTAGGAGACAGCTGATCTTGGCCTACCAATAGGTAGTTCACAACATTATCAATCAGGATCTTCACTGACTCTCTCTCCTAGTCCTTGATCAGAGACAATCAACAACTACTTCTGAGTAAGATCGTACTTCAAAAGAACAAGACTAAATTCACTATTGTTTCTCATTTTTTCTCCATCCACCCACGGCGTGGAGGATCTGATATGAACATGTTGACATCCTGGCGTCATCGTCTTCTCTTCGCTTTCGTAGACACATGGTTCTGGTTCCCGGTGCTCGAATTCGCATCGTGGTTTCAACTTCCTTAACTCCCCAATCACAAACTCCTTTTTTGCCTCTGCCTCTCGATTGCCAGGCCTTGGTAATAGATCTTGTGTGCGCATAAATCAAATCGCATGGCCTCCAAAAACAACTCCAATTTGTCAATTTCAACCCACCGCAACAGCATGTCTCACAGCCTTGTCGACTTTGCCCATCTTGCTAATCTTCTCCACTTTATCCCAGTTGCCCCAGATATCGGCCTTCATTTCCGTCAACCGCTTATGCATTCTCCATAGATTGCTCATGTCTTCGGGGTCGCGATCTTTCTCATCAACGGACGATATTCGTTCATGTAAATCTTTGTATTTTCTGTAATATTTTTGAAACCGTTTGGCATCCACGATCACATCGGCTCTTCGTGGTATTCGCTTCTCGGGGCTCGATGAACGAACAGACCCCGCATCGGAGGATTGACGGATGGGTGCTGAGGGTCGGGAAGGGTATGCACCGCTGTCATCAGGCATTGACTTGGCTTGGGTGTGTGGAGTAAAATTGGCGGTTTGTTGCCTCTTGGACGGCCGATCATCCTCCACGTCGGTTTTGCGTTTGCTGGGACGTCCAGCATTGGCAGTTTCAGCCTTGGTCCGGAGTGGACTGCCACCACGAGGCGTATTGCGTGATTTGGTGTGGTCGGATTTGATGACCGGAGAGTACTTGTTGCTGGTCTGCTGTTTGGGTTTGGGTATGTCGGAATCTGATGGTGGTGACGAAGGCGCCGAAGACTGGTTTGATGCTTTGCTGCTGGGACCGGAGTTGCTAACATCGGTTGATGTGGTGGGTGGAGAGGAGCCCAGAGGTGATGGTTTCTGGGGGGAGATACCGTGCCTTGGACGTGGGGATATTCGAGACATGCTAGAGGTCGATTCTGCAGCATTGCCTGTTTTGAGTGACTTGGTACTTGCGGATGCCGCAGGTCGTGCCTTTTCATTCCCACTGTATGACGAGGAAGAGGAGCTAGAGAGCGAAGACTTGTGAAGCGTCTTGGTTGTAGAAGTTGGGTTCGAAGAAAGAGGTCTGGATGACTCTTGTTCCGCATTTTTCCTTGGATTGACACTCGCTCTTGCAGCTGCAATTGGTTTAGCCTTGACAACCTCAACTTCGGCGGCTTCGGCTTCTTCGTCAGAATCCTCGATTCGCTCGGAAGACTTGAATTTCCCTTCTGACTTGGCTGGCTTGGCCACAGTGTCTTTGGATCGGGGGGACTTGGTGGTATCTGCTTTGGCATTCACCCTTGAGACAATGGACTTTTCTTTGGCTTTCTTCAGTGGAGTTGCGGTGTTCTTCTTGGTTTTGTTGTTGGCCTGCTCACGATCAGATGTCTCGGGCTTGGTATCGGAGCCGTCGTCGGTGGGCCTTGGAGTGGCATGACTAGGCACTGGCGGTGGCTTCTCAAAGTTGAGTCTCGACAGACATTTGCCTTGGCCACGCTCCTCCTTGGGAAGAAGCAGTTGCCACAGAGGGTCCTTTTTATCCACTCGAGTACGATCAAAGACGGTGATGGCATTGTTGATGGCGGCCTGGCGATCATCGTCGGTTCGATACCTGAATTCAAACACATCCAACTCTCGATACGACTTCTCTTTAAGCTCCTTGCGCCCGTCTCCAACTTTTGTATCTCTAGCAACTTTGTCCAAGACCTTTTCGACATCGTCACGTGGAGCGCGCAACTTCTCGGCAACGCCTCTCGAGGTTAGAGGTTTGATGGCCAGGAGATGGATGAGAGGTTTGCGGATGGCATCGAGACGGATCTGGTCCTTGGAAGAGACACCAGATGCGAGTGGAGCGGATGTGGGTCCTTGTCTGGGGGAGTAGGATGCACTGAGGAAGGGACTGGATGGGGTAGACCTGTTGATGCCAGCGAGGAGATGATCTTTCCTGAGAGAGGAATTCTGGGAGAGTAGAGGTGAGACACCCTTGTCGTTTCTCTTGTCCGACTTGCTGCCGATGATACTGGTTTCATTCGAAGCCCTCTGCTCTTGGATAGACTTGAGTGTACTTTCTAGTGCAGCCAACGCTTCATCACTCTTTGCCGTAACCTCTTCAGCTTTCTGGACCTCGAGTGTGTGGCTTAATTTTCCCGAGAAATACAGATGGCCACTGTCACTGGAAGATGCTGAGTAAAGTTCCGAGGGGAAGTTGACTGCACTGGTTTCAAGGGTGACGGATTTCTTTCCTATTTGTACGGTTGGTTTCTTTCCACCTCGAAGTCGAACAGGCTCGTTCTGTCGAAGAGAACGAAGGAGATCTTTCGTGGCCGAGTCTCCAAGATCTAAGCGGATGACTTGTGTCGGGGCATCTTCTGCGTTAGTGGCTTTGGTGTCGTGCCGCAGAAGGACCCCGGTGCTAGGAGGCTTCCAAGAAGCCATGATATTTGGGTATAATATTTAACGAGAGTGTTCTGAGGGAGGGAGAGGAGGTGGAGGTGGGAGGGGATAGTCGTGTTGGACTTGAAGGTGGCGTGCGTTGGCAGGGTGGTCAAGGTGACATTAGAGCCAGGCTTTGTCTGTTTGCTGCGAAGCAATGACAACGCCCGACACAGGGCTTCATGACAAACACACAACAAAGAAAGAGTCAAGCGGTTATGACAAAGAAGTTGGGAGAGGGTTATGTGAAGGAAAGAGAGCTGAGGTTGTGGTCAGGTCGGGCAGAAAGAGAAGAAACCCAGCAGCGAGGGTTACGACTTGAGGGTTGAGAGGTACGGAACAACAGGCGAGCAGTGGCAGAGTCGCAGACCAGGTCCAGGTTTCCAGGCAAGCACTGCAGGGCCGCAGGGCAGAAGGGCTAAACCACGAGTGTATCAACGAGACATGACGGGCTTGGGCAATGATTGGAGGATAGGGTGTGGAGGGTCCGAGGCCAGGGCAGGATCCAAGCGATCTTGAAGCTTGGGAGCACGCGGTCAGACGGTGGGACGAGCATGGCGTTTTCCGAATGGGCAACCAGCGGGAGCGCCGCCCTTGTTCAAGCCTGGATTTTGGTGGTGTTCGGTGTTCGCGTGAGTGCCAGCCAGTCGTGCCAGCCAACCACTGCCGACAGCCCCAATTCTCGGCCTAGTACTCCGTAGCCCAACTCTACCTGGCACTTACGCATCTACGCCTCTACGCCTCTACAAGTAGACCACCACGACTACTTGACTACTACAAACCTTCCCTAACTCCGTGCCTGTACCATACCCTATGGCCCTTTTTACCCTGCCTACAAAGTTACGCATGCCAGAGGGTGCTGAGGGGGGCATACGTACGGAGTAGTAGGCGTATGTTCAGTGGAGCCCCCCCGGGCTCTTATTAGTGGGTGCGAAGGCCTGGTCTGCCCCAGTACTCCGTAGACATGCTCACTAGGGCCACCACGGCGCGAGGGGCTTGCTCGGTCTGCTCGGACTCCTCGCCAGGCCCACGGCAGAGGTCGATGGTCTGGAGTCTACACCTCAAGAAGGCATCATGGAGCCACCGAGGTCATCATCTAACTGGTTCAGTGTTGGCCCAAGCCTTGGGGGTCCATTCACAGCCAGCAGCCATCCGACCGCCTAGCCTGGCTAGGGCTAGTCTGCCGCCCTCCCGGGGCGTGGGTCAGCCCTTTGGTCCTTCTGCACTTGTGTCAGCACCCGAAGAAGACGAGTGAGCGACCAAACAGCCACGCCCACCACCCACCACACACAATTCCCGCTGGGCTGTCCCAGCCATGGATTCCTGATGTAGCAGGGACTAGTAGAAACCTTGATGACCAAAAGCCCACGGTGATACACTGATACCGCAGTGACCCCGGAAAGTCAACGGCTCGTAAGGGCCTAGAGAAGTGTAATCTACGAAGAAGACTCGGATCACTCAAAATTCGCTACTAAATTTCAGATCAGAGGCGAGTGAGGCCGCAAAACAAAACAAGGCATGCATTATACACTGTAGGACTGTAGCAATCGAGGTATGCACGAATGGCTTATCCATGGTGCCATGCTGCTCAGGAATCAGACTCGATAATCATGAGCTCCTTCCTCCCTACAAACCCCACCGACTAGTCGCTGTCAACGCCACTGCCAGATCGTCACGCGTGCGAGACGTGTAAGAAGGTCAAAACTGGTTGACCACTCTAATAATGGAGTCGTTGACATGGGTTCTGAGCCCGTTGAAAACGTCTTGTTGTCAATACTGCCGCTGGGCCCCTCGGCCCATCTGAGATGTCGGCGTGGATGAGCACGGCAAATTCCAAGTCGGTTGTTCTAATCATGCGAGTCAAACAGACCCTGTAAGGTCTACAGTAGTAGATGCAACACTCGTGTGCACAGTACATAAATACGTTCCGACAGGTGCTTCTGCCCGCCACGGTTCGGAATGGACCGTGCACCGGGAACGCCAACCACGACTGAGTTCTAGTGGGCTTGGGATAGCAATGCCTTATTATTATTAGTGAGCATGGTGGCATGCATTGCACGTTGTCTTGTCGTTGTCGTCTACGGAGTAGAGCCGAGCTGGGCGGAAACTAAACGTGCCCACCTTGATATCCCACCAAGCAAAGGCTTTCTCCTATCTCTTATCATTCTTTCCTAATGACATGTAGTTCTGATTTACGATTTACGGATGTGTTTATTTGGATGTTGGGGCGCGTGCGGCAATGCCTGATGTCAGGACGGGAGAGCACCTGCCAACTCTCAGTAGGTTATAAGTCATCAAAAGGTAAGGTGGATCCGGGAATCTGGGTCTCAACCCATCTGCCATGCGAGAATGAAGAGTCACACGGTCAAATCAAGTCTGGCCGAAAGAGGGGACAGAATCAGGGCCGCATCGGAAGGAATGAATAACAGTAGTGGTGAATTGGTGAGGGATGAGTGGGCAATAGGCCGAGGGGCGCCTCGGGCTTTACTAGTCAGGAACTCAAGGGCGAATGACGGCCGCCCCCAACTTCTGGGTGAAGATGGACCGGCAGAGGGGCCCTCGGGCCACTGAACAGGGTTACCTAGGTAAAGTAATAAGTTGAGGGAACTAACCGCTCGCGCCTACGACTAATAACCATATTGCCTACGGAGTTCGGGTTTCGTAGCAATTTGATACCCAAATGTCCTCCAGTGCCCTCTCTCCAGTAGTAGACGTTGGAACTAGCACCAGGACACCCTTGCACCCCTTGCAAGATGCAACAGAACCAAGAACCTCATTTCGAATTGCTCGTTTTGACCATTTCGTAAAATAGGGTGTTTCAGCCTTTTCTTCATACTTGACAAGCAATGCATGTGCAGTTTGAGAAGACTTGGTTAACTACACCAGGAATCCATGCATGTGTGTACAGTATCCAGGTGGCTGGGCCACCTACAGTGCAGCACATCAAAGCCGTCAAACTGTCAAACAGTCAAACCGGCAGATTTTCTGGGCCTTCTTGTCTCATGTTACGACGAGATAATAGACCGTTCTGTTTCATGCACCATTCCCTCGAGGCGCTTCCAGACGTCCAATATGGCAGAAGGATCATTTCGGCATTTAGGTACAAATCCCCAGGGAGAATGCCAAGTGCCTCCACCAGCGATACACTGTACATTATCCTGATTGTCACTTTAAAAGTTATATTACTACCTATGTGTGGAGGTGCTTAGAGACTACTACATGTACTAACAAGTATGTACGCTTACTCCGTCAATCCCCGTAGCAATCCCCTCTCTCAAAGCTGTAATATCGCCCGTGCTGGAGCATGCCTAGCCGAAAGGAGCGCTATTCTTAAGATCTCTTGGTTCCATGCAGGTAGTTGCATTCCTTCTGATCTTAAATTATCGATGATGAGGTCTGGGTCATCCTCGGTCTTTTGATGTACGACCACATTCTTTTCTGCCTTGTGTGCAGTAAGGAACCAACGTATGTTTGCCCCTCGAGATGCACGCCCTCGGGTAGACTTCGTACACATCAGGAACTGTGGCACTGAATTGCCTATCGCCTTCCATCCCCATCCCTGCGAGTTTGTGTGACCTGTCCAAGGCCATTCTTCTTTGATAGTCTTCCTCGATCATCATTCACCAGGCATCCCAGCCTACGCACTAGGCAGTCAGGCCACGCCAGGGCAGGAGCAAAGGCGAGATATTTGTCATCTGTACAGTCACGTGAATGACACAAGAGCTTGGCGCTGACTGCAATTCTCTCTCCTCGAGTTCCACCTTTTGGATCAATGCCACTTCATCACTGCTACCCAAGGTCATGCTTGCACTACTTTCCACGTCTTTTGTGCGCATACTGGCGAGAAATTCTCTCGCCCTGGCTTCTGTCACAGCCGACGCAGCGTCACTTGATGACAGGCCCGACTGAAATCTGCGATTAGTCATTTTTTCTCAGGCAAGGTGATGTCATAACTGAGGTGGCACTGGTGGTCCGACAATGATGAATTGACAACCTGTTTTGGCAGCCTGTAACGGGGTCCTTATTTGCTGCATTTTGCAAATGCTAGGTAAGCAACTGGTTGGCAGATGATTGCTCACAACCCTAGACGTTCCATCTCGTGTCGTCACGTGCAACTACCAGTCGCTCTTCTCCATGATACTAATACAGGTAAATTATCGACGGCGATCTGTGTGGCGAACGCATAAGGACGGTCGAAACAAGCATCCCATCGAGTTTCGTCCGAAGCCCAGAATTTCTCCAGAAAGCCCTTAGCCACCAGTGGGACGGTGGTTCCCACATATCGACTCATCTCCTGTAGCTGTTTTGCAACAAAATCCCGTTGTGCTACGCCACCATACACCGCTTGCACGCCGAGCACTACCAGTGGCCAGGTAACAAGCCGCTGTGTCTTTGCGACCGACACCGCCTGACTCAGAAGAGTGTGCAAAAGTTGGCCATGGCACGTGAGTTTGTCTTTTAATCTCTCGCTCAACGGCAGGATCGATAGGCTTTGGCAGGAAGAAATGCAGTATATCGAAACCGCGTTTTGGTATATCCTCCCGATGAGCTCCCAGTCTTCATGCCCGCGTGGTTTTTGTTCAGCCCAGCGCTCCGGAGAAAACGAACCGATTTGTTCCAAGATGCTAGATGCCTCCTCCGAAAGTTCCGTGGAGACCTCTGACTGGAATACTTGCGTTCGAAGATTGTTGATCTTGACCATCTCGGCAAATAAATGAGGCGGACAGATCTGGAACGGTGACAACCCACTACCATGTTCTTTCAGAATAAATTCCAGTTCCTCTAAGTGTTGCTCAGTGTTCGTGAGGTCTGATGCCGGGCACGTGGTGTTACCAAGCACTGAAATCCTATTTCAAATTAGCGACAAGGCCAATACTTCAAACTGTTCAGCATGCTCGTACGATAGGAAGCAGTTCAATAGAGGACCGAGTTGTTTCTGTCCAGCCAGTGCACGAATGCCGCCGCGTAGGGCGATGATCCGTTGCACTCCCTCTTGGTGCATCCGCCAGTCGGAAAAGGTACCGATTTGAGCCTATTGGTCATATTAGTGGTCAGGATCACTAGTTGTTGCACGATTACCAGGCACCCACATCAGAGAGCAGGAGATTGATGATGCCCGCAATGATCAGATCTCCACTCCGCTGGCGGTTCGCGCTAATGTCCTCGTTAAGTGCTCGTAGTGCGATACTACGATATCGATAGAATTCTTGGAGCAGAGCGTGGCATGGCGATAAGTTTCTGATCCGATTGATTCGGTGAGTCAGTGTCGTGCACACAAAGATCGAGGTTAGGTAATGTGGACATTGAGCCACAGTATGCAAGTGGCTCAGTGGAAGCAAGTATAACGATGGCTGCGGGCCGAAATCGTTGATAGTCGACAGATCCCGATAGATACATGTGTTGACTTACCAAGTCAGCTCATATATTAACCAAACCTTGTTTATTGACAATCACTTACAATATCCAACGGCTTGAAAAACTGCACAAAGCTCGGTGGTCAAATCGAAGCGAGGGATGCCAGCCTTGCCTGAGTAGTCCACTAGATCGGTACTGACTCTGTTCAGAGATAATCCCACGCTATGAGACCTTTTCTCTGATCGCATTCTTTTGGCTTGTCTCTTGCGAGATGTCACTTTACCGGGGGCCACCCATTTCAAAGGTTGCGCGTCGCCATAGCCAGGACAGGTCAAACCGGACGAGATGCACCTTCTGCATTCTGGCTGTGTAGAATCACATACCAGGCGGCATCGGCGACATTCTTGGCAATGTCGCCTTTGACCGCTGGAACTGTTTGACTTGATCTGCATCTAGCGAGGTGTAAGAGGGGATGATGCCGGTTTGTGCAGGATTTGGCAGAAATCTCATGTCGATGGCAACCCGTGTATGTAATCATCAAAGATGAGGTCAGGCAACAGCCAATCTGCAAAGGAAGTGATGGCTCGGTTATGAAAAGGTGCTAGTCACGGGTAGGTCGACCTGTCTATTGCGTCTTGACAACGACAATTCCGTCTCGACTTGGTTCGATTGTCGGATTGCTGCTGCCTAGCTCAATTCCAGAACACCACGCTTCGAAAGAGACATCCCCAGACCAGTTGAGACAGATCAGTGATCTATGTTAATTGCCCTAGAAATTTGACTGCCAGTGGGTCAATGTAAAGCTTCCATATGATCTGGGTTAATTGACCATTGAAAAGACACTGATGTGAGGAAAGGAGGTGAAATTTTGTGGGATGGAATTCCTCTGCGGCCAATCGGAAACAAGAGTTCATGTCCCAGATAGGAAAATAAATGGCCAAGCCCTCAGCCTCGTCGGGGTTGCCCCACGTATATAGTATGAGTTGAGGGTGAAATGCTCATTGCTTGAAGTTTCAAGGGGCTCGGACTATGGACACTACACTATATATATGAGATCAATGGCATCAAATGATACTTTCTCTCCCGACCTCCTCACCCGACACATAATACTTCTCACAGCACTCCGGTAAGGTAGCATTCGGGTTGGTACATGATCAACCTAAAGAGCATTCTCCATCATGTCAGGACGTCCAGGTAAGTCTGGTACCAGTATCCAGTATTGGGTGCGCTATTAACATCACTCAGTTGAGGGGAGTCTTTTTGTATATGCCCCCAACAAAGTCGCTCCAGTTGTCTTTGCGGTACTGTTCGCGATATCGGCCGTGGGCCATACCTGGCAGTGTTAGTACGTGGAACATTGTGCCTCTGCCTTGTGTCGTGTTCAGCGTGCTGACAGGTGCAATCAGTCGATATAAAGCCTTCAAACTTGTCGGTCTACAGCCACTCTGTGCAGTCTTATTTACTCTCGGTTATGCTTTGCGGGAATATGGTGCTTTCAATTATCTGTACAGCACACAAAACTTGATCATTTTCATTCTCAGCCAGGTATTCATCTACGTGTGCCCGTCAGTGAGAAAGTCCGGCAATGTGGTGTTGACAATTGTTGCTAATTCTCACCCAGTCCATTGCTCGAGCTAGCCAACTACCATGTCCTCGGTCGATTATTAAGTTACGTTCCTCACCTTGCCCCAATACCAGGAGGTCGAGTTTTGTCGATATTCGGAGGGCTTATGGCGTTGATTGAGCTTCTTAACGCCCTAGGCGTGTCATTGTCCGCCAACCCCTCTTCATCCGATTCGACTCAAAAACTGGGAAGCCATCTGACCATTGCGGCCATCTCGATGCAGCTGGCAGCGATATGCATATTTGTCGTCCTGTCAGTCATCTTCCACCGTCGCTGCATCATGGCCAAAATACGGGCGAGGCCAGTTTCCACTCCATTGAAGACCATGTATGTGAGCATGACCCTGATCCTGATCCGCTGCATATATCGTCTAGTGGAGCATCTGGACTTTACCTCAATCGATCTCAATGACTTCGAGTCACTTCTGCGATTGAGTCCTATTCTGCGGTATGAATGGTTCTTCTATGTCTTTGAGGCGACGTTAATGTTCCTCAACTCGGTGTTGTGGAATGTGTGGAACCCGGCTCGCTATATGCCGAACAAGTATCATATTTACCTGGACAAAGATGGCGTCACTGAACTGGAAGGGAAGAAAGACAACAGATCGCTACAGCATAAGCTTATCTCCATCCTCACATTTGGCCTGTTATTTCGCAAAAAAGTCGAAGGGCCACGGTTCCAGGAGCTCGAAGAGTATCCAAGTCCTGTCCGTTCTACACACCCATGACGGGAAGATTTGAAGATTCCAATAGTGAATTAAAGGCATTGAAAGAGGAGCGAGGCGTTTTCGAGGACACAAGTCGAATTTGGGTGATTATTTTCGCGTGGAAGCAGTACGATATTTGTTGGGAGGTTTCGATCAATATTAGGTTGCCATACTTGCTGTATAGTCCGCCGTAGTAGCTCGCAGTATAAATTTGTATTTACGGCGGAGTTCAGATCCAGAGCTTGACAATATCTCTTGGCGTTGGAAGTTTCAACTTGGAGAAATATCACATTTTGGCATTGTAGATTTCTGCCATTTCAGACGGTAGTACTTGAAGTTGTTTTTCTTCTTTCATAGTGGGATAGTCCAGTTGCGTATTTTCTGAGTGTGTTCGCTGATTTACCAACATTTGTCAACATGGCGGAGACCTCTGCAGCATTGCCCCTGGTCAAGGACAGAGTCGACGCTGGATCAGAACCACAACCACAGAACGGAGACGTCGAGCAAGCCAATGTTAAACGCAAGGCTGATGACAAAGATACGATGGAAGATGCCCGAGACACACGAGACAATAAACGACGCAAAGGTACGGCACCGGTCAAGGAAGAATTCCTGATCAAGGAAGATGCATCTATCCCGGCCGAAGGGACCAAAGATGCAGCAGATGACGATGCTGCGGAAGCTTTCCATCATCAAGACCGGCAAGGTGGCGGTGGACCCAACAACAAGTCTAAGCGACGACAGAAGCAGACAGGTCAGAACAAGGCTCGTGAGTATGGCAGCTCCAGAGACGAAGTTGGGCTATGCTCGTCCCGTGCGAATCGGCCCGAGTTTTCGCCCGACGAATGCCAGTACGGAGACAAATGCCGGTTTGAGCACGACATCCGAAAATATCTGGGTCGTTTCAAGCGAGAAGATCTCACAACATTTAATGGATTGTGTCCCGTATGGGAAACCAAGGGTCGATGCCCCGCAGGTTGGAAATGTCGCTTTCTGGGATCACACTCCAAAGAGGTCGAGCACGAAGATGGACGCAAAGAATTGGTTCTTACCGAAGATGCTGGTCGGAAAGCGAAGTACGCAGAGACATCTGTCGAAGAAGGCGAAATCGGGGTGGCCAACGTCCTGACCACAGAGCAGCGGTTTCAAGTGGTCAAGAGAAAGATCGTGCTAGCTAAATCAGACGAGTTCCTCCAACATCTAGAGGGTCAAAAACAGAACCCCGGGGATCAGGGACGCAAGAAGCCACATGCGAAGGATGGACAGAGCCGCAACTCGTCGTCACCCGAGCCAGAGACCAATGGTCGAAAGAAGGATGACGAAAATCATCAGAATGACGATTCCAAGGCGGATTCGCGAGCGACATATACCGAGGCTCGTCTTCGACCTTCGGAGAAACGGCGGATCTACTTTGGAGCCGAGACTCCAGTTCTCGCACCGCTGACGACGCAAGGCAATCTGCCGTTCCGACGCCTGTGCACGTCATTGGGAGCGACATTCACATACTCGGAGATGGCCATGTCGATGCCGATCCTGCAAGGGCAAAAGTCGGAATGGGCTTTAATGAAAGCGCACGAGTCGGATGTGCAGGCACCAACGTTCAAGGCCAAGGGTAACATTGTGTATGACTATGACCAAAGCAAGGATCTTGGATTTGGAGCTCAGATTGCAGCGAACAAGCCTTGGGTGGCATTGAAAGCGACCGAGGTGTTGACCACGCTATTGCCGCAAGGGCTGAGAGTGGTAGACTTGAACGTGGGATGTCCGATTGACCTCGTGTATCGCGATGGAGCAGGATCAGCACTGATGGACTCACCTCCCAAGCTGGAGAAGATGCTGCGCGGAATGAACTACGTTTCGGGAGAAGTGCCGATCACGGTCAAGATCCGAATGGGAACTAGAGACAAACAGCCGACGGCACAGAAGCTGGTGGAGAGATTGGTACTGGGCGGCCCGCACAGCGATGACGGGCCTTGTGGAGTGGCTGCAATCACCCTGCACGGTCGGTCGCGGCAGCAACGATACACTCGCTCTGCGGATTGGGAGTATATCGGTGAAACGGCAGCGTTGATCAAGAGACTAAACGAGCAGGCAGATGCGGTCACAGACACGATCCGAGAAACAGACGAACGAGACCAAGGCAATGGAAGCAGGGGGTCGAAAAACGGAAAGGTGTACTTCATTGGCAACGGAGATGTATTTTCACACGAGCATTACTATGCTCACCTTTCACATGGTGGCGTTGACGGGGTAATGGCGGCACGAGGCGCCCTGATCAAGCCGTGGTTGTTTGAGGAGATTCAAGCTGGTCAATACCTGGACAAGTCGTCGTCAGAACGATTGTCGATGATTGAGCAGTTTTGTCGATACGGGCTGGAAGCATGGGGAAGCGATGAGGTTGGAGTGGGACAGACTCGACGCTTTCTACTCGAGTGGCTGAGTTTTGCATGTCGATATGTCCCTCTGGGGCTGCTGGAACACCTGCCGCCGAACATCCAGGACCGGCCACCGCGCTTCCGAGGACGAGATGAGTTGGAGACGTTGATGGCGAGTGACAACTACAAGGATTGGATCAAGATCAGGTGAGTTACGAACCGACAGACGAGAGTTCTCGGCGGAGAAATGTTGGGATGCATGCTGACATGTAACGATCAATAGTGAGATGTTTCTGGGAACAGCACACAAGGATTTCCGATTTGAGCCCAAGCACAAGTCGAACGCATATGAGATACAGGCTGAGGGTTGAGTGGAGTGAGGTGACTATGAAAAGACTTGCAATGTCTTGGTCGCGGCATGGGTATGAGAGCTGTTGTGTCTTTGCACCGTTTGCTGCCTTAATCTCACCATCGCGTACCTGAATCACATGGAACTCGAGTGGAAGATATGCCCAAGGAACGGCCCTGGCTAAGAGCTGAAAGTCTAGTATACTTAATCTCGCAGTGAAACCAGCCTTAAGAGCGACCCGAATAAACGAAGGCGAGATACAGGATGCTGTTGGTAGTGATATTAGCGCTAGGCAGTTAGCTCCAAGCTACCGTATTAGAAGTATAGAACACCAAAGGTCCTCTGGTGTGTCGTGCATGAATGCGTGGTAATGTATCACTGCCGGGGTTTATGTAGATGGCGTGGTAAGCAGTTTGCTAAGAAAACCAAAGACTGACCTATTGAGGATAAGGTTTGTACCTAATCTAAGTAGAATGTGATGCAGCGGGAGCCTAAAAGCTACATAGCTGAGGGACCAAGAGACTGAGGGCCGAGGGGGAATAGTGCCAGGGCCAGGGCCTGGGCCTGTCCCTGTGCCTACGGCTACGGCTACGAGCACGAGTATTTGTATGCAGGTGGTTGGTGGAGTATGCCTTGGCCAGAGATCTTCCCAGGTTTTCTGAGCATCTCTTTTGGGCGTTTTACGGGGTCGCTGGTCATGAGTTAGGAATGTAAGGGAGGCACTGTTCTTTGGTAGGGACCTAGGTATATACCCTGAGTTAGGTACCTGATGTAGGTACCTGATGTCTCCCATCACATGTGTTTGCCATCAAAAGTCAGTGGTAGGTTAGGTATCTGCATGACTCTGAGTATCGTGCATGCTGCATCTCGATCTGCCCTAAAGAGCGTTCCCTGCTCTTCAGGTGGAGTCAAGTCACAGGGCTGACTTGATGTTGGTCATAAGCACACATTAGGCCCCGGGCTCTCCAGAAGCCCCTCGGTCCCCTCGGCCCCCAGAGAGTCCAAGCCTCAGCACCCGAGCGCCAAGAGAATCCCCACAACATCTTGCCGTGCCCTTGACACTGTCTTGTGGTTGGCTCAAATGCTCTTTAAAGTTGAAATTCTTTCTGTCCAAGTGCGCGTACCTAGGCATCTCATCTCGTAAAGCATACGAGTATACGCATGTATTGCTTCTATTGGAGGCAGAACGAGTGTACTACAGTAGTTGCATAAATCCGACTACAGGTGCCCAGAACAACAAAGGTTCCAAATTACTGGTACCTCGGTGTGTGGACGATTCGTGGAAATAAAGGATGCTGTAACTTAGCCTGTAGGGACTACTCACCTACATCTGCACAACTGTCCTGGAAGCCTTCCCTGTCGTTCCTGTTCGATGCCGTTCCTGCTTCACAAAGCTCGACTAGCCCAACACCGTCGCCAACATCGTTCCTTCCTCATCCTTCCTCCTTCCTCCTTCCCCCTTCCACCCACATGAATTGCCGTTTCTGTCCATTTGCCTGCGTCTTCTTTTTCTTCTACTTCTCCTTCTCCTCTCCCTCTTCACTCTCGTTCTCGTCCTCATCCTCCAAGCTCTAGGTGCTGAAAAAAAGCCCCCTGACTCTTAGCGTCTTGCTTTCACTCCCACCCTTGGCTACCTAATACCCACTCATTCTCATCCTTCCTTTCATCAGTCGGCCTCACATCCATTCAAGCATGGCCTGTATGAACTAAAAAGGCTCCTCGCTAATTCCTCCCCATCGACTCTCTTATATATACAGGACACCCTCCCAGACCCAAAGCACAGCTCCTTCTCCAGACGACATCACCACTGCCGTCCTCCTGACATCTCCCATCATGGATCAAGCCCATGATCCTGTTCCCACAAGCCTGGCTTCACTCCCTTCACCACTGCCAGAAGCTCCCCCAGGCCAAGTCTACACCGACGAACAATGGCAAACCCTCTTCTCCATCCTTGAGGTCTTTGTTCCTGACATCTCCACCTCTCATCAGGACCCTGCTGCTTCCATTCCCCCAGCTCAATATGACGCCGCTCGTCGTGAGGTCCTTCGATATGCTCCCCCGTCCTCTTCACCTGCCCTGGCAGATGCTTTTCTCTCCGAAAAGCTCGTCTCCAATCCTGCCTTTATCGCTTATGTCAAGCGAAAGTTCCAGATCTGGGTTCCTCCCAATGACGCCAAAGCACTTGGTTTCATCCTTTCCTCCCTCAACACAAAACTAGGGTCCTTGCTCATGACCGGGTCAAAGATCCCAATCCACTTGCAGCCCCTCTCTGCGCGCTCTCTCATTGTCTGTAAATGGTCCACAGCCCGCCTCGCTCCACTCCGTGCCATCTACGGCTCCACCTCGGCTCTAGCCAGAGCAGCATACACCTATTCTTCCTCAATCCTGATCTCGACCATTGGGTATCCAGACATTCCTCTGCAGATTGAACGCCGTCCCACTTACGACTTTACTTTCCATGACTTCACCTCATCTTCAACTCCAACCACCCTCACCACCGACGTCGTCATTGTCGGCTCCGGATGCGGCGCTGGCGTTACTGCTTCGCATCTTGCACGAGCTGGGTTGAAAGTCCTGGTCCTCGAGAGCGCCTATCATTTCCCCTCGACCCATTTCCCCATGGCCGCCGGCGAAGCTACGGAAAATCTGTACTTGAACGGCGGCTTCTTCACCTCCGACGACAACACGGTGGGCATTCTTGCCGGAAGCAACTTTGGTGGCGGCGGCACCGTCAACTGGTCTGCCTCCTTGCAACCCCAGTATGCCATTCGTCGCGAATGGGCCTCTGCTGGTCTGCCACATTTTACCTCGCCCAAGTTTCAAGATTGTCTCGACACCGTCTGCCAGCGTATGGGTGTGCCCAGCCTGACCGACCAGGAGTCACTAGCCAGGATTCAGCACAACTTTGCCAACCAGACTCTTCTTGAAGGAGCCCGCCAGGCTGGCATGGCTGTTGAGACCGTGCCACAGAACACGGCCTCCAAACCCCACTTGTGTGGCCGCTGCACCTTTGGCTGTTCCAGCACCACCAAACAAGGGCCCGCCAACCATTGGTTCCCAGATGCGGCTGCCCATGGTGCTCAATTCATCCAAGGCTGTTTTGTCGATCACGTCATCTTTAACCGACCCCAGGACAGTTCCAAGAAGACAGCGACCGGAGTGCAAGCCATTTGGACGTCGCGAGACCGCAAAACTAGCCGGACGCTGACCATCAACGCAGATCGCGTCATTGTCGCTGCTGGCGCCCTCAATTCGCCCGCAGTATTGCAGCGTAGCGGACTCACCAACCCTCATATAGGGGCAAATCTGCACCTACACCCGACTGCAAGTATCTGGTCGGTGTGGAAGCAGCGCACCAACCCCTGGGACGGGGCCATTCTGACTGTGGCCGCCACCAGCCTCGAGGACCTCGACGGCTACCATCATGGACCTAAGATAGAGGTCACCTGTTCAGTACCGGGGATAGGGCTGCTGACCCACCCCTTCCGTGCCAGTCCTACCCTCGACTCATCTCCCTCCGCCTCTCCACTCTCTGCCGCCCTGACATACAAGCTCAATGTGGCCAAGTTCGGACACGAGATGGGATTCATCGTCATTACGCGTGACCAGGATACCGGTCGAGTGTATATCGACCCTTCAGATCCGGAGCGCCGACGGATCCGGGTCGCCTATACGCCATCGACACGAGATCGGGCCAACATTTGGGAAGGTGTCTTGGCATCCGTGCGGATCAAGTACAACATGGGTGCCGTCGAGATTGATCCAGGTAACCCGGCATTGGAGCGATTTGTGCGCCCAAGCTACGCCAACTCAACATCGCCGTCCCCCTCAGAGTCATCAGAGGAAGAGGCACGTCGGATCGATGACGCCGCCTTCGAGTCCTGGATCCGCAAACTCAGGGACGCTGCTCCGTCCATTCATTCCTCGTGGATGATGGGCTGCGCCCACCAGATGGGCTCCTGTCGTATGAGTTCTGACCACAAGAGTGGCGTGGTGGATTCTCGTGGTAGAGTCTGGGGGACCGACCGTCTCTACGTGGCTGACGCTAGTACTTTCCCTTCCGCCAGCGGCGTCAATCCTATGGTGTCTACCATGGGCATCGCAGAGTGGATTGCACGGGGCATTGTCAAGGAGATTAAAGTCAGCAAGCTGTAGGAAGGACTCCAGTCAGGAGACGTGAATGTGATATTGTTTTGCACAAATGATGGGTGAGATGTTGAGTTGTCGATACAAGGCTCTTTGGTTATCTTTAATAGGAAACACCCCACATGCCCTATTTGGTTGCCTCGCGTATCTGCCCATATTATATAATGTTTGGAGATCCTTACCACAGCCACGATAGACTCCTGGTTAGATCAAGCCACGGTTTTAATCACATGACATGGTTCTTTTCTGACACACTACCTGGGTATCCAAGACGTTGCTTCGGGCTCATGATACGGGAATATGTCCTAAGTGCCCTCGGCCACCTCCCACCAGACGAGGAGATGAAGATGGAAAGGGAAGAGAGGGAGAGAGGGAGAGAGAAATCAATCATGGCAACGCCCGCTAGTCCAATCACTATGCAACATCTCATGAGCAGCAGTACTTAGAAAGAAATCAGATTTGCCAGACAGGCATTGTCATTTCATCCAGACACACTGAATTTTCCATCTCAGACACTTTGGGCTCTTGTCTCACCTCCCTGTCGTCGTTTTTCTAGCCACCCCAATCCTCGTTCGACTCACTTTGTCGGCAAACTTGAGACTCGTGATCGTCTCACTCAGACACTTCTTCTCTGGCGCCACCATGACGAACATGAGTGTTTTGCTGTTGCCTCCCAGACTCAACTGAAGCAGGTGCGTCAGTTTGCTGTTTCGATAAGGGATGTGCCCGCCACTGCCAGCGCTGGATCCGTTGACACTATCCCGCGGGTTGAAACCTGATTGTTGCTGACCCAACGCCCCGATCACATCCCCGAGACATGAAAGAGACTTGTTGATGGCTTGCGTCTCTTTCAATCGTGCTCCCTCCGCCTTGGAGTGGGACAACCGTTCAGACCCGGCAAGATCCACCAGGTTCAGTGTGCCTTTGCATTTCTTGCCCGTGATCGAGTTTTGGCCCTTAAGTCGGAGGATAAAAACGGAATGACTTCGACTGCTGCGTTCATTGGCCTTGGTTGCTGCAACAGACCTTCTAGACATCGCTTGTGCCAGAATGCCTTCCACCTGCTCTTGACTGTCGAGGCTCAGTGTGTTGACATCAGTAATCGTGGTATCCAGATTGACCATGTCATGACGAATCTCATGCTTCTTGCCCGACTTTTCAGATTCGCCGTCCTTACCCAACAGATCCCGGAGTTCCTCATTGTAGACCTCGACAAAACTGCCTTCCATTTGATAAGTCCATCCCCTGGTCGCGAGTTCCTTGCTTGTCGAGTAAATCTGTCGCAACGCTTGAGGGATCATGCCATCATCTGACGACATGGTATATGTCTTGCCCGCGCCCGTTTGGCCATAGGCAAAAATGCAGACGTTGTAACCATCCAAGGCTGATTGTATCAATTGACTGATTTCCTCAAAGATTTCAGCATTGCTGCAGGAAGGATCAAACACCCGGTCAAAGGAGAACGGGTGGATTTTAGTCGTATCCTTGCCCAGACTGTTGGCTTCCTCCTGGCCACGAACTTCAATGTCCTTGGGATCATCGTCAGTCTCCGGAAATGAGATCTGTGCCATTTCTTCTGACGCGTCACTCCCGCTGGGCCTCACTCGGCAAAAAACGCGAATGTTGCCCTTGAGTTCTTGGACTTGATTGTGAAGTTTCCGTCGTAGCATTTCTTCCTTCCTAAGTTTTTCTTCACACTCTGTCGCCCTCTCAATGGCTTGATTCATTTTCCTTTCCATGTCAGCATATGCCTCCGATTGAGACTTGTTGTCAGACTCAAGGTAGTCGATCTTGGCTTGAAGTGCTTGTCTCGCCGCCTCCATGTGACTTGCGTTTGTTCCAGCGGCTGACAACGTCTGTCGTAGGTCTGCATTGAGAGTCTTTTCTCTTTCCACATCTGCTAGCAGTCGTTCAATTTCCATGTTAATGCTGCGAATCTGCTGGTCTTTGAGTTCAAGGTCGAGTTGATGACGCTGCTTGTCCAGGGCTACCTGGCCCGAGACTTGTGAGACAGCCTGAAGTCTTTGGCTTCGTTCGCTCTCCAGTTCATCTTCGTACCTATTTCTCAGCTCTCGCAATTCATCGCGGTGGTCAGCCTTGGCTTGGTCTATATCCTTTCGTTGTGACTGTCGGACATTTTCCATCTCAATCCGATGGTCGCGTTTCAAGTCATCGATCTCCTGCTCAAATTCTCGCTTGATATCCTGTGCTGATCGCTCCGCTGCTTCGAGTCGGTACTTAGTTGTCTGTAACTCACATCGCAGTTCAATCATGGCTTCGGTCGTTAGTTTGCGGTCTTCCTCAAGACTAGCAATGGTGTCTTTGTAGGTGGAAGATGCTTGTTTGGCCTCATTGCTCTCTTCCATGGCATCTTTGTAATGCTTGCAAACGTCTTGATACATCCTCTCCATGTTTCCATATTGCTCCTCGGGATCCCACGTTTCTAAATTGGAAGATTTGGTTAGAAACTGTCTGGCCTTGTTCTTCCGTGGAGAAGAGCTGTTATAGCTGGGAAATGGAGCAGGGGTAAACGAAGAAGGGGTTACGGGGTGAGGTGGCAGCGGAGGGCTCTTGCTGGGACTAGCATGCCGTCGCTCTCGGGGGGGACTCAATGTTAAGGCCGACATTTGTGCAGATATGGAGGCAGTACTTGAGATACATTGGGCCTCTTTGAGCACGCCGGAAGTTCGGGCCACTGTTTGTGCAATCCGGGAATTCATTTTGTGGGCTGTCGCGATATCGTTCCTCCTAGGGGCAGAGGAAAGCTTGTTCATGGGGGCAGAGGGGGCCATACGCTTGTTATTGGGTCCATCCTGAATTCCTCCACCTCGGGTTCCCATGGATGTGGCAGGCCTTGAATCGATTGCCCTCCCTCTGTCTTTGGCAAGCGCGGCCTTGGGACGACCATAGTTCATGGATGTCGGAGGCTGAAGTCTGCTTCCAACGCTGGCAGAGAAGCTGGAAGAGGTAGAGGAGGCGGACGAGGTGCTTCGAGAAAAAATCGAATTGCTTCGCGAGGATATTGAAGAGGGATATCGGGTATGAAGCGTTGAAGACACCGCAGCACTAACAGGCGCATTGGACTTTGGGGCAGCAGGAGCTGATTTGAGGGGCTGACCCGCCCGGTCTGAAAGGGTCGGTCTTTTGGTAGCTGACTCAGGTACTATGAAGTTGTCAGCATGTATATAGTGGACAGTTGAGTTATGTAACAATTCACTGACAGTTTGACCCTTGTCTCTTATGGCCATTCGCGGTGGGAGGAGGCATGGTGGTACGTGAGTTTGTCGCTGACGCGGACATCTCGGTGAGTTGTTTCTGCGGGGAAGGCATGCCATGCCGCGTGGGCTGTGGGAGATGAGAGGTGGGCTGTGGCAGATGAGAAGGGAACTGCGAGCGATGGATGTCAGCGCTGTGAGTTGGCAGTAAGTGAGGACTGGTGATGGGGTTATACATTCTCGGTGTCGGCCATTGTGCTTGATGCAAGTCGTATAAGATGAGCGAGATATCAGAGACTCACCCCTTTAGTGGGAATGAGTTCGCATTGTCAGTCGAGACTTGTGGCAACGGTGTGAATGAGTGGATGATGTTGGCATGGAGTAGCAAAGAATGAGAGCCAGCACAAGACATAAGAGCGCAACGGGCAGGAAGTCCCCAAGTTGACAATTTACTGGTTTGGGACTAGCCAAGTTTGGTCTTGGCGTGATGTCAGGCGTGACCCAATCAGAGACGCGGAAAGCACGCCTAGGGGATTTTTCACTTCACTACGACCATGAATAATAATGCAAGATGCAAGATGCAAGATGCATGCACGACAGTAGACAGTGACTCCTGGAAAACATAACTGGCGTGCTGTATTTTATTTTCTTCCATTGTCTAGAGCGACAGACTTTCACGTTTCTTAACAGGCAATCTTGCCCACTGGGGACATGTCACCACCAAATTCGATCTTCCCGCTTGCTCTTTCAGGGTGCTTACCAGTTGGACACTTCCTTCTTCTCAGGGTCTGCAGCAGCCTTCCCAATCCCTTCTTGAATGACTTCATCTAGAATCTTGACCAGGCCCTCGACCTCCTCCTTGGTGTTGTAGTGAAGCAACGAGATTCGAACCACTCCATCATCCGAGTCTGGTATCTCCAACACCTCACTGACCAGCCTCTTGCTGTAGAAATGGCCAGCACGACCTCCATACTGCGATCTTGCTTCGATGGCGTCAGTGATCCCAAACGAGCTTCGACCCTTGACCCGGAAACTGATCACGGGCACTCGTAAACGACGATCAGCCGAGGGTTCGCCATAGATTTTGATCTGGTCCGGGTTGGAGCGCAAGTAAGACAACAAAATCTCCTGGATCTCCTCCTCTTGAGCGTGAATGGCATCCCAGCCAACTGAATCCAAGTAGGAAACAATCTGGGGCACGCTCTGCACCGCCTCGTAGTTTCCTCCTGCTAGTCCAAGGAGTTCTTCGACCGTATCTCCCGGCTTAAAGAAGTGACCTAGACTTTCAATCTCCTTTTGGCCTCTATCACTGACATATAGGAGCGCAAGATGTGGCCCGTAGACCTTGTACCACGAGAATGAATAAAAGTCCACCCCAAATGCCTGGACATCAACGGCTGCGTGCGGTGCATATGCGACAGCGTCGACAGCAAACAAGGTGTTGGGGTTGACTTTCTTGATGGCTTTGGACAGAGCTGCAACGTCGGTGACACTTCCTAGAATGTTGGAGGTATGTGTCGCAGTAACAAGTCGGGTTTTGGATGTGATCAATGTCTGAAGATCTTCCGGGACCAACTTGGGATTAGACCTTGTGTTTTGGGTCGGCACCCACCACTTGACTGTCACACCCTTCCACTCTGCCACCTGTACCCATGCAGCTATGTTGGCCTCATGGTCCAGCTTAGACAGGACAAATTCGTCTCCAGCTTTCACCTTGAGGGCTGTAGCCAGGTTTCGAAAGAGTTGGGTTGTCGAAGCACCAAAGACAATATCCTTAGCCGAGGCATTGATATACTTGGCGGCAGCCTGGTAGCCCGAATCAAATTTGTCGGTTGAAGTTTGTGAAACAGGATATGAGGCTCCCAGCTGGACATTGGTCTTGGTCAAATAGACGGTGATGGAATTAATAACGGACTGCAAGACCTGGGACCCCCCAGCATTGTCGAAAAAGACCTGCTTTTGATTGAGTGCAGGAAATTGTGATCTCACCGCGGCGATGTCAAAGGTAGACGACGGCATTATGCTGGCTGGATATTGCGTGTGTCAATCTGTTTCAATCGCGGATCAGGGCCCAAGTTGACTTTCAACCATGATTGTCATCCACAGGGCGTGGTGACACAACCATGAGCACGTGATCATGAACCGCCATGACGAAGTCAACAGCGTGGGGACATCGGCATATGCATAATTTGAAGATGCTGGGATCAATTGGAGCCTGCCTACATCGCTCGACGGGGAAGCGACATATGGTTGACTATGTTTCACTTTATGTACATACTATGGCACTGCTAAATAAGAGGGTGTATTCCAGAGATCGCTGCTGTGTGCTTGGTAAGAATCATGATCCGTTTGCTGCTAGGCAAATAGCCTATTGGAGAATTTGTCGGACAACGTGTCTGTCGATGGACGATTTTGAGCCCATCTCTGTCAGATAAATATAGACATGGGGTAGATATTTCGTGGTGATTGGATTGTCGAGGGACACGGAGGATTACTTTGGGCTCCCATCTACACTCTACGTTGTGCCAACATGTTGGATGATCTACAATCAGTGTTTGACGTTGTTGATATTGTATCTATGGTAACATTGCCAGGCTGGCCTCTTTTTTTATGGAAAGAGTCTGGAACAATAGTTGGGACTGGGTTCTGGCAAGAACGAACGAGCCTGGGTTTACGATGCAACATCACGTGGATGTTGGTTGGCGCAGGGCAGGGACAGGGCAGGGACAGGGCCACTCGGCCGTCGCAGGGCAGGCGCAGGCACCCAAGTTGCAACCCAACACGTGTTTCTTCCTCTTTGCCTGCACCAAACTTCTCTTCTCCCATCCTTCGGTGACTTGCTGCTCGTCCTCCCCCTCCACTTCGGCTGTCCACCCACCGCCACTACTGACAGCCCAAATCTCAACCTTGCGATTGGATTGAAACACCAATCCCTACCATTCAATCGTCATCAATGCTGACATGTGAAGAAAATGCCCCTCGGCATAGATACTCCGTCCGTTCGATGACTTATCACACCTATTCAACGGTTCCATACGGCCCCTTTGGGGCACAGCAATGAACCTGTCAATTTGTTTTTGACGAGTTCAAGCCTGATTTCGCTCGATTCACAGCATCCTCCTCAACACAATACGTGTTGTCCAGAATCTGTGTACCATTCTTAACCTATTCGTCTGATCTATCTACGCCTCAAGCGAGCAGGTCAACAGACTCGGCGCACACAGTGGTCGTTGGTCAATTCGCTTCTCCAATCGCTCGCTCACCCACCAACCGCACCACACCACCACCCGAATCTGCCCTATACCACCCAGCTCCAAAGCTCGCTTCAGGCCTTCTCCAACTCTGCCTATGCCCTTTTCTCCGTTTCCATGTACCATCACCTCAGCTGCTCACCATTACACCCTCAATCCTATATTTTGATCCGGTGATATCCTCTTCCAGGCATTTTGGGACCCCAGGACATGTTCTCATCGTGTCTTCAAATTTCTTCCCTCTTTGACGACCCCTCAGCGCACTCAACTGTCCTGTCAGGTACTTCGGTGGCCTCGACTCTGATGCACAATGGAAAAGTTCTCCCAGTACCGTGATAAAGGTGGCTCCTTCTTTTATTCCAGACCTCTTGCTTTCATTCAGACTGACGTCTTCTCTAGGCTCGGGCATTGCCCCCTTTCTTCCAATCCCTCCTGACCCCAAAGGCATCAGACTCCCTTTCCACTTCTTCCTCTTCATCTGCCGACTGCCCCTCCTCTTGATATTTGCCCTATCCTACTTTGCCCTCCTCCAATGGTTACCCATCGGTGTCTTTGGGAGGAAGGTTTCTCTCTGGTGTATACTAGGCATCCCAGGAATTTGGTGGATTGATCTACAAATTGATGGTGTAAGAAAAGGGTATGTCTTCAGTCCGCCTCGCATCTTCTGGTCTTAATCCTTATTGCTCTCAGCTCGTTGGCCAAGAACAATACTCGACTGCCTCAGCAAGGCTCCATCATTGCTTCCTCCCGAGCGTCTCCCATCGATGCCCTATATCTTGCTGCCATATTCGATCCCGCCTTTGTGGCCACCTATCCATACACCCGCCTTGTGGAGCCCATTTCCCTCTTTCAGGCGATATGCAGGTCGTTCACCCATCCAAGAGTCGATCCGCCTTCAGGGACACATCTCGTCGATCTCGACACCTTTCTTCGCCAAAACTCCAACCGTGTCACCGTCATTTTTCCAGAATGCACCACCACAAACGGCCGAGGAATACTCCCCCTCAGTCCGAGTCTGGTCACCACTCCACCGCGCACTAGAGTCTTTGTTGTTAGCTTGCGATACTCTCCTGCGGACGTGACAACTCCTCTGCCCCATTCATATGTCACTTTTTTCTGGAATCTTTGCACAAAGCCTTCACACTGTATCCGCATTCGCATCTCCGAGGCCATGTACAACACTTCACGAGCGACCAACCATTCCACCAGCGCAACATCGTCGTCCTTCCATAATGGTCATCTCGACACGTTGGCCTCGGACGGAACTGGTAGTGACGTCGACACTTTGGTTGGCAGTGAAGATTTCGATGCGCCGACCGGTCCCACCACCAAAGAAGAAAGAGTTTTCCTTGATAAAGTGGGTGAAGCCCTCGCAAGATTAGGACGAGTCAAACGTGTTGGGCTGGGTGTCAAGGATAAGGTCGATTTCGTCGCCATGTGGACCAACCCGCGAAGGCGATGATTTCATACCTACCAAGGACCCGAACAAATCCTTACTGTCAATTTCCAATGTCGACGGATATTGACATTCAGACGTCAAAGTCCCCCGGCTTGTCATATGCACCAATCAAATCCAAAGCCTTGCCCAATTGTCTCCTTGTCAAGTTCTTGGGTCTCGGAGATTTGACTTCTTGGTGACAGCCTTATGACAGGTCTGTGACGTGTGTTCGCCAGAGATTCGCAATCAAAACACCACGATTCTAACCATCTCAGCAGGTCACTCTCGTGTCTGAAAACCTCGGACCACGACCATGATCTTGATAAAATTTCCCGCGCGGTAGCGTCGCCAGAAAATTGCTTGTGCATCGATTACCAACGGATCTTATCTTAATGACTTGAACCCCTGACCCTCGCTGCCATGCACGGTCATTTTCTCTATTCTTGCTCTCGCGCATTATAATCCTGGTTCATCCCCGGATTTGACTCGCGATGGACGCGACTTACGACAGTCATACACCAGCCATTTACGGCATTCAACCCATAGCGGTCGAAAATCCGGGCCTTTGAGGTCGACATATCTTCAAGATGCACCTTTCGATGCGCCGCGCGTCGTCACTCAATGTGCGATCGATTCTGCTTACATCTCTGTTATCGTCACCCCTAATTCCGCGAGTCTCGGGAGCGAACGTGTTTTCGTACTTTCAGCTCAGCTCTTGCAATGCAGGCACGGCATTCTACCAATACTCCGACCCTAACAACCTTGTCCACGACATCAATTGTCATCAAGTCCCAAATGGAACAGTGGCAATGTACATTGATGAGCTTGATGAAGGATGCACTCGTACGTAACTTACGTAGTACCCCAGTGTTTGCACATTCTTACACGTGAATCACAGTACGCACATACACATCAAAGACATGCAGTCCCTCTGAACTATCAGGTGTCCTCATCACCCCCGGCACTTGCTTCTATGCCGACCATGCGATTCAACTGGGGTCGTGGCGTGCAGACTGCATAGGCGCCGATTACTCGTTCACCAACGGCGACGATACCGAAAATTCGTGGACTAGTGACAGTGGCAGTGCGGATGGGATCGAGGAAGTCCTCGGCACTGCCACAGGTCCCGTGACCATCACTGAGCATCAAGCCGTGATGACAAAGACAGTTGTTCCAGTTCGGGCCACCGATACTGATGACACGGTGACAAGTGCAACCAGCACAGCCAGCGACAATGTTGCCGCAGTTGAAACGGGACATGCTGATGTCGACACCATGAGCACCACCAGCCACCACAGTTCGAGCACGACTGGAAGCGCCTCGAGAAGCGCGAGTGCGGCTCAATCCACCTCAACAGACAATGCTGCAACAGCTGTGGTCATGTTCAACACGTTCCTCAGTGGCTTAGGGTTGGCTGCGACGATCTATTTGATGAATTAAGTCAGACTAGGTGGTCGAAGCTTGCATTCTTGGGGGGGGGGGGCGGGTTTTCATTTTTTTGACTATTCATGTTTAATGTGACCACGACAATACCACGACAGTTTTTTTCCTTTCTTTCTTCTTCTTCTTCTTCTTCTTCTCCCAGTACTCGCCATTTTATCATGTCTAGATAGGGCTGTGTGTCGAGTTTGGCACAGAACAGCAGTTTTCACGCTCAAGATTTTCCTGCCCCTTCGTGGGTTTCCTGGGAAAGGGGAAGGGATAGTCGGTAGTTGTGTCTGAGTAGTCGTCAGTGAGGTTGGCAGCAGATTCTGCTTCTATCACATGTATCATACCCGAAGATGCACGATATAAGGTCTCATCTGATACAAGGGCTTCTAGGAGGTGAATGCAATTATGAATACTTGAAGCAAATATTCTCAATGTCAGATAGTACTACTTAGTATTAGGCGGGCATTTTTCATTCTTCCTCTTTCTGGATTCTGTATCACGAATGAACATCTATTCAAGCAGGGCCCAACCGAGATTCCACCGACATAGTTAGGCGGGGAGGGAAAATATAAACATTAGCTGTAAAGAGGATTGATCCATCAAGCAGTCAAACACAAACAACACCCAGCCAATCCAACCATCGTCGGGGCTGAGTGATTTTCATACAATACTAAGGCGGGCGCACCGCCATTAAGAATGAGCTAGATAAATTCACCTGCTCGTGTTCATGAATCCCCTGTCATTTGTATTCCTTCCTCATTCACTAGGGCCGGGAGATTGTGTGTGAAATCTTTTACACACATATCTACTCCCTCCCCCATCCATTCACATCCATTGCACGGTGTTCATTTGTCCATGTTGGGGGTGCAACCGAGAACACATGAACCAAAGAAAGACCCAGAACCCACACAAGAAACATATTGGACTTGAAGCCGGGCCAGACTGAATGTTAAGAACTAGTCTTGTTGTTCATCTGCATGACGACAGGTGATGCTACCGCCACCGGGCGCTGGCTCGGTCGCGTTCACCTTCGACTAGGCCTCTCTCAATCTCGTCTTCGTACTTGTAAGTGACGCGGCGACTGCCGCTGGATGGACCACCACTGGCTTGTTTGGCCTTTTCACGCCGTTGCTGTTCCTTGAGCATGCGCTCGCGGTTGCGTGCTTCACGTTCTAATGTATGTGGATCCTTGGGCGGTGCCGCCGCAGCCGCCGCAGATGCGATGATGGTTGTTGATGGTGCTGGTGTGGCTGTTTTGCTTGAACGGTGGGAATGCGATGGCTGATGGTGGCGATTATGGGATGAGGATCGGCCGTTAGTGTGTGGCTGATTGTTCGGTGTAGGCGTGCCGTCGTTGGAGACAAAGGATTCATCCATGCCGTCACGTCGGTGTTCTCTTTTATGTCTTCGTGAGCGATGACGGGACTCTTCATCGTCGTAGTCGTCGTTTCTTCGCTCGTGGTCGTAGTCGTAATCTCCGCCCTTCCCCTCCTCTCGGTGTCGATCATGTCGAGATCGCTTTCGATCTTTGTCGCGGTCCCGTTCTGAGTCCCGGTGACGCTCTTCACGCTCTCGTTCTCTCTCTGACCGATCTCTGGCCCTCTCCCTGTCACGATCACGATCACGGTCACGGTCACGTTCTCGATTTCTGTCTCGTTCCCTGTCTGGTTCTCTCTCGCGGTCGCGGTCGCGGTCTCGGTCTCGATCGCGGTCGCGATCTCTCTCTCGTTCCCTCCGGCGGTCTCGATTTGACTCCCGGTCACGGTCGCCATCTTCGTACCTAGCTGATCTACTGCCCTTGTGTCTAGTTTTGCCGTCACTGTCATACTTGTCGCGATATGACTTTGGCGAATCTTCATAGCCACTCATCGCAGAATCACCATTCAATTTGTCAATTTCATCAGAACGCCGGGGTCGACGTTCAGGATACTTTGTAGACGTATGTTTATCCTTCTCTCCACGAGGATGCCGTGATGCCCGCTTGTCCGAGTATTCTGAAGCTGAATAAGATGCTTCTCGATCTCCTCGCCTCTGGTCATCGTAGCCATCGCGATTGGTGGGCTTTCGGCGACGTCTATCCTCATCATTGTCCCGATGCTCGCTGGGTGGGTCTTCTCCGCCATTTTTGGAGCCTGGTAGGGATTCCTGTTTCGAAGGTCGCCTGGAATCGTCTCTTTGCTTCAAGTCATCACGCTCACCGACGGGGGCTGGGCTAGCTGCACGCTCAAAACCACGAGACTGGGATCGGTGAGGATCTTGTGAGGCTCGACCCATGATTTGGAAACCAGAACTCGCCGAACGAGAGATTGGTCGAGATGGAGCAGGGGGTTCACGCATCGCTCTAGGACCTGTCGGAGCCCCTACCACGCCTGTTCCAGCAGATGAGTTCTGTGGGGTTTGCGAACCAGATTTCACATGCGTGGAATGTCCATTTTGCATAGAAGGAAAAGCACCACGACCACGAGATGCAAATCTACCATGCCCTCGACCACGATAGCCTCCGAATTCATACTGTGCGGAAGGACCAGATGGGGCGGTTGGAGGAGCCATGGGACCTTGTAGATCCTCTTCATATGCAGCTGGGATTGGCTTGGGTCGTTCAGAAGCCCTGGCATCAATACCGTCATCAGCGATCGAGGTGATCGGATGAACTTCATCATGGCCATTCATGCCATTGACCTCAGGTGCTATTTCACGCTCGGAGATATTCTCCCCAGGCACATCATGATCAGTTTCGAGCGGGTTTGCCAACGCCTTGTCGTTGGAGGTCGTCTTGGTATAGTCCTCACCCAAAGCTTCCTGAACGTCGTCCTGACCACCAGGTGCGAACTCGGCGTCTTGGTCAATATCATCATCAAGCTTGGCGTGGTTATTTGAATTGTGTCTGTCACTGTCGTGATGTTGATGTCTCGCATTGTCGAAGGGATTCTGGCTTGCACCGTACTGATAGTCCTGTTGTTGAAACTGCGAGAACTGGGTGAAATTACCACGACCACGACCATAGCCACCACGGCCCCGTCCACGACCTCGACCATAGCCGCGGCCGCCAAATCCAGATGAGAAATCACCATTGAGGATTTGTTGAGAGGGGCCTGAGGGGCCCATATTGAAACCAAAGTTGGAACCAAAGTCACCACCCATGCCATTCGGGTATGCATTTGGATTATTATTCTGCCACATACTGTTGTTTTGGCCATTGAAGCCTGAATACATGCCTTGATTGGGATTAAAATCCATCCCCAAGTTTGCACCATTCATGTTATTCATGCCTCCATTTGGGCCACCAAATCCGCCAAACATGCCTGCTGACATTGGATTCATTCCCAAGGGCATACCTGGATCAAGTTAGACAGGGGCAGGGCGGACGGTCAGGGCGTGGAGAAACTTACCCATCATAGCATTGAAGTTACCCATTCCGTTTGACATCATCTGCATCATCTGACTGTAGTCCATGTTGTTGAAGCCGGTCATCATGTTGGAAAAATCATTGGGATCCATGCCGTTGTTGAAGAACTGATCTTGGTTGTTTGGAAACGACTGGGATTTGGTCGCGTTTTGAATGGCGTTGCTATTGTTGAGACTTTCGTTGAAAGGATTCTCAGAGTCATCTTCTTCCGTCATCATCTGTGGAGGTAGTTCATCTTCTTCATCTTCTGCTTCGACTTGGATGTGGACGTTATCCTCATCGTCGAGGTCTGCGGCATCAGGATCCTGTGAGAGAAAAGTTAGAAAGAGTGTGATTGTAAAGACCGCGTGAGCTCACTTCGATTGAGGGTTGCACATCGTCGCCAGGCTCTTCTGAGAGTCTCTCTGTGGCGGCCGATGCGGGTGGGATAATGGTGGCTTCATCTTGAGGGCTGTCCCCGCTTGGCCTTACGATCGCATCTTCGGAAGGTGATATTTTGTTGGATGATACGGTTGTGGCAGTAGTAGCAGCAGCAGCGATGGCTCTTGCTTCAGCCTCGGCTTTTGCTTTTTCCACAGTCTTGAGATAGGATTTGACAGTCATACGCATCGCTTTGTTGGGCTTGCAGGTTTCGCTGTTGAAGGGTTTGTGGTCGCATTTCGGACAGGTGAGGTCGAGATGGGAGGTAAAGCCTGACGGGGGTGAGAAAGAGGTAGGAAGACAGGACAAAGTTATCATACATTGCTCGCAAATAACCGTGTCACAGCAAGTGGTCTTGAAGGCATTGAAGTTGAACTTATTGCAGACGTTGCAGTGTAGTTTGTCTGGTATCTTTTCCAGACCGAGACAGCTATTTCAGTCAGTGGCATCGCGACGGCAAGGAGTATCGTTAGGACGAACCTGACAGTCTCTGCTAATGTGGCAAAGTCCCAGTCCGCCATGTCGCTGGGTGAGGGTCAAGTTGTAGGCTAGGATGGATTCTGAGGAAGTGAGACTGAAGAGGGAGATGTGTTGAGGTTGAGGGACAGTCAACAAATAAGACCGCCATTACGTGAAAGTGAAAGCAAACGAAGTCATCATCCCTAGATCAGTCATCTGTTGATCGCGGATAATGATATGATCTTGAGTGGTATTGCAAGGACAATGAATCTGGATGGAAAAGGACATTAGTACAAAATTGGTGCAACCAAAAAGTCCATTTCTAACGGAAGTTTGAGGACGGCAACTTTAGAGACAGCCGAGTGCAGTTTTGATGAAAGCTTGAGTTGGGGTTCCCCACGTGTACTTCTGTCTGCATAACTTAGTATGCATACCTTAGGCAAACTTCATGGTTAGGTACCTAACGATCTGTTTAGTAGGGGCCGAGGGGCCCCTCGGGCCCGCCTCAAGCCAAACAAGCGACAGCCTTAGGCTCCAAACTACCAACAATAGCTTATCAGAACGCCTAGTTTAGGTGACAATCGTACCCCAGCACCCTCTCTTTGGTGGGGGAGAGAATAAAGATGGTACCTAGGTAGTGTACTATGTACGATGTGTAAACATACGGAGTAGACGCTTCCAGTCACAATTGATTCCACAAACCAGATGTGATGTTTAGGAATTAGGTTTCATTCATGCATAGATCCAGGCGTCCATTTGTCTACCTACCTAGGTAGACATTGCATCAGTCTCTGGTACGCTTGATATCCTTGATTGCTTTGATTTTTAAGGCGTTCTTTTGTCTCCACCGGGTGCCTAGGTACCTATGCAACGTCTTTCTCCGCATTCACTATACCAAGCAAACCCCAGCGAGACTGAATGAGGCCACCGAAATCATGCAGGACAATACGTGTACCTTAAGGTTGCCGACCCCCCAAGACTTCAACTGATGAAGTCACCAACGACCAAAAATCCCCGAAGCTGAGCCTCTTGTACATAAGATAAATACCCTCGCAGATATCATGACTCCCACTCCCTACTCACAATGAATCTATAATTGGCGCAGATAGACCATATACCACACTAGGGGGAATCCTCCTCGTCGTTGCTCTTCGTTCTGGCTAAATACAGTATCTCTGGGACAATCAGGATATCATGATTCTAGGACCAATCACCCTGATAGATTGTGGCGCCTTTGTTTTCTTCCTCGTCCCACAACTTCTTATCCAAGTCAACATCTTGTCTCTCATCTGGGTCATTTGCAAAGTGTTGCCATTTCTGTGTTAGTTGAGCTCACCCAGGAGTTTCCTTACTCCTCGGCCGTTATTCTGACATTGGGTGATAGTGCTTCAACTTCCATTTCAGCTTATCAGAGAACGTCATTTAATCGCCAAAGACAAGCAATCACCATTCTGTCAAAATGCAACCTTGTTTCAAGATCTGGTGATCCGATGTGTCAGATATGCATTCGCTAGAATTCCTGCCAGCATTGGTCGAGTCTTCTTCTCTAAATGGGTGGCTTATCCGTTCTTTCGATTTCGCCTGCTACGACACGGCTACTTGCAATGCCCTATGTACTACCGAGAAATCATTCGACATGGTGTGCGCGGACTGTGGATTGTGGATGATCCCACTGCAGAACCAGATGTTATTATTTACTATGCTCATGGTGAGTTTCATCTTTTGGTGCAGCTTTTCGTGGTCTAAACAATGGATGTACATGTAGGAGGCGGTTTTTCAATGGGGTCTACGTACTTTTACCTTGAGTTCCTCATGGCATGGGCCACTCGTTTGAAGGAGTCTGGTTTTAAGAATCCAGCCGTGTTTGCTCTCGAATACACCTTGGTTCCAGACGCCAAATGGCCCACCCAGTTCAATGAAGCACGGTCTGGCTACACTTTTTTGCGAGAAACCTTTGGCGAGGATTCAACAACCAATATTTGTGTGAGTGGAGACTCGGCGGGCGCGACAATCATGCTGAGCATGTTACTTCAACTCGGTCATGTTGAACAAGATGCTCAGGTCAAGGCAGCATATCGACCAGGGCTGGCGGTCCTCCTCTCACCATGGACTCATCTAGTCTCAGAGTTGAATCAAAACACTCCCAGTGACTATCTCGACCGTAACAGTCTCCATCTGTACGCAAAGCAGTATGCCGGCGATGCCACCACTGACAGTGAAATAATATCACCGGGTTTGAGTACGGGGCGCTGGAAGCTTTGCTCTCCCGTGAATGGATACCGGGTCATCTATGGAGGAGAAGAAGTGTTTGCACCGGGGGTCCATCAAATGATTCACCATATCAAAGATACAGGGGCAGTTGTCAAAGCTCACCAACTTGAAGGTGGTATTCACGCCTGGCCAGTGGTCAATCTTTTCTTGGGCGCGACTAGAGAAGAGCGCTTGTTGGGGTTAAATTTGATGACAGATTACGTAGTTCAGTCAGGAATGGCGTCCAAGATTCGCAAGACAACGCCGACGCCAGTAGTCTCCAGTTGAATTGAACGAGATTGCCATCAGATTAGATCAAGTTTTCAAAGTCTTTCACCGATGGCGAGGCATGGGCAGTCAACTACCGCGTGCGAAATGCACGGGTTGTTACATGCGCGACAAATTCATGCGAAGCCATCTCCAGCTTGCTCTGTCATCACTTGGCATTGTTGGCGCGTCGTTGAGTTGACGTCTGGAAAGTTGCTGAGATTTCAAGGGGAGAGACTTGTCTCATCTCGTCTCATCTGATCGCGTTGGACGTGTACGTGTTACACACCAATGGCAGCGTCTTGTGCCTGTCTAGGGAAAGAGCAGGTGCCGCTGGATGACGGTTGCCGATTGTAGGATGAGTTTCATACTGTGTGCCATTTCTGTGTCGCCCAGGTACGCGAGACGAGCAACGAGAATGGACAATTTATCCCAGGTGTTTGTTGGCACCCAGAAGGCAGCTGAGTTGCAGCCATGACATTAGAATAATCTGGGGTTTGATGCTGAGTGTAGAAGTTGGGAATCTGCAATAATGGTTCTGTTCAAGAAAGAGGTGAAATAAGGCTGTGGAGATGTTGCTTTTGGTTTTTTGCAAGTCTGTGGATTGTTGTTGATGTGGGGAGCAGGGACACTAAATTAGCAAAAGGCAGGTACGAGTACTGATTTTACCTCCTTCGCTTTGCTCACAGGCGTCATATTAGGTTTAGTGTCCTTTATTTGTAAAAATATGTTTGGGAAAAACTGTCGAGTAAGATGATTAGGCTCGATGCGCTCAGAACAAATCTTAGCCTAGATCTCTTAGCAAAATTATGAGATATGCGTAAGTTACAATCCTGTGACTAAGTACCTAGTATCCGGAATGTTCTCCTCGAATTTTTCTGAGCGATCTTGGAGTGCCCTGGAGGAGAGTGCCCTGGAGAGAGTGTGAGGGAGTGATTTCTAGACCTCTGTAGGCCAGTTAGTCGCAGCTGCTACTCGCTACGTATATTTTCGTTGATCGAGCAGCTAATGTATGCATCTACCTAGGTACATTTGGGTACCGAGTAGTTCACCAGGGTATGTGCGCGCCTGTCGTATTATATTATTGTTGTTGTAGAAAGTGCTAAATTGCGCATGCGTGTCGTGCCCATGTCAGTAATCTGGCCGTCACGATTACCTGGTGGATGGTGCGGGCAACCGCAAGTGGGCAAATAATAATAATGATATCAGTGCGAGACTCGAGGGTGATATCAGTATGGAGTCTCGGCGGGCAGGTGGTTCTTTTCTCAAAAGGTTAACCAGCTAGCCAGTCATTTAGTGTGGCTGATCTTTTTCGAACAGGGATCCATCCACACAGACAATAGGTTATAAGGGCAGTCATGCCCCTCGCCCACGACCCTTGGGCTTGACACCTCCGCCCCTCATCTGACCGCCCAGTAGCTACCAGGAACCCGGCTATCCAGTCATCCAGTCATCCAGTCATCCAGTCAACCAGTCAACCAGTCAACTATTGACTCCTCCGCCTCCCACCTACGGAGTACAGTACATATAAAGATTCGACTTTGGCACCAATTTCCCCCATCACGCCGGATTTATTGTTCCTCCGTGACTCTCTCCACCACCACCACGCGTACCTGCACTACTTGCTACTACTTGCGCTTGCACTCGCGCTTGCCCGTTCATTGCAATTTGACGCGTCCTGTTACCTCACACGTGATCATCGAATCACACCAGATCCCCAAGACAATTTTCCACGTGCAGAAAAGCAGCCAGGCCCCAAAGTTCCAAGCCCCAACCTCTAATCCCTCGATTCGAGTCGCGACTTTTCTGGCCTCAGCAGCTATTTCTCCCGATCAATCAGTCTCTTTGTGGGTCGAAATGTCGTCGCACATACGGAAAATCCATCGAATGACATAGGACCGGAACATCATACCCTGGTCCATTCCAATTCCAATCCTAGTACCCAATCTGCAGCCGGGGGAGCACCAATATTCACTACATAGCACGTCCCCCAAGCAATGACTGGCCGACACGATCCTAGCGAGAGTCACGACTACCGGCCAAAAAGCCCAGACTTGAGCCAATTCACACAACCTCTCCCACCTCCCGCTCGATTATCTCGAATTCCATCAAATCCATATCCTGTCAACACCGGCCATCCTGTTGACTCTTCTCATCCCTCTTCTGGTATTCCTGGATATTCTTTCTCCCCTCGAGGCTCCTACGACGCTTCACCCTATTTCTCCCCTCAGACCACCTCGCCTTCATCGTATTTTCCCAAACCCCACGCCCCACCACCACAGCAGCAACAACAACAACAACACTATTCGCCCCAGTCATTTCGAACTCCAAATCAGCCCCAATTTCAACCACCTCAACCTCAACCTCAACTACAATCACAAGCATCAGGTCGATATTTTAACCAACAACCCCCCGAATACTCTTCTCATCAGGACTCTAGATCATATCCACAAGGGTATCAGTCTAACATAGCTCTTCATCACCAAGAATTCCAATACCCTCCCCAACAAGCCTTGACTTACACGCAACCCGGTGGTCAATACGACGATATGGCCCGCACAAGATCAAGTCGAAATACCAACGACGCTGACTATAGGCCCACTGCTCAAGCACCACCCCCCATCAAGTCGGAACCTATCCAACAGATGCAGCCTCAAGCACCGCCTGCTCCAATGGATCCGACGCTGGGTATCGATGTCCGAACCAAATTTCCCGTTGCTCGCATCAAGCGAATCATGCAGGCGGATGAAGACGTGGGCAAGGTCGCCCAGGCCACTCCCACGGCAGTTTGTAAGTGATCCATAATGTGCGTACTTTTGCACAATTGACCGACTCCGATTTCAGCAAAGGCGTTGGAGCTCTTCATGATTGCTCTAGTAAGCAAGGGAGCCGAGGAAGCTAGAGCTAGCCATTCGAAACGTGTGACGGCACAACATCTCAAGACTGCGTTGATGAACGATGGCCAGTTTGACTTTCTCACTGACATCTGTGAAAATATCCCCGAGGAAGGGTCGAAGAAAGGGCGTGCCAAGTCCGAGCCCAGAACCGATAGTGACGAAGAAGGGCTTCCCAAAAAGAAACCAAAGGGATCCAAGAAGAAGAAAGCCGACACCGACGACGACACCGACTGAAATCATCATTGCGATCCTTGCATGCATTCCTGGATTGCACGACCTATTCTTGTATGAGATAAGAGGATATCTCGGCTTGACGAATTTTATCATCAAATCTATCCAGCAATAACGGTGACAGAACAGCAAGCTGGACGCATAAGCGTTGGTCCTGATCCTCCACTTCAATGAACAGAAAGCTGTCAAGCTGCCGCACACTTTCCCCGCAAAAGCCCGTTATCCATACACATGTGAAAGAGCATTAATCGCGCCATGGCCATGGGGCTTGCTTGAGGACCGCGAGCATAATTATCAGGCCAAAGAAACTGGTAACACCGACGGCAATCCATCCCACTGTCGGAGAGTACGCCACCACAACCAAGCCTAGAATGATGAAGGCGCCAATAACGAGTCCACCCATGAAGGCACTGGCCGTCACCGCATACATTTGTACAGCCCATCGGCTTGTTCTTCCGTTATATCCATCCCAATCTGCAACCCAACGCTTTTTGTAGAAGGTCAGCAAGGTGGAACCAAGTGAGCCAAATGCCATGGCAAGAAGGAACAACAACCAGCTGACTGCCAGAAATGAGTGAATCTCGTCCAAGGAGAAGGTCGGGTTGAGGGCTCTGGGAGCCTGGACGTTGCTGGAGAGCACGTAGGAAAAGGTGACACTTGTGCCGAGAGTACTGATGCCGACGATGGTCGCGAATAGGCCATTGAAGAAGGATGCTACTGAGGCTCCCGAGTGGGTCGTCATGGGTTCGATGCGACTGAGAGTGTGACCATTCTCTGAGAAAAATCCTGTATTCGTGGGGTACTGCTGGTTCTCTAGGCCAATCTTGCCCTGGTTGGCCTGTTGCTGAGACATAGAATAATCCATATTCTAATGATTGGTGCTTCGTGCTCCGGCCGCCTGTGGATTTGATGTGTGCGTCTGATCGAAGAATTCTTGTCTTCGTTTGGTGACCATCATACGAGTTTATGTAGGGTGGGCGTAAGTCCATAGAGCGTGCCCGCTGTTGGTAGTGCTGCCTAACCAGGTGAATAATGTCGATCACAGAGCCTTATTATTACACTGCCTCCACAAGTCAAGATGCCTAGCAAAACCTGAGGGGAAACGAAATACGAAGTACGACGGCATGACAGCATGACAACATTGCATTGCCTCTGAGGGAGCTGCGTTGATCATGAGATTTTCCCATGCTAAATTGTTGGCAAGAACGAGTGAGAATCAACCAGCTGTCAGCCTTGCCTGGAGAGCCGTTGCTGCCTTGAACGAAAGAGTCCCAAACCATGGAAGGCGCACCTCAATTGGCCGGAGTTAGAGGGGCAGGTACCCTCCATGCATGCCCCATGGCACCTTCTCTCTAAGTACTCCGTACGCGCCTCGTGCCTGCGCCAGTCTCCATTGGCTGACTGCGCCAACACCTGATGTACAGTCCACCATCCATGTAAACACCAACCCAGCACCCCAGATATTATCATGTGTATCTCCTTTGTGAACACATTGCGACTCCCAACGATTTATCCTCGGCATTGATCAGCCTCAATTTGCGAGGCTTTCATCCAGTCACCTTTCCAGTCACCTTAATTTCATCATGACTTGCCAGAAAATATGGATCTGGTACGTGGATTCCCATGTCTCCCGTGTTCCCTTGTCCTCATCTTTGTCCTACCGACCATACTGGACTGCATGTCTGACGCGGGGATCCTCTGTAGCTCACGCGCCTGATCGCAGGCTCTGGCAACTCTCCCACCAAACGCCAGACCAATACCCCGGCTGAACGCTTGACAACCTGCAAGAGCATCTGCAGTGCCTTGACGGTGAGTACGACTATGTCGAGGTCACATCCACTTGTCTCTTCTGACCTCGTTAGCAAACCTGGCGAAATGGCACTGTCGAGCGCGAGGATGAATCCGCCTTGATCCACACTGCCAAACTCCTACATCGTCTCGAATCTATTCTCCACGACGAATCCCGCAGAGCCGCTCCTCATTCCTGTCTTAAATATGTCGCTTCGAGTCAAGCATACATCATCATCACAAAACTTGCTGTTTCCGCCCGAGATGTCGATATCATTGCTATCTCCGCTCAACTCTTCCACATCCTCATCAATGGCGAGGCCGACGGACTGCTAGATAGCAAGTTGTTTACTCGCTCTCTGTTGGACCTTGTCTGTTACGCAACAATCGGCGGCAGGATTATCGTCGAGGAAAAATTGGAAACGGATTTGGTCGAGCTACTCTTTGAAATCGCGACAAAGATTCGATCCGATCCGGACATCCTACCCGCCTGGTTCTTCCCCGAGCGCGAATCCACCCGTGGACAGAATTTAGCAGATGAGTCTAGGAGATCTCAATTCCCATTGTTCTATGTCCTGGTCCAGTATGTCCACCACGATGGGCCTGTTGGCGATTTCTCCCGGACCGCCCTTTTATACTTGACCGAGACGGCTTCTAAATTTAAACCGCTCGAGACTTGGATGATCGAGAGCGATCTGGCACCGCAGATGGCTAGTGGTCTGGGTGCTCTCTACAGTAGATTGAGCAGACAGACCGCATCTTCATTAGGCGCCTCTCTCCCTATTGTCGCTCTTTCGGACAGACCCCAGAACAGCGCCTCCCCAGCGACCACTCCTCCAGATGTGCAACAAGAAATCAAGGCATTTTATTCCTATCTAGCATTTTGGCAAGATACGTTAAATCATTGCAAGTCGGTCGAAGTCGCAGACACCCTCCTCGACCATTTTCAAGTTCTCTTTGTCCAACAGCTACTTTACCCATCGTTACTTGAGTCTTCGGACGTCGATGGTGGTTCTACGGCCGCGGTCATCAGTCATCTCTCCAGGCTGCTTCAATCGCTTGATCATTACCAGTTGGTCGATCGGATCCTCGGCTATCTCCTGGCATCAACCAACATGCCACAAGAACCCAGAGACAGGAATGGGCGGCCCAAGCGCATGTCAGTCAGTCGTAGCAAGTCGATGGACCATTTGAGAGCTCTTGCAGAAGTTGCAGATGCACCTTCACCAAACCTGTTCAATCTGCTCGACTTGATGGTAATAAGTCTGAAATCAACCCATGTTGAGACCGTCAATGCTTGCCTCAAATTGCTCTCGGTCATCATTTCCAAGCATCATTTTCACGTCCTCATGGATTTGTTCCGCCTCGAACACAATCTTGCTTCACAACAGTCCCGCTCAGGAATGGGGCAGTTCAACAATAACTTGGTGCAGCTGTTTGATTATGCTGTCGCCATATCTCAGAGTGACGAGATGGACAGCTCATACCAAGCAATTCTGGCTGACGAGCAGGTGTCCCTTGAGCACCACAGTTGTCTTGCTTTTGACGTTGGTCAGAATGACCTAGGTGTTCGGCATATGGCCATTGCTGGAGACTGTAAACTGTTTGAAGCCCTGATGCAGCTCTTGCAGTCCTTCTTCGTCAATGAAACGACCACGAATTTGAGTTTGACTGGGACCATTATCTCGCTCGCTGCGTGTGAGCACATGTGTCTTGTTGGCTGGCTCTTGCCCTCTGAGAGGATGCAAGAAACAGAGTCGGAGGCGAGTTTGAACGTCACAAGTGTAATCGCAAAGCTCATTGATCAGGTTCGCCAGTGGAAATCACAACTTCCTGACTGGGACCGCCTGATATCTGCAAGACGGATAGAGCTATCCGATGATGAGCCACAGAGTTACCGTCAGCAGCACATCGCGATCCCTCCTCCGCAAAAGGATTATTTCCCGCCGCGCCATGATTCCCTGTCATCCACTCCGACAAAGACTCGACTTGGACCCAGCACTCCCCGAGGTCGGTCAGCCGAGGCATCTGAGCTTGGATTTACTGACGGTCCGCTGTCGATGCCCGGGAGCTTCCGGAGCAACTTTACTGATCGTCCTCTTGGACATTCACCGTTGCGGACTACCCTACAACGCGATAACGAGGGTGATAGTCAACTACAATTGGAAACCGAGCGCCGAGAGACAGAAACCGCGGAGCTGTTGAAGACACAGCTCACCATCTCGGGATCTGGGGCAGTTCCTGGGGCCTCACACTCGTTAACTGAAGTCCAGGGGGACCAGAGGCCGGAAAATGTTCGCACCAGCCTTGGTGCTGGGACTGCTGGTATTCGGACAGGACTGACGGCCAGCGGAGACTCGGGCACATCAACTCCAATTGGAGATGGTGCGTCCTATCCCAAGATGCAGGCCAGTCTCAGTCATATTCTCACTAATGCCATCATACTGCAAGAGTTCATCCTGGAGATCGCAGCGATGGTGCAGCTAAGGGCGACATTCTTTGACGAAGTTGATGTCGAGGATAGAAATCAAGAAAATGCATAGAGGGTCTCATGTCATCCCAATATATAGAAGCCAACGCTGCGACGTTAGAAAAGGCCAAAATTCCTACCAGCATGGTTCAAGTCCAACCAAATAAGTTGATGGCTATGCTATGCAGAAGCAACATGGTTACTCAATGACCACTTATTGTTTACGCGGCCAAGACTTCTCCGGCAGCGCCATTTCCAATACCTTCGACGTGATTTTGATCATGGTCGTGCAACGTGGACTTCTCATACCCGTCCAACAGGGCTAGAAAATGACTTCTTCTCCAGCTGGAAATCCACGAAATCTCAAAGGCATTACGTTGGAGCTGGATCAACTCTGCACGGGACAGGTCGGTAGCGGTGGCCATCTTCAGCATGTTCTCGTTAAGATAGGCGCGGAAATAGGCCGGGTCGTCGGAGTTGACGGTGACCTTGACCCCCGTGCGTAAGAGGGCAACAATGTCGGGTCCCTTGAAGTCGGCGGTGACGACGCTGTTACTGACAGGACAACAGGTGAGGCCGATGTTCTTGGACTTGAGCAGGTCAACGAGGTCCGGCTGAGCCAAGACGTTGGACCCATGGTCGAGGCGGTCGACCTGCAGCTCGGTCAGGGCCTGGGTGATGTGAGTGAGGGTGTTGGGCTGGTCGATATCGCAGTGGCACGTCAACAGGTAGCCTTCGCGGCTGGCGCGCTGATACACGGCCGCAAACTTGGCCGGCGGGTTGTCACGCTCGTCGCTATCCAGCCCAACACCGATAATACTGTCCTTGAACGGCAGCGACTCCATCAGAGTCGCCATCGCATACTCTGCCGACTGGTCCCTCAGAAAACACATGATCAGACTCGCCGAGATTCCTAGCGTCCGCTGTGCCGTCATTATCCCTGCTCGGTACCCGCGTACCACTGTCGGAAAGGGGACCCCGCGCGACGTGTGCGCCTGCGGGTCGAAGAACATTTCGGCATGTTTAATATTCTGTGTCGCCGCGTGGGTCAGGTAGCTCAAAGCCAGATCTCGGAAATCCTGCTCCGTTTGAAGCACCGTCATATTTGGGTAGTAGACGGCAAGGAAACTCGTCAGGTCATGGAAGTCGTATGACGACGTGTTGCCACTGCCGGTCAGAGAGGAGAGGGACGGGGGAGGCGGAAGTTTATTGCGTGTGGCCAAGGTCCTGGCCAGGTCTGGGGTCAGGCACTGGGTGATTAATTGGTGAGAATCGGACGTTCTGTCAGAAAGAGAATTGACGGGGTGGATGGACAAGGGAAAAGGGGGGGGGGCGGCGGGGGGCAAGAGGTGATATCTATTTGGTATATCCCATATAAGATGTTTGAACCATATCTTTGGATTCAAAGGAGGGTAGATCTCGACCTCACTCATACATATTAAAATCAGCCAGACTTACACCTTCGAGATGAACATGAAGTTCGGCCTTGGGCATTCCGGCAATCCATGATTCCAGGTCTGAGCCGTTGGCCATGATGGAAGGGGAGGGATAGAAAGCAGTTATGGGTCGGAGAGTATCAGAGGTGGTTTCAATGACGACAGGAGCAGGATAGACACGTATAGCCTGTAGGAAGACCAGCGACCATTACATGTAGATTTGTCTTGATGGTCAGTTGGACTTCATTTCTCTTGTCGTCGGCCTGAATGGGGGATGACGTAGAATTGTGGTTACCATTCCTTATCGCCGGTGTCACGATAAGGGTACTGGTGAAGGTCACGTGTGCAACCGCAGGTATGATAGTTCACGTGATGACTTTACGCGTCGTTTCGCGTTTTAATGATTTTGCAAGAACGTGGCCATGTGGAAGGCGCACCTGTACTATACATATAAATGCTGATTGGATCTGCGCGAACATGGATCTGACATGTAGCGAATGTCTAACGACATACTTTCCAACCGCGCAATGTGATTGAGATATGTCAAACTGTAGATTGTGGTTGTATAACCATTCAGATGGGAATTCTCGAAATGGCGTCTCAACACGGCTGGCGGCTGGTCCAAATCGAACGCGATAGGGGCAACGTGCAATAACAAAATATTAGGTAGGTCCTGTAATAATGTGGTCACACGTACGGAGTATACCTGGAGAAATCCAAATTGACCCCTAAAATCTACTGCAACTACTCTGTTAGGGTCCTTTGGTCTGGTTAGGCGCGAAAGAATAGCGGCAAGCGCTAAAACCTGGAAAGAAATGAAGTCGATCTTGGTGGAAGTTAACCATTCTGGGCCAGCTGAAACACTGAAATCCTTTGGCTCTTGGTTAAGCGAGCGAATTGGCATAAACACGTCGAGGACCGTTGATGCCCCCGTGGCCTTGTGGCCCCGTAAAAGAATCCGTGGCAGTCTCTGCGGCACCCATTGACCCCCGTAAGGTTTGACAGTCCCTCCACCTAACTGTTAACGGGCTCCAGGTGCTTCAAGGGTGCTGCCGAGCCCCGAACCGTGGTGATCATCCAGCCTTCAGAAAAAGTGTCAGATCGATCTCTTTTAAATTCCCCCCCCCCCCCAAGTTGAACTCAATGTACCAAGTGCACGCTCCGTCTATTAATCTACCAACAAGCTGACACGATTATGGACTTATTAAGTCTTTAATGATGATGATAATTTGTGCCTCCTGCCAGGCTGCTGCTGATAGTCACTACCTAAGATGAACATGAAGATCTAAATCCACCTCGGACTACTATACACTGTGACACTGTGACTTGGGCCTCCACCTTACGACCACCGGCTCCCTTTTCCACTCCCCCTCTGTAGTCGTACTTCTCCTCCCCCTTCCCTTTCCAACTCCTATTTTTTGGGATTGTCTCAGGATTCGTTGCCTACCACCAACTAGTAGCAGTACCTAGTAGTAATAAAATGTTGTAGGACAAATAATCCTCATTCATTCTCTTTAGCCAAGTGCTATCCAATTGAATCTACCTTGTCAGTATGTCCTGCAGACTCTCATCTCAATCTTGATCACTCCTACTTTCTCCGTCTTATCCAGCCCCATCACCCATCGTCCTCACACCCTAGCCTCTTACGCATCTCCTCTGCACGGATCGATTTTCCCGGCCACCTCGCCTGCAACGCACGGACTTGTTTTGGGTCCGACGCCTGCACCAGCACCACCATCACCATCACCACCCGCTCTTGCTCTCACTTTTCAGACGCGCCTCACCATTGTATCGCGTGTTCTCAGGTCCAAGCTGCACTCGCCGCTTTCTAAGGGCCGTTGAATTCTGGCCGCTGATTTGGCTGCATCGTCTCCTCTGTTCCTGCATAAGACGGTCCTTGGCATTTAAGGGAACCAGGAAACTCGACATCAAAGCTGCGCCCCGGCCAACTTCAACTCCACCACTACCAAACTCCTCTTCCTCCATCATCGTCCACGGTGTATTGCTAGATCCGACTTTCCTTTGACGTCTCCACGTCCATCACGGTCACCAGCCATTTTTTGTCACTTTTTTCGGCTGGATCTTTTCTTCGCTGCACCGGCATCGTGAGCGCGGCCACGACAATGCACCACCATTGAGACCTCCCTCTTGCGCTCTGCTGACATCGACCTTGAGCGACGCCCATCACTCTCCCTCTTTCCCGTCTCACTAATCTCATCGTCCCCGTCAGCTTCATTCACCATACCTATCCACGCCGCATGACCACCACCATCGACCCCTTCACTCGTTGCGCGTCGACTTGATCGATCGATATCCCTCCTTGATATCGCCATCATGTCCTTTCTTTTCAAATCAAAGAAAAACGCGCCCGCTCAACCTCCGAATTCCTCTTTACCTCCTGCGACACGAAACATTCACACATCCGATGGAACAACCGCCTCCTCCACCCTGAATGGCTCTATCGACAAGTCAATAGACGGTCGCTCTACCACATCACCTCCTCCACTCGCGAATTCGAATCCAAATGCCTCCATCTCATCCGTGGGGTCCATCCTCGCCAACACTCCCATACAAGGCTATCCCCGCCGCGAACGATCAGAATCAGAACTCGGCGTATGGCTCTTTCCCCTTCTGTGGCTCTCTTTTCTCCTCGCTGACTTGTGTTACAGAATCGTCCTCCCACTTCCTCAGCCGCGCTACCCCCTCAACAACCCCCCAATGCTGCCTTGTACCCCTGGTCGCAGCGCCGTTTGACCTTTCCCACTCCTCAATCCAATCCCTTTCCGCGTTACGGCGCTGCTGTCAATGCCGTCGCCTCGAAAGATGGCGACATCTATATCATGGGCGGCTTGATTAATGGCTCCATGGTCCGAGGTGACTTGTGGATGGTCGAGTCGGGTGGCGGTAGTCTATCCTGCTATCCTATCGCTACAGTCTCGGAGGGCCCAGGGCCTCGTGTTGGGCATGCCAGCTTACTCGTTGGTAACGCTTTCATCGTCTTTGGTGGCGATACTAAAATGGACGACTCCGATACTCTCGACGACACTTTGTATCTTCTCAATACATGTAAGTCCTTCGTCCTCTCGATTCTCCCTCTTATTAACCCTCCCAGCCTCTCGTCAATGGTCCAGAGCCTCACCACCAGGCCCCAAGCCTGCCGGTCGATATGGTCACACCCTAAACATCCTGGGCTCCAAAATCTACATCTTCGGTGGCCAAGTCGAAGGCCTATTTTTTAATGATTTGATTGCCTTTGATTTGAACGCCTTACAGAACCCTGCAAATCAATGGGAATTCTTAATCCCCAATACGGATGACTCCTCGACCTCGGCCGCTAAAGTTCCTCCGGCGAGAACAAATCATACCATAGTGAGCTATAATGACCAGCTTTACCTGTGAGTCTGCCATTTGGAGTTCGCATCCTGACAAGCACTCAGCTGACCCTCCACAGTTTTGGCGGTACTAATGGCACCCAATGGTTCAACGATGTCTGGACCTATAGTCCGGCAACCAATTCCTGGGCTCAGCAAGATTGCATTGGCTATATCCCAGCTCCACGCGAGGGCCACTCGGCCGCCCTTGTGAATGATGTCATGTACATTTTTGGTGGACGAACGGAAGAAGGTACAGACCTCGGCGACCTGGCTGCGTTCCGTATTCCCTTCAAGAGGTGGTACACGTTTCAGAACATGGGCCCCTCGCCCTCTCCCAGGTCCGGCCACAGCATGACCGCATACCGCGAAAAGATCATAGTCCTCGCTGGAGAACCAAGCTCGGCGCCTCGCGACCCCAGTGAACTCAGCCTAGTTTATGTCCTCGATACGGCTAAAATCCGCTATCCGAACGATGCTCCAACTGATCTCAAAGGTCCTAACAGTCCAACCCGTCGACCAAGCACAGAAGTCAAAAGTTCGAGTTTACCCCTACGGACAGCCTCGCGAGAAGGTCAACGAATGCAAATTCGAGAGCAATTCGCCGGAGGTCCAGTCCAGAGACCTGATGCTCCTGGAAACAATCAGAACTCTCGATTGCCACGTTCCTCTATGGGTGCCGCTCCTGTCGGCCCACCTCCTCAAGGCCAACCTCCCAACCCTCGCGTCAACGGCACTCAGTCCCCGGCGAACGGTGTCCACATGAATGGCCAGAAAGGACGTTACACTCCAAACTCAGAAGCTCGTGGACCCTATGCCGGTCCGGACTCGGTACGCGGGATGCCAAATGATATCCATGTCCAACCGAATATCCGAGAGGCTCAGAAGGAGAATAGCCATCCCTCCAGGGACGCCAGCCCCGCGACACACGGCAGAAGAACCCCAATTCAGCGCACCGAGTCCAAGGCCAAGGCTATGGAGGCCAATGAGGCAGCTCCCTTGGTCAGCGCTGGCGTTGCTAGACAGCGTTCACTTCGCTCCCAGCGAGCACAGAGTTCGATTGACAGTACAGAGGATGGACTGCTTGGTCGCAGTTCCTCTGGTCGACACCATGGCGACTCCCAAACCGAAAATCGAAGTCTCCGAAGCACCGTGGAAGAACCAAAGTCTCCGAAACTCAGCGTTCACCAAGAGGCTTTGGTCAAGGAGTTGGAGAATGTCAAGAAGACCAATGCTTGGTACGCCTCTGAGCTAGCCCTCGCCCGGAAACAGGGCTTTCAGACCGGGACTTCCTCCAGCCCTACCTTTGACGAGCGCGTGGTCAGTCAGGTTGCCGACGACGACCGCCCTGTCGTTGAGGCATTCATGGTCATGCGTGCGGAGATGGTTAAGATGCAAGAAGCTATGGAACAACAAGCAGCTGTCATGGCAAGAAAGGTGGCCGAGGTTGAACATCAACGTGATGCTGCAGTGACCGAAGCCGCCTATGCGAGAGCCAAACTTGCTGCACATGGTGGTAGCCAGCGAAGCACGCCCCAGCCCGATGCCCCCCACGGCTCTGATGACCAGGAACGGTTCACTGAATTGACGCGTCGACTGGCCTTGGCTTTGGCTGCCCAGACTGAGCACAAGTCAAGGATGGAATCTCTCGCCAACGACCTGAATTCGGAGAGACGAGCGCGAGAGCTTGCAGAAGAATCAATCGATGCCCTTCAGCTGCGGTACGACGAAGTCAGCAAAACCCGAAATCCCGCCGAAATCGAGGGCCTGCGGGCAGATCTACATGAGGCTCAGAGTATTGCTCGAACGGAGTCGGGACGCCGGGCAGAGGTCGAGGAAGAACTGCGAAAGTTGCGCCTTCAGCACGGTAGTCTGACCAAAAATCACGAGGAGGCTTCTTCTCGCCTGGAAACCCACACTGCCTCCATGTTGGCCTTGCAGGCGGCTGTGGCTGCGTCAACCGGAAAAGTCGCTCTCTATGAACGGCAGATCGAGCAGGAACGACAACAGCGAGAAGCGGCCGAACGAAAACTTACGCAGATTCGTGCCGAACACGAAGAGAGAACTAACGAACTGGAAAGTACATCTAAACGTTTGCGAGACGCCGAAGAACTGGCAGAACAGCACGCAAATGAAGCATCAACCCATCGAGCCGCTCTGTTGGCTGGACTTGCCAATCTGTCCAGCCCGTCTTCATTGTCAAAGGATGACCCAGTCCGCGAGGAAGAATTCAACGCCTTGCGGGAATCTGCCGAACAATCTTCAGCGTTGGCCAAGCGCAACCAAGAAGCCGCAGACGCGGCGGCACAGAAATTGCGTAGTGCTGAAGAGCGTATTGCCGGACTCGAAGCATATCAGGAGCAGTCCAGCCGAGAAGGCCTGCAGATCCGACGTCAATTGCAAGCTGCCTTGCGCGATGCGCAGAAGTACCAGCAAGAAATTCGTCAGCTCCAAGCCAACATGGAAATCAGTCAACGCGATGCCAGTGCCCTGGCTGTCCAGCATAGCGCATTGAAGGACTTGCTGGGTGAGCGTGGCTTGAATGGATCCGACATGAGAAGATCACCCATTGCGGACAACTCGCCAAGTTCGAGATTCGGTACGCCAGAGCAGGGTCGACTGCGCGAACTTGATCAACAGTTGCAATCCAGTCTGAAGGCGCACGAAGAGACCAAGATGCAATTTGAAGCCCGCATGCAGGAAGCCGACAGCACGTACAAGGAGAAGCTAGAGCAGCTTGAAAACGATTATCAATCGGCCGTCCACTACGTCAAAGGAACCGAAAAAATGTTGAAGAAGATGAAGGAAGAACTGAGCAAGTACAAGTCGCAAAATCAACAACTGTCTACCGAACTTGAAAGTGCCCGGAATCTGGGAACTAGCACTAAACAGGGCGACAATCCGGCATGGGAATCTGAACGCAAACAACTCGAGTCATCCATCGAGGAGATGCGGACGCAAACAAGCCAACAAGTCAGTGCTCTGGAGGCAAATGTCAGCAAACTGAACGCAGAGATTAGCAGTCTCAAGGCTCGTCGGGACAAGGACCAAACAAGTCGTGAGGAACTGACGAGGAGTGCACAAAAGATCGGAGTGGAATTAGAACAACTCAAAGTTGAAAACACCATGTTGGAGCGGCGAGCGGAAGCGGCCGAAACTCGGGTCACTATGCTACTTGATCAGGTTGGGCAGTCGGTGGGCAATTACCGGCGGCAGTCACAACTCCAACCAACATCTCTTGGGATTAATGGCATTGGTCACAGCCGGGAGGAAAGCAGCTCAACATTGACGGACGCTTCATTGAACGACGAGATCATGTCTCGGGACGAGCGGGGGTCCGTTGCTCTCGATAATCTGGCGTCAGAACTGGAGACCCTACGATCGCAGTGGGAGACAACGAGCCGGAGTAATCATCGAGCGAGCACACAATTTGAATCGGAGAGAACGCCCACGGCAGAGACTCACGGAGCTGAGCTGAGCGACAGTCTTGCCGACTGGCGACGACGACTGGAAGAGGAAGAGAAGGGAGCGAAGCGATTACCCGTGCTTTGAAGAGGGTAGAGAGCACAGAGCAAAGGAAAAAGATTGACGGGTGTCATGAGGTGTTTGATCTTTGTTGAGCAGATTTCCGTTGTGTTGACTCTGCTGGCTGATTGTTGTTTATCTTCGATTTTCTTTTATACACTTTTGCGATGGGAGCTGGCGCCGAGCTGGGGATCTGCGAAAGCATTCGATGGAAATGAAAGTGACGTTGCAATCGAAATCTTGAGCAAGTTCCTACTGGTTAGGGGCTGGATGTATTGTACATGATGCTACCGTTGTTAAGGGGTTGGCTGGGATCAGGACAGACAATGGTTGTTTGGGGTTGGGTTTTGGCGATGGCCGGCGCGTAGGGTTAGGTTGAGATTAATGCTGATAGCATGTGATCCTGAGTATTACCGATGTTTTGAATTCTTGATGTAGCATAGTGAAGCCTATTACCTGTCACTGTGTCACAATGATACTTTATATGGCTTCCAAAGAAGATGATGCCATTATGGAAGATTATTCCAATATGTACGTGTACAGAAAGAGGAAATTATGATTGGCCAGCCTTGTGTATGTGCCAAGTTATACGAGGCTGGTGACAATATATTGACTAGCCATATTAGGCTTAGTTGATCCTCCCCCGCATGGCTTTTCCAGCCTTGCCACTTGACAAAAGCTGCAGACTGGCAGATCGAAAGTAACGTGTACGGAGTAGACTGCAGACTGCAGACTGTGGACTGCCGCCTCAGGCTTTCCTGCTGGGAGCCTCGTAACCATCACTCACGCCGATCTCACATCTCAATTCTGGCGTAGAGGTCATCATCTCACTTTTTCATCCTTTCTTCTTCTCCTTCTTTATTTCCACCAGCAGATCCACGACGCATCTGTAACTCCTCCCAGTCTTGTCAGCTCATCGAGTGTCACACAAAGCTCGTCCTACATCATCGTCAGCACCCGCATTTCATCCCAACACGAGACTCCTCCCCAACCTATCTGTACCGCCGCTTTCATCTACTCCATTCATCCCTCAACTCCCGAGACAATTCCATCTAGTAATGTCAGATCCTGACAACGGCGGCTCGATCTCACCCAAACACATGTCTTCCACCGAGCATTGCCGTTCCGTCTAACCTCCACGACCCGTGAAGGACAATTACCAACGAGAGACTGTCTTCATGGCAGCTCTGACTGCACCTTCGTCCACTTCCATGGCTCTGAACGCCGCTGTGCCCTGGTCTGCGAGCCAGGGTGCTGATCAAGCAAGACCAACACAAGATGGCTTGGAACATGGGGCGCAGATCTCAACTCATGGGGCTGTCAAGACAGCACCGCGACTGAACGGGCATCAGCCGAGCCAAAGTGACCAAGTGTCTCAGCGCAGAATTATTCCACAAGAATCCGACAGCTACTTCTCACCACGTCCCTCGCTTACCAGTCGAACCAAAAGTGATTATGGTCCACGGCGGAAAGAAGAGACCGCAGTGCCAACCACTGAGGACAATATGGCACATATCAGACATGGTTGGGATAGCGAATACACCTCGACCGAGTATCTATCTTTCCTCCAGTCTACCTTTTACATGTATTTCACAGACAAACGACACTACAGTAACGGCTCACAGTCAGATGAGGCCAAGAAATTTCCCAGTACCGACTGGCGTATGAAAGATCGTATGAAGACGGTCTCGGCTGCCCTTGCCATCTGCTTGAACATCGGCGTCGATCCTCCAGACGTCATCAAGACCAACCCTACCGCAAAACTCGAGGCCTGGGTAGATCCCACCGGCAGCAGTGGCGGCACCACAAAGACCATGGAACAAATTGGCAAGAAATTGCAGGAGCAGTACGAATCACTGAGTCTGAGAACGAGGTACAAGCAATATTTGGATCCCTCAATCGATGAGACGAAACGATTCTGTATCTCACTCCGACGCAACGCAAAAGACGAACGAGTCCTATTTCACTACAATGGTCACGGTGTTCCACTGCCCACCGCATCGGGTGAAATCTGGGTATTTAATAGAAATTATACCCAATACATTCCAGTCGGCATCTATGATCTGCAGTCATGGTTAGGAGGACCCAGCCTATTCGTCTACGACGTTTCTCACGCCGGCAATATTGTCCACAACTTCGACACTTTCCTCGCCAAGCACGACAAGGAAAATGAGGAATTGAAAAAGCGCGACCCCAATGCTCCTCTACAGAATTATGGTGATTGCATCCAGCTCGCTGCTTGTGGAAGATCGGAGATGCTACCCACTAATCCCCTCTTGCCCGCTGATCTCTTCACCTGTTGTCTCACAACACCCATCGATATTGCTCTCAGATACTTTGTACTCCAGAATCCACTTCCAAACGGCCCAGTCCTTGAAGATGGCAAAATTCCAGTCCCCGGTCGACTACAGGATAGACGAAGTCCCCTCGGTGAACTGAATTGGATCTTCACAGCTATCACCGACACTATCGCTTGGAATATTTTACCGCGACAATTGTTCAAAAAACTGTTCCGTCAGGACCTCATGGTGGCGGCATTGTTTCGTAACTTCCTCCTGAGTGAGAGGATCATGCGCGCCAATCACTGCCACCCACTCTCATCCCCTGCCCTCCCAGAGACACACCGACATCCTCTGTGGCAGAGCTGGGATCTCGCCATCGAGATGGTGCTTTCACAGCTTCCCATGCTACGAGAGGCAGAAGAGGGTAAACGTGTCTACGAATACCAACATTCCACCTTTTTCGCCGAGCAACTGACCGCTTTTGAAGTCTATCTCAGTTCCGGACCAACTCAAGATCATGCTCCCGATCAATTGCCGATAGTGTTGCAGGTGCTGCTTAGTCAGGTGCACCGATTGCGAGCACTCGTCCTCCTTAGCAGGTTCTTGGATCTAGGACCTTGGGCTGTCCACCTCGCATTGAGTATCGGTATCTTCCCCTATGTGGTTAAACTACTCCAAGCCGCCTCATTGGAGCTCAAACCCGTCATGGTCTTCATCTGGGCACGCATCATGGCCGTCGACTACACTGTCCAGAACGATCTGCTCAAAGACAATGGAATTCACTATTTCATTTCAATTATGAATCCTCGCTCCGAAATACCAGTGGGCAATGCGAGCGAGCACCGCGCCATGTGTGCATTCATTGTTGCCACCTTTTGCAAGAGATATCCTCCCGGCCAAACAGTCTGCCTACTGCCCGAACTTTTCAATGCCTGTCTCCTCAACATGATGGAGCCTGAGAATCCATTGCTGAGACAGTGGTCTTGCTTGTGCTTGAGCATGCTCTGGAATGACTACGCAGACGCCAAGTGGATGGGTATCAGATGCTCGGCTCAGGCGAGATTGTGTGAATTATCTCTTGATCCTGTGCCAGAAGTTCGAGCTGCCATGTTGCACGCATTGAACAACTTCCTTGGTATCCCAGATCTAACTGATCAAGTCTCTCAGATCGAAGAAGGCATTGCCTCTTCCGTTCTATTCATGACCACTGACGGAAGCACACTGGTTCGTAAGGAATTGGTTGTCTTTCTGTCCACGTTTGTGAAGCGCTATGAGAACAAGTTCACTGTGGTCGCATACGAGCAGCTGGTGGAGGAGAGAGACAAACATCCGTACAAGGAGACGGGTGATAATGTTTTTGACCCCCGCGATTCAAGCCCTGCGATTCCCATATCAGCAAATTCAATCTATGGCTCCATCTGGGTTCAGATCTTGATCCTGTCTGTCGATCCTCATCCTGAAGTCGCCAGAAATGCGTTACTCATTGTTGATCACATCCATGAGGTCTTGATCAGCTCACCGCTGAGCCGGATGGCTTTGGCCGTGATAGATGAATTGTTGAAATTCTCCAAGAAAGAGCAAGCTCACATGAAGAAAGTCCCTTCACAGGACTCGCTTCGTGCCATGAACCGTCCGCCGGGAACAGGAGTGCCTCCCCAATTGCAAAAGTCGCAGAGCTATTTGTCTTTGAGTCTCAAACGTGCAGGAAGCTCGCTTCGAAATCTGGCTTTCGGTGCACCCGCGGAGGCTGTGAATGAAGATGCGTCCCCACAGACCTCACCTACTAAGAGCAGAGATCCACCTCAGCCTATGAACACTCCAAGAGGTCGATTGCCGCCAGAATGGAGTCGTCCACCCGACTCGCCGAACTCGACAGCTTCAGCAGCGACTTACCAAGCCGCCCCCCAACCTTTGTCTGCGGGGTTTGTAGCATTGGATCCGAAAAAAAAGCAAACAATGCCATTGCAGAGCTCTCTTTTGGAATGGTCAACCGAATACTTCCGGGAACCACAAATGCGGCCCAACGATCCCGACGAACCCGGATCAGCCGAATACAATAGCCGCTTGTGGCGGCGCACTCGTAATGAAAGAATCATTGCCGACAACCAACCCCTGAAGAGTATGGCGGGTAGCTCGAAATGGACGCGGCTCGAAGGTTTTTTGAATAACCAAAGTCAACCGACAAAGATGACGTTCCATCAATTTGACGATCATCTTGCGGTGACTGACGACAAGGATATCGTTACGATTTGGGATTTCCAGAAGAACGAACAGCTGAATCGATTCAGCAATGGTAATCCTGCTGGGAGTCGCATTAATGATGCGAGATTCATGAACGAAGATGATCAACCTTTGCTCATGGTTGGAAGCTCTGATGGTATCCTAAAAGTGTACCGGAACTACTCGAGCCCGAGTGAGGTTAAGATCATCACCGCATTTCGAGCCCTGACTGAGCTGATCCCCAGCAACAAAAACGCGGGACTGGTGTTCGACTGGCAGCAAGGCCAAGGCAAGGCTTTGGTCGCTGGAGACGTCAAAGTGATCAAAGTGTGGAATGCCGCAACGGAACTCTGCGTTGGTGATATTCCAGCGCGTAGCAGTTCCTGTGTCACAAGCTTGACATCGGATCAGGTTGCTGGGCAGATCTTCATCGCTGGTTTTGGAGACGGGGTCGTACGTGTGTTTGACCAGAGATTGAATCCTCGCACAGCAATGGTCAAGATCTGGCGCGAGCATCGGCAATGGGTGACCAACATCCACATGCAACGTGGAGGGGTCCGAGAACTTGTATCGGGGAGTCGGAATGGCGAAGTCAAGCTTTGGGATATACGCAATGATCGTTCTGTCTTGACGTTGAACGCGACCAACTCATCGGCCGGCGCCAACTCCGATTCTCCTGCAGCAGCTTCGACATCCAGCGGACATTCACAAACCCTTCTTCGCTCTCTGTCCGTGCACGAACATGCACCGGTCTTTGCAATTGGCACGGACAAACACGAAGTGCGAAGCTTCAACACAAATGGGGATCAACTTGGTGTTTTTGAGCCCATCACTAGTCGATTGGCACAAGTTGTTGGAGGCGGTCTCGGTGGCCGGTCAAATCACAATCCTGTAGTGGCAACGGCTTATCATCCGCACAGAATGATGCTTGCTTGTGCGGCATTGGGGGACTCGCACGTCAGTTTACTCGGATGCAATGCTTGATTCAATGATTTTTTTACGGTGCATGGCAAGTCATAGAGCTCAACTTGGTATTATTACAGCGCAAGTTTCAGAGCCTTGAGTCTCTCTCATTTCCTGATCCATTCGAACGAAGCCCACGTGGGCGACAAGGTGACAGGTGAAAGTCAATTTTGCTTAATCTATGTCTTGCTTTTACTTGATGTTTCATTTGGTCTGTTCTGGATATGCGTTCCGTGGCATTCCATTCAGTGTTGCAAGTGTCTATGTCCAGCACGTGATATCAGTTGATATGAATGCTTACTGAATACCTCTGACATCCCTTGTCTAACCTAGTCGCAGTGGAATCTCGAATTCATTTGCAAAACACCAAGTGAAAGGGTTGAGCACCTAGCAACCTGTCTATTTGCTGAGGTAAAGTCGAAGATATAGTGAAGTTCCCCAGAATTGCTGACCCCATTATCACTGTTTCTCTGCTAGGAGATTGCAAGGGCATAGGGAATCCCTCCCTTTCTTTGACATGACCAGCAATTCAGCCAACCATTCATCTGTCCTTTCATTCTTGTTCTGAAACATGCCACGAATGTCCGGTATTTGTAATGTCTCAGATTCACCAAACAGTCGTCAACAAAGATCATCAATGACGTTTAGATATTGCCTCTCGAGTCTCGGCATTGAACGCTGTGGATTGTATAAATGGCGAGCAAGCCAATGTATGTATGTGAAAATGCAAGTTGGACAGGCCTCTTTGACAGGCCAGCAAAAGAAGCATGGCGCGATTTCGGGTGGTATATTTTCTTTCATTTCTATTCTGCCTCGGGCTATGTCAGGCAACGGCCGTCGACTTTCTTCAACGGGCGCAGGATCTCAAGGCTGGGCTGGAACTGTTGAAAGAAGCATCGGCAGAGTATTTCAAAGAGACCGCAACCGACCTCGACACAGGTTCAGACCCAGAGTATCTGGTCCCTCGTGACCCTCAATTCGGTCCTCCCGGTGGAATACGACCAGGCGGCTTCGGTAGTCCTCGACCTCCTTGGGCTGGCGGTCCATTTTTCCCTCCTCGGCCGCCTAATCCAAACCCAGCTCCCACTACGCCCGAGGATTTTGCTAGACAAGTGGCTGAGTTGATTGATCAATTGGGAAATTCTTTGGAGGCTCTGATTTTGTTTTTGAGATCCAACTTTCCAACTCTTCCTCCTACGACGTCGACTCAATCGTCATCGATTACTTCTTCTTCTTCGTCTAGACCTTCGACCAGCTATTCGACGACAACTAGTGTTTCCAGTACATTGGTGACGACAACGACGACGACTTCAACTGTGACTTCGGCTTCGACATCTGGTATCACTGAATCAACGATAGAATCAAGCAGTGCTACCATAACTTCAACTTCTACATCGTTCGGCAGCACTACTTCAACATCTATCTCGACAACATCAGGTTCTGAAAGCACCACTTCGACAAATTCATTGTCGAGTACCTCAACGACATTGGACATTACGTCTTCGACGACTGTATCAGATGACACAAGAAGCACTACGACTATAGACCCCGGGACAGCAACAACCACCGATCAAACCTCGTCAACTTCTAGCGACGTAACCACGACTACAAGCGACGATGTCACAAGTACATCGGATTTTATGAGTACGACTAGTAGTACCACAAGTACTACATCTGGGATCGATGAAACGACGATATCTACGGCAATTTCCACGACGAGTGAAGATGACACAACTACAACAACGACCAATTCAGAGGCTACAACGACAACTACTTCGGTAGACGAAACAACAAGCACTAGCCTTGATGCCTCGAGTACAACCAGTTTCGAGTCTACCACTACCACGAGCCTTGACGATATGACTACAGGCACGACCACGACAAGTAGCAGCATTGACGACGAGACTACATCCTCCACTACCATAACCACTCCAACCACGACTAGTACAGAAACGACAACCGTGTCCAGCACAAGTTTTGATGAAAGCACAACAGATCCTCCCATCACCACATTTACGACCAGTACCAGTGCCACAGAAACCTCCTTGTCTACGACCTCAAGTGACGACGAAGGGACGACGAGCTCAATTACAGCAGTATCCTCCACATTTTTTTCGACCAGTGACGAAAGTATTATGACAACTTTTTCTGACACTACATCGACAACCAGCACTTCGATTTTTACTGATGTCACTTCCACAACCACTGACGGAGAGACTACAACCTCGACTACTGAACCCACAACCACTGCCACCACAACAGAGACCACTTTTGTCTCTACGACCGAGAGTGCAACGACCACGTTTTCTGACACCACATCGACCGTCACCACCACGGAAGAAGATACCACAACGACCACGACCTCAGATACCGAGACAACAACGACCACTACTACTTCCACCACAACATCATCAACGACCAGTATCCCCACATTCAACCCGCAAGCACGGAACCTAAACGCCGCATACTACGGCCAAACGCCACTAACACAAAACGTTCCACTATCACAAGTATGCGCCGACACAAGCGTCGACATCGTGATCCTCGGATTCATCACAACGTTCTACAATGGGGCCTATCCGACCCTCAATATGGGATCACACTGCTGGGCAGCGACGTCGGCACAACTAGCCGCGAATGGACCAGGACTTGTCGACTGTGTTGGAGACGGATTCGCAGCTCAAGTCGCGCAATGTCAGAATCAAGGTAAAAAAGTCATGCTCAGTATGGGTGGGGCGGCTGAATATTCGGATCTGGCTATTCCAAGTCCTTCGGCGGCGGTTGATCTCGCCTCGACTTTGTGGAATTTGTTCCTGGGTGGTGATGATGATACGATTGCTCCGTTGAGACCTTTTGGAGATGTTGTCTTTGACGGCCTGGATTTTGGTATGTGGGGCTTCTTTGATTCGTTCGATGCTTTTCATTTTTACCCCTTTGCTCTCTCGCGATACTTCTTGTCTTGTTTTACATCTCTACCCAAGAGTCCCTCCGCTAACTTTCTCACTTTGATAGACAACGAAGATCCAGCCAACAGCGACAACCTAGCCTCTCTGGCAACGGCACTACGAAGCCTGATGGACGCGGACCCGCGACCATTCTACCTATCAGCAGCGCCACAATGCCCTTATCCTGACTTATCTGTACCAGTTCCGCAATTCATCTCAACAATCGACTTTTGGTTCGTGCAATTCTACAACAACCCATCCTGCCAGGTAGATGCCGGTCCTGGCTTCCTAGCCTCATTGCAACTATGGTCTGATACACTGGGGGCCGGGTCCGGATCTCCAGATAAAAAGGCGAGAATGAAGCCACGCTTCGTGTCTGGATCCGGGCCTGGTGGTCATCAGCTTCAACATACCCACCGTCGCCCATCGCAGCATCCACGACACCGACCTGCAACTGACGTTGATGCTACAAATCCATTCGACGTGCCTGTGTTGAAAAGTATCGATAGCAGAAGTGTCAATAACGGTGTGACGTCTCCACTGTTGTTTATCGGCACAGCAGCGTTCAGCTGGGACACAGGCGGTGGCAGCAGCAACGGCTACGTGACGCCATCGGCATACGCGGCGATTTTGCAGGATGTCAAGAATCTGAATCTTCCCAATTTGGCCGGTGCTGCCTTTTGGGACGGTGCTTATCTGGTCACTGGTGTCGAGATCGTCGATGGAGAGCCTAGAACGCTAGCGGATGTCGTGAAAGACGTCTTGCGTCCGGAAGCTTTGGACGACGACGATGATGATGTTGATCCTCCTCTAGATACGAGGAGGAAGAGATCCATGTCGAATGAGAGCGAGACTGGAATGAAGCGATCGGCTGATGTGGTGGACAGGAAACCCAAGCATAAGAGCAGAAGGAAGGGTCGCAACAATAACAACAACTTTGATCAGGTTGATGAAGCGGCCAGTATGTGGAGGGGACGACGGAGTAAGTGAGGCTAGCAGGCACTTTATGAATTACTGTGCGTATACACAGGCATTGCTATTCGGACTGATTGATTTACTTCATTCATGGATTGATCGAGCGACCAGTCTGTTGATAAACGCTACTGAGTATTTTGACGATATTCTAGACTGTGGGTGGTATTGGATCTGCCCTGGCTTGTTGGTTGTTCGGATTCGTTTCTAGTGTTACTTCTGATGTGCGATTTAGGCGCATCTATATTTCCAAGCATTTGCATATTTTTTTTCAATTCAATTTCTGGGTTAGTGTTACATCCAATTCAACGTGTCTGTTCTTGGTTGGCGATTACTCTATATGTGCGTCGTCATTATCAAGGCATGTTTTGTCGAGTCTCTCAGTTTATTAGCCAGACAAATCATGCGCGAAGAAGGTCAAGTGCATGGATTTGAGATGGTCTAAAACTCAGCACTCTGTTGGGATTGCCTCTGACGACATATTAAGGCATGGGCAATGGCTAATTGGGACAGTTGGGTGGGGTTTTTGTTTCCTGTTCCTTGGTTCTTGTTTATTGCTTATTCTCTTACCGCTGAGAAGGTTGTCGAGCACAAATGCAGCACTCGGCACACATCTTACTCGAGTAAAGGAGAAGGCCGCCGAAGAAACAGGGTGCAAGGGGACATGTTCAATCAATTGAATGGCCCCATTTGAAGTCATAAGGTCATCCCCCAAAGTTCCAGCTCACCTACTTCCGTCATGACTCGTGCATCCGACAACACACTAGAATTCAGAAGAATGACATTTCAGACATCTTCCTCGTCATAATTCGGGTCACTGTAGTCGCTCTCCCCCATGTTCCCTTGAACAAAATGAAAGTTTGATAACACCAAAAAAAGTGGTGCGCTCGAAGTCTTCCAAGTCTGGAGAGTGCCTTGTGTTGGTTATAAGGTTGATTTTGTCAAGTTCTAGGGCTTCAAGGGATGATGTTATGATATCTGAGAGTGCCCCTAGATATAGAGGATAACTCTTCTCTATGTAAATACTTATAAAAAGAGATTAACGGGTCTATAGCTATGTTTCAAGGTAGCATCGTTCGAAGTCTCTCAAGCCACTAAAGTTCACGCCTAAAATTGCTCCCTTGGTAGACGATTAGCAATGTTGAAAGCCAACATCTTTAGATAAGGGTATTATAATACACCATCTTCCGCATCCTTAGAGCACTCACTGTTATATGTCAGAGTGAAAACTCTGGCTCCTTGGTCACCAGTCTGGATCTCCTTCTCACAAGGCTGGCACTCCTCGTCTGCACGTGACAGGTGACGTGGCGTTCCAGTCACGTGGCAATGATCAAGCCTATCTGGGGCGGGCATCTGCGTAGCGCTCGATTCTTTCAAACTTTCCATATCTTAGATACGTTGGCTGGCTTTCTTCATTTTGCCTCGTCATTTATGTTGTCTTTCTCTTCTAGCTAGTTGATCACATATAACTCCCTCTCATCTGCCGACAATAGTGACATGATTCATGATAAGTGCTGATCTCATCACAACGTCAATGTCCCATCTGGTCTCCGTACCCACCACAAGCGCCTTCTTTCTGGAATGAGATAGCGACCATTGATTGAGGAACAGCCATCAAGCCGCTTGCGCCAAACGCCGGGACCCAACCAGGACCAAAGACTGCCGCATATAAGATGTCCAAGTCATTTCTCGTTCATTTGGGAACCAATCACGACTAATGTTGTCGATGTAGGTCAGAATGGCTAATGAAAGGCAAGGTGAGGCGTGCTGGACAACAAACGTCCGTGAAAGACTGCTGATCGATGACAAAGGATGTCGTAATTGTCGCCGAAGACGGATCATCTGCGACAAAACTCTCCCCAAGTGTTTCAAATGCGGTACGAGAAGTCTCGAGTGTCCGGGATATGGACCGAACTACAGATGGAAGTCGACCGCCTACGATCAAACACGAGTCAAGACTGAAGTGGAAGCCTTGGATTTGATTCAGGAACTTTCTGGTCAAGCTTCAATGCACCAACTTTCGAGTTCTCTCGTCCAGACCATGACCTCAGACCGTGGTGCTGAATACACGCCACAACCCAAAGTAATGCCTGCACCTCTGTTTAATGCTTCTCATCTGAGTTCGCTTCCCGGTTACATTAACAATTCATTGTTTTCTCGCCTGTTGCATCATTATGTCATGGTTATCACCCCCGAACTAGACTGGGTCGACACCGCCGAGAATGTCCATCGGAGCATCATCCCGTCAATGGGCTTCAAGATTCCGTCGATTTGTTTTGCCCTTCTTGCATTGTCTGCCGGCGATTTGAGCACCAGGATGAAGCTCAACGACCTTGATTCACACAACTATACCAATATTCAGCAAAGGCTTCAAGAAGACGCACTCACCCTTCTGTCGACGCATCTACAGGCTCTCACTGCCTCATTCGAGCCGAAAGGTCCATTGAACAAATCTCAACTACGAGAGATGTTGGTGTCGGTCTTCCTTCTTGTCTGCTTGGGTGTTCGACTGGGCCGAAATCAGATCTGGGAATTACACCTGCGAGCTGCTCGGGCGCTCATCGACTCCTGGAATGCTGCAGACGGAATTGTTTCACATGCAGGTTACGGAGTCGAGAGGTGTATAATTCAGCTACTCGGGGAGTTTCAGACCTGGCTTTCGATTATGACCTTTGGCCAATCTCCAAGAATTACCTTGAAGCGAGGGCCTGGAGATTGGCATGCGCCATTTGACGGGTATGTACATGCCCTTGACCAAATCACCATATTGGCACGCCGTCGGCTACGTCAGGTGCCAATAGATACCGCGATGGAAGTGGACCGCCTCCTGAAGGAGCTCGAAGACACCAAAAAGACTACTCTGGAGTATTCGCTGCAGATACCATTCAATGCTGCCAATGCCCGCAGTGCTTTCTCCTCACTCGTCGAGATGTTCCACCAAGCAACCCTAATCTATCTATTCCGGGCTGGGTTAGACCACGAAACCGCCACTAGAGCTTGTACAGCCCCAAAACTTCGACTTTTCCAGGTGTTGCGAGGGTTGCCCGACATCGAGACGATTGCACACAACATGCCTTGGCCGCTGTTTATTGCAGGCACAGAATGCCATGGATGCGTTGAGAGTCAGAAGTTCGTCGAGGCCAAGATGCATGAAATGATTCGATTGACTGGGACTCTGGATCGACATCGCATGCTGAAATTCCTTCATGAGGTGTGGACAAGTGAAGAGATGTGCGAGGGGGTGAATTGGATATCTATTGCCCAACGATGGGATTGGCAGGGAAATGCCTTTCTCGTCCAATGACCAGAATACTTGAATTCCATCCTTGATGATTCTTCAACTTGTCTCGCTGGACAACTTGGAGCCATTATCAGTCAAGCAGCCATCAGTCCCTCCTCTTTCCAACTACATGTCCACGGTTTCTTCGTCCTCTACTCCGAAAATGGCCCTCATTGGATCTTGGTATTTGTAAAATCCACACGATGGCCGACTGATGCCGTACCCCAACAACCGCTGGACTTGTGGAGTCTGAACTCTTGCAAGCTCGGGTGGTACCATCAAGTACTGATTCTCTGCTTGCCGGTAGAATCCTTTGGTCAAGAAAAGACCCACAATCTCCCGGACTTCGTCACTGATAGTTGGACAATTGTTAGAGGACAACAGGTTGTGATCGCGGCTGGGATCACGAATATACTTACCTCGTTATGTTGGCTCCTCCGCCGTGATACATGTGGCCGGAGAAGATGAGCGCATCGCCAGTCTCGAGTTCGGCAGCGATGGCTTCCTCAACCTTTGGAGCTCTTTCAGGACCCCACTTGTGTGATCCAGGAATGACTTGTGTTGCTCCATTTTCCGCGGTTGCTCGACTTATACCAACGATACATCCAATCATGATAGGCTGATCCTCCAGACGCCCGTGATAGTCCCTGCAGGAGAAATATAACCATCAGACTCACGACCGGATTGACAACACAGCAAAAGTCATGCATTGCGCACTTACGCATCGTCTCGATGTAAAGCCTGTGCCGTGCCCCCGGGATTCACACGAAATCCAACCGTGGACGATATCTGTGGTTTCGACTCCACAGGTACAGGCTTCTCTCCCAAGAAGTATGTGAATTTGGACGTGAGCAATTTATTTGCAACGTCAATTAATAGTGGCGTGGTGAGGTAGTCGACACACGCGGGCGAGATGCCAACGAGGCCCGTGGCTCTCTGAGTGGTTGCTGGGAAGAAGCCGCTCGGATCTTTGATATCATTGTCGAAATACGGTTTCAACTCGGCCTTGATGGTCTGAGCAAGGTCGTGGGTGATGAGATTCTGAACGATGAGCCCTCCATCACGCTCAATCACTTCAATGATGGCTTCTGCCGTTGTGTTTGGATCACTAGCATCCAACTTGCAGAGTTGAGGCCTTGACTTGCCCGTGCCAAAGCCAGTGGCGCTGGGATGCGCTGTATCATATGTTGCTGATGGTGACATGTTGAATGGTTGACCTGGACTCTTAGTGTGTTTGTGATGACTCTGCCTCTCAACACTTTGACGCTCCTTATCACGAGAAGAATTACTTGGTTGCCCAAGAATGTCGGCATGTTTTCACCCTGATATACCAAGGGCTCGGTTGCCGCGGATTCCGACATACAGCTATTACGCGTCCATTATTTGCTTGCACGATTTTGAAGTCACGTCTAGTACGGTTCGAGCCACGGACCCTAACCGAAGACGGGATGTTATCTGCACCTAGGCCAAGTATCCCGTAGACATACTCCTCGAATCACGATGGTGATAAGGCTCCAGCGGCGCGATGGTTGCAGAGAATGATCTTCGCCGCTGTTCATGGAACACATCTGGCAATAATTTCCAAGTAGGGGAACAAAATCCTGAGTCTTTGTCCCGGTTTGATAAAAAATCTGAGTCCATGTTTGAGGTTGGAAGCCTCATGAATCTGGGGTATAAGCCACTAGTCCGCAAGTAGTTTAAATCTCTAAACTCTTACCTGATACAGTATAGCTCCCCACATAGAGTGTCACGCTTATCCGCTAATTGATAAGCTAACCCAACCTCGGTTAAGACTCTTCCAGGCCTTCCTCCAACTCCCTTCATCGACGGAGTCGTTTAGATTGTAGACGAAGACTAAACAAGTCGATATGATAAGCCACTCGATCAGAACCAGGTGCTCGGAAATGATAAGCCTTTGGTTGGTTGTCTAGCTTGGCCCTAATTCCCCGCCCAGGGTTATCCATTCCAGAGTCGTCGTGTTTGTATCACTATCTCAAGAACCTCGGATGGGGGTTTTGACTTTGGCACCAGTTTCCAGGCCCACTTTGCTATCATGTCACCTGAATGAATCCCGATGGCTTAAGCGCCCAGCCTTTGGGGAACACGGCAGAGAGACAATAACCACGTCCGCGTAATCTATATGTACAAATAGAAGAATGTTCCCAATGCAATGCTCCTTCATCACGATATGCACATTCTAAGAAAGGCTGGTAATCTATAAGGGCATCTTCTCAAGCGTGGTGGTAAAATCACCCAGCATCTCTTCCCCTTACCTCTCAATTGTGTTGTCTCCAATTTCAACATGTCCAAGCTTGTCGATAATGCCGAGCTGCACAAATCGACGTCGGCCGCCTCAAAGGCTGAGACGACCGTCACCACGGACAGCGGCAATGAAGGACATAGCCGCCAGATGCAAGTGACGTTCAACCTTTGGAGTACTCTCGGGCTTGTCTACAGCATTACTGCTACACCTCTCGGCGTTGGCAGCTACCTGACATTCAGTTTGATTCTGGGGGGGAGTCCCTTCTACATCTATGGCTACATGTTCGCCGTCTCTCTGAACATCATCCTCTGTGTCGCACTGGCTGAAGCCGCCTCCATGTATCCCCATCCAAGTGGTAAGCGTAACATCTGGCGAAGACACGTTGCGGAACATCAGCTCACCTCGGGAATGCAGGTCATATCTATTGGGTCGGAAAGCTTGCCCCTGAGAAATGGGCTTTATCTCTTAGTTATTGGACCGGAGTCTTGACCTCGGCCGCCTGGTTCTTCTGGAATGCCGGAACATACTTGCTTACGGCACAGATTCTTCTGGCCGGGGTGATGGTCCTCCATCCGGATTATGTCCAGGAGCCGTGGCACACCGTTCTTGTCGCTTGGTTGCAGGCCATAATCTCGGTGATTTGGAACATCCCGCTGTTCAAAACGTGGCCTTATGCACTGAAGGCAATGGTCATCATCACCAATGTTGGGGTCCTCTACCTTGCCATAAGTCTCCTGGTCCGAACGAACCCCAAACAATCGGCGCACTCGGTCTTTGTCGAGGTCATCAATGAATCCGGCTGGGCATCATCTGGGGTTGTCTTCTTTCTCGGTCTTTTGCCAGGCACGACAGCAATCAACGGCTTCGACTCGGCCTCGCATATGGTGGAAGAGATGCCAGATCCAGCACGTCAGGTACCCCAGGTCATGGTTGGAAATGCCCTTCTCTCTGGGTTTCTAGGCCTCCCCATGACCATCATATTCTGCTTCTGCATCTCCGATCGAGACAACCTACTAGCTCCCGTTGGTGGAGTGACCGTCATCCAGATATTCAAGGATTCCCTCAACAGCGAAGCTCTCTTCATCCTCTCCACTATCCTCTACGTGGTCGTCACCCTCGTCGCCGCAACAGCAGTCACGACCACTTGCAGCCGAGTATGGTGGTCTTTTTCCACGCACCATGGCCTCCCCTTTTCGTCCTGGTTCTCCGTCATCGACACCACTGCTTATTGGGCTGTTCCCACCAATGCCATTCTCGCCATCGCAGTATCCTCTTGCCTTGTCCTCCTGCTGAATCTGGGGCCCAGCTTTGTCTTGGCCGCCCTGTTCAGCACCGCGAACATCTGCTTCTACCTGAGTTACTTCATCACCATTGTGTGTTTTCTCAAGAAGAAATGGCAGCAAGGTCTACCTCCGCACTATTTCAACTTGGGAGGGCTTCTTGGCAACGTCATCGGCATTACCAGTGCTATTTGGTCCATCTTCGCAAGCGTCTGGCTGTTGTTTCCCTACTATCTCCCGGTCACGCCTCTGCTCATGAATTACTCTGTGGTTGTTCTAGCCGTACCCATTGCTTTGTTTAGTGTCGACTGGATGTTGCGGGCGAGGAAGTCATACATCATCCCTTCACCATTACTCATTTGAGTTGGGTTAAAGAGAAATTTGATTTGATTAGAAACTGAGATCGAGACTAGTTTGCCTGACTTGGGAGACCCTACCCGAAGAGCATTGCTTTTGTCTTGCCCGAGCTACTTAGACTACCACGCGGCGACTGCCCCTTCTGCCTCAGTCCAGCTTCATCTTAGCCTATTTAGTCCTCTTCGCTCCTACGTTTACCGGAGTAAAGCAATTACTGTCATGCACGGGGCTGACAGACTAGATATCACCTGACCCAGGGGGCTTGGCGCAGCCAAGCCTGGTGAGATTCGCTCACCGACTTTCCTGCTCAATACAGGCAAGGACCTTACGACCTCTATGCTTTGAATCTTCGTTATAAGAACACCTATCCAGGAGTGAATAGATAACCGACCACTTGTGCTAGCTATCCTGCCTACTCCCTATTCCATTCCTAACACCTCCTAAGGTGAACATCCGAATCACAGTGGCAATATATTCCGCGGAGTTATTTCCCAAGCCGCCCACACTCGGCCGTCGTCAAAATTTTCATCATATACCCGCTTTGCTGGTTAATGTCAGCCTTAAAGGGTACACGGAACATGACATTTATGCAAAGGCAAACGGCCTGAGCGGAAGTGTAACAAAACTTGTGCTTCCAGTGGAACGGGATGCGGGAAGCTCCCCCGGTAAAGAGAGCCCTTGTCTCCCAAGAATCGGCATCCCACCTTCCGCAGATGTCGACTTTTTCGCGAACGAAGCGTCTTTGTCCTTCCATGTTCTCATCGACATCGCCTGGCCTGGCACACAGCCAGTGTGTGCTTTGACGATTGCCATCATGAGGTTGTCCAGGACGGTATGGCCCGGTCATTGACATACATCTCCCTTATCGGCACGTTTTGTTGAATGCCTGGTGGCGGAGCAAATCGTAAGAGAGAAAGCTCCAATTAGTGGACCCATAAAGATAAGAAGTTGCAAGATGAAAAGGAAACATGTCCTTAAGATCTACTCCCCTGAGTGCGGCGTTGTCTAAAGGCGACCACGCTAACTTGGGGTTGCGACACTGAAAGCTACACATTCCACGAGAAGTTGATCAGTGGAGATATTGGAGTTTTCCAAGAGTCGAGTGAGCGTAATGGGAATGTCGGTGGCATCAATAGAACTCAAGACATTGCGCGACAGCCCGCTGAGGAGCTGCTCAATAAGGCTGTCTTGCCACCAGGACATTGGCCAGACGACCATTGTAGTTTTGCTTTGTTTAGTATCTTTGTCAGAGCCGAGAAGGCTCGCAGTCCACACGTGTGGTCCCACCCCCCCGTATCTTACCGTCTTGAATGCAAAGAGCCAAAATTGATGCAGCCGCATGAACATGATTCTGGCGAAGGTCAGCAGATTGCAGCCTAGAGTACACTTTCCAGCTGGTCACTTACTCTCGTTCAGCCTTGTCCATTGCTTCCCTTCTAAGAAGATGGTCGCCGTTTCTAGAGTCGTTCTGTTCCTTATGGTCCTGGAGAGCTCGGACAAAGAATCGGCTGCTAAGGCAAGGGTCCCGGGTGTCCTCAGTGTTCTGGGTGTGTTCGTGACGATGTCGCTATCTCCAGCGGGCGTAGATATAATGAAATTGGGTGAGTCGTGGTTGGTTAGGCTTGTCTATGGGTATCGTAAGGCTTCATATCTATTAGGAATGGAATAGGGAGTAAATAGGATAGTTAATATAAGTAGTTAATTATCTATTTACTCCTAGATAGGTATCCTATAATAAAGACTTAAAGTATAGAAAGTCGTAAGGTCCTCGTACACGTTAAGTAGGAAAGTCGGTGAGAGAGTCTTACTAGGCTTAGCTGCGCTAAGCCCCCCTAGGTTAGGTGATATCTAGTCTATTAGCCTCGTGCATAATAACATCGTATATTCCATTTGATGAAACTGAAATCTTGTCAGGGTGAGGAACAGAAAGACATGAGAGTGACACTTATACTTGCGGCGCGATCTTGAGCTTCGTATCATCCTTCGTCTCAGCATCTCCTGGTCCTTGTCTGATCAGAACTTTAGCCTGTCTATCGAGCTTCTTATTGTCGACGGGTTTTCCCTGATAGGTAAAAACAGTTTCCTTTCCTCTCGACGCTCTTGATTCCCTTATCTCGAGCATTTTGGTCTTGGCTGAGGTGGAAATGTTCTTCTTCAATTTCCATTGTCTGATGCGGTATTTGAGTTGATGAATCCTGGATTGACAAACGTTGGTCGTTTCTCTTTGGGGAGTGCACAATATTCGAAAAGTTAGCAGAGACTCACCCTACATCAAAGCCACACTGCCGATGAATGATCTTCCTGATCTCCTCCGCTTTCCGATTTTCCTCCACGTAGAGCTGGGTGACTATAAGCTTCAGGTGCTTCCACCTTTCTGCAAGAGGCAGATCAGCACGATAGTTATATGGGGGAGCGAAGAAGTTGTGGTCCATGGCTGTGCAAGAGATCTAAGGCTGGTTCAAAATGTGGCTATATAATAACAAGCAGATGGAGAGATGATGTGAAGGACAATGGCTTAATGGTTCAAGAGGGGCTAATCGCCAATCTTTTTATGCTTCAGTTGACAAGGCAGTAGCTCTGGGACAATACTCGGCTGGACCCACGATCGTGTAAACGTAGGCGAGCTTGAGATACGAGAGGATTACAAGCACCCCGAGACAAAAGTGGAAGGATTGTAAATGCAGTACATATGTATGACCAGGGTTGTGGGATGTTGGTACAAGTACATTTAAGGACAGCAAAGAGCGGGGAGACAACATGGTAATGGCCAATAACTCGAGATGACAAAGGACAGGAGCCAATTGGCGATATGGAGGTGGGTCGAGGTGGGTCGAGGTGGGCTTCGGGCATACCTATTCCCCTCGGCCCGTCGCTCCCTCCAACCTTAATACCAAAGGGGTCCCTAAAATAACATATTTCTTAGAATGCCAACCTCATTGGTGTTTCTTTGGCCCTGGCATGCTTCGCTTCTGCACGTTTTCGCTCGCAATGTACTCTGTACGGAGGGTATCACAATCCTGTGCACGACTTCTAGCCACAGCAATCCCTGGCGGTAAGAGATGACTGGCCAATGATGGATGAAGTCTCTGACCCCTTTGGTTGAAAACTGACGCGGTCTTCATCATCACCCTGCATTTACTGTTGCACCCTTGTGAAAATCCCATCAGGCTGGCCCTAGTCTTCCAAGCCGACTACTTAGCGTTGTTCCGGGTGGAGGCCTCACGATGATCCTGCAGGTGCCTCGCGTCAATTGATCCCCGGAGGAAAAAGGCCGAGGGGCCCCGGTGAGCGGTGTCGCCACCGCTTGTCGCCCCAAACTCTACGGATGTGTCAACTTGCCGCCTTGTAATCCCCGGGACAAAATGTGACTTACCAATATTGGATAATAAAGTCCCAAGAAGCTCGAGGTATCTAATTCTCATCCTCTGCCAAGCTCAGCCAATCCTGAAGAAAGACGACTGATTAATGAGGTATGCTCTCTCGGATTTCCTGCTTCCATTTGGTGCTTGCTGTCTACGGAGTACTTGCGGGAGGTCACAGCCTGAGGACGTGCCAGACAAAAGATGACGGGCCAATGTTGACATAGGAAATGAATTATTTCACATACTTAGTAGAATGCTCATTTATTGCTGCATGATTTACCGCTCGATGCCATGCTCCCATTTCTCGCGAACTTCCGCCCTGACAGTTGCTGGATCACTGGATGCCACGCCTTCTGACTTCATTTTCCGCTCTTGCATTGGTCTCTGCACCTTTGATCGAAGAACCGGAAAGGACACTAGCGCAATGAGCCAGCGGCCAACTTGCGGCGTAGACCATGCCCAGAAGGCCGCATGTGAATTCAAGAGGAGGCGACCGACAATTGTCAAAAACTATAAGTAAGTATCGATGCCGCCCGTATAGGTTGGGTTATGATTATCTCTCTCCATCTCCATCACTGTCGACCAGCACCTGTCAAAAGATCTTCCATCTCTTGTCCTTTTGGTGCTCTAATACTCGCTGGCCCACCTATTCCGCCCAACCATGGAGAGAAAAAACCATGCAAACACTAGGTGGGTTGGTCAAACCAGGCCCAAGCTGGAGAGGGTGTTCCTTACTAAGTAATCCCCTTCCAGTCCCAAGTCAAGTGGCCCTTCTCGCACGTTCTCTACCCCACCTGCCAACAAAGACAAAGCATGTCAGAAGGTGACCACGACCCTCGCCCACATGACACTCCGCCCAAGCGGACCTCAAGTCCATCGTCGCCTTGAAGAGAGAAAGCATCCTAAGCCCGCCGTGAAGGAGGTGCTTGGAGCACGTCTGTCTGACGCATGGAATACTTCCATGATATGCCATGGTGGAAGCCGCACTTGTACTTCAAGCCTCGATCCACACCCACAAACCCTCCACTTACCGTCTGCCCACATGGTCCAGAACCAGCATGAGGCATTGCAGGGTGTGGGGGCGTGGAGTGCCCATATGAGGTGCGATGAAGGAGAAGTTCCACAGCACCTGTATGTCGATAGCATCTCGACATCGAAATCTGCAGGAGCAAGAAGCCATGGTGATGGCCTGAGCATGTGGAATAGGGAGGAACAAGCTGATAGAGTTCTCTCTTGCCTCAAGGCTATCAGAGACTTCGAGTCCCTCTTCAAACCATGATATGATGCCTAGGAAAAGGCCACTCGAGTCTGATGTTCAGGTCAATTTGTTTGGAAGAAGTCAATCTGTCGGTGGAGCCGTGGTTGGAGTTGGAGTATCACGTGGGACCAAGCATCGGGAATCACATGACTGGGGAAACCTTGGCATTCTTCATGATATCCCCGAGTGCCACTCTTCCTTTCTCTTAGTTTTAGCCTCGTACTACAATTCATCTATTATCATCATCTCTTGCTACACCATGAAACGTAGCCCTGCCAACAACACAACATCAGTGTGTATTAATCTTTACCCTTTAAGGGACTAAATATATACATGTACATATATACACAACCATGGCGGCAAGAACCAAGTCTATAATTGCTGACCTGATGGCATGGTGATCAAAGGCCATCCGGGTGTGCCTGGCGAGTCAAAGTAATGATTTGGGCTGAAATCCATGACGACATCCGATATGCTTCCCGCAAATGCAGCCGAACCAGCAGCGTTGACAGTCGCTCCATTCCTGATGTTGACAGGTAAAGAGTTCTGCGATTGTGGAGGGGTAGGGTAATTGAGGTACATGTTCCCAGAGTCGTTCAAGAGTGAGGCAAGAGATGTAGGAGCTGGATGCGAAGGTGATGCGGGCAGCGGTGATTGAGACAATGGAAAGACGGGAGGAGGATATAGAGGAGAGGCTGGGCTTTGGCTTTTGCGCTGAAGTGAGGAAGGACTCGAATGAGAATGGTTGGAAAATGTCGAGGCTTGCATTTGAAAGGGCCATTGATGTTGCTGGCGGAGCTGTGAAATGTGGTTTCCGTTCAATATAGGCTGGGGTTGACTCTGTGGACGACCACCATTTGGGTGGTTTAAGCCCGGTTGGGGGAGAGGAAGGGATTTGCTGTGGTAGTCTGGATAGGTGTTGGGGGTAGCAGGGCTGATGCCATTGGATTCTTGCCTGACATGTGATTGAAGAGGTCCAGTTCCGTTTAGTGTGGCGAATGTTGTCGGGGTGGGAGAGGATGTTGGTGCTGCCGAGACCAACATCAGCTTTCGATAGTCGTCCTCTAGGCTTTGAACGCGAGGCTGAAACTGACGCTGGAGATGATTCCCCGTTCCTACAAGATACATGTCAGCATGAAAGAGTCAAAGGCAAAGGGAAGGAGGGCATGGACTGACGCAGGACAAGATCAGCATATGCCATCAACGAAACCCAACCATTGAGTTCATTGCACATGCTCTCAAACTGTTCGTGCGAAAGACGAGTAAGTCGTTTCCGGTAGTAATGAAGAGTGATGCCAAAGCCCGTGGCATAAGCCGATGTACTGTGCCACGTGAAATCCACGCCCTTGTACTTTGATGACAAGACATGGAACGTCTGTAAAAGGCGTCTGGATGCCTTGAGGCACATGTCGAGATTTCGATCCTGGACCTCAGGGTCGTCACTCGTGCAGCAAGCAGGGTGGTAGAGGTTTAACTGGTATTCGGCAGCCCATGTCTCGAAAAGGAGAGTGGCCACCACCAAATTAACATGTCTGGGTTCGGCCTTGATGGAATCATCCCAGTCTTGTTTCCACGCAGTGATCTTGGTGTTGAGAGCATCGAGGGTTTTGATGTACTCTGGGGCCGGTTTTCTGACCGCATGTACGTGGTTGTGGAGCTCGGTCAACAATGGGAGTAATTTGGCTAGGTGGATGCACGGCCAAAAGTCACATTGCCCCGACAGGTCCGAGATGATTCCCTGTTTAGAGATTTCCGAATCCTTGAGCGCTCGAGGTAGAGGGAGGTCGATGTGCTGGAACTGCCAAGGAGCAGGCAAGCCGACCCTGCAGCCGGTGGTGACGCAGATGCCGAGCATGGAATGAAAGATGCGTTTGCGAAGTTCTTTGGAGAGAGGATCGTCTTCACCTGGGGGCAACTTGATCTTATCAGGATCGCGATGATAGTTGAGCTCAATGGCGCGGACAAGCACCTTGTGGCTGTACATCCACGAGAGACCAGGCTTAGGGAGGTTGCGAAATTGAACCATCATCAGAGTCATGGCTTGCATGGATGGGATCGAGGTGTCGATGAAGAGCTCGCGATAGAAGCCGAGAGCATAATGAAGATAACGATAGCAAGCTTGGAACTTCTCGGCCGAGGATTGATGATTCCGAATGGCGGTTTGATGGGCGAGAATGGCAAAGACCATGACGACTAGAGCGGTTTCGGAAGGGGAGACGGAGTCAGGGTGGTCGTAGAATCTGTTGACCAAGTCGATGAAACTGGGTCTGTGAACGATGGGTACATACTGAGACATGATGACAAGAAAATGATTCGCGTCTTTCAGACCATCTTCTTTGCAAGGGAGATCTGGGTCTTTGATCATTTGATAGCCCATTATTGTGTTTAGGATGGATGGCCATGACAAATTGAAGATGTCTTTGGCATTAGGATCGGTGTTGTCCATCATCTCACAGGGCCAGTCGGTGATGTCAATGGTACCGTCCATTACATTGACCTTGGTCCCCGAGACAGGACCACAGCGGAGGGGTTCTGAGAAGCCTGGGGAGGGCCATCCAACATAATGAGCATCGGGAACAGATAATGTATGAGGCGAGGTAGCGGACTGGAGGGGTGGATGTGTTTTTGTCGAGAGAGGGACAGGCGACATGTCGGCGGGCGGCCGTCGGAGAGGATCTGTCTGGTGTAACGAGCCGTACTTGTGTTGGTAGGTGGCGAGTTGTTCTCGAAGATAGGTTAATTCGGATTCTGTCCTGTCAAGTTCACCCCGCTCTCTTGCTTGACCGGTGACACGGTCGGTGGTGTAACAGCGCATGCCCTTTTGGCGACATGGTTGGCAGGCACTGGGATCGGTGTCGCATTTCATTTTTCTTTCCTTACACCTGTCGCATGCCTGCCCTGTCCGGGAGGTGGAGGCGAGTTTCTTGCGAACGGCATCGCTGTAGAGCTCGGGCTCTTCGACCAAACTCTTGATCTTTTTGGCAAGGGGACCATCGTCGGAGAGGGGAGAAGGACGTTTAGGTGGCGGTTTGTCCATCAGTGACGACAGGATGGAGAGGGTGTGAAGAAAGGATGGTGAGGTTCTGGATGTGGGATGTGGACGTGGACGTGGATGTGGGATGTTCGAGATGAAGATGCAAGGCAATGTGAGGCAGGTGCGATCGCAGTCTCGCAATTGCCGTCGCACCTGCACCTGCACCTGCACCTGCACCCTGCGAAACTAGTGGCAAGTACCGCCAGACATGGATCGATCACCAGCAGGTCCGACGGTGGCACGGGTGAGCACGTGGGGTAGGGAAATGGGACGACCAACAGGGAGAAGGCGAAAGATGGAGTTTTGCAAGTCGATTATAGGGCCGAGGGGCTAGGGGGGGGCCGGGACAGTGTTAAAGTTCTTCTATCTCAAGCACTCTACGGAGTACTTACGGAGTAGGCTGAGTTATCCGGGCAGAGGCGAATCGTGATTGTGGGTGGATTGAGATGATGACTTGTTGTGACGTATGTGGATTAGGTCATGTTCTAGGCCAAAGAACGGTGGTCTGGGCGAGGTAGAAGACCTCCTCGGCCTAAATGATAGGCTTACTGGTCAAAGGTGTCAGCTGGAAAACTGCTGAAGAAACTAAAATCAGAAGATACTGTACCTTGAAGCCATGGGATTGAGGGTGGTCCGTGCATGTTGAGATTGAATTATATCGTCACGATCATGCAGGAGGCTGGACCAGGCCCATGGGTGCCACTCAAGGTTGTGGTTCGTATATAGGTACGTAGGTCTGTATACGGATGACGGTATGTGTGAGGGAATCTATAGGAAGTACTGGCAATCATCCTGCTAACAGTCGCTTAAGTAAGGTAGGTGGATATTTTGGGGCCCGATTGATCTACAGTAGTACCCATACTCTGTACATACGAGAGTTCAAGCGGTCGGGGCCTGGGCCGGAAGGGTCTTGGTCCTGTGAGGCAAACTCGTAGGGCCAACGGGCCTAAACTTTACGGAGGTAAGTCTCCCAGGGCTCGAGGGGTACCTATCAGTGCTAACTAACTGCAGCTAGCAGGCGTTGGAGCTTCGCCGGTGACTGGTTCTCGGGCAAGACCCTTCGGCACCCTGGTCAAGGCATCTAAGCTCATCTAAGAACAAGTACAGTACATATATTGATGCATACCACTTGAGAATTGGAACAGCTCGGACGACAAGTCAAGTCTCCCAAAGTGATCTCCATGAGGACACTCCTTGATATTTTTGTATGGTATGAGATTGGGTCAGATGGATCAGACTCATTCATCTGCGTCTCTTGTTTATCACTTGTTCCTGTCTCAAATTTCACGTGATAATTCTTCTTCTTCTGCTTGGCGCCCCTCGGCCTCTCCATCTGCTCTGGTCTGATCCTCTTCCATGGGTTATTCCTTTTACTCGCGAATCCATCCCATTCATCCATTCATGTACCCACCTATTTAGATATCAATCAAATCTTTGATATCATACAATCGATATGGATCTCCCCATGGACGCATCATAGTCAAAGTTATCGGAAAATGCTCCTCATCCAACCACATGCCTTCCACGCTAGGAGAGCTGACCCTCTCGATAGTCTTTAACATTCTCCTCCACCTTGGCAGTCAACCTAGATCTGAGAATGCCATCTACTATATCTAATTCATCTCGAAACCGCAAGGACTCACATACGCGTCCTCGTGTTTCTTTGTCGGAGCCGAAAATCACCAACACGAGCCTCCCAGACTCCCGAAAACACTCTTCTGAGTCCTCCACTGTACCTCAGAACTCCTTATTTGTCGTGGATCTTTCTGGAGATAGGCGTAACCTGCAGTATGGGGAACCAGATCGATATGCAACTCCCCGATATCGCCTAGCCGGCAGAGGTGCTTCCATTGGTCTTGATCGCAGCCATCGCACTGTCGGCTCCACCGATGCTAGATTTCGTAAAATACAGAATGTCGAGCTTGACCTGGGCCAGAGGTCTTCCAAACACTCTCTATTGTCTACATTGCCCTCGGAACCACCATACCAGATCAGGAATCAATCTAACCCCACAGATGATCTGAATCGAGATTTCATTGCCCTGCAACACCTCCCGCCCACCAAGAAGCGACGCCTGGTGTTGGGAGGGCTGGATGACCCTCATTCCACTGATGATGAGTCCGACGAATCAGAGACCATTGAACAAGATGATTTAGATACCAAATTTGAGACGTTCAAGAACGATCCGGTGCATCAAGAACACATGCGCCTCTCACAAGCAACTAAAGACCACCCGCAAGATGCCGAAGCCTGGCTGAAACTTATCGAGTACCAAGATCTCGCGTATGATGCCACGAATGGCCCCCAGGAATCACCTGCTCTATCCACCAATGGCTTGATAGACCTCAAGATTTCGCTGTATGAGCAGGCTCTGGCACGGGTCAAGGACAGAACGTCAAGGGAAATCCTCATCACCGGCCTGATGCACCAAGGCAGCAGGATTTGGGACTTACAGAAACAGAGGTCTCAGTGGCAAGCCTACTTGAATCAGGATTCTTCTTTTGATCTCTGGGTCATGTATCTGAATTTCGTACAGACCACTTCTGTTGGCTACTCTACCCAGGAATGCTTGAAGGTTTACAGGCGCTGCTCATCCCTCTTCAGTCTGCACCCCGCAGCTGCAGATCGAGACAATCAGCTGATTTATCTTGTCCTGCGTACATCTCTCCTGCTATGGGAAACCGATCATACCGAACTGGCCATCGGCTTATGGCAGGCACTCTTGGAGTTCGCGTTTTTCCGACCTCCCGATCTGACATCTGACCATATCATGTCCTCCTTCGAGGAATTCTGGCACCGCGAGACCCCACGCATTGGCGAAGAGGGTGCAATGGGATGGAGCTCCGATAGCAGGGTACAGGTCAATGCTCGATCTGACCTCAAGCCAGGTATCATGACCAGTCCTCCGATCCAGAGTTGGGCATCAATCGAAATGGCCTTGTCTCAGAATGCTGGGCTCCCAGCTAGGTCACTGGATGAGGTTGACGAGGCTGATCCCTACCGCGTTGTTCTCTTCTCCGACATATCCCCTCACCTTTTTTGCCCAACCACTGACGAGGGCCTCTCGTTACTATTGGACGCGTTCTTGGTCTTTGCCGGCCTAGATCCTGTTGCATCCCTGCTCAAGTCGCAAGGCTGGCAGCGAGATCCCTTCCTTTCCACTCGGTCGGCCCACTCCCAGCAACTCGTCAGTCCACCAGAGATTCCGCTGCAGGAGAACTTGGCCAATCGCCTATCAATGTCACAACGACCTGCCGACATGTATTCCGCAATGGTCTGTCGGGTGCTTAGCCAACTAGCTCTGTCCAGATCTTCCGCCCTCAACACAAAGTCCTTGATGCGCTATATCATTCAGCTCGAGTCGCGTCAGGACCTTGGAGCTTCACGAAAGATGGCAAAGACCTTCTTGAAGCATAGTTCTAGCAGTCTGACTCTGTACAACTCATTCGCTGTGCTTGAGTGCCGGCTTGGCAATTTTGAGGCTGCAGAAAAGGTATGGTCTACAGTATTTTCGATGCGAGACTCTTTGGAAGAGGAGGACACTTGCTCAATCTTTCATGTGTGGCGAGACTGGATTTGGTCTTGCATGGTCCAGAAATTGTTTCAACGAGCAAACAAGTTGTTGTCGATGATACCCGATCTGCATTTCAACTTCTCAGAGCTCGATCAGTCTCGTCTGTCACCCACAGCCGCAGCACAAATCAAGTCTGACCGATATCTCCAAGCCGAAATTGACTCTCAAACTCACCAGGATCGTCCCATGAAACTAGAACCATTGATCGATCTATCGGTGTTTTCCCAGTATTTGAGCGCGGGGATGGACCTGTCAGTGGCTATTAGGTCATATCAGGATAACCTCGAGAAACTGTCCCGGGCAACTCCAAGACAGCCGCTCAGCGCCTTTGAAGCGATCCACATAAGGCGTGCACAATTTCTACATACCCATGCAACGACTTTTGGCTTGGCATATAAGCCCAGAGAAATTGTCAAGGTTCTGACAGAATCCGTGGACCAATTTCCAGAGAACCTGGATCTGGTAAAATTCCAACATATTTACTGTCAGCAAGCCGGGATAGTCGATCGCCTGCGCGAGGTTGGCTCGATCGCCCAAGCGCGCACGACACCAAGCAACGCTGCAATCAGTTTGTTCAAAGCCGCCATAGAGCTGGGCCGTCCAGCGTACTCTGGGAGTACAGACCACAGTATTCGTGCTACCTTCCGAAGGCTCACTGCGCCAGGCGAGAGCGGTGCTCATTTTGTGAACATCTGGCGGACTTTTGTCCTGTGGGAGGCCTCAGTGGCCCGAAGCTTTATTCAAGATTCGGCCAGAGGAAAGGAGGGAGACTCAGGCGTGCAGGATAGGTTGAAGCGGGTCAAGGATACATTCTACATGTCACTTGGAGCTTGTCCGTGGTCGAAGGAGCTCTACATGCTTGCCTTCACTGACAATATCGTGAGGCGGGCCCTTGGTGAAGTCGCGCTCAAGGAGGTTTATCTCAGCATGTCAGATAGAGGGTTAAGACTGCGAATGGATATTAGCGAGGACTTAATCTGATGCTTCAAACATATCTATCAACTCGAGTCTCTATCTTTAGACGTTTTGAACGATCAGGAATATTCTCTGATATTTGCTGCTTATCATTCCTGCATGTCCGCAAGGCTGCACTTCCTTACCATGAAGTCGCGTTGATTGGTCAGCCTTGCTTGACCACAGCATCAAAGTCCCTCCACCAATCATCAATTTCTTAAATCCGTAATTATCCCCGCGTTCGTGCCTTCTCCAATTCCAAAAAGTCCAAAATCTCACTTGAACTTTTTTTGATCTCCGCCGTTTATGGGTCGATAACTTCACCAACAGCAGCCTTTCAGCACATCATTTGTTCTCGCTCTCATACTCGCCCTGTATATTCCAGCGACCTGATCCCACGCTTCTCCCCTCTCAAATGGAATTGCCCCTCCTCAATTAGCAGTCTCGCAGCCGGGCCATGGCCTCCGCGTTCGCATCCCAACTGCGAGCCATCGCCGCAAATTCCTCCCACGAATTGGACCTGAAGGCTCGTCGTGAAGCACATGCCCAATCTCTCATCTTCGATCAAAGTGTCGCTGTCAAACAAGACTGGGATACAATCTACCAAGTATGCCTCGACGGCTTTCAAGAGTTGTGCCTTCTCGACTCGAGGTTGAAGGAGTTCGACAATAATCTCTTCAGTCCACATTCCAAAGAGCAGGACCGCGATCAACTTACAAAATCTCAAAATGACGCTCTCAGTCTTGTCATTGAACGATGCTTGGCCCTCATCGGAGCCAAGGTCTTACTCCGTCCCGGTATCAAAGCAGTTGAATGGCTTGTGAGAAGGTTCCGCGCCCACGTGCTCGATACCACTGCTTTGCTCTGCACCTTCCTGCCCTACCATGAATCCCCAGTGTTTCGAAACATCCTCAGCCTCATCCCCGCAAACAAAATAACAAACGATTGGAAGTTTCTGGGCCCGTACCACAAGAATGCTGCCAACGTCCCTCGCCACGCTATCGTTTACAGCGCAACCCACAACGACGCCTTCTTTTCAACATTCAACTCCTATGTCCTGCGAGCATGCGAAGATGGCGGCAGCCAGACACAACTTTTACGCTTTTGGGGAAGCTTAGTCGTCGAGGCCATTACAGGACGCTTGCAACAGACCAAGAGCGGGCGGGCAGAGGTGCAGAAACAGAGGCAGGCCGATGCCCTCCTCAAGATTCTACCCATCTTGATCGGCGGCTTCGAGATTCGGACTTGTCCGGAAATGACACTTTGCTGTTTCACCATCTCCATTGTTCTGGCTAGTAATGCCATGCTCGATGACACTGTCATTGACTCTCTGGCTGACGCCGTTGTTTCGTTCCTCAACGCTAATGAAACAGAGATTGATTCCGTCTTGACAACCTTGAGCGTCCTCATCGCCAACAAATCAGAGAGAAAGGTTTCAAAGTCTGTCTTGCGCGATTTAACAAGCCTTGCCAATCTCCACGAGCGTTTAGTCCACCTTCTTCCTCAAGCTCCGGTAGCTGGTCTCCTCGAAGCCTTGTTGTCTTCGTCTCTGGTTGGTTTGAGGAAGAAGAATTTTGGACCGCGGCTTGAATATGTCTCTTCAGCTCTGAGTCGGTCCTTTGATATTCTCGACGGCTCCGCGTGGAGTCGAGTGCTCGTACGCCTACTCCAGAAAGTCGAGAGTCTCGACCCCACGGATGCCGTTGAAGCCGCGATAAGAGCACGGATTCTCACGATTTTGCAGAACGCAGCAGACAGCCCTCAGCTGTCAGGCCTTTTGGCTGAAGCAGCTGTCGCAACTGGCAAATCTCTTGCTGACTTGGAGCTTATCGTTGGTTCTACGCTTGTGGTTCGCAGCCAATCGCAATCTCGTGATGCTTCATCAAATGACCAGGCCTCTGAAACCCTAGTCAAGGAACCACAGACCGCTGTCATCGAGTCTGTTCTGGCTTCTCTGCCTGCGACAATATCGGAGAACTCATTCATTGTCGCGCCGAGGCCTGTTTTCGAGGAGTTTGCGAACGCGTACGCTTCATGTTATACAAACCAATCGACCCTGCAGAAGTTTCAAGCACTTGCTCTTTGGAGCTCAAATTTGTCAACAGCACCAGCTCTGTACGAGAGTTTTGTGCTGAGGTTAGCATGCAGTATTGCTCCTGGTGACCAGCGAGCTGCAGCTCTTCTCACACTTCCAACGAGACCTCATTTCGGCTCTGAGGACCTACATCAGCTACTTCTACCCTATCTGACCATCCTTCTCACAGATGCCTCTCGGCCTGTAAGACAAGCAGCGTCTTCAGTGACGATAGCAATCCGAAGTTCTGCGACACAATCCCAACAACTTGACAAAGCCACTAGTTCAAGTCTGGACACCTTACAGGACACTTTCACATCCGCCGAGGTCAGACGGATCCCCCACGGAAACATTCTGAAAATTCTTGACCAAGCATATCTGCCAGTATTGGAAGAATGCGTTCTCGACGCAAGTCAGATGGGCAAAGTTCTACAAATTGCGCTAGACAGTACATCGCCATCGTCTTCAAGTGGGCCGAAAGTCCACATGGAGTTGAAGAAGTCCCTTCGCCAAAATCTCTTTGATCTTCTTGCCACATTTGCAACTGTTTGTCCGCTCATCAAGGCGAAGGTTGCTGTTGTTGAACTGCTTGTGGGCGTACACAAAGTCAGCTCGACGACGTCAGCCAGGGCTCTCGCATCTGTGTTGAAAGATTGGTCAGATCTGACCGCCGCCGATGCTGCGCAAGCTACCGTGGCAACAGGCTTGTCATTGTCTGACGTGGATGATATTTTGGTTCAGCTCATCCGTCCATCGGATAAGGAAGCAGTGGATCGCATCCTAGACATGGTCGAAGGTGCCGACGCCACTGTACGACCTGAATTGACTGCTGCATTCTTCAACCGCATTGCATTGGTGTGGAAAGACCTTCGCACTGATGCTCAGCTTTCTGCGTCGACTAGACTATTCAACATGGCATTCTCAAAGAGAGCTGCTGTGGCCACTGGAAGCAGGCACGTTCTCCTCACGAACGCCCTTTCTACCGAGATTCTTGCCACACTCCTTGACTTTGCAAGTTCCGGTCTTGCGCAATTGCAGTCAGAAGGGCCTGCCAAAAAGCGCAGAAGAACAAGTCATGGTCGGGAAAGTCTTTCTAAACATGTTGTGGTGGAATTCGAGTCGGCAATCTCCCGTCTCACATTTGCCTTGGAAATCGTGGACAGCTCCAAGCCCGAGACACATCCAGGCCTGTTGAACGACTTGTTTGAGGGTTTGGTCACACTACGTCGCATCAAGGACAGAGGCACATCCGAGTCACCTTATCTGCTTACTTTGTGCCTGAGCAGCATTCTAGCCATTGTACAGAAATCTCTGACTTTACGGAAGCCCAACATTGATATTTCTGCTATTCGTGCCGACTTGATCACAGATTGTGTTCGATCCTCAGACAATCCTCAGGTCCAAACAACGGCTCTGCTGCTGGCTGCTTCTGTCGCTTCAATTGCGCCAGATAGAATTTTGCACAACATCATGCCCATCTTCACCTTTACTGGACACAATCTTTTCGCCAAGGAAGATGACCGTTCCGTTTTTGTCACAAATCAAGCTATCGACCAGATTATTCCTCCACTAGTGGCTTCACTCAAAAGACAGGACGCTACCAACCTCATCGATGCGACCTCAAGCTTGCTGGTTAGCTTTGTGGCGGCGTACGATCATATTCCTCAACATCGTCGCGTCGCGTTTTATCATCGTTTACTCAACAGGTTAGGGGCGGACGATTTTGCGTTTGCCATTATTGCGCTGCTCCGGTCTAGAAGACCCACTGATGACATTTCGAAATTCCTGACTGATCTTGTTGATGATCTGCCTGCTAAGAGTCAACTTATCACGTATCACAAGCTGACTGGACTCTCCTCCGACATCTTCGAGGCGAAACCGCAACATGTTGAGGCTCTGTTAGGCATCAATGCATCTTCAAGCAATGAGAAGAAAGAAAAATCTGCCGCTCTCATCCTTGGTGTGGCGTCAGGTCTTCTGGAGTCGAATAGTCTCAAGACACAGTTGCGACGAATTCGGAAAGTGAATGCTACTGTGGCGGACGAACTGCGAGGATTGTATCGGATGTGTATCCCACAGACCCTATCATTCCTGAAGAAGGCAAAGGAGCAGCAGCCAAATGTTCTCCCAGCGGTCAAGTCTTGCCTTCACGCTCTCCTCGAGCTACCCTCGATAGCTGATCTCCTAAATCTTGTGCCTTCCCTCCTGCTGGAGTTGCAGAAGCTAGAAGATCATGATCTGCAGCCGCTTGCCCTGCGGGTTCTCGCCTCTCAACTTCAGCATAATGCTCCACGAGATACACATACGCGGTCAGAAGCAATCGCTTTCCTCCCTGTACTGGGAGACTTGATCACATCCACCGAGAACGAGGCACTCCGGCACGCTTCCATTTCTTGCATTGACAGAATTGTGGAAGTGTATGGTCGAAAGAGCCCCGAGGCTGTTTTATCTGCTTCAACAATCCTTGTTGAAGGTGAACATGGCCTTAGTTCGAAAGATCCTAGGACTCAACTTATGTCGCTTCTTTGCTTGGCTTCAATGATGGAGGCTCTTAAGGAGTCAGCCATCCCTCTTGTCCCTACTTCAATGGCAAAGTCGATTGCAATCCTGGATTACACCTTACAAGACAAAGGCCGTGGCGTTGATCTGCATAATGCAGTGTTCGCATTGTTGTCAGCCTTGATCGCCCATGTCCCTTTTATGCTTTCAGACGACAATGTCGTTGACATGCTGAAGATGACATATAAATCCTCTGTGAAAATACTTGACGGCTCAAGCCAGGAAGCCAGAAAAGACGCTTTGACCCTTCTCGCTCACAAATTGGAAATCGGCACCATCACGTCAAGTTTGACTGCTGCCTTGCCGGATGTCGTGGTCGAATTTGATGATGAAGGCACTGCACAATTACTCGACGTACTGCTGCAAGCAATTGAGCGGAATTCCAAGTCGGTGGTAGTTCAATCTTCTGATTCAATCTCGAATCTTTTGCTACGCATCCTCGACATGCATCGTCTGCTGCCTTCGAGCAAATCTGTCTCCGCGATCAGTGCCAAGATGAATAGCATATCTATCGCTTTCATCTACAAGTTGAACAATACCATCTTTCAGCCACTTTTCGAGACATGGATCGATTGGGCAACGAAAGGCACCGACTTGGTGGACGACAATTTTTCGCCGGCTGCCAAAACCGCTCGTCTTACGTCTCTTTTCGATCTACTGACTCATTTCTTCTCGTCGTTGAAAAGCATTGTAACGTCATATGCGGCTTACATCCTCGAGCCAGCAAATACAGTTCTCAGCACCATTCATGCCTCGGCAACGGATGAGAAAAGCGAGATCATGGCTGATGAATTGGCACTCTACACCTCAACTCTGCATGTTTTGACGGCCGCTCTTACCCACGATCAAGGCACTATTGATGAGGGATCCCAAGAGGCAGACGACCCCGGGTTCTTCACTCGCCACTTTGAGCCATTGGCAACCAATCTTATGCAACAACTCACTCTCAATGGTGCGAAGAACAAATCCCTTCGCAAGGTGGTGTCGACATTGGTCCCGCAAACAATTATTGCTCTAGCGACAGCCACGATGGACACACCATCAAGACACCAAACCATTAACCATGCATTGTGCCAACTTCGTCATCATGACAACACAGCAGTGCGGCTGGCAGGAATTCGTATGAATCTAGCCATCACAGAGGATGAAGTTGTGGGAGATGAATGGATCAACAACATCGTGGTGGGCTCGAGTGGTGAGGGCGGCGTTGGTGGAGCAGGTGAGACAATGGTTTATGTCAACGAAGCGCTCGAGGACGACGATGAAGAGGTGGAGAGAGAGGTGAGGCGATGGGTCAGGTTGGTTCGGGGAAAGGTTGGGGAAGATGTGTTTGAGATATAAATTGAGGTCGCAGGTCGGCTTGTTTGTTGGCCTGAGGCCCTGTTCAATAGATGACACTTGACCTTAAGAACTTGACCTGGTAGTAGTAGTTTCCAATAGTACCGACCATAGAAGGTACAGACAGTACTTTACCTACCTACCTGCCTACCTAGGTAGGTAGGTACTGCTTTTTCACAAGACTTGCGGTGTCACCAAAGGATAATGTTACTACTTAGTAGGTACTACCTAGGTAAGTACTTACCCACCTACCTAGGTACTAGAGGTAGCGATCATGACATGCTCGACGGAAGGTGCGACCAGCAGGAGGGACCTACCTACCTACTTGGGAGCAATTAAGGGAGTCTATAGAGGGAAGGTGCTCCTTTCCTTCTATTATTGGGGAAATTCCCCCAAGAGGAAGGAGCGACTGAGGAATGTGTCACAGGGTTATCTAAGATTGGCCTAGCTTCAAGTTTCCAAGGAGATACAACTTAACTCTCCCACTGCCCAGGTAGGTACTTTAGTAAACTAGGACCTCTCACTAGGTACTAAGTAGTAGGTATGTACCTACCATCCCACCCAAAGTAAGTCCTTACGTAGGGGATAAACATTCCAAGAAGTACATAAGTCTAGTAAGTACTTACTTACTATCTATCTATTACTTAAATAGGTACCTATGTACTCGAGTTGAGAATTAGTAGGTACGATTTATTGTGCTTAAATCATTAGTTCGATTCAGAAGCGGGCTAGACCTGAGTCGAACGAAATCGAGTCGACTCTCTCTCTCTACCTACTAAAGTACCTAGGTACTAGGTAACTTATGGATACTGCATGCACCATTACTGGTGTGCCAGATGGGAGAGATGGATTGATAACTTAAAAAGTAGGTGAGTACCTAGTATCTAAGTAGGTCTACGACAACCGCAAGTTTATGAATGTTATGTTCTACTAGAGTATAGACAAGGTGTCTAGACAGAAGACCACAAGAATGACTCCAGAACCCAAGCTCCTAAGCCAGAACAATATCCATGCCCAACTCCTTCAACACATCCTGCCACTGGATATCAGTTTCGATTCCAGGAGGATGCTGCTGCTGAACTCCAAAATCGCCATCATCGTCGCCTCCCAACTCAAAACTCCATCTCTGCTTATCTCTCCTCCTCCAAACCTCATTGGCGATTTCTTTACTCATCTCGAGGTTGCGGAAGCCATGCCTTCTTTTGACTTTATACCATTCCGTCATCCGTAGCTGCATATCTGGAGTGATGCATTCGCAAGCCACGACCAAGGGCGGCCACACCAGTGAACATCCGACTTGTTCCCCACCGATCAGCTCGATAGCCTCAAAATACGTCACCGCCTTCGACACCAGGCTTTGAATCTTGGGGTGGGAAGGTGGCAAACGTCGCACCGACCGCAGGAAATAGATGAGGGAAGCATAGTAAAATGTATATGCATGGTGAAGCGTCAGTGTGGCGGCGCGTGGCGTGAGGTCAGACAGATCCAGTGTATCGGGTGTTTGGGCGTATAATTCAGATTCCAGGGCGAGGAGCTCGGCTGGCGAAATGACACTCAATATGTCAGATGCCGTAGACGGCACGCGGTCGATGAGGCTGTTCATCTCCACAATCCGCCGAAGAATTGGTCGTGTAAGACCAAAAAACCGGTCAAGCATGTAACTGTTGCCAGACAGAGGGTCATCAGGAGATATTGACCCCGAGCCTGGGGAGTCGGTGGCGATGAGAGATAAATTGGCCGGAAGGGTGATGTTGCAAAGAGCCGCAACGGCCAGATATCCCTGGTACACTAGACTGCTGGATCGAGAAGACGTCCATGTGTCAGGCGATAGAGTGGAGAGCAAGCGTGAACCACCCATCAAGTGTGTCCGCCATTCAGCGAAACGCCCCGTGATCATGTCCATGGCGGAGAACATGGTAATAGTGGCCAGGATGAATGTACGATCGAATGCGGGCGAGTTAGGCGTCAATGCATTGAGGCTGCGGCGCAAGTACTTGATGCTTCGGTGGTAGTGTTGATTTGCTAGCGTTAAGATTTCGGCGTCATTGTCGAGAAGCTGAGAGCGCGAGTATGCGGAGGTAGCACATAGGGCATGAAAGAGTGCCGGGTTGCTTTGAGGGTTCGATAGGCCGGCCAAGGCCATGGGAGTGAAAACACTTCGAAATGGGTTGGACGGCTGATCTATCGGCACCAGATGCCAGCAGACAAAGTTGGTCCAGTGATAAATCAACTGGCGATTGACACTGTTTGTCGGCAGTAAGTCCAAGGTAGTGATCCTCGACCGGCGGCGGCGGCGACTCGATGCTGTGGAGACAAGCGTGAGGTCAGGCGATGGTTGAGATACCACTTCATCAACGTCTTGGTCATTGGCACTCGTCCCCTTCTTGGATTCGGTCGAAGACGTGTGGCTTGTCGAATGAGAAGCTGCGATATAACCTTGATTCGTCGCCGAGAAGGTCGTCGAGAAGACTGAGAACGGACCCAGTGCTTTGTCAGGACTGGTGAATTGGGAGATGGCTTCGAGTTCGTCCAGTGCATCTTGAACATCAATGCTCATGAACATTGAAGTCTTGTCATAGATTGCAGGAGCGCCAATGGCCCGCCGGATGTTTTGCTCTCGTTCTTGGGTATTGGGATCTACCCAGACCAGTTTGATGCCGTATCCTTGGCATTCGAAACCTCCTCTCGAGCATCTTGTGCACAATGGTTTGGTTTCATCGCACTTGACATGTCGTTCTCGACAGGTCCAACAACCAGAGAAGGTTTTGGTGTGCTTAATTGGCTGGCGATTCCTTTTGGAGCCAATTTTACGAACAGAGATAGGAGAGGACATGGGTTGCAACTGGTAGTCGCATGATGCTGACTAATGCTGATTGGTGTGTTGGCTTGGACCTTACCGTTGGAACACGACGCCTAGCCCATGTGGGTTGTCAGATGTACATCCGTATTGATGGGTGAAGTGTGTCTTGATGAAATGAGGATCAAAGCACATGTTATGATCTTTTGTGATGAAAGAAAATCCGAAGATGAGGTCGGATCAAGGGAGCGGGCTTTCCGATGTTGTTTTTCCGTGCCGAGGACATGGGAATTGCCACATGAAGAAATTTATTTTGTCAGACGCTTGGACCTTCTGCTTTGAGTTCGGAGTGAGTCATACAAAGTATGCCGGAGACGGGTCCATCTGTCCAGACTGAATCAAGATATGTTGATGCCTGACACTATCACTTTTTTTCCCTGCGCTTTGCCCCACGGCATACGTAACATCTTCTTGGACTTTGGCTTCGCTTACTGTTGGGTCCTCAAAGTCTCCCGTACGACTTGTGCGACTTGCAGCCTGCGAAGCGTGGCTTGCAGTGATTCTATCCAGCAGTCAAATCATGATTGTTCCCTTCAGGCCTTCCTCCTCTCGCTGTCTGCCTTGAGAAGACCAAGGATTTCAATCGTGGCCATTCACTGGATCCCAGGAGACATCCAAGGGAATTTCACGTGATCCCAATCCGTCATTGTTGGTGCCTCAGACCTCACAAGGCATACTACACTTGGTGACACACAGATACTTATCCTCGAAACCCAAAGACACTCCCTCCTACTCAGTACCAGTCGTGCCAGTCTGAGATCCCATCCTCACAACCCAATTCCTTCTACCGATTCTTCTTGCTCTGATGCCTAATCTGTGAGGAATCCATGTCGGTTCGCATTGTACTTGATCAGCCCGAACACAGATGCTACACCAATCTCGACTTCATCACCGGCACGGTCCACCTAGTCCTCCCCAACGATGCCACCATCTCTGCCATTACTGTCAAGCTCGAGGCCGAGAGTCGCACAAGGCTCTCAGCTCCAAAGTTTCCAGAGAACGAACGTTCTGACAAGAAGAGAGTTGAACTCGAGTTACACAAGGTGCGATTGGTTCCTCTCCAGTCACCAAGATTCCAGTCTTACATTGGCTTCTAGCTCTTGTACAAGGTTGTGACTGTGTTCCCTGCCCCGGATGTCAAGGAGAGGAGCACTAGCGTCGCTGGCTACACCCTCCTTGCAGGACAATATGTGTATCCTTTTAGTATCAAGGTAGACAGACACCATCCTCAGTTCACTGTCTCCGTGTTGACCCAGAAACAGTTTCCCTTCAACAATGATTGTACAAATACCCCGAATGCGCTCAAGGACATCAAAATGGGCCAAGTCAATGTCTCGTTCGCCCCAGTCATAACCAAGCATGTCAAGCAGACTCTGCCGCCCTCCTTGCCAGGCTTTCCTGGCGAGGCCGAAATCAAATATTACATCAAGGCAACAGTGGTCAGACCAAAGTTCTTTCAAGAGAATCTCAGATCGGTAAGGCATCCCCCGCAGTCTATCATGACCTAGCTAATCTCGTTCCAGGTCATCGATATCAAGTTCTTGCCAATTGAACCTCCCCGGCCACCAGATACCCATGAGGAGACCTATGCAAGAAGGAAGCGCCAATTTCAGCGTTATAGTGGTTCCCAACCCCAACAGCAGAAAAAGACCCTTTTCCGGAAGAATTCGGCTACTGAGTCGGCCGAGGAGGAGCCACCGGCCTTTCAAGTCGACGCACGCCTTCCAAGCCCTGCAATCATTACATGTAACGAGCCACTGCCCCTTCGAATATTGGTGGAGAAGTTGAACAACAGCTCTGCAACTGCATTTCTCAGCATGCTTCAAATCGAACTTATTGGTTACACTCATATCCGGGCGCATGATCTAGAACGCGTCGAGAGTGTCAGTTGGATACTCATGTCCCATGCAAATATGAACATGCCACTTGGCAATCCTATAGACAAGGGTCGCAGAGAGTGGAAATTGCCTTCGCGGCTCTGGAAGGACCATCCCATTCCAAACACCGTCGCGCCAACCTTTGAGACCTGCAATCTTTCACGAAGGTACGAATTGGAAATAAGAGTCGGACTGGCCCATGGACTTGCAGATGGAGTTCGACCAGAGCTTATCGTTCTGCCCCTGAAATTACCCGTCGAGGTATATTCTGGCATTGCGCCTCCTGAGAAACTGCTACAAGCAATGGCAAACAATCCTCGGCCGCAACCAACCCCGGCACCACTTTTCCCACGACCCTCCAACATGTCACAGACTCCATCACCAGCCTATCCTCAGGGCATGCACGTGCCTACACCGACGACTGCTACGCCCACAACAAATGTCAACCCTTTCCCCGCGCCCATTGGCCAGGTCAATACTCAGCAATCATATCAAGTGCCTGACGATGCTCCTCCATCGTATGAGGATGCGATCGCTGACGAGATAGCCCCTGTTGATGGTCCCAGAAGAGACTATCATCCCTCCGGATCCGGCAACGTTCAACTAGAGCCTTTCAATCCCGATTCCAAAAGCGGACTCAATCGACGGTTTAGTGAGAGATTATTTCCATCAAATGCCCCCTCGTTTGAACAACATAGAGCATCTGAAGCTAGTGCTATGTCAAGTACGCCGATCCCCGAACACGGTCCGGAGTCGCCCAGTCCTTCGGTCGAAACACCCTCGAGCCCTTCTCGTTCTCAGATTTGGAAGCAAAACCTGTCCAAAAGACTCTCGGGGGAGAAGCAGTGAGAGTCTGTCTCATGTCACTGGTTCGAGGGATGCTAATGGAGTCTCATGCTGGCCTTTCAACATCTCGAAGCTCAAACGTCGTTGACATGGCATTAATTGCACAACAGTCTCCAGGCTACAATGAAGGCGTTGAAAATCATAAACCATGCAACCAAAAACCAGAGCCAAATGGTTCGAGTCGCTACGTGGATCTTCGAATCCCTTGGGTGTTTTGACACATTCCTTCTCTAGGGGTGGTTTGCAAGGACCCTTCCAACTCTTGGCTCGAATTCACCAGATATCGAGGCCGTTTTCCCAAGCCGATGGACGATTTCACTGTGTCTCCTAACCTCTTTCCTTTGCTCCTACGGCTTCAAATGATCCAGGTAGTGCGGTGCACCAGTGCAGTCCCTCGTACAGTAGGGGTTTGAATGCGACATGGTTTCCCTCTCCCTCAACAACAAGGGAGCACAAAGTCGGTGTAGAAGGGCTTGACTAGAATACAGTATAATGAGATATATAGATTATCGCCTGGCCATTCAATACTAAGTGGACATGAGAAGACCTAAGCTTCCATTTCCACAGTCATTATCTTTGATACCATCTGCATAATAATAAATAAGTAGGTTGAGGATGCTGATTGTATCGAGTACTCATGTCCAGCAATTAAACCCGCATGTCTGCTAATCATGTCTGGGGAAATCCTGTTCAAATGAGAATCAAGGGATCTGTCATCTCGTTCCACGAGGCCTCGACATCACCCACGTTTCTGGCCCAGATCTTGTCCAACCGCTCTGCGACTCTATCCACGGTCCTTATTCCCCGTTTGGCCTTGAGTGCCGTGAGTCGCCGACGGATTGAGTCCCGGAGTGAGAGGGTATCGCTGTCGATGCCTTGGAGGTCTTGACCGCCATCACATGAGACGTCCGTGCTTGATCTGCTGGGCAGGAGAAAACAGCCTGCCATATACAGTGGCCACAGGTGACTGGCCGCCGCGGGACTATCCGCAGGGACAACGTCGATATGATCAATCACGGAGCGATAGGCGGTAGCTATGCTGGCGACATCCTCAGTCGATCGATATTGTGAGGTGAGTTGGTAGTAGAATAGTAGTCCGGCTGAACGCATCGCTTCCGCCGTGTTGCGTGCATCATCAGACACGCCGGCCACTGGCGGCTCCCACTGCTCGAGGTCCGTCTTCAGAGCCAGGGCCGACGGGAGATGTGTTGCTGAGATGGTACGGTGGGGTTTTCGCTTTGACGTGTGATGACATGCACATGGAAGTGGCGACGTGGGGAGATTGATGCCGGCTGGATTCTCGTCTAGCGAGGAAGATGATGCTGATGCTGATGCTGCAGGGCATTCCAGACACGCAGAAGATGACAAGACCGAAAGTTTGGCGACAAGAGACAGCAGTCGGTCCACGCACGACAAAAACGCAAAATTCTTGCCTGTAAACGCTGACCACGTCTCACTGATATAGTAGTAGTCCATCACAAGTGAGGTATGGTCCGTGCCTACGCTAGCAAGAACATTGTGGTATGCGAATCTTCATAGAAAGTCTCAGTTAGCCTGTTTGTGGCGTGTGCGGCATACAGGGCTTGTAGAAGGCACCTCGCTTTTGCTTGAAGCAATCATGGGGCGGTGGAAATGCCAAACAAACACACTCACATATCGAGAAGCATCTTGACGTCCTGGTCCGGTTTCGTACACTGTGCGGTATAGTCTGCTATGATTCGTCCGGCGGCCTTGAGATGCCTGGACCACGTATCCGGATTCGCTTCAAACACCTATGAGTGTCGAAAGATTTAGCTCAATGACACGAAAGCTCGACTAAGGGGTTACAAAGAGGCCGATCGATGGAAATTGAACGGGAGATCTCGAAGCCCCGTTCTGGGAAAGCAGCTAATTTCTGGCTATGAATGTATCAACTCACCTCATTTATGCTTAACATGATAATAGTGGCCAACGTCGTAGCCTCGAACCTTTGCCACGAATTTATTCGGTTGATCAAACTCGGGAGAACACGCTGGCGGTACTTGGGAAGGTCGAGGCCAACATGTTCATATCGAGAAGACAAATGTGTCGACGAGACCAACAGAAGCGCATTCAGTAACATCTCAGACGACATGGCCATTGGTAGAATGACCATTCGGTAAGTGTTGACAGACCGGTCATGAGTGCTGGACAACAGATCCGCTACCGTGTAGAAGTAATGCTGGAGCAAGAATTGATCCTTGGAAGACAACGACGAGGAAGGCGTAGAGAGTAGGGGATATTCCTCCCTCTGCAAGGCCTGTCGAACCCAGTCTGGCGTGGAGGGAAGCTCTGTCGCTGGATCGGAGGTACTAGCGACTTTGGTCGGTGTCGTTTGGTGGGCATTTCGCGACCCCTTCTTCTTGGACCGTGAGCCTGACTGCATCCATGTCAAGCGAATGCCGTAACCTTGACATTCGATGTTCAATCGTTGACATGCGAAGCAGACGGGTCGTCTCTCGTCACATCTGTACCCACGTTTGCGACACGTCCAGCATCCTGGTCAGTTATTAGTGATTTTGGTCGATGAGAGATGCCAGCCGATGAACAGATGGGTCAGTCGATTTGACTACCTCAGCATCAACATCCGATGTGGCAGCATGCCTACCTGTTCTCGTCCGCTTTATCCCCGTTGTCGTTGTTGTCATTGTACGTCTCAATGATGTGAAGTCGTCTGGGGAATATGGAAAGAGATCCAAGTGGGAACGTATATGTAGCGGTCACTAGCGAGGTCGTCAAGAGGGGACCCCTCGGGTTATCATCACAATGATAAGAGATCATCTCCTCGCCGAAAAGTGGAACCTTGGGCCCGTCACGACTCCAGGGTCTACATTGTGGATCCTGGTCTGGGACACTCGATAACAAGTGCTCCAAGGGTCACCACTGACCGGGAGAACCACGTGGAAACGGCGTTTGGCCCACGACAAGGAGCATTCTGATCAGCGGGCACACTATTCATCAATGCCTAGGGTCTCATCAGACTTATGGGAGGCATGTATCGCCGAACGTTCACACAGAGCCATGCCGAGTTCTGTGGTGTCGAGTGGAGCACGCCCAATCAGCCAAGATGCATGACTCGACGAAAACGGAAATATTCGTTGACTATCTTATGAAGCCAGTACTGGCTTAGACTCGATATGAATATGTGGGAGTCATCGTTCACCCAAATTGAACCTCGTTCCATGCATATGGGGATATCTAGCGACCTCCTCTCAAATTTCGTAAACTCTTCACATCCATTGCCAACAGCCTACTTATCACGACCAAAGTTCATTTCTTCGTGTTTACCTCTCTTTCGTTTCCAAGGTCTCTTTTGCCAGGGTTCCGTCATCAGAATCGACACCATCTTGAGAGGGTTTGCTCAAAGTGGTGTCCTCTTTGGCCTCCCCCTCTACCGCATGGCCCTCTCTTTCCTCAGCGATAGCCTTGACCTCGGCAATTTCAGTTTCAGTCAGCTCGGTGTCATTTAGACGCCAGATATACAACGGGAGCGCCAAAACCATGCTTCCTGCCATGAAGCCCCAAGTCGTGCCAAAGTTGATGCGGAAATTCACTTCTGACTGTAGCAGAGACATCAGTATACGAACTCCTCTTGGAAGACCAGAGATTCACTTACCGCATCGAGTCGGGAAATGACGATCTGGCCAAGAGATTGGATTGACTTATAGAACCCGGCGTAATACGCGAGTTTGCGTGGGTCGTTGGACATGGCTCCCATGGTGTAGTAGCAAAAGACCTGCCAAAGGGCATCTGTCGACCCGTAGGACATGTATAACTACCATGTCCAGTCAGTACACTTGAGTCAAACCTGGGACTGGATCACTCTGCTGGACTTACGAAAAGATGCCAAATATAGCCACTGTCAAACAAATCCATTCTCGGGCCAGGCACACTTCGGTCGGTCTTTTTCACAAACTCGTAACCTCCCCCGTAGACGGCCATGACGGCCGCGAAGAGGATGCCCCATCCCATGAAGGCTCGATGGCGACGGCTGAACCGGGTCCAATCAAGCAACGCGCCAAACGCAGCAGCAGTAATGATCTGAGTAAGCCAGTACCAGATACTGTTAAACGCCCGGGTTCTCGTGGAGAACCAGTAGGCATTCACGTCTATAGCTATTGTCAGCACCGCCAGAGACAAGACAAGTCGAGAATCGAGAACTCACTGTTGAATTGGTAGGTGTAGAAATAATTGGAAGCAAAGAACATAGGGAAAATGGCAAAAACCCAAGGATCACGGACAAGTGTAGTGTACAGTCCAATGATGTCTTCCTTCAATCCAGGGTGCGTCACTTTTTGGACTCGAGTCCCGTCTGTGCGGACTACTTTGATGCTCGGAACGAGGGTGAAACAGAGAATAGCACCACAAACTTGCAGCACAATGAAACCAATGTATGTACCGTCAGTGACAGTTCCAGCGGAGTTGTTCCAGTTCTGAGCCAGCGAGACAGAAGCGCCAATCACCGCACCCATGTTGAAGATGAACCAAGTAAGCGAAATAGCACGGCCTCGCTGTGCTTCCGTAGGGTATGACTGTTGCAAGGGAGAAAAGAGCACGAGTAAGAAACGGGTACAGTCTTGGCCAAGAGAGGGTAACGTACCATCATTACCACTCCCTGGGCACACCACAGGGCAGACGCGCAAGCACCAAGCAGGCCACCAGCAAAGATGACGAAACCTTCGTTTTGAGTATGATTGTAGCAGAGAAATGAGGCGGCATAAATGAAATAGCCACAGCCTCCGAGAGCCATTGTCCACTTGGTGCCACTGCCAGTATTCAGCCTTGTCAAGCCACGATCGGGCGATCCGAGGGCGGAAAACTCACATGAAGTTGTGCACAACGCCAATGACGAATGCCACTGGAGCAAACACTGCATTCAATGCAATACCTGCCAGGTTCTGGACCCGAGGGTCGACCTGACCGGCACCACCAAGCCCGGCGAGGGCATTGTACATCCTTGTTGCAGAGTCAGTATTCGGGCGACCAGACAGCAATGTGAGATTAGTCCATGTTCATACCCAGGATTGAGGAAAAGAATACAGCTGACGATCACAAGCTGCGTTATAGGAGAGGCATATCTAGGTAGCGGCTTGCCAAAGAGCCGTCGACGATTGTCTGGTGCGATGACATCTTGCTGTTCAACATCGGCTGGAGATGGGTTAGCACGAAAGGAGTGCGAATGCTTCAATTGAGCAGTGACATACCATCCGTAGCTACGGCGGTGGGTTGTGTCTTGTCATTGGTATCGGTGCTTGCCGCCATTGCTGTAGCCCCAAAAGGCAGGAGAAAAGAAGTGCTGGAAGATCTGAAGGTCTTGGATGGTCGAAATCGTTGGAGATCAGGAGAGGTGGACGGGTAAATATATACAGTCTGGACCAGAATGAAAATGGTGTGTCCCCTCGGTTGATCTATTCAAGAGATACAGGATATGTCCACCGTAGAAGTATATCAAGGTTCAACCTGTCTGGACCAACGACGGGCCAGTGACCAGTCGAACAGGCTTACCGATGCGACAGATAGGACCAACTGATAACTGTATGCACGTTACAGCCATGTCGGACACCAATCCAGGCGCTAGACATTCCTGTTTTATGCCTTTGACGTCGACTGGGTTTAAGTGATACAAGGTCGACATGTTTCGGTACAGATCTGTGGACAAGAAATACCAGGAATATAGATATGGGGAGTGGGACTCTCTGACTTTCCTTCTGGAGTTTAGCGCATCATCCGTTTTATATCTAGTCAGACTACTTTTTCTTCCATGAATCTACACTGATTTGACCTTAAGTGATTGTCTGACAGAAACTATTTGTATATCTGCCCAGCCTTGCGTTGCCCCTAATGTGCCGTGCTGCCGATTCACACCCCGTGTCGTGGACAATGGTGATCTAGCTTCCATACATTTTGATCCATGCATCCAATCAATCATGTCCCGTTATAATCTCATTGGCATGAGAATTGCCCTTGTTGCTCCCCATTTCCGGACATGTCCTCCGGGTGACCAATCTCTGCCGTCCTGTTCAATGTCGAACGTTCCGAATAGCCAAAAGGGCATAACCTCGGTTGGCTAAAAGCAGTGATCGGCGGCTGGAGAAGTTGATAAGCCAAGGAGAGGAATTGGTTAATACCCGCCCTAATGTCTCCTGGACCTGAATTGGTAAGTCAGATAGTCCAGCATCACACCCGGCCTGATGTGGCAAGTCATACAGTTCGAAGCACAAGTCAAAACCATGGCAGGATGATACTCGTTCCGCCTTTCCGGTCTCGCTATATGCATTCTTCACGCCACTGGCCGATACCAAGAAACTACACTGATCTACTTAAAGCGACAGTCTCTTCAGTGAGTAAGACATAGTGACCACGTTATCTAACAAGGGGCCAACGAGTTGTTTCCCCTCACATACTTCTCCCGACCTCACAACTCGGCAGTCGCGTCAACATGATTACCCCTGTGGAAAAGACGAATGAGACGGTGCATGTGCGCATCACACCCGAGGAGCGCGCCGCAAATGTCATCTCCAAGAAGAACCTGGAAAAGGCTGTCGTGGCGTTGGCGGAGGATGGTGTAGTCATCCTTGACGATGCAATTGCTCCAGAAAGCCTTGACTTTCTCAATATACCAATGGTCGAAGATGCCAGAGTCCTTCGAAACGGTGCAAATACATGGATGAACTACGACAAGAAGGCGCAAAACATTCTTCAGCACATGCCTCCAAGCGCCGAGTACCTCTTGCCAGACATCCACACCAACGCATTTGCTGTCGAGGTGTGCAAGCACTTCTTGGGCCCAAAGCCAGTCTTGCGCTACCACAAAGCAAACACCAATTTTCCCGGAGAGAGTCGCCAACCTCCACACAGTGATGTCCACTACGCCCACCCAAGAGCATGCTTCAGCCTTGCAGTTAACATGGTTTTGATCGATTGCTCGCCAGAGAATGGATCTACGGAGGTCTGGCCTGGCACCCATCTCACCACGGTCTTCTCCGACCAAAATGGAATGAATGGAATCCACGAGCACAAGCTTCAAGAACGTGTTCGCAGTCACGGGTTGCCAGTTCAACCGACAGTTAAAAAGGGTGGCATCATTATCCGGGACATGAGGTTATGGCACGCCGGAATGCCCAACCGAACGACCGACGAGATCCGCGTGATGCTTAATCTTATCTTCTTCTCTGATTGGTACCGCAGTGATATGAAGATCAAGTTCCCTAGATCGTCAGAGAGCAAGATCAAGGAGTTGGAAAAGGCCTCGGGCATTCAAGTGGCGGCCGAGTATGTCGATGACTTTGATCATTTGACTTTGCCCCACACCCATGACTTTGGTCAAGATGATGTTCGGGAGGAATTTGGTAGATGGCATCATAAATTGGGCCAGCCAGCGCCGGCCAGTTGAGTTACATCTGGGGTGTAGGAGAGCCGAGCGGGAGAACTTCACTGGCTCCAGCATACCTAGTAAATGATTGAACACAGCCAATGATAAAAACGGACCAGGTCTCTTAATGTGAATGCGTCCCCCTTAAGACAGTAGCTTACTAGCTCTACTGCGCTTGGGTAGTGTCTATAAGTAGAGACAGTTTTCGACTAGGGATGTAGAACACGTTCAGGAGTGCTGAAACAGCAAGACACTAAGACTGCCCTCCCAGACCAATCACAGGTTAACGAGAAGGCTTCCCGATATCGCGCACGTGCTCAAAGCCTAAAAGCAAATCCCATCCCCCTGTTTCCGCTAAATATCGTGTTTGTTAGACGAGAAAGGTTGTCACATATTAAATTGGCCCCTTTGCCCGCGTTTGCAGAGTCACGATCCAAGTGATTCCTTGAAGATGTGAGATCAAGGGATCCACGTATACGAGATTCAAGCACATTTGACAATCCCATTCGCCTGAAGGTTGTGGCGTCCCTGTGTAAGGCGATGTGGCGCACGCCAGACTGGGCTGGCCCGAAACGCGCCCTCCTACAGGCAGGTCTTCCACCCAGTCCTGCTTGAAGTCCCAATGAATGGAAGGAAGACCCAGATCTACAGCTTGTTGTTATGCGCGGTCCTGTGTTTTTTCTCCTACTCTCGCTTTTTTTCGTGACGCTTCTTACTACGTTATGAGAAAGCGTCGAGTTGCCCCCCACCTAGTATACCTCTGCACTATCACGATGCAATAGTGTTAAAGGTCACATTGAAATGATCTGAGGTCTATGCTGATCATTATTCGACGGCGTCTCGGACGATTGCCCCGCTTCGAACTCTCGGTTGTCTTTCCTAAGTGTGCACCATCACACTACAGTATAACGAGGATTTAACGACCGTCGGCACGATGCTATTACGATATAGGAAGAAATTCTACCTATTTCTGCTTCTTGTAGCTCCAACATTTGGTAGGTCTCCGGTTCTGATGCGTTTGACGTTCTGCTTGCTCTACACTACATCTGAGCCATTCCACAGCATTCATCTTAATACAAGGGAAGTCGCTGACTCAAGACTCACAGCACAAGAGTGTGATGGCCCCTCTGTGACCATCAGCTCTAACGACGATGTGTCGTCGATTTCAAGCTGCGGCACCTACAATGGTGACATCATTATCGACAAGTCGGCCGCGGGAACGATTGAACTTACAGGGATATCACATCTCAAAGGAGATCTAACGTGTAACAACGCAAGCGATCTCACGGGGATAACGTTTGAGAAACTCGTGACTATCAGTGGCGACTTTACTCTCGCTGGTCTGGCTAGGTTGGCGGATTTGACCTTCAACTCAATCATGGAGGTTGGGAATATCGCATTCACTGATTTACCTCTGCTCCAGACTTTGGACTTTGCGACCGGAATTGTGACAGCAGACCAAGTCGTCATCACCAACACTGGTCTGAGAAGCTTGGAAGGCCTCGAATTCACGGCTTGCAACTCTCTTGATATCAGCAACAATCCTCGATTGATCTCAATTGATTTAGCTGGGATCACCAACATGACCGAGGAAGTTACCATACACGCCAATGGACCTAGCTTGGATGTCGATTTGGGCCTTCTGAAAAGCTCAAACGGCATCAATGTGCAAGCCGCAGGCAGCCTGAATGTGTCCTCTCTTGATACAATAACAGGGACTCTAGGGCTTTCCTACAATACGTTCAGAAATTTCTCGGCCCCAAGTCTAACCCTGGTAATGGAAATCGATATCAGTAGCAACCCGCTTCTCAACAGCTTATCGTTTCCATTACTGTCTGAAATAACAGGAGACCTCAGCATCACCAACAATAGCCGTCTGGCTTCCATCTCCGGGTTCCCAGAATTGGTGACGGTTTCAGGCAACTTGAATCTGACAGGTCAATTCGCTAGGTAGGCCGAGCTCACACAGATCTGGTGATTATACTAGCTGACAGAGACTCATAGCGTTAATCTGCCCGCCCTTGTTGACGTACAGGGAAGCAGTAACACACAAACGACCATTAACAATTCGACCATCTGTGTTATTTTTGATAACTCAAGCATCTTCAAGGGCGTCCAGACGTGTACCATTGGAACTCAGAGTCCTGATAGTCTGCCGGACGATAGTCAAGGAACGACAACGCCCACAGGAACTGACTCAAGCAATACTGACACACCCAACTCAGAGCCTCAGGACACAAATGGTGGCTCAAACAGCTCTGGTGGTGTTTCGGGCGGTGTGGTTGGAGGGATCGTCGGAGGTGTTGTGGTCGTTCTTGTACTACTTTGTGGAGGTTGGTGGTGGTTTAAGCGAAGACATCGCTCTCCCAAGGCTGAACGCCTCCATGATGCCGCCGATTCAACGCCTGAGCTGCCGTCAGGACGGCACCACGAGAAGCCCGAACTTGTCGGCTCAAATAACTTCGGCGATCAGAAACCCCCGTCCGAGTTGAAAAGTGACTATAAAGAACGTGTCGAGTTGCCCATGGACAATTACGTCTCAGAATTGGAGGGAAACAATGTTTATGAAATGGACACACACCCACGCCCCCGGTGACAGACGTGGAATATACACACGTAGTGTTTGAATATGCCGAAGTCATCAAGTCCTAAATCATTACCATCTGAGTACTGCATTTACTGTGTCGTGTGCGCAAATAGACGTCTTGAGACTGAGATCTGTCTTGTTCGCTATCATGATGTTGCCGACGTCTGGTCTTGCAAACATATCTAGAACCGAGCCAGCATCCTGACAAGAGCTGACGAGGACAAGTATGAGCATTATTGAAATACGTGCGATTACTTAGATGGAGGTAATCAGATTACTTAAGGTTTGCTAATTAAACTGGGTCAATCCTTAGCGGCCGAAGCGCTTCGCGGGGTGTTTTGTGCGGGTGACTGCACCCTTAGAGTTGCCCCTCGGCCCAGCCATGCCAGCCCTTTGGCCCCTCGGCCTATAACGGCACTTAAAGCAACCCGCAAGGCACGCTTATGGTACTCTTCCGCAACCAGCACCAAAACCTCACACAGCACATACATGGCGACGTTGCGACGGCACCTTCGCCAACCCAGAGCTCGCTGTCCAAAGTCGTTGTCGTACAGAATGGGCTGAAATTGAACCAAAGAGTCTCCCTAGCGCGATCGCCACGGGTATGGTGACTTTTGTGGCTGCAGCGAGTTGAACTGGCGATCTGACCCCCGCCGTGCTCCCGTGGTCGGCGATTTATGAACTCGTGATGGAGCATACGGATGAGCGAGATGAATCTGCCGAGACCAAGGACTCCCAAAAGAATGCACAACGTAAGGACGAGATCTATGGCCACTTAACTTTCTACCGTGAGACTAATGAGATGACAGTTGACTTCAGATCCCGGCTGAAGCAATATGCGTATTCGAACCCCATAGATACTCCTACACAAAGACGTTCGACCCGCCTCACTGAAGCCTCACCCAACGCATCCCTTGAGGTTTCGTCTTCAAGTCCCAGCAAGAAACGGACCAGGGACACTTGGTCCTCTCTCCACAGCATCACCGCTAGTAACGAAAACAACTCGGTGATCAAGCAGGCAGAGGAACATGGTCACAATGCTTTGACACCACCATCAGCCAAAAAAAGACGAAGCACAACGAAAGAAAGGTCTGCGAGAGATCCTCATAGTCCGGACAACAAATTGGTCGACAGTCTTCGCCCTGGCCTCACACTTGTCTGCATTGGGCTGAATCCAGGCTTGATGACTGCCGCAACTGGACACGCCTACGCACATCCCTCGAATCGGTTTTGGCATCTTCTCTACGAGAGTGGAATTACATCCAAGAAACACCATCCATCTGAAACGAGAGACTTGATGGATTTATACTCGATTGGCAATACCAACATCTGTGCTCGACCTACGCGGAGTGGGGATGGTTTGACGCGGGAGGAGATGCAACAGGGGGCATTATTACTAGACAGCAAGATTGCAGAATTGAGACCTGAGGCCGTCGTGATCGTGGGCAAGGGTATTTGGGAGGCGGTATGGATGATGAAGAAGGGCGAGACCAAGTTCAAGGACCCTGGATTCCATTGGGGATGGCAGGATCGAGACATGCAGCTTGGCCGAGTCATGGGGAACAATGGTCAGGTCGTCTGGCCTGGGTCCAAGACGTTTGTGGCTACCTCGACGAGTGGGCTGGCAGCAACGTTGAGACCAGAGGAGAAGCTGGCTATCTGGCGTCCATTGGGCGATTGGATGATTGCGAAGCGGGAACAGGCGCATGCCGCTCGAAGCTTATGACGCATATGGGGCAACCTTGTTGGTGGATGTGATGGTGGTTGGAGAGAAGATGCCAACACGGTCAGGTTACTCATCAGAATCTTCTGACTGTCCTATACATGTGTCAATCCTCCTCCAGTTTGAGGCTTCTGAGTCTTTTACCTCTCCAGGTCTCTGAGACTTGATTGGCCAAGGACAAGTCATACTCACGTGTTTGATCTGAAACATTGCCAAGACAGGACCAGGCTGCCACCGAATGTGATTGGATATGAGGCACCCCTGAAACACGTACTTGCACAGTTGCACTTGCCCTCGTTGAAACAAGAGTGGGAAGTTGGTGCCTTCCCTGATGACTGACTCGATGACTTGAGGAAGGCATGCCACTTATGACATCAACTTCAGCTTGTGTGTCCCTTGTCAGTTTCGACCCTCTCTCCAACCACAACCAGGAGGCGAAGCTCATCTTTATTCCATCATCCCATACTCTTAATTGTCTAAGTTCAAATCCTTCACACAAAGACAACCTTGACTATCTTCTTCTCACGTCCCTCACATTCTTCTTACTGACAAAATTAGTCCATACATCCCTCAAATTCTTCATACAGACATTCACCCCTCCAAACCCCGCCAATCATGGCGATCTCAACCTCGAGCCTTGTTTTGCTCTGCGCCATTGGCATTATTTTGCTGGCTAGGCCTGCTCATGCCTTTGGTGCTGGCAATATTGGCTCTACCTCCAAGATCGAAGGCCAGAACTGGCGTCATGGCGATCTCGAGGATACTCTTCTCTCCATCGTTTCTGCTCGCGCCATGAGCGGCAAGAAATTTTCTAAACTCGATGTCAAACGAGTAAGTATCCACCCCTCCCCCCTCCATCCACTCCACTAACTTTAGCCTAGGTGTATTTCGGCAACTGGCTTCGTGACTACTCCCAAGCTGTCGACGTTGGCACCGTCAAATATGTCAGCGCCGAAGCCATTAGAATTCTCCTCTGGGTGCTCGGCTTCCTCTCATTTGGCTATGGCACTGGTGAATTCGAAGTCACCACCGAGAGACTCGGCTGCTATCGCCCAGAAGAACATATCGAGTGAGTTGATACCCTGTCGGCTGCTTGCCTCACCCATAAACTGACTTGACGCAGCAACCCCAAGGATTACGCTGACAACGAAGATGCTCGTCGGTACGACCGTCGCCTCCGAGGCCCCATCAATGAACGCCTCGAATTGTCCATCGACCCCGAGAATGGCATGAAGAACTATATTGCCTCCGAACGCCTTGGTATCGACACCTCCGCTGGCCTAGTTCGAAAACTTCTTGGCCAGTCGATTGAGCTGGGACGTCAGTACTCTCGTAACAAGAACAAGGATGATCTCTATGAGGCTCTTCGCCTGCTTGGTACCGCGTCCCACTGTCTCGAGGATTACGCAGCACATTCAAATTACGTCGAACTCGCCTTGATCGAACTAGGGGAGCGTGATGTCTTTCCTCATGTAGGCCGCAACACCCAAGTCCGACTTCGAGACGCCCGTCAACCCGTCTTTCCCATTGTCACCGGAACCTTTGGCGGCGTCGACTTTCTCCATTCCGTCTGCGGTGAATTTGACGACAAGGCAACTCAAAGCGAGATCCAGCAGCTCGAAGGTGCCCTTCAACAAGCCCAGAACAACCGTCAAGATGGTAGCATGCTGCGAGATCTCCTCAACAAAATTCCTTCTGGCGTTTTTGGAGGCAAGGATGAGGTCGGCAAGGCAGATGAGTTGCAGCAGAATGCACAAGCCCAGCAAATGTCAAACGTCCGCATCTCCCCCCGCCAGCCAGAAGAATGGGCAAACTATCTCAATGATGTGCAGAAGCAGATCTATCCCATCATCCAATGGCACGACGAGGTCATGCAATCCATTACTCGCACAGTCGAGAAAATCCCCATTCTTCCCGACCTCATCGAACGACTCCAGGAAGAGGTCAACAAATACGTCTTCTCCCTCCTTGCGCCATACCTCATTCCCGTCATCAATCAGATCAAGAATGAGCTCAACACTGGTTCAAGCGAAATTATCAAGGCTAGCGCCGATAAGCAACATATCGTCTTTAATGATGACGATTCGACCGACCCTACACATTCCATGCTCTCTAAAGACCACTTCTCCAATGTTCTCAATGAGCCTGCAGGCAGGGTCGCCCAAGCTACTGTCGCATGGGTCGTACCCCAGATAGTCGCTGCTTGGGATGATAAGAACGTCGATGTTCAGCGTACTCTTGACCGCATCGTTGCTGGCGTTTTGCACCACCCGGCCCTTCGTGACTACGGTAAGGACGGAGCTAGCGATGGCCGACGCATCATGTTTAGCGTGGTTGAGGAATGGTGGAACGAGAAGAGTGATCGCGAGAAGGGTGGGCTTCGTGATCAACTGAGTCGACGTGGCGTCCAATCGGGTAAGAACCACAAGTCGGGCGTCACAGATCATGGTCACGGTAGCAACAAGCCCCTCGGAATTGCCAGTGTAAGCTCTGGTGGCTCTGATTACAGTGGTGGTAATGACGCCTCTAGCCAAGCTGCAGAGCAGATTGGCAAGGTTGCGGGAGACGCTGTTGGTGGAGGAGTTCTCGGATCCATCGTCAGCGGCATTGCCGGTGCTGTCGGCGTCGACATTCTCGGCGGCGGATTGAACGACGAGAAGAAGACATACAAGAAAGACTCGTATGGTCAAGATGGATCTCATACCGAGACCGTCAGCCAAATTGGTTATTCTTCCGGCGGAGATCGATACGGTCAAGCACAGTACTCACGGACTAGTGACTCGGCCGGCTACCAACAACGTGAGGACTATAACCGTTACGAGCAAAGCTCTTCAGGCGATGGCCGATGGCAATCCAAGGTGCACCATGAGGAGCGCACGAGCACAGGCGGGTATCGTGAAGAAAATCGGTATGTGTGACTTTGTTCTGCGTGGCCATGTCAAGTCTAATCATTCTCAGGCGCTACGGTGATAATACCACCAGTGGCTACGGCCAGCAACAAGATGTCGACGCAGCCAGCCGTCGAGACGATAACATCAGCTCGCACGGTTCCAGTCGGCGAAATGATAACACCAGCTCCCACGGTTCCGGCCCGCGATATGATAATGCCAGTTCACATGGTTCCGGCCGACGAGATGATAACACCAGTTCCCAGTATGGCCGACGAGATGATAACACCAGTTCGCAGTATAGCCGACGAGATGATAACACCAGTTCGCAGTATGGCCGACGAGATGATAACACCAGTTCGCAAGGCTATGGCC